TACGATGCGGGCGGGTACGAGGTACCAGGGCCTATGCGAGCGGGCAAGCGAGGTGTCGGGGCTCATGCGGGCGGGTATGCAATACCAAGGCCTAAGATGCGGGCGGGTACGAGGTACCAGGGCCTATGCGAGCGGGTGCGAGGCACCAGGGCTCAGGACGATCGGTGAAGTACCCAAGGGAAACGCTCCGAAGAGATCAAATTCAACAAAATATATATACAAGAAAGAAGAACGACGATGCCAGGCTAAATACCAGCCTGTTTGGCGAAAGACCATTGGCAACGTGTGCCGTGGCAGGCGGTCCCCATGCCACAACGCAGCGGGACGAACTGCTGGACGTTCATCTGGCTAAAGGGAACGCGTCAAGTCAACATCGGAACCTGTCAAAAGTTCACGACTGTTGTACTTACGCGCGGACATGCCCCATACACTGGATGTGGTCGCAGGGGAAGACCTGCACGTCCTGGGTCAGACAATCGCAGTCGGGCCACACACAGGTGCAGGGTAGCGCCTGGCAGAAGAGCGGCGCTTCACACTCCTCCCCGAAACCGTCAACGTAGCCGCACGTGAACTCCCCGACGGGCGTGTTGGTCTGTTGGGAAGAGATGTGAGCTGTCAGTCACCTTGCGGGAACCACCCATAACATGCGGTTCCTTACGGTGTCATCACAGAGCGGGAGGATGCAAGGCCGGCATATAACGTGCTGGCACGCCGAGAGGAACATCTTGCGGGGGCGGTACGTGTTGCAGTTCCAACGCGTAGGTCGGGCCGGTAGAGCCGGGGGCTCAGGGGCACTGTCCGAGTGCACCTCGGTGGCGTCCTGAGATAAAATTGGTCAAACCACGTAAGATCGGTCAATTGGGCGCCCTCCGTGGACTCACCACTCGCTGTCGTTTGAGAGCCTTCTTCAGGCTGTCTCCTTTGGTGGGGCCCTCGCCTACTTTCTTCTTGCCCGATGACGGGCCGGCGGCGGTGGGCTTGGCAGGAGGAGCTACGCTGGCCATGGTGAGAGAGGAACGGCGACGGTGAGGGGTTACGAGATTGGGAGCAAGAAATGTAAGTCCGAGGACTGGCGGGAAGGTGCTGAGGGGACTACTGCCTCCCTTTTATATGCCGCATGGACAAGGACCATAGCGCCCCACGACCAGCTGCGGCCGAACCATCTCTACCTCATACCGGCGTGGATCTGATTGCCATCGTGGTGACCACCAGTGACGCCAGCCGCTCCAGTAGAGCCATGCGCACTCCTCATGGCCGACACCTGTGTCAGCTAAACATCAAGTAACAGCGGGGAGCGACTGACAGGTGCGGTCGGTGTCGGAGTGACACTTGGCTCTAAGGGGGTTGTAATGAGGTGCTGCAGGTGTCACCATAGGGCGGGGAAGCGTGTAGGGCATGAGATCACGTGTAGCATAAATTATATTGGAGTCCTACGCTCTGGGGTGACTCCCAAAGGGAAGAAAAGCCTTCGGGCGGCGCCCCGGGTGTCGGTGATATCTCATCTTCACTTGTATTTCATATTATATCTCTTTACTTCTCCTTGATCCGAGACCCGGGCTGGCCACCCGAGCTCTCGGTGATACATGACATAAGGCGCCAAGCCTCACTGAAGCCACGCAAGCCCCACTGGCAGCCCATATATAAAGCTGTCAGTCAAGCGGCCGCTGCAAAGAGCTTCCTACTTTTTTCTTCACTACAATACACTGCTCTCAGCCCTCTCGGAAGGGCCCAATATCGTCTACGTTTCCTCTGACCTTACATACTTCGCTTGATAGGAGTTTGCGCGAGGTTTTGACTGAGGTTCCAAGCAAATTTTTGCGGTTAGCGTTGTCAGAAAAAACATTTAAGGGTAAGAAAGGAATGTTTTTAAAAAGCCTTGTTTTAAGTATGCCTGACTCCTGTATAGAAACAATGGGAAGGTTACTACTTCAGCGCTTAGAAATGCTATCCTTAGATGCTAGGAAAGTCCCTTTTGAGAAAGATAGCTCCTTGTCAAAGGATCCTGATGAAGCGCTGATAGAGATACAAAGAAGAGCGAAGGAAAGCGTGGATCGACTGGGGATAACGCAGATAAAGGGCAAAGATTGGGAGGAATATATTTTAGAGTGAGATACTATAAACCCTTCTAGAATATATCCATGGCTGTCAGAGCTTCTATGATTGTCTGAAAATCGGGATTAGGCAGCAGTCTGACAGCTTCAATCAAATCTCGGTCGTGATATGATGTAAGTCTTCTGTACTGGGAACTCGGGATCAAATGCTCAGTGATACGGAGTCCTGCAACTTCACGTTGAGAAGCATTTGACAAATCGTAAGGAGTGGACGCAGCATCTTTACCGCATATCTGCACAAAGGCTTTTTTTGTTACGATCTCGACGACTGAGGCGGAAGACAAGGCGAGAGCGATGGGCGACAAGAGATTGTATTGGCGAAACAAGAGACAAGGACTAGAACAAGAGACGAGAAGAACTGGTGTTGATCTGCTGGGGAGGAAGGGAATGGACAAAGAGGGGGCGGCTATTTATGGATAAACAACCCAGCAGACCAAAGACAACAACAAGAGGGGACTTAGTGAGTGCCAGCTCTGCTCCCTAGCCTAGAGCGAGCGTAGCAGGCGTAGAGAGGAAGCTACAGCTGCTGGCTGTGGAGAAGTACTGGGGGGGTCGACAAATGGCCGGAGATTGGCTCACAGATGGACAGGGTAGAGGAGGAGCGGCGAATGAGGGATTGGCGAAATGAGAGGGGAGAGGAGGAGTGGCGATATTGCGGGAGGATTGGCAAAATGAGAGGAGAGATGTCAAGGGAATCGTCCCGATTGCTCGGAACGCCCTGGAGAGGTGGTACAGTCACAGAAAGAAGAGAAAAATGTTTGGGGAAGGTAGGAATCGAACCCACGCCACCTGGGTGAGAGCTAGGTGTCTTAACCACTAAGCCAAAATGTGTGTGTTCCTCTTACAAGAGTGGCGGAGTGGCATTGACATTGGCATTGACATTGGCATTGACATTGACATTGACATTGACATTGGCGTTTGACATTGGCGTTTGATATTGGCATTTGACAATGGCAGCTCTCAGTAGGTAAGATTATGGTATGGGCACGTCGTCCATAACATTTTTCTGCCGAATGTTGAACTTAACACTCGCGAAATAGTCAGGATATTGCTTCCTGCATTGAAGGCGTTCGTCAATTAAATCCAAAATTATTGCCTGTATACACGCTTATCACCTCACCTCAAAAGAAGTATATATGTCTCTCGAAACATATGCTTCTGGGAAATGTCATCTAAGCAATCTCGGTAAGTTTCGTCATTCATTAGTTAATATTTGGACGATCTAGACTGGTCACACATGTCAATAAAAAAAGATCGAAATGGTACGTAATCTTTCAGCAATCCATTACCAGTTTGATCTTGATTATACCATCGACATACTGAAGTAGATGGCGCTTCCCTCCGTTTCGTGGGCTGGACGTCCCTTTCAGTGCCCTCTTGTTGATTCCGATGTCGATCAGAAAAGCTGACTTTGAATCAATAGACATCTTGCAGGCCGCATGCCAACTACAGCCGATCAAAGTGGATCCTGGTACTTTGTCAGTGAATCTTTTATGAATCCCCACATGGCTCATGGCAACTGAGTGGTTTGAGTTCATAGTATCCAGTGGAAGTCGCGAATCTTGCTGGTCCTGACTGTTCCAGTATTTTGACACAGGGATTATATTCGTAAAATCCGTCATCTGCCATCTTTTGATGATAGATGGCTGAAAATCATCCTCCTTCGTTGGCCTAGGAGTGGAACAATATGTACTATGGCAGTGAAGAGATTGTCAACTCAACTGCCGAACCTGTTTCGCGATACCGAAAGGGCAGGTTGCGGATTGGGTGAACCTATTGCCGAACGAGCAGCAGCAGCGTACGAAGCATGCATTGCCTCCCAATAATGTAAAACGCCGAGGGTTCGGTTGCTGGTGAGGAAGATGTTAAGCGTGAGGAGAACTCACAGTTGTTTGTCAACGATAAGCAACCCCCTTGCATGAGTGGTGCGTGAGTCGCCGTGAGTCAGCGCAGCCAGCCCAAGCCAAGCCACCCATTCTCGCCCTTGCACTCCCAATCTCCCGTTATCAACTTTTATCAGGCTGGGGCTGCCTGTGACTGATTGTTGCCCCCATCACTTTCGAAACGCGAGTCATCCGTAATTCCATCAACACGCCTAGGGATCCAACCCTTACGTGACCCGACCCGGGCGACCCGCGGGCCGGCCCGGCCGGGTCGCGCTACGGGTCATCCTTGACATGGCCCATCGGCCCGGCGGGTTGCCTATCATATGGGCTGCACCCCTTCCCGAACCATCGAGAAACCCAAGTGACAACCCTGACCTTTGCACCATCACCCTACCATCCAGGATGGATGATCTTTCTCAGGAAGCGTCTCTAGGACCATCCATGATTTTGCGGAGTACCCAGAGTTCAGTGAAATTTGACACTTTGCCCGTCAAACCCTGTCGAAGTGACCCGACCCGGCAAACCCGTACATGGGCCGGGCCCAGCCGGGTCGGGCACCGGGCCGGCCAAAGCCCGACCCGACCCGGACGGGTTGGCCAGGGTCCAGAAAGTGCCCAACTGGAAATCCTCCTTCGGCTGAAAGGGGTGCGCCATGTCCTCGTGGACGGAGAGCTGCGTACCGCACGTGGCGCACTGTGTCCTCCTGTAACATGTACTTCTCTCCACAGGGGGCGCAGTATTCAGAGTCCAGATAAAGCGATTCAGGGACTTTACAGTGGTCAGATATTCTTTTGAATAAACGAACACTCTAGAATTACTTGCTAAGGTAACTGGGAAAACATGAAGATACGGATAATGACTGATGACTATACAAGGGGAGAGTGGAAGAAACGGTTTGGGAGGAGAGTGATGAATGTCTAGTGTCTAGATAAAGAGCAGAGTCAAATCAACCAACGTCCGGCGGTGGGTTGAGAAGAGGGAACGTCCTTCTAGCTAAGCGTAATTAACGCTTCAAGAAAGTCTTGTTGAGAAGAGCCAGGGTCTTGTTGACACTGAGTTGGACGTATTCGAGGTCCAGGAGAGTCACACCCAGCTGCTGCTTCTCGAGCAGGTCGTCCAGTTTGAGATCCATCTCGAGAATGGCTTTTTCGCGTCCTAAACAAGGTTTACGGAAGTAAGTCAGAATGCTCAAGAGAGTAGAGAGTAGGAGTCAAGACAACGCACCTTTATAATGGAGCGCGATAATGAATGTCCCTGGCAGTGGCGACAGAATGTTGAAGAAGATATTGGACCTCCTGTTGTCAGGAACGTTGCTTTCCACAATGATGCCGTCCTTTTCCAGGTGGGCGTGTGTGAACTTGAACGGGCCTTGCACCTGAGCCTTCGATGACTTGGAGCCGGTGACCCCTGACTTGATGCGGACGTTCTGGAGGTACGCCTTGTAGCTCTCCAACTGTGATCGGAGGTAGTTGTTGTGATCGATTATGGTCTTGAAGACTAACTCCAAAGATCCGATCTCCTTGTCGACCTTCTCTCTCAGGTTTCCGAGGTGCACGAGCTCCTGTCGGATTTCGTCGCACATCAGAGCGTACCGGTTCGGGTTCTGCCTCTGCTCCGCTGGCATAACCTCGTCCAACTGGTAGAGCATCTCCCGGACCTTGATGCCCTTCTTGACCAGGGTGGGGTCACGGGAGGTCGCCGCACTCTCGGCAACGCGCGCCAAGTTGAATGCCGCACTGCCTTTGTTGCCCGCTTTGACCACTGCAGATGACAATCCAGGCATGGTACGAATGATCTGAACGTATAATGCCTTGGTGTCCATGTACATGATATCGCTGGATGTCAACTCGCTGTCTGCGATGGCCGAGGGGAAGTCCGGGATTGGCTGCTCCCATCTTGAGAAAATCGGAAGCTCGACGGTTTTGTTCTCAGCACGAGGAACCTGGGCGGGTGCTGAACCGAGGTCTTGGAGACAGATGCGAAGGTGGTGCTTGTCGGCGGCAGCCTATGAAGAAGGAGACCGTTCATTGAGCTTGGATTTCCTGCGACATGACGGGGGCCCGCAACATACCAAGACATCCATGTGTTGCATCAATAGAGAGTGGGTATTGTACAATTCGTTAAGCGAGATGTTCAGCGTGATGTCCTTCTTTGATAATGCAATGTATTGGTCCATCTGCAGAGAATGAGTTAGGAGCAAGTTCTAACCAGATCATTGAGGAATTTCAAGCGATACTAACCTCCAAAGACTCGTAAAAGTCTCCAACCTCGCATAATTCGTTCAGGAAGCGATTTATCCTCTGCTTGTGCTGCTCCACAAACGGATTCAGGGACATCATGTAAACTTCCTTGGAATACGTTGGCTTGTTCGCGAGGTTTTGCAGCATTTTGGCGATGAGAGTGAGAGTGCGGCGGGGGCTTTGGGCGGGGTTGCCCTCAACAAGCATGTAGGCTTGTGGTGTCACTATTGCAGGGTTAATGAAGCGGAGGAAGAAGAACCCTCCAATGAGAGAACATATTTGCAGGTCGGAGGCGTCGGGATATTTCCGCTATGAAGTGAAATGGATTAGGTTTGTTGTGCCCTGCTTCTCATTACTGCTGGCACGAATGCGACATACCTTGGTCAACGACCGAATCTGCTTGCAGATCCACCTGATTCCGTATGGGACCTGGTCCAGGGATCCCATTATGGTTGTCAGGAATGACTCGGCGATTTCCATCAACGTGACCAAGCGCGGTGCGATGATAGCCTGAACATCGGGATGCTGGGACGCCTCCTCAGGGGAGATCGATTTCGGCAGGTCACTGGGCTTGCCCGTGGCCGTCTCGATTTGCTCGATCATTCGCTCGTAAACTTTCAGAGGGTTGATCTCCAGGTCCAAATCCTGCATCTCAATTAGCTTGTTGATCCGCGCTGACAGGACGTGCTTCAGGTATGTCTGCCCCGGCCCTCTCCGTGTATACGTGGTCAACATCCGGGATACGGGGGTGTTGGCGCGTAGAAGACTTCCGAAATCTGTCGCAGCGTCGAACTGGGATGACAGAACATTTTGGAACATGGAGAGCAACAGGTACTCTTCTCGCGAGTCGTACTGGTTTCCGTACAGGGTGAACATGACAGTCTGGAGGAGGGTATCGATTTCGGAGAGACTGACCAACCGCGCTAGAGCGGCAATGTGGCGGGGTTCGTTTTGCAGCAGGAAGAAGAGGTTCCCGTACAGCTGGCGTTTGCGCTCATCTGGCAGCAGGTGTCCTTCTGTTGTGTCCAGCTCCTCCAAATGACTAGCAACCTCCTGTTGCTCGTCTAACGCCATGCGGTTTTGAATCAAGAGAGCGATCCGACTGTCGAGGAATCGAACATCCCGTTCCAGCAGGAAGTTCTTCTTCGACTGTGCGGAGATCTTGGTCTTCAGATCCTTCAACCGTCGCTGAGCTTGCGTCAGCTCGTCGTCAACCTCCACGTCGTTTTCCGCGGCCATCGACCACAACGCCGCAACCGAGTACCGCCTGTCTGCCCCGTTCCCAAGAGGTAGGCCATTCTGGGCAGCAATCACAGCAGCCTTTGCCAACCCTGAGGCGTATATTGTGGAGGGTACGGTCTCCTGCCGGTTCCGACGGCTGGCGGCCCGCCCATTCTGCTCCGCGGGCATATTCTCGTCCCCACCACTGTAGTTTCCAATTATATCGGTTGCGTAAGTTGCGGCCATGAGAGGCGATTTGTTGCCGCTGAGTTGGTGTAGGTTTGAAGGGGCAGTCTGGCGCAATTTCTAGCAAGTGTCCAAGGTAAGAGAATGAATGAACGGTTTAAGAAATGTTATACGGTGGAGAAGTCGAGATTTTCAAAAACTTTTCCAGAAGTTCTGCGAGAAGTGGTAGCCCTGGAACTCCCCTTGCCGGATAGCTTTGCCTATCGAAAGTATGCGCTTACCGGAATGACTTTGCCCAGGAAAACAGTGGCAGAGGCTTGGTTGCTGTAACCCCGCGGGTGGCTGCCCTGCTGGATAAAAACTGAAACAAGGACGTACGTACGACGTTGGTCTGCTGGTCCAACCAGCTGTCGTGCGTACTATTACCGGTCCTATGGGTAACGTAGTGTTAGATCTACAGAAGACGAGGACTGCGAGATTTTGCATGCAACCTCAAACAGTAGGGGAAGCGGAAAGGAAAGACCGATGAACAGCTTAACTACCTTAACCCTTAACCAGTGGCCGCAAAAACGCTAAAAATAAATAAATGCAGCTTACATAATCGAGGCTGACTGGGCGGGGAGCACCAGGCACCAGGCACCACCGCCGGCTTCCCATTTGTCCCCCGCATCAAAACGCTTTTAAGCAGTGGAATTCCATACACAATAAACGTAAGGTAGAAGGGAGCCGGTAGTATGAAGTCTGGATGTCTGGACATTGGCGCAAATGACGCGGAAGCCCAAAACAGGCGTCAGATTGGGGCGTCAAGTGACCGTCATCCATGTACCCTCAGATGCTTTTTTGAGGCATATAGAACTGTGCACCTTCGACCTCCCTGCAAGGCTATATACGTACCGTGCGGACAGAGGTGTGGAGGACGAGAAAGCAGTCGGGTCCTGAGTTTGAAGTCGGAGTTATTTCTGGGGGGTTTCTAGAAAGGAATCATCACTCGCGTCTTTCCTTGCAGGACATGGGGCCGGAAAATTCCCTGCTTTGATTCATTGTTGATACCCCTCACGAAGACGACCTAGATGCATATAGTGAGCATGGCAGTGCGGGGCCGCCGGAGTGGAGGCGGTCCAAGAACCCACAGGGCGGGCAGGGGACAAGGGAATAAATACGTGAGGTCGTTTGACGCCCTTTGTTGCCGATGGCCGATTGAGAATCTGGGGTTGCATCATCGCCTGGTGGTGAGGGCTACGCCTGTCGATTTAGCCAGCGTGCATCGCCACAAGCTGTGCTGCCCCCCTTCCGCCCAATCAATCCACAAGGGTTGGACACCTTTTTTTTCCCCTCTCCGGTTGATGCAGGGCGGTGAGGAAATAGCAATCCACAGCTGCTTTATTACAAACTCCCCTCTCTCCATTCCAGCGTGCTGCGTTTTGCTGTGGAGTGCTCCCCCGACCGATACAGTTCCTTATAGACGACGCAGGCGGTGCATATATAAGGGGTGATCGACCAGTGTTAGTCAGCCTTCTAAGACTCTTTCACACCGAATTGGGCAACACAGCGTAACCTTGGACTACGACCAACTGCAATAAGCAACAGTCTTTGCAGGCCCTCCTCGCCTCTGTCTATTCTCAACGCGCAACTCATATCTACGTCTCTCTGGCCCGCCACCTGCGTTTCCTTCCCCACGTCTGGCGCACCGCATCACTCAATACCATTCTATCATGCCGGTCCCTATGGAAAGCGTCGCTCAACAGCGTCGCCCTCAACTAAACTCCCGCGCCTGCTCATACCAAGATACCTCTCGATACCGTGCATCCGGCGCTGCTCCTCAACTTGCTAGGACAAATAGCTCCCAATATACACCATATGGGGAGGAAGACGTGAACAAACCGAAGGTCGTTGGGGAGCTTGCGGCAGTCTCTGACAACGCGCCCGAACAAGGTGATGCCAATTTCGCGGGGTTGGTCGGGTCTTCCAACCCTGGTATTGACAATGGACCACTGAGGACAGTAGTCGAAAGGCCGGCGCTCACGCGCACCTTCACACGAGAGGCATGGGTTAAGCAAATGACCTCCGGTGTTAGCGCTACGCCCAAGCAGAGCCCTTCCGTATATGGTCCTAGACAGAGCCCATTCATCCCAGGGGGTCATTACAACCCCTCAGGATCTGGCTTATCTACACCTGCTGGCGATTCCGGACTTACAACATCGAGCGCTTGGGGCCCAGCCTCCCCTTCATTGACTGGAACGTTCAATGTTTCTTCCGACCTTCACTCGTAAGTTACTTGGCGCTATGGTTTCTGGGCATTTAGCGTCTTCCCTTTTCCATTACTAATTTGCGGTATGTGTAGGTCCGAGAACAATGACGCCGACGGCAAGCAAACCTTCGCGTTCACAGTTCATGCGGAACGCAATCTGTCTGCCCACAGTAGGCCTGGCACCCCAGTGAACGATGCCGGAGACCGCGTACCGGAGTCTGTTGCGGAGACGGTCGAACGACACAGGGAAGGTCAGGAAGTTGTTGACGCTACACCGCTGACGGGCCGGAAGGTGATGGTCGCCGTTGACGCGGCTGATCAAGACGGCCTCAATACCCTGGCGTACGCTTGCGACAAAGTGGTCCATCCTGGCGACGTTTTGTACGTTGTGCGGGTCGTTCGTGAACAGCGTGGCTTCAAAGGTATGCGGCATGTTCGTAAATGCGGTCACTGCAGCTCCCGTGTCTGATACTGATCCTAACTTCAATTCACAGGTTCATACTCTGCAGCAGCTGAAATGCTTCGTAGCATCGAGTTACGCGCCCGTGGGGAGGCCGAGCTCATCACATGCCAAGCCATTCGGGAGCTCGGCAAGGCAGGAAAGAAGGCAGTCGACGTCTACGTCACATACCGAGTCGGCGACCCCCGCGCGTGCATTCGCGAGCTTGTCGGAAAGGAAGCACCTCAGATACTCGTCGTCGGAAACAACAGGAAGAGGGTAGCTAGCGGATCCGTGTCCAAGGGCGCCGGACGCGGGATCTTCTTCCACGGTGGGCAGGACACCTTCGTGCCTCACGGCATGCAAGGGGTCGAGGTTATTAGCATTCAGTAGTCATCAAAAGCGGAGAGAACCCCGCGAGGCGCGTTCGTGGTCTCTGAAGGTCTTCCACATGTGTCAACGCCATACACTGGACTTTCCCAATCGTCTCAAACTCAACAAGCGCACTGGAAGCCTCAGGCACAAACCATCAGGACAGGCGCAATGAGCCCTTCTTGATATATACGAATTTTTCCGGCCTAGTGAGCTTTATTCCAATGTTGCGAATCTTGTACTTTTGTGGTGTACTTTGATCTTTACATAGCAAAGAGATGAAGCGCTTATCATATGACCAGTCCTTCTAACCGGAATGTCACGGTCCCAGTCCGTAGCTGAAGACCGTGCTGACTCTGCTGAGGCGATGTGCTGGTCGGGTCAGCGCGCTTGCCGAAGGAAAGAGTGTCGATCCAGATGGACCAGAAACCAGCGGTGCGGTGCATTGACGCCTTTTTGACATGCCACTGCAGAGTCACAGCTGATCCGAGCGCATATCAGCGCGACTTGGCAAATTCACAAAATCATCAATCAAATCTCGCCGTTCACCCAATAACCAGTTTTGACGCTTGCCTTTCCCACGTTTCCCGTGCTCTCGACCGAGCGCAAAACACCAGACCATCAGTCGAGGAGGCCGCTTTTTCTCAGCCTCTCACGCTAGCCGTTTTTATACCATCTCGTCGTTGCCAAAGAGCTACCCGGCTGCCGCTCTAATCTCAAAACGTCAACGAACTTCCAGCGGTCGTGCTTTACTCAAAAAAAACCAATCAGCTGGTGAGTTGTGCCACCATCCACGGTCTGCTTTCGCACGCCGCTTGTGTCGTTCCGTTCCATTATCCCAAGGCGATAGTGCCTATGCGGAACCGCAAAGGCACCTCCTTGGGAGCCTCACGTGTTTCCTCGGTGGAGTTCTTGCCGATTTTGACCTACGCCCCGCGTTCTCTATCCTTTCTGCACATGGCAGCGATAGACATTACGTCGCAGGATGCAGCAGGCGCAAAGTGGCTCCCAACCCCACTCGTTGATGGACTTGCGAGTGGGGAACAAATATCGGATAGGTCGCAAAATTGGGAGTGGGTCATTTGGTGACATTTACCTGGGTGAGTATGTGACGCCGATCACATTGGTGGAAAAGTGGAGTGCAGTGGAGTGTGGAGTGCCGTCTGGTCATACGGTCGTTTCTTCATTCGCTGGAGCAGAAGACATATCGTCCGAACGAACAAATTGAGCGTGGGACTTATAACCTCACTTTTTCAGGCACAAACATCATAAACGGTGAAGAGGTTGCAATAAAACTCGAAGCGGTCAAGGCAAAGCATCCTCAACTTGAGTATGAAGCCAAGGTGTACAAAAGTCTCGCGGGTGGCGGTATGTGTAGTCGAGGCTTTGCCGAGTTCCTTCCAACTTCCCCCCAATTGACCTTGTCCTCCTTAGTCGGCATCCCATTTGTTCGATGGTTCGGCATCGAATGTGATTACAACTGCATGGTCATCGATCTGCTGGGTCCCAGCTTGGAAGACTTGTTCAACTTCTGTGGGAGGAAGTTCACCTTGAAGACTGTCCTGTTGCTAGCAGATCAACTGGTCGGTGACATATTGGGCGGTGTAGAGCAGTATGTCGAGAATCACGAGCTGACGCGAGATATTCCTGTGCAGATCTCGCGCGTCGAGTACATCCACTCGAAGAACTTCATACACAGAGATATTAAGCCAGACAACTTCTTGATGGGGCTCGGAAGACGCGGAAACCAAGTGAACGTGATCGATTTCGGACTGGCGAAGAAATATCGCGACCCGAAAACACATCTGCATATTCCATACAAGGAGAACAAGAACCTGACAGGCACAGCTCGATATGCGAGTATCAATACTCACCTGGGAGTCGGTATGTTCATGGCCAGGACGCACGCAGATGACCAAGGAAGTTTCTGATGTGTTTCCTGCTACAGAACAATCGCGCCGCGATGATCTCGAGTCTCTGGGCTATGTTTTGATGTACTTTTCCCGAGGCTCGTTGCCGTGGCAAGGGCTGAAAGCGGCAACGAAAAAGCAAAAGTATGACCGTATCATGGAGAAAAAGATGACAACGCCCACCGAAGTGCTGTGCAGGTACGTCCTCCTTTGCATTCTGGCTTTCAGAATACCTGCGGCTTACAGATCCGTTGTCCATCGAAGAGGGTTCCCGAACGAGTTTGCAATGTATTTGAACTACACAAGGCAATTGCGCTTTGACGACAAGCCCGATTACAGCTACCTCCGAAAGCTGTTTCGAGATCTCTTCATCCGTGAGGGCTACCAATATGATTATGTCTTTGATTGGACAGTGGTTAAGTATCAGGTTGGTTTTCTACAATGTTTTGGCAAATCGCGATGTGCGACAGTTTTCTGAACTCGAAAGCAGCAGGAAGGGCGCGATGCTCCATCTTCACGAGAAGCCAATGATGTAGGAGACGCAGAACGGTGAGTGTGCCACTTCTTTACGTACGTTCTGAATGTTGAATTGAAGAATGAATTTCGCAGTGCACAGCGCGCACCCAATGCTACCGGCGTAGCTAATGCCGTGACAAGCGCCGCCGCCCCTCGCCGGTCCGCTGGCAACGTCAACGCCCCTCGACCTACCACCACAAACCAATCTAATTACGCCTCGAACACCCCCTCAGCAGTGGTCCCTGGCAACCAACAGCAACAGTATGGGTACTACCCAGCTGGCACGCAACCCACCAGCGCCGCATCCCCACAATACGGGTACTCAGATCCCAATCTAGCCAGGAGTAGTTCTCGGGCGACGCCAGCGACGGGAAAGAACCTGTCAATGCCCAGCGCTAATGGCCAACAACCGCGGCCGGATCGGGGATACTGATCGCACGCGGTTTCAGCTGCATTCACGGGTGTAATGACGAGGCATTGCGGCACAGAAACTATCAGCAGGACGGTGTAGCTATCGGAAGTTGGACGACTCCCTTGCCAAGTCCACTCGAAGCGGCCGCCCTCCGCGGTTACCCCAGGGCAAACTTTACAATCACCACGCCGATAGATGGGAGTAGCCAACGCGAATCCATTGTACAAGCGCATGACGGTTTTCACGATTAGCGCAGAGAACTTGGGGCCACGTGCAAGAACGGAGAATCGGAGTTGGGAAATATTTATGTACGATTCTGTTGTTCAAAAGGGCCTCGAATACGGGTGGGGCCTTCAGCATGTCGAGTAGGCGGATGAATCTGATTCTTTTGCAAGAAGTATCCATACCATATACATGTTTTTGTTATTCCTTCTATCGTGTTTAGCTTCTCAGTTGGGCTTCTGCCATCTGAGGAGTTTGATGGTGGGTAATCGGTTATGGTATCCCCTTAAAACTGGCTATGCCGCTATGCCGAATCTAGACTACATTTCCCGCATTTTCACTGCCCAAGCTATGTATGCCAACACTAATCTGCTCACAGCTACGTTATTCTTGAAACGAGATGTAGGACTTCTTCCCGAATCACCAAATCCCAGGAATTAGACGCCACCGCTCCGCGGCATGCCTCTTCCATGCCTCGCCAAAGTGTTCCGCCAGCGCTGCTTCTTCCTCCGTCAGGCGAACGGCGAGCGCCGTCAACGACACAAACAACCAGGCTGAGGCGAGGATGGGCGAGCTGCGGTGGAATGCGACGTAGCCGAGACCCGTGAGGACGAGAGCGGTGTAGGATGGGTGGAGGAGGTATTTGTAGGGGCCGGTTTGGACTAGGGTGTGATCTAACAAGGATTAAGGAGAAAAGGGTACAGGATATGAGTATGAGTTGGAGGTGGTTTTTGTTGTACGAAAAGAAGGTTCCACGCGGATGTGGACACCCCAAAAATCCTCCGCACCTTTCTGAATCGTCAACCGATACGTAAAGAACTTATCCAGCGCCCTATAAGACGCCACCCTCAACCACCCCCCAAACGCCCCGGTCGCGAGCGCAAGCACCTCCGCCAACGACCACGGCTCACGAACCGCGCTACTTTGCGCGACATACAGCACGGTCAACAGCGGGAAGAGGATGCGGACGGTGTTGAGGACGACGCGCAGCGCGGTTGGCGTCGCGAGGAGGGAGACCGAGTCTCGCGGCTTGGTGGAAGAGGAGACCGGGTCGTGGGCGTCGGAGGCCGTGGCGGCGGAGATAGTGGTGGGTGGGGCGATTACGCGGATGACGCAGTAGGCGAGCAGGCCTGAGGAGAGGGCTTTGGTGATGTAGATGCCGGAGATGTCCATAATGTTCTCGTTGTTTCTAGCTGAAGGTTGCTTTGGGACGCAGGCGCTCGTGCGGGATGGCGAGAGAGCTGGAGATGGCTGCTGTCTGGGTTTTATGCTTGCAGAGGAGCAAGCACACCCATGATGGACAGAGATGGACTCGGCGGACCGTTTTTGGAGAAATTTGGAAACCCTTATTTGCTGGTGGTATCCATACACTGGGATGTGACGGTCAAAGATGTTAATTCATGTCTCCCGCAGAAAAAAGCAATAGGGAACGCGTTACGCGAGCGCGTGTGACGGGCAAGCAAGCGTGGCTTGCGGTCGATCAATTGACGGAAGTCAATCGGCGAGAAGCAGCACAGTCCGTATGGGAAGTTGGAGCAGTTATGCAATTTAAGCAGCAATTACCCTGCGTCGGCTTATAACCACTTCCCCGCGGGATGAGATGGCATGTGAGTTGCAAGGGGGGTGTACATACACGCTATATATAAACTGTACATAGAGTACAGTACGCTGCATTCAATGGTTTATGACCAATTGACGTACAGTACAAAGATGTTCGCATGGGTTTTCCGCTTGGCCGACGGCGCCCCGACGTGGCTGCTCACATGTGATCTGACAAGCTTGCGGTCAGAAGGGTCTGTCAGCAGTGGATATCTTCTTGCCTGACAATTCGGCGGGACATCTGCTACGGTGGACATCTGAAAGTTACTGTACTGTACCATACATCGTCGTTCCCATCTCTCAGTATTTTCTGCACTCGGTCGACAGTATTACTGTCGAAACCCTCACCCAGCGTTCGTGAGTCATCAGCGACAATTTTTGCCGAACGCGTCCCGGCGGCCAAAGACGAACGGCGGCCAATTGGCAAGTGCATTTCGAGATCCAACCTGCCGCGGCAAAAACTTCTGCGTTTCGCCGGGACGCCCATTCTGCCCTTGCCCTTGTCACCTAGAATTGAGACCTTGGCAGTCAGTCGGTAGTAGTCAAACCAGTGGCACAGGGCTCCTCAAAGCGTCGATCTATATATATTCAGACACAAGGTGAGGAACAGGTTTTGCTTGAGTCATTCTTGGCCTTTTAGGGTGGCAACTGATGGTTTACCATTCGCAGCCGTTTGATATCCGCCGAACAGTCGAATAGAAGCAGTGACCATGTCTACACTGGGATCATATGCAGGACCCTTCGTCAACGATGCCGCACGAGACCTTGCGGACTCGTTGGTGGTGACAGTGAACAGCACCATTGCCTTGGCGTCCAACATGTACAGCGCCATTCCAGGCAGCCGAATTCTTGCGCTGTACGTAAAGTCGTCCTACCAGAACGATCCTTATCGCACCCTCTTGGAAATCGGCCTCGTCATTTTCTTGATCTGGTACTTCGGCGGCAAGAAGTACAAGCCTGGAAAGCAGCACGAGAAGATCATTTTGACGGAGAAGGTTGGTTTGGGAGGCTTCCGCTCGCCTGCAACAGCTGCGGAACTCGAGAGCAACTTCTCACACTTGCTTTACCGTGAATAGGAGATACAAGAGCTGATCGATGAATGGGAGCCGGAGCCGTTGGTCGTTCCACCGACTGAGGCGCAACGATTGGAGTTGGAGAAGATCCCTATCATTAGCGGGTATGCCTTGGAGATCTGGTAAAGCACATTCGAAAGAACAAGGCTGGTTAAAATCGCTTCATCCAGACCCTCAGGCCCGAAAGTCAAGCTTGCGGACGGCAAGGAGAAATTGAATCTTGCGAGTTTCAACTTCCTCGGAGCTATGAACCAGGAATCCACGAAGGAGAAAGCCATCGCAGCTGTTCGGAAGTACGGCGTGGGAACCTGTGGACCTTGTGGCTTCTATGGAACGATCGATGTACACATTGACCTCGAGAAGGAGGTGTCGAGATTCATTGGAGTCGAGGATGCGATTGTGTACTCTCAGGGATTCTCCACCATTGGAAGTGTCATCCCCGCTTTCTCCAAGCGAGGCGACATCATCGTTGCGTAAGTTCCTCCAGCAATACGATCAGGTCTATCTGTATCAGTGGCTCACCTTCTTTCATTCACAGAGACTCTGGCGTCAACTTTGCGGTTCAGAAGGGCATTCAAGTGTCGAGGAGTGTTGTCAAGTACTTTAAACACAATGACATGGAAGACCTGGAGCGAGTCCTGAAGCAGGTCCAGCAAGAGTCTCTGAAGAAGAAAAAGCCTCTTACTCGCCAATTTATCGTCGTTGAAGGACTCTACGTGAACCACGGAGATATCTGCCCACTGCCCAAACTGGTATGGATGACTATGAGTTAGGCTGTTGGTGGTACCATTCCAATGCTGACCTGATATCTTCAACCCTAGATCGAACTGAGGAACAAGTACAAGTACCGCTTGATTGTCGAGGAGAGCATGTCCCTGGGAGTCCTCGGACCACGCGGCGCCGGTGTTTGCGACCACTACGGCATCTCACCCAAAGACGTCGACATGATCACTGCATCCATGGCGAACACCCTGGGGGCTGGCGGTGGTTTCTGCTGCGGATCGAAAGAGATTGTCGAGCATCAACGCCTGAGCGGTCAGGGTTACGTCTTCTCCGCCTCCTTGCCCGCGCTTCTGGCGGTTTCGGCTATGGAGGGCATCAAGCACGTGGAAGCACATCCAGAACTGGTCACGAGGTTGCAAGAGAACTCGGTCCTGATGCGCCAAACGATTCGCAAGGGTGTGCAGAGGGTAGAATGCAGCGGCCCAGACGAGTCACCCGTTCTCCACGTGCGCCTCTCGGACCTCCTCGACCAACCCGTCGATGAACAAGAAAAGGCGCTCCAGGAAGTGGTCGAGGAAGCCATGCGGAACGGTGTCCTCATTACTCGAGCAAAGTACGTCCACGGACAGGAACTCAACGTGCCTTCCCCGAGTATCCGCATAGCCGTCTCTGCCAGCCACTCTCGTAAGGAGGTGGAGAAGTCTGGTAGCGTCGTTGCTGCTGCGATTAAGAAGGTGCTGAAGAGCAGGCGATAGCTGTTCGCTTAAGGCGGGTGGACAAAGGAGGGGATCAGAGGGGTTAGGTCAGATTTTGGGGGTGTGCTGACTTATATAGAGGTGTATTGTTGAAGAATAATGAATTTTCACACATATTCGATGGGTCTGGTGACATGGTGACATGACTCGTCCTGCACCTCTTCCGAACTTTATATACTCGACTTGATGCCTGTGACGGTCAAGACCCGATTCATCCTTGCACTGCCCATCACCTGAAGATCCTGAAGGTCCCTTTCTGGGAACTCCAATTTTGGCCTTCTCCCCGAACTTCGAACTCACTTTGGCGCTGCAGTCGTCAACACAGAATGGCATACGTTCCCCCGCACAAAAGAGCAGCGGCGGCGCAGAGGGAGTCCAAGAAGGACGGCCCTCTTTCCAAGGAAGAAACAGTATCCGGCGAAGAAGGTTCAGCTAGCGAGTATCGTAAGCGTCAGCCGTCGCTGGAGGACATGGACTTTTTCTACCGACACCTGTATACGCACTGCGAGACGCTGCGTCGTCTGCAAACCCTGAAAGAAGAATTTGAGAACGAGCCTACCGTGGAACGCATGTTTCGCAAGAACCGAGCGCATTCCGCTGCTCTCACCGCCGTGCAAAAGGACTCTGATACCGTCGGGCAAGACGGCAGCGAACAGGAGGTCACCTCAAGCCGACCCTCCTCCGCTCCAGACACACGATTCGCCAACCAGTTCAAAGGAGCTATGGAGGAAGTAGCGAAGGGATCGGGTGTGAAGTTGCAGAACGGGGGCGTGAAGCACTTTCTTGACCTTGGATGTGCGCCTGGTGGGTTCAGCAGGTGGGTATTGGAGCAGAACGCGGATGCGCATGGATTGGGCGTCACGCTGCCTCCTGATGTGGGTGGGCTGCCGATGATCCTTGACGGCGTATTGGAGGAGAAGGAGCGGTACCGATGCTTGTATAGGGATGTGACGGACCGGCCGGAGGAGATCTGGTACGAGGACCTGAAGAAGGGCGATGGTGGCGAGGAGGGATCGCCAGAGGCAGCGTGCGACCTTGTGATAGCCGGCTCCATATACAGGGATCAGCACACGGCGGATCCATCACGGACAGGACCGCCGCCAATGCGGGTCCGTGCACGGCAGTTGTTGTCTTTCTCGCAACTACTAGCCGCTATGCAGAATCTAGCGCACGGCGGGACCATGGTCATCGTCTCCAACATCAAGCCGCAGCTGCACAACCTCGAACAGCTCTGCTTCCTCCGCAAACACTTCGACCGGCTCACCCCAGTAAAGCCCACGCAGCTCCACACCATCCGCAGCTCATATTACCTAGTAGCAGCCGGTTTCAACAGGAATGAGGCCGGTTTACAAGCGCTGGACACTCTCCGCCAAGCGCTCGCCCGAGTCCGAGCCGCAGACGATGCGTCGGGTGTGGACTCCCTCCTCCTCCTCGAGGGCAGCGAGGAAGACATCGTGAAACAGTATGCATCTTACGTGACGGACTTTTACGAGCCGCTGTGGTCTAGCCAAGCGCGTGCGATCGAGAGTAAATTGGCGGACTTTAGAGCGCGGGCGAGTGGGTTCTCGTCGTTTTCGTCGTCGCGGCAGCGAAACCATCACTATGATGGGCAACATCAGCGGGATGGGAGGGGATATGGAGCGGCGCCGCATGCGTCGAGGGGCTGGAGAGACGCCCGAGGGCCGAGGGATGAAGCTTTTAGATGAATATGAGCCTAGGTGCGTAGGACTCCTTTGGAGCGAGCGCTTCATGTACGTAGAATGTAGCATATCACTCGTTGAATGAAGTCGACTGCCCACCAAATACTCGTCCGCAAGTCTCAATATAGTTCACATGTGCAGGAGTCTATTGCAACCGTTTGGGTATAAAAATAGTTTACATGACGAAAAGTACCTCGCTCTCAATGTCATACGCGAAGCATCGGAGGGGGAAAGACGGGGTTTTGGTACATTTGAAGGTCCAGGAAGGGAAGCACAATCTATTTACATTTACAAGGGGTTTGCCAGCCCGCCCAAAGAGTGCGGGAATAAATAACAGAGCAAGATACATAAGGTAAGTTGAAGCACGCGCAATGATGAGGGTGGTGAAAGGGTGCGCTTGAACGGCCGCCATCGGTGAAGGTGATATTGCGATGAAGTTTAGGTCGGTGGATGGAGATGGTTGCTAACCCGATGGACGGATAGCGCAAGACCGGAGCTTTAGGTTTGTATTACGTCTTTCTAGATCATTTGCACGAGGAAGAACTGCGAGAGATCTCCTACGGATGCCGGTTGGACGGGGGACGCCTTTGCCTTGAAGCCGACAGCCTTGTCTGGACCCAGACCACCAGGGCTGTTGAGTTGCACGAGCCCATCGGTGGTAATGACGACCGAGTTGTCCGGAAGGTCGAGCTCGAGGGTGTATGTGTACGTGGGTGGCGGGACAACATCGCTCTCAATCGCGAGCTGGCCGAGCGTGACGCCGTCAGAGTTATCCACGGGGAGGATGGTGAGGTGACGACCGGATGGGCAGGGTATGATGCCATTCTCTAGAGCGATGTTGCGCACGGCTGGGACGGCTGATACTGCTTTTGGCTGGAAGGGGCGAAAGGTTGGGACATTGGTGAGTAAACAGTCTCAAGGTGGAGGCGCGTTCATAACGCGTCAAGAAGACAACGACGGCTGCACACATGCATTCTGTGCACAGGCGCTGCTTAGATCAACGACGGTAAAGAGCGATGAGAAGTACATACCCCAATGGCAAGGCACGATAGCAAAGCGAGCACCAAGATCCATGCGGCTGGCAATGTAAAAGCGCGCATTTCGAGTTGGTTGGTTTTGGTGCTTGGAGAGGTGATGCGTGTTCGTACGCAGCGAAAGCAGCGGATGTGACGAGAACGAGAGAGGAGAGCTAGGATTGCAACGTGCTAGATTGGTCGTCAGTTCGAGTTGGGGTAGAGGTGTGCGATGCGTTTTAGCTATGCTTGGGGGGACAAGAAATCAAGAAGCAAGGTGGGCGAAGACAGCTGCAAGAGCTCTTATATATCACGAACGTTGAAGAGGAATTGGAGCAGTCGTGAGAATCCAGGCTTATGGAAGCCTGCGATACCCCTCCTCACTTGAAGCTGTCGGTGGCCAACAAGGGACCTTCGCAATTCCCTTCTTTTTCTGGTCCGGCATTCTTTCAGCAGGACCTTCGGCCGGTGCTTACGGAAGAGCCCACAAAAAGTCATGACATGCAAAAAACAACAACATTACGGGGAACGGGTCTCTGCGAAGAAGAGCCTTCTTCATCTGATGATGATATTGGGAGGACCCTCTTTTAAGAATACACCCGTCAGAAGAAGGGCGCGTCTGACCTGTTGCTTCGGCCGAAGGGGGAGAAGAAGATGAAGAAGGGCGAAGTTCGCGTTGCTTGCGTAAGACGCGTCTCTTCGCTCCTTCGCTCGAGATCGACCGCATTTTGCCACCGCTCCCTCCGTTGCCCTTGCGAGCATGACTCATGGATAGCATCGTCTGTGGTGCTCAGTGCTCACATACTGTATACATATGTAAAAGCGATATGGGCTTCTCAGATTTGCCCAGTCCCCGAATGTCGATGGGCATGGGAAGGAAATAATGTGTGAGTAACTCGGCTCACTACCCATCCTGTTCAACATTTGGAAAGCGTTGCCATTCATGTCAAAACGTGCCGGCTTTCCAACCGCTAAGCCGATCTAGATGCACGCTTGTGCAGTACAAAGCAGACAGGGCTTGTCAGGCCTGTGACACTTGTGCACCCAAATCCCATAAAATGCTGGTTATGGAGCCGATAAACACCTCCGCCGCTTCCCGCATTGCTCTTCCCGGACAACGGCAGAACATCAAATGTCAGTGCGATTCGTGGTAGGGTCGCCAGAGGGTTAAGCGTGCCCAAGAATAGGTTTTCCAGGGAATCGGCCCGTCAATCTGCAAACGCCGATCCGTCTGTGCGCGCGCCTGTGCATTTTTGGGCTTTTGTGGAGTTCCAGCCCAGGTTCCAGCCTTTTTCCTCCCGCAAAAGCAAGCCATAAAAGCCTCGGCCAAGAAATGGCTCGCTGTCAACACAAAACAGGATATCCTGACCTGACCTGCCACCGGTATCGTTATAGCTCGAGCTAAAAGTTACTTTCGCTTGGGGGCCCTATTGCGAGGCTGACAGGCACTTCGCCTGCCTCAAACTGTGAGAATCTTGAACACCCCCACCCCTCCAACGAAGAGTAACCTCACGACCATGGCGGGCACAACGGTTGCCTACTGCACGTTCGAAGGCTGGAGACAAATGATCTCCTCCCTCATAGCCTTCGTCCTCTTCCGACACATCTTTCTCCGTATCACATTACGCCAGCAGCCTGCCACCAAACACCTCCCACCAAAGACGCAAACCCTCCTCGCCAACCACCTCGCCTCCTTCCTCCACGCCGTCTGCTCCTCCTACCTCGTTCTCTCCACTTTCGCCTCCCACCCAGACCTCTTGACAGATTTGCAGGGTCTGAAGGCCAACCACTGGGCGCTGGCTGCGTCACGGACGACTGTGGCTTTTTCGGCGGGGTATTTCATCGCCGATTGCTGGGATATGGCCGTGACGGGGGTGTATGGCCGCAATCTGGGGATATGGGCGCATCACATCGTCACGGTGGTGTGCTACTCCGCGGCGCTGCATAAGTGCGCTCTGACACCCTACTTGGTTTTGACGCTACTCGTGGAGTTCAACTCCATTTTCATACACGTGCGCAAGATCTTGGTCTTGTTCTACAACGGGTTCGATCACCTGCCGGCCACGGCCGCTACGGCGTACAAGTTTGCCACGGCGGGTCTGTCAGCGACGTATGTCCCGACCCGCATCCTGGCGAATTTGTACATCACGTACCAGGTCGGCATCCAGGACCGACCGAACTGGGCGTTCCCAGCTTATACCTGGTGGATGGCTTTCTTGGGGATGGTCCTCGTGAACTACTACAATGTCATCCTGTGGAAGCAATTGCGAAGTACATTGCGGAAGGAGAAGGTGGCTTTGGCCCTGGCCAGTATCAAGAAGGACGATGACGCCACGGCTGATGCTCCACAAGGTGCAGTTGCTGAAGCCGAGGGCAACGACGCTGGGGAGTTCTTGAGTTAGTCTAGTAATCAGATGGTAGCTCTTCCGCCATTTACTTAGTTGTGTATCATATCCTTTCAAGTAGATATTCTGCAGTTTCTTTCACATGTCTTTGACAGCGTGCCGCCATCCAAACAAGATTCCGAAGGTGCATCGCTCATTGAAGCCAGCAGACGTTGTTTTTCATGTTTTCTATTAGCACAAATGACATGACAAGTCGACAGCCATATATGCAAAGGCCGATTATCATACATCCGCAGACACTTAAGCCTTGTCTCCAAGCTTCTTGGTACCGCGGATAAGACCAGTACGACGGGCAGCAATGAGACCAACTTTTTGACCTGGGGGAGCGCTGCGCTTGACAGTGGAAGCGTGACCAATGTGCTGGTGGTTACCACCTCCGTGGGGGTGATCAACCGGGTTCATAGCCACACCACGAGTACGGGGCCAGCTGTTTCTCTTGACCTTGTACTTGTGGAAGGCACGACCAGCCTTGAGCAAGGGCTTGTCGACGATACCACCGGCGGCGACGATACCGACGGCGGCACGGCAGCCAGAGTCGAGAACCTTTTTGGCGCCAGAAGGGAGCTTGACACGGGTCTTGCCGTCGTCAGCGTTGTGACCGATGACGGTGGCGTAGTTACCGGCGCAACGAGCAATGGCACCACGGTCACCGACCTTCTCCTCCATGTTGCAAACGATGGTACCCTCGGGCATGGAGCCAAGAGGGAGAACGTTTCCAACGGTCAAGGCAGCTATTCAGAGGAAAGAAATTTGCGACATAAGTTTCTGACGCTGACATGACATCCGATCTAACATATATCAAACTCACCCTTCTTTCCGCAGTAGATGAACTGGCCAGTGAACATGCCTTCGGTGGCGACGAAGATCTCCTCACGCTGCTTGAAGCGGTAAGGGTCACGGAAGACAACCTTGGCGAGAGGGGCACCACGTCCAGGGTCGTGGATGATCTCCTTCACGAGACCACGGATGTAACCATGCCTGGTGGAGACAAAGTAGATAATCGTAAGCACTTTCGAAAGCAAACCGGACAACTCAGATTTCCTGACCCACATACCTCTCAGCGAAGTCTTGGGAACGGTGCTTGGCAGCGCCCTTGCGGTGCTTGGTGTGGGATTTGAAAATACCACCAGCACCTTTCCTTTGAGCACGGATAACACGACCCATTTTGTCTTATCGAAGTGGAAGTACAGTTGGCTAAGAAAAAAACGAGGGGGAGCAAGGGCGCGTTAGCGCTCTCGTGTCACGGACCATCCTGCCGTGCCAGATCGGTGAAACTCTCCCAACCCTCTTGTGAATAGGTCATTGTCAAAACCGTGATGAAAAGGGCTCCTCGGCATGCCAGGCCCGACGGTTGACTCGCTATTCAGGGTTATATCTATCGATAGCGCTCGTTCACAGCACTGGAGGCGTTACTCGAAGGCGTACGCCTGGGACCGTTCGTAACGACCAGCCGCCCAGCCCCTCTCTAGCCATCCCCAACGCTCGCCACAGATGACATTCCGTCGCGATCGTCTCGACCTCCCCAGCTGTGTCTATGCGAGTCCGAGCCGGTCCAGGACGGGATGGGATTGGTGACTTTGAGAATGACCATCGCACATTCACCCGACGACATGGGCGGTGCTACTGAAGTCCCGGAGCACCATTGACAATGGATCCGTTCGTTCCAGCTAGAGATGGGGTGTGCACCCTGGTCTACTGTTCTCGCATTCGCTCGCATGTTGCAAAGTCTAGTCATTGGCTGTCGTCGTTCCAAATTCCAACCCATCCTTCTCGGTCGAACTGCACATGCACCCATCCATCGATCCATCCATCCATCTGCGCATCCCTCTCCTCTGCCCTCGTTCGCCGTAAGGGATGCCGGAATGCTGCTTGCGTAAGGTATCGAGTCTCACCTGCTTCCTGTTGAGATCACCACTTGAATGTGATATTTACTCTCTTGTCGATTCAAACCTTCGATTTCCACAGCGTCCTTTGTGGGGGAATAATCTCGCTGGATTACACGTGACAACGCAATTAAGTTCGAGGCTTCAAGTTCCAATTCTGAACTCGGTTTTGACAACGGCAAACCAAGCAAGTGATACCTTCCAATTTACATTTGTATTGTACAGTATCTTACCGAAGGCAACCGCAATGCAGTTGAGAAATCGAAAGAGGACCACCGTCGAAGAGCGGGAACAGGTGGAGGAGCGGGAAGAATCGCCAGCAGGAGTAGAAGCAGCAGAAGCAGAGGAGTCATCACAGTCAACCGACGAGACACCCATCGAAGAGGCGGTGGAAGAGACGAAGGCCACGGAGGAGCAATATGACTCTGACGAGATTGCGTACTCCTCTGACGAAGAAGAGGAGGAGAATGAAGAAGCCGAGGCGGAGCCTGAGGCTGTTTCGGTCGCCGCCGCTCGTGAACGCGCTTTGAATGCCGCTGCTGCAGCCAAGGAACTGGAGAAGAAGTATGTGCAATTTGCTTTCAGCCTTATCTTGCGACCGTTTCATTCACGCTCAATCCCTTCCATAGGCAAAAGACTGAGGAGCGAAAGAAGCGTCGGGATATAAACGAACGCCTCGCAGCGCAACAAACAGAAAAGAAATCGAAACTGGCGGAGCGAATCACACGGCTGCCGGACGAGCTGTTGAAAGCTGCGGAGGAGTTGGACGAGGCGGAGGAGGAGATTAAAGCAACCGCGCAAAAGTCTTTGGGAAAGCACACGCGGCTAAGTGGGGACGACGATGGTGCAGGGTCACGAAAAAAGTCAAAGAAGAAGGATGGCAGACCTGGCGAGTTCTCGATAGATGGATTTAGAGTTGTAGCGCGGAACGCCGCTCCGGAGCCTCCCGCTGCAGATCCGGCAACGCTTACTTTCAGGAGAGACAGGCTGATGAATGGCAGGGTGAAGCGAACCGATGGTACGTGATGGCTTCCTGGGCTTCCTCGATCTCGACGTCGAGGCGTCAATCGCTAACCTCGCCTTCCTCATGCAGCCGTCAGAGCGATGTCAGCACGCAAGCGGAACGGACCGGCTCCATTCTTTGTTCGTACATAGACAGAAGCACCTCTGCGTAGATCCGTAGACTCCATCCCATTATTTAAGGGGCTTGCCTAGCCCACCAGCAACTCTTTTCTATTCACTTTTGGCATCGTCAACGCAATATACCACCGTATTACCAGAGTTTCGCCCCAAGAGCCAGTCAATGTCCGGTGATATAGGGTAGGGGGTGGATCCGACAGCCTTTATCTTTGCATTCTTTGCGTGCCAGGTCGTGACTCGTGCTGTCATCAATAATCGCGTGTGTCACGCAACCCCCGTTCTGGATTCTACTGTACTGTAGTTGCGCAGACTTCCCTCAACCCAACCAGAAACAGACTGCGTTCGCCTGCGATTCGCAAAACCAACTACGAACACAAGCACTTCAACGAGCTAACCTGATATAGCGGCAACCAGTGTGCAGAAGAGAGAGTCAGCCTGAAAACAGACACCAAAGCGCCTTAGAGCCGTCGCATTCGGCGCAATGGAAGTGTCCGGATACCCAAGTTACACCTCGGAGGCTGGCCACGCAATGGCCGAGGTACCAAAGGAGGTTTGGGCTCTGGTCTTCACGGTAAGCACCTGAGGGAACCCGTTTGAAACCCGTATAGACGCCTTTCATTGCGAGCTCGAAATTCGTCTGAGGCCAAGGTGCCATTGTTTCCGTCTGAACATGTCCTCAACATTTCCCACAGTTCGTCGAGGACGTCGACCTCCAGACCCTTGCTCGAGTCTGCCGCCTGTTCCATATACTCGCGACGGACCGTATCCTTTGGAAAATCTATCTGGCATCCCGTAACCGTCGCCGAGTCTCTTCCCGCCTTTTCCACATGCCCCAACGACCCTCTCGTCGAGACTTGGTAGCTCTGAACATTCTGCGTACCACCCCTTTCCGAGAGAACAACGGAACAACCTACGTGAACAGCCCGGTCCGTGTGGCCCACTGGGTAGCGCAGCAATCGATCCGCAAGTTGTTCATCTACAAGTCGTTGGGGAAGTCATTGAGGGACCGGCCGTCAGTCGAGGAGTTGGCTTTGAGGAACGTTATTCCCATGGCGGATGTGAGATGCCAAGGCACTGTGAGCAGGTCAGGGTCGGATGTGGGGGACGGACTGGGCGCCCCCTGCTCGCCGAAGTTGATGACCAGGGCACTCAAGTTGAACAAAGCGCTGAAGGAGGACAAGTTGAGAAAGTCGCTGCGGAGCAGGATCACCGTCGAGGACCTTAGGAAGATGGGCGTGGCCAAAAGTGGGTTCACACATGCACCGTTCTAGAGCTCCTTGCACCAAGTACTGATCTTTTTACCTTCCTGCAGCCCACCAAGTTATGAAGTACTGCGCGTACCATCCCACTATGCTCGCCACCCAGGTCGAGCTGGACAAACGCCTTACCTCATCTCGCATCTTCACATCCCTGAACCACCGGCCCACGGTCGAATCTCTGGAATGCATGAAAGTACTGCGTACGAGCCCTACCACAGCTGCCATGCTCTGTCCCAACATTAAGCCAAAGTTGCGGTTCTTTGAGGATCTGAGCGCTTGCTCGGCTGTTAGCGCTGAAGTCGCTTGAACTCGGCCACTCTCTTTGTGCTGAAGGCTGCCTCTCGATTGAGAACAGGAGCCATATTGGAATCCACCCTTTCTCTGTCGCATACTTTTGTAGTCCCCTCCTCCCTTTATCCGCTGTATATACTCTAGCTTTCCCCTTTTGCTTCTCGGTAGGCGTTTATTCTGTACATTTTGGTAGATTCCTCGGCTCCCTCCTCATTTTTTTTGTAGATCACTCATTGAACGAAGCTTTTCATTACTTGCTCCCCGCTTCTTGGTCTCCTCCAGCAGCCGGTAGAATGCATTCGGCTTTGAGGTTTGAAGTTCTGCTAACTCTCCACATCCAGTCCCACCCACGTATCATTGCATCCCCCTGCAAATTCAATTCAATTTCCGCTGTGGCGACCCTTGAAGTTGGGGAGAGCAAAAGACGAGGCTTCTAATCGAAGCTTGCATATAAAAAGAAGTTCGGAGACCAGGCCTCGTCTCTCTCCCGGGGGCTTTCCCACCCGTGTGGCATAAATCCAACACCGGTAAAATGTTAGGTATGGACCTGGATCTGGACTTGGGTATTGTGGTTGTGTTTGTCATGTGGACCCCCTCTGACTATATGTTTTTCTTCGTAGAAACATGGGGTCCATAAAAGCTTAGGCTAGATGTTTTTGGACGACAAATGCGAGAAGCTACTCAGAGAACGAGGCCAAATCCTACGTCCAAAAGACATTCCTAGCATACAAAACTACAATCACGAGGTCCCAAGGTCCAGCGCCAATCTCCCAAGCGAGCTAATTCCAAGCAATGGCAGAATAGAATGAAAACTGACAGCTTTGACTCAACTAGTGATCAAGGATCCTGAGGTTGCCGGATACGACCTTATCGTTCAAGATGGAACCTGACGGAACGTCGATGCGAGATCCTTGGTTTGCCACAATGATGACGGTGCCTGTATGCGAGAAACCATCAGCTCTGTGACCCATGACTGCATGGCCTTCGCCTGAACCGGTACATACCTTCCAGCACGACGTCGTGTCCGAACGTGACATCGCCCGTCACAGTCAAGTGGTCAAGACCAAGAATGTGCGGTATTGTTTGGAAGCGTTGCGAGAAGTGTTGAACCTACATGTACGGAAAAGGTTTCAATATCGACTACATAGTTCCTAGTAACAGATCCATCTCACCTTCTTGAAGTGGTCGCCGAGTTTGATAAGTGGGACTGTGTTGAACATCCGAGCCGGGTTGATGCGTAGTTCTCCGTGCTCCAACTTGTACAGGTCGGACATCACAAGGAGAAGATCCGAAGTGCTTTTGACAGGCAAGAAACGGCTACGGGGAACATTCACTCCGTGTGCGCCATCGAAGTGCTTGATCGCAGCTCCGACAGCAGTCTCCAATTGGATCACTTTCTCGCCGTTCGCGTCCGTCTTGTTGTTTACGATGATCTCCATGTTCAGAGCATCCGCGTCAACGAGTTTCCTTATCGCTTTCAAAGAAATCCACAGGTTGTTGGTGTTGAAGATCTATCGAACGAGATGATGAGACCAAATATACCAAGCATGGGCACCTTCGCACGTAGCAAAGTCCGTACCTGGAACTTCTTGATAGACTTGAAGTCATCAACGTACGCTGATGGCACTTGAGCGATTTCCAGGAGTCGGACTGATCCGTCGTAATCAATGATGGTTCCTCCCTTCACATCAGCCTTGGTCTTGTCGGTTACTTCCATGATGAACGCAGCCTTCGAGTCAACGAAGTGCTTCAAAATGGCTAGCATTCGATTGACTATAAGCGAAAATGCACAAGCGGGTCGATACAGCACATATCAACTCACTGGTGTCAACGGTAGCTCCCAAATTATCAACGTTCGACACGAACAGGTATTCCTTTCCTTGCGCAAGCAGTTGATCGAGGAGACCGGAGTTCGCCAGAGCTTCGAAGAGATCTCCGTGTCCTGGGGGGTACCAGTCCCCAGACTTTCCTTCCGGCGTCTTGGGCATGGGCAGCAGAGAGTCCTTCGAAATACGAGGGAATCGGCTCTGGTTGAAAGTGAGGATGTTGATTTTGTGACCCTTGTACTTTTGGATGATACGGTGTGTGTCTTCATCAGTGTTGAAGGAGTTCATGAGGATCAATGGCACGTCGACATTGTTTTGGCTGTTCAGGTACTGTCATACAATTGAAGTCAGCTCCAGAATGTAACGCTACGGTTCGCGGACTATTAAGCTCACCTCAATTTGGCGAACGGTCAAATCAAGGAAGGTCATGCCATCCCTCACTTCGATAGCACTAGAAAAATTGGGCGGACATGTGAGCATCAAAAGGAAAGCAGCTGGTCTGCTACTTGGAAGCGTTACCTTTTGGGACCAACGCATCCCATGGTGGTTCCAAGACCTCCGTTCAACTTCAAAACGGCCAACTTTCCGAGAATATCAGATTTCTGCGACGACGCAGCCGCTTCCAGCTCTTTGTAGCTTTTGATCTACATAAAACATTATGTATGAGGTGAGTCTCTTCCCCAGTATTTCTACAGAAAGGCATAAACGCACCATGTGGGGTGCGGGCGACTTGACATCGTTCCAGTTGCTGTATTATCCCCGAAATGCGAATGTTAGCCTTTGCAAACGGAGTGGATCGTCAAATCAACTTATGCAACATACAGAGTCTGCGACTTGGTCTTTTGCGCAAGGTACCGAGTGAATAGCGAGTAGAAGCCATCCATTTCGAGCGCAAATGCCTGAATGACAGAAAGATGAGGAAAGGGATCTCTCCAACAGAATGACTGGGCGCTGAGCATACCGAGCGCTGGGGACCTTCTGGGACCATATCAACGATCCGGTTCAGCTCGTTTCGCATGCTCTGGAAGGCAAACGGTCATGAGATTGATTGAGAGTGGGAAACGATTTTGCAAAAAGCTGAGCGCACTCACAGCTGCCGCGATGTTGGAAGATGTTTCTTGGAATCCCTAGTAAACAGACGTACCTTCGTAAGCCTCCACACTTTGCGCAGATCCCGAACCATCTACAGAGAAGCTCAGCAAGGTCCCGTCAAGCTCACCATCAAAGACAGAGCGCGGTTATGCTCAATGGCCGCCCTGGCTCGCAAATCCGTTGGGCTAGAAGGCTCCTCCGCAGCCGAAAGAGGGTTCTTGCCCGTGGAGATGGGGGCGGACGCGACGGGGATGTTCAGTTTGGGAGCGCTCATGGTGGGCGTATGATGCAGTATGTGTGCGATCGTGTGGGTATGTGGGCAAACTGGAAAGACTTGAGCTACTATACGCTTCAGGATGAGCCAAGATTGGACGATGGCGAGTTGGAGCGAGTTCCGGTGGACGATGGGGAGGCTGATACTGTTTCCGAGGATTGATCTCGAGAGTTGATGAGTGGAATGTGTGGGAGCCACGCGCCCGTTAGTATTTATTCTGGTCATCGATGTTGCGTCATAGACCCAAATTCAGGTTTGCCCGGCGGGGTTAGGGTTACCGTGAACTTTGACGCTTTGTGGCTTCACTGCTGCGTAGGGCCATTTCCGTCAGGATACCCGCAATATGGGAGTCGCGGGATGGTTATACAGTATAGAACTCCATTAGTCAAATCGAAAATCTGGCTATGTACAAGAACAGACTATGTGCGGACTTCGTGATATCAGAGCTTCGCCCAAGCAGGCCACCTGGAACCTCCTGTTGGACTCGGTTGATTCTCCTTCACGATCAGAACTGGACATCGGGCCTTGTGAGCCACATCATCGCTAGTAGAGCCCAGAATGATGCTGTTTGAAAGTATGAGTGGGACGTGCGATATTAATGGGTAGGCTTCAGAAACAGGTCACCATACCGCTTCAGGCCCGGGAGGTTGCGACTGCCAATGACTAGCATGGTCGCTCTGACGGTATCGCAAATTTCGACAATCGTGTTATGGACTCCGCTGGATCCGACAACTGGCCGTGTTACCACGGTGATTTGCTGAAGCATTGAAAGATGCGTCCTTAGCTCCTTGCACACGGGCAGTACGTATACACAGACTTCTTGCTTGGCATACCTCGTTATTTGCGAATCGGTGCTTTACAATCTCTTCTGCTCGACGAAGCAGTTCTGTGGCTTGCTGTTCTGCAGCCTTCGACGAGACATCAACATGTGTGAGCCTCTCTCTATTACTCGCCAAGGCCAAGGCTGGAGTGTATGGAAAAGTACCTGCTTCCCATCGGCCTCTCTTGACCCCGTAGCCAATTCGTCCACGTCCGCCCACTCCAAGGTATCCGTGACTCCCACGCTCAGAAGAACCAGTTTGTCCCCCTGACGCACGACATTGTCAAGAGCATACGACAGTGCCTGGGCAGCGGTGGGAGTGTGGTCCAGGGCTGAAGGGTGATAGTGATTCACTCAGACTGTCTTGCCGCCAGTGGGTGATAAAGAGACCCCAGCCCTCACCTACAACAATGACTCGAGATGGCGCCGAGCTGGTCATGACGCGGTGAAGTATCTTTGGCTTGCAAAGTGAGGTATGCTGCGGGAAGGAAGACGCAGTCGCTGTAAACTAAACGGTTTTATGGACTTTATTCAAATCTCAAGCTGGCCCGTGATCGTTGGCTTTTGAGAAGGTTGCGTGTAAAATGAACTCGGAGGTAACAAATTGACAGCAACGCGCTCACGTAATAGGTCCCGAACGTCGCCACTTTTCCTGGTTCTTCTTATGACAGCGTTGGCCTACAAAGCCCTGTTCAACCTCGGTTAACGAAAATCTATAAGATGCTTGCAACTGAGAGTCCGCAACCACCGCCCTTGCCCGGGACGGCCGGTAGGACGCAGCCGGTGACGCCTGGCAAGCAGGAAGCCTACTCGTTCGCTTCCGCGCCGCGGGCCGTTCAGGCGCCACGAAAGAAGTATAGGGATCCGAACGAGGGAGATGAGAAGTTCGTGTATGTAGGATTGAGCCTGGCTGGTCTTCATCGCAGTGGTGGGACGTTTGAACTGATAAGCGTCTCTCTCCACGCAGGCCGCAAAATATCATGTATGATCGTCGAATCTATAGAGGCAGTACATATGCACCACCAACCTTACCCATTGTAAGCAAAGCTGCATCAGAGTGGAGCTCGTGCATGTGAACGCCGTTAATGGACTGGAAAATTACAGAACAATCAACCCGACCCGGTTGCCCTGGAGCGGCAGAACGACATCAAACGCCGCCTACGAGCAAAACGACGAGCGGAAGCACAACGCCGAGTTCGCACCCCAGACCCAGTCCCAGGGCGCAGACACCAGGACATACAGACCGAATTGTACCTTGAGGAGCTCACAGACAAGGTCCCAGAGGCATACGCAGCGACTCAGACAGATGCGTTTCTGGACCGAGCGCCAAGTCCATTGTTCATTCCCATGAAGAGCGGCTTGGATGTGGCGACCCAGGTGTATGAAGGGGAACTGTTTGACTTTGATTATGAGGTCAAGCCTATCTTGGAGGTGCTTGTTGGGAAAACGATTGAGCAGGCGCTGATGGAGGTTCATGAGGAGGAGGAATTGGAGGCGCTGAGGAAACATCAGGTTCGGCTTCATTTGGAGCTCTTTGGGGAGGACATTTCGACCCAGTTGACATTTCTACCCAGGCCGAGTTCGAGGCGCGCCGAGCAGCGGAGAACGCGGAGGTTCAAAGGTTGGAGGATGCCGAACGCCGACGTTCGGAAGAGAAGGAGCGCCGATTAGCAGAACAGATCCGCATCCTCAAGGAGAAGCAGGAGGCAGCAGAGAAAATTGCGGCCAGGGCCTTTGCACAATCGTACCTCCAAAACCTCATGCCAAGTGTATACCAGAGCTTAACGACCAGCGGATACTTCTACGATGCCGTAGAGCGAGAAGTGGACACGCAGTTCTTGCCATGGTTGACTGGAGAAGTTCAGAAGAATCTGAAGAAGCGGGCGACGGCCCAATGGATAGTGGACGGTACAGTGGGAATATGCCTATTCAAGTCTCCTCAGCCAGCTACTGAGCCTATTTTCTCTCCCCACAGACTTGCTACGCAATACCGTTCGAAGGATGGAAGCTTGAATCTGAGTCCAAACCACCAAATGCCCCCATTCAAAAGGTGTCGTTGGGCCAATGAGGGATGGCATGCAATGGAACGATCGTATCCAGAGGATTGGAGGTGTTATCGTGCAGCCGATAATGGGACTCGAGGGATACGTGAACGATTTTTAGATATAGTGGCCATTTACCGACCTGTCTTGCACAGGTTCCTCTTTTTAATGAGAACCGGGTGGAATGTGGGAACCGTCCGAATTCCGTAATTCCCTTGATATTAGTGTCGACTATGAGCGAGCTTCTTACAGGTCTGTATTGGAAAGTGAGAACACAAGATGGACGTCACCCGTCTCTGGTGCAGCACCTTCCGCGTTCCGCTCTACGAGTATATACACCTGCTTTGTCGGCCCTGGTTTGAGGAGACCTGTGGTTGTCGGCCTGATATCGCGATTCAAACGTGCCTCCTGTGGGACCGATTGTGAGGATCGGGACCAATGGGCCAATGCTGGGGCCATTGGTCCAAAGTCTCCCGCTTCTCCCGCGTTCTCGTTCTGTTTGTTCCCCGTGTTTGACCCAGTGTTGCCCAGTGTTCGACCCAACAACTCCCACACAGCAATTCTTCAATTTTGCAATCCCACCCACAACCGCTTCAACAACCTTGACGCCTTTCTCAAGAACTCTAATACAACAATGGCTGGGGAAAAGACACAGGAGATCATGGACCAGATCCGCAGGGAGGTTGCTATGCAGAACTTTCAAGAATTACTATCGGTGAGTACCCAAGGACGACCGAGTGCACCCGTGGAGCCCTGGCTGAAACCGGTCCGCATCCTGTAGCAAATAAACAAGAAGTGCTTCGCAAAGTGTGTACCCAAGCCCGGAGCAAAGTTAGATAGCTCCGAGCAGGTAAGCAGGCGTACAACCGAACTCCCGAATGAAAGTCGATCCTCCCGTGTGATGAGTGCTTAACTACTTTTTTTTCCAGACTTGCTTGCAACGGTGTTCCGACAGGTATCAGGAGGCTTGGAACGTCGTCAGCAATGCTTACCTGAGGAGGGCACAGAAGGAGAATGCCTTGTAAATCGTCAACCCCGAGAAACAGCACATAGACTTATCCCCACCAGATTCACCATCCATAGAGTTCACCATCGTCCCCGACCTGTCGCCACCATAAATCAGGGCTCACTACATAGGGAGAACAGCGAGGCGTAGGAGCGAACGTTTTCAACTTGAAGAGAGCTTTCAGACAAAAACACGATCGTTGTGCAGATTTCAAATCAGGGATTTTGGACACTTGACTCGCGATTGGATGGAACGGACGAATATATGATGTGTAGGCGCTCGGCGCCTGTAGGGCTGAGATATAGGGACGAACAGCAGAACCCTTAGCTTATTTAAGGCAAGATAACTCTGGGACGCGCGACGGAAAGGGCTGGAGAAAGAGGTTATGGAAAGAGGTTATGGAAAAAGAGATCGGTCTGATGCCGAAGTGGGGTCGGCAGTGCTCAATGGATGCTCTTGAGGTGGAACTGACATTTGTCCATTCGATGAGGGTGAGATGCTTCGGGTCCACCCGAATCCCTGATTCCTAGCACATCCCATGCCTTTCTTACTCTCCTGCCTGAGGTGTCGTCACACATGGCGCCGTAACAACGATATGCATTATGCACGCCTTTGTGAAAACAGGGTATAGCTGGCTCTTCATAGATGAACCAATTTGCGTACGTACAGTATAGTACGTCAAGTTGGAAACTGCAAGATGTTGGCGAACCGAGACTACTGTCAAAAAACTATCAAAAAGCCATCGAAAGGCGCTGCGCACCTCGAAAAAGGTCCAGACCTCGCACATGGCGGAAACTCCCAGAAAAATGAGCGAGGATCTCGACGACATACGGGCAAAAGCGGAGGTGTCCGTAGGCTTGGTCCGCAAGCTCGTCTCCGGCTGGCTTCCAAAAGAGCCTGCACACGAGAAGAACAAACACCACAGCGAGACGAAACGGTGGGTGCGTCAGGGCTGCTGGCTTTTCACTAAGAGCAAAGCACATGCCTGACCAGAATTGGCATTCAAACAGGCCGCAAGCTCTGTATGCCGCTGACCCGGCACAGTCGACTCGCAATGCTCAGTTGAAGAGAAAACTAATCGGTACGCCTCACGCACTGGCGATAAATGGGCAACCGGCACCTGAGGAAGGAGACCTGGCTGTGGAGAAAGCCGAGAAGAAAAGGTTGGTCTCGCAGCAATGATGGGGTGGAGGGGGTTCTGCGTTCCTCATTCTCTAGAAGCAGGAGACGCCGATGACGACGACGAAAAAGAACATAAGCTGCGCAAAGTCGCTAGCACCTCGAAGGTCATTCAGAAGCCAAAGGATCCCATGGTGGCCTATCTGAGTGCGAGTAAGAAAAAGAAAAAGAGCAGAAAAGGGAAAGCCGAAGCTAGCGCTGTTCAGTAGGAGCCAGGGGGACCCTTCACTACACCACGAGACGTTGGCAGGCAACCATGCTACTGGCATTGGAAGGAAGCCAGGTTCAAAAGGAAAAAGGAAGGGTCCTCAAAGGCGACCCCGCGATCACGGCAAAACAATATCGATGTGCGATGATTATGCTACAAAACGTGTGGAAACCGCCTCCTCTTGGTCGGAGTGTGTAGGGGCTATCTAAGGCACAATCGTTGAAGACTATACGCCGCGACGCCCGACGTAAGGCCGGTGCACCCACCTCAGATGGATGGTGCCAAAAGTGAGTCTTTCTTTGGGTGACAGGGAACCTCTGACGCCCGCCTATTCCTTCGACGACATATCTGGAGCCATACTTGGTTCTGTTTGGATGGCAAGTGGCGGTTCCATAGGTTCCTTTTTCGTGAATGGTAGTCGCGTTTGAGTATCTGAATCAGTGATAGGTGCTACTAGGCGAATCCAGCTGCTCAAAGTGACAAGTTCGTGCTTCGCCTATGGGAGAACATACGTTGTTTGAAAATTAGATACTAGACGTTGTGACGGCAGTAAAATGGTCAGAAGAATGTACCTCTGAGCGCTCAATATATGATGCCCGTGGGTCAGCAATGTTTCCAAATATCAACCTCAAACGTTTTGCAATCTCGTTTGCCATTTTCTGCCGATTACAGGAGGAAATTGGGTTGAGCAGTTTGTTTACTTGCGCCAAAACCGTTGTGCGCATCTACCTTATCCTTCTGTAAGTCGTCCACTGATCCCAGAGCGATCCCCAGTATCTTGACCGCCATCGTCATCTTCACATAATCCTCAGGCAACCCCGACTGTTTGAAGCGCGAAGCTGAAAACTCATCCCTTTGCATGGCGTTCCATATGCATTTCAGTCTATGGGAGGTATCCGCTTTCCCCGTCCTGCAGTCGCTGCATGGTTCCTCTGAGCCATGTTGCTCAACAAAACTGGTTGCCAAACGTAATCTGAGCTCCCATGCCGCAGGCGATGTGGCTGCTGCCCATTTGAGAGCCTCCAGAATGTGATGCTGCTCGAAAACGTCCTGTTTCGTTGTGTCCAGCATATGTTCTATGATGTCGGTCGATAGGGTTTCCCAGTCGTTCGATCGTTTCAACGCATCGCAAAGCTGGGCGATGCATGTTCCGATGGTCTCCAAGCAAGTGCGCCCAAGCCGATAGTCTAATGATAGCAGGAGTGCTACGCGGATGTAATATGGGAGTTCGGTGGTAGACCCCGCCAAAACCCTGAAGTAGTCTTACGCGTCAGCAAGAGGGCGGACACGATTTTTCAATTGGAGAACTACGCACCCCTTGCTTGCCAGATCGCCTAGCATGACCATTGCGTTGGAAAAGCCGTGCGTCGCAACAGGTACCGTGTCAGCCGTGTCCTCCGACACTTCCTCCCTCCAGTCCGTCAATGAGATGGGACGTTTCCCGTCGGGGATTTCGGCGGGACACCCCAAATCTTCTTGCAGAAGGCTGGTGAATGTGGGTCTAAGCAGGGTCAGATCGAATACCTGAGAAGGAATACATGAGGTTATACTCTCAATTAGAGATAAATGGTGCTACTACCTTAACCGAGATTTGCAGGAACTGACGCATCGACATGTTTGCAACGACGACATCGTTATCCAATATTGCTGCGGGCGTTTGAGAATGGCCACTTAGCTAATGAGGGACACGATGTCAGTCTCCGACCCGAGCCATACCTATTGCAAACAGCCAGCACAACAGAGCCTCTCGGAGAGATTCGGATTCCGCTGCCATCCGTGAGAATGCATTTGTGCGAAGAAGGGATACTGCTCGTCTTCTATCTGAATGACACTTATTAGCTGCGCAAACCACTAACTTTTCACTCATGTCGAGTGCATACGAACCAGTAACCGGCTCAAGGACTCTTGGTGGCAAGGAAAATTCGCGAGGGTTCCACTTTCTGGGGCTGGATTTCTGAGGGGAATCATGATTACCCAATGCATCACACGCAAGAGATCAGAGGGGCGTAAGTCGCCTACCTTTGGTCTCAGAATGCGTAACCGATGAGCCCGTTTGACATGTGGCAGTGGTTTCAAGATCTTTGGGTGGGAAGATGCTAGACACTTGCTGTTGAGGCAGCGAAAAGAGTAACGCGTAACCTACGTCTTTCATCACTTCTTTCGTCTCATCCGACAAGATCTCCCCAGAGACTGCGGGGATATTGTCTTCCCCTACAGACCCATCAGTCTCCCGTTTCACAACCTAGAAGAAAAGTCTAAATAAGCAACAGCATGCGCAGGTAACGTCCAGGTGCGGCCGTCGTACTTGTTCGATGGCAATCTCAAGATTCTTTTGCTGTTCGCGTCTCTTGTCCAGCTTTCTTTTGTCGGCAAGCAGTTTGTCCATAGTAAACATAGGCTTCTTCTTGAAGCCACTTCCAACTCCACTTCCTGCCCCAATCCTGCCGCCGCCCCTCAACTTGCTCAGTAAGGCTGCGGGGGAGTCATCCCCACTATCTAGTGCAGGGTCATCTTCCAAAGGATCGAGCGGTGGCGGAGCATAGCTGACCGACTTTTTCGCACGCGTGGATCGACGCGCGGAAGAGCTTTAGGGATGAAAGAATCAGCCACGGGCGGACCGGATGGAAAGCAAACAACGCCGATTCACCTTCCGGGTACAGATTTCATCCAATCGCTAAATTCATGGTCAGACAGGGCGTCATCATCCGATACGGCATTCGGGTCCGCGGTCCGTGGCGCATTTGCAATCGTAGAGGTAGCTCGTACGGGCGTTTCGAGGATTGGGTCCACTTTGCCCTCCTTTGTCGCTGTAGTTGCTTGAGCCCGGCTGGAGCTTGCTCTTCGTGGTGGTGATACTATTTCTACTTCTATTTTCACTCTCTTTGGCTGCCTGTACCCATCATCAATGGATTTGTTGCGTTTTAAGCCAGGGGTCCGCGCATTTCCCGCCCTATCGTCGCTTTCACTTTTGACGGGCAATGCAGGCATGTTATCTTCCGGCTCCGGAGGCGTCACAATAGGCTCTAATCGAGGAATCCGCTTCAATGTTTGTCTGGTGCGAAACGCAGAGTTGTGAATGCTATGAATATGGAGTACGTACCTTCTTCCTCCTGGTTTGCACTATCGGATCTTCCGAAGTACGTCGTAATCAGCCCGCTTCTGCATCAACGAATATGCATCTAGATGCATGAGAATTTCCTGCCACTTGCGAAATGTGACTACGGTCACCGACTGCGGCACTCACCCCTTCTTGGGGGGAACACTGAGTGCGGGCCAAAACGGAACAACCAGAGAAGAGCCCTACATTAGCCTAAAGGATTCACTAGAGATGAGCACTGCATCTTTATCTTTACCTATTAAAGTACGAGGTCAAAGGCTTTGTGCTATAGTAAGAACGAGCGAGTCAGTTTTCGGCTGTCGTGTGGAGAGTGGTCTTTCTGACAGCGGGACGCACAGACCACATACATACGTCCACACTCACCCTTTCGGAGGTAACTTTTTGCGGTGGTGGGTCATGGCAGAGCAGCGGCGAGGAACCCTTGCATGGTATTGGTTGGTTTATGTGTGCTGAGCAGCTGCAGAACTTCGGGGCCGATGACATGTGCTGCAGATCTGCATTCAGGATGTTCGCTCATTCGGACAACCCATTGAGACGTGTGGCGCATATGCGGCGTTCTGCTAACACCGGCTTTCTACGCTTGCCAAGGAGCTCCTGACACTTCGTCACCATCCACCACGCAATCGCTACCCACCATCAGTCGGAAGTCGGAAAGGGAACGAACAAAGAGTTTGCGTCTGATAACCAGGATGGGTAGCTACTACGAAAGGGTCAACTCACGAAGGGGCGGAAGCGGCGGTAGCGGCGGTTTCGCTCCAGCGGCGGGACAGCCCGCAAATCGGCGGCGGGATTCCGACGACGATGACTTCCATTTGCCGCTAGGCCCACCGACGGCCTATCTCGACCTGCACAGTATGGATCAGACCTCGATGGATAGCCATTTACCGGAACACAATGTTGGATACCAACTCCTTCTGAAGATGGGTTGGAGCAAGGGGAAAGGACTGGGGCGGGGCGGAGAAGGTACGGGTGCATAGCTCCTACTGAGCGCTCCTGTGAGTTGCCCTCTGAGAGCATCCTTTCAACCGACTCAGGCCGAGTGGATCCCGTCCGTATCATTGTCAAGGAGGACACTCTAGGTGTTGGAAAAGGGGAGGAATTGGATACATATCACCAAGAGAGCACGGCAAAGCGAAAAGCGCTGGATAGCGAGAAGATTGCCGAGGAAACGGAGGCTGAGCGGGACCAACGCCAGGTAATTATCAGCCCTATATTCCTGGTCGCGTATCGGGCGGCCTGCGGTTTATGTTCACCGTTGAACAATTGGAATGTCGGCGGCACTGTCGTTTCGCTATTACTACGTGGGTTCTATGGCGTACCCCTCTCGTACTGCAGTATCCCTTTCACTCTTTCTCTCTTCCCTTTCTCCCTTTCTTATACCTTCCCTGTCGCCAACTCGATATGCCATCACAAATGCTATTGCCTTACGACACACCTATGTTCGCTCGCCACCAAAATAGACCAAAGTGCAGCGAGTGGAGGCAATAAAAGAAGAAATCAAGGCCGTCACTGCGGCATTCTTCTGTGAGACCTGCCGGAAACAGTACAGCAAGATATCGGAATACGAGGCACACCTCGTCTCGTACGATCACCATCACGCGAAGCGTTTCAAGGAGATGAAAGAGATGAGCCGGAAAGGGCTAAATGTCGTTGCGGAGAAGCGGAGACGTGGGGACAAGGAGCGTGCTAGGGAGGAGAAGGAACTGCGGAAGCTGCAGGAAGCTGCAATGGCCCGCGATCGAACGATAACACGAACGGCCGAGGCTGGAGAGTCCGGATGGGTCAACGCTTTTGCCCCTTCCCAACCCGCTGCTCATGCTCATGACGAGAACATCTCGTCTGGGTGGGGGAAGGGGTTTGCGCAAGTGGATTCAGAACCTCAAAGTAAAGTCGAAGGACTAAGATCCCAATCGTTCGTGCCGGCGCAAAATCCGGCCTCCTCAGAAAACCCATCGGCTGTTCCATCGAACGGCGTAAAGAACGGCGTGTCAGCATTTTCGACGCCTTCGGCAAATTTTGCAGCAGCTGCCGCACCCATCCCGCGTGATTCGGCAGCTGGCCGCTTCCCAGCTGTTCAAATCGCAAAGCCGACGGAGAAAAAGATATCGTTTGGCTTCGGAGGTGGAAGTGGAGGCGGCTTAAAGTTCTCCATGAAGAAGAAGTAGAGGTTACAAATGGATACTCTCATAATGCAAGTTTTAGCATCAGTCCGTCCGGTTCGAGGGAAGGGTCATTCATGATTGCAGTCCGACATGGACCGTTCCGCACCGCGTCCTTTGATTGATGATCGATCCTCTGAGATGACGTGAGAATTGGAGTCACAAGCCTGAGGCCCACAATTTACTTGGTAGTTAATTAGAGCGCTTGAGTTCCAGCTCGGGTTGAAGGTTGACTTAGGAAATGCTTACCTTTTCCTTATCTACGTACGGTCTCGTTTAAAGACCACTACAATTTTCCGATGTTTGAATCTACTCCTTGGGCTTTACCAAGCTTTCGTTTCTGATGGAGGATACTCGTGCCAAGGTAGCATACAGTACAGTACTAATATGCAACCTCTGGCTCACCGGAGCACGTCTGAAGACCTTTGCCAACTCGATTTACGCACCTCCGGAGGCTGTTTGAGATCCAAGGGATTTGAGCAGAAATTTAGGATACACCTGGTGGTTGGTACGCCGAGAAGCTGGAACAAAGAAGCCGGACGCTGGTAGCGCATCTCAAATGCCGGTAGCTCCAGATATATAAGGAAAAAAATCTGAAGTACCCGGATCCGCGATGTTTGACGCGCATCTTTACCTGTTGCTTCCGGGTCGGTTTGTAGGTAGGGAGTCAGGGTAGGGAGGACGGCGGCACTTGAGGCGTCCTTTTATAGGCCGCAAAAACAAACTGTGCAAACTTATCCATGCCGTCCCGAAGTGTTGTCGTCCGTGAGTAGTTAAAACATCCGGTGTCACGTAAGTCTAACCGCCTATACGCCATCCATGGCACTCTTCTGCGCGGCGTTGCGAGGTATGTCATTACTCATATTGATGGGTGGGGTAGGTCTGGCCGTCTAGAGCATTCCAGAATCCACTGTACAGTGCGCTCAAGTGAGATCAAGTATTGTGGGCCTGGTATATATACACTTTCTGGAACCGTGGAACGCGTTGTATTGGCCCACGGTCCCGTTCAAGGAAGGCATCTAAAATAAGCTCAAACCGCACGTTCGTCCTACGCCACTTGCGCCACCCCCAAAGCGCGCTGTCGAATTCTGTCAGAAGACGAAGAATAGTGTTTTAAAATCGGGGGTTCCGAGCCAAACTCGATCGGCCCCCCTCCTCCGGTTGACAATGAAAGAAGATGAAGTCGACAATTGAGATCTATTTTACGCACGCAGTGACCACGGAAGTAATTCTTACCCGCGCCACACCGCTGGATGAAGTCAGGCTGACCGAACACATAAGACCTCCCTTCGAACTTTTGCGGCCCCGCCTCCTTCAAGCCAAAAAAATCTGTCTCTTCATCTATCTCGCTTGGAACATGGCGTCTATGCCCATTAACAATGTGATTCCCCTCGAAGGGGGATCATTGGTGTGTGGAATGGTTGTTGTCTACGCTATCCAGGTACAGTCAATGTAGCAGAGTACCGAGTTGCGATTGGGTTACTGATGAACCACATATCCTCAGGCGTGGAGTTCTCATGGTCTCTCATGGAGACTAGTCGGCGACCAAGACCGGCAGCGGTCTCTGATCACGCTATGCATGGCAGTGGTCGTGGCGGGAATTATAAGTCTTGGTCTGAATCAAACGAAAGCCGCCTTCATCTTGCAAGGTAAGGTTTCCAAGCTTCGCTTTCATTCATCTAGAGCGCCATTGTGTACTTACCACTGTACCGGCATTTACAGACATCGTCGTCCTCATAATTTTCTGGGGAGTGCAGGTAGGACCGAGTTGAGCTGAGGATGAAGTCACAGAGCCAATTTACTAACATGAACGGTCTTTCCAGCTTGGTCTATGCTGTATCAACCACAACACTATCATTCGGATATACATTGCGCTCTCATCGAGCTCATCTCGTCTGCGACCCCAGAAGCTTTCGCTTTACTGCTTAGCACTTTACCCTTTGACCATCTTGGTCCTTCTCCCAATCTTCATGGGATTTCCCTCCACCATCGCTGCCAAGCAAGGGCTGAACACGTCGGACGAAAACAAGCAGATTTTCAAGCCCCTCAATGTCGGCCTCGTGATTGCCACCGAGGTCTTTGCTACCGTCTCCGACATCTTGTTACTTATGCGCGTTGGGAGGGCAAGGGGAGCGACGGTTTCTTCCAGTCAACCATTGTCGCAGGTGGAGATTGCCGGGAGTGCGCCCGTCAAGCGATCGTCAACCACTCAACAGATGCGGGCCAGTATGTGGAAGCACTACGCCCTCGTATGGGTGCTCGTAATTCTGGATGTTATCCTGAAGGTAAGCCCCAACAAGGTTATAGAAACATCGTTGATCAATTTTTGTATTGACTCGTTCGCAATTCTTTCAGATCCTCATATTTCTTGGGTACCCAGTTCTCTTTGACTCGCAAGTCACTAATGCGACCATCCTATTGAGAGCCGTTACGAACCTAGAGTTCGGCATATCCCTCTCCAAGGTGTACGGCGGAGCGTCCACGCAGAAGTCGCAGGGCGAAGTATTGTCCGCTACGACGAGCCACCCAGGAATGACTTCGGTGAAGAACACAGGGGTTGTGACGAAAGGCACATCCGTTCAGCCTTTGCCGACAAATGGACAAATCGCATAGACCGATGCGAGTGCCGTGACGGCAAAAGAAGCAGTTGATGAACGTAGTGCTTAGAATACCAAACCGTTGCAATTCCCTTTCATGCGCTTTAGACATCAGCATTCTCCTCAATATTCATCCGGTAATTGACATAACCTTCCAAATTGCACGCCTTTTGCGTCAACAACAGATTGATCTGCCAGAACTCCACCCCAGCTTCCTTCGCTGCGTTGGCGGATTCTGAGATTTCGGACAAATGGGCGGATGCCGGTGGCCGCTTGAATGGCTCCGCATCGTATTGGTGGCAAATCAAGAGTACCGATCGGCGAGTTGCTCCCAGTGCAGCAGACAGGCCCTGAGCGGATGGCGATACACGATTAGTTCACTCGGAAAGCCTGTCCCTCAAGGAAGTCCAAGCGAACCTGACCAATCTTTGAAGGACTTGAAAGGTTTCGCTGTTGTTCTGACAATCGACGCATCGCCTCCGGGTAGGTGAATCAGCGGGGTCTTTTGATGAATTGCCGAATGTCATCGTACACGTTCCACCCTGCCTCTGCCAGCCAATCCCTAACCTTCACTTCAATGAGAGATGAACCGTGGGCAGGTCACTTGCGAGTCTATGGATTCGCTTACAAGCAGCTAGCTTAAGCCTCCCAACACCTTTGAAACGCCGTGAAAGCGACCAACTATGATAAAGGACCGAACTATATAATAAATCACCATGAGGATTTCGTGACTTGACGCGAGGTCCGACTTGTCCGGCAACAGAGGGTGCTGGAACCTACATAGAAGGCTTTGTTTTTTGGAGCGCCTCGCTTCGAGTCTGACGATTGTTCCTATCCCGTAACCACGCTCACGATGACATCAAAAATGGGATCGTTGGAAATATCCAATGTCGGTTCCTGAATCTTGCGTTGAAGAACCTCATCCAACGCCGCCCTCGCACCCTCGATCACGGCGGCAACCTTGGGCTGCGCTCTGAAACGAATCCACCCATCCTCCATGTTGAGATACCCTTGCCTTGGATCCCACTTCACCGAGCCGCCAAAGAAGGCAAGGGCGTGCGACGTGACGAGCGACGAGTCGCGCACGAACACTTTCGAGGTCTTGACCTTCTCGTGATAAACGAGGAACGGAGTCGAAGAACGGTTGGACATGACATTGGGAGGCAGCCTGCGGAAGTTGATGGAGGTCGGATGAATGAAGACTTGTTCGTTGCCCTTGACGATCAAGTTGGACTCCGCAGACGCTCCAGGCTTGGTTTCCGGTCCTTGTTTGATGACATTCGGATACAATGCGGCAACGAGGAGAGCCTTGACGAGCTTGAAGTCGTTGCCTCGGGCGTTGGCATGATGGTCGTCCACCGTTCCTGTGCCTCCTCTTTGACGTTCGAGGTTTCTCAAGAACTGAACATAACCGTCGTCAAGAAATCCGATGTCTTCGAGCAGCTCGGCCAGCTGACGTTTGATGCTGGCGATCATAGTCAAAGACTTGCCAGAGAGGAAATTGTCGAATAGAAACTTCTTTTCCGCCGCAAAGCCCTTTGTCTTTATCGCCGACCACTGGTTGTACGCGTTCAAAAGCGTGAGCTGATCGGAGGATTCCAATGCGAAATCGCGTTTTCGGGCATCTGCCATTTCTCGCTTGTCGAAGGGAGCGACAAACGGACTTTTGTGAGACATAATGGCTGCTATCGTCAGAACCGAGTCCACGCATTGGAATATGCTTCCAAAAACGATGAGTTTCCCAATCCGCACGTCGACCGGCAATCGGCCCAAATGGAATCCCAATGGGGTCAGATCCTCTTCTCTAGTCAACGCTTGTAGGCTTCGCAGGGTCATGATAGCGTTGGTGACCGCTTCACGGGACGGCGGCTCGATGACGTTTTCGAGAATGTGGTGGATTCTGCCTCGAAGGAAAGGTAAAACCTTGATCCGCAGACACAATTGCTCCAGCGGAGTCCGGCGCATCTCTGGTATCTGCTGCTGAGCCAATCCGTTCTCGAACGTGTGTGAGGTGAACAGATGGACACACAATCCTTCGGTGACACGACCTGCACGTCCCCTCCTTTGCATGGCGTTTGCTTTCGACACCCAGCATTCCTCCAGACTCGCCATCCCCTTGGCGGGATCGTATCGGGTTTCCTTCATCTTGCCGGTATCGATGACGCACACGACGTCATCCACAGTGATAGATGTCTCGGCCACGTTCGTAGCAATGACGATCTTGACTGCCCCATCGTCAGGACGCTTGAACACTCGGAGTTGATCCATGGAGCTCAGGTTTCCGTGAAGCGGAATGCAAAACCTGCCACTGCCGGTAGCAGAGCGAATCAGTGGGTTTGCCGTTAACAAATCGTGGAGAGTAGAAATTTCGGCATAGCCCGGAAGAAAGATGAGTATGCCTCGATTGGCTGGCTCTTTCCCACCGGAATTTGACGAGTCCCCTATTGGGATCTCATCTGAGCCCATGTTGGACGGCGTCATTCCTGCTTGCATGCCGCCTCTCCCAGCACCTCTTCCGCCTCTTCCCCCGGGTGAACCCCTCAAGCCAGGTTGTCCTCGCCCGCCTCTAAAATTCCCGAGGCCAGGCGGGACCCTCTTTCCACATCCCGGTAACAGTCTCTCGCACATCCATTCGACGAGCTTCTCAATCAGTGGGTACTGAATCTTGTCCACGTCTAGCACGCTCAAGCTTCCAATAGCCTTTTCCGGAATGTGCGGATAGCGCTTTTGCAATGCGATCGCATCCAACTCACTGTCAGTCACTACTTCAGCCTTGCTTTTTCGGGGGCGATGCAGGCCGTCATCACTATCGTCAGTGCCAGATGAGGGTAAATCCGTCCTTCTCTGCTGCCGCCCATTGCCTCTTTGAAACACGGGTGGCCGCGTGAGTGTCTTGTCGGAAGGTATATACTTGGTTTTCGCCAAGGCGTCCTCAAGGAACATAACCTTGACGGGAAACGTACGCCCGGGGATATGGATTCTTGGAGTAACCGCCGGTCCACCGAAATAGTCTTGGAACAAGGCCGCGTTCAAAGTCGCGGACATCAGGACGACCTTCAACTTCGTGTTGGTCTCCAGTAGATCCCTCAGTACCATCAGCAGGAAGTCCGAGTCAACGGAGCGCTCATGCACCTCATCGACAACGATGTGCGTAATGTCATCGATTCCACCTTCGTAATTGTCACTAGGGTGCTTAGCGTCGCTTCCATTGGCGTCCATCGCCTTTGCTCCTGCGCCTTCTAGCCTTCGGAGCAAGATTCCAGTAGTTGCGAATAAAATCCTAGTTTGGTCGCTCATTCTGCTTTCCAGTCTGATCTGGTATCCGACAGTTTTTCCGAGTGGTTCTGCCCGCTCGGCAGCTACACGCTCGGCTACACCAATGGCGCTGATCCTCCGAGGCTGCGTGACCAGGATGTTGCACTCCGCGCCTCGGCGTTTCGTGATGAAGTCGTCCAGAATGAACTGCAAGTTGGCATAGGCTTAGGCTTTTACACACCCTCAATCATACATCAGATCTGAGGCGCTCTTACCTGAGGCACTTGTGTTGTTTTACCACAACCTGTCTCTCCTTCCACCACGATCACGCGGTGAGATGCCAGAGCATCCAGTATGAGCTTCTGATGGTCCCACGCCGGTAACCTCTGCCGCGCTTCAATCATCTTGAGGATGGCGGGATCACTTGAACGATGCTGATGCTGATCGAAAAGCTTATGATTGAGGGCCTTCAATTCGGGGGGAGGTTTAGTGGGTATGACCGGGGCCGGCTGTGGACGATTTTCTTGTTGTTTGACAGGGGTCTCCATCGGCGCAGCCGTTGGTGTCCTCGGCAGTGTATCGTTTGTGATGATAGCGACAGACCTTGGTGGCTTTTGAATAGGAGTAGCGGCGCGATCTACTTGTTTAGGTACAGACGTCTGTAACTGTGCTGCCGGTTTGATCACCGCTTGAACGCGACCCACCTTGCCATTTTGTAGGCGAACCTTGATGCCCCGCGGGTGATCGCCTCGAGTAAGAAACTCGTCTAGAAGACCAGTGACAAGCCTATCCGTCCCTTGATCCTCTTTCAAGCACACTGCAACACCGATCCCATAATCAAGCATGTTCATCGTCGGAACACCTCCCCGTGGACCCCTGATGAGCTTCGGTACAGTGACACTGCTATTGCTCTGTGAGCGAGACGCCTGTCTACTCGATGTTGCTGTTTCAGAGTCGTGTTTGATGACCAAAACACGACTTGCTGACGACGAGGCCTTCCCTATGGATTCCTGAATCGCATGCTGAGCATTCTGTCCCGATGCCAACTCCATCACACGTTTTGAGACGTTGCTGATGCAGGTGGTTGCCTCAGGGGTCTGTAGGGACATCGTGAGAATGTCCGTCACTGCCTCCCCAACATGTTCAGTTGCGCACAATTGCAGCATCATAGCTAATGCAAGAATGGGTGCGCTATACTGTCGGCTACCGACCGGGTTGTCGGACGCTTGAAGGACCACAATCGGTGGCTCAAATGGATACGCTGTTTTGCGGCGATGGTGAAGTTGCAGTGTCAACTTCAGTGTTGATGACCGGGCGTTGGCTGTGCCTATTTGCGGGGGCAGATCCACCTGAAGACCACTGATTTGCCAAACCGCGGATCCATCGTCTCTCGTATAAAATGAGAAGTGGTCCTGGTACATACTTTCCAGAACTGTCCTCTCGGCCTCCCGCATATCAGCTGCTTCTGCACTGAGCTCCGGCCCCAAGTCGGTTTCCGGGAGGACTACAGTTGCGCCGGCTTTCGAGTACAGATAGGCCACTGCTGCGAGACGATCGTTGTTCGTATGTTGCAGCGCCGAAGTGGCGTAGGTACGTGCAACACCGAGCGACTCGAGCCAAGCAATGTAGGCGCTATCTGTGGCCTTCCGGGGATCCGGTGAAGGAATATCGAAAACACGCCTGCTCGGAACAGCGACTTTTGTCGGTGCTACAGGTCCCGTTGACGAACCCCATAGATCAAAGTCCTGGAGAAAGCGCTGTGTATGAGCATGTTTGAGCTTTAGAAGACATGCTAAGATCGACGATGACATACCTCCTCGTTCGTTTCCGAAGTCACGTCGACGTCATCTTCACTGTCATCGTCCAGCTGAGCGCCGCCAGTTCTCTGGCCCTTTCCACGGCCGGCAAGTTCATTCAGGTAATCGGCATCATCCTCATTGTCACTCGGCTCTTCTTCATCTCCACTCTCAGAATCATCCTCTTCGTCAGAATAGGAAGTGGAAGATCGATCATAAAAGCTTGCACCATTCATTTCCCGAATCAGGCCTTCCATGTCGTCGCCATCTTCATCATCATCGTCGTCCTCCTCCTCATCGTCGTCGTCGTCTTCATCTTCACTATCCTCTCCGTCTTCCCCATTCTCGCGTCGATATGCTGCAAGCTCCTTCTCAATCACCGCTTGCGCTTTTTGATACCGCTCAAGGACCTTGCGGAGTTGTAAATAGCGTGGCTTGTCCAAGCGGAGTTCGGGCACATGGGAAAGGTCCTTCTGAGCCTTCTTCGACTTCTTTAAAACCATCGGGCTGTGCCCAGCTGCACCGGAAGCCCCTTTCTTTTTGCTCTCCGAACCGGGTCGCAAGCCCTTCTTCCCAAGGACAATCACGTCATCTGTTTCCCAATCGTACGCAAGTTCCAAGCCGCGAAAGCTGGTGCCTCTGCCGCCGCCCATGTCGAAGTCGGAGTCGCTATCGTGCCCTTTGAATGTCCGGGCACTCCTAGTGGCGGAAGGTGTGAATCCTCCGCGCTCACCCCGCTTGCTGCCGCCACGGCCTCTACCACCGCCGCCACCGCCACCACCACGCTTGCGACCGCCACCTTTGCGCTGTCTATTTGCTCCGGCAGCTGATCCTCTGGCCATAACTTCGGTGTCCTTCGATGAATGCTATGAGTGCGTTGAAACCCCGTCTAGCGAACCTCTATTTAAACCTTCTGTTTCGCCCTCGAGTGTCAGGGGAATAAAAGGAAAGGGAGCCCGGGAAGATAGATAATAAGTCAACTCTGGACGATGTCGTTTTACTGTATATTTAAATTTAGTCCGTAAAGGCGCACTGCTTGCAAGTTGCAGAAAGAGCAGAAGGTGGAACAGCAGAAAGGCAGAAAGCGCTCGCGTCATCGACTCCGACGCGTTCTTTTTCTTGGAACTCAGCCGATCGTAACGTACTTGTCTAAGCTCTAGTACTACATATCAAACGCTCTACCTCATTATAGTGTCGCTATACTACCAATGGCGCTCGAGCGAGTATGGATGAAAAGGAAGCGTTGTGGTGGTGGTAAGACGGCGTCTGCGAGCGGTGACCGCGCCATACGGACATCGTTGATCCGGACCTTCCTGTATGTACATGGGGCCGAATGAAGCCTCAGAAACACAGGGATCTCTCGCGTTTCGCCAGTGGACAAACATACCGTCGCCTGAGCCGCTCCTTTTCTTTCATCGCCGCGCTGCGAATCGGTCTGCTACGCTCTTCAGGTTCATCGTCAGAGGCTGCCATATCCTGCCTGAGACCATTCTCCTCAGTGTCGTCTTCGGAAGTTGTCAATCGGGCAGCTGCAACCGTGTCGTTCATTTGGGTTGCATCCACTGTGGCCCATCCGCCAGTAGGCGGGATGGAAGTGCCTCTCCCCTCCGGCTCGTTCACCTTAGCCGAGGCCTTTGCTATTGGGCGAGTTACCCACGCAGTGTTGACGTTTGACTTTGATGTGCGTGTCGCTCCGGCAGAGCCTTTTCCCCGGTTATGCAACGCAGGCCGTACACCTTTGTCTCCTTTTGAAGACGGTGCATTCATCAGTGTCTGCTCTCTTGAAGGGTGAAGGACAGGTTTTCGGAGCTGAGTCGTCAGACCCAGTATCTGTCCCAAGACTTGTTCCGTGTTTGCCTCAGGTAATACTGATTTGCGTGGCTTCTCGAATCCTTTGGGATGTGCTGACAAACGACGACCGGTTCCAAGAACTTTGGCTATGCTCTGGTCTGACTTTTCTGCAACACCCGTAGGTTCGGGGGTTTGATGATTTTGAAATAGGCGGGACCGGAAGAAGAGTTCGAGATGCCTGTTCACAGCCGTTGCGAATGACGGAAGACTCAGCATCGTGTTGATGATCTCCTTGGCGAATAGGTAGATGTACTGTAGTCCATAAGAGAAGAAAGGAAGTTAGGACCGTCCAAGTACAACTCAAAGGGGATGTAGGTGCTAGTGAGACCGGGAATACCTCAAAATAGGTCCGTTCCTTCGCTGGCTCTCCACTGTTTTTGGACACGTACAGCAACAGAAAGCAATAAGAGTGCCCAAATTGACGCAGAGCTGATTCCCGTCCTTGGCGGCAATTTTCCAACGTCAGCTCCTGGCCCCCAAATAACATCGCTCTGTGGGCAAGGGAAAGGAGCTTCAACTCTGCCATGCTCTTGCATATAGCTCGTTCTAATGACGTACTTGGCTGCTTCGCTTAAACCCAATGGCTTAGTCTGCTGATGATCAGCCAAGCCCAACGGGTTGTTACTCTGCGACTTTTCGAGAACCAGAGTTCGAATGAACCATCTGCAACATCCAAATGGTGAGACTGTCTTGGAAAATGCAGACCAGCCCCATGTCAAAGAGGTCCGATTGTTACCGTATGTAGTGCGCCCCTTTGATGAAGAAATCGTCCAGTTGGGTAGATTCGATGACTGCAGTGAAGGAATGTGTCATCCTCGTAATCGACGTTTTCGCTAGCGCCGTGCCTAAGAGAGCTGTCAGTACAAGAGTGGATACAATAGCACAACAACTCTGATGCGCGGGCATCTCACGTTTCAACTCCCAAATGTCCCAGTCCTTGCCGTTGAAATGAGTTGTTAATCTGAGGGTGTGATTAGCAAGCCATACTCTGGTCATATGCAGCTAACCGCCAAATGTCACTTACTGGCCTCGTTTCTTGTTACGCAGGCGCAGCAGCGCTGGCAGTTCGTCGTCGGCAGTCATTATATTGCTGGATTACCGTTAATGGAGGACATGGAAGGCAATAATGTCAAAGGACCCCCACCTTCCGAATTTCCAGGCCCCCGATTTTGATGCCATCATATCGGTTGTTGTGGTGTCGAGCGCACCTCGAGCTGTGAAAACAGCTTCAAACTCCGTATGCGTGCCTAACAAAGCTCCTCTGCGTGGCCATCGCAACGAGGTCTGTGCCCCTCCTGCGGCCCGAGAGGCCGCGCCGTCAAGACGCGGAAAAGAAGCGGAAGCTGATCGACTAGCTGGCATCCTTGGCAGAGATACTGTAATGAGGTAAGCGAGATTTGGCGTGGGCTCATATTCCGAGCGAAAGCGGTGAATGCGAGTCCGGGGAACAAAACAAAGATAATCCTACTCTTATTTTGGTCTTGCTCCAGCCCAGCAGCCCTCACCGCGTTTGACCCCGAACCTCCCAAGCCATCTAGCAGTAGGGAACCCAGCTTGAGCTTATTGAGCCAGTGACAATCTTAAGCCATCTCGTGAATGTGAAGCCCTGCCTCTGCCCTGCTCAAGCTGTGAGATCGAAAACGCGTCTCAAGACTCTCCCCGCTCTCATGTCGCGACCCCCTCTGTACTGTTACGCCGTGCGCGGGTGAAAAGGACGGGCGGGACGAATAGCCAAACAAAGCAGACGGCCAGACAGACACAGGAGCGAAGCTAAACCCCAGGGTCCCACCGCATGCACACCCACCATGGTACAATCCCTCAACCTCGCCGCCCTCAGCTCCACCTTCCGTCTCATCCGCAACCCCTCCCTCCTCGTCCCGCACATCATCGTCCCCGGTAAGCTCTCCCTCGGCCCATCTCCCACCCATATCATTATAACCTCACATCCCTGCCCCACTACAGACATCCGGTCCCTAAATTTCACTGCCCTACACGCAGCCAATGTCACCGCACTCGTCTTTGATAAAGACAACACGCTGACTGCGCCGTACGTCGTGGGGATCCATCCGCCATTTCGAGGGGCGTGGAGGGAGTGTTTGGGCGTTTATGGACGGGAGGGGGTGGTTGTTGTGAGCAATTCGGCGGGGACGGGGGATGATGTTGGGGGCGCAAAGGTTGGTTTTGATGGATAAGTATGGGTGGTGGGATATTCGCCCGCATGGTGTTGAGCGAACGGCATTGAGATGAGGGGCTGGGTACTGAAACGACGATTGCAGGCACGGGAAGTGGAGAAGACGCTGGGTATGTTAGCATGGAAGTTCTGCGCCATCCAACGAGACGTAGGAATAGGCCACACCGGACCGAGGCATGACCACTCCCCGTTTCGAACCCATCACCCGGTCGCCAACGGCTCTCCATTTCCTCCTTAGGCGTAAACGTGTTACGACACAACACCAAGGTATGCTCGCCACCACCATCAATGCCTGTGCATAATCTTCACCTCACCCCTCATCGATTCACTCAGAAACCAGCAGGCGGCTCCGCTCTCCCGACCCACCTCTCCGTCCCCCCCGCCCAAATTGGCGTCATCGGCGACCGCCTCCTCACCGACGTCGTCTACGGCAACTCCGCGGGTCTCCTAACAGTGCTCGTAACGAAGATCGTCACCGAGGAGGGCGATAACCCTTTTGCTGCTATGGTGCGTATCACAATGGCAAATCGGTGTGTTTTCCCCTCAGAATGATGACCGTCTTTTGGATGACCCAGGTCCGACGCCTCGAACACCCTCTCCTGAACTTCCTCCACGCGCGCGGCGTCAAACCGCCCCCGCATCCTGCTATGGCACACCCCGCGTCTGCCGAGTTTGTGCGGAGCGTTGCTGACTCATGATGAAGCTGACGAAAGCGGAGGTGTTGGCCCTTCTTGGGGTTTTTGGGACGCCGCGCGGTGGAGGTGCGATGCGAGACCATGAGTCTACGTCAGGTGGTGGGGTTTCATCGCCGAGATGTGAGGGGAAGCGGCGTAAGGAGATGAAACCGGTCAAAAGCACCGCAACTCCTAACCTGCTTCAAGCGAGGCAATAGTTTGGGTTCGGGGGGTAAAAAGCCGGGGAAAGGTAGCTCGAACTCCGGCTCAAATGTCATATGGTGTAGAAAAAGTAGATCTGAAATTTAACGGCACGGAATGACGGCCTGACGCGGTCGTTCGGATATCACTCACCGTCCTGAGCATTCCTTTGCCCAAAATTCTTTGAATTGCCTACTCATTACAACAGGTGCAACTTTGGCAGCCGACAGCGTTCGGAAAAAAAGCAGTTGCTGAGTGGGTGCTGGGCAGGAGGGCAACGCTGCTACTTCCAGAAGCTATTGTCGAACCGGAGAAGAAACAAAGCGCCACTGACAAAGCCGCTGGTAGCCATGTACAGGCCTTCGTTTCCCACAGAGCAGTCCAGGCGAAGTTCCGACGCCTTTCATGGGCATTCGCTGAAGAGTTCCGTGGAAGGGAAGCTGGCGAAGCTGGAAAAGCTGGGGAGCAAGCTTTTTAAGGGTGGGAGTGCCGGAGATGATAGAGTTGCTCCGGGTGGTCAAGATGCGCTTCGCCGCTCCTTTGAACTTATGCTGGACGAGAGAGGGATATCGGGACCAGCAAGAACGCATATGCTTCGCTTTGACGATACCAGAAAGAAGCGCTTGATAATGGATTGGCGGCAGACACGACCCAAAGACCAGTTGGGAACAAATCGGCCTGGGTCTGGTTCAGGCTCAAGTGCACATAGCCCCGCAGCTTCCCCGCGCACGAGTGTCTCCAGCGATACCGCAGACAGACTGGAACAACAGTTCTTGATTGTTTTGGATAGACTGAACATAACAGGTTCTGCTCGGAGCACTATGATTCGAACCCTGGACACGAAGAAGAAGGCCGAGGTCATTCAGCAATACCGCAGACGTCGAGAGCTTGAGAAACAAGGGGATGCCGATCGTCCGGCATCACAGGCATATGCCGGGGAAGGGCGTTCATCATCGAGCGGAAGAGTCTCGCAAACAACCCCTTACCCATCAGAAGGAGGGCAGCAGCTGGAAGGCCCGGCTTTGGAGGGTGCGTTCCGAGCAGTACTGGTACGTGAGCGTGGCGAGCGCGTTGTCTCGGCTCGGTAGCTTACATCCCTTCATCAGAATGCGCTGGATATTCAAGGATCTGCCCGTGACAATATGCTGAAGATGGACTGGAGGCATCAGATGGACATCATAAAACAATATCAAAACGTGCGCCGCCGTAGTAGTGGGCAGGATGCGCGGAAACGATCGGCATATGAAGGTGGACCCGCATCCCCATCTGGCAGGCGCATCTCCCAGCGTGATAGTCCTGAGCGATGGGATTCCCTGGCCGATCAATCGAATGCCACGTCGCCCGTTGGAGAGTATTCGCCGCAGCAGTTCATAGCATTCCTGGGCAACAGGTTAGGACAGCAGTGGCATTGATATTGAGTGTCGATAGACATATAACCTCCAGTTCCTTTTTAGAAACACACCGATGAAGGCTCTGTACCGCCATTTGACAGCATTTCGCATAACACTATCTCTCTCTGGGCAAGAATATATCCGCAATGTTGTGAATGCCGACATGGCGGAGATCGGGCCAAGGGGAAGCCGCGGGATGTCAGCATTTGAGGTGGTATTGGACCGAATAGCCGAAGCGAAACATTCAAGACGCTCCGGGACAGCACCGGAGTTTTTGAGAGGGCCGAGGCCTATGTACCTCCCTGCCAATCTGCAACACCAACAGCGAGGAGGGCATGCCTCGTACGCGGATGCGGTCATGGAGGACGAACTTGCGTTGGAAGCTATTCGCTGTGTGAAGCTGATCTTGAATGCGAATATGGCCTATGCGTCGGTTGTAGCCTCACCGAATCTCATGAGCCATCTGGTGAATTGTCTGGAAGCTCCCGCCAACTCAACTACCAACATGGCAAAGCCAGATGTGCGGGCTCGCCGAGCGAACTTATCGTTGAGATCAGCTGTCGCTGGTCTTTTAGGCCCGTTGTGCTTACTTTCGGAAACGGGACGAACGAACGCGTTGCAGTCTATGACAGACCTTGCAATCGCACAGAGAGAGCCGGCTCGCTTTAGCTTCCTGGTGCACTCACTCCTGGACCCTTTCATTGGTCCCACGGACACAGATCCGGAAGCACTGGGCGAAAACCAAATACGAGACGACCCGGATTTGCTTTGGGAATACCGAGCGAGCGTGATGATTTTCATTAATGGCCTAATTTCGGCGCCGGATGAGACGCAGGAAAGATGGCTTGTGCGGAAGGAGATCGAGAAACGCGGCCTCAGGAGGATAACGCATATATTACGGGACCTCAAACCATCTCCGGCCTTTACGATACAACTGGAGGCGTACGAGGCCGATCGGAAAGATGACATAGAAATGATGGAAGAGACTTTCAAGGATCTGAACGCCACTTTGGAGGACCCTCGCACCATACTATCCGACATGCTCAACAAGGCGAAGGCGCTCGATTTCCCAGAACGCGCTAGCAATCTTGTGACTGTGACTTTGAAGAACCTTCTGAACGTCATCAGCACCCTACAGAATAAGAGTCCATCATCACACGAATCATCAAACGGAGCATCCTCTGCAGCACCGTCACACTTGAACGAAGAGGATCCCACCGAAATTTTGGCCCTGATTGAACGGCTTACTGAAAGTATCAACAGTGGGATATCCATAGACGCATCTCAGAACCCCAAGATCGGGAATGCTCGTGCAGCCAGATTCAGTGCAATTGCAGCTGATTTATTGCAGAATGTGGAAGAGATTGCTGGATTTCCGATACAAGTACAACAGGTTTTGAACGACTCGCATGCGGGATCGAATAGAATAGGAGCTGGGTCGGGTCGGAGAGCATATCAGAGTACCGATGTGAGTGGATCGTGCGCGTTCATGTGTTTGCGACTTCAGCTTTGGCTAAAGTGAAAATCAGTCTTTCCAGGGTTATCCTCCTACCACTCCGGGAGGAGCACAACAAGTTGTATTCGATCGAGTACAGTTTCCCATGCCGGAACACGCTCGTCTTGCAGGATATGGACCTGGTGTTGCGCAGGTGTCCGCAGACGGGTCCTCCTCACGCCAGGGCCGCCCATTGCCCTCATTGCCCTCATTGCCAGCCGACTCGCCTGATTCTGTGCGGCCGTCAAACCCGGCACTCAACAGACTGCCACAAGGCGCTGGTATCGGTGTCCTGTGGGAGGAGATTCGCCGGTTGGAAGACATCATCACTGACCTCCGCTCGGCCTCACGAAACGACCTATCGTCGGTCAATCCTTTGACTTCCCGGATGTCCTTAATTGCAGAGGCTCCGGAATCGGGCAAACTTGAGACTGTCAGCGTAAACCCACCCCCACCGCCACCTCCACCGCCCCCGCCTCCTCCGCCACCTCCCGCACCTGGGCCGCCACCACCTCCTGGGCCGTTAGGCGCTTTATCGGCGTCCAAGAGTTTCAAAATTGCAAAAGCGAGCAGAGCTATGAAGGCCTTGCAATGGACGAAATTGTCCAATCGAGCTACCGAGTCGACCATCTGGGAGGATGTCATGAACAAAGCCTACGGTCGTTCAGAGAGCGACGCAATACCTTTCGATCGAAAGGATTTAGAGGAACTATTCGTGAAGGAGGAAGCTGTTGTGCGACCTGTAGTGCAAGCACCGAAAGAAGTGCAAGTCAAGAAAGTCGTCACTCTCATCGACCAGAGGAGAGCTCAGAATATCGCCATCATGCTCGGAGGGGTGCGACTAGCTTACCGAGATATTCAGACTGCCATCATCGCCATGGATGACTCTGTGATGACTTCTGAGCGTCTCAATAGTCTCAGAACGTGGGCGCCCACGGCTGAAGAATACGACCTTGTCCGCGCTTACGAGGGCGATGTAGAGGAGCTCGGAAATGCCGAAAAGTATATTCGGGAGATAATGGACATCCCACGGTTTGGCCACAGGCTGGAACACATGTTGTTCCGCAAGCGTTTCGAGGAAGAAGTGGTCGAAGTGGTTCCCGACATGGAGACGGTGCTTCTTGCTTGCGAACAAGTCAAGAATTCCGATAAATTGCGCAAACTTTTGAAGGAAGTCCTGATATTGGGCAACTACATGAATGGAACGTCCTTCCGTGGAGAAGCGCACGGGTTCAAGTTGGACGCACTTCTCACTTTGAAAGACATCCGCTCGAATGGTGCGGGAAATCAGGTTCCCACGTTGCTCCATTTCCTAGCGAAGATATTGGCCGAGAAAGAACCAGAACTCATCGATTTCATTCGCGATATGCCGAGAGTGGACTTGGCAGCGCGGGTTTCCATTCCAGCCTTGTTCGCCTCTATCAAGGAACTTCGTCGCGGACTCACTGCGTTGAAAGCCGAATTGATGGAGGTCGAAAAGCTGGATTCGCGACCGGAAGGCGACCAGTTCGTGTTGGTCATGGATGCGTTCAAGATGAGAGCGGACGTGAAGATCTCCGGACTCGAATATCAGGCGTCTGTAGCCGAAAAAAATGTGACGGACTTGATCGCTTTCTTTGGCGACGATCCTACCGAACGATCTGATGCACCTGAAGACTTCTTCGGAATATTTTCTTCCTTCTCGGCGGCCCTTCAGAAAGCGCACGTAGAGAATGCGGCAAGAGAAAAGGCATTGCGTCAGAAAGAAGCGTACGCGGAGCGTATGGCCCGTGCGAAGCTTGAAAAGGCCAAGTCACCCTCGGACTCGGCAACCAGCGATGCCACTTCCGATGCCGAGGGAGAAAGGTTCGCGGACCTCCGCAACAAATTGCTGAGCTCGATCGATATCTCAGGCGGTGTATCAGCCACGGCGGCCGAGAAGATCGCGAATGCCCAAGCGCCTGTCGGGACTTTCTTAACGATGGTCGGTGCAAACGAGGAAGCATATATGAGATTGAAACCTGTCAAAGGCCAGTTGCCATTGTTCCAACGTGGAACAGTGCGAGGAAACCGGCCAATCGTTCTCGACACTGACATAACGTCGGACTTTGAGGATGACGTCGAAGAACAAGATGAGGAGGCCGAAGGCAATTTCGGCAACCTGATGAACACCACTTCGTTGTCCATGGCTCGCATCACAGTTCGTCAAATGGCTTCATCACCGATGAAAACGCCTTCGAAAAGAACTTCGGAGAGCTTCAGACAAATGGAGACTGAGCATGATTCTGACGCCTTTGATGACTTTGAGGACGATGCATACCCAGAGCCAGAGGAGAACGAAGCTTCCGACGTAGAGACTCGCGAGCATGAAGATGACATCTTCATGTCACCTACACTCGACATAATGTCTCCTGCGGAGCACGGACCGCGGCCGCCGTCGAGCGGGCCACCCGACAAAGAACGACGCAGGCGTTCAGTTCTTAGCGAAACCCGGGTGCAAGTTCCCAATGTTACCGTCTCCGAGCCGAAGAGCGCTTAGGCATTTGTTGCTCAGATTGATTTAGATCGACTATCACAAACGACCTTTTGACCACCAAGGTCTCGAAGACAATGCATTTCAGAAGCGCTGCACCCCATGGCCTCAACGCTTAACTTCCCAGCTCTACCTATAGCTATATATTTCTTTACGTAGTATTACATAGTGATAGGTGCACACGCGTCTGATGCCAGGCGTTAAGGGGGTATACCCTATTGTAAAGGTTCGGAAATCGACGTACGCGGAAATGGTTGGCTTCGAATTGCTACGTTTACGTTTGTACTCCGGTGGTGAATGGCTGTCATCCGTCTCCTGGCTCGCGTACCCGACTCTCCATGGCTGAGAAACAGTCGGAAAACGTGGGTAGTGATGCACTGATCAGATGTGGGATAATGCGGGATAAGGCCCTTCCTCATTGATTTCTCCTGCAGCTTCCAGTGGTTCCTTTCCTTCAGACAGTGCTTCTTATATGTCCTCTGGCTTTCCCTCGTCCGCCACTCCTTTGCTCAGGAAGGCGTCCAAAGTACGCTGATCGTCTTTCTTCCTTCTCTTGCCTTTTCCTTCTTGCGTGCTACTACTACGTTTCGATGCGCCGCCAGCCGCCCCTTTCTTTCCTTCCTCATTCTCAACTCTCGTCGGATCGATGGGGCCATTAGCATCGGCTTCCTTTACATACGTTCCTCCGCATTTTGCTTGATGGTCTGCCCACCACCAATCGGCCGGTTGCGGTTTACGATTCATACTTCGGCGGACGTAGCCAAAGAAAGGTGGCTTTTCGCGACACGGTCCCGTACAGCGCCATATATGTTTGCGATGGTGATTTACTTCGTCATGGAATTTGTGGAAAACTGTGATGTTTGTTCCGGCAGTGTCGTTGATCTTTTTCGCTAGTCCAAGGAAGGCCGGGCCGTGACCGTCATGATCGGTGTTGCCACCAGTCACAAATAAATATGCATGGATCATCTCATGCAGGAGCTAGAGAAATAGTCAGATCTAGGAGGTCACATTCATATTGACCAGAACTACTCACCGTATTTATAAAATCGGAACGTGGTCGAAGACTCAGCAACGGCTGCGATAACCGCACCGAGCAATAGCCCCCCGGGTAAAAATAGCACATCCCCGCGCACAGGGTCATTTTCGGACTCCAGCGAACTTCGACAGCATCCAGTCTACAGTTGAAATAAGCAACATTGAAAGCCCTGAAAAGGCCATGCAGATCCGGACTGTGTGGTCTCGATCAGCGAACTTGGCTGGAGAAAGACCATCATCTTTACAACCCGCAAGTCTACTTACTTGGGGTCCGTCAATTCATGACTCTGGTCCGCAGGACGTGAGACGAGAGGTTCACCTTGGAGATACTCCTTGTAGTTCGCTTCTGCAGCCGGTGCTTTCGAAGACGAGGCTGTAGCCCTTCCGGACTTCGTTACCGAACGAGATGTAACATCTTCTTCGTCGCTGACCAGTATGACCTCCTGACTATTGAGCGAATTGTGCAATTCCCTGGCCAGAAGCTCGTCTGCATCGAGTTCATAAAGCGGCACTGCAGCCTTTCCATTGAGCGATGGCTGCAGCTCTTTTGCCAAAAGTTCGTCTGCATCGACTTCAGAAGGCTGAATTGGAGCCTTTCCCTTAATTGAATTCCGTATTTCTCTGGCCAGAGCTTCGTCCTCATCGATTTCGTGAGGCTGCATTGGAGCTTTCCCTTTCCCAGTGCTACGAACATGAACGTCCGTTACGGAATCTATTCGTAGGGGCTCCAACTTCCCTTCGATAATATTCGACTGCCAATTCTTGGCCACATTTTCATCCCACAGTAGTTGAGACTGACGGTCCTCTTCGTCGCTGCGAGCAAGCTCTTCCGCAAGCTGTAATGCAAACAAGTAGTCGCTATCCGAGGATGTCATCCTTCAGTTAACCATCCCCACACAAAAGTAGTTCGAGTTGAGATAAGCGGAAGAAGGCGAGCGCCAGCGAGGCGGAATTCGAACTTGAACAGTACGCCTGGTTTCGTCTTTCCGTTTCAGAAATAAAGGATAGAAAAGTGAGCTGCCGCCCAGGTGCGCAAGCTGTCACGTCCTTCAAGTCTTCAAAAAGTCAACTCTGGGACTTTCCCAGGACTCCTAAGCTGTCATTGCAGGGGCTTACCACCGTACATATACAAGATCCGGAGACAGTGTGGGGAGCAGCGTATTGGTCGCTCCTCTGGCAAAGGGGTTCGTCCTGGAACCGGCATTGGACTTCACGCATGGGTCATAAGTCGCGTGCATCGCAAGATGGTGCCTGCCCCGAGACGGACGGTCGGATTTAAGGTTGAGTGTGTTCGGAGGTCGGCCTGAAGCGCATATATAACCGGCAGGTTCATGCGGTCTCCGCAATCGCTCTACTTCTCAACTGAGTTCGACAGCAGCGCATCTACGCCTTACGCTTGTTTCTGGCCTGTCACCGGCTTTCATACACGAAGCGCTTACCACTCACCGTCAGCTCACCGAGGTCGCATCAACTCAATACCCCATGCAGTCGAGAGGAGCCGAAGATGAGTCGAAAACCGAGGGCAGAATCGACGACAAGACTTTGCCCTCCGCCTCAGTCAAAGAGCATAATGGGCTTGTTGTGGAGGTGTCCAATATACTGCCTTCAAAGCTGTACAATAACAGTCGCTCGCAGCCTGGGACTGCCGCCATAACAACCCCTACACTGCGCTCGCAAATGCGAGCATGGTCAGATCAAAGCCGAGTCGATATGTGGGGATGGACTGCTGCTGGGTCTCTACAATCGAAGCCAGAATCTGAAGCTACATCGGCTGAAGGAAGACCGCGTAGCGAGAGCGATCCTTCGAGATTAAGTATGATACCTGGTCAGATCTGGATTCATCCACCTAGCCAAGGGGAGACGTCGGCGAACAGCATGTCCAATGGCGGCGAGACAGGGGTTCCCATTACTCCTCGCACGCCCCGCCTGTATGGAAATGCGGATTATGAGCTCAGGTCCAGACCTGCTGATGAACAATCGCTGTCCAGCCACGTCAGCACAGCTGTCATAGATGAGATGCATGTGCTGGGATCATCCGTACCGTTGAATGTCGCTTTCGGAAAGTCGTTATCGCCTCTGTCCCGACGTCGAAATCTAGTCGCAGGTGGCTCGCCGCACGGCTTCCGGAAGAGTCCCCGAGGCGTCAGCACCCTAGGTCGAACCCAGATGGACGCCGAGATCATGGACAGTCCGATGAGTGGCGGATCAACAACATCAGATGATGGACAAGGGTCAGCCACCAGTGCTGTGCCGTCGCCGGAGTTCAATCCCTCTGTGGCCATGATTGACGAAAAAACGGCAGATTTTGATGTCACTCGGACGTTGGTGCAGGATCTGGTACATGCAAAGGACCGCTCTGACGTTGGGGTGGGAATCATTCTCGCCGCTTGGTATCAGAGGATGGCAGCGAAACCTGGATCGCCACAATCAGCCATCGCAAACGCGGCACTGAACGAGCTTTTGGCCGACAGCAACATGGATATCGGGTTGAACTCCACAAATGAGTACAGAGGGGGTCCCAAGCTATCAATATTAGGGTCGAAGCGGAGATTACTGAAGCACTGCAATAGCTGGCCTCCATCCGTCTTTGGTAATGACACAACGCCTTTGGCCCTTGGAATAGAATCCGAGTCTAACATGTTTGCCATTTTGGAGATAGCTTCCAGTTACGATACCCTTTTACTGCGCATCGAATCCCTCGCGTACTCGCTCATTGAAACACCGGTGGTGGCTATGATTCACACCACTCTAGCTGGAAATATGATGCAGATGCTCCAAGACCTCGGGGAGGAGCAAAAAGCCATTGGTGCGGGAAGAACCCTTGTGGAAGACATTCTCACGAAGTTGATCTACACGTTTTCACCAGTAGCTCGATTGTCAGAATCATTGGTATGAGCCGCACTGCAAACGAAAAAGGCGAATTTCGTCGATGGCTAATTTGTTTTGTTCTACAGAACCAGCATGCACGAGTCTTGCGAACAGCGTCTGGAATGGAAGGCATCGCCCAGACGCCACCACGGCCAAGGCGCAATCTCACAAAATCATTCTCCAGACTCTCCCTTACCCGAATGATGGACACGCCAGACATTGCGGAAGTGCCGCCCGACAAAATCCAGGCGGCGATGCTTTTGCTCCAGTCGGCTGCTTCTCTCGGGGAGTCAGAAATGATGTTGAGCCCGCAGAAAGACGATGAGGATGAATCAACGGTCCTGTTCCCCGCACCCGAACCTGCATCCCGCGTCACAGGCGACCAGCAAGGCAATATAGTACCGATGGCTCTGTCAGGTTCCAACCCATCCCGATTTGCATCTCAGAATCCGATTCTGCCGGATACAAGAGTTACAGAAACTGTCGTCGCACCGATCATTGATGGGACTCCTCAATCATCCCAATTATCGGCACGCTCGTTATCACGGCCGGGGAAACACGTTTCCGAGGCAATTGATCTCCCACGCAGCGGTAGAACATCATCATCTAGTCTAGCCAGCTCCGTATCCAAGAGTCAACCTCTCCTGACAGCTTCGCAAGAACTTCCGACGCGAAGTCCGAAATTGTCGAAGAAGAAGCCGGTTTTGTCATTCATCAAATCCATAAGAAATGCATTTGGTAACGCAACTGCAACAAATTCGCCTCGGTCTACGAGTGGTAGTAGGGACTCGCTCAGAAGCCCATCTCCTCTCGCAGCCGTGAACATTCGCTCCATTGTGTCCGGCGTTCGCGGCGACTCGATGCCTGTTACAGATTCACCTGACCGCCCATCGAAGGGCATCCGATCACGAGGGCCGGCCGCGGGCGGGTTGAGCAGAGCAACCTCCAAAGACTCCGTGCTACAAACCGATGCTACGTCGGACAAATCTAAATTGGCCGACGGTACAGTTAGCACCCCGGAAGATGTCGACCGGCCGTCAGCAAAGGGCAAAGACCGGGTAAAGGATTTGCAGCCTTTGACCACCGATGCGGTCTCCGCGCAGAATAGTAAGTCGATGACATTACTATGTCGGATCTGCGAAGAACGCGTATCCGCGAAGACAATTGATGAGCATTCACGCATTTGCGGTATACAACAAGAGTTTCACTTGAAGAGCTGGAACTGTGACATGAAGCTGCGAAAAAATGCTGCCATTTTGGAAGCCAAGAAAGAGAAGCTTGATGTGCAAGATTTTGACGATTGGACAGATTGGCAGCGGATTCGGAAAATGTGCGAAACGATCGAACAGAAGGCGGTGAAGACTGCGCGGTTAAATGAGCATGGGGGAAAGAAAGTGCTTGCCTCGCTCGATAGATGTGTCGCCAAGTTCGAGCGATATTTGGAAGATGCTGGGAAACACCCAAATCAGGCGGACATCTTCGAGGTTGTGAAACGCATCCTTGTCGCCACTGAGGAGAAGTCAGCCGCGTTGAAGATTTGTCTTCAAAGGCTCAAGGACGCGACGTACCTAACCTCACCATCGCCCAGCACCAATCTACCTGGTCGTTTCGAGCGCGGCTTCTCGCAGGCCGCATCTATGGGAGACCCTGCAGCGAGCTTCACAACGCAGTCGAGTTCATATGCTTCAAGGAGGACGAGCAAGGTTCCCACGAATACGCTGCGAAGGTCACGGAGTAGCGAGAGTAATATCAGTGTCTCGAGCGCAAATGACAGCGATCGACCACGGGAACCAAGCGTGGGCCCCAACAAGTTTATGTCCATCTTCAACGCCCTGCTGAAAGGCGGCAAGGATGGTCGGAAATTCTCTAATACGGCACAGATAGCGGGCGATCTGAATGAGAGGCGTTCCAGGATTCCTTCAATCCGTGATTTTGAGATCATCAAGCCAATCAGTCGCGGAGCTTTCGGAAAAGTGTACTTAGCTCGGAAGCGGACCACGCAGGATTTGTATGCGGTCAAAATTCTAAAGAAGCAAGACATGATCAGGAAAAACATGGTATCTCACGTATTGGCAGAGCGGAAGGTTCTCGCCCTGTCGCGAAACCCGTTTGTCGTGAAGTTATTCTATGCGTTTCAGAGTAGAGAATACCTGTACCTCGTCATGGAGTATCTGCCTGGAGGCGACTTGAGCTCCTTGCTCGCAGCATTCGGCACCTTCGAAGAACCCATGGCTCGCATGTATGGTGCGGAGGTCACGATTGCATTGGAATACCTGCATGCAAACGGGATACGACACAGGGACTTGAAACCGGACAATATTTTGATCAACGAGAAGGGTCACACCAAACTGACAGACTTTGGACTGTCGCGAATTCAAGTACCCGATCAGGAACTCGGCTCTGGGAATCCGGAACAAGTCCTGAGCCATCTCAATACCCTCTCGAGACGGAAAAGAACCACGAGAAGCACGACCATTAAATCTTCAGAAACCGCAGAATCTCCCAACTCGGACGGTGGTGGCACGAGTCCTGGAGCGACGCGCACTTCTTCGATAGCACAACGCCGGAATAGTTGTAGAATCCGACGGCAAAACTCAAATAAGGTCTTGGTTGGCACGCCTGATTATCTGGCCCCGGAGCTCCTCCTCGGACTCGGACATGGGCCAGAGGTGGATTGGTGGGCGTTTGGGATCTGCATGTACGAGTGGGTGGTCGGCTTCCCACCATTCTCCGATGACACGCCTGAAGCTATCTTTGCAAACATTCTGGAAGGCGGTAAGTGATAACGGCCGGACGTCTCGGCAAAAATAACTTATCATCTAAACCATATTTCTCGTATCATCCAGTGATAGAATGGCCCGAGTCGGACATGTCTCCGGAGGCTCGAGATCTAATAGAGCGATTGTTGAACCCAAACCCCAAAGAAAGGCTGTCGGCGGAAGGAGTGAAGAAACATCCTTTTTTTGCCGAAGTGGAGTGGGATAAAATTCGAGAGCAGCCCGCCCCTTTCATACCCAGCATCGGAGATGTAACTGACACGAGTTACTTTGATGGTGAGAACATTTCACGGCGGGCTGCCGTGGCATTTCTTGCGCTAATGAGCCTCATCCAATCACAGTGCGCAACGAAAGGCCAGACATCCGAAGGTTGTCGAAGCACAGTTTGCGCAACTTTGGGCCCTCTTTAGCAGGATCCATAGGCGCGCCGGAAGCCATTGAAGAATGGTCGCCATCCGTTGCCACCTCCACCAAGCAATCCATGGCAGTTTCGACCCGAATTGATCCGGCCGTGTCCATCATGCCAGGCGCCTCCCCGCAGTCCGCCGACATTTCGCGGTCAAACTCCACCTTGTCGTTCTACCAAGACAGATCGGTCGACGAGTCCCTCGGACGTACGATTGGACAGCTTGGCGCAGTGGGCCGCCGCGTGAACCGGGTGCCGACATATACGAACTCCGTGGAGGCCCAATTCCAAGAATTCACGTTCAAAAACGTACATAGCCTCGAGGAACATAACATGGACATAAAACGAATGGCGTCCGATTTGCAGGAAGAGCATCTTACGGCGCCTCCGTCTCCGCATATCAATTCTGGAACGCGGAGCCGTGCTAGTTCCAAGACTAGTTTGATGGAGCGGTTAGGTGGCGGTACAGGATTGGGAGCCAAAGCGAGTTCGGGGACGCTGGAGGCACCCGCAGGTGTCAGGAAGCTCAGTCTGATGCCATCCATGGAGAGGGCCCCTGCTTCATAGTGCTCCATTGTATGCAAATCTGTCACATATGACTTGAATTGGACTTCCACGCCGTAAGATGCATGGATGCAAACATTTATGGGGCAAAATCGCGACGATTTCTCTCATTTAACTTGATCATCGATTTCGTACAAGATGTATCCGACCCTGGCCAGACACAACATCTTGCCCATCCGTATACCCAAAAAACCCAATGACTGCACAAGAAGAGACAGGTGGTGATGACGAAAAGCGAGCACATGCAAGTGCGACTCTGAAAACTTGGATAGTAACTGCATCTCATAGTTCCAGCCCAGGGACATCATCGTCCGAGAAAGACCCCACTTCGCTCATATCGTCGTCATCTGAACCGCTTTCATCTGTCGCCGCATCTGCTGCCTCCTTCGTGGCGTACCTTGTCACGTATTCTGTGCGGACACATATTAGCGATCTTTATTGCACGCGTAGAATACAGTAAGCCCAAGGTTACCTTTCACTTTGACCTCGTAACTTGTCGGTTCCCGCATCAGGAGAGCTGCTGCTTCTCCATTGAGAGGGTCGGTAGGGTTTGGATACCGCAACAGTTGAGGAAGGAATACTTCGAAGATGTTGATCATGTCTTTGTGAAGTACGAAATTGATGAGTGTCGTGCCGTGCCTTCTTGACGACAAGATCGCGGTCATGCGTACATACCGAACATTGGACTCCATGTCTGGTTGATGACATCCAAACAGACCGATCCGCTCCTAGCGTCACAGGATATGAGTGAAGAGCGCCTTTCAAATCATGAGCGAAGTTACTGGTACTCACAACTCGTCAATATTTGGGTGGAAGATTTTGTTCATGAAGCCGATAGACGGTGACTTGTATGGGTACTGGTCAGGGAGCTCCACGTGAACTTTCCACACTCCGCCGGTGAAAGGAGCTATGAGATGAGCAACATGGTCAGCGGAAGGTCGGAGATTTGGTGTCCACGTAAGACCAAGGCGCGAAACAAAACGTACTATCTTTGGGACCGTGAAACCTGACGTAGAATTCTGTACATGGGTCAGTTCATATGTTTCATGAAAGGTTGAGAGAACGAGCCGTGGTCGGATGTGCAGGCCTGACTCGCCTTACCTTGCATGTTGTCATTAACAAGCGTGACTTCGTAGTCACTCATCAGACTGTTGCTCATAGACAAAAGGATAAAGCCGGTCAATATCAATGCAGCGTCGAATAAACGCTTTACGCTCTCCAAACTTACAGTTTCATGACATCCGTCTCTATTCGCCTCCTTGGCGAGGACATGGTTGCGAGGAGTGTTCAGAGGAACTGCAACGAAGATGTCAAAGCGGAAGATCGCTGATACGGGGGACTTTGCTGGCTGCCTCGCGGAAGAAAGCTAGAGGAGAGCTCTGGAGTAGGCGACGATAGTTGCGGACGTTTCCGAAAAATGTGCTTTTCGGGCGGCTGCTGTGATTTCGAAGTAGAGCTGTAAGGTTGGCCGTTTGCGGGGTTTGAAGGGTGGACAAACGCGTCGGACGACGACAAAACGCTGTGGGGACGATGACAAAAGGTCAACCGAAATGAGAGCTGGTGGGCAGTTGAAGGTTTGTGAGCGTGGGCGATGAGTGCGTGGCGGATTGTGGGTGTGGGGGACCGGTCAACGGCGGCGGGGGGCAGTGAAGTTGAAGATATTTTACATACAGTATGTGTCGGTCGCCTCTTGGCAGAAGCCGGGGATATCTCTCCACCGAAAGTGACACGTAGGTGTTTATCCTTTTGATTGCGTGATGCGATGACTAGTCACGCTTATCATTAGCGGGTGATTAGAGTCATGTCTCGATCCTAAGAACTCTGTTTGAAACAACACACGTATACCGTCACGCGGAGACTCCGCAAAAAGCTACGATAGCCAATGTGAACCCAAAAACTCCAGAGCTACCCGCTGCCCATTTCTTTTGGAGCGTGGAGTCGCGACGGCGCATCGATTATTATCTCCATGAAAAAGGAGTACACCTGTACAATGATATGGAATTCGGGAATGGAGTAACAAAATTTCCCGCCCCATAAAGTATGTATAATGATGGCGACGACTATCTACCCGTCACCGTCTGCGCCAGCCAAGGATGGCTGAGAACCTCCTCCACAGAGGGACGTTTGACAGGATTCGTCGTCAAAATCTTTCTTATCAGATCCTTGGCGAGATCACTTACAGGCGGGCGGCCTGGTTGAGGGGGTGGGAACTTGTAGGAGCCTGTCGCAATGCGGTGGAACATGGATCGTAAAGTCGAGCCAGGTCGAACGTTGAATGGTAGCTCCCCGGTGAGAAGGGCAAAAAGGATGATACCCAAAGCCCAGACGTCCGTTTTGCGGCCGTCGTAGGGAAGCGCTTTGATGACTTCGGGGGCGACGTACTCCTCGGAGCCGCATCGGTCCGTCAAGAGGACCCCCGGTGTGAAACGTGTGGCTAATCCAAAATCCGTCAACTTGACTCCGGTATCGGAGTCGACGAGAATGTTTTCGATCTTGATATCGCGATGGCAAATGTTGTTGCGGTGAAGGTGCGCGACGGCCGAGCACATTTCGGAGAATATCCGTTTGATGAAAGCCTCGGTGAGAGACGCGGGGTGGGCGGTCATCAGCTCGTAAAGATCGGAATTTGGAATGTACTCCAGCACCAGGCATGAATGTGTTTCGGTCTCGAATGTAGTGAGAAGGCGGATGATATGTGGGTGTTTTAGGGACTCAATGAGAGCCGCCTCTCGATGTGCCTGATCGATCGCTGTTTGAAGCTGTTCGGACTCTGGACCGTGCCCGTTCGCCTGCCCTTGCTTTACCGACCGCGGCTTTTCGAGCATTTTGAGGGCAACTCGCTTGCCGTCCCGAATATGAACAGCTAGTTTGACGTGTGAAAAGCCACCCGTCCCCAAAGTCTTCAAAATGATATATGGCCCCACAGATTCGTTCGGTAATGGTGGTGCTTGTTGCTGTGCTGCTATTCTAGGTGCTGATGATGCTGGTGTCAGGAGACGACGCTTCTCCGTATGCGGCACAGGCGCAACTTTGCCTGCCGATCCGCTCTGGTCCACCGATTTCTTTCCCCGCATGCCCTGGAAGAAACGTGACAAGAGCGGTTCGGAGAGTGTCCGATTGTTCTTCGCTAATGGTCGACCGTCCTTGTCTGCATGAATCTGTTGTCTGGAAGCTGGAAGCCGAGGATTTATATTTCGAGAGGCATCTAATGGAGGGGTGTCTGATTTCGATGCAACTGCGTCGTGTGATTGGTATCGTCGTGGATGCTCCGCAATGGGCGAAATGTGCAAGTCTCCGGCGGCGTGCCGCCGATTTGGATTCGGAATCGACTCGGCATCTGGTCGGGACCGTTCCAGGTCTGCAGCTGGAGCAACTGATAGTAGTGGTGGAAGTCGCCCAGCTTTCCCTTTCCACCACGCTTGCTCAAAGCCATTTTGCCCCTGCTCCTGGGGTTTCGATTTCAGCTTTTTGGGTGAGAGTGGGTGAGAGTGTTTGCTGAGGACTGAAGGACCGAGTGGGCCTGGGGCCGAGAGAGTTGCTGCATACACCATTCTCTAGCGTATATACACCGGCAGGAAAGTGTTCGAATGTCTGTGCCTCTGACGTTCGAGAGGTGAGAAGTCCAGCGCTGTTGCTCGAGAAGCTCGAAATCTTCAAAGCCCTAGTCTAAGACCTTCTCCGTATATATATTCTACCAAGTCGGCGACCAAGCTATGCTGGGGGTTCGATGTTGTTGTGTCGACGTGTACGTCCGTAGCGGTGCGTGTTGTCGTACGAAATGTCGTTGCAGAACGTCGGAGCTGACGTGCAAATGCAAGGCTGTTCTTTTGTAAGGTCGTGCCGAGGTGGGCGGTCCTCCTATCGTCCGAGCTCCGCCTTCTCCAACTTGCAGGTGCTAGTTAGTAACGTTTTGCGGAGGTTCGTTGTGGGGATGCGCAATGCGGTGGAGGTGATTTTTTGTCCAGTGCGGGAAAAGTCTCTGATGGGGCGGATATCTCACATTAGATTTGGGATTTGGATCTTGGCGCAAAACATTAGGACCGTGATTAGCGTGGGGGGGCCTGATTGTCCAAATGAATTGCTTGGCCGTGACGCCTGTCACTTGAGACGTTTCCGTTGTGTCCGAGACTCCGAGGACTGAGATCGCGTCGGGTCTGACTCAGGTGACTGGCGGGCAATACGAGGTACCGCGGATTAGGATTCTGGCTGGGGATTTTCCTGAGAGTTGGATGGTAGTTTCGATCGCCGATGTCGAATACGCTATATGCATACGTGCGGAACTGCAAAGCTCCACACCAGAGATGATGGGTCGTGCATTTTGAAGGAAGGAATGGACGATATTGATAGCCTTCGCCTTGCGGCCCCTCTAACAAGGAGCTTCTCAAAGCAACTCCGTGTGCATATCTTCGTTTATGCATGATGCATTCTTCCTGGGGTTGGACTAATAAACCTCATCGGCCAATGCTCGCTTGGAGCCGGCATGTATGAATTGAAAAGTACTGTACTGTATGTACGTGGCCGGCGTTTAGCCTGCACATGCCCAGAACTGGTAGGGCGGCGACATGGAGGCGAATATGCTGGGTGAGTACCTCCAAGGTTCCGAATCAGACCACGTGAGGGCCACGTGCATAACTCTTTCCTTTTGGGGAAATAAAATGTTTGCGCCCGGCCAAGAAGCGGTTAGAAACGGCGTCGCTGTCACCTGCGTGGCCCGTTGACATGAACGCCGCCCCGTAATTTGACAGCGACCCAGGCTTTTCTTCCTGCCCCCGAAGACTCGCAGCTCGCGTATTACTCGACATTTGCAAAAGGACGTCTCCTCCAGACTCCTTGCTCATACAACAACCACAACAACTACTTCGCAAACATGGCGAAGAAAGGACAGAAAAAGGTCGTCCTGTCGCTCACCGACTTCCTCGCCGCTGACGGTACGCAGTCCAACCTGATCTACGGCTCTCGTTCTCGGAAGTGCTTCATAATTGTGCTGGTCGCAACAACCGAAGCACGGAAAGAGCGAGTGCACGCCGAAAGGCTCCTTCGACTGGGAATTCATATGGACAGTCTTACTGACGTTACCGCTTGACACTATCATATAGAATTTGGTTCGTCTTGGGCTGACGACGTCGAGACTCTCCCTAGCGCTCGTACGTATTTCACTCAATTGGCCTCTCCTCGACTGACCTGCGCACTGACAAGTTGACGTTCGTTATATTCTGTAGCCGCTGCTTCGGCTTCAACCTGTAGGTGTAGGGTTCATTTCGTAGTCAACCGGGACCGTTTGCTAACGGGAGGACTGTTTGGACTTTTGGGACGAACCAGATTCCGGAGAGAACCGCGGCTATGCTTCATACGAGGCTGGAGGTGGGTTCCCGTACACAGCTGCGACTGTACAGCGCACCAAATCTGACGTGCCGTCCAAATCTCAATAGGCGATGGTAGCTTCCGTGACAACCGCCCGGCGGTGGCACTCCCAGACCGACCTCCGTACACCTGCTTCGTTGGAAACTTGTCCTACGAAACCACTGAAAAGGACCTCGAGATGCTGTTCCGCGATTTGCGAGTAAGCAGATAGCTCGGGCATCAGTGAGAATGGAGTGCAGGAACTCACGTTGCAACATGCGCTCTTAGGTGAAGAACATTAGGCTCCCTACTGACGTGGACAAGAAGCCCAAAGGTTTCGGTTACGTCGAATTTGACGACCGTGAATCTCTGGCTGAAGCCGTGAAGTTGAGCGGACAGAGCCTTTCGAGGCGCAACATTCGTATCGACGTCGCTGAGCCTCGTAAGTGGATTGCTCTCAAGCACATTCAACTAATGGCAGATCCTGGAAGTCCTCATCTCTCTCCGCGTTTACAGCCAAAAACTCTCGCGGCGATTCTGACCGACCAAACCGTGACGCAGAATTGGGCAACCCATGGAGGAGAGCGGACAATGTCCCGGCTCCACTAAGCGACCGCTACACTGACCGCGACCGTGGAGGTGGTCGTGGAGGAGACCGCGAATTTGGTGACAGGGGTTTCGGTGGCGGCTTCGGTCGTGATCGCGACGAGAGGCCGAACGGTGGTGGCTTTGGAGGCGGGCGATATGGAGACCGGCCAGACCGCGGTTTCGGCGGTGGAGGCTTTGGTGGCCCTCGTGGAGGAGACCGCGAAGGCTTCGGTGGCCCTCGAGGAGGAGACCGCGAATCTGCCCGTGGTGAGTTACCCAAATGAAACTTGAATGCTCCCTCCCACACGAGGATTGATGATTCTTGTCCGTTGTTTCCAGCCGAACCCCCTATGGTCCGCAAAAAGCTCAACCTGGCCCCTGTCCCTGCTCATCTGAAGAAACCCGAATCTGATGAGGCCGTCAAAAGCCCCACAGCAGAGACAACCTCGGAGGAAAAGACCACCACGGAGGAGCCCAAAAAACACAAGCCAAACCCCTTCGGTGCCGCGAAGCCCCGTGACGAGAACGAGATTATGAAACAAGTCGAGGAGCGTCGCCGTCAGCGGGAGGCTGAGAAGAAGGCAGAGCAGGAAGCTGCCAAGAAAAAGGCCGAGGAGGAAGCCAAGAAGAAAGCTGAGGAGGCCGCCGAAGCAAAAAGGAAAGCCGATGAGGCTGCCGAGGCCAAGCGAAAGCAGGAAGTAGAGGAGAAGAAGAAGGCCGACGAGGAGCGAGCGAAGAAGGAGGCTGAAAAGTCCGCTGCCGCCGCCAAGGACGAGCCCGCAAAGGACAAAGCCGTGGACGCCCCTGCTGCTGCTGACGCACCAAAGAAGATCCCCGCCGATCCCAAGCGGACAGGCTCCTCCGACCCCCGCCCTTCCGCTCCTGACCGCAACAACCGCTCCTTCAGGGATGGAGCGCCGGCCCCGGAGTCCCGCCCTGAGGCAGCCATGTCATGGAGACGAGAGGCGCCTGTCAAGCCCGCCGGATCATCCGAGGACCGTGGGGGACGTGGTGGACGAGGCGGTCGTGGTGGCCGTGGTGGATCTGTGCGTGGACGTGGTGGGTTCCGTGGAGGACGTGAGGACGGACGTGGTGATAGTCGTGATAGCCGTGATAGCCGTGATAGTCGTGGTGTTGCTCACCGTGAAGGCGGTGTCAATGGCGACCGCGCTGCATCGGGAAGTGGAAACAACAAAGCACCCAAACCCCTGCCGACCCTCGAGAAGAAGGTTGAGAAGCTTGAAAGCAAAAACGTTTTCGACTTGCTCGGCGTAAGTACTTGAGTGCTCTTCACTCTCGCTCTGATCAAGTCGTGGAAACTGACGTTTCCTCCCATCCCTTCCCCACTTACAGGACGAATGATTTAATGCGTGGTCCCATGTTTTTCATTCTCTTACTCGTTTCTTTCAGATAGATTGTATATGTATCTAGTTTGCAAATATTCATCGTTCAATTCTTTCTCATTCAATCTTTGGATCCAAAGTCTTGGACTCTGCCTGGAATCGCTCGAACTTCCGACATTACGGTGAATGCCACCTAGCCAAATGAGAAGGGAACTCCAAACCAAGCACCATTCGCCAGGGGTCAGGACAGTCCAAACTTTATATTCAGATTGCCTACGCCACTCAACCTTGTGCTCTAACTTCCCTGCATTGGTCAAACCTATCGGCGGAAATAGGATGACTCGAAGGAAGTGTCTCTCTTTATTGAGGGTTCTCTACATAATGATCGACGGCTCAGCAATATTGCTGCTGACGGTCTTGTGTGGAAGGACGCATCCTCCGTTGATGAACACCTGTTTGGAGAACGGCGTTAGGTCGATATGCTCAAGCCTTGTGAAAGCTGGGAAATCGCTGGACCAACCTCATCGGCAACGTGCACATCATCTCCCAAGACCGTAACGCCCTCTAACCAAGCCCAACGCCCGACCGTGCTGTGCCAACCCACGATGGTGTTGGTAACATTCGCGTGGTCCTTAATCTCAGCACCTTCGAGAATAGCGCACTTTGATAGCCTCACGCCATTGCCAATAACGCAATCTGGGCCAATCACGACATGCGGCCCAATCTTGCAGTTCTCGCCAATCTTGGCCGACTTGTCAATGAGCGCGAACCCGTTGATGTGCGGTCCGGTCGCCAGTCGCTCGTTGGCGGATTTGTGCAGCGACTTGAGGTACAGGCCCGTTCCTGTCAAGTAGTCCTTTGGCTGCCCGACGTCCATCCAGAAACCGGGCAGGTCCATCGTGTGCAGCTGGGACGCTGCGGCCATAGCCGGGAAGATCTCCTTCTCAATACTGGTGGGGATGGGCTGGATGCGGTTGAGGATGGACGGGTTGAATATGTATATTCCCGCGTTGATTTTGTTCGAGACAAAGATCGTGGGCTTCTCCACGAACCGCTCGATGGCGGTGGAGTCGGGTTTGTTGACCACGACACCGTACTTGGATGGGTCCTCGACCTTGGTGACGAGGATGGTACCCTCGCCTCCGTGGGCTTTATGGGCAGCGGCCATCTCGTGGAAGGGGAAATCGCAAATGACGTCCGAGTTGAGCACAAAGAAAGGCTCGTTGTCCTTCCCCAAGACATCCTTGGCCAGAGCCAAGGGGCCGGCTGTTCCCAGCGGTTCGTTTTCGATGGAGAAGGTGATGCGGACTTTGAACTCCTCCTCGTACTTTTGCATGAAACTCGCCATGACCTCCGGGCGGTAGTTGACGGCCAAAACGATATCCGTCACACCGGCCTGCATCGAAACATCGTTAGAATACGTTGTCGAAATACCGCCCTTTCCCACGCGCCTATCGCGCTAAGCATGACTACACATCCTGCCCGGAAACCACACGCCTCACCTTGACGAGAGCCTCAATCTGGTGGAGAATCATGGGCCTGTTGGCGAACTCCACAAGCGGCTTGGGGAGGGTCAAAGTCAGAGGTCGCAAACGCGTGCCGAACCCTGGGAAAAAGCGCACAGCGCATCAGCTCGAATTGCTCCACCCAGTACACGCAGTCCACGCATCGTCCGTCCAGGAAGCTAAGGAGAGGTGAAGCTCTCGGATGCCACGTACCGCCAACAAGAATGAGGGCCTTCATCTTGGTTTATAGAAGTATCTGCAAGCAACGACGCGTGAGAACCATCCGCTTGCAGGCCAATGACGAAAACACTTGTCACCGGCAAACGTACCGAGAACGTGGGGAAGATGAAGAGGAATAAACTCAGCGTTGGTCGAGGTATTCGTAATCGGTCTGCGCTCGTAATGTGCTGAGCGGGGTGTGTTGCTGCTTGTTAAGGCAAAATGCAGGAGTACCAAAGTCGAGGCAACCTTGAAGTCTGATGGGAGGGGCTTCGCGAACTTCCCACGCGCCGTCGAAGTTCACCTTCCCCTCCTTCACACTTTTGGGAGCTCCACAAAGACGACAGAAGACGAACGATGAAGGATGTAAAACCACCTATTCATTTCATCTATTTGTGCTACGGAAGAGAAGATAATCCCCGTAACGTCACGCTACTCTTACTGCAATTATATGCCAATAAAAGACCTAAAATCTAACCCGATGCCACTGCGTAGCTTTCTGCCACGGAAAGCACCAAAAAATGGAGTTGTGCTACCTAATGTTCGGCACCTTTCGTGACTTGATATGTAAAAGACGCCCTCAGGGATGCCCAAAGTGAGAACCCGCCGTGAATGTAACCGCATCACTAGTAATCCACAGCCCATCCGTTTCTGCAATGGATAGTTCAGTTTCCATCATATCGCGAAGCGCCTAGTACGCTGAGGACTCACTCTTTCAAGAATTCCTCGATGATCTCTGGTAGATAAGGTTGGTTGGTTAGCATATGGTCAAGGCCAACGTCGTCGCAAACATGTTACGCGTCGAACCTCGCAATGCCAAATTGGGTCGCAAATCAGACTCCCTCATCGGCTGCCTGCTCAACGGGTCCCAGTACCCGATCTTCCTCATGTGAGCTAAGATTTCCGTTCGATCATAGCTGATCCCAGACACAGAGACGACTGGATCGGTCATCACCTCGAATGAGATCTGCCGAAGGAAGCATGAGTGGAAGTAACACAAGCTGAATATAGGGAAGTGACGATCTGAGGATATCTACCTTCCCCAGAAAGTGATCCGGCACCTCCCTTCTCTGCCCAGGATCATTTGCTCTCGTCAACAAATCTGCCATTTGCGACAGCCTTTCGTCCTACGAGTAAGGACGTAAGTGGTTTCCTTTCTGCGACCGTAAAAAATGGCTCGGCATTGATACCTACAAACGACGCCTTGACGACATCTCTGTCTTCCTGAGCGACTCCAGCGTTGTCCAACTGCGTCAATTGCCTATTGGGGTAACCGAGCCCGCCAATGTAAGTCCCCATGTCGTGACCATGATCTGCGAATGACCTAAGCGACAGCTACAGTACCGATCCCGATCCCTAGTTATTAGGCTATGCAAATATCTGTGCAAGTCGGACTCCTCGTTCCTCCGCTTGATGTCCAGAAGCTCCCATCTCCGCTTTTTCGCTTTTAGTATCTTCTGTGCGATTTCTTCCGTATACGTGACTTTCTGCTCTATCGCCAGATTGTACGCTGAATCACCAAGTGGTTGACACATGCCTCAGCGGTGAGCTCCGGATATGTATAGGTGTAGCTGGTCCAATCAAATTGGCAAACCTTTTTTTAACGAGTGGAGAGCCCCGTCAATTCGGTTGTCGTTCATTGCAAGCGCTTCGCCTAGCTTTTAAGACAAAGGTGAGCCAACGTTCATTGACATCTTCTCAGCGACATCGATGTCTTTACCAGAAGATGTCCTTTTACTGTAGATCGTGAGTGTCAACTGTTGAAGCTAGGAGTTGATTGACAGTGCGGAGCACCAACCTGATCTGCTATCCAACTCAATAGCCTTTTCTGCGTCTAGCGCAGCCCTCTGATGGTTGGACATCGTCAGGAAGCATCGAGCTCGGTTAGTGTAATACGTCGGCACATCCGGTGCTTTCACGATCGCAATGCCATATTCCTCTATAGCCTGCTCATAGAACCCCTGACCGTAAAACTTGTTGCCAAGTAGCTTATGCTCGTTGGCTCGGTCGTTCATAGAGAGAACTAGAACTTGGAAGCGTAAAGAAAGTCGGCACGGTCGAGAGCTTTAGCCGCTCCAGCCGTGCTCTGTAAGTGATATCGTAGCTAGGCCCACAAAAGCGCAAAATAGGTGAAGCTGCAAAGCAAACCGAGGTTGCCGTTGTCACAATGGAGATGAGGAATGCCAATGGAACGTGGGGGAAAGTCCGAATTCGGAAAGGGCGGAGCGGAGAGCGAGGCCGCTGTCATTTGATGCTCCATTACTCATCACCGAAACGCGTAGCCTTCACGGAAGACGCAGGAAAGTGGTTTATACAGTATTTTATGTTTACGGGCCTCCTACACACACAGACGCACCGGGGATGAGCCTCCTCCACAAAGGCATCTTCCGAAGATGAACGAAGAGAGAGAAGAGATGCGTTGGTAACCCCCTGAAAGCAATTTGTGTACGTTTCTCAATATCGCTTCTAGGCGCAAGCACGACGATCCGGAAGCAAACTACCACGCAACACTAAAGTCACACCAGGGCGAACCCTATATCTAGTAGTCGATGTGGATTTCAGGGACCTCGGGGTACTTGCCGGCCGGGAAGGGCCTCCACTTGTATGCATCTTTGTCGACTGGAATTGGACAGTTCAGCATGAGCAAACGAGCGCCCCATACAGTGCAATGTCGAACTTACTGTCGCAGGAGCAACGCGCAAGAGCAAGTTTGTCGTCACACACAGAGACGAGCTTCGTCTTGTAGTTCGGGCAGGCCTTCTGGCACGCGGAGATGAAGGCCGAGCACTTTTTCTTCTTGGAGATGGTGGTGATGTCGTAGATCGGGGTGTAAATGGCCGGGTATCCCTCCGAATCGGGTTCGTAGACGCGGACGTAGGTGGGCTTGGTCTTGGCGCACTGCACCTGGCACCAGGCGGCGCCGATGAGGTCGCGGCGGTTCTCGTTGTGAACGATGTGGCACTCCTTTTTCTCGTTGAACTTGACGTTTCCGCAGCCCGCCTTTTCGTTGAAGTGCTTGCAGCCGTAGGAGTAAAGAGGGCAACCGTCACCTGTTGATCATCAGGAAATAACATTGGGGATGAGCGATGGATGTGGGGTGGCTAGGGCTGTGAAAGGCAACGCATCGATGGTTTACCTTCGCTCTCAGCTGCTACGGCAGTGACGAGGATGGTGGCGGTGACCACAGCGATGGCTGAAAACTTCATCCTGGCGCTATTTCAGAATCGTTGGAGCGGCAAGATGAAGGGTGTCGGGGGACTCGAACAATGCAGACGGTTCAAGAAGCATTTGGCTTTTATACGTATACGCGGCCTACATCAGTCCAGGTTTAGGCTTTCATGCCAGAGATTTGAGGCCTCGAAAAATCGAGGGCAGACAAAGAGAGCCATGGTTGGAGTCTTGGAAACGAGAGCGAACGATCGGACGGTTCACACCCTCGGAAGACGGGGTCAAACTTCAAGGTACAGTACAAAGACTATTTTCAGCAAAGTTTGACAGTCATACCTTGGGAACTTGGGACCCGCTGAACAATTTGAGGAAAAAATGTTTTTGTGGGGGAACAACGGCTTCGGAGAAAGGACCGTGGCTTCACTATGCTGCCGCATGTGATTATTGAGCTTGCTGCTCGATGGGACAGCCCACCGAGTTCCGACCTCGTTGGACCAGGCTGGTAGAGCTTATAGGTTGCAAACCATATATGTATCTATGTACATACATACGTACACTGAGGGCATGTAGTTTTTGATGCCAATGCCAGTGAAGCGTTTCCATCCCCTTGACAAAAAAATGTGTCCGATGGAATCCACGTCTCCCAACCGAAGTATACAAGTTAGATTTAGAGTTACCGGGTGCTTTCATGCTCCCGAGGGCCGAGAAAGTACAGTCCTGTACTCTACGGCGCCGACGACCTCCGCCGGCCGAGAGGAAGCCGCTGTCCCAGTGCGCGGTGGACTCCAGTTGGGTGACTCACCGCGATGACATGATTGCTTTCTCGACAAGCAACGCCAAGCATTTCTCTGTCCAAGTTGCTGTTCGTTGTTGTCAGGTCGTTCGTCAATCGACTGACTGAAAGGTCACTCTCCAGAACACAATCAAAGCATCTCGCTCTCGCAACCGAATCCAAAGCTGTGCTCAGGTCTCCGTCCTGTGTCGAAATCTGCGGTACTCAACTCCGGATTCTCTGCCGACTCCCTTACCCACCAACTTGCGGGCGGAAACCCCATTTTGACGCGCAAACGCAGGTTATTCAGAACTACATCCACCCGCCGCCATGATGGAATTCATCTTTGGGTCGCGCAAGACCCCGCAGGAGTTGCTCCGGCAGCATCAGCGCGCTTTGCAGCGGGCCCAGCGGGATTTGGACCGCGAGAGGGCTAAGTTGGAACAGCAGGAGAAGAAGCTTATCGTGGATATCAAGAAGGCTGCGAAGGCTAACCAAATGGTACGTTGATGGAGTTCCTGCACCATAAAAAGAAGTTGGGACTGGAATACACACAGGTGTTTACTCTGAATGACCAAAATAACGTTTTGCGAATCCTACCTAGAACGCGTGTAAGATCATGGCAAAAGACCTTGTTCGCACTCGCCGGTACATTCAGAAATTTTACCAAATGCGAACCCAACTGCAGGCAGTGTCGCTGAAGATTCAAGTAAGTCGAACAAACAAGCTGAACGAAGAGTCAGTTCGACATCATTGTTACTGCGCGGTGCTAACCCGGGCCCCATCAATCAGACGCTCCGCTCAAACCAACAAATGGCCGAAGCGATGAAAGGCGTAACCAAAGCCATGCGCTCCATGAACAAGCAAATCAATTTACCAGCTATACAAAACATCATGATGGAATTCGAAAAGGAGAGCGAAACGATGGACATGAAGGAGGAGATGATGAACGATGCTATAGACGATGTGATGGAGGATGAAGGAGATGAGGAGGAAACGGACCAGATTGTGAATCAGGTTTTGGACGAAATTGGGATTTCCGTGGATCAAGCGGTATGTGGATGCATACCATTAGCACGAAAGTCACGTGAGGTCGGCAGGTACTTATACGACCGTACACCGTACGTTTTACAGCTCCCAGAAGCATCGCGATCGAAAATGGGCAACTCGGCTGGCAAAGAGCAGGGAGACGCGATGATGGCAGACGACGCGGCATTGCAAGCTCGTTTAGACAACTTACGGCGGGAGTGATGGGGCAAGCACGGGCCTCCGTATGAGCCTGGGGACACTCAATTGGGATCGGGACACGTCAATATCCGACATTCATGAGGGTGGGTCTAGGAGGGGCAGAGGGCTTATCCTGGGCTCCCCACGGCCCGTCGGGAATGGAAGGGCGAGACTGAACAGGACAACAGTGGTCTGGAAAAACGTTTTCGCATTCGAAGCATATCCGTGAAAGAACTTGGTTGCGTAATCAGCATTACGTCACGTTTATTTCGATCTACCCTACCCTCCCTTTGCTCAAACTGAGCACAAAACAAATCAATGTCTGTTCCCCTTCGCACACTTGTATACAGTGATACAACGCAGAAATATATAATCTTCAACCTTTTCGGGTCTCGCCCCTCTTCGTCTTTCGCCTCGCATATTCTATTCCTCCAAAGCGGTATCCTTGTCCTCGGACACATCCATAGCGTTGTCTTCGCCCGACGGGGCCTGCCCATCCGCGCCGTCACCCGCCGGCTCTAGCTGCTCCACAGGCCCCGAGTTGAATGGTGCCTCCGCGGGAACGATGTCCATTGGCTCAGTCAGTGCAGTCGGTTCAGACGATGCTACTGGCGCCGGTGCTGGTGCCGCAGCGGGAGGAGCTGCGGCGGCAGCCGAGGCTGGGCTTGACAGTAGAGAAGCGGAACTTGGCCTGATTTCCTGACGCACTAATTTGATGACATCTGCCACTGGGGCGTCGGTTCTAATCGTTGGGTGCAACGAGGATTCAATAGGCTGCTGTACCATGAGCGAATACAACCAAACGTTGGTCACTCACGCGTTGGCCATAAGTCCCCGGATAAGCTGTTCCACTTGGGATTTGTCCACGGTTCTATCCTGCTCTGCGAGATACTGAAGGATCTCGACCACTGGCCCCACTCGTACACGAGCATTGTCACTGAGGATGTTTGCGACGGTCTCTATGGTGGCAGTGAGGTTCTGGAGGATGTGCGCCTCTTAATGAGCTCACATTGCCCAACAAAAACTTTGACAGAATATCCTTACCCCAGCTGCAGACGCTACTAAGAGAGCCCAGCACTTTGTCCAAGGGATACGGTCGCCGGTCCAGCCTCCCAATCTGGTAGAGACTCCAACTTTCAACTGACATTCATCACGTACACCCCCTCCCCCGGCATTGATAGCCACACCCAGGCTCACCTTACGATGTCGTTAATCTGTGCGGCGGGGATGCTGAATGCATTACATGCCTCATCCAACTCTGCTCGCGATACCACGGCCTTATCAGGCGAATCAAACTGTTCGGGTGCGATCAGGACGCGTAGGAGAGGACCATATATGCGAAACATTGAAGGCCCTCCGGAAGCCCCACGTACCTTATTATAGATGGCCTCCAACTGCATGTTGTTCAAACGTTTCAAGTTGCTGGTGTCCGTCTTCTGCCTCGCCAGGCGGCCAAAGTACCTATTTGCAACATGTCATTAGGCTTTCGTCCGCGTAACTTTCCCAGCGCCGCTTTTCCTTCGAGTGTCCCATCATGCATCCCGTCCCATCCGTCAAATCGCAGTCTGAACACTCACTCGAACGATTCCTTCATAATGTTTCCGGGCTGCGTGCGAATGATATGTTTCGTGTAGTTTTTGAGTATATCAGGCAAATCCGGCGGGATGCGGATCTGCTCCGCCGTATAGAGCGGCTCGGTCCCAGTGTTCATCCTATGAGGGCTAGTACGCTGAAGCTTTTGGTTGGAGGCTTTGACGGGACGGAGGAATCCTCGTTTTCGATGCCAGTTCCCGACGCGAAAGACAGCTGAGAGTTCCGCTTCGGAGACTAAGCTTCCGGACCTGATGTGGAGTGTCGCGTACTTTTCTGGAGAAGCCAAGCCAAGAGCTGGACTGGGAAGCGACACTGCCAGTGAGACTTATATGGTGTACTGTAGGTTGCAGCACGAACGTTCAAAAGTGGAACATCTTCAGCGTGAGGAAAGTCATAAAGGCCGGCCACAGCGCGCGGGGGAAGATGCACGAATTGACGCGTTCGCGTTCTGAACCGTATTCTTTGGCATGGCCGTACTACATATAGATGTACTGGTTCGAAACACAATTGTATACAGAAAATACCATACATAAGAAAACTGGACACATACAAAATGCAACGGTGACATCCACCAAGGTTCTAATTGGAAATCACTATCTGAAAGGGAGCAAAAATCACAGTCACAGTCTCGCCAGTTCCGAACCGAACTAAGTGTCGTCAATAGGTGAGCCGCAAATGTCAAATCCTTCGCCGTTCACATCACACAGAAGGCCATCCAAACATATCGTCGTCATCGTCGGCCAAGCTATGCGAAGCATCAATGGCAGGCAACTGACGTCGAGAAGACTTCGCCAACCGGGTGGCGCCCACCGAGTTCATTCGCTGAAGCCTTTTCTTCTCGGAGCCCTGGGAAAAGGTAGGTTGGGAAGTCACTGCAATCACATTCCTCGGCGTTATCATTTATGTCACTCACGGTGATGTAGACCTTCTTTGTTCGTTCCGTATGAATGGTGGTGGTCTTGGTCACAGATGTCTCGGAGTGCGTCGGGCTATGGTGGTCGCGCGGGGATGATTTTGTTCCTGTCGGTGCGAGTTTCCGAGCCTTTTTCAACGATTGGGGTCTGGCGGACTCCGGAGTCGGCTGCCTTTGCGAAATCTTTAAGGAAGCGGTTAGGAGCATACCCAAGAGGTCAATGTGCCCGGTGCCTCTGCTCGTACCTCCATGTGCGACCCAGCGTATTCACTTTGCAGAGCGGCGGAACTGATCTCAGACTTTGCAACTGCTTTTCGTCCAGTACTCTCCCCAGGAGTGCGGGCGGCCTTCGGAGTGCGTCTTGCAGATTTTCGGGCTTCGGGTGCCCCTTCAGCCTTCTGTGGCTGTTCGAAAGTCAGCGTTGCTCCACGACGAAGCCGACTCCTTGCCGCCGGAGCTTCAATCACAGTCTGAACGTGAAACTGAGTTAGACCACTAAAATAGTTGTGACTGCATGTGTTTACATACCTTCGGACGCTTGCTTTGACGGAGCGGCGACTCCTCGACTGTCTCTGGAGACTCGCTCGTAGGGCGGGATTTACGTTTGCTCGCTGTCGGTTTCTGCTCAAAGACAAGCGGTGTGAGCATTCAAACTTCATTTCACAAACATGACGTATCACTCAAACACCGACCTGAACGGGGCTGGAATGCTCCACGTCAGCGCGCTTGACAAGCCGTCGCTTCTTTGACAGGTTGCGGGCGGGAGATTCATCGACAACATCCATAAAGACATCTTTCGGTCGTGCTTCGACATGGAACCCCTTCTTCAGTGCAGCAGGGGTAGGTTCCATTTGCTGTGCGACCTCCTGCGGGTGCGAAGGTGATGAGTAACACGGATGGAACAGGGAAGACAATTTCCTCTAGCCAACTCACTTCCAGTAATTGGTCAAAAGCTTGGCTGTCTTCCTCATCGTTCTGCGGATCAACTCCGAGCAGATCCATCCCTTCAATTTGAGAGAAGGTGGAAATGGGCGATCGCAAGGATTTGCTAGGTGTAGGAAGGTGGGGCGACAACTGCGGGGGTTCAAGCGATACTGTAGCGGGCTGGGGAACATCGACTGCAGTTTGCTCTTCAGGAACTCGCTCCATAGCGACTGGCTCTTGGTCTTTGGGTTCAGTCGTGTATGTACTGGTCGTCTCTGAAACGGTCGACGAGGTGATTTTAAGTGGGCATCGGAATCGGACGAAGCCTTTCGTGGTGGACCTTGTCAGAGGTGCCTTGCGCGCCGGTTGAGCGGGAGGAGTGACGATCTTTGGCTCTTTCAACTTCTCGCCAACCTTTCCGTTGTAGTCGATCACATCGAGAGCCATATTTGATATAAGAGTTTCTTCCTCGTTCTGCCCCATCCGCTTCTCTTGACAGTGAGTGACTACCCTGGCAGCCTGCTTCTGAAGTGTTGTTAGTTCCACGAGAAGTCGCTCGTTTTGAGATATCTTCAAAGCGATTTGAGACTGGAGGTCATTGCGCTCAGCTTGTACAGCGTCAAGCAGTGATGTTGCCAAGTCCTGTGCATATATGTAAGCCGGTGTTGCGATAACTAAGGGTCCGCGATCCGCACCTTTTCAATGCGCATGTTATTGATCTTCGCTTGTAAGTTCAAGCGCTCGGCCTTGGGAAGGATTAGAAGAAAGCGACTGTAACGACCGGCTTTAGGAAGCAGACGCACCTCTCTACGTTTCTCTGCGGCCTCAAACTGACTTTTCAGCTGTCCAAGATCTGCAGAGTTCTGTAAAGCTGTCAGTAAAACCTTCAATAGAAGTTCATGTAGGGTAATCTGACCTTCGACTTCCATTCGTCGAGTTCCTTGTTGGCTTGCCTCAACTCCGTTTGCAACAATGAGTTTTCCTCACGAGCCTCATCACGCGCGCGCTACGAACACGCTTTGTCAGTTGCTGTATGGACACTTTTCAAGTAAACATTGGCCCACCTCCAAAGCTTCGAGTTGATCTTTCATGCGACGTTCCTCTTCTTTCCTGGCCGCATCCTGCAAATACAGTTTTTCGTCTACTTTCTTGCGAGCGTCTTTCAAGGTGTCGACTTCCTTCTTGGCCGCCTCAAGTTCGAATTTCGTTGCGATAATTTCCGATTCGACCTCTTTAATCCGCTTGACAAGCGTTGCTTGCTTTGGCTTCATGTCGAACAGCTCCTGGTTGACAGACTTTTCAGGAAGTCAGATTGCCATGACGTGGAGGAGTGGTGATAAAGCGAAGCAAGACTGAACATTGGCCTTACCTCAGCCGCGCGGTACTTCATGGCGATCACCTCATGTTCAGCCGTGACGTCCGCCAATTTCTGATCGAAGGCGGCCTATATGGGGACGACATTGATAAGACTTAAAACAACGGAAGCAGCCGTCAGATGAGGCTTACCTTCTCCATCTGATGTGCCTGCTTAACTCCTTGAAGACGTTCCTCATACGTTGCATTCAACTCAAGCGTCGCCCTTTGCTCTCTATCAAGGCTGTGGCGGATTGAGCAGTGCAGTCAGAGGCGACTCTTACGGATATGCATGATACCATTTTTGCATATGAGCAATCCTTTCGTCAAGGGCTCGGCGTTCAGCCACTTCTTTGCTCATTTGCTCTTCGAACTCGGCTTTCTGTGCCTCATTTCTGGACATTGAGTAGTCAGTATTCGTACCACACCAGGCCAGTGAGACGACAGTAAATCAGCACGTACAGATGCCGGAGTTCTGTGATCTGTTCCTGATACTCGGTGTCCATGGCTTTCCTTTCTTCGTGGGCGTCGTTGAGATCACGTTGCAAGGCCGAGCAGCTCTCCTGGAGTCTTTGAATCTCTGAGAACTGTGAGTGCCGAATTTGCTCCAATGCGGTGAGATTATCAGAGTGGCTGACGAGAATCCAAATATAAGTGCCGCTGCATTAGATTTCGCACAACTGGAATCTGCTTATTCTCACCGCGCCTCCATCTCGTCTCCGAACTTCTTGATCGCGGCGGACTCGGCGTGAAGACGTTCGTTCTCTGCTTCCAATAGACGTCGCTTCGTGCCAGCAGATTCCTCTTCATGTCTACGTCTGTGCGATATTTAGCAGCTACCCGAAGCGGCATTCAAGTCGTACCAATCACCTTACTGTCGTTTAGAATCCTCGAGCTCCTTTTTCAGTGCAGCTACTTCTCTTCCCATCTCCTCTTTCATTTGCTGACGGCCCTTTTCTACTTCCTCCAGCCGAGCAACCAATTCAGAAAGTTGCCCTTGAGCGTCGTTGAGATGCGCCTCGGTGGTTCTCTTGTTCATCTCATCAATTTCGATGTCATGCTTTAGCTTTTCGTTTGTTTCCTTGATAATGCGGCACTGGGACTCGAGCCTGTCGACTTGCGCTTGGAGAACTGAGCATTCGGCTTTCGCATTCGCTAAAGCGGAGGAGCACTCTTCACGATGACGAGCGTGGCTTTCCAGTAGCTCAATTCGCTTGTTTTCCAATTCCTCTGAGGGGGGTGTTGAGTATTAGGGGGAGATCCTGAAACAGCCCACGCAAACATCCACTAACCCTTTTCTGAGGTGTGCTTTCGCTCGGTTTCTTCACGAAGACTATTTGATAATTGAAGATCGTGCTGAAGGCTACCTTCTTTGGCATTTGCCGCCTGCTGGGCCGCCTCCAATCTACGGTTCGCTTCATCAATCTGATGTTCTGAAGATTTTAGACGTTCCTCGAATCGCTGCATTTGCGCTTCTGAGCGGACTTTCATCAAAGCCACTGATAAACCGGATCTGCGGTAAGTCTTTCGAAGCCAAAATGTCAGAACCGTTCGTCAACTCACAGGCTTTCTCGGCTGTCTCCAGCTCTTTCTTGTACTCGCTCAAAGTTACTTGTAGCTTTGCATTTTCTAATTTCCATTGGACGTCAGGTCAAGTCGCCATACACAATAGAATGGTCCAACAAACCTTTTTCGCCAACATCCAACCGATCCTCCACGGTTTTCTTATCATGTCCTACTCTCTCAATGATCTTGCCAAGACTTCTGATGCTCAACTGTACACCAGTGAGTGAGCAGGTGTACATAAGCGTCATCTGAATATTTCAGACGTACCTTGTAGACTTTGCAGGACTCGATCAAGGACTGGACGCTATCGACACAATATGTCAGCCAGGATACCGGAAACCGTGAGTATCCAAGCGTGGACGAATCTCACCGATGTTGATTGAACTTCACTTTCGCCCGGTGGCCGTCGACCGCCTGAACAACGACACGACTGCTGTTTTTGAGATTCTGTATCACACTTGCTTGTTCCACAACGCAGCTTTGAGCACTTTGCAATTCCGCTTTCTGTGAAAGAAAGATGTTTATGAGAAGATGTCATGGCTTCTGCGGTGCTGTTGAGTTGCTTACCAGTTCCTCCAGCCTCTTTTGCCTGGATGAGTTCTGGATCTGAATGTGTTCCGCCAAATCCATCATTGTGACGGCTAGCTGGTTCTCGACCTCCACCGTCCCGACAAAGCCAAGATCCATGGAACGTGCCTCTCTGGCATTGCGATCAGATATTGATGCGGTTTTGGACTGCCAAGGCACAATGTCGGATGCTCCGCTCTTTCCTTGTGGGTGATGTTCTTCGTCCTCGTCAAATCTAGGCCTCCTCCGAAACTGCTGATCGCTCGTGTCTTCGCGCGATGCGTCGACGGACGAGACGATGGATTGAAGATGCTGAACTTCTTGTTCCCAAGGCCGATCCATGGAAGAGGAGGATGAGTCTTCGACAGTTGACTGGTCGAATCGGTCCAGAGTGGCTTGAGACACGTCTGCAAAAGCGCAATCTTTTTAGCACGAATTCCTGAACAAGGAAAATGCGGCATCTAATATACCTTTCGCCATGTGGCCTCCATAGGCTCTCCACGAGGAAGCTTGAAGCACCGGTGGCCTTTTCCCCCTGGTGTCAGAGCTTGAGCGGACAGCTAGTTCCATGGTACCGATCCCGATGGCTGGCACTCTGGACGTGTGGTGTGGGTTTCCATCCGTAGCATGGTCAGCAGAAGTCATGGATGGGATGGTGCGTTGATTCATCGTTTTGAAATCCGGGGGCGGCGATTCAGTAAGGTTCGAGCGCATATTCCCGTGGTTTATTTTCGGCGAATGCCCGGCGGGCTCTTCAGAGGTAGGGCCGCGCTCGGCAGAAGCTTGTATACTGTTGAGCTCCGAAATACTTTCGACGGCCATCGGAGAGGTGACCCCTTGGTCGCTTAGGTCTTCCAGGCTTTCCGCCGCGGGCGGGGTCGCTCGCCATCCGCCTGTGAATTGAAAAGGGAGCCGGGAAAGCTTTCTGCCAGCAGTTGATTGGCCTCTTGCGGAACGGGGCTTGCCAAACATGTTCAAGAAGCCAGAACCCTCTGAACCTCCATGCTCACTCGGAGAGAAGTCATGTAAAGAAGCGCTCTCTTCAGACATTGTGTTTTCGATGGTGCCAGTTCCGATTGTCTGCCTGCTTGAAAAGTATGAATTTTCCCACGCTCGTGCTGCAGGACGAAAACCGCCGGACCGCGAGCGAGACTCGGAGGGAAGACCGGCCGGGTGGTATTTCAAGAAGAGCTGCGTTCGCAGTGATAGTTTACAAGAACTCTGCTGGCCGACAAAAGTTTGTGATGTTTAGCGTTGCGTGGGAAAAAGGAAAAGATGACTTCCTTGAGCAGAGATGGGCGAGGAAGGCGAGGACAGTGGGGACGGGCCGACGCGTGAATGAGGTGAAGATTGCAAGACTCATGACAATCTTTCTCGAGTTTTTTGAATGTTGAAGAGTCGGGCAAGTCTTCTCACCTTCACCCCCCAGAGCAAACACAATGGGACCTAGTGCACACCCGTAATGTGGATCCCGCCAGCTTTTCGAAAGGCCGACCCGATACTTATTGTTGAGCATATTCGCTCCAATTCGTTTGGGATACTGACCACTCGTTTGAGCATTCTTACCAGGGCAGACGGTTCCCAACTGCCTTTTGGGTTCAAGAATAGTCCAACGATTCAAGGTGTTTCCAACGAATTGGCAGTCAGCCAACACTCGGAAAGCGCTGATACCCAGCCTAGTCCATCCCCAACCCTTACCCTCCGCACACATTTGTGCAACCGCAAACTTCACAGGCCCCCACACATAACATCTCCCCGGTCAGCTACACAGACCCTCAGCGCCAGTGCCCACTTGGAACTACACCGCCGTCCACCCGTATGGTCGGATCCGGCGAGTTGCTTCTGGAAGCGAGGAGGCGAAGAAGTCTATGCAAGATCTGATTGGAGAGTATGATGAAGTTTGGCTGGAGAAGCACGACACGGAGGTGTCCGAGAACTTCAAAGGTGCCCTGATGAAGTCTGGGACATACAAATCGACAGATTTGAGGGGGGAATTATCGGAAAAAGAAGAAGAGAGAGGAAAGAACGGCCATCGAAGCGAAGCTGAGGCAGGATGGTCACGAAGACCTGGCTGATTTGATGGCAAGGGAGGCGTATTCGTTTAAGTATCGGATGCTCTGAGAACTTATTTATAGCGAGGCGGCGAGAGGCATATACGAGATATACGGAGCAGATGTATGTACTGTACAGTATTTTACGCGTCCAGCGGCGACTCATCACCAAGGTCAAGTTTGGAATTTTGCCGCTGTTTTGCCGAGTCTTTGCGAAGCTGACCGCCGCAAGTCGCACATCTCGCAACAACACCAGATTTGCCCCAACGCCAATCTCGCATTTTCGGTGAAGCCATTGACTTTTGGGAACGGCCTTTGAACAAATCGCAAGATGAGCGCCGAGGAAACACCGGTTTTTGCAACCCTCCCTCCGAGCGATCCGCCTCCCGAATACGAGGCCCCTTCCATGCCACCTCTTCCTCTCTTGCTTCTCGACCACAGCAATGCGCTATCGGCGGAGAAGAAACCTGAGTTTCTATATTGGCTTCGCATGGCTCTGCTCTACCACGGAAGTTTTTACCTGATAAACACCGGCATCCCTGAAGACTTATTCGATGAAACCTCGAGAGCAGCGGCGGACCTGTTCAAGGTTGACCCGAGTGAAAAGCAGAGGTGCTCCGTTTCCAACAGCAGTGGTTTCACCGGCTGGGCGGGCATCGCCGAAAATGAGTACCGCGAAACATGGGAGTTTGCGTCGGAGCTTCCAGGCAGTGACGAGGCAAAGCGTCCTGCTGCCGCACGTATCCGATCTTCAGGCAATCAATACCCTACTAGTGGCCCGGCATCGAGTAGTTCGGCGGGCGCTCAAGGCCCAGACCTATCGAACCTTCCTCAGACGATAAAGGCCTTCCAGAAGTTCTTACGCGATCTGGCATTCACGTATAATGAGCTGGTCGCGGAAGCTCTGGGCCTCCCCAGCGGATCTTTCGATAGTCTTTTCGATCAGAACGCTGCCGCACAGGGGCGCATCAAGGTACGTTATGTTACTGATACACCGCATTTGAGCGCGGATTAACTCGTTTATAGTTTTCTCGTTACTTCCATGGAGAGGACCCTGCAGTACTTGGAGAAGGGCCATACAGAGATGCGTGGCTTTCCTTTACTCTTTTTGCGAATGATGTCCCCGGGATTGAGGTAGATGTTGCCGTGTTAGATACGTCTAACGACCGTCGTGCTGACTTTCAGTCGCAGATCCGATCGGAGAGGGGCCAAACATTGCAGATTCCCCCACTACCGTCTGCCTTGCTGGTGCAAACGGGCACTGCCTTGTCGTTCGCAACGCATCAGGCGGTCTTATCGCTGCCTCATCGGGTCATTCAGCCGGCAACCGCGGCAGAGGCGGCACTGACAGTCAGGTTCCGGATGGAGATCAGTCCGGATGTGAAATTCAAAGACCTTCTGGATGGTGTGGTTGATCTGAATAGTATGTCCGAGGAGGCCATATCTGCAGCGCGCGAACGACGTGATCGCCGACGACGCGGTTTTGAGACTGTCAAGAAACTCCTCAGTGGTCTCCGTGGCTTCTCGAAAGGGTCAAGCAAAGATCTAGCGGGAAAACAACCAGGTCTCTCGGAGAAAGCCATCGAAACCGTTGGTGAAGCTGAGCTGCTGCGTCGTCTCAGGTATGATCTCTACTTTCCATCCGGGCAGATCTTTCCAACACTGACTTCTTTGAGAAGGGCGCACCCCGAAATTAGACAGAAGTTCTACCCAGAGCTCGTGGAGTAGTTTTGGGAGTACCACATGTAAAATTTGGGACAAAAATACAAGTGATATTCAGTTCCGAATGGATCATGCATGAGCTGCCATTGCTGCGCCCGACTTTTGCCGTCCGTACCAAGAACTGGACGCCGTCGTAAGTGTCAACTTCTCCGAGTTCCTCCTCTTGTCCACCAAAGATTGTGTCCGCATTGAGTTGAGTTCCCTCTCCATCCGCTGCAGTTTTATCCGAAGCAAAAGATTTTCGTTTGTATTTACACGTCCGTCGTCATCTTGCTCTTTCGCAGCGGTGGCCTTGAAAATAAAAGCTGTGTCAAGATGCGCTCAACGCGCTGGGTTTCCTGATGCTTCCACTCACCGACTCCAGTTCCTTGACGACTTCAGCCAGGGCGTCACGCTCAATCTGGAGAAACTCTACTTCCCTCTCCTTGCGGACCTTGAACTGCGTGAGATTTTCGATCTGCTTGAACAAATCCAGCCGCTCGTGTTGGATTGTAGAGATAATCTGCACGTATTCCCTTCGCAAAGACTCTAAGGACGCTAATCGCGCTTGATTTGAGTTGCGCTCATCCGTCAACTCATGACGGAGCAAACCGATACGCGACATATACATCTTCTCTTTGGCCTCCCACTTCGCCGCATCGGTCTGGGGCACGCTATCGTCCGGTGAGGCAGATCCTGACCCAGATGAGTTGTGCTGCGACGGTGAATGGCAAGGAAGACCAAACTTTCTTCAGCGGAGCGATCATGTACGGCTTCATATGGCCGAGGTGCAGATCATCAGAGTACTCGTACCTGTAGATCGAGTTCGGATTCGCGGAACTGCGCTACCTGGCCTTCCAGTTGGAAGTTGCGAATACTCAGGGCGGTTATTGAGCTCTGTAATGCGCTGCGTTCTTCGTTCCATTGCAGTAGCTGCTGTGTTCGCGTCTCTTCCAACTCCAACAGCTTGTGCAGTACTTCTTGCCTGCTCACCCCTTGAGCTTGCTAACGCACATGGTCGATCGAAAATGAGTTGCGCGTGTGCAGATGCCTTGTCGGGAGAAGGAAGCGTATGGGAACGCACCTGGAATGTTAGTTCTGCCTGGAGTGCCCCTAACCGCCCGTCATCTGACTGCGTTGAAGAGCTGCTTCCTCGTCTCCCTTGTGGACCTTGGATTTCCCTGAGCTTCCTGTCAGCATCCTTGTACTTTCTTTCCCACTCATGAAGTTTCGCCTCCAGTTCGGTCCGTTCCATGTTCCGTTCCATGTCCATCGCCCCGATTTGCCGCAGTAATGCCTTTGTCTGCTGCTGCAGAGGCAGCGCAGCCATCGCTACAAAGGGATATTTCGACAGCTTAGACAGGGTGCCTCTCTGATAGCCGGCTGCCTCAGATGCCCACCTTCCATTGTTGATGGCTCAAGGTCCGTCTCATGGTCCGTCTCGGCGGCGTAGCTTGTGGGAGGCGAGGAGGGATCCTCACTCGATGAACTACTCATTTGTTTCCTGAGAATGCCACGCGGACCCACCGACTCTGCCCTCGCTGGATCAAGATTAGGGGCTGAAGCTGAGAAGGCAGGCGATGCTTTGAACAGGGTCGGCCTCGGAAATGAATTCTGCGAAAAGAAGCGCAATAGCTTTGCATGCAGGGGCTGGCGAGAAAACCCGTCGGAGCTTCCGCTGACTCGTCGGGGCATGGTCACAAAGCATACGTCAAGGAAATTGAGTAAGAGATAAATGGTTCTGCAGTCGATCTCGAGTACGTATATTGGGCAATGAAAATATGAGAATTAAGCTGGGGAGAGGCATGTACGCATGAGTATTTAAGAGTGAGTGTGCGATTTTCTGGGGAACACACGGAGGTCGTAGAAACTGGCAGATAAATACAACATATAAGAAGTAGGTAAAGGACGTATTCAAAGGGGTGCATGCAGATGCTTTGCATGCAGATCCATAGTGCAGAAAGGACTTGGGATGTAAATCTGAACTTGACGCAACCGGATTTCTTTGCTTCGACAGTTCCCTATAAAAAGGATGAACAATAGAAGGGCGGAAAAAGGTATGCAGCCCTGATTACGAGCGAAGTGATGGACCTGACGATCTATAGAACCCCTCACGGTGATCGATAGACGACCAGGCGACCGATCCTCCCACATGGACCCAGTACCTTCAGAGAAAACCTCAGAAGGGTGGGAAGGTACGCATGAGTGTTTCAGGGTGCTGTCAGTGTCATACATGCGCTCGACGAACTTCACCCTCAGGAGATATTCAGGGATTTAAGGTTGCCGACCAAAGCGCAACCGTATCACTTTAAGCAACATTAAGGGTGTAATTCAGAAATGAAATGACAATCATCTGCAGACGGAAGGAATAACCAGAGGCATCCGAGTATTTGGATGGTTGATTTTCACCCACCATCTCTACCCAAGGTCTGGCCCGTGCGATAAATATGAAACCAATTCTTCAGATACTTACGGCCGCGCAGTTTTGATGTTGACGATGCCTCAAAACACGCTCGCTTCTGCAAAGACTTGGGGACTGTTCAAGCGTCTTGTCGCACCCGGGCTTTCAAACCGTAGAAAGCCGTCTCGCAGATCATTCGAGCGGAGTTTGCGCCGTATATTATGATAGCATTTTGACACCGCGAAAATAGGTCCACACTTTCGGAAATTCGGCGACCATCAAATTTGCATGGTCATTCCGAGTTGCATGGTCATCCCAAGAAGTATTTTTAACGCCGATGGAAGTTCGCCCAAGCTCCCGATTAGATATTTGGCTTTGGGTATAGCCAGTGGCCCACCAGTTGTCCGCGGCACTTGATGAGCGCTCGGACGGTGGGCAGGTATCCCAGGACTGCCATGCCACTGCCAGTTATCTTGGGAGTGGTAGTCCTATGAGCTGCATCCTCAATTTCGACGGGCGTTCATCAGGTGTGTCCGACACTCTGATACGAAAATTTTCCTCATCGTGATGATCGGTGTTGAACGATAGTGAATTGCAGGCATACAACGAGCCCTACCGTGCCACAAAGCGTTCAATCACATTTACAGCCCAGCGACCGAAGCAGTATGGGCGTGCAATGCATGATCATATAAAAAGGAGAGTGCCCGTTCGCGTCCGCCTGGGATGTGTTAAGGATCTCAAAGTACACGGCGTAGTTTCAACAAGATGAAGATCGCTTCCAGCCTCGCCTCCCTTCTGGCTCTCGCCTCCTTGGCGTCTGCCACCACCGCCGCCGGAAAAGATCCCATCCCCGGCCCCGCTCAGAAGGTCAAGCACCCCAAGATCGCCAAGACTACGCCTGGAGCGTCGTACATCAAGGGTCGCTACTTTGTTGAGCTCGCCGAAGGCGCCACCCTCGACCCCGTCGCCACTCTCTCTGCTTCCTTGAACAAGGCCAGCCCCGGAAAGTACACGGGAAAGCACATTCGTGAAGTAAGTTTGACACTTGCTGTGAACAGCCTTAGACTGCGATGATCATGATGCTAATCCCATACCTTTTTGCAGCACACCAAGATCCAGAGCAATCTTTTCAGTGGTGTTTCCGTTCAACTCGAGAAGGAAACCGACCTGGAGGACTTGTTGAAGGTGAAGGGAGTTCGTAAGGTGTACCCTGTCAAGATCAACAAGCGTCCGACGCTCGTAAAGACGAGCAAGCTCGCCGGTGGCGTTCCCCAAGATGTAACGAGCCACAGCCAGACGGGTGTTGACAAAATCCATGCTTCTGGTCACTACGGCAAGGGAGTCAAAGTCGCTGTCATTGATACCGGCGTGTACTGGAAGCATCCTGCGCTTGGTGGCTGTTTCGGCAAGGGCTGCAAAATCAGCTTTGGACGTGACCTCGTGGGTGATGCGTACGGTGAGAGCTATTAATCAGAATCAATATGTACCTGTGAGTTAGAGGATTGACAATCATTTGCGGATGGTGTTTTATTGCTCTAGATGCGGATACGAACCCTACCGTCGTGCCCGACGATGACCCGATGGACAACTGTTCCGACTCGAGTCACGGTACTCACACCACCGGCATCATTGCAGCGAATGCCACCGGCATCAGCAAGGACGGATTCAAGCCTTTCCTCCCCTTCCTCGGCGTCGCGCCCCGTGCCACCATCGGGCACTACAGAATTTTCGGATGCAACGGAAACAATGGTGACGATATCATGGCCCAGGCCATCTTCCGTGCCTTCGAGGATGGAGCCCAAGTCATCTCCATCTCCGTCGGTGAAGCCGGTGTTGTCCGCGACGAATCCCTGTCTCCCCGTGCCATCGAGCTGGTCTCTCGCGCTGGAGTACACGTTGTCGTCTCGGCCGGTAATGACGGAGCAGGCGGTATTGGAACCATCGGTGACCCAGCCTTCGCCCAGTCCGCCTACGCCGTTGCATCTGTCGACAACAATCGTGTCGTGTCTAGCACCTTCTTCGGCCCCAAGGGCGAGGCTTATGGCTATGCTGCTGCCAGCAACGGCGCCTGGAAGGGTTCCAACAACACGGCCCAGATCCTCATCGCTGACCCTACCGACGGTTGCGCTGCCAAGACGTACCCCGTCACTGGCAAAGTGCTGCTTGTTCGGTACAACGCTCAATGCAAGTCCGGCGCCATTTGCGGCAGCGCTGCCAAGCAAGGTGCTGTCGGGTGCCTCATCTACAATGTCGGCGCAATCGGAGGCAGTCCTCTGATTCCCTCCGCTTCCCTCGATGACTTGGCTTCTGCTGACCTTTTGGCAACTTTGAAGGCCACCCCCAATGCCGTTTTCACTTTCACCGACAAGAAGGCGCTTGTGAACAGCCCCACCGGGAACACGGCTTCCGCTTTCACCTCCTACGGCACGGATGCTGAGCTTCACTTCAAGCCTGACATTGCCGGAATCGGTGGAAATGTGTACAGCACAATTTCCCCTTTCTCCGCTGCCGGTGCTGGTTTGACCGACGCCTACACCTACGAGTCCGGAACTTCCATGGCTGCCCCGACTTTCGCTGGAACTCTTGCTCTCCTCATTGAAGCTCGCGGTGAGCTCACTGTTGAGAAAGGCAAAGCGCTGATGCAAAACAACGCCCAAAAACTCAAGATTTACAACACCACCTTGAACGAGAATCCCATTCGCCTGGGCGCCGGCCTCGTGAACGTCTCTCAAGCTATCGCTGCCAAGTCGATGATCACCCCTTCTGCTCTTGGCTTGAACGACACCGTCCGTACGCAAAAGTCGTACACTCTCAAGCTTAAGAACTTGGGTAAGAACACTGTCACCTACAAATTGGAGCACGTCGGTGCCGCTTTGGCCAACTCTGCTGAGGTTGGAAACGACATGCCCATCCCGGTGATCAACTACACCCCCGATTACGCTACCGCCGAAATCACCCCTTCCAAGATCACCCTCACCGGTGGCAAGGCGGTTGAATTCAAGGTCAAGTTCACTCCCCCCAAGAACGCCAACAAGAAGCTCCTGCCCTTCTACGGAGGTTACATCAAGGCTACTCCCTCTGACGGCTCTCCGTCTCTGACCGTCCCATACGCTGGTTTCGTTGGAGACTTCTCCAAGACCAAGATGATCGTCGAGAAGAACCCCGTTAGCGGGCTCGTCACCGGTGTCTACTCTGAGGACAGCCCTATCACGGAGGGTGCCACTCTCAACGCCACGGCCGGTATTGACGTCAAGCTCGTCTTGGGTCAAGGCACTCGTGTCGTCTACGCGGAGGTGATCAAAGCGGACAGCCTCCCCGGTGTGAACCCTTCCCTCGGAGTTCTCGTCCCGACCGTGCCGGCCGATGCCGCCAACACGCCATACTCCATCAGGGTTGCGGCATACAAGTTCAACCAACCCCGTAACGTCCAGATCGAGGGTCAGGGAAACCACGTTTCCTACCCCATTCCCTGGAACGGCCGTGTCACTCCCGCTCCCGCATTGGGCGCTACCGACACCCCTCGCCAGCACGGCAACAACAGCATCGAATACCCCTTGCCCGACGGCAAATACCAAATCCGCTTCTCCGCCCTCAAGCACTTCGGAGACGCCCGCAAGGCCTCTGACTACGAGGTTGTAACCTCCCCTAGCTTTGAACTTGTTCACTAAATTTAGAGAGCATAGACCGGTAGACCTTGACATGCGGCGTAAATTAGATATTTAGACATCTCATTGAGTAGACTCACAGTTCATCAAATTACAATGTTCTACCGCTGCCATATGTACGAACACTCAAGTCTTCGCCTTTCTGCTGTAGCTCGTTGAGGTCCTCCAACTTCAATAAACTTCTTCGTGTGCCTGACGCCCCATCATTCCCTAATGTCTTGTACTGCGTCCATGAATCCATCTATGTGCTTTCGTATGTGTTATGGCAGAACTGGAGAACACACTGAGAAGGACGCGACCGTCAAGAAGCTGTCAATCCCAACCGCCGTGACTCACAGACAGCCAATCAGCTTGGGAGATGTCTCCGCTCCTTCCTCACGTGACTCCCCTAGCGCAGGCAAACTTTTCTTTGTCGTGTGAACGTCAACCGCCGCCATTCTGCTCTCGCTGCATTTCCAACAGATAACGGCACGTCGTCATTACCGCACGGCAACGTTACTCGCAAAGCGAACATGTCCACTTTCCAGAAGGTGAGCTCCTGGGCCAGATGTTTTTGTTGTTGCGAAAATACCTAGGTCGGCAGCAGGGAGAGCATTGGTTTTCGAGGCGTGGGAAGCGGCCGAAGCGAACGGAGGAGCGAAGCGACCGAGGGTGTGATTCAACTACGGAGTGTAGGGTACCTCCGACAGCTGCGGAGTTGGTAGAAGGCGCTGGGGTTAAGGGGAGGAACTGTGGGAGTGGAGGTGCTCGAATTGGGTGGAATTCCGGGAGACTTCGAAATGAGGGGGAGAATTTATGCCCGGAGGAGCAGCGAACTCACTCCACCGCGGCGTTTTCGCCATTTCCCGCTTATTTAGGAAGTCGTCATTGACGGCAAGGGTCACCTCTTGGGTCGCCTGGCCTCGATCGTCGCCAAGCAGCTGTTGAACGGACAGAAGATCGTTGTTGTCCGCGCTGAGGAGATCAACATCACCGGTCCCTTCTTCCGCAACAAGTGTAAGTTCAACAATTATCGGGGTGGAGAGCTTATGAAGACTTTGGGGAGACGGGAGGAGATCAAGTTGCTAAAATCAAAACCTCAACAGTGAAGTACATGGCTTTCCTTCGCAAGCGATGTGTCGTCAACCCCAGCCGTGGTGTCTTCCACTTCCGTGCTCCTTCCCGTATCTTCTGGCGCACGGTCCGTGGAATGATCCCTCACAAGACTCCTCGTGGAGCTGCTGCTCTTGAGCGCCTGAAGGTCTTCGAGGGTGTTCCCCCACCTTTCGACAAGAAGAAGCGTTTGGTCGTCCCCGCCGCTCTCCGTGTCCTCCGTCTTTCCCCCGGTCGCAAATTCACCGTTCTCAAGCGTATCTCCACCGAGTTTGGATGGAAGTACCAGGACGTCGTCGAGAGACTCGAGGAGAAGCGTAAGACTAAGAGCCACGCCTACTACGAGAAGAAGAGGGCTCTCCTCCGCATTCGCGGCCAAGCTGCCAAGAAGGTCGAGAAGGAGCTTTCTACCGTCACTCAGCAATTGGCCACCTACGGTCACTAGATCATTACGGATGGGATTAGAGTAATGCCGCAAAAGCAGAATTAGCATCATTCGTGGAGGAAGCAGTCTGTGCGTGGTCCGTTTTCCTTCCTTGTAGTAATACAAAGTATCGCGCACGTATTTTTGCATCGCACATATCATGAGGGCGTGTGGGATGCTCGATCGGAATTGGTATGGGTGGCAAAGAAGAGGCGATCACAGCCGCAAATCAGTACACCGTCGGCGGAGCATGTTCGCCTCCTAAAGGTTATTGAGCACGATTGTTGCCCCTTTATACAAATAATCTTCCAGTTGGAAGCTGGAATGTGGGACATAAAGATGGCGAACAATGAGAAGGAATTTGATGTTCGCTACACCCCATATTCGAAGAAGTCAGATTTCCGAAATCACACTCTCATAAATCCCCGCCTATTGAACAAAGTCCTCGTATGTCCTATCGGGATCGCTTATGAGAGGACGTGTCTCCGCAGTCTTGTTCTGCTCACAGTTCCGAGTGTGTATGCAAGTGCATCTGGACAAAGCTCAAGATCAATCATGCAGAAATTTTTTGGCAGTCGAATCATGCAGTGGTCATTTGGGAGAATGCCGACGGTCTAGTGGAGGAGACCCAAAAGAGCTCTATAGATCTATTTCTGCCCACGGCCATGAATCACTCAGCTCTCCCATGTGATGGCCACACAAGTTATGGCTCAGAGTGATTGCATCAACGTCTCCTCAAAGAGGGATGTGATGCCGCAGGAGGAAGCTAGCTCACAAATATGCATACGTGATGTTGGACATTACAGCGCAGATTCTCGAACGCAAGCTCGAAGTCCTTCTTCACTTCGAATCATTTTCCGAAGCATCGGTGAAGAAGCTTAGTAAAGCTCATGGCCCTGTGTGGGAGCGTCGACTGTGTTCCCACCCACTTGACCAGATTCGATACGGAGTTTGGGCGCACATGCAGAATGTTCCGTCCTTGGGTACACGGGATGCTGAGAGCTCCGGCGCGGGCTATCAGATCCCGCTGTAATGTAGGGAGCTAGATCGAATACACTCCTCGCACGCAGTCTCGGGAGGATCCGAAAGGGGCCTGGGACCCCCAAGTCTATCTTACAGTATATGGACACTTGTCGCTTGACGATTGTCTGCGATTGTCTTCCATGTCTCATTCAGCCCCAATTTCCATATGAGAATCGCAGCTTGCTTGAAGCAGTCTCGAAAAACAATAACCGTTGAATTCGGGATCCCCGTAGGATCTTGTATGGGGTTTGTGCGGATCGCCCCAAGTTCGTCACCGAGTCTGCAATTGACAGCAAGTGACAGCACGGGGTCCTTGAAACGCGTTAATTCTGCCCTGAAACTCCGAAGTCACCATCACCCCGTCTTAATTCGAAAATGGCCAGTCTTCTCTTTCGCCCCCGTTTCGCCACAGCAGGCTTCCCACTCGACCCACCCATGTCTGTTGTTTGAAACAAGACTCAACAAGCGGTGGTGGCCGGCAAGCGGCGCTGGGGATGCGATGGCGGTGGCACTTGCATATGTACGTAACGTATGGAACTTCAACGGACGGCTGTGCTCGCTATCCACCAATTGGCGAGCCCGTCGTAATAGCGTTCTGGCCCAGCTGCATTCTCAAAACGCCTCCTTGGTTTCGTGCCTCCCAGATTCCCATATTCCCACGGAGCTTTCCCACCGCCTGATTCTGAATCGTATATAAGCTGCCGGGTTTCTCGTCCGTCCTCTGCTCACGCTCAGCAAGACTATCCTTTCTCGAACGACCCTCTTTCTTCGTTCTTTACATACCAAGTTCAACCGTCTTCTCCTGCTCACAGCGCTAGTTCCCGAAGCACAGTCAGACTAAAATGCGCTCAGCATTCCTCTTTGCCGCCGCGGCGACGCTGGCATCGCTATCTACATCCTTCGGCGCCCCGCTCATCGGCGTTCCACCATCGGACTACCCATCGAACAACGTGGCTAGCCAAGCTCAGCAGATCCAGTCCTCTGGTTCTGGCGTTGAGATCGTCGACGTTGGCGCACCGAACGTTTCAAGCCAAAGCTCAACTCCATCTGCTACCACGGCCGCTACCGGAGGCGTCGAAGTAGTTGCCAACGCTGATTCCACCGCGGCTTCTTCCACGTCTTCCACCGACGCATCTGCTAGTGCGACATCCGCGGCCGTGGAGGTTGTGGCTGTCAACTCTGAATCTGCGTCTGCTGCCATCACAACTGCTACCGAATCTGCTTCAGCTGCCATCACAACTGCTACCTTCTCTGGCGACCAGACCACCGCTACATTCGGAGGCGTCACAGACGCAACCTTCACAGCGTCCGCTTCGGCAGGTGTGTCCGGAGATGTTGTTACCGTCACGTTTCTCGCCGACCCAAGTGTTGCCACCCAAACCACCTTCGTCGCCAACCAAGCGGCATCTACTACCGCCGACTCATCCAATGTCAACTCTGCGGCCTCATGCGCTGCCGCCGCCACAGTTACCGAAACTACGACCGTTGGCAGCAATGGAAGTGGGAATGGTCATGGAAATGGTGGCTATGGTGGCTATGGTGGCTCGGGAGGCGCGACAGAGACCGTGACAACTACCGAGACCGTCAACAACGGCGCAAACGCAGCCGCCACTGAAACCGTTACCCACACGATGATCGAGACCACCACTGTCGGCGGCGACAAGGCACTAGCCACGGAAACCGTCACCCACACCATGACCGAGACCGAGACCAAGACCGTCGGCGGCGACAGGGGAATGGGAATGGGAGCTACCGAGACAGTTACCCACACAATGACCGAGACCAAGACCGAAGCCGCTGCTAGCGTCGCCCCCGAGACGATCACTCAGACTGCCGAAGCCCAGACCGTCACCCAGACCGAAACCGCTGCCGCTGATGCCCAAACAGTTACGCATACCATGACCGAGACCAAGACGGAATCTGCGAACGTCGCAGCAGCAACGGTTACCCACACGATGACCGAGACCAAGACGGAGACCGCCAATGCGGCTGCAGCGACGGTTACGCACACTATGACTGAGACAAAGACGGAAACTGCTGCCGCCGGTGCGAAGACAGTCACGCACACCATGACTGAGACCAAAACCGAGAGCGCCGCGGCCCTCACCGTCACCCAGACTGCCCTCCAGACTGTTAGCGCCGCGCAAGCCACAGTCACGCACACCATGACCGAGACCAAAACCGAGAGCGCCGCTGCCCTCACCGTCACACAGACTGCCCTCGAGACTGTCAGCGCCGCGCAAGCGACAGTCACTCACACCATGACCGAGACCAAGACCGAGAGCGCCGCTGCCCAGACCGTGACCCAGACTGCCCTCCAGACCGTCAGCGCCGCGCAAGCCACAGTCACGCACACCATGACCGAGACTAAGACCGAGAGCGCCGCTGCCCAGACCGTGACCCAGACTGCCCTCCAGACCGTCAGCGCCGCGCAAGCCACCGTCACGCACACCATGACCGAGACCAAGACCGAAAGCGCTGCCGCCGTCACGCAAACTGTCGAGATGGTGAAAACCGTTGAGATGGTGAAAACCGTCGAGATGACCCAAACCGTCACCGTCCAAGCCTCTGCAACAACCGCCGCTGCAGAACAGAACAAGTACAACCAGCACAATCAAAACCGGTATGACCAAGCGAAGGCCGCCGAACAGGCCAAGATGGCGCACAGGAAGAAGTACGGATACTAGACGAGCGGGGATTTGAGAGTACGGCGTAGTACACACGGACACACAACGAATTGGCTTAGTTTTTTTTCGGATGTTGTATATAGATTGTGAAAACTGTAGATAGATACTTGCACCGGACTTCGGACCTAGATATGGAGAGAGCTCCACCCGACCCGGAATTGTACAATATACTCATGGATTTTGTTTCTTTTCTGTTCATTTTTGAATGATGATTCCTCTTTTTCCCCACGACTTTAAATCGGTCCTTTGGGCGTTTTCCAGCGTCACGCTGTCAAAATCGGATGCCGTCGCATTGGTCAATGCGACTGCGCTAAGCACTTTCCCCAGAAAGAGGAGGCGGTGGTCGTAGGCTGCCAGATATCTCGTTACGACGGACCCAGAAGTCACCGGCCGGCTGTCAGTCTTGCCGTGGGCTATAGCGGTCGTGCTGAAAGGGTTTGCATGGGGGTCGGCAACTTGAGCCGGTGGCTATGCTCGGAATGGTGTGTCCTTGGGGCGTCGTAACCAGATATCTGGCAGCCTACTGTACGCCGCTTTTCCATGCTGTCGAGATGCTCCGCTCAACTCCAGGAGCGAGGGGGTATCTCATACCAAACTTTCTGACTTTCAAAGAACCCCAAATACTTCCAAAATAGTCACGCAAATGTATTTGAGTTTAGATGTACACCAGAAAGTTGGTTCAAGATCTCCTAATTTACAAAATGCTGTATGTAGTGTAATGTATTACAAGGGATTTACGCCAAGACGAACGACACAGCGCCGGCGAGAAGGCCTACGGCAACGGAACCAGCAACACGAAGGGATCCAGAGTTAGCTCCGGCGGCGGTTGTAGAGTTGGAGTTTGAGCCAGAGCCGGTAGTGCTTCCAGCGGGGCAGGCGTCGAGGGTGGACTTGACGGTTGCGAGCCCCTGGTCGACGACCGGCTTGATGGAGGCCGGAAGAGAGGCGGTGTTTTGGACGGCTGTGTATTGCTTCTGGATACAGGGGGTACAGCTGTTGTTCAGGGATGCAGGGTTGCTCTTGTAAGCTTGGTACTGGGTCAGAGCACAGTACTGGTTGGCGTCTTTGACGCAGACACCGGGGCGAAGATATTGAATGACCGCCGCGATATCTCCGGCCTGAAGGGAAGTGATGATCTTCTGGACAGTGGGGTCCGATCCGAGGCCGTTGGCAACGGCAGGGTTCAGGATGGGAGTCGTACCGCAAGCTTGAGTTACAGTCTGGCCGAACGTGGTGAGCGCGGTGTTGCAAGCGTCAGCGCACATCTTGTCGAGGTTCGCCTGAGTGAGAGTCTTGTCCAAAACGGCCATCGCAGTGGTAGCGGTGATGTTGCCGCTGAGGGCAGCACCAACGCCGGCGGCGATACCTTCGGCAAGACCGCAGGACGTTGTCCATTCACCGCCGATAAGCTGAGTCTGCAGACTTTGCTGGCAGGCCGCGCTAGTAGCAGGGTTGAAAGGGGAGGCAGCTTGAGCGCTGACAGCGACGGCGCCGGTGGCGAGGACAGCGAGAGCAGCAGTGACCTTCATTGTTGCGACGTTGTTGCTTGGGTGCGTAAAGCTGTGGGAATGGCGAAATGTTGCGTGGGGAAGTTTTCGTTTGTTGAGGAATGCAGCGGAGTTCTCGGTCTCTTTCCTTCCTTTTATCTGGGCGGGTTGGTGGGGGTTGCGCTGGGCCCCTTCTGTTTTGCGAACTGGGAAATGCAAAAAGCCCACAGCCATACATTGGCAAAAGCCAAGGAACAGGCTCATCATCACTCTGACGCCCCCGTGCGGCATGACGCATCGATTTCGTTGAGCGCGTCTGTGCTGCTGCGCAAGGGATCCGCGCCGCAAGCTCCTTGCCGTTTCAAGAAAGAGGGGAATTCGACAGTGTGGCTTCTCCTGTCAACCCAATGTTATACTCAGGCGCCATTTTCCATCAGAGTTGAGGCTATACATGCAGTACATGTATTAGATTTTACGAGATCTGTCTTGCAGCGGAGCCGAATTTACAGTCAGGGTCCATGAAGCTGTGCCCCCCCTCCAATTGAAATCAATGTCGGTCACTCACGTGAATTTTGGCGTTGTGGCAGCCGGTGATTATTTCAAGAAGGGGCACAGCTTTATTGGACCCCCCATGACTGTATGTGCGTATGTACTCTGAGCAACTCGCAATCTCAGACCCATCTACAAGTAGTCCGCCTCAAACGCACCGAACAAACTCGGAAAATGAACAGGGATTGCAAAACGTTGGAGTTCGACGAAAAGTCGAAGTCCGCGAGTTTATGGTACTGCGCAAAGCATTACCGCCCGGATCTGCGCGAGCGGAGTTTCGCAAATGAGTTGTGTGTGGGTTGTTGCCGTAGAAGGGTCATGTCGTTGCACAGAAAACACTGTCATGTTCGAGCAACGCGTCGGAAGTACCGCATATATATTCTATCAGCTTTCAAGATTCCGCCGCGGACGCCGGAAAGGGCGGCGATGGCCACAATGATGGCAGGGCATCCATGATTGAGTCCTATTGATTTCCTCTGGTCCTCTGGAGGCGCAAGTCATCCATCTCATATATAGGCGGCAACGGCTCATGTCGAGCATTGTCAATGCGGTGCGATGGTTCTGCCATGCCGCACCAGCGGGGACGTTACTTGTCAGGGACCAGGGTCACGCGTAGTGGTACTACATACAGTACATCTGGTCCTCTGAGCCACTGGCACCTGCCAATAATCAACGATTCATTACAAGTTGTGTTCATTTGTTCAAATACAGTATTATCCTGGCTGCAAGGAAGTCTGCCAAAAAAAAGCGCACCGGACGGTTTTCCATCGAGTCGGAGTCTGTATAATATATATGCACTTAGGAACGTAGCCAACTGTTCAACTTGGATCTCATTTAAGCCAATGCTTTCAAATGCACATGGTCCTGCCCATGTGGACAGATTCGCCTTGCAAAGAAATCGTGTTGCCCATCCCTTCTGGATACTCATCAATCTAATATCATCTGTGCGTCTGTTGTGGCTGCTCAACATGCACCTGCACAGGTAGGTTACGAGTGATGATTGTACAACTGTGCATGTATCGCCCGCAAGCCGGTCAAACCCTGGCTGACTGTCGGAGTTGGATCGGAATGCAGTCCTGATGACTGCCCCTGAAAAAGAGGCGAGGAGGGAGGCGCCCGCCTTGCGTGTCCTCGGAGTCGCTTTATGCCCCTCGTCAGATTGTTCCACAAAGACATCCCCGTCGCCAACAGAGCACAGCGCGAATGTGAACTTGAATTGAAGTTCATAGATATTAGATTCGGTACACCAATGCAAGGTGACCCAGTCCAGTCGGAGTGACCACCGTGACATGCAGGCCACATCACTGCAATTTTCACGTTCAATCAACCTTTCGAGTTAGCTGTAATGTAACGTCCATGTAACCGGACGTTCAAGTTGGGTGGCTTTGTGAGCTCTGCAGTTCCGCCTCTCCGGGCACATCCCCAATAACGCCTCCAGATCCAGTCGAGCTCTCAGCGGGCCCTGAATTCAAACTCCGTTTGGTTGAGGACCAGACCTCCGCGTTCCCCTTCAAAAACCTTCAGCCCAGGCCATCCCCGCAGTACATCCTTCATATACCGGCAGACACCAGCGTCGCTTCCTCCAATAAATATAGACGTCGCCTGCTGTCGCTCCTCCGCTCGCGAGACGCGCAAACTCGCTGTAAACGAAGCCTTACGCTGCTCCAGCCAACTCTCTCCACACGAAGCCACGCTCCATACTCGTCGCCCAACTACCAGTTTCTTGCGTGATTTACGTGCCTTGCCTAGTCACCCCGAGTCACCGAACCGCCGTTTTTCAACAGGGTCAAGGAAAAGAAGCATACGCAGGTATCGATTGCTGTCCTTTAAAGGCCTCGGGCACGCTTTCAGGCGCAAAAGGAACGATGGGCTTCTATACATCCGTTCCAAGCCCTCTTTCCTATGAAGGCATCCATTGAGCTTAAACATAAACAAATCGCCCCTCTCTCTTAGAAGTCGTAAATTCTCCCTTCTTCGAAGCCCTGCTTCTCCTTCGCAAGATTCTGACGCAAGCCTAAAAACTACTGTCGCGTGGGACTATTGGAAATTATCATTAACGGGACGGGACTCTCGCGAATTGACACTCCGACAAGCCGCATTACTCTTTCCGTGCACTAAACGAGGGTAACGTGCGCTTCTGAAGGGTAGCGGTATTCACTGCTTTGACTTCCTCTCTGATACCATTGCGGACCCTTCCTCTCTAATCTTCAGATTCAAATCCGCAAACATAATCCCGACTTCTTCCTGGCAAGTACGATCGGAGCCTGAAGTTATTGCAACACACAGCCGGCAAAGCGTAAGTTTGAAAAGTGTTGCGCCCCGTCCCACCTATCAGTCAATCCCCGCGCACTCGCCTCTATTGGCCTATACACAGTCTTGATCCATGATCTTCACACATTTCTTTCGTTCCAGGTCTCCATTTCCCATCCATTGTCGCGGATTTTTGCACAAATCATGTCCCCCGATGCCACCGTCCGTCGTTCCAGGAAGCGTTCCAGCCGGTCGTCCCCTGAAGTCAAGAAAGAAAACTCGACGCTTAGCAACACATCCGACCTTTGCTCAACGTCCCATCATTCTACGCGATCAGTAAAGCGGCGCCAGAGCACCGTGACTGATCAATCAAGAAACTCCGCTGCCAGCAAAGAAGAGGAGTGGCCGAAGAAGAGGAAGCAAGTGAAGAATGCTTGTGGTAAGCGGCGGTGCCTGCTGGGATAGTGGGCATTCAGCTCTCTTGATCGCACAGATGAATCTCACTGTACTTTTTTGTCCTATAGTAAACTGCCAAAAGGCTTGCAAGAAATGTGAGACAGTGCGACCGTGCCCTCGTTGCGTAAAATACGGCATCGAGGATTCATGCCACGATTCCTTACGCAAGGAACGCAAGAAAGGGGTCAGCCGTGGACCCTACAAACGCTGCAAGGACGGGGATGAGGAAGGAACCGACACGACCTCCTTGAAGTCTCCGAGCGAGGCAGGTTATCGGAAATCTTCCAACCATAGGCGACAACGCTCGGAAACAGAGGAGTCAGAAGTCGCTGTTAGGAAACCCCGCCAACGGAAGGGGGTAAGATCCCAGCAATACCAGGCCCCGTTATCGCAAAACGATTCGTACTCGCAAGACATAGACGATGCGGAGTCGCTGGCGACCTCCAACTCGGATGATGACATTGACAAGACGGAGGATAACTCATGTAACATGAGCGACGACGGGGACTCCATGACTGACGAGTCTTTGAATGGAAGTTCCACTGTTGCTTCTGCGCCCTCCATGCATGGTGAAAGAGAAGGCTGGGATAAGCTGGACATCTTGTCCAGCCTATGCACCGCTCTTCTCGAAAACTGCCAGTCGCACCCGAACTCTCCGGTCATGAAATTCGAAGCCTCGCAAGAATCGTTGGGCTTTGACAACGAGGAGGGCAGAGTATATCGTGTCCAAAAAAGAAGAATGGTTGCACATGGTATCATCGACACCGCCAGGGATCAGCCTGCCCGTGCGGAACTTTGGAATAGACGGCTGCCGTCGCCAATTGTACCCTCTGCTGCCGCTCGACGCCTCAGTAGTGCTGAATCATCCTTCCATCAGCCGTTGGCCAACTACATTCCTATGCATGGTGTGCAAGGGTATGAGTCCTCAGACTCTGATGTCGCAATGGTATACTCTCCGTTTATCTATGACCATGCCGGCGTTGAAGGTGATATTGACGCACCACTTACCCGTAGGTCAAGCATGTGCAAGATGGCCAAATGATACACCCTCGCCGAGACTCTGGGTATTCCAATTCCCCTCCTCCCGGCTCACAGGAACGTCCCGGCCATTTATCATCACATCAGCATACCCACCGGGAATATCCGCAGCAAGTTCGGAAAGCATCGCTCGACGCATTATACCATCCACCACAACATCGACATTTGCACATCACACCGCATGGAGCGCAAACCGTAAACTCACCATGGCGCTGGGCGCCCGAGAGTCATCACAATGCTTCTGCTCCTGCGTTGAAATTGGGCAGCCTCGTTCTCGACCACACCGGCCAACCAGGCCGGCAAAGTCACGCGTTCAGTCTTCCGCCTCTTCACGATGCGTTGGCTATGGTTCCCTCGGACCTAGAGTGCAGCGTTTGGAAACAGGAAGGACGGTTGCCGTCCGATTCGTGATCTTCCATTCATTGGGTTTGCTCGCCTGTCGGCGAAGGAGCTTCGGGTATCTTTCTTCTTTTTGTATACCATGTCTGCATATATCCATCGGTCGCTATTCATGCAATCATACTTTTGGCCTGAAATTACCTGCATCAATCGTCGCTACCAGTCTTTAGGCCCGTAGCGGTTACATTGCCATCGTTCGCAGTACAGTTTTCTGCTTTCCTTTTCAAAGTCAAAAAGTCAAAATTGATCGTGAATTGGCAACTTCCACTATTGCCCAACGAAAAAGCCTGTACTGATCTTCTCGTCCAATTGATTTTCGATATATCACTAGCCTCGGCTGTGGGTCTGAAATCTTGCAAAACGCGTCGATAACGCGTTTCCAACTGCTCACAAATTCCAGTCTTTTTGGAACTTCGAGTCTTCACAAAGTGGGACGAAGCTTGTCTTCGATCAAACATACAGCTAGTTACCGAGGGCAAACAAAAAGCATGGAGGCCGAGCAGTATGCTCAGATTGAATAAGGATACGGCCGCAACAGAAAGCACACTGAAGCTGCATTGTATCAGTCGCTGATCTACTATATATTTTGCGTTTCCGCAAAACCTCATTCAATATCCGCATATCAGTTGACAGGTGAATTGAAAGAGCAACTCTCATCCCAACTGATAGAAAGGTGCAGGATGGGGTCTCTCTAGGGTATATTGAGTGTATGGGGGTGTCTTGTTTGCCTAGTGACAAATGGCCTTAACATAGGTGTTTCGCCTCCCGGACGACCAGTGGATCAATTTGATACGCCGCAGAGGCTTCTCGAAATGAACCGAAACGGGACGAGTGAACCCAGATCGGCGATGCCTCGAGACAACGAGGCGTAATGCAAAGGGGGCACTGATGAACCAGCAGGGTCCGCGAATCGGTCGGTCACACTGGCTGCCACGGCGGAAACGGTTGCGGAGGTAAGCAGATTTATGCGGGCACCCTCAGACCCGTCCATGACCGACAAGGGGGTCGGCTGTCCGTTTATCACCGCTCCAGTTCGAGCGGAATGCATGTCGGTGTTCAACCGAGCTCGTATGGGAAACATGGTGGATTAGCCGTTCGAACCGCCGCTCGCAGCTTTGCGGAGCGAGATCGTGGGTTGTTGTAGACTTCTTCTCGAGAAGGTTTGACTGCTCTCTTCGTCAGGATACTGAAACTTGGGGCTAGCGGCAATTCATCTATTGAATCTGACTCGACGTCTGCGCCGCCATGGCCCCACGCAGCCACCTTTTTGTCGGTATTCTCATACTTCTGCCTCTTTTCTCTTATCCTGCTCTTTTCGGCCTCCCTTGTGGAGGATATCGCATCCAGCCCCCGCCGGGACATCAGGTCAACGTCGAGCTCGTCCATTTCAGGAGACACGAATGGAGACGTGTCGGCCATACTTGGACTTGTGTGCGCACCCGATTGATCGATTGCGCATTTCTTCATGAACTGCTTGATGATTCGATCCTCCAGAGAGTGAAAAGAGACGCACACGAGAGGCGCTCCTGGTCGAAGAAGCAGTTCCGCAGATTTCAATCCTCTTCGCAGCTGGTTCAGTTCATCGTTGACGTAGATCCGCAGCGCTTGGAATGTAAGCATCGCCGGATGTTTGAAACCCTCCCCTCGCGCGCCATACCGTCCGCGAACCACTGATGCAACAATGCCTGCCAGCTGCACGGTAGTGGTAATCGGCTTGATTGCTCTTGCGTTCACTATAGCCTGCGCAATCCGGCGTGACATTCTGTCCTCGCCGTACTCGTAAATTATGTTCGCGAGGTCTGCCTCCGCAAATTGATTGACCACGACTTCAGCCGTGATCGAATGGTCTAGAAGCTTCCCCGAATCGCCTCCGTCCCCAGTCGATGCCATCCGCATATCTAGAGGTCCCTTAAACCTGAACGTAAATCCTCGATGAGCCTCGTCCAGTTGTCCCGATGATACTCCTATGTCGAAGAGAATACCGTCTAGACACTGGCCTTGAGAATTGAGAGTCGCCTGAACCAAAGGCACAAGATCGCCAAATCTCCCATGAACCGGCAGTAGACGCCCCGCGTAAGCGCCTTCCTGAGACAGCTCCACAGCCCGCTTATGTGCTACAGGGTCGACGTCCACCGCGATGACTTTGCAGTCGACGGTATCGAGTAGCCTTTGTGTATACCCACCTGCTCCAAAGGTGGCGTCGCAAAAGATCCTCTGTCGGGACGTGTCCACCCCTTCCACTCCTTTGACGAGATGGCCAACCGCCTCAGAAAGAAGGACCGGAACGTGAGTTTGCGGAGTAGGTGGTGTTCGTTCCGCAGCCCTGGTTGAAACCGTTCGGCGGACCTCAAGCTGAGATCCGCTACGGAACGCTGGCCTTGCGTGGCCTAGCACTGCTCGAAACATCTTCCAATGCGCTCTCGAAGTGCAAGCCGCTAACTGCAAGCCGCTGACTTTGCTTGGACTGCCTGAACGGGCACGGACAGAGCGGGGCGAAGCACGACCCTTGTAAAATACTGTATGGTGGGCAAACTGAAATCGAGAGCCAACGGAAACAAAGTGCTCCATACTGGGATTCCAAACGTGGCTTCCTCGACGAGGGTCAGCCAGGAGGGCCTTGAGGGGGCGCGTTTTGACGCTTTGACCGCGTCGCTACATCCGAGACTCGCAACGCATAGGGTAGATTTATAAAAGAAAAAGCCATAAACGAAAAAGGCGTCAGAAGTAGTTATATCAACTTATAAACAAGAGTCTGTGTTTTGAGGAGGTGCAACTTGAACAAATTGGGGATCTACGTAATAGGTGGCTACAGTAAGAAGTCGCAGGATCTATTAGTGAGAACCCCACTGATACGCCCCGTTCATTCGATCTCCATCGTCCGGGCTTCGAGGCACCGAATTCTGACGTGGGCGGTTAGCGGATCCAGGGCCAGACCCAAATCCTATGAAATCCGGAGGCATATTTCTAGATAGTGAGGGAGTGATCGGTCGGTTCATAGAGTGATTCATGGGCGGACCGTTGCGATGTGGTAAACCAGGTTGAGCAAGGCCGCCCATGTTCGTAGGAGCATTATTCAGGATAGAGGCAGTCAAGATTTGTCGGTTGGGCTGGAAGATCGGTGCGTTGCCAGCAGATGGCGCTCCCCTGTTTATGTGAAGTGGTCGCGGTGCCTGGTGGTGAAGGGAATTTTGCGCCGACATCGACGGACGTTGGTAACCCTGTCCGCCGCCACCTTCTAGCGCACTCGCCAATCCTGCCATGTTCATGTTCGACCCATTCTGAAAGGCAGCCGATAAATGAGGTGAGCGAGGACGCAAAAAGTAGGTGTCACGCTTACCAGAACCGGGAATTTAGGGTTCGGGTGTCCGAATGCGGGTGCAGGGACGTTTTGCTGAACCGATGCAGCTGCATTGTTGGTCGAATGTTGCTGTTGGCCCAGTAGGCTTCGCCGTTTGAGTTTGTCATACATATGCTGGGGGCGGGCGTGAGCCTATCGATGTTGAGGATCCCAGCATCCCCAGCGTAAAAAGAAAAACCTGAAGCTTTTGAAAATGCCTCCCTTTCTCCGCATATTGCTCCGCCAATTCATGATTCCGAAGCTTCTCCACCTCTTGATCCTTTTGCAGAACTGACACATGGGTTTGAGTTTGGTGCAAGTGGGCAATTCCCTGTGGAATAAGTGTTATGCTCACCAGATAGCTTTTCTCGAAGTCCTACGAAGGTGAATGTAAGTCTCCATGTCCCATAGATCAACCGCCGCTCCATTTCTAACCTTGAATCTCCTGGTTCGCCTCTCGAACGACTGTCTGCACCTGTCTCTCTAATTGACTGTACTTTTCGGACAGATTCTTGTAAACCATTTCTTGGAAGCATCCCTCTTGCGTCACTTGATACACCCAGAAGCTGCGAAGAGAATATTCTATAGACTGATGACACATTTATGAGCTACTGATGTTCGCAAAGCGTACCTCAATCCCCGACTCGCGATTTCGATGATGACTGAAAACGTATTCAAGGTAAGCGTGGAAGACTCCCTTTGGGCGACGGCGTATACTACCTTCGGGCCTCAGTCCAGCCAAGACGCTCTAGTCGAATGAAAAGCGTGAGCTAGCTTCTGCCTCGAGTATTGTTCAAAAGGGCGACTAACCGATTTGTAGTCCTCGGTTGGATTCAGCTCGGTGAAGACGATATCGTCGCTTGAAACTGCGTCAGTCAAGCTTTCCCCACGAGTCACTGGGGTGGGAGAGTGCTCACCCCTCCGTCAAACAACTCTCACATGCCGGACTACGAGAACGGAAAGCGCTAAGCCTTGCCTCTTATCCTTCGCTAGAGAAGCTGGTCAATGCCACGTACCAGACCAACGCCGTAGTAAAAGCCTTTTCGGCACAGTCAACGCAAAAGATATCTGAACCACGCGCGTGAAATTCCGAAAGAAAACGGGATGCACGGCCCCCCACTTACGGCTGCAGGTTGTCACGCAAGCCTTGGCGTTGCTGCCCAACCCTTTCCGGCATTGCACGTTGTTGCATCGCAGTTCCGCGTCCATTTTCGAGGTGTTGGCCTGGTGGGAAAAACGCGATCGGCGTGATGACTTTTACCAGTAGCAAGCAGAGTAGCAAGTGGCAGAAGTGGCACCTTCACGCGAGGTTCGGCCTGACCCCTGGCGTTGATATTGAAATTGATCTCCCCTGAGAGCGTACAGTACGTCCGGGAGGGAGAATCGTTTTCGTGAGCAGGAAAGCCAACAAAAGCAACAGCGGATGAACACACGCCAATGCCCATACAATGGCTTCTTTTCTCAACCTTTCGCTCAAAGCACATTGATAAATTTGTTTATCCTGCGCCTTGACAAACACCATCACATGAAAGTGGGGGGAGCCCTCGATTGAATTTTCCTGTGCACCATCCTTCGACATACATATGTCGCCTGCTCCTACATTCTATTGTCCGATAACCTAGTCTATTGCAGAAGCTTGGCAAGCTCTCCCTTCGTGTCCAACTCTGATAGGTCGCTGAACCCTCCAACGTGCTGCTTGCTCACGAAAATGTTCGGGACAGTCGACTGGTTGGTCTTCTCCTTCAAATATGCGTGGAGCTTTTCGCCGTCCTTTACGCTGTCCAGCTCTACTAGATCGAAGGCTACGTTCTTCGACTTGAATAATGCCTTAGCCTTATCGCAGTATCTATGATCAAGCGAATAGAAAAAGGGTCAGATCTGAGATTCTAAGGCGGTGGTACAATGAAAGTAACTTACGGGCAGTAGGTTTTGCTGAAAATGACAACCTTGTTGTTGTTGATCTTCTCCTCGACTATCTTGGCCGCATCCTCCGAGGGTGTTCCAGACGATGACTGTCCGGCATTCTTCTTCTTAGAGAAGTCGATATGGCATACGCCGTCCTCGCACACTACGTTGTCAGGTTTCGCCATCTTGAAGTTGGTGTGTTGTTTGCTTTCGTCTCGAGTTGTTGTGTCGATCGTTTCTGGGAAGGTAAACTTGGACCGACGGTTCTTTTTATCGGTGATTGCCAGTTCACATGGCGCGATTGCCGCCTTTGACGCGGCTTACTAAAACCACATAATTCGAGGCTCCGCGTGTTCCGACATGAAGCTCCGCCGGGTCCGCCGTGAGTGCGAAGTTGCGAAGGCCATCAAATGCAATGTTGGCGACAGACGGAGGAAGCGACGGACTCCAGCTAGGGATCCAATACACATAGGCATGCAAAGATATATTTACAAATACAGACATCCAGTGCCTAGATCGGGTAACAAGTGCGACATCAGACGATTGGTATAGAGGCGCAACTATCACTTCTCTTATACATGAGAAGAGATAGACAGTAGCATATAGGGAGGGGTGATATCAATTCAGTAGGTCTTGTATCCTGAAGCGATGGGATTCCGCGGCGGTGGCCATTGCGAGCGAAGGAGCAGCGCTAAAAGATGATTGAGGTGGCCGGTGCAATGGTGTTGGGGAAGGAGCTAATGACCATGAACGCATGGGTGTCATTGTGGAGGACGCCGACGTGAACCGCTTCAGCTCGTCTGTGGCGCAGCCTGCCAAAATCGCCAAGGGGTCCACCTTATTCCGATCAACGGACTGCCAGGTGCTTTCTGCCGTCGAGGCCGTCCGAGTATATTGAAAGACTGTCAAGGTCAAGGATCCAGCGAGTACGGCTCCTAATGTTGTCTGCTTCACGGTGTTCGGTCTCTCCACTGCCGAGTCAGCCAACCCCTCGTCATCAGTCCCGCTGGCATCGGGATTGCAGGTGTGTACGGTACAGGGAGCATTTTCCACTGAGTAATACTCTGCGCGGTCGTGAGAGGTCCCGCAGTCTCGGCAAGAACTGATCGAGTGTCGTTCGAAGATGTGATCAATGAAAGATATCAGATCTTTCCTCCCAAGAGTGAGACACTCGGCAGGGTGATGCGGCGACGGAATGGAGTTGGTATGGATAGGTATTTGGGAGTGAGCTTTGTCGCCTTTCCTTCTGAATTCAAGGTGGAAAGACAGGTGATGGCCAGTGATCAAGGACTTGCATCCTAGCGAGTTAAAAGATGGAGGTTTAGAACGATGGCGGATAGGAGCCTGCGATACGCCCAGACAATCTCACCTTTGATAGGGCATTGGTACATCGTTCTATCACCATTCCGGACGAGGAGTACTATCGTACTGGCCAGATGACGCAGCTGTGTAGGGCAAATCCCGCCAGTCGTCCTCTCGCGTCTGATTGTTGATGTATTATCACGGTCTGAAGGTCGAGCTATACCCTCCGAAAAAGGTTTGATGCGTGGTATCGTAACGGCTGGCAGCGCACCAGCATATTTCTGAGGCCCAATCGATTCCTGCTGCCAACGCTCGCTGTTTCCTATCGACTGTCCATACGACTCGCCCTCGTCCCCCGCCTGCCCGCCGAAATGTGCGCGCGAATTCTGTGGCCCATGGATCCGAGCATGCCTTCGCAAGGCGTCAACCCTGGAGAATCCCCTCGAGCACACTCCGCACGGGAAAGGCTTATCTCCGCTATGTGTCAGGACGTGCCGAGAAAGGTGCTCTGCGCGTCGGAAGGCTAGCTCGCAGTCGTTGCACTTATACCGTTTGCTAGCGGCTTTCGCGGCAGGAAGCATGTTGACAACAGCGTCGCTGATGGTCTTCGCGGTGGAGGGGCTGGTTGCCATTGAAAGGCTTTGACGGTGACCTTCGCCTAGACTGTTCGGTTGCTCGTTCGTGTTCGTTCAGATATATCGATACTTCGATTCAATGCCGGCTGTTGCCAATGCCGCATACATATGCTTCTTGTGCGTGTGTGTTTTGTGGGGAAAGCTGTTCAGGGCAGATTTGGATGCCGTGCGATGGTGCAATCAGTGGGGTAACGCACGCGATCTGTCTCGCACATGGCAAAAATTTCGGGTTTTATTGTTGAATCTCTCACGGCCCAAGCAGTGGGGGTGGGGAATCTGGGAATGGGCCGCCGGAGCCCCTGTGGGGGTGGGGAATCGGGATAGACACCTGCAAAATTGGATCCCAGCTGTCCGCGGCGGAGATTTGCCATCTCCGCCATGTGAATCAGACATGACGCGACTCTCAGCGTTTTTACGCGATGGCCGGCGAGTCAAATGCGGGCATTGTGCCACAGGCGGGTGGTCGTGTTCTCAAGTGCTCAAACTATAAGCACACGCGTTTGGCAGTTTTCCAACTCTTTTTTTTTGTCCTCAGGACTTCGTGGGTGCGACCAGATGTGCTGCGATATCGAATTGTACATACACACATGTACAGTACACACACACATCTGCACATGCATGGACAGGTTGTACAGACAGTACCCGTTCGCGAAAGTGGAAGTGTAGGTACGATATGCATCTTCCCTTTCTTCGTATTGAACCCGACAGGAGCAGGCTTCGCCACATCGATCGTCGTTTCGAAGCGAGATCAAACAAGAGTGGATTGCGACCTCCGACAGATGCCCTTGTTTGGTCTGTCACTTTATCTACTTCCTCTCCCATCACATACTTCAGCTTGCATAAAGTATTTCTTTGCTACTTTCCAGCGTCTGCTGTCGGACAAATCACTCTGGCATGACGAATGTGCGGGAGACAGGCTTCCAGAAACCCGTTCAAAGCGGCTTCACGTATTGTCGTTCCGGCTTTCTGATGATTCCCTCCACTACTGGAGGAAGTCAAAACACATCAGCACGTCGGCGGATGACGACCAATGCACTGTTCCGTCGGGTTTCTCAGGCGCATGGGTGATGATATTCGCCGCTCCAACGATACCACCTGGAAAGCAATGTAAGCACGCTCAAGGCAAGAGGAAGGCTGAAACATACCTCCTGCGTTTGCCTGGGTTTGTCCTATGCCTGAACAGATAAAATGCCTCCTCAATAACGCCACCATCATGGTGTCTGTTCAAAACACCGATAGCCTTCCATGAGGGTCCCAATAATATCCGGCTCGCTGACACTCCCGTTTCCTTCAAGTCCGCCACTGCTGACATATAGGATCTCACGAATACCATCCCTTTCTTGGGTGAAACTGTAACTGCGACTCATCTTACTGCTGGACATCAGGGAAGGACAAGATTAGTGTTCGATAGTTGTTGGTGAACGTGGTAGATCAGACGCTAGCATACCGTCTGAGGTACAGTATAAACCGGTAGCAGATCTTCCCAGGCCTGGCCTCTAGCGTCCTCGAATGGCGGTACAGTCCTACCTTACTTGGAATCACAAGCACCAGGGTTAACCCCCAGTCCGACGCAGAGGGTCCCACCTTTCTCACAAGAGCTCGCCAGGATTTTCCTTCGAACTTATTTTCCCAAATGTTTTGGCTTGACGATGACCCAACTGCAATGGGTGTGAGTTCATGAACTTTTTCGCAGAGAGAGGACGCGGATATCCACGACTCCAACTTACGGCGGCACGTCGGTTTAGCCGCGGAAACACACGATCTTGATGACATAGTCGCACACGAAACTTTTGACAGCACCACCAAAGTCGCACTTTCGCTGAGCGGACCGCCGGAGTCTGTGAGCCTCTGAGGTCCGACGGCGAAGGCTTTATATTACAGTCTAGAGTCTAGACGGCTGTTAGTAGCGGCTCAAATTCCATTCCTTATTTTGCGAAGGGCTTCAAATACCGTCCGTAGCTGCACTGTGAACCGTCTTCCCAGTGTCATTGCCAGTTCCCGCACAATTTGCAAGCATGACGAACAATTCCCAATTCTGCACCGTCGCTCAAGACCGGCCTTCCGGTGGTCCATACAAGCTCTGTTATGAGCTCGCCGGCTCTGGGCCGAACAAGGTTCTTTTGGTGATGGGTAAGCGCATCTTTTTGATACCCTGGATATTGCGGACAGTCGCATATTCATGGATGTTTATAACATGTAGGCCTTAGCGGAACTCTCAGGGCGTGGGACTCTACGGTGAAGCAGCTGGTAGCTCGTGGAGGGTTTGAGATCTGTACATTCGACAACCGGGATGCTGGGGAGTCGGACAAGCCGGGTCCTGGTTATACGTAAGTTGATTACTGACGAGAACAGTAGAACAAGTTCTGAAGGCTGACATCAATGCGTGTATCAGCGTGAAAGATATGGCGATGGATGCCTACGAGTTGCTGCAACATCTTGGATGGAAGAACAATGTGTTCTTGGCCGGTGTCTCCATGGGTACGTGCTAGGTTCAAAGAGCTGCAGATTGCATATGTGAAATATGGAATTGAACGGCTTCGTTCCACACAGGCGGCATGATCTCGCAGGAACTTGTTCTTCTGGCCCCGAAAGACACATTTGCGGCTGTCGTCTTCATTTCCACGCATGCGGGCATGACCATCCCTCCAGTAAGTCTCCCGGTGCATGACTGTTTCTGGAGTTGGAAGCTCGGACGGCGCTAACGTCCGACTCTGAACAGGCATTGGCATTGTGGACTTTCTTCCAGATTCTCTTCGTTCCTGGTGAACGGACCGAACTTCAGCAAATGGAGAGCTTTGCCAGGTTGCTGTACCCGACAGTAAGTCATCAGTCCTCCTCAGTCGTAGCACGACCGACGCAACTCATCTAGCTTCCTACCTGATAGACATGGTTAGCTGCTAAGGCTCCGGAAGGCAGTGGTTTCGCTACCAACCGAGACATGATCTACGAGGTAAACAATGGCTGTTGAAGAACGCTCTCAATTATTCTGGTCACCAACTAAACCTTCTTCTATATAGAACTTGCGTGGAATGACGAAAGCTAAGGGCGTCCAATCGGAACTGTCTCGTAAAGGTCAATTGGGCGCGATCCATAAGCATTACGTCTCCAAAAGTCGCTTGAATACCATCGGAAAGCTCGGCATACCTACCTTGGTCATGGTCGGCACGGAGGACTCGGTAAGCATCATAGGCGGACTGGATTATGTCGGGCATTCATGGATCCTCACAACCTCGACTTCCAGATCATCCGTCCCTCAAACTCCCACCATCTCGCGAAACACATCGGGTGCCCATTGGAAGTTTTCAAGGGAGCCGGACATGTGCTCGCAACCGAGCAGCCTGAGCGGTTCCACAACCTTCTGGTGCAGACGTTTGCCAAGTCTCCGGCTTTCGTCGATGAGGGTCCTAAGCCGAACGCAGAGGAGCTGAAGAAAGACGCTGAACTTTCGCCGCCGGCTCCAAGCTTGTGAGACGGTGTCGTCACACCGAAAGCAAACGAACTCCAACTTTCATGACACTTTCACTGTATATCCCTAGTCGTGCATCTCATTCCATATAACCTGCCCACGTTGCATTCAGCCTAGATAGCGGTGAACATTACATAGTCGCCATCGTATCATTTCAACATCGAATGTCGTAGATAGCTTTTACATTACATAGTCAATAATCACACTCCATATAGCTTTACATGATGGCAAGTCCTACGCCGCATTCTATATTGACGAAATCTTGTCCGCGGGTATGCCATGGGCGAGCATACTCTTCCTAGCGATGTCGGCGACAGCATCAATCTGCTCTTGCAGCGTCAACTCAGACGTGTCCAAGACCACAGCGTCTTCAGCTTTTACCAAAGGGTCCACCGCCCGCTTTGTGTCGGCTAGGTCACGGTTCCTGATGTCTGCCACGACATCATCCAAGCTCGGCACATCTTTATGCGCTTGCCGTAAGTCTTCCAGCCGTCTTTTGGCTCTAACGGTAGGGTCGCCCTCAAGGAATATCTTGACCTGGGCATTGGAGAGGACGTTTGTGGCAATGTCCCGCCCGTCCATTATCACACCGAGAGTCTGTGGTCTTGAGCTCGGAGTTGCAGCCTCAGGTTCACTTTCGTCCTTCAGCGAGTCGCAGATCTCGTCCAGTTCCGCAATCTGCGCTTTCAACGATTTGATGCTTTCCACGTCGTCCACCGCCTGCGCTCTTAGGAGTTGTCTCTCCAACCCATCCTTCTCCTTGGCGAACATGTCCAACTCCGACTCTATCTGCTTCCCGTCCTCCGGAAGCCCTCCATCTTCCCCGGCTGCCAATGCCAGTGCTTTCCCCTTCAACACGTCTCGAACCTCGGGTATATTCGCAAATGGGGCCACAGTTTTAGTAAGCGACGGTAATCGGATCTGTTTTGATACGTCTTTTCCATCGAGGTAGACTATCGTCTTTGGAATCTCTACCCCGGCCACCGTCATCGTTTCCTCAGCAGTACGGAAAGCAAACTTGGTTTGTTTTGCCAGTTTTGCGATAGCGAGCGCATCGCGTTCTGGGTCGAGGTTCCATGCCCGCGCTTTGAGTGTGAGGGCTCGATACAACGCCCCGGTATCGATGTACGTCAAGTTCAGACGTGATGCTACCGCCTGTGCTGTCGAGCTTTTGCCTGATGCGGCGGGTCCATCTACTGCGACTTGGAACGGCTGCTTCGTTGACCCCGATGCCATCCGCCGTGTCCCGCCGGAGAAGCATCCTAATAATGGTGAGGAGAAAGGAAGGCGCGGTAGTCGTCTCGAGAGCATGGTGGCAGGTATGTACTCGAACACGTTCCAATGGAAGCGCTTGTGGGAGTTGTCTCGCTGAGCCGAAAACTTGCTGGGGGCGGAAAGGGTTGCAAGCGCGCGTTGGTTATGAAACGTTTCTTAACGGCTCGGAATGTGAGACGCGCGCGTACAGCATATGTGCACACTTATTTCCTTGAGCGGGCGGAAATAAATTAGAAAGCGCTGGGAGTATGTAGGTACGGCGGTGAGTGATACAGTAGTGGCTGTAATTACGCGGTAAGGGACAATTTTGAGTTGGGCCACTCAATCAGGAGTCAGTGACTCATCAGGACAAGACATGACCCCCCCCTCTGCCGCTTCTTCGCTTGCTTGCTCGGCCGGCGTGAGACAAGAACAGGGAAGGAACAGGCGCTGGACAGCAACCAACACAGAACGAACGGCCCCCTTCCCATTGAGACCTTTCGCACACGTTCTCAACCACCTATCCTCGACTAGCACCTTTGACGGAGGCCTCCTTACTTTCTCCCACAGGTTCCGTAACTTACCAAATTCACACACTCGTCTGAGGATTTGAGTTAGCGAGCAGTACGCACAATGGCTACCCGAAGTACGGCGGCCGACCCAAGGCCCCCGACGACCGACCCTGCCCCGCCGCCTAGGACGACACCACAACCTCCCCCGACCCCAAAGCCTTCGGATGATGACCCTAAGCCTAACCCCCCTCCAACACAGCCGCCGCAGCCGCCCCCGACCACACCGGCGCCGCAGCCACCGGCTCCCACGACAATCACGGTTGCGGTAACTTCCACGAGACCTCGGTCTACTCCAGCCGGTCCGTCGGTGACTTCTGTGGGTTCAGTTTCAGTACCTGCCCCCACGGTGGTTGGAGGCGCCACACCCTCGTTGCCAGCGCAACCCACCCAAGCTAGCCGATCCGTCGCGGTCGGCCCGACTCCAACAACAAACACGGCCGGAGCGAATGGTGATCCCAACGCCTCGAACAGCGGCAGCTCAGGCTTGCCTGTCGCCGCCATAGTGGGTATCGTCGTTGTGATCGGTGCGTTGGTAGTGACGGCCGCCATTTTCTTCTGCGTGCGGCGAAAGAGGGATAAGCGGGTCAAGAACGGACAGACGCTTGATTTTAGCCCGAGCGGTCACGGATCTCTCTGGCGTAGTAACGTCAGCAAACCATCAGCGGCTGCTCCCGTCGCTGCTGCCAGTGGTGCACCCATGGTCGCTGCCGCCGCCGCCGCCGGTCTGACGGCCAGCCGACCCCAGGCAAGCACGCCATTACCCGCGGGAGCGTACTATCAATCGACCTACGATCCGAACTCCTACTACGCCCCGAACCAACAGTACCAGTACTACGACATGCCCGTCGGCACGTCCGGCCCGGGTGCAGCTGCCGGGCAATACGGATACTACCCTGAACAGCAGGGCTACGAAGGATACTACCCCGAACAGCAAGGCTACGATGCCTATTACGGCTACCCCAACCAAGCTTATCCCGCCGGACAGGAAGCCTATGGCGAAGCGCCCGCCGACCCGAACTCCGTCGACGACTCGTTCCCTGAGGGAACGACTAGCGCCAAGATCCCTAGCAGCAGTGCCACCGCTTCTGAACACCGATAGACCTGACGCGATGAGGGCTGTGCCCACCCCTAGAAAGAGCGTCGCCTCACTCAGCCGGATCTGAGATGTCCCTTTTTTGCCCACGATTCTACAACTACTTTCTACCCTCGGCGTTTCTTTTGCCACCAGACGGACCTCGGACTTTGGACTGTTGCACATAGTTTATGCAGAATTCCTCTTGCTTTTGCACATAGTTTGCACAGAGGGCTCTACCAAGGCTCTACCTGCTCCATCTTCTGCTCCTCCCCGCGCGGCGTATATCTCATCCCAACTCAAGTTGTATAGTAGTACCAAACCCACGTAGCCGTAGCTCCCTGCTTTTGGGACATTATTCTTCCCCGTATTCCTTTCGGGCAAGGACGCATCGCCTGGGTTTTGCTTTTCTCTTTCGTGTGCTAGTTTCCGTTTCTTGTATTAATAATCTGAATCATAGAGTCTCGTTTTCACTTGTGCTTTTTGTAAGTGTGCCTTTGGGTGTCTGCACGGATCGGATGGGGAAGAACGCAACGCCGCCGGTTTCTTCAAACCATCTCCTTTCTTTCCCTATCGTGGCAACCTTCAGATTGCGACGGCAGGTGTTTTGAAAACACCTGCGCAGCCGTGTATTCTACGCGGAGCGCAGACTAGATACAGCTAATTGGTTGTCTAACGTTAACTACGTACAGATGAGTCGCGCTCTTCAACGCGCTTTCGACTACGGTCTATCGACTTCACAAATCCATGGATGTCGTATCTGCGGAGAGCAGAGGATAAAAAGTCAGCGAGATTCCGAGAACGACCCCGTCAAAGCCCCACCCCATCCCGCCCACACCCCCGTACTCACAATCATACTCAATAGTCGGCAAAACACTCGCCACAAACTTTAAAAACAGCAACAAATATTGATCCACCCTCAACTCCCTCCCCTCGTCTCCCCCCGCCTCCATCATCTGATCAATAATCTTCTTCATCACATTCGCGTGCTTGCAGGGGTGGATGGACGCCATGGAGACGTTTTCGTGTGGGTGGGGCTCGATCGTGACGGTTTTTTGGGCGTGGTCTTCGGAGATGTCTTCGAAGATTTGGGAGGTGGTGAGCGGGTGGCGGTGCTCGGAGTAGCCGAAGAGCCAGACGCGCGGGGTTTGGTAGTATTTATCGTAGGTTATTGAGACGTCGTATGTTCTGTGGGGACCATGGAGGTTAGGTGGGGAAGTGGAGTCTGGGGGTTCTCTCCTGCTACGCACCTCGTTTTCAGGACTTTGTCATCATGCGAGGCCGATGGTTTTGGCGGCGTCGGCAACGCCGCTGGGTCTTCCTCTTCCACCACTCCACCGGCCAACTCATCCTCATCGTCCATATCCGGAATGTCATCGAAATCTGGCTGGTCATCATCGGCACCTGCGTCAACGCTTGATCGTTCATGTCCCGCATGTCCCAAATCAGCATTCCCATGGCCGTTGATATCTGTCGCCTGCAGCCCAGAACTGATGTGCTCCACTGCATCAACTGCACCATCCTCCTCATCGTCACTGATATCTGCTATGAGCTCCCCATCACCAGTCCTCCGCACCTCCCTATCCTTATGCGTCGCGACCCACCCACCCCCGTCCTCCCCGTCCTCGACGGTCATCTCCCCACCATCCTGATCGCCTGCCGCGCCATACTCCTTGATCCTCTGCAAGCAAGGCACATTCCGCGTGATAAGATACTGTTTATCTGCTGGGAGGTACTCGCGCCTCTTTGTCTGTTCGCCGGCCGCCCAAGACCAGGTTGGACATTTGTAGACGAGGAAATCGCCGGCGAGGACGAACTCCTCTGGGGTTAGGACGCCGGTTTCCTTGAATTTGGAGGATTTGAGGAGCGGGTTGAGGTATTCGCGGGCGGAGTGGAAGAGGGAGTGGAACGTCGCTGACATCTTTATCGTTTGTCCAGTTTGTTCAGCGCAAGATGTGATGGGGTTGTGGGTCGAGATGTCGCAGGTTGTTCTGTAAACGTCACTGATGATTTTGGGAGGCAGTTGATTGGGGCGCCGCCACAGAGTCACGCCGTCCGTCCGCTTGCTCTTCTGATGACATGAGTTTCATGAACCGACTTGCCTTGTTTGCTGCCAAACATCGCAGAACAACCACCTTCTACGTATCGACAGTTCATCCGAAATTCTTGGACTTACTCTACTGTCTGGACTACTACTCCCTCGTAGCTTGATTTCACTTTTCCCGTCGTTGTGCAACGCCTCAAATTCCTCCAACGTAAAATCCCCGAGCTCCCACATCCAAGCCCGCCGCTTCCACCGAATCGTACTTCCCGAAAGCATGGACGCAAATAAGGGAAAGGCGGTGAAACAGTCTCTCGCTGAGCCCATTCCCGGTGCCGGGGGTCCTCAGCCAAAAAGTCTCCTAGCTGAAAGCCTCAGCAGAACTCCGCAAACCAACCACGCGAAGAAGCTCTCATATGGCTCATTCGGCAGAATGCAGGGTAGTAGTCTGGCGGTGCCGGTGAGTACTTTCAATGTGTGGTTCCATGGTCCACTGGCTGTTTTGGTTTTGTTGTGTGCTGCTGAGCAATTACTTCCCCTAGCCCTTCCGCACGGGTACGCCATCTCCGCCGCGTTCGACGGTCTCGGTCCTCGGTCAGTCGCATCCGCGTTCGATACCCAAAAGCCGAATAGGTTCGCTGGAGCCCGATTCCGCTTTGAACATGAGCCGGCCCGGGAGTAGCATGGGCCGTGTCAGAACCAGTTTTGGAACCCCTCGGTCCAACCATTCGTCGCCGTCCAGGCGGGGCTCACCGTCGAGACGACCTCCCGGAGACGGCGAATCAGAGCCCGATGTCGACGTCGAGGACGACTACGCACAGCTTACCGAAAAAGAGATCGCAAAACGGGTCTCTGAACATTTGATCTTACCCGACGCCGCCAACGAAGGACACCTGCTAGGCTCCTCGCAAGGCTCTTTTGGCTCAGTCGCTCATAACTTATTGGGAGGGGAGGTGACGCGCGATATTTATCAATGGTCGGAAAAGCGCGAGAACCCCATCCACCGTCGCCGGAACTCAGAGCCCGATGTACGACCAGGTGAACCATCACGGGATGACGATGTGTTTACTGCGTCGGACCTGCGAGAACCGGGAGTGTTCCGCCGTCACTTTGTGCAGAGACAGGCGATCATGGCGGGCAGAGAACCCAACAACCCCGTCACGCGCAATTTCTTGGATTTCCTTGCCTTGTATGGCTTCTATGGCGGCGATGTATACCCAGAAGATGCGGACGATGATGAGGACGACGGATTCTTCAATGAGAATGAGGAGGATGGAGAGACGCGGCCTTTGGTTCGGTCGAGGACGCCTTCGGTGGCAGCTATTCAGGGCACCTCGGCAAAGAAGGCCTTCTTTATGGTCCTGAAAGCTTTCGTCGGAACTGGGGTCCTGTTCTTGCCGAAAGCCTTTGCCAACGGTGGAATGCTCTTCTCTCTCGTCACGCTCGGCATCATCGGGTTTCTGAGTAAGTGTCATAATCTTTTATCAATCGCCTACCTGGTCCCTTTCTGGCAACAAATAACTGACCATCATACCGCAAAACGTAGCGCTTCACTGCATGTTGTTACTGGTGCAAACAAGCAGAGAGCTCGGAGGTAGTTTTGGCGACATCGGAGAGCACCTCTATGGCCAGAAAATGCGTCAATTGGTTCTAGGATCGATCGCGGTCTCCCAGGTGCGTTATTGACGACCCCTTTAAATCAAACTCTGCCAGTTGCTCATGGCCACCCCCTCAATCTCCTACAGGCCGGATTCTGTTGCGCCTACTACATCTTCATCGCCCAAAACCTGCGGGACTTTGTGATGACCGTATCAGACTGCAAATGGATATTGCCCGACTGGGTCTTCATCGTCATCCAGCTAGTTGTTTACATCCCGCTCTCCTGGGTCCGCAAGATCAAGCATTTCTCCATCACATCCCTCGTCGCGGACGTCTTCATCCTTCTTGGACTCGCCTATGTCTTGTACTTTGACATCTTCATCGTCGCCACCGAAGGCCCCGCGCGCGACTTTGTGTGGTTCAATAACCAATCCTTCCCATTGTTTGTCGGCACTGCCATGTTTGCATTCGAGGGCATCTGCCTCATCCTCCCCATCGGCGAATCCATGAAGCACCCCGAACAGTTCGGCAAGGTGCTGTCATGGTGCACCGTCGTGATCGGCGTCATCTTTGTCTCCGTCGGCTCCATGGGCTACCTCACTTTCGGCCCCAAAGTCGAAACCGTCGTCTTCCTCAACCTTCCGCGAGGCCCCAACACCCAAATCATCCAGTTCCTCTACGCGCTCGCCATCATGCTGTCGTTCCCGCTCACGGTCTACCCGACCATTCGCATCACGGAACACGGTTTGTTTGGCATGCTCGACGGCAAACACTCCAACCTCGTCAAATGGCAGAAGAACCTGTACCGCGTCGCATTAGTCGCCTGCCTCGGTGTCGTCGCGTGGGCCGGGTCAAACAACCTTGACAAATTCGTCAGTCTCGTCGGGTGCTTTGCCTGTATCCCACTGAGTTTCATCTACCCGAGCCTGTTCCACTCGCACATTGCGACAAACAGGTGGGTGAGGATGAAGGACATGGCGTTGGTGGTGTTTGGCATCGTGGCGATGCTGTACACCACGTCGATAACGTTGCAGGAGTGGTACGGTGGGAAGCCTGATCTTCCCGTAGATAGATGCACTGTATAGATGTTTCCTTTTCTCATGAGATCCATGTTTCTATTGTTTCTTTTGCTTTTCGGTCATTTGCGTATTTCGTTCAACCATATGATGAGGACAGAGACATGAAATATGCACCCTTGAAATTGAGCTTTTTGTGCGCCATCGAATGCATTACGAGAGCTCTAAAGCCTGGCACCACGCTCTATTCCTCTACATACAAAAGCGCTGGCAGCTAGCACTTTCTTCCTGATGAAAACCTATATCCGGATCTGATATCTTCCTGCCCGCGTGACCGTCCTCACACCCTGTGAATCCCACAGAAGAAGGTCAAACCGTGATCAACTAGCCGCGAAAGCACTTCGACCCCTCGATACGACGCCGCACTGACCTTGAACGGTTTATATGCTTCATGATGGACTTGCAGCGTATCAATCTTCAAGCCCGTGGCGGTGAACATGTTGACTTTAAAGTCAACGTATATCGTCAAAAGCGGCTGTACTGGGCTTGCGCTGCAATTCGGGACTCGATCAGTTACGGGTCTTTGAAGCGACCGAGAAACTGCAACAGGTTCGATATATACTCTGCGTCAAGGTACAGCGAGCCCGTCAGCTGCGGCACCCCTGCGACGTTGAAGTCCGCAGCTATCTTCCCTATCGTCCACCGTAATTCCTGTAAGGCACCAGAGCCGTCAACGGGTGAACGCTTTCTCACTCGACCCAGACGAGAAGATACACCTACCTTGGTGTTGTGGTCAAATGTATACTGTCCCGCAGACGCGTTCAGCTTCACGGACGTCACTTCTGGAGGCAAAGTGACGGACAATGCCGCGTTCTCGATGCCCTTGCCGCCCGTTGACCGTGGTTGGAAGGATATGTTGAGCTTTCCTATGTGCGGAGAAGCGGATTGAGTTTATTTTCTTACATTCTCTTGGAAAGAGGATTGGGACAGCAAAGAAGGGAGCTCATACCTGACCGCTTTGCAATGTGGATGTGCGGCTTTATCAGCAATGGTAGTGTGTTTGCAGCGACCAGGTCCACGCTAAGCCGTTGAATCGCCTGTCAGAAACACACTCTCCACATTCAACAACCACAAGTCGCACTTACGTGTAGTCCATGAGCTTGAACTGTCCATCCGGCGGAACAAACGACAGCACTCGATCCTTTTCAAACCGATGGAGTCTAGCTAGTGACATCCCTTTTAGACAGCGAACAAGAGCACTGGATGAGAACGTCTCCGTTTCTACATTACCTCACACACGGATGGAAACTGGTCATCTTGTTGCCCAGCATGCGGTGGTTCAGCAGCGAGAGATACAGATCGGGCATTCCTGACAACCGACTGTTGCACAGAATCTCGCCGTGTGTTTCTGCCATGATGACGTTGCCGTTTCTAATGCGAAGGCGGCTCTGATCAGCGATCAAGGACTAACGAAATCGCACTTCCCCAGATAGCTACTTTTCGAGGATGGCATCGATCGTTTCAACAATATCGAAGAAGATCTCATTGTTGGTATACTTGATCCCTGTCGAGCGCCATGGTATTGTTGACAGATTGCCTGATGGTAGTTTTGTTCCGTATCTACATGCAAGCATCGGTTGGTGCCGGAGCATTCACATGCGAAGCGAAAAACACCGAATTCACTCACGTTGTGCCCAAGGATACGGCGTTTATGACCGTAGATAGCAGAGTCGTTGGTGGCACAATCTCCTTCAAGATGTTCGGCTCGGTGATGTATGGATATCCGTAGTCCAGAAGTTCCTCCAGAAGCTGTTCGGGCGATGCATCAGTCTCTAGCGTAGTTCGTGGTTGGCAGACGAATCCCCTTGTACCTCGTAGACAATGACAAAGTTCTCTTTGAGCGTTGTTTCGGTGACGGCCCCAAAGTAGTCTATCAGAAGGTCCAGAAAGCGGTGCAGAAAGTGCAGAACACTCAAAGGTGCGACTGAGAAAGTCGTAAGCGCCCTGTCCACATTGAGTTGCATGCTGGATGGGAATGGCACTACACACCTTCCTCAACCGTGACCGTCAGAAACACCAAGCCACTCCTCAAGATGTGGTGAAAATAGAGATCGTCGGCGGTGGCAATGACGGGCGGAACCTCCTGCGGTATCGACGACAGCTGCGACACTTTCAGGAACTGGTCCACGGCTCCCGGAACCGGTTTCCGCCAGTGCTTTTCGATTATGACCTTGCTGACAGAGAAAGACGTAAGAAGCTAGCACGTTTCGCAGGGGCCATTGTGACATGTGATACTGTTCTGAGGCCTCGAGAACTCACCCATTGCGGTCGAGAATGAAGAGGCTATTTATCATGGTGGTACGACCTACTGGAGCAGCTTGCCTCTTCCTTTGGTCCTTTGTGTTTGTTTATACTCTGAAAGCTGTTCCCGTTCGAGAAATCCGGCGGGATGCCGTGAACCTTGCAATTGCCTTGCAGTCGGCGCGGTTTGTCACTTGCCAGAATTTTTGGTGCTGCCCATCTTGCAACCACCACAAAGGAGCAGCCACACATCTCAGTCAGAGCAGCCGCACGGCCCCAGACAGCTGTTCCACTATATCAGGCCGACACCGCAAAGCCTCGAAGGGGCAGTCGCAACGCGTAGAAGTAGCCGTCGATATATAGAGTTGGCACTTCTCGAGTTGAAACAGAATGGCGTCGCCGTTAAGTCCGACGGGAACCGTGACTCTCTCGGCCAACGAGCGGGAAGCGCACGATGTCGTAGAACAGCTCGCAGTAGGAGTGAAGCTCATGGCGAGGATGCTAAATCGATTAGGTGGGTGGTCAGACACTTGCATGTTTTCACCCCCAAACTGAGCCTATCTTCGGCGGAACTTGCGCACCGATAGTTGCCGAAGGTAGCTTCTGATGTTCTTACCCGACTCCTTCAGAACAACAAACCCACACAAAGTTATCTTATCTGAACGAAGCCCACAACAACATCGACCGGAAAATCGACTTTCTTGCCGCACGCCAAGCTTCAACTCTTGATCCCACGGCACTCGGGTCGCAAAATCTGCACTCCGCTGATGGCACCCCTTTGGGAAGCGAAGAGGTCTTGGCAGCTGGTGGTGGGGAAGAGGCGCCCGGTGGTTACAGTGGTTCGGCAATCCAATTGGAGGCGGCTCCTGTAATAGTGGCACAGACAACAGAAGGTGGAGAAGAGACTGGTACCGCTACTGTTCAGGTTTCAGAAGTCACGCAAGCTGAAGGAGAGGTCCAAGCGGAGACAGTAACGAGCGGGGAGCCGGAAACTGATGGCGGGAGGGTCGAGGACGCCGCGTAGTCACAGATGCATAGCGCCGGTGGTCATTTTTTGGGACGACGACATACGCATGGGCATTTTTGGCATTTTTGTATTCTTGGAAGGACGTGGCCAGAGTTAATTTTAAGCGGAGGACTCTTAATGAAATGACCGTACTGTCTCCTATGACCGGTGCTCATATTGCTCGTACGCCTGTCGTACGCATACGCATAGTACGCAAGGTCTGAATGAAGGTTATGAGTGGCTCGACCGTCGGAGCCAGCGTCGGAGCGTCTGAAGCGCGTCCGAGATGTCCGCGCTTTCTACCGTACTGTAGGTCATGATGTTGTGCTGTCATCTTGCAAGGATGCCCCACAAACTCCCAGCGAGTCATTGAACTCCTCGCTGTCTTTCCACGTAGTTTACAGAGGAAACGTAAACGGGACATTTAGGGTCGAGCCGCTCAGACGACCAACGCAGGACTAGTGCAAAGTAGGTATGGTTGCTGAATTGGCGGCGCTGGAGTACTCCATCGTCGCTTGCTCCAGCTTCCACGAGGAGAACCACCCACAACAACTTGTTGCCCGGCAACGAGACCCGACCTCTGGCGGATGGCAGACTGAGAGGTGCGAAGCTTCACGGCAGTCCCACGGTGCGGAAGCAATGTCTAGATATCGCATTTTTGGTTTGTTAGGTTTTGCTCGTATCCACAAGCGCTGGTCATTCGCTTCGTTGAAGGACCTTGTCGTATTCGCAAACTCGAACTCCTCGTGCACCACTACATGATACCAACTCGCATAGAGTTCCACATAGGAACCTCTTCCACTTCAATAGGACGCGCTTTGGGTAAGTTTCCCCACGAGTTATCCCGGGAAAGAAACTCTCTGTCTCACTGGGTTTCATTTGACACATACTGTAGGCTCTTCGACCGACATATCATTCGACAAATCACTTACCGTCAACTTCGATCGCTTGGGATATATCGCTTTGAGCGATGGAGTACAGGTTCAATATAAGGCGCGGGAGCTAAAATCTGTGCACTTCGATGCCGAAGGAGAATACCTGAAGATCATAGCGCACAAATGCTACGTCAATAGCCTGAACCTCTATAATCAGGTATGAGGATATGCAATGCATCGTATGGTAGCTTAATCTTAACGGTCATACAACCCGTAAGCCTAGATAGGATTGCTGGCCGTCAGTGCCTTTGGGGAACCCATCGTTAGCCAATACGGATCAGATGTACTGAATGAGCAACAGAGGATTCTACTCGGGGTATGAGGGAATCGTTGAACTGAACGCAGGCAGTTTGATCTGACCTATGAACGTCGTGTAGTTAGATCCCCTAGTTGAAGCGAGCTTGAGGCTCCCTCACGGCAATGAAAACGCTGCGCTCTGGGGTCTCATCAACTCCTCGGTGACGGAACGTCGGATACCTGCTGGGAAGGGACTCTCCTTCGAAGCTTGTAATGATGAAACTGTCACCAAAATCATGGCCGGGGTTGCGAAAGCCAAGCAAGCAGCTGTCAGAGGTAATCGCAGGGTCAGCATCTTGGAGTACACGATGGTGCTTTCAGGTTCTCATCGCAGTTTAGAGGAGAGATACCCAGATGCCAAGCAACTCAAAGCCCTTCTAGAGAAATGTCGGATGGTATGGACACAGCCACTTTCTCCCGCATGTGCATTTGTGAAATGAGATTAACCATTGTTTTGCGCAGGCAGCTGAGGAAGTGACGCACTTGAACTCTGCTAAAGAGAACGCAGTGAACTTGGAGGACTATGACACCGCCGCCAGACTGAAGGTGTGGCCTCATATTCCTCGCTTTTGTCAACCGATATCTCGACGCTCATCAAAATGGTCGGTAGATGGATATTGACCTCATCAAGCGCGCCTTGGTCGATGAAGCTTCGAAATGCGGCTTGAACATAGTGACGAAGGAAATAGTTCCGACGGCCTCTCCGGAGAAGGGCAGAGAACCTTCCCAGCATGGGACTCCGGCGGGGAGAGGATCGTTACCGCCGTCTCCGCCCCTATCCAAGACAGCCTCGCCACCCAAACGGGTACTTGATCACCCCCCGAATCAGTCGAACGCGAGAATGGGTGATGTTCGCAACCAATTGTCGAAGGAAATGTCTATCGCAGCGATTCTGTCAGCGCACCAAAATGATTTGAAGCAGCCCGATGCACCACAACCCACCGGGTTCAGGTCAGAAGTGAGGGAACATCCCGTGAAGGCGCTCGTCGTTCAGCCTACACCGATCAGGGAAGAGACTCCCTTGCCACCTCCAACGGTAGCGCCGATCATGGATGACCGACCAATTCGACCCCTGTCGGCCATGCCCCAACCGGAAACCAAGTCCACCGTCCCAATCCGATCGGGCTCCCCACCAGTACCAGCCGTTTCGAGAGCAATGCAAGGAGGGCTATCTCCGGAGCCCTTCCAGCCAGAGCTTCCACCGCTAGAACATCAGCCAGCAGCTCCTGCAGTGCGAAAAGTCGCCAAGAAGCTTGTGCCGCCGAAAAGGGAGACCAAGCAATCCGAGGTGGCACCACCGGAAGCTGCCCCAAAAAACGCAGTTGCGCCCGGTGGACCGCATATTCCCCCTGGGTTCGAACCGCCGGAACCCATAGCGGCAAGGCTAGTGGCGGATTTCGGCCTGCCAATCGAAGTTTTTGGAACAGTCATCATGCAATGTCTTCTGGGTAGGCAGTTCGGACTTCGAGAGTGGGCTATGGAGCAGGTAGGCCAGCGGATTCGGCAACCCGTGCCAGATCCATCGGTGGATGGCAACACGCTCGCGGAGGCCACGTACGAAGTTATTCGTTACTGCATCGACGACAAGAGGGAAAAGTCCGTAATGGGCGCCATAAGTTTGTGGCAGAGACTGGCAGGTACAGCACCGGATGTACAGGCGCAACGGACAACACTGTGAAGAACTCCATTTACTGATCTCGAGTGCGTCTGTAGCCTTCTGCGTGGATCATCATGTGCCAGCGGCCGTGAGTTTCAAGCATTTTGACGCCCTGATCCCGCTGCTCCTGGTCAAATGCAGCGATATCAATGCCCGCGTGAGACAGGTGAGTCCGAATCCTGGTCATGAGTTGACTTCCTTTAACAGTCCAAATGGATAGGCATCCGGAGAAATGGTCGTCACGCTCGCCAAAACCTTCCGCAAACAGCCATATAGCATGTATCCACATATCTTCAAACCCATCGAGAAGAAAGACGCTGCGAACTGGAAACTCATCAAAGCCCGTCTCGAGGTCATACAAAGGGCGATCCAGCCAGGAGAGAACGCTTTGATGCCCGACCCGGACAGCGGCCCGATCACTCTGCGCACACTGATGGGCTTCACCGAGCAATACCTGCATCATGGCAACGTCGAGGTTCGTGACGCCGCAGGGCGCATCGTGGTGACTGCGATGAAGATTTGTGGCGAAGCTGCACCGAAGCCCTACTTGTCGAAGCTTCGACCGCAACAAATGGCCACGTTGCAAAAGCTTCTTGCTGAGGCGAACGGGACCAAGGCCAAAAAAACAGAGAAGTCCCGTGACACACCCTGGGCGACGACCCAACCGAAAAAAGAAGCAGTCCCATCTGCAGCGGAAGCTGAAGAAGTGGCTCGGTTGCAATCGCAGCTCGAAACTTTGCGGAGTCTGGTAGATGTTGAAGAACGGCGGGAACCTGTGCAAAGGAAGCCAAAACTTGGGAAAGGCGCTCCTTCTCCAATCCTAGAGTCTGAACCGTCCTCCCCAGTCCCAACCAAGGTGAGGCAACCGTACATGTTTTGGAACGCACAGTGTGGTCTGCATTCTTATGTGTGTGAAACTGAACTCGTTTGCTGTAATCCCTTTAGTCTAGTATGCTGGGGCCGAATATAGCAAGGAAAGGTCCGCCAAAGAAGGCTCCTCTAGGTAGGGGCCGTTCAACCCGATAATGTAATCTAAATGTTGTGCACATGTAGATATTCACATACTGTTCCATAATTCCATTGTCTCAATCCCTTCGTCACCCCCTAGGAAAGAAACCGTCTGTGACCAATGAAAGAGAGGATTGGAACATTGATTCCACATGTGTCTTTTGCGGCGAGCGAAGCGACGCTTTGGCTGATGAAGACAACCTGGATACGCATTATTGGGCGCAATGCCCGATGCTCAACAAATGTCCCAACTGCAATTCGGTGAGTGAGCGATTTCATTTAGAATAGTCGAGTGTTCAATTGGCTGACTTTGAGAGCACAAGATTGTGGAGATCCCAATGTTACAACAGCATATGCTGGAAGAATGTGATAAGCGGGCAACTGTCAAGCAGTGTCCGAAATGCAAGGAGGTGTTTAACGCCTCTGATTTCGCCGCCCACTCCGCAAAGAAGCAATGTCGAGGTAAGGAAGCTTGGATGCCTCTGCATTACTGTTCCAAAAGGGATCTGTTCGGGTCTCGCCCCATCCGCTCAAACTCAATTTTTCTCACTATCTCCACCAGCTCCCTCAGAACCCGGCACATCCCGCTGTCCACTATGCCACAATCCCATCCCCAGCGGCGACGCAGGCTGGCGTCAACATCTGCTTCTCTCTCCAGGCGGATGCCCAGGGAACAAGCGTAGACCGAAAGATCCAGGCGTGTACATACGGCAGAGCAGCCAAACCGAGCTTGTCAAGATGCCATCCGATGGAGGGGACGGCGTATCTGCGGGAGGGGTGGCGAAGGGGCAGGTGGAAGCGGAGCGGAAGAGTGAGAAGGGGAAGGCAACGGCTGCGACGGGAGCGACGAGAAAGTCGAAGTTGCCTCGATTGCTTGGAGGTATGTTCAAACGTTGCCCAAAGGGCATGTGGCGCTGCCGACTTAGATTTTCCCTTAACATTTCAGACAAGAGCAAAGGTAGCACAACGCGACGGTGAGATGCTCACGTTCATTGCCCATGAGGGTTTGCCACCCAATTACTCGCACATATGTTGGACTCCTTCGTCCGTGTAGGCGGGGTGAAATCCGCGAGATGTAGATCAATCGGCGTAATATGGGCTCATGTCATATATCATATCACAGAGTGCGGTCGCATTAGCCAAACATGCCAGTTGCCATCCGGATTTCCAAATAGATACAAAAATGACCCTCGAAAGCACCAAAAGTACTACTTCTCTCAGCTGTCTAAGGGGAGGGCGTTGACTGTGGTGCCATCTACAATATCTGCCAACAGATCCATATCTACTATATCGTCCACGCCGCGGCGTTTGACCGGTTTTGACGACGACGACGGAGAAGTCTTTACGGCCGTTGCTTTTCCCGTTGACTCCGCTATGCTGTCCTTTCCTTCCGTTGTGGCTTTCGAGCGAGGTTCGGGGTATGAGGCGCCGATGCTCTGCCCGAATCTTCGAAGGACTGTGGAGAGTCCAAAGAACTTGAAGCCGACTTCTACTAAAATAAGTGCAATGTGGACACTGTAGTTCAACGTTCCCCACAACTCGAGTGAGTTGGCCACGGAATGCAGGATGAACGGGGCGGCCATGTAGTTCACCGAAAACAGCGTGACGGCCCACCCGAGAACATCGTACACCGGTTTGTAAGGCGCCAGCTTGCTTTGTCCCAAAAACAGAGGCCGGACATTACGCCGCATAGTCCTTGCGCCAATGTTGAGGAAGCTTCCCGTCAAGAATGTGAGGTAGAACCCTGGCCTAAAACCATGCCAGAACGCGCTGGTAGCGTATGTGATCACCGCGGCGATCGAGGCAGATTTGACCCCAGACGATATCACGCGGGTGTAGATGGATCGTCGAAGCCACAGCCCGGTGTTGCTGTTCCAGTTGTCTATGGCGCCTTTCGGGTTGAGGGCGGTTTCGAGGCTGCGGATAGAGATGTTCTGTACGCGGTTCCACAATGGCTTTCCGGTTTTGGGATCTGTTCCGTTGTAGCCCAGCCCAGCGAGAATGCAGCATGCTTCGGCCATTTTCCATGCTGCGTAATATTTGGTACGGGCGACGAATCCGCACCCCTGAATGAATAGAGCCCTAGTAGAGAAGCGGGTGTGATCAGCTTGCGCATCAAAACATCCATTTGTTGACCTGCGTATCAACCAACCTGTAAACCCACGACTTTTGGTGAAACTTTGGCGTAATGGCATGGTAATACGACAAATCTTTCCCCAGGACCAGGTAAACAGCCAAACATGCCAGAGCCGATGCTATGCACTTGATTGTATTATTGCGGGAGCTAGGTCTTTTATCGAATGGTGGCTAACGCAAGACGGATGTTCAGTCAGCGCCCTGATAAGTCTCTGAAGTCCGCAGAGTATTGAAGTCACCTGATTTTCGGCAAATCTCCGGTAGTCAGCCAACTCGAAGGCGGGTCCGACCAAGAAACCGCCAAAGAAGAAGACATAACCGAGATATTCTATGAGGCCTGGCATTCGCCGTATGACGAACTTTTTTTGATCTTCGGAAAGCTCTTCGTCAGGCTTTGTCCCGTCGTGAGCCGCCCATGCGAATGATGTCAGCTTAATGACTAGAACCATCATCGGCGACGTATGGTCGAAGCTGACGTTTGTCTGATGAATGATTTGGCCCAGAATGTGGCTAGAAGGGGGTTACGCTTAGTAAGTGGACTGCGAGAGCGAATGCATTACAGAAAACCTGGCTGCGAGCTTACTTAACACTGAGTTGGAGCATCGTGCCAATGAGAATAAGGACTGGTGTCCATTTACTGCTTCGGCCGTAAAGAGTGGCGAAGTAAACCACTAGCGACGCACCCAGGAGTTGCAGATATCCAGACAGATCGAAGAGAGTGATAAATAGACTTCCAGATATCAGGATGGAGAACAGATGCCGCGCAGTGACTGCGGACGCTGGGAGAAGCCGGAAAACACCGGCGATGGGAAAGGCCGCGATCAGCATGAACGCGGCCTTGAGAAGGTCGGGCGGAGCGACCTTCTGTAGCTCCTTCATCAGTGCCGCCACCATCGTCGACCGTTTTCAAAAAAGACCAGGGATCTTCGAGTTCGGAGGTGCCTGCTGTTATGGGGCGATATTGCCAGACTGCAGGAAGGGAAGGGCTCGCGGTCCGAAGATGCGGTTCGTACTTGGCTTCTGGCTGGCCGCAACGCTGGATGGCAGCAAGAACTTGGGGTTTGCTGGAGAGGGCTTTTGTAGGGGGTCCTGGGCGTTTTGGTGGTGAGTGGAGTGATAACCTGCGGGTTCTCAAGAGTCCTCGGAGGCTGGGAAGAAAAGGATGTTGTGCGTGCGAAAACGTAGCCTGCTGGTGGGAAGTTCCTGTATGCATCCCGATTCCCGACGGCGTCATACCGTCAGTCGTTCCCTCGTGCGAGAGGCCACACAGACAGACACGGGGGACAGGGGCACATATTGCTATGGGTAAGTGTCGATGTGGGGTAAGTCAGGCACACCGCGGAATAAAAGAGCGGCCCCTCTTTTAATTGTTGATTTACTTTCCAACCACTCAGATGGCGTCCGTCATTTGCTGCGAGCGAAGACGCGCAGTCAGGTCGGAGATCGCGGTTGAACGGAATCCTCTCGCCGCCACCATTTCCGCCGTTCCCATTCAGCCAAAAGCTGCATGCAAGAAAACAGAAGAAACACACGCCAAACTCACATGAAACCATACCGTCCAGCCCTTCGACGCCGCGGATCACGCTAGATTATGAAGGTCCATGTCCTACTCCAGCTCTATCTGTCCGGCGTGCTTCCATATGCCAGTGAGGGCAAGATGTGAAAATGGACGAATATTCTCATGGATTTTGCTTGCGGGACCAATGGATATCCCATCGTTACATACAGTACATACATACGCATCCGCAGTTCTACCGTACTGCCGCAATAGTGGTAAAAGCCTAAGAAACAAATGCGCCGGTTCTATCGACCTGCCGCGGCAACGACCTTCTCCACATCAGGCCCCCTGGCTGCCAGGGTAATCATCGCGGCTACCCCGGTGACGAGAAATGTTGCTGCGAAGCATCGCCGGCCTCTACAGAGAGGGACATTGCTATGTGCATCTGTCCTATGAAAGCAGGTGTAACCGTGATGAGGCCCCTATTTCAAGGCGGTACCCCATTCTGCCAACCATGGCCGCGTACATGATGCCGACGCCAAGCAACGTGCAAAATGTGAGGAAGTACGCATCGGCTTGCCGCGAGGGAGGAACAATCTCTCCGTCGAATTCTCTCTCCGTTTGCTGCTCACCTTCTACGTGCTCGTCGAGAACCGGTGCCGACTCGGCCCTAGCGATATCATCCGTATGATCCTTGAGCGATAGCACAGCGAGTGCAGCAGTTCCTATCGCACAGGCTGGAAAAAGCATCAGTAGGGAAATCTGGAGGCCGTCTTTGGCGTAGAAAAGCACAGAAGCAATGACGGCGAAGAACGAGGCGGTGAGCCCAAAGGCGCTGACGGGAACTCCGATCGCTAACCCCTTCCTTGATGCTGGCCAGTTGCGCACGTTGGTCGCGATGAGCCGTGGTAGCCCATCGCGCTGTAAGCAGATGAGGGAAGTCCTGATGTTCGGCATCGTTCTCATCATGAGCAACGTGATGGGTTTCAGATACCTTCCAATACCAATGAGTGGAAAGAATGAAGCGACCAGTATGAAGTGATTCCAGGTTCATACGTCGCACTAGACAGAGTTCATTGATTTTGTTAAGCAAATTTATTACATTTGGACGTCTTACCTGATTAGCGTGTATTCGGTAGCAATGACGATACCCTCTGCGAGGAAGATCGGCCCCCGGGCGCTTCGCATTCCTACTGTACCAACCAAAACTCTGCAGAGACGTGGTGCGGTTGTTTGAGACCCATGTATGACGCCAAGCAGGCAAGAGGAGTAGGAAGCCACCCCAGCACCGGTCCCGACAAACTAGAGCCATTGCAGACGGGTTGCAAGCCTCCCAAAAATGTTTCGTACTGAACGCAGTCCCTCCCACAAACCTCAACGGTTAGACGTACAGAATACAGTACCTGCGGTCCGTTTAGCGAAACATATAGATGGTTCCCGCGGTCAGCTGAACCAGGACCGCTGTCCCGAGAGACACGGCTAGAAGGAAGTTTGCTCAGTCCGGCATGCTGCAGACCTTGTTCAGTGTCCAAATACTCTGTCCTTGAAACTAACCTTGCCAGAAACTGAGAGCTGGAGCCTGGAAACAGCATCGGAATTGACAGGGATCCGAGGATCGCCAAGAGAGCCTGCAGATCATTTTTGGGCTGACGGACGCGTTTTCTCAAACAGGAAAAAAAGCAGCCTGTTTCGTCAACGCACCGTCTGTGTGTATAGATATCTATACGAGGACATTCCGCCCGAAGCACCATAAACGGCCGCAGACGATTTCTCACCATACCCGTTTTCTTCATCGTTGCGGGAAAAGTTTTGAATTCTGGGAGCAGCACTTGAGCGGACTTGCCGAAGTATCGCAATTCAAGAGTACAGTGGGCTGTGCAGTGTCTCAACCATGCCTTGCAGTAGCGACGCATGTCATATCGTGCTCGACTATGCGATACCCTCCATGTGAGCAACGGATATGTTTCCACGGAACAACGCCGCGGGAATTCTGAAATTCCGACCCATGTTCTCTCAACAGCGGCGTGTTAACAACGCTGGCTATTGCCATATCCCCATACAAAGCTGTTCGACGAGTAGTGAAAGCGAAATGCTTGGAAGACGTGGACCCGATTCCTTTCAGCATATTGGCGGTGAACGCATTGGCGTGGGCCATGTAAGTATGTTTGTCATTTGCCATTGTCGGTTTTCGGCCGTTAGTTGATGTTAATTCTAACGCGGACTCGCTGCCTTCAGATACGGTAAGGCTCGCTCGTCTATCATCCGCACCAATATCTGAAACTTTGCAATGCTAATGAAAGACTCCAGGTCTTCTGATCCAAGACTATTTCGTCGCAACGCCTAACATCCTAAGCATCCCGATCGCGCTCCTCTTCACCATGCTGACATTGCTCTACTCACCGGCATCGACACAAAACCGGATGATGGCCATCGTAACAGCCGGATACGCCATTGTGTTCATGTTGGCGATGGTGGCGTTCATCGCTCTTCATAACAAATACTATGTTGCGGACAAGCTTCTGGGGAGCACTAGTATTGCGACCGTGGTGTTGTTCTATGGCAGTCCGTTGGCGGGGATGTGGCGGATTGTCAAGGAACGAAATGCGAGGAGTATTAATGCTCCCTTGGCCATCACGTGGTACGTGGGTCCTGTTGGCTCGATGGGTGTGTGGTCATGGAGCTCACGCGATTTGCATGTTAGTTTCGTGAATGGTTCCTTGTGGACAGCGTATGGATTAGCGGTGGGTAATGCGTTCATTTGGGCGCCGAATGCCACAGGAGCCGTGTTCAGCGCGATACAACTTACTCTGATCGTTCTGTTTCGCGCATCTCGCACCGAAACTCTCACCGGGGTAATAGTGGGTGATTTAAAGTGATGTGACGGAATTGAAGGGGGTCTTTATCGCCAGGCGGGAGCCCTCGGTACCATCAGGATAAGAGTTGGCTGTTTGCAGTTCGCCTCAAGGTGATATAGAGGAAGGCGGGTCCTTTCGCATACGGTGCACAAAGCGTATCCACGGTTGTTCGATATGATGGACGGCTGGGCGGCAAAGAGTGCTTAAACGCTACGAACAACTGTTATCTATAGAGGTCTAAACTTTTGGACAACATAACTCGGTTTGTCCGATCTTGTCCGAACGAACGCGTGTCACTACGTAGCAACTTTGCAACAAACCGCACCCTCCCACCAGTGCCACCACCTACCACAATCCTTGACGGCAGATCCTCCCACGAACCTCGTCCCACTTCATACCAAGCTCCGAGCCACAATGGCGCAGGCAGCCGCTGATATCCTGGCTCTGACGCTCCCTTTCGAGGTTCTTCGCAAGGCCGATGAATTCCAACGCCTAGCGCAGAGTCGCAGAGTCAAGTTAGGGAAAGGAGAGGCAGCATTACCCTACCTTTGTTTAGAATTAGCTTGTCAAACGTGAGTCTCTTCCATATCAGTCGAATTCAGAGTCACCGAGCTAAGTGAGATAATCAGTGCTCATTCGTCCGCAGAGCAGATGAGCAGTCTTTCCCCGCACGAGCGGCTCAGGCGCACCTCAAGCTTCCACCAAAACAGTACGCTACCGCACTGACGAATCTGAGGAAAGCGTTGAACATTGCGCCACCCCAAGTATCGCTGGAAAGCCTGGCGATCAAGGTCGGGGCTACACATATTGTCCCGGTTGTGAAGGACATGCGGCTAGCTTTCGAGACGAATTACGGAGCAACGCTCTCTGCGGCGGATCTTCGAAATGTGGACTGGAACCACCCTGATCTTACGGTTGCACTGTTTTATATGTGCTGTAAAGCGGTGGTGGGTTATCTCCGTCCAACAGTTTAGTCCCTCACAAGAATGCGTCCCCTGATCCCTTTCCATGCAGGGCATGAAATTTGGGAAAGGGGAAGCGGAACAGATGGCAAATAACCTCAAAGAGTTCACCAACTACATCAAGGCCGTCGAACAGCACTGCAAAGCCGAATTAGAGGCTTTAAGAACGGAGAATGAGAAGCAGAAGAATTCGCAAACACCGAGTCGTAAGAGGAAGAAGGCTGGGAATGATGCGACTGCTCCTGAAGAGGGCGGCGTAGCTGCGTCGAGCACCGGCAATCCGCAAACACTGTCAGAGAAAGCTTCCTCTGCGCCAACGCCGTCTAAGCTCGGCACACCCCGTCGACGAGGTCTCGTCCTCGAGTCGAAAACGAAGACATACGTGGGGCAGAAGTTGCGGGTGAGCTTCTTCACTCAGTAGTCATTCCAAGCCGTCTGTCAGCTTACACATTTGCCCTGCAGATTGACGATCGGGAAGTCACCAGTACAAAGCAATACGCAGAATACATGGCATGGCGAGAGAAGTTTCTGGCCAGCATACCCTCGCAGATACTCGATGAAATTTCTGGCTACTGACCGGAGAAACGGGTGTGGAGGCTCAAAGAGCAATTTTGGACGGAAAGATGGTCGATCCATTATGTTTACTGTACATATGTAATATTGAAATCTACAAGGGCACTTATATGCATTGGGTACGCCCCGCAACCGTACGACACGCTAACTTACACTTTTGAGGCCAAGCTCATTCATGAGCGATGGATAGTTTGAGCCGCCAAAGTTCAGTCATAGATGTGGTTGGATGCTAGCAGCCCCACGATAAAGACGAACAACAGTAGCGGTATTCCGCAAAATGCGCAAATGTAGGTGGTCCTCAGGAACGACGAAGCATGATCATTCCACGACATGTAGCAACCAGGCGCAGATGCAAAGTCCGGTGTTCCACTCGCGGGGCCAGGCGGGGATGAGCTGGTGTCCTGACCCTGCAGGACGTTTTGGCCCACTTCGTGCAGCCGAACCTGCCGCTTCGCGGGGCGGCTTTGGCGACGTCGTTTGGATTGAGGTGATGTACTGGGGGCTCCAACTTGGTTGACTGCTGGCGGTGAGGGAGGGACGCAGTGATCGACTGCTAGAGGTCGGTCAAGCCCGCTAAAGAAGCCACAACAATTGAACTGCGAAATGTTTCAAAGACAAATATCCGCGGATTAGTGATTGCCCGTGCCTTTGGACTTCATAAAAACAGAGAGCACGCACCTTGTCCTGGACAAAACCCCGCTGATCATAAAGCGTATCCCACTTGTTGGTCAAGAAATCATCCCACGCCGACGTGTTGAGTTGGTTGTAAGCCATGTAACCTAGCACAATCAGCCCGGCGAGAATCGGCCAGAGCAGCACGCTATGTATGGAGAGTATGTTCTTTCGGTGCATGAATGCGCCAAGGAACCCCACCAATCCGACAATGGTCAATGCTCCGCTGGTGAGAGTCAGGAGGAATAGCAGATCGACGCGGATCATTCGCATCACCATTGCGGTTGGGTTGTTGTTGAGGAATGTGAAGATGCCAAAGAGAACGGTGGCCAGTCCAATGAAGGTCAACTGTCAAAATAATAGGTTAGCTCAAATCATAAAATACACCAACTGAAGTATGACCATTCTCACCACAGTGTTGGCCACCAGAAACGTGAGCTTGCTCTTCCCAAAACGTGCCAGGTTCTTCCTGTTGATATAGCTGAGGTTCGAAATGTAACTCCTGAAGCTCCTAGCGCTAATTCCAGATAATGGTCTCGCCGCACGGTGCCGCTGGTTCCCTCGTTTGTCAAGAAGGTGATCTTCAGCCGTGGTTGTCTCGTCCGCATCGGAGCTCGACGTGACTACCACTTCCAAGAGCTTGTTCTCGGGCCGATACTTTTGTGGAGAAAGATGAGCCCCTTCTGGCGCGGTCGGTGTGCTCGGTACGGGTCTGATGTGTTGCCGGCTAAGGGACGAAACTGGACGCGATGAAGCTGGGTTCGCTATCGTTGAAAGCTCTGATAGCCGGCGAATATCTTTGGGTGGTATTGCTGGCGCCATCTTGAGGATCTGTGAAATTCACGCCTTCCGAGTAGATCTGGAGGTTGCTCAAAACGGGACGAACTGCGGATTCTGGCTGGGAATTGCACTTGAGGCACGACTGGGAAAATCGCCAACCGTTGCGTTCTTATGGAGCTCAAGACATGGGAAAAGCCGGCAGGATAGGCCAATGAGAGCAAGAGGGGCACCTGAAGGCAATCGCCGTTCAAGCAGACACACAACGCATGGCCGACACATGCAGAATGCTTATCAAATATGAAATCATACTATCCGTGACGGGTAGGCGCATGACAACAACCCGTCCCTAACGTCTCCTCATGTAAGTTGTCATCACGTACTTGAAGTAAGCAACGCTGGTATTGGACCCGTATGGTTGCCCAATTTTCTTCTTTCTTTTATCGCCGATCTTGCTCTCAAATGCTGCCCAAAGGGAGAATGTCCAGGTGCTTACGAATGTCCAGGAAAGCGGGGCTTCCATCAGCGGGTTTCCAACTTGACATGCTTACGGCAAAGCGCGCCCGCCGCGCTGTTGATTTTGCCTCCCTCACGCGTTTTGACGGGATACTCTGACACGAAAAGGGGGGTTGGTTAAGCCACTGGCGACATCCCAGAGAAGAACGCACCTTCAAAGCTCACGGGACAACATCTGCCTTTCCTGACACAGGAGGAGCCTCAACGGTCGCTATGTAACTCCGTCGTAGAAGAATCTCTGAGACATATTAGGAGTTGACCTGCCGACTGGACTAAAATTTGAACCGTCGAGCGTCATCCTGCCGTCGCTCGATGGTTGCAGTAAAGCCACAACAAAAATATCTCTCCCAAACTCCTGCATGACACGGACGCCTTGTCCGGAACTCGGGGGGCCCCAATCATCCGAGCGGGCACGTTCGGCCAAGAAATGTCCGAAACAGGCGCCAGCCGTGAGAGTCCTGGGTTCTGTCCTACCACAAGCCAACAGCAGCACACGGTCCCCATCAGGACTTGGATCCCTACGTTACGATAGACTTTTATTACTGTACATAGATCTACGTTCTGAGCCCCACAGCGCCGTGATCAAAACATGGGCAATCTCTCAATTTCCCAAGGACCAAAACAACCCCCTTGAAGGCGTTGAACGTGATAGGGGATCACATAGGGCGCCGTGACTGTTGTGCCGATTAAAGCCAGACGCGTTGAAATTAAGCCGCCGGGAGTTGTCCCTGTTGGCGCTGCAGTTGCGGCATGTGTTGGTGTCGTAATTCGCGCACACCTTCGAGTCTTTTTGCGTTTGTTTTGAGGTTGGGATCCATCCTGCGGGCTGCCCGCAGTCAACTCCGAGGAGGAACCAACCCAACCAACTCCAACGAAGCTTGGCTGGGAAAAGTGCGAGGTGTGCCATCCCCTCAGCACGTCGACACAGAGGGCCCTACATACTGTACTGTACATACACACTCGTGCAGATATGCAGCCTTTACTCGCCGAGACCTTATAGATCACCCAAGAGCAACCCTCGTAGAACCCTCCGCTGCGTCATTCTCACTCGGTTGCGACGGGTCCCACGACCTTCCCGACACTCGTCACGCACTTGACGGCACATACATACAAGCACATGCATATAAAGAAGTGGTTAAAGAAGAACTGGACCGCAGTGAGGCGGAAGAGTAGCGAAAGCGATTCGGTCGACAGCGGCGGAAAAGGACAGACGACAAATTCCTACGGATGTGTTGCCATTGAGGATGATGCGGTCGGCATTCCCCTCGGCGTGAGCGGCCGAACCAAGAGTGTGGAAACCATGACTGCTGCCGAATTCGCTAGAGCTGTCGGCATCACTGTTCTCGTTGAATCGGACTCGCAGGACGACGACGATTTTGCGCCATATACCCTTGAGAGCCCCTTCGGCGCTACTCCGGCTGATACGAAACCTGCTGATGCGAGCTCTCCGACACAGCTCGGGCGGTCGTTCTCCTTCCCGCAACCTTCCGCGCTGTGTTCTGATGCAAGATCGCACACCATCACGTCGCTAACGACCTTGAGTTCGAGAAGATATAATATCCCCTCCGTTCTTGATACCTCGATGTTTGGACCTCCGACGTCCCCTCTTCCCTCGACTCCAAAACATGCCCTCCTATCCGCCGCCAATCAGAAACGGCACTCTCGAAGCCCATCCCTGCCCGCATCACCGTCACTTCGCACGCTTCAACTTTCGTCGGTCGCTTACGAAGAGCCGCCCATCTCGCCAAGAACCCGGTCGAAAAGCATCCCCTCCTTCCCGCTTCCAGCCGATTCGCCGACATCATCGAGGGTGGTGCAGGTGACGAGTAAAGGACGCTTTACACTTACGAGAGAGCAGTCCGATCATTTCACCGCTCGACAAAATCATACCTATCCCGCTCACAAGCGTCATAATAGTACGACTAGCAGGTTCCGGCTGGGAAAACTCGTCGGCAACACGTGGGAGGATATGTCCGTCGGCGTACCGAGCGTACCGACGACGACGGTTGCGTTTGCTGATCTCGCGAAAAGAGGGACGGTGAAAACTGTTGATAGTGGGGTGTTTCCATAGATATACGGTCGTTCTTTTTTGTATATACACATGCTTGATAATATTGTACCATATCACTACCATTATGAGAGCATGCCCAGACCTAGCTTAACGGACAGATCATTTGTGCTACACGAGCCTGAAAGAAGTGACATTCCTCCCCCTTATCCGCCAGGCTCCCTCCTTATCGGGATCGTTCCACTCATCCCATCCTTACCGAATCGGCATGGCATCATATGCATCGCTGGGTAGCAATCTACGCAAAGCGCAATACGGTCGTCGATAGGAGATTGCGCGGCGCAGGGATCTCTATCGCTCCTCGTCCTCCTCTTCGACGGTGGCGGCGTGGTGTCGGAGTCAATTGGAGATTCGGCGGCGAGCAACTATTCCCATGTTCGAGGGATTTCTACGTGTGCTGGGAAGAAGGCACCACCCTTTCTCCACATCTCCGTCCTCTCACTCGCCCGCGACCTCTCTCTCACTCGTTTCCCCTCTCTGTCCGTGTCTCTCCCGTTCGACACCTCCATCAACCGCTTCGCATCCTAGTACGCTTCTTCACGGTAATGGACAGGGTGGTCGTCATTGTAGGTATCATCCTCTATGCAGATATCATTATGGTCACCATGGTCCGGTTCCAGGTATTCTTCAAAGTCGTCGTATTCTTCGGCCGTTGGCTCCGATGTGCGTTCGGGACGCTCGAGATGTTCGGGGTGCTCACTGTGCTCACCGGTCACTTTGCGGCTTTCCTAGGATCTCTGTCTGTGATTTACGGGTAAATCTCCGGCTTCTGGTCTAATGGCAAAGAAAAGGGTGTTTTGCCATGCATTCTCATCTCTGTCCATTAGGTTGCTGCAAGTTGAATTCGGACACTTGCAGCGGATGGTTTGCAACTTTCCATATATCTTCCCGCAGAATTGAACATTTTTGGGTACTCTATGGTTCAGCACTTCTCGAAACCATGCATGTGATAGGATGGTCAACACTCGTTTGCTCATCGTAGCTAGTTCCCTTCTCTCTTTTTCACAAGAGCAGGAAAGTCGTAGTTCAGAAAGAGAACGACTGCGAAGTTGACCATAAAGTAAGTCGTGTGCGAGTGCAAGAGCTTGATTTCATCCAAAGCTTGCTTGAAATTGTTCTATCTGGTCGTATGTGCTTGAAGTCATGTTCCCTCGAATGTGATTCCAGCTCGCCCATACGTTGCAGGTTGTTAGCATCCGTAGCTGGTGGAGTGTTGCTGACCAGCGAGTCGAAAAAACTGCCCAACCACTCTGTCTTGGTGCTGTACGATGTCCTCCCCTTCGTACTCGTCGCTGCTTCCCCGGTCTGCTGGAGAACGGGAAGGATCCCTGACTAGGACGGCTGTCGTCACTTGCCCCGGATATCACTCTCCGAATTTCCACGGCATCCATAGTTGGCAAAGAGGTGTCGGTTCGTGCAATAGGAGCATGCCAGCTTGTGGTTCCTCCATTGAGGTCGCAATATACGTCCTTCCATTGCGGCTGAGGCGCCAAGGCACAGCGTACTCCTCATCCTCGAACCCCTCCTCCTCGAACCCATCCTCCTCGCTGCCTTCTGCATCATCACACGGGCAACTATGTGTGTCTAGATGTATCTGCGTGATATAGCCCTTCTTGCAATGGGTGCATATTTCCTCCGTATGTCGAGGTCCTATTCGTGCATCCTGGGGTAAACCTTGAGGTTTCCATGGCCAAGGCTTGTGGTGAGTCCAGAATCAGTACATCTAAATTTAGGTACAGTAAGTGCCTTTCCAGAACCAGAATTTGGAACATGGGCATATTGTAGATCTGGAGTGGGGCTGAGCCGGCTGAATCCTGATGACAATCCATTAAGAGGACGCGCAAAGAGAAAAGTTGCAAACTTTGCCAGAAGCGATGATGTGGGCTTCAAATAAAAGCCTTCGACGTGCTCTCAGCCTCCCAAAAAAAGGCAACCCAAAACTGGAAATGTCACTCGAAGCAACGCAAAAGGTCCAAGGCCGGAAAGAACTTCAGGACTCGGCCGCCATCAAGCGTGCCGTCTACGCCACCGCGGCATGGGCCTCCATCCTCCCCGATACGGAAGCTAGGAAAGAATGGACAGCGACCTTCAGGACTCGGAATCCTGACATCCCGGTGGCCATTCTCAATGCGACACTGGCGGAGCTCCTGACCGAATGCCTGCTGATATCCGCAAATTCCGCGAATCCAAGATCTGGGACCTCGGGCGGTGTCCAGCAGGAGGTGTCCTCGCCATTACGAAGCTGTTCGATCGAGGCCCAAGCGGCTTCGGAGTCACGCACTTGCTCGCACTGCGACGCGGAATTGGAACTCCGCCAAACCATTCACCGCTGCCTAACCTGTCGCGCTGCTTCGCCGGACGATAATGGCGACTTCTGTCTGAATGTAAGACCATGTCTGGTTCTCCTGCTCTCATAAGAGTTCAAATACTGATACATTTGACACAGTGTTACAATGCGAAGGGAGATCACCATCCCGAGCACCATGAATTTCGAAGCTTTGACCTTCCAGTTGATAAAATCATCGCGAAAGCTCTCCCGAGATTGCGTTGTCATCGTGCATCCGAAGCGAAGCCGGATGAAGTTATTGCAGTAGACAATGCCTTCACCCAGGAGACGCGAGCACAACTCGCACAGACGCTGAATAGCCTCGCGGAACGAACGCCTATGGAGTTTCACCCTTGGACAAACGGGAAGGTGTTGGACGTTATCCACCCGTCCTCGTCTCCATTCGTTCTTGATGAGACGTTTGTGAAAGGTGGACAGCGAAAACGGAGCGTGTCTCAGCCGTTGTATCAATGGTTACCGGCCGACGTCCACATCAACGGGGAAGGGGAGGCTCGTATCGTATCGCGCATCGGGGACCTGGTCATGGAGGAGAATGGCGATCTTTATGCGGCGATGGAGCGCTCTCTGGCACACTGTGTCCCTTTGTGGGAGCGCACTACGTCCCGCACTCTCCGCGGGCAAGCCATCCAGGTAAGGGTCATGCTGCTTCGGCTGCAGATTCTGGGACATGCAACTCATTGTGCCTCTTCTCTCTTAGGTTATTGTGAAAGCTGTCACTTACGCTCTAAAGTCTGGGGAGACGCATGAAGGGCACTGGCAACGGGAAGGCCTCCCAAACGAGCACATCCTCGCATCCGCCGCCTACTGCTACGAAAGTTCACCCAACGTCAAGAACTTCGGTACAGCCTTCCGCTCCCGTCGGGGGTCGATAGGATGTCACGTGGAAGCCCACACTCGCGATGCCCTGGAGGCCGCCGCCACCGAATGTGGCGTGAACATGGAAACGGAATGGGATGCCGGTCTTCGGGAAGACCTGATTTCTGCGATTCGCGCGAGGCACCCCTCGTGTGCCGAACCTACCTGCGAACTGGGCACCGTTGCGACGCACGCCAACCGGCTGGTTGTCTACAGCAACGCATCGATGCAACATCGTTTGGCAGGATTGAAGAACACGGATATAACGGACGGTCAACAAGTTACCGGCATCGCTCAGCAGAAGACGGTATCATTCCTGCTTGTGGATCCTTCTCATCGTCTGCCGTCCACCGCCGACGTACCTGATCAGCGATGGGACGTAAACAAGCCAGAGGTGACCTGTTTACTGGACCGAGCAGCCGCCCAGGCCCTGAAACGGCCGCTACCGCTCGAGATCCTCTCTATGATTGTCGACACCGCGAAATGGGGATTTACATCAGAAGAAGCGCAGGTGCATCGCTTGTGCATGACAAGAGAGAGGAAGGACCATGTGGACCACATCAATGAGATTTGGGAATCGAGTCCCGACGAATAATACACCGAGAGAGTTATTTGCATTATTCCTACTAGATCTGTAATTTATCGTGATCCTTATACCTATAGACCTTTGATTGGGACGACTCTAGATCTGTAACTTAAATAGAATCACCTCTTCGAGGTCAAAGTTGGAAGTTTCGTGCGAAGTTTGTGGAAAACTGGCGGAAATTAGCCTCCGGGGCAGAAGGTGGTTTTCGAATTAAGCCGCCTAATCAAAAGAATCATTGTGGCCAAGCCCGGGTCGTTGATAAAAGTGAGATTTCTTACAAGAGAATCTCTTATGAACGAGATGATGACTGCACATGTTCAACTTCTTGCTGTCCCTGGCTGTCAACGGTTAAGCCCTCTGGCCATCACAACAAGTCTGTTCTGCTCGTCAGAGGTAAAAAGACATGTACCGCACCCTCCTCTCAGCTGTTCAAGTGACCCGTTTCCAAACGGTTCCCTCGAAGCTGATAGTTTCTGGGAGAAGCAAGCATACGACGTCGACCTCGCAAAACGCTGGCAATGCCTCATTGCCGCTTTCCGGCATAAGGGTCCTTGACTTGACCCGAGTGTTAGCCGGTCCTTATTGCAGTAAGTTCGGGGAAGCTCTTCATACGCTTGGCTTTGTCAAGCTCAACTGCTCTCCGTTCAGCGATGATCTTGGGCGACTATGGGTGAGAAAACAGGCAGCTCGCTGCAGAACATCTTGGGAAGCGACTTGCTGAGTTATCGTTGCACGAGTAGCGCAGATATCGTCAAGATCGAAGCTCCCGGAATCGGAGGTAGCCGAAAGAGCTGATTGACTTCAAAATCGCATATGGACGGAGGTTTAAAGTTTCAAGCTTTAGACGATACACGGCGGTGGGGCCCAAACTTGGCCAAGAAGCCGTCAACCACGAACGCGGAGCCGTCAACCACGCAGGATGAGGGGCCTGAAACTGCATACTTCCTGGGCACAAATCGGAATAAGCGCTCGATGACTGTGAATTTGAAGAGTCGAAGAGGGGTGGACATCATCAAGACTTTGGCTTCGCAGTCTGATGTTCTCATCGAGAATTTCGTGCCGGTGCGACTCAGATGTTTGTAGAGGTACCCTGGGTTGAGGCTAATGTCAGGTAGTAGGGAAAGCTGGATGAATTAGGACTGGGATACGAGGAAATACAGAGGATCAACCCGAAAATTATTTACACATCGGTACTGCGAACTGTTAACTCAGGATCACCCCCTTAAGATTGAGAAACTTACCAGGATCATCGGCTAGATCACAGGGTATGGCCCGGATGGACCTTATGCGCATCGGCCGGGCTATGATGTCATTATAGAGTAGGTCTGCGAAGGCGGGAGTCGTACAGGAGCGGTCCACGGATTGAACGTTTCTGCCACTTGTAGAGCTGAGGCGGGGATGATGCATATCACGGGCGAGGCATGTTCGACTGTCTGGCGCATGTGGAAAGGAAAGGAGTCAATCATGTTTGACCCTTCATCAACCGACAGGCGGAACGACCACCCGTGAAGGTCGGCGTGGCTATAACGGACATGACCACCGGGCTTTACGCGCACGGTGCAATCATGGCCGCACTCATTGCTCGGTCGCGAACAGATAGAGGGCAGAAGCTGGATTTGTCGTTGCTGGTCAGTTGGAGTATGACGGCTTCCCCGATGGAGGCCTGGTCTCACGACATCTAAACAGGAGTGTCAAGTTGCCTCGTTGGCGAATATTGGCCATAACTATCTCATTGGAGGAGAAGAAGTGAGATCGATTGGATCATGCCTCATCCTGATGCTATCTGATGACTTTTGTTGATAACGCTGCAGGCAACTCGTTGGGGCACACAACATCCTTCGATTGTTCCATATCAAGTAGGCGCTATGATCAGTCAAACTCCACGCTCTCGCCGCCAACGCGTTTTCTTGCTAGGTGTTCCCGACGAAAGACGGCCACTTCGTTCTCGGTGCAGGCAACGACAAGCAATGGCGCAAAGTGCGCGCCAAGCTGAACCGCGATGACATCCTCGAGAGCCCAAAATTCCAAACAAATCTCGACAGGGTCCAAAATCGAAAAGAGCTGGTGAGCAAACTTGTTCATACATCACATTCCCACATCTTCGAAGATATTGGATAGGAGCTTAAATTCTTTTCCAGGTTGAGCTCCTATCCAATATCTTCAAAGAGCAGACAACCGCTCATTGGTTGAGGGCATTTGAGAACGTTGGGATTCCGTTTGGGCCAGTGAACAATATCGCGAAAACTTTCAACCATCCGCAGGTCATACATCGGAAGGTACATGGGGTGTCCAGGGCGTGGTATCTGAAGATGTTTCCATCGCTTATCTTCCTTGTGGCTGTTGCAGATGGTAGAAAAGGTCCATCATCCGCGCGTAGGGGACATCAAGCTTATTGGGATTCCAGCAAAGTTCTCGGAGACGCCCGGTGCTATTAGACGGCCGCCTCCTACACTGGGGCAGCATACGGAGGAGATTATGGCCGAGTTGGGATATTCGGAGGATGACATACGGCAGTTCCGCCACGATGGGGATATCTGACGGCAGACCCGTAATGAGCGTCATCGGCGTAATTTGGAAACACATCCTGCAAGATAGATCTGTATGCTTCGTTGTCTCGTTCTGACACTATGCCTTTGCAATGACAGAATACATCCAACGATTATTTTTCGGACATTTCTCCTTGAGTATGATTCAATTCCAGGCGCCGACGTTCTGAAAACTGGCGTTCTTCTTTAGAATGTAGCTGAGGAAGGAGCGATGTTCCGAACGCGTGGGGGAATATTTCGACAGCAGCACTGTCAAAAAGACGGACTTTTATACGCTTATCATGACCAACAATTAAAGCATCAGAACTGTGGGCTTGAAAGGCTCCTTGTAACCTTAAAACAACTCCGATTCCAAGCACGCAGCGGGCCCGACGCCTCACCGCCGCTATATCTAAGCGCAGCGCAAAGTCCGCTCCAGCGCACCTCGACCTCCCCGCCCCACTTTCTCGCTCTCGTCGTCCACATAAGAACAAGCACCCCTTATTCCGTCACGCGTTGTAGAGATCGCACCCGTTGGGCATTTTTTGGGACCACAGCTGGAACGACATTGTAGCAGGGAGCATTCGTGTGCTTGCTTCACTTACGAGCAGAAGTTTATCGCGAGCATCCCCGGTAAGACCTAGCGGTTCTCTTTTTGTTTTGTACGGGGACGAGTTCGTGAATTGAGGGATGGCGGAGGAGCTTGTCTATATGTGCATCGCACATCGCTCCGTCTTCCTGCACATGCACGACGGTGAAGGGCAAAAAGCCGATGTGCGTGCAAGATGTCCTGGGCGCGTCGAGGTGTCTGCTTTCTGCTTTCGTCTGAGATTTCGGACATGGAGGACATGCCTTTCTGACCAGCAGCTCCTCGTTCCCTCTTTGCTCCTCCCCTCCCCAACTTTCCCACGCTCGTCAACCTTCGCCTTCCCACGGATCCCAACTCCCTCTCTGTCGGTCGCCTTTACCCACGACCACCCACACCGCTACACTCAACTACTGCGCACATCTCGCCCGGCGGTCTCGATCTCCGTCACTGGATCCATCTCGCTTTCAAACCCACAGATTACTTGGTAGGTCATGCAGTGCCCGCATCCATTCCCGGGAGTCAGTGCATCCCTGAGCGTCGGGAGCGATCCTTTCGAGACGACGCAAACCCCTCTCGAGAAGTTGTTCAGCGGTGCCCTCCGACTCAAATCTCCCACGCGTTTTCTCCACCCCTTCGACGACGGCTAACAGTACCTCGTTCCTTCCCATCACGCAGATAGCAAATAAATAAGCAAAATGCGTGAGATTGTTCACTTGCAGACCGGGCAGTGTATGTATATTCTCAACGATTCGACGGCTGTGATTTACTGCCTTGTGATTTTTACCCCCAATGCTGATTCAATCACCCCTTCCTTCCCTTACGCTTCTTGGAAACAGGCGGTAACCAGGTATGTTTCCCGGCTGGAACGTGATCTGTGTTACTCCGCTCTCTCGACAGGTATACCTGACGCCTTTGGTTTCTTGATTCGCAGATTGGTGCCAAGTTCTGGGAGGTCATCTCCGACGAGCACGGTATCGACCCCACTGGTACCTACCATGGGGACTCTGATCTCCAGCTGGAGCGCATCAACGTGTACTACAACGGTTAGTATAGTTTGACGACTCCCACGAGTCCGGAGCGATTACTAACGACGCCTTCGTCACGTAGAGGCCACCGGTGGGAAGTATGTTCCTCGTGCGGTGTTGGTTGACTTAGAGCCTGGAACAATGGACTCCGTGAGGGCTGGCCCCTTCGGTCAGCTGTTCCGACCGGTAAGATTGCATGCAATCATATTCTGGCAGGCAAACGGAGAGGTTAGCTTATGCTGCTTGTTACATTATAGGACAACTTCGTATTCGGACAATCCGGTGCTGGAAACAACTGGGCAAAGGGTCACTACACGGAGGGTGCCGAGTTGGTCGATTCCGTGCTCGACGTCGTGCGCAAGGAGGCCGAGTCCTGTGACTGCTTGCAAGGTTTCCAAATTACGCACTCTTTGGGAGGTGGTACCGGAGCCGGTATGGGAACTCTTCTCATCTCCAAGATCCGTGAAGAATACCCCGACCGGTACGTGTTGCAGACTATCAGCATATGCTGGGTTTTCTCTAACCGACACCATCCTCCTTCGTTTCCAGGATGATGTGCACGTTCTCCGTGGTTCCATCGCCGAAGGTCTCTGATACCGTTGTCGAGCCCTACAACGCAACGCTCTCAGTCCACCAACTTGTCGAGAACTCCGACGAGACCTTCTGTATCGACAACGAAGCCCTCTACGACATCTGTTTCAGGACTCTCAAGCTGACGACTCCCACTTACGGTGATTTGAATCACCTCGTTTCGGCCGTCATGAGTGGTATCACCACTTGCTTGCGCTTCCCCGGTCAGCTGAGTAAGTACACGCTTGTCGCGTGCATCAGTGCAATCAAGGCCTAGTGAAACTGAAAAATATTTTATAGATGCTGATCTTCGGAAGTTGGCCGTCAACATGGTTCCTTTCCCCCGTCTCCACTTTTTCATGGTCGGCTTTGCCCCTCTCACATCCCGGGGATCTCAGCAATACCGCGCTTTGACCGTGCCAGAGCTCACCCAGCAGATGTTCGACGCCAAGAACATGATGGCTGCCTCTGACCCTCGCCACGGTCGTTACTTGACTGTAGCGGCTATGTTCCGTGGCCGTATGTCCATGAAGGAGGTTGATGAGCAGATGTTGAACGTGCAGAACAAGAACTCATCGTACTTCGTGGAATGGATCCCGAACAACGTCAAGACGGCTGTCTGTGATATCCCACCCAAGGGTCTCAAGATGTCCGTGACCTTCATTGGAAACTCCACCGCCATCCAGGAACTGTTCAAGCGCATTTCTGACCAGTTCACGGCCATGTTCCGTCGTAAGGCTTTCTTGCACTGGTACACAGGCGAGGGAATGGATGAAATGGAGTTCACGGAAGCTGAGTCCAACATGAACGATTTGGTCTCTGAATACCAACAATACCAGGATGCGACCGCGGAAGAGGAGGGTGGTATGTACCTCGTTGACGCTGTGCTGCTTATATGTCACCTCCCCTTTCTGACCATTGCTTTCTCATCCTGTTAGAATTCGACGAGGAGGAAGGCGAGGCCGAGGCCGAGGCTTAGAGGGCTTTTATCAGTAATAGTGTTAGTAGCTTCGTTTGTGAATTGTACCTCTACATCGCAAAAAAAAAGGAAAAAGTTTGCGCCTCGTGTCGTGTATTTGACTGCTCCTTTCTAGACTCTACATTACAACGTGGAAGTTCTATGGTACATGTACAGTATGTGCATCTGCAAAGGTCTAACATCTACACTTGAGGAAAACCCACCAGGTTCGCTACATTCCCTTTCAAAAGATTCAGCGCCCCTCGAATCGCTGCAAAGGGACGAAAGTCAGTAAGATTCATCTATGCTCCTTGATCGAAAGAATGTCCGTCAACAGTCCAACTCCTACATTGAGGTTGTTTCTTGGCAAGTGCGTCCCGCAGTGAGTACTGATGAGGTTTCATCAATGCGTACTCTTCGGGGTTGAGCGGCCGAGCTTGCATGCGAAGCGCCAACAATTGAGCTGTCCGCTCCTCGCTTGTACAGATGCCTTTTCGCAGCAGATTGATTTCACTGTGTGGGAGGAGAGGATGATTGTGAGATAAGACCCAGATTCTCCTCGGAACCCGACGGATCGCATACCTCAATAAGACGCTGTTTTCGCTCAAGATCTTCATATTCCCTTTCAGTCGTTTGTTCTGCTGTTTATGCAACCGGCCCTGCAGGGTCGACACCTCCCGTTCCAAGTGATCTCTCTGCGCTTCGTTCGAGAGCACCTCTTGCTGCTCAGCGGACGCCGCGGCGCTCTCAGATGCGGATTTTGCTCTCGAATCGGACCGTTTGTCGCTTCCATCGGCTGAAGCGGATTTTCGTGAAGGTTGAATGGGAAGAAGTGGGATGTGAATATCTGATTCGGATTTCGATGTTGAGTGTTTTGTGTGGACGGCGATTAGCGACCGCTGTAGCAGAAAACGCCAGAAAAAAATATCAGCGGGCGGTTTGATAAGGACGCCTGGTACCGATAGCGCTTTCCTCACCTTCATGGCCATCAGATTGCTAATCGAACACCGAATACCAGCTACATCAGCCTGGATGGCCACCAGGGCAGCTTTCCCCTTGTCGGCCTTGAACGCCTCTCCTCGGAATTCGTTCTTCGTGGCACGCAGTCGCATCTGTATATCCTCGGTCACCGTGCTGAGCACGTCGTGCTGCTTGTGATAACCTTGCAGCTCATCATCCATTTCCTGCATGCGCATGAAGAAACATCAGTAATCCATGGTGGATGTTAAAAGATTGGGACATCCAGTTGATGTACTTTGATCTGCTTGGAAAGGATAATAATATCCCGCTCCCGCGGTTCGATCTGCTTCCTGAGCTCCACAATCTTATAATCGAGCACGAACTTGAACTTTTCCAGTTCTTGATTTTTCTTTTTCAGGTCTGAGATGCGTTTGGCTTTGTCTTGTATCGTGTCGTCGCGCTCTTGGATCTAGAGGAGGCGATGCGGGATGCGAACAAAGATAAGATTACGAACACAGGGACTCGAAAGAGTGTCGACCAGCAGTCAGGGAGACATCTGGGATGGTCGGAGCTACACGAACGTCCGGTCCAACACACACGTACCTCACGTCGCAAACCGCTAATATCCTTCTCCAACCCTCTACAGATCGCCTGCAACCGCCTTTCTTCCGCCTGCCGCCGCACCATCTCCGTTTTCTGCTCCTCGACATCTCTCGTCAGCAAGTTGAACTTTTCACGCATCGCATCGTTCTCCTCTTTGATTGACGCCAAGGCAGTCCTCTCTACTTTCAATTTCTGCTCGAACCCGTACGAGAGATGTAGCAGCTCGGAATCTGTATCCTGCGCAATCTCCGTCATAGCCATGTCATGGCTGTTTTGAGCGCTCGTCAGCTCGCTTTTCAGCTGTCGTACGCCGCGAAAGTCTGTGATGAGACAATTTGAAAGTACAGCAACGAATGAGACGTGAGTTACTTACACTAGCGTAAAAAGCAACCTTCTCGGCCAGCTTCTCCTGGAAGAACGTCTCAATCTCCTTCAGTTTGATGTCCTTTTCCAGTTTCATGTCCTTCATCTGTATCTGCCATTCGTCTTGCAAGAGCTTGGTGTTCGCCTGCATTTCCTGGTACTTTTCCATCACGTCCTCAATCTTGAACTTGAACGAGGATTTGGCTTCCTCTATCTCATTTTTCTGAGCAATCCGCGTCTCCTTCAAGTGGTCAAGCGATCGCCTGCTTGTTGCTTTCAAGTCATCTTGTAGCCCGGCATTAAGCTGACGAGAAATGAGGATGAGTTGCTGCTCGTATCGCTCAAGGTTGAGATCACATACCCTCTTCAACCCTTCCACCTCATTCATGTACTTCTCCTCTAAATCTTGCAACTTTGTTTTGTAATTCAAATCCTTCACACGCAGCTGCGTTTCGCTATCGTCTTTCAGGAGCTACAAAATATTCCCCGAGGTCAGTAAGAATGCGAACTCTCACTTGTGGTTTCCAGCAAAGCACATACCTCAACCCTGCGCTTGAGATCGGATTGCGTCTTGAACTTTGTTCTGAGGTCGGACTTTGTGACGAGAATCTGTGCCAAGCACCATATCAATGCCAATCGCTACGATAAATGCTTTTAGCCACTATCATACCTCATCGCTATATCCGTAATCTTTCTCCCTCTTCGCTGCTCTCGCCTCCTTCTCGCTCAGGCGGAAGAACCACAGACAGCCGTCCTCTCCGCAGGTGAACGCGTACTGATCATCGTAAGAGAGGCAGAGGCGGTTTATAGGCCCGGTGTGATACGAGTACTCCGTGTACTCGTAGGGATTCTCTTGAGGGAATGGATATTTCAGGGCACGGAGAGTATGATTAGCAGTCGCTGAAGATCGAGAGTAATCAGAATGGAGCTACCCCAACTGCGAAATGATGATCAGTGCTGTAGACTTACAGGCCAGAGCAATTTTGCCGTTTCGAGTAACCGCAACTGAAGGGAAAGCCGAACGGCATCAGGGAACCTACTATGAGCGTTCGTTCGTTCCCAACGAGAGTCTCACTCACTGTGTTTCAAAGGCAGCTTCGTAGAGAACTCCCGGAAAACGTGTCCATCGCTCAGCTCCTACTCGACGCGTGAGTTAACTACCATCCGCTCCTTCACGCATCTCCCCAAATATGTCACCCACCCTCAAGACTCCATCACTCCCAATAGCAAAAGCAAGTTTATTATCATGCGTATAAATCGCCTGATTGAACGTCACGTTCGGCGCAGAGAGTTCCGTCTCCCGCTTGAACGTTCGGACGTTGTATTCGTACACGCATCCTTCGAGCCCGCACGACATGATGCGAGAGTCGTCCGCGGACCAGCTGATGGAGCGGATCTTTGATTGGTGGCCTTTGAAGTGTGCTATCACTTCTAGAGTCCACATGTTGTAGACGAGGATGGTGGAGCCGTGAACTGCGGCGAAGTACTGGGGAAACGGGAACGGTAGTCAAGAAGACGAAGTCGACCATGTGTGGATGTAGCACGAGATGCGCTTACCTGGCCACCGTTGCTGAAATGACACTGTGGTAAAGCGGGTCAACATCGATGCTGCAGACGGCGGGCGGTGCTGAATGATGTAGCCTACCTCCCTACATCCTCGCACGGGCGTCTCCCAAAAGTACTCGAGGTCCTCCAAGAGCACATTCATAAGCTTAAGCCCGTCGCTGAAGCCAACAAGGAGGTATAGACCGCTCGGGTGGATCGCAACACTATGTACCGGGTTCATGAGCAAGACCCCAGATACTCATGCGACATCAGGTATGACCACCGGTCCCGCCGACGTACCTCATCGGCTCATCGAAAAATGTCTTCAAAACCTCAACATTATTGTCGACATAATTCCAGATTCGTACGGAGCGATCCACACCGCATGTAACGAGAAGCGGTTTCCGAATAGCCGTGTCCATGCCCGTGATAGGACCGTTGTGAAACGACTGGAAGAGGTGCGAGCTTTTGATGACATCGCCCTGGCAGGGTGGAATGTCAGTTTTCTCGCAGGGACCAGGACTATAGTACTTAAGTTCCATGATTCTCACCCTTCCTGGGTCGTACTCCCACGGCAGCGTGTAAATCTGACTATTTTTCAACGTTACAATCGCCGCGTCCTCTCCCGGGCTAAGCGCAATGGACGAAACCGCAACCTCCTTCTCCAACTGAAACTCCCTGTTCTTCTTCAGCATCGATGAGTCCTCCGTCCGCTCGAAATGGATGCAGAAGCCCGTGCTGGTTCCAGCAAGGACACCGCCGGAGAATGCTTTGATCTCGGTGATGGCGGGAGTTGAGAGGTAGTTGTAGGCGACGGAGCTGGGGATCACGTATGTGAATTCGAGGACGAGTTCGCCGGCTTCGAAAACTTGGAGTTTGGCGTCTTCTGTGCCGGCGAGGATGCGGGTTTCGGAGAGGTAGGCGTGGGATAAAAGGTTCTATGGAGCCGTTGAAAGGTTGAGGATTCATTCGGACCGAGGCATCCATTGATGGTACATACCTTATCAGACTTATGCTGATGTTGCAGTTTCCAAGACCCCTCAGAGTGCTTGTAGGTTCGAAAGAGGTTGTTTCCAGTAACGCACACCTGCACGTTATGCAGGTCGTACGGGCTCACGCTCATTTGGTGGATGGCTGCATTGCTGTTGTTTGAGGTCTTGATGACACCCCTCAATCGGCCCTTGTCCCAGTCCCACATGTACAAGTTCCTATTGGTTCAAAAATGCACGAATGTAGGAATGAGTGCAAGCAAAGGTAGGGAGGCATGTGCTGAAGTGGGTTACCATTCTGGTCCAGCAGATTGCGCAATGACATGTGTCCCATTGGGCGAAAAGGCGACGCTGATGTACTCCTGCGATGGCAAGATGTCTTTATTAGTGGGCCACCGATGTGCGTATAGCCACCGGGTCACCTACCCTGATTTGATCCCCGGCGACCAACACCTTTCTCTTTCGCCCATTGGACAAATCATACAACACTATCGTCGCCTCCGTTCCAACCGACGAAGCGGCCGTACCCTCCCGAAACACGCTCGCCCTCGATGCAAGATCATGGACATTCGATGCGGCAACACTCGCCCGCCCGTCATCTCCCGCAGGTCCAGTAGCCGGCGTTCCTTTCAGCGCCACGGCGACCATTGTGGAATTTTGGTTGACCGCGAGGGCGGACATCTCCTCGCCGTCGCCGACAGGCATGAAATGCTGGCTTTTCTGCTCGATGTTGTAGGAGACGAGCTGCGTTCCCGCTGGATAGAGGATGGTCTGCTCGTCCGTGAAGAAGACATTGTTGCGGACATCGCGACTGAGGCCAAATACATGACTGAAGTGGCAATAAGGCCATCGTCAGTCCTTGAAGGACATCTAATATTGATGCTCGTATATGGTTGCAGACCACACTCACTTTGCAAAAACTTTCGACATCTTGACCGCGATGGATAAGTGATGATCGTGGCGGTAGTCAAAGTCGCAAGTAATATGAGTGGAAACCCTCAGCGAGATGAAAAGAGAATTCGGAAGTCCAGCAGATGCAAACTCCGACACGACAGCAGGGCAGACCCACAAGAACTCCCCACATGGCTGGTACACGGGTAGGGAATCGAGGAGATAGTTTAGACATTGAAATTTGGAACCTAAAAAGCCGTGCCGGAGAATTACCGTTCTGATGCGATATAAGGATGAGTTTAATTGGGGAAAACGTTGAATTACCGAACGTTCGCTTTAGAATGAGGGCAGGCTGGATATGTGGGATCCTGTCAGTTGCAGACGCGATTGGATGATCCATGAGATGAACATTGATGAAGGAGAGATTAGGTAGAGACTATGATACAAGAAAAACGCTCAATGACAAGCGGGAATTTTCCATGTTAAGTTTTTGGTTTATGTTGAGAGAACACGAATCAAGAAAGAGCACACAAATTATGCTCAGAACAAGCAGTCCAGACAGCAGCAAAGACATGCACCGGCAGCGCTAAGAAGAAAGACGAGGGTTGAGTGGCAGGTGTGACAGCGTTAGGAACAGGAAACGGGATGCTTACAGTCCGGCGAACAGTCCGTTGTTATCACTCTTCTGAGGTTGCTGTTGCACATAGACTGTCGTTGGTTGTTGCTGACCGTAGTACTGTCCTTGCGGTTGTTGTCCGTACTGTGGCCCTCCGTATCCCTGCTGTGGAGCAGGGTAGCTTCCCTGAGGCTGTTGGGGGTACGGTGGTTGCGAGCCGCCAGCATAGGATGGTGGTTGTTGTTGTTGTGAATAGCCCCCCTGTTGTGGGTAGCCTTGCTGTGGCGGGTATCCCTTTTCTACAAACGGGACGAGGGTTAGTTTGACAGGAAACATGTTGAGCGTCCCATCATCACCCCTGACAATTACCTCCGGTTGCTCCGGCTCCTCCTCCGTTTTGATAGTAGTATGGCTGGTCACCCATTGCAGACAAGCGGTTACAGACCTGTGGATGTCGGTGATGGTTTTGAAGGTAAATAGGCGGAAGATGAGTGCTGAGCGGGCCAGTGAAGGAAGCCGTTGCCTTTTTATGTTTCGGGGCAAGAGAGGCGTTGACAAAAAGCGTAAACGCGAGGCTTGGGACCAGTCACGCCAACTATTTGGCGATCATTATCCGCCGGGAGCACAGGCAAACCATACCGCAGTCTGACCGCTTCCCTGCCAAGCACAACGGGGAACCAAAAGGCAAGATCCGCAGAGGCCTGGCCCCCCAAGCCAAGACGATCTTTCCCAAGCCACCGAACGAGAAAGAGGACTAATCTGCACATGCAGACACGTACTGTACAAGCACACCTCGTTCATGATTTAGACGATGATTAGGATGGCACTCACAGAATCGCGGCGGAAGTCCAATCAATTACTATTACAGGATTGCATATCCGCACGGTGTCCGCTTTCCTTATCCTCCAAAAGCGTTCCGACACCAAATTGTCCTTAGGGCGCTAATCAATTCTCCCTCACAGGATTTGACTTCAGCGCTAATCATCCTTCGCATCTCAGCAGACATCACTATCCGCCTTCTGAGTAAGTTCCTCCGAGTCTCAATTATCCAGCGAAGTTCAACCACAGACACCCAGCCATAGGCGGAGACTTCTTCAGGCAACAGATCCTTGAGCAACTTGTTGAAACGAACGCTATTGGACAAACGTTATTGGTATCAAAAACCTCGGAATTGGCTTCCCACCATACTCCTCTGCACAGCGACCGCTCTGACATCTGCGGAGCTTTATACATCCTTGGAGCTGTTCGACAGCCAGCCAACGTCAGCTTCCAAATATCTCCAAGACAATACCCAGGAATACGTTTACCGTTGTACTTGGGATAATGGCGACCGGCGCACAGCATGCCTTGCAACGGCAGTTAAGGGGTACGGCCTTGCCGTCGCGCACTCCTTTCGTCCAAGTAGTCGCAATCTTGGCAGGATGACAGACTAACGCAACAACCCCTTTACCGTCTCGCAGAGTTGACTCTACACCCCGTACCTGGGTTTCGAGTAGGTATTAAGGGCGAGGACATCTTTGTATGGGAGTAAGTTGATCTCTGCATTGAGTGCGAAACATGCCTGGGAATCGGGATTTTTGACTCAGCTTTGGAATTCATAGGGTGGGAATCATAGGGCCGCTTGGGACGGCATATGAGGGCGGCTACTTTCTGGTGAGCGGATGGACATTTGGGAAGAGGGAAACCCTCATTGGAATCACGACTCATATCTCGTGGCAGGCAACGATCAAGTTCCCATACGAGTACCCATTCATGCCACCGACCTTCACCTTCTCCAACGGCTTCTACCACCCCAACGTCTTCGAAGACGGCCGGCTCTGCATCTCCATTCTCCATCCACCAGGAGACGACGAAATGTCAGGCGAGTCCGCCGCCGAACGCTGGAACCCAACGCAATCCGTCGAATCCATCCTGCTCTCCGTCATCTCGTTACTCAACGATCCCAACACGGCGTCGCCGGCGAATGTAGATGCGAGCGTGCAGTTTAGGAAAGACCCGAAGGAGTTTGAGAGGAGGGTTAAGGAGTTGGTGGAGAAGAGTAAAAAGGATATTCCAGCGGATCTGGTGATGCCGACGAGTGGTGGGTTTCGGCGATTCATGTTCATTGAGTAGAATTTCGCTGAATGCTCATCGGCTTCGTCTCACCCCCCACAGAGGCCGACTTTATCGTTAAAAGACCAATAGAAGTGGAAGAAGAGGACGAGAACTTCTGGTACGAGGAGGACGAAGATGATGATGATGACAACGACGACGACGACGATGCAGACGATGACGACGAGGATCCAAAAGACGACGAAGAAGACGACCAGTGAAGGATGCTGGGCTCGAATCGACGAGCTTCCAAGTGCCACAGCCAGCACATAGAAGACCTCCCATAAATCTATATAGTTCCATCCGCCGTTCGTTCGACGTCACGGAGTTCCGGCCCGCCGCGTCTGGGGGTTTGCAGGCTAGAACACCACCGGATACGCATGGGCATGTCTGGATGAACGACAAGATGGGCGACGCACGGTAGAGAAGATCCGACAATGGGTCGATATAGTCTCATGCGGGCTTCGAAAACGGGGCGGGGGTCGGCCGAGGCGACGGCAAGGGAGGGGCTCGCCGAGACGGTGGCCGACACTCGCACTCCACAATGTCTGTAGCAACGTTATTTGTGGGGGCTGTTCAGGTCCATGTTCTTTGTCACTTGCCGAGTCAATGTATCTAGTGTTGGGAGATCTTTCTGGCGCCCCATATTTATTATATTTGTGAGATCAATTTTGGTAACGGGTTCGAGTGCGCAGAAGTGCGAACACCATTCCGTTCAAACCGCTGTTCATCGCCGGCTCCACAACGAACTCCTCGGAACATACTTTCATGCCACCCACCACTTCAGAAAGTCGAAACAAGATCCATTACTCTCAAAATGTAAGCAATACGGCATTTAACACTCTAATCGCCTATTCTTGACTGATCCTAGGCCAAGCAGTTGATGACTTCCTATATGATCTAGTAAGGGAAAGGGCGGAGGAGCTTGTTTTCTGGCGTGCGGCCCTTGTAGAATTCGATGACCTTCTTGGCCTTGTCGGCGACGACGTCGGGTACGAGACCGAACTTCTTGTACAAGTCCTGTTTTCGATGGAGAAATGATTGGATTCATCGTGTCAACAAACGGCAGTCAATAACGTAGGTCTCAAAACGAAAGCTTACCTTGTAAGGAGCACTTGCTCCGAATCGGTCAATACCGATGGAAGCGTGGGCCCATCGGTCCCATCCAAACGTGGACATGGCCTCGATGCTGACAACCGGGACTCCCTCAGGGAACACAGACTGCTGGTATTCAATGTCCTGGTCGGCAAACAACTCCCAGCAGGGCATAGAGACGACGCGGGACTTAATGTTCTGCTTGGCAAGCTCAGCAGCGGCTTCGACTGCGAGGGAGACCTCAGATCCAGTGGCGACGAAGCAGATGTCAGCTTTGCCTTCCTTGCCCTGCAGGACGTAGGCACCCTTGCGGACGGCCTCGATGGTGGATCCCTCGAGCTGGGGCAAGTTCTGACGGGTGAGGATAAGGACGGATGGTCGCTCCTGCTCCTCGAACGCGGCCAGGTAACTTCCAGAGACCTCGTTTCCGTCAGCGGGACGGAAGTTGAGGATGCGGGGTATGGCGCGCATCTCGGCGAGGGTCTCAATAGGCTGGTGGGTGGGGCCGTCCTCTCCGAGACCGATGGAGTCATGGGTCATGATGTAGAGGACGTGGTGCTTAGACAGAGCGCTCAGACGGACGGCTCCCAGGGCGTAGCTGATGAAGTTGAAGAAGGTGGCTCCGAAAGAGATGTGAGCTCCGTAGGCGGCGATACCGTTGCAGATGGCGGCCATTCCGTGTTCACGAACACCGAAACGGATGTAGCGTCCGGCGTAGGTGCCCAACTTTGTGGAAGGAGGCTGGAAGTCCTCCGCACCCTTCCACCTGGTCAAGTTCGATCCAGTGAGATCGGCAGAACCTCCAATGAACTCGGGGATAAGGGGCGCAATTTTGTTCAGGACCATCTCTGAGAGCTTCCTGGTAGCAACAGCGGGATCAGCGGGAGTGTACTTGGGCAACGCCTCCTTGAAACCGTTAGGAAGCTTCTTTGCCAGACGACGCTTCAGTTCGGAAGCAAGCTCGGGGTATTCCTTCGTGTAAGCGTCGAGAAGCTGGTACCACTCCTCAGTCTTCTTCTCAGCCTTCTTGCCAATCTCCTTGTAGAAGTCGTACACCTCCTGAGGGACGTAGAACTTCTGGTCGGATTTGAAACCGAGCTTGGTTTTTACAGACTCGATGTCGGGCTCGCCAAGAGGGGCTCCGTGCACCTTCTCCAACCCCTGATTCTTGGATCCGAACCCAATGGTAGTGCGGACCTTGATGAGGGATGGCTTGTCCGTGACAGCCTTTGCCTTCTCAATGGCAGCCGTGATACCGTCAACATCGTGGTCACCGTCGGTGATGACCTGGACATGCCATCCATATGCCTCATAGCGCTTGACAACATCCTCGGTGAATCCAAGGGCAGTGTCTCCATCGATCTGTACGTGGTTGTCATCGTACAGGGCAATGAGTTTGCCGAGTTGCAAGTGTCCAGCCAAGGAGACGGCTTCAGCCTGTACACCTTCCTGCATACAACCGTCACCAAGGATAACGTAGGTGTAGTTGTCGATGAGCTCGTATTTTGGCTTGTTGAAAGTAGCAGCCAGTTGAGCCTCGGCAATAGCGAGACCGACAGCGCTTGCAATACCCTGTCCCAAGGGACCGGTGGTCACTTCGATTCCATCGACTCCGTGATTTGCCTCGGGGTGTCCAGGAGTTCTGCGGGAGGGAAATGGGTTTAGAAAAAGATGCACTCGACCACAAAAACAACACTATGCCCTGCTCACTTGCTGTCAAGAGCGCGGAATCCCTTGAGGTCGTCCATGGTGATGTTGTGCCCCGTTAGGTGGAGCATGATGTAAAGGAGCGCACATCCGTGTCCGTTGGAGAGAACGAACCGGTCACGGTTGATCTAGATAACGATAAGCACCCATCAAGTCAGTGAGAATTCTGTCGCAAAATCTGCTATTGTACACAATGCGACGTCTGTCACCCTCCGGTCAAATTACACCGCCCAGCCTATTCGGCGAGCACCTACCCAGTGAGGCTGCTTTGGGTTGACGGTTATGAATTTGGAGTAGAGGATGTGGGCCATTGGGGCGCAACCCATGGGAGCACCTGGGTGTCCCGAGTTTGCCTTTTGCACGACATCGGGAGCAAGCGTCCGGATGGTGTTGATGACAAGGGTGTCAATGTCCTTGTTGATGGTGGCCATGGTTGCGCTGTTGTGTACTATATGTGTATGAGTGAAATGCAGTTGGGGTAATGTGGTCTCAGCTGTGGGATATTTGAGAAGATCGTGGGAACTTTGTCGTCGGTCGGCCAAACGGGAGCAGCGAGTTTGCCCGGAGTGACCCGCACTCCGCGTCTCTATTGTCGCAATTATTAACGTCTCATCGATTCTGTGCAGCGATGATGACGAGCCTCGGTGGCTTCTTGACGCATTTATCCTTTCCGAAAGCCTCCTCAACCCCCCCAAGTTGACAAACGAGCGCAAATGTTCACCTCCACCTCCACCTCCACCTCCACCTCCACCTCCGCCTCTCATCGGAGGCTCAAACTCCTTGCAGTCAACATCTTCAACGGCGGCATAGACGACCACACAACGCCAGAAACCGCCTACTCCTCAAAACGCGTCGACGTATTGACCGGCTGGTTGCGCGCCCAAGATGCCGATATCGTCTGCCTCAGTGAGCTCAACGGCTGGACGGACGACAGCCTCCGAGCTCGAGCTAAAGATTGGAACCACGAATATTGTGTGATGATGACAGAGACGAACAGGGAATTCAGGCTGGGTATCGCGGCGAAACATCCCATACTGCGAACCGAGAAGATCGCGGAAGGTTTGTGGCACGGGATGTTGGTGGCTTCTATCGACGTTTCTGGTTGTGGGATACCGGACTTGGAGAGCCTGAATGTCATTGTGACACATTTGAACCCTATGTCGGCGAGTGCGCGCACAGCAGAAGCCGAGTTGATAGGCCAGTACATCCGGGCCCCGCGAGTAGAGACAGACGAGCAGAGCAACTGGATGGTGGTCGGCGATTTGAACTCCTTGTCGTCTGCGGACAGATTCTTCTACGATTCTGCTGGGGTGGCGTCGACCTTTCGCAAGGACCTCAAATTGACTTCGAAGTTCCTCAAGCAAAGTGGTGAGATTGACTACGGAACCATGGCGGCGTTTGAAAGGGTTGGCTTAGTAGATCTCAGCTGCAACAAAGGAGTCGATCAGGGTCTAGATTACAGCGTGCCAACGGATCTAGCCGTTGATGACATGCATGCTGTACGGATGCGGCTGGACTATGCATTGGGAAACAGCAGCGTGGCCCACAAGGTCAAATCTGCGCACGTTGTCCGCACGGCTGAAACGGCCCGGCTGTCTGATCATTATCCATTGGAGGTTGCTCTGGGGGATTGAGCTGCGGAACCATGCTTTCGCACCTCTCCCCTAGGCACATAAGTTCCATAGGTAGCTATCATATTGAACCAGACGAGATAACAATCATACAGCGATACGCCTCCGATTCCAAACAACTATCTACTCCATAAAGACTATCTTGCCCGAATTTCTGTTATCGCCCGTGGATCTATACTACAGAGCCCCTCTCTCTACGAGGTTGCCGTCCTATATGCCTCCCACTCCCACCAAAAAAAAGAGAATATAAAAAGTCGTGTGAAATCTGAAGCTCGAGATGATATGATAGACTGCCTTCTATTTGCGCTCGTCCTTTTTGGCTAGCAGGCTGATGTACCAGCTTGCACGGCTTTTTGGTGGTTCATCTGGTGTAGCGGAAATAGAAACGGTCAGATACGAGCCTCCGAGGCGAAGACCATCTCTGACCTCTTGAGACGCACCTAGATCAACGTTAAAGTCCAAGTCGTCATTATCCCCTGATTGCGCTACGTCTTCGGTCTCCCCTGCAGGTACAAACGCCCCGCCACCACCTCGCAGCGGTTTGGCGATGCGCGACGAATATAACCATGACGACGATGGATGTGAGTTTTGTTCAGCTGCATAGGTTCGAGATGGAGTATCATGAGTATTAGGAAGCCTCCCAAACCGCTTTCGACGTGTCTCAAGCCTTAACTCACATCTCGCCTCCTGCAACCGCTCCCGCATGCTCGCCAACTGAGCCTCGAATTTCTGGTTTTGCAGCTCCAGCTTCATCGTCGCATCGCCCAATAAGCCCTCCAACTGCGCAATCCGTTCGTTCCGCGTGCCCAGCTTGCGTTCCGCATTAACCATCTCCTTCTTGTACTGGATGTTCTGCTCCACGAGGTTCTTTTGCACCGCCGCGAGCTGCTCCAGGTTGCGTTCCATGAAGGCCATCTTCTGCTTTTGCGCGGTCGAGTTACTGTTGTTGTTGATTGCGTCGCCGTATTGTTGGCGCATGTCGTCGAGGCTTAATTCAAGCTCCACCACCTAGGGACAGAGAAGTAGTCAGACCCCACATTCCGCAATCGAGTCAAAAATGCTCCCTTCGTCACGCCATTCTACACACCTTCTCGCAACGGTTCTGCAGATCCTTCAAGAACTTCTTCTTCATATCCTCACATTCAGCAATCTGCTGAGCCACTTCATTTCGGAGCGTGCGCACAATCGCATCCTTATCGGCCTCCTCCTGGGCTGCCTGTGGGTCATCCGACGGCGGGCGGTCCACATATGCCCGGTGCGCATCTGCAGCCTCTTTCTTTTCTGCGAAGGCGGCTTGTGCGCGGGCAAGCTCCGCGTCCTTCCGGGCGATGAGCGCTTTTAGGTCTTGGATTTCGATGTTGGCGTGCGAGCTCCGGGATTCGTGAAGGCTCTCCAAGCGGACCTGATATCACGTATGCGTTAGAACATTGATGGCGCCCACCCAGGGATGAAGACTGGACCCCTACCTTGAGATCATCAATCATGGAAGTAATATCGGGACTAGCCCCACTGAGCTCCTCATTCATCGTGCGTTCCAAAAGTTCCTCATACTCCCTCTCCAAAGCCGTAACCTTGCTCTGTAGCTCCTCCTTCTGCATAGCCAAGCGCTGGACCTCAGCGTCGTATGTCTGGTTCATCTGACTCAGTTCATGGATCTTGCTGTCCTGATGTATGAGCTGTGTTTGTGCTTCCAGTAGCTCGAGATGCTGCGCTTCGATGGCCTCTGGGGTTTGGGGTGGGGCTGAATTCGAACGCAGATGGGCAAGTTTGGCCAAGGACGCTTTCATTGCTTTTTCGTTCTCGTCGAGGGACGTCTGAAACGACATGTTTTAGAACGGCTACGCCCCACATGCGCTGGTGTCAGAATAAAAGAGCATACCGTTGGATCGAACTCTGCAAGCATCTCAGCCATCTTCTCTTTCCGCCGCTTCTCCTTGTCCTCTTCGCTTACTGGTATCACCGGTTGTAGTGCCTGTAAGCTGACGACTTGTTTCTATCGTACGCATGGAACGCCGCCCGTCAGTTTTAACACAATCACGCGCTGGCGGACAGTCTCCAACGCGAACGTTACCTTGAGGGTCTCGATGACTTTCGACATTTCCATATTCTCATCCCGCAATGTGTCCAGATTTATTGCAGTGTCCTTGCTCTCAAACGCCACCTTCTCCATCTGCAAGTTGAGATCCGCCACCGTTGCTTGCAGCTTCTTATTCTGCTCCGCCAGCGTCGAGTCCCCTTGCCGCATGCTATTGACCGCCTCCGTCAACAGCTTGACTTCCACTTTCACCTTCTCCAGTTCCGCCTCTTTATCAGCCAGCTGATCGGATAGCTCGTTTTCGCGTTTGAGGAAATCCTCCCTCTCGTCGTCCTCTAATTTTGGCCCGGGCGTCGATGGCCCCGCCAACCCACCCGGTGCCGGAGAGGATGTGCGACGATCCTCCATAACCGCCATATCCAGTATCCGATTGTTGAACTCCTCCAGTGGCCTCACCCAGTCGCTTTCCGACACTGGCCGGCCCGATCTCCATGCGTTCAGCTCCTTCTCCAACGCATGGCAGAATGCTTGCAAGGTCGAGAGTTCCGTTTTGCATCTCTTCAGCAATACTTTAAGTTCCCCAGGACTGAGCTCCGCGTTGATCTTCGCCTTGTTCTTGATTGTCTTTGCACGCATTCCGAATCTCAACGTCGAGACCGTCTCAGATTCGTTGAACGATGAGGGAGAGCAGTTGATGATCAAGGTGGTCCGCGAATTTCCTCCCAATGACTCTTGCAGAATACGGGTGAGCTTCGAATCTCTGTATGGGATATGAGACGATTTCCCATCCGTCAAAGCATTGATAACCATGCCGAGAGCCGAGAGCGACTTGTTGATTTTCTTCGCCTCTTCCAATGTCTGGCCCGATGCTCCAGTTTTGCCAACCTTCTCAGACCCAGCCAAATCAACGAGGTACAGCTTCCCAGCCTTTTGACTCCCATCCTGCAAGTTCTTTTGCGAGATGGTCAAGACAAATATGGAGTGACTCCGTGAACTCTCCGCGTTCATGTTCGTCTGCGCAGTCATCCTCGAACTCTGGCCCCTTCGCATCGCTTCGTAGACTTCCTCGATGGAGCCTACGAAAACCTCCAGCAGGCCCTTCACGTATACACCGCGCGATTTTTCTTCGTGGATGGGCAGATTGTCGTTTGCCGGATTCAGCAGATCGCGAATCTTTTCCATGTAGATCTCCATGTAGGATACTCGGACTGTGAATTCGAGATGTGGCGGGGAGCTAAAGATTGTCGAAAAGATGTTCTCAACTATGCGCGGTGTTAAACCTTTCAGGGATTGATTCTCCATATCTCCCTATGATAGGATGAGCGGTTAGGCAAGCTGCTGTAGATAGGTTTCATTGAAGCTCGTTCTGCTCGTACCATCATAGTATGCGTTTTCCCACTCCCGGTTTGTCCATATGCGAAAATCGTTCCATTGTAACCTCGCATGACATCTGTGAGCAGGTAGGAGTAAGTAATCTACTCTCAAGGGTGAGACCGCAGAATCAGCCAACTCGAGCTTGCCTTCGATGGTGGCGCTGGCGGCGTAAGAAAACACATGCTCTTGTGTCGACCGCCAGTCGAATATTTTGTCGAAGTTGTACGTTCCAGGATAGTCTCGGCTCTGCATTCAATGGTAGATCAGCTCCCTACCGACGAACGGTTTTCGTGAGAGTGGCGCAAAAGCTTACGTCGATTCTAACGCATGTGTAGTCGTCGTCGAATGCGACGACGGGGACGCCTCCTTCTCTCACTTCTCTGGCATTTTGCGGTCGGAATCGACAAACCACCCGAATGGAGTCTTGAGAGAAAGGGCAGATGGCTTAAATAAGTGGATATGCCTGAGTGCAAGTTAACCTGGCGTTTGACTCACCGCCTATGACCCTTGACGAGTCGGCCAGCATGTGACGGTTCCTTTCTCCCGCAATACCGAATGGCTAATAGAGAATATAAGACCGGCCGACGACAGGGAGTCAGCGCTATCCTCAACCACGTCCAGGACAACGAAATAGAAGAAAGAACGAAGCGCGGAGCGCGGAGCAAGAAAGCAATGCTCGTATGTCAAATGACCTGAGCCAATTTGCACATAAAAGTCGCTGGCATACTGGTCTTCACATAAAAGTGAAGTAAGTTTTCAAACGCCTTAACCAGGGGCCAGCCAGGGGCCAGCTGCCTTTGATGATTTTGAGTCATCACTCCCAGCAATCAATCAATCAAGCCCCGAGCAAGCAAACGCAGTCACCTGCTGCTTTTCCCCAACACTCACAGTTATCCCACATCCACGACGACATTGACAACAATTCTCAGTGCAGGTCATGCGAAAGCAGTCTCCTCAAGCGCATCAAGAACCACTCCACTGCTTGCGAAATATATCTTAGTTCTCGTGTCAAAAGATTATTGCCCCACTCACGTCTTTGCCCTCCATTGGCAAAACACGACGGTCAAACATTTCCCAGAGCGAATGACACATCGATGTCAACCGAGACAATCCAAATCCTCTCGCTCACCTCCTCCAAGCTCCTCCTCACCGCCTCCACCTCCTCCTCGCCCTCAAACTCACCCCCGCTCCACCGCCGAGTCCTGCTACAGAACCTGCTTGCGACGGCACGGAAGGCCTGGGACGCCGACTTTGAGCGGGAATGGAACGATAGGGACTCGGCCGTCGATGTGAGGTGGGAGGATGTTGTGGAGGAGGGTGGGGATGGGAAAGGTGTGGAGGAGGAGTTTGAGCAGGTTGTTGGGGGGCGGGATACTGCGGCGACTGGAGCAGGAGATGAAGGAAGCAGCAGGCCACGACGGTCGAGTCAGTTACAAACCGAGGCGGATGTCCTGTTGAACGACTGGCTAGGCGATGCGAACTTCTTCACATCCCAGTCGAGTCTCGGAACATTCCACGACATAGAGCTGCAGCCGCGACATCAAGCTCCGCGAGACGTCGATGACCCGGACGACGATGGCGATATTTTCAGCATGGATATGGCGGAACCAGACGCCACTCCTCCGCCGCTCAGCGTCGTCGAGTCTGTGGTGCAACAGCCGTTGATGACTGAATCACAACAATACCGGCCGGAGATCGCCACCGCTGCTGAGCCAGATACCATGCCGGGCATGGGAGAAGCTACCGTCTCTCCGGCCCCGTTGACCGAGGCCAATCCGCTGGCGGATTCGGCGGTATTTCCGGAATGCGAGAAGATGATGGAAGATCTATTCAACTTTGAATGGCGTATTAGTATATAGTTTGGGCTGGGCCTTTCGTTTCTGTAGTTAGTCTTCTGCTGGGTCAGTCGTATCCTGAAATTCTCATCTGATCTCTTTTTTTGGTCCGCCGTGCGTGTAGTAGTAACAGGTTGACCTGTTGGTCCAATCAATTGTACATAATGTCAAGAAGGAGTTTGAACGTTCAGCGTGGAAAAATAGTGTGTATCGCCAGCGGTTGCTGCGTCAAAATCAAAGTACATTCAAATGGTTTTGTACATATATACATGACCCCCCCCCCCCCCCCCCCCCATCCGCCGGAAAGTCCTCGGCGGCGAAGGGAAAAAAGCCCAAGATGTTGCGATCCAAAATCACAAACAAGAAAACGACAGGCCAGGTGAAAGCACAATCTGCTCTTAACAACACGACAACGACATTTACACCGCGAAATCGAAAGAACGCCGGGGGTATCCCCATCTTCACCTCCCAACCCTCTCAACCCTCTCCACACACCTAATGACCGCATCCGTCTCAACCCCCAACTCCTCCGCCGTCATCCAGCCACCAATCTGCTCGCCCTCAAACAGAAACTCCGACCAAATCGTGCTACATCCCGCGCGTCGACAGAAATTGTCCATGAGTCTGCGTAATGGGGTCGTTCGGCGGATTTTGAACGGTATTGGCTCGATGCGGGCTGGTGCGTTGGGGACGGGAACGACGACGATGCGGACGTACGGGGGGAGTTTGTCGGGGCTTTCGGATGAACGGGTGGTGGATGAGGAGGATGCGTTGCGGTCTAGGGGTGCTGCAGAGATGGTTGTCGTGGGTGTTGTGGTTGTGGTTGTGTTGCCGTCGGCCATGGGTGGGGCGGCGTTATACGGGCTCGAGCTGACGCTGGAGCGACGGTAGAGTGCTGTACCGTTCTCGCCGGTATTGGTGATATAAGCGGCAAAGGTGTTTATGCGTTGCATGATGTCGCCGGTCGAAACCTCTGCCGCGCTCCTCCCGACCGGCTCGCCACGTCTTGGTGGATTCGCTGTTGGCGTTGCGGTCACGACTCCGCTGCTAGGCAAGGTTTCGACGTTCTGAGGGGTTCGTATGACATGGGCAGGTTGACTGGCCCGGTCGGTGATCGAGGCCCTATAGTCCGCCAGGACACGTAGACCTGAGGGCCCAATTTCGATGCCATTCGGATTTTCCAATTGACCGGAGATTGGCGATCCCTCCAATGCTTGTTCTCCGTCAGCAGTCAAGCCGACGGAAGCAGCGCCTTGCTCCCTAATCCCAACCGACACCCTTGCCGTCGCCGCCGCCTCCCCTCCTGCTGCTGGCGACGAATCCCTGTTCGCCGCCGACACACCGGCGCGCATCCTATCGGCATGCACACGTCTCACGGAAGCCATGTCCCGCAGCATCCAAGTTTCGTCCTCGGAGTCGGACGAGTCGCTGTCAACCCCTCCGGCGCCGTCGTCGTCCCTCGCATTGGCCCGCGAAGTGATACGCGTTCGTGAAGCAGAATTGTTCTCGTCGTAGCTTGATAGTGCTTGCACCATTGTACAAGTGTTGGGGGAAGGAAGGGGATTACGGGGGGTTTGCGACTTGGTGTAGCGCACAGTTCTTGGCAACTCTTTACAGATCTAACATACACGGAGTCAGAGAAACCGTTGACAGTTGCCCTTGCAGAACTTTGATAGCAGCAGCAGCAACAGCAGCAACACCAGCAGCAAGCAGCAGCAGCAGTGCAGCAGTGCACGAGCTCTCTTTCCTGGGCCCTGCTCGTATAGCAAGAGCCAAGATGATTGTTGATCGGCGAGATCAGTTGCCGTGAGCACAGACGGCACCGCACAGCAATCACACGAAAGGGGGGAGCGCAACACAGGACTCGCGCGTCCCTTCGCCCGTTTAATGCTGACTCATTGCTGTCCAACAGGCGCAGTTTTAACACTCCAGTCACGCACAGCCACGGGACCTGTATTAAACTTCGTTGTCCGAGCGATGTCCGACTTGCGGGCAGTTACAAAAAGGCCGATCGAAGTCCCCCTCCTCCCTCCCATTTCCCCATCTCGCCCATCTGGAAACCCATCGTGCCATACGTTTGCAGCAACTCGTTCGTTCGTAAGGTTCACCTCGCTCGCTCGTTCATTCATTCGTTCGTAACCTTCACCTCGCTCTTTCGTTCATTTGTTCGTTCGGCTACATTGGAACTCTCGTTCGTTGGATTTCTCGTTCGGTTTGCCTCTCGTTCGTAAGCTCCCGCGCGTTCGTTTTTCCAGCCGGCGTTCGTTCGTTCTTGCATCTCGTTCGCTCGTTCTTGCGTCTCGTTCGTTCGTTCTTGCATCTCGTTCGTTCGTTCTTGCATCTCGTTCGTTCGTTCTTGCATCTCGTTCGTTCGCTCTTGCATCTCGTTCGTTCGTGACATTTGAAGATATTGTTCATTCCGGAATATCGTTCGGCTCGTTCGTTTCTGGATCCGTTTGCGTCCGTTTTGGTCCGTTAGTTCGTTTGCGTTCGGTTGCGTTTGTTTGCGTTCGTTTGCGTTCGTTTGCGTTCCGTCGAGACTGCCGTTCGTTTCGTCGTTCGTTCTTTTGTCTGGTACTATAGTCTAGGATCTGTTTGCGTTCGATCTGCTGGTTCTCCTCTTTCTGTTCGGATCTTCGTACTCCTGGTTCCTTTCGTACTTTTCCGACTCGATCATGAACAAGGGCAAGAAGAGGTGCGCCGCGTCCGAAGACCCTGAAGACATCGAGGCTGTGAAGAGGTCTCGCTCCACCTTGAAGGTACTGATTGACCAGCAGGACTTGTGGTCCCATCTCTTTGGGACACAACATTGGAGGCGTCTCTAACTACATCTGATTCCGCTCTCGTTTTTCTAGGAGGAACTCCACCCGGATGCGATAACCATCGGCGATCTGTTGTCCGGCTCCTTCTCTTTCCAAGACCTCAAGATCATCGCCCGTCACTTTGGCATTACCCCCATCCCCCGCAGCGGCGATGGTCTCAAATGGGCAATCATCCAGCACCTGTACCCCATGGAAAAGCAACGGTCTATGTGAGCTTGATTCTTGAACCCATTCGCACGCGGTCATGTCTCATTCCCAACCAACCGCAGGTCACCTCAGTCCACCTGCGATTCCATTTCCGAATGCGAAGACACTCGTCCCCGCTCAGACTGCGACGAGCCTCGTCACCGTGGCGAGAGCGTCAATGGAGGGCGTCCCGTTGAGGTCATCCTCGATCAAGTACGTTCAAGAATGCCTTGAAACCTCATAACCCATACCTGACGGGCATCCATTTTTCTACTCAACTCAAGGTGGCGAGCAACCTCGAGGACCTCTCAAGGCTTTCGGTCATCAACTTCTCGCGACATGAAGATCGTGTCAGCAACCTCTACGCGCGTATGGCGCTCATGGAGAAGCTCGGCGGCGACCTCAGTGTCAAGGTTGAGCAGACCGCTCGCGCAACCGAGGCCAACCGCAGCAACCTTGAGCAGCTCAATCACTCCCATGAGGCCCTCGGAAGCACGGTCGAGGTGATGGATGAGGTGAGTTATCGCGGGTGGGGAATCGTGCCATCCGTGTCCAGACGCATACTGATTTCCAAATTCTACACATCAAGCGATTGAGAGCAACCGAGCAAGTAGCCACTGAATGGGCCCAAGCTCGCCAGCAACTCGACAACTGGCACGGGCAAGTCACAACGGCCTTCCAAGCCGTCAACGTCCAGTTCGAGACCATCGCCACTACCCTCGAAAACATATCCAAATCTGTTTCCACCATCAACAAGGGTGGAGACACGGACAGCATGCGAACCACCGCCGCCTTCCTTATCGATCACGATGTCTGCGGACTCATCTTGCACGGACATGTCCTCGACCAGCTAACGCAAGCAACTAGCGTCTTCATCCAAATTTCGGACCGCCCGGAGGACCTTGCACGTGTCATGCAATCGTGCAACGACCAACTCCGTCAATCCATCCGTGGATTCCCGCACAACGTCGCCCGAGTACGCCGGCTCTCCATCTGCGGGTTGCCGCACAACATTGGACTCGCTTTCAACGCCTTGCGCGATTGGATCGCCAAGGTCCGCAATGGCGAGCGTATCATCGCGCTGTAAAATGGCAGTTTCCCGGTGGACACCTCGTCTTTTAACCCCTTCAAGATACCCCTATGTACTGGGACAGTCTGGACACGAACCTAGCTAGAAAGTCTCTTATACCCACGAAAAAGGTTAGCATACCCTACCTGACAATGGTTTCGATCAGGATTTCGGTTGGATATCCGCGAAAGTCGAATGTGGTATATTATAAGGTCCCCTCTCTAACATCTGTACTATCCATATATAAAGAATTAACCCTGTACGTCTCAAAATGGCATTGCACACAACCTACATAGTGGGTTCTGGCGAACTGATAGCGTGAAGATGAACGAAGACAAAGACGAGAGAAACGATGCGTCTTATGCGGTGTTTGCTGTTCCGTCTACTCTGCCCACTCCACATCCTTAAGAGCGCCTGATGTTAAGCTTCTGTGCAAGGCTCGGGAGCCGTCCTCGTGATGTGGTCGTACTGAGGGGCACCCATTCCATTCAGTTACTCAGTGCAGCGCCCAGAAAGAGGGGGATTCTGCTAGCGACGGCAGGTGCACCGCATTGTTCAGCACAATGTGAAGGGGCAGACGGAGAAGCGAGGTTCGCGCTTCTCGACACCCTCGTCACCGGGCACCGCCTTGTCACCATCACCAGGCACGTTATCATCACCGGACACCACCTCATTGGGAACGGCGTCGTCGCGGACTATGAGCTGATATAGCGAGGTTCACGTTTCTCCACCTCGTGGCGGCAATGGCGGAGGCCAAAGCCAAGAGCGCGCTTGGAACATTTCATTTTGGATTTGTGTCTGGGAGGGAAAGCCTGCGAAGAGAAACTTCTGAGGAATGGGGTATGGAATGGGTAACTGTTCGTTCGGGGTGCATTTTGGATGTCCCCAAAAGGAGCTGGTTGTGTTTCAGCAATTTCGACAGCGTGGGGTTATCTTCGACCCAGTTGTATGAAAATAGAAACCAGCGTATGATCAAGCAGGTCAGCAGGATTCTCGGCCGAGGAAGGCCTAAATATAAACATGGACAACGGGTTGAGCAGCTTTGTTGACAAAACCTAAGAATATCCTCAGAGAAGTTGTGCATCATTCACTACATAAGTAGAGCTCTGCCGCCCTCCCGCCCCATGTTTTGAAGATTCATTCCTACAAACAAGTATACTATCATCTAATAGCACCCGAACCAGACCCGTCAACTATGCGCACATCAATCCTCTTATTACCCCTCATCGCCCTCGTGCAAGCCAGCCCAATTCCCTTCAAGTCCACATCAACTTCCGCCATAGACAAGGCGTCGAACCCTAGCCGCCTGCCCAGCTTCGATAGCAAATCCGACTTGTTTCACCCACATGCAAATCCACCCCGCGATCTCGTGAAAACTGTCCTTCGAAGGCGAGACGACCCAGTCGTTGAACCAACGGACGGCGAAGTTGTCATAATCATCCTTGATGAAGCTGAACAAGATTCAAACACGCCGGACGCTGTCGCATAGAAATTCTGCGACAGAGAAACGATATCGCGCTGACCTGACTCGACCTAATTTCGTGCCATCGCTAAAAACCAATCCGACGTAGTGATACCTTTACTAGCTTAGCAATACTATACCTCGTCCCTCGCTCTTCAATCCGCCCCCCTTGTAGCCCTTTGCTTCCTTAATAGACCTACGCGCCAACCTCGACCTAATTTCGTGCCATCGCCAAAAACTAATCCGACGTAGTGATACCTTTACTAGCTTAGCAATACTATACCTCATCCCTTGCTCTTCAATCCGCCTCCCGTGCCTGTAGCCCTTTGATTCCTTAATAGACCTACGCGCCAACCTCGCGGCTCTTAGCCTCGGAAATCACATATTCCTTGTTCCTTGTTCCATACCATTTGAGTTGAGCCTAATGGCGTACAAGTTCATCGTGGATTTCTATTGGCGGACACCTGAAAAGAGAAATCTCTTTAACGTTAAGCTTGGTCGGAGTTCGTGCGAAATTAAGGTGCTATCGGGGTCGTTTTGTCACAAGACATGAGTACCGTACTAACACCCAGAGCGCCGGAAACCCATGGAAGGGACCATGAGCTCCATGAACCTCCGACGTATCTCAAGGCGCTTGCACCCCATGCACTCAGACACACATTCAATGTAAGCTCCGAATACCTTGGACGAGGTTTCCTTCCCCTTGCTGTCCGGATAAACACAGATGACGGAATGCACGGAAGGTGCGCTAAGGGAATCCCGGAACCATCCCTCAGCCGGTTGGAAGAGGGGTTTCAGTCTTCCCCTGGTTCTGGGTTATTTCCCGGGGTATTTTCCTCCAGTAAGGGCCACGGCATGGTGCCGTCGGTCCATAATGTCACGTCTCTGCGGCGTTTGCGACACCTACAAACGGGCCCATACCCTTGCAGAATTGGAGCACTGCCTCAATTGGAAAAGCGAAATCATACCTTTCGCTGAAATATCGTCGACAGTACTCTTCAGGCGGCGCACCGCAATATGACCGTCGCGCCCAGACAATGATTACCTAGGACCAAGTAGAGACGACTGTGCTCGCAGTGACCCGCGCTGCAAAGAGCGGACGCCAGTCCTGCTTAAGGTTAACCCTATGGGAAGGATGGGTCTATCTCGCAACCGAAGGGCCCCGGTCGGCGACCTGACGCTCTCTGTAGACACTAAGGGTCTGGAGAAAAAAACCGCAAATGTCACCCATGGGAAGCGTAGGAGCCTGATTGGCTTCAAGCCCTGTTGAATGATGAGCGCCTCAGGTAAGTGGAACTACAGGATTCGGCACTATAAATGTCGGCTATGGGTGTGGGCTCCGTTCCACTCCCACATGGCTTTCTGATCAACATCTTTTTGATCACCCTCGCAGATATTCAGAACGCCACCAACATCGTCAAACCATCGGCCACATGTGCAACGTAAAGGCCACTATGCTCTTTTCCCCGTCCTGGGAGGAGCCCAACATTTCGCCGATGAAAACATTGGCCACCACCACAGCGGCATGGGACGACTTCTGCGCTGGCCTCGACGAAGCCTGGGCAGCTGACTTCCGGTCGAGCCCTTTCGCCGTCGAGCAACAAGGAGGTCTGGACTTTGGAGCCCTCGCCCAAAGCACCTCGACGCCGAATTGGGACCAGTGGTCTTCCCAGACCTCCGACGCGCACGTCATTCCGCAGAATTACGACAGCGCGTCTACACGTCCCGCCGACGACCTCGTACCCGGCCCCCCTTCTCGCCTTCAAAAGCCGACGTACTCGACGTACTATCCAACGGCTAACAATCCTTTCGAACCGGTATGGCAATCCCCTGCGTTCTCCATCGAGTCGGTTCCGGACGTCCCGGACAAGGTCACCCCTTTCGCCTTGCCAGCGGAGTCGCTTTTGGAGGACTCCTACTTCCCTCAGTGGTCTACCTTGGATCCCGACTCCGACTGGTCCCGGCCGCGCTCCGACAGTGGAGCATGGAGTAGCGCCGACGAACAGTCGTGCGGATCCCCTCAAGCAGTGTGGGCACCTTCTCATTTCCACAATGAGAACAACAATGCCATGTCCAACAAGTTCGCCTTTGCGCCTTTGAGCGGGGAGCTCGACGACGACGACGAGCTCGGGCGGCAGTTCCGCGAACTAGAGTCGTCGACCATCACCATGCCACCGTGGCTCGGGCACGATGCTGCCGTCGGGCCTGTTGTCCCAACAGTGCCAACAGTGCCCAGCCATGCACCCCTGACGCCTTCGGCGGCGTTCGCTGCCCCCAGCTCCGCCGAGCTGGCCGCCATCCTGGCCGAGTTGTCTCGCCCGCAAGGCGCGCCCGAGGAGCCCTTTCCTTCCGAAACAAGAAGGGCTGGGTCGTCGGACGACTTGAAGGTCCACTTCTGCAAGCATGCTGGCTGCGGCCGAAAGTTCACGAGGAAGTACAATCTGAAGTCCCACTGCGTCGCCGCACACTCGGGCACGCGGCCATACGTATGTTGCCGATGCAAGCACTCGTTTGCGCGAAAGCACGATCTCGTCCGACACGAACGATCGGTTCACCTGCTGGGACCGCTGAAGCACGTCTGCTCCTGCGGCAAAGCTTTCGCCAGAAGTGATGCATGCAAGAGACACAAGAAGATGGAGAATCATGCTTGATTCTTCACCTCGTTACTTTAGGGCTGATGAGATATATATCATGAGTTTTTTTTGGATAAGATTTATACCCATCTCCATCAGCATCGGACCTTGCATTTACATCCTTTATATATTTCGAATCCAATGAAATGCGTTTACAATATGATAAGATGCCGAACTATCAGAATTTTTACGCCGACGGGGCTACGGTATATTAGATGGCGTGTTGACCAAAGGATGACAACGTTTGCTAAGATTTGATGATTCCGTTTCGCAACGCCTCCTCCCGAAAGCGTTGGTACATCACGTCCAGCTCCTTCCGGACTGTTTTCATGCCTGTCAAATCGTCCGCCGCCACTTCCAAAGGCAGATGTCGAACAGACTTGTGGCCCAAGGGCGATATTTCGGAATGGTAGAGTATGCTTTCCTTCAGATCTGACGGATCCCGCACTTCGCTTGCCAGATGCACGGCGGACGTGGCCCCATTCTTCGGCGTTACGTTGCATCCCGAGATGTACATCAACCGCATCTGCCAGCGGGAAGTTGCATCAGGTAAGTTCGATCACTCCTTCGACCCAGCTCACCATGATTGCCCGTACGCACCAAATAGAGTACTGTGAGCCACGCAAAGGATATGAACCATCCCTGATCCAGCAGTCCCGTGAAGCAGTTCCCGGGACTGACGACGTAAGAGTATATGCCCCTATCCCTCAATTCTGAATGCATCTGCACCGCCAGCAGTTCGCAGAGACGCTTAGAGGACTCGTAGGGGTGGTCCCCCTTCAAACACTGGAAATCGGCTGGGTTGAAGAAAGATGGGTCCGCCGTAGTGGAGCTGAACCACAAAACCCTCGATGATGGCGATCTCGACAATGTGGAGAGCAGCTGCTTCACCATCACGTAGTGACCAAACACATTAGCGGCAAAGACAGTGCCCAGGCCATCGGCGGTGACGTCCCCAAGGTATTGCGAGAAGAAATCGCCGCCGGTTTTGGCGACATATGATGGTCGAGTGAGCAAGTTCTTTACGCCTCGGCGGATGTTGATATGGGAGCAGGGGAGGATGCCGGCATTCAAAAGCAGCGCATCCAGGCGCGAGAATCTACGCATGGTGCTCGTAAGTTCACATGTCATACGGAGGCTAGAGAGGCTTCCCATAGCCGTACCTTCGTTGAAACTCCTCGCAAGCCGCAAACACACTCTGCATGCTCGCCAGGTCCACAATCAAGATCTGCAACATCTCTGGCTTCACCGACCGTCTTCGTTGCGACACTTTGGCGTCCGCCACCGTCTGCGACTCCTCCAACAGCTTTTGCCGTGCTGCTTCTGCCTTTGGCCGACTCCGGCACGCCATTACGATAACGACATCTTCGGAATTTGGTTCCAGAGCTTGCTCCAAAAGACGTTGCACTATACCATAGCCGACACCACTATGCAAGAAGACATATTCTGTCAGCATATGGATATCAATGGCGCCTTGTTCATCTTTCGCTCCACCTGTTGGCCCCGGTCACCAGAAACGTCTTGCCATTGTATGGTGCGTCCTGTCCCAAAAACGAGGTGAGGACTTGACGAAAACAGACATGGTGGCTCCCGCGGCGCTGAGAACACAGCCAGTCATACCTTACTCCTCTCAACACCGTTCTCTGCCGTGGCCAACATTTTGACGTCCAGTTTATATGATGCTCCGAACAGTCTCTCCGCTACACTCCGCTAATGCCTTCAGCTGTTGTGCCACTGCAATTTGACGCTTTTCCCAGAATCTGCTGAACGCTGAAGATCAACACCCACCGAGCTTTATGCAGCGGAAAGCACATCAAAGGGCTAGTTCTTTTCACATGGATTTCATATGTTTGTTTGACGCACGAAGTTCGTAAGACCTGACCACCTCCTTTAGGGCTGCCTGGAGGGATCGCCTGATGTGAGCGCGCCCAAATTCCCAACTGCGCTGTCTGGCGGGTGTCGGAGGTCAAAACAAGATCAGCCACACTCACACTTTGACTCGGTGACCGCCGGACTTGGAAATTGGAGGACCGTAGCCTGTCTCGTACGGCTTGGAAATGGTGCTGCTGCATAAACGATTCCTGTGTATACAGAACGTCCATATAGTCAACTCTTGGACAGCAACGCACTCTGCTGAACACTGGCACACCAGAGATACAGTGCTGTTCATAAAGCAAGACCCATTTGACAGTGCCGTCAGAGAAGTGCTCGACCGCTAGAGGAGGATTCGCTAGATACTGTACTAGGCGTAGATGGAGAGGCGCGTCCAGGGGGCCGGTGAATTAAATTGACAGCGGTCTTGCTTTATGAACAGCACTGTACTCAAGAATGTACGAGGTATTCGATTTTTAGACGCCCACACAGGCTATGATATAATTGTTCATGAAGCAGGGCTGTATCTATACAAGTTTACAGCTTGGTATATACGCCGATCAACTTAAAGTGTCTCAGAAGGAATAAGATGAATACTATCTACAATTGTCTACAATGTCACTCTATACTATACGCCGAGAACCAAAGAGACGATGCCACTCTACTTGCAGTGGATGTACTTGCCGAAGGGAGAGCAGGTGGTACCGGCGGCGCACTCCCTGGCGACGGCAGACTTCGAGGCGTCTTCAGGGTAGCAAACCAAGAAACCGGTGCCGTTGCAGACCATGTAGCTGGTGAAGTGGACAACGAGCGGTTTAGAAAATGCTTTTCAGGAATCAGAAAACATGTTTTGGAGGTACCTTGCGTTGGTAAACTTTACCTTCCGCTGGTGCACTTTCCGTTAGTGGCAGCGTCGACCGGAGCCGGAGCGGGAGCAGCAGCCTTGGCGCCAGCGTCGATGTTTGCGAGCGACTCGGTAGGAGCGTCGGTGACGGGGGTTTCATCATCGGTCACAACAGTACCATCATCCGCGACGGAGCCTTTTCCCTTGCCGGAAGAGCCCTTGGTGACGGTAACATCGATACACGACTCGTATTTCTCGGCAGGAGACACGTGCTGGCCAACCCAGGTCCATCGAAGGATGCAGTCCTTGCAAGTAATAGCGTTCACGTTGCGGGTGGTGAAAGTCCACTTGTTCAAGCACATGTCGTTGGTGACGAGCTTGTTGGGGAGACGGCCTGGGCACTGGTTGTTAGCACCGCTCTTCTTGTTGCTGTCGGACTGGGCGATGGGGACACGAGCGCAACCGTTAGGGCCGGCGACGGAGGTCAGGGTGAACTTCTTGTTCGTCTTGGGGTCCCAGATCTCAACAGCGCAAGGACCAATGTGCTGGGCGCCGACAGAGAAAGCCTGGGTAACGGTCAACTTTCCGCCTTCAGTGAGGTGCAGGGGCACACGAGCGCTCTTGGTGGAGGTACGGCAGAAAGGAGTGGAGCCGGTGGTTGGGTTCCTCAAGCTGTCGATGTTGTTGTCGATGGCCTGGTAGTTCCTGGTCTGTCCCTTGGAGTTGGGGCCGAGGGCACCGATTCCGACGAGGAATCCGTGGCCGGCTACGCTGGAAGCGCTGGCAATGGCGGCGACCACAGAGAGAATGACTTGGCTCTTCATGCTTGTGAGGGTCTGAGTAAGAGAGAGGTGGGGGTGGGTAACAAGACGAGCGATGAAGTTGGGTGTGGGAAAATGGAATTCCTCGTCGTTGACTTTATAGCTGTCGCGAAAACCCACCCAAATGCTCGCCTTCCCAGCGGCCAAGAGGGACCGAGAGAGACCGTGATCAATGAGGTGTGGACAGACCGATGAGAACAGACGGGATCCAATGCCTTTCGAATCGCATCCACGGATTTCGCAAAAATCCCTCTATGCGTTTGTCCGTCACAGCCCTCGTTTTCCTCGTCGCGTGCGGCCCGTGCGTGAAAAATTGTCGTTGCTTTGTACGCCCACAAGATATCTGTCCGATTGGAATTTGGGAGGCTCATTCAAATGCGCAGCCGCCGGGGATCCTTACCGATACCACCATGGACCGAGGGGCTGGGAACTCGTAGAAGTCCGTTCGATTGGTGGGGTATACGCCACATTTGGTAATATACCAACCACTTCACGGTCACAGGTAGACGAAATCTGGGTTCTGGTAAACTGTAGGAAATTCCTAGAAATTGACGGTAAACGCACCAGAAGCCTCTCTACAATTCACGCTAGCAAATGATTGCTTATGCGCATATTCATGGGCGATGGGTAAAAGGAATGCAAGCCTTCGCAGAGCCTTCGTTATCATTTTGTTGCTTGATGAGGCATCGAGAGCGTTATGTTACTCTTGGTGGTTTCGAGAAGGTGGTGTGCATGTGCATGCATGCATTCAGCATGTTCGAACGAAAAGAACAAAAATGCTGACTACTGCCACGCGCAGCGCGCATGTGGGATCGGCTTATCCGACCACAAAAAAAAAGTAAGATACCCATCGCACGCGCCATACGCAGGTGGATGTGATAGCCCGATTTGTCACACGGCGGATAAAGGGAACGCCTTGGACGCTCCCGTCGCTCCGTGGCTGGGTGGTCAACACATCCAGCGGGGATGGGAAACGACGCTCCGATACGGACGTCTATTAGATCTAGGCCTAGGGATCCTCAACACCGGCTGTTTTCCAATCCTTCGACGCGCAGCGCGAAGCCTGGAATGAATTAATTTGATCAAATGTGTATCATCACATACTGTACGTACATATATCCGGCCAAAACCCTTGGGTCCAGGGATCCCACTGCCATACCAGGGTGCCAGCTATCGGGGTTGCAAATCCATCTCGCCGTCGGGAGAAGGGTCACAGATGGCCGCATGATACTGCATACGTAAGATGCTACTGCATATTATCGGCTAGAGTCAAGTGGGTTGCGATTTGCAAAACTCCGCTTTGTGACGGTTTATGACTTTTTTCAACCATGAGCGAGATCGACTAGCATGTGCTCCTAAATGAGCAAGCCACGGGTCTTCCCTAATTCGAAATTGCATCCTGGTGCCCGTCGTGGAGTAATGTTCGGGCGGATACGCACCTTCCACCGCCTCAAAGTTTTGAATCGCGCGTCGACATCGCCTCTCGGCGTTCGGTTGTTCCCACTGTTCCCTCTCATATCTCTCTGTTGAGAGAGTAATGTCGACTGTTCGAGCTAGGGTTCCCAAGCGCCGCTCGTCATAGTAACGTCAATGGGGAAAAATGGAGTTCTGAAACAGTCGCGAAAGCCCAAGCCACACGCCGAAGGACGCGCTCAGCCGGAAATATCGGAAAGGATGGCCGTCATCAGAAATGTTATACTGGGGTAACGAGGGACGTTGACATCTGGATTTTCATGAACCAACACTTCCATTGAGCGGCATCCCAACAGAGATCCAGAAGGTCCAAGTCGCTGCTCACCTCCGTCATTCATCGCTCCGTGTCCAACCACTCCCTGTCACACGCCCGTCTTACACACAAAGTCACCCAAAAATGTCCAGATACGACACCCCTAACATCGACCTCAAGTCGGGCATCTCCGCCGACGAGAAGGAACATCTCTACAAGCATGTTGTATGGGAAGGAGCACAAGCTGCTGCCGTAGGCGCCGCGGCTGCCGGTGGAGCTACTTTGCTGGGAAACAAGTTTTGGCCGGCGTTTAGGCAACTTCGTCTACCGTTTAAGGTAAACTGGCGTTGGTTTGGAGCGCTTGGCCATGGCTGGCAGAGGATTGTGCAGAGTTCGCTGACGAAGAAGTTTCCAAATAGACATTCTTGATCCTTGGTATTACGACCGGAACCTTCTTCACAGTGGCAGGTATGAAGCAAACTCAATTTGGGTCGCCGGCAACTGGTATACGAGGAGACGTCGTTCGAAAAAAATCTTACAAACTCTACCTGTTTTCACAGACCGCGCATCCATACGCGTATCCCGCATGGTAGCCGCCCGCCGAACGCATACCGGTGAAGCCCAAGTCGAGGACGCGGATCACCCCGTCATCAAACCGATTGTTGGCGTGCGGGAATGGCTGATCAAGGAGCGATACCCACTTGTCTGTGCGTATCATATCGTTCCCGTACTTGCCCCTCTGCGTCCTTTCTGGAGAGTGTTCTAACATGTGCTCGATATTCTTTTTGGCTACTGTATAGTCGGATTGTGGTCGGGCACGATGACCGCCGCGTTACTGTACAACTTCAGGAGGGTAGACATCACGCGAGCACAAAAGATCATCAACTCCCGTATGGTTGCGCAGACGTTTGCATTGGCTGGACTAGGTGGCATTGCAGGTTGGTGTCTATTGGAGAAGATATTTCCGAGTGGCAACCTTGTGCGAAAAGTGTTTATTGAGTTGGACGCATCTTTTTCATCCCATAGCTCTCGCTGCGACCGACCCATATGAGAAGCAAGTTGGTATGTGTATTGAGAAAGCAGCAGTGCTATCGATAAAGCGGACCGACCGTTTATGTTTTCATGGCTAACATCCTTTCCATCTGTCAGACCAGAGCTTTGAGCGTATCCTCCACCAAGCAGAGTTGCACCAGAAGCAAGAAGATGCCGCGAAAAAGCACTGAAGAACGCACTTTCTAAGCACTGAAGAACGCGTTCGACGGAAACGTTAAGGGCTCGCAACCCCTTTTGCGGTTGCAAGATCTCATTATCATTGATTGTGGAGTAGCGCAAGCCTCTATACCAATACATGGCGAACTACAGAGCAAAATTTACGTCGAAGGGAAGGGTGCTTTCTCTAATGACAGGATCTGATGTGGGGGAATGCTTTTACTATGTAAGGCAAAACAGAGAATGGGTATATAGCATTTCGACGATGAGGCGCTTCTGTTTTGGGTGAGTTGTGACTATGGAACAATGAGGCAGTATGTGGTAGGTGAATGTGAATGTGGCGCCGATCAAAATATGGAAGTAACGGGTGAGCCGGAATGACGACGTCGTCGTCAGTTTTCTTGTGGTGGTGAAACTCGAGTGGAGTTGGCGAGATCCATGAGAGCCATGGCAGCAAGATCTTTGTCCTGGACTTGGCGAGGTTCCCAAAGCGGCAGCGGCCTCTCGGAAGCCCGTTCGGTCGGTCTTTCTGCTAGGCGTGGGCTCTGTCGTTCCACATTACTATTGGAACGCTCTCGACTTGTGCGCGTTCCCTCGGTCGAAGCTCGGCTTCGTTCGGACCTGTCGTCGGGTGTCCCTTCGCTCTCCGCCTTTACAGGACTCTGTTCCTCCTCCTCCTCCTCCTGATCCTCTTCATTTCCCAACTCGCTGGCTTCAGATCTACGCTTCTTACGCGCCGGCTCCAGGTCCCGCTCCTCTTTCACATCCTTCAATTCGGCGAAATGTGGTGATTGGATTTCTCGATGAGGCTGCAGCATCGTCGGAGGAGGCAACATCCCGTTGTAGACTGCGGGTATATATGGCCACATGGGCGGCGGAGGCAGCGAGGGGAGTACTTGTGAGATTCCAGGCAGCGGGCCAGAGTTGATGAACGACGGGAGAATTGGAGGAAGCCCAGGGCCGGCGGGCACCGAGGACGATGATGAGGCGGTTGCCGCGACGGCGGCGGCAGCGGCTGCCGTTTGCGGCGTCGCTGACGGGAGTTGAGGCGGCTGCATATACGTGGGCGCATATACCGACGGAAGGCCGTATGGCTGAGGCACGGCATACATGGGTTGCGGTTGCGGTTGTGGGATTGATGGGTACTGAGCAGTCGGTCTCCGGGCAGGTGAGTCTCCGCCACCGCCTGCATCCACGCGCTGGTTCTTTCTTTTGAGCGCTTGGCGTTTGTTCTGGAACCACACCTGCACCTCTCTATCCGTCATCCCCGTCTCTCGCGAAATCAGTTTACGCTGCTCAGGCGACGGCAGTGGTGTTTCGATGAATCGTGTCTCCAAAATCTCCAATTCCCTATCTGTTGTTTTCCGCCTTCGTTTCTTATTGTTCATCGACTGCTTGCTCGTAGAGAAGAATACAGGCGTCTCCTTGAGCCACTCCATTTCTCTGTACATGCTTTCTCCTTCGCCAGGAAGGACGCCGCGCGAAACATCCCTGTTCTCGAGCGTGTCGGGGTTAGGAGGCAGCGGGTTTAGGATGGTTTCAGAGAGCGACATATGTCGGCTGCTGGAATCGATGTTGCGGGCAGAGCCTTCAGTGGGCCGCGAGCTGGACGGTGCGCCGGCCCTTGCCTGCCTGTCGTCGCCAGCCAGCATGTTGTGAGACATCAAGGGAAGGCGCAAGAGCTGAACGATACGAGCAAAGGCGAGCGAGCACTTGGATTCCGCGTCGTGTGTAAGCTCAAACACGAGGACCGTTCTAGTGAGGCTATCAGCTGGGATTTCACTTTCGCTGTAAACTTGCGAATAATATTGTCGTGATGGCGAGGAGGTTTCCAACTGGCGGGTTAGGAAGCAGGTCGCGCAATTTCGGTTTGTCACTACTTTCGAAAAGCTCCAGGCCTGTCTGTGACTACCGCACACAGACGCAATGGGACCCCTTCAGACGAATACGTTGAAAGCAAGGAAGGAAGACGGCGTGAGAGCTTCTTGGCCGTGGGAAAATGAGGAAGTGCTGAGCTTTGCGGAGAAGGGAAGAAAAGGAAGGGAGGCGCTTACTAGGCCGAGTAATAATAAAAGTCCAGGCAGCGTTTCCGAGGGAGCGCAGGAAGCACATGCATGTGCAAGCAAGAGCGAGAGGACCAACGGTGGGATGAGGTGACCTGCGCGCATCAAAATAATATACGTATCTGAACCATGAAATCCCCCATTTCTTGATGAACCCCCCTAATCAACTTGAGTAATTGTATCGAGAATCATCTTGATCTCCATTAGCTAATTACGCGTTCCACCAATCAGCGGCTGCTGGCTCTTTCGCCTCCGATTCTTGGGAGCGCCGGACCGCGAAGAAAGAACGCGACTTGACGTTGAACCAGTTGTCGAACGCGTTTTCCTCCCGCGTTATTTTCGGCGCTGATTACGTGAGCAACCATGCCAAAGTCGCACCCAAAACGTCACGTTCTTCCAGCGTGTTCTCATGTTGTGCGAATGCTGCGTAGACCGTGTTCTCCAGTTTGAATGCGGCCACGCAGATCGTTATAGACTTTCTACGGGCAGGCCAATCCAAACTGCCATTTCAAGTTGTCAAGGTGCTGCTGCCGGCCACCATCTCACCACGTACAAGCCTCGCTCCAGTCGGTCAGCATATAAGGTTCCTCAAGAACGACATCGGCACGTACGGTTTTCCGATCGACACCCAAAAAACGAACTACTTAGTCTCCATCCGCGGCCAACGACCCTTGCGAGCGACATCATCACTTGCACAAGTGCGACCCTGAGATCACGGTGGATCTTATTTATATACGCGCAACAGAATCCCATTGGACGCATAGACAGAGGACACGGTCTTCTATTAGAGCGCCATGTCTTTCAACCCTACGAAAACCGAAAATGTGTTCCTTTACGTGCCAAATCTGATCGGATATGCCCGAGTGGCTCTTATGTTTGCCGCTCTTTACTTTCTGCCGCATCACACTTTGACGGCGGGAGCATTATATTCCGTGAGCTGCCTGCTGGATGCCGCCGATGGACAGGCGGCAAGATACTTTGGACAAAGTACGTCGTGTCTATTGTGAGCTTGGCTTCAGTTTTAGTGCAACAATGATTGATGTCCTGGTTGCACCTCTCTTGACAGCCTCTCGATTCGGCGCCGTGCTGGATATGGTCACCGACAGAAGCACGACGTCATGCTTACTCGTATATCTCTCACTGACCTTCCCGCGTCTGACCCTCATCTTCCAAACGCTTATCGCCCTCGATCTATCGTCACATTACCTCCAAATGTACTCCTCTCTCGTTCTCGGCGCTGGTTCGCACAAGAATGTGGACCCGAAGAAAACCTCATGGCTGCTTCGCCAATACTACACTAACAATAAGGTCCTCTTCTTGGTCTGCGCTGCGAACGAGGCCTTTTTCATCGCGCTTTACCTCCTCGGCACGTGGCATGTAGAACAGGCAAAGGGAAGCCTCGTCGCGTTGAATGTCGGACCGGGATACCCAATGGTCGCTGCAGCAGGATCAGGAGTGAGCTCTGTGCCTGTAGAGAGCGACTGGATCCCGAAAAACGGAGGTGGCCTATACCTGACACTCATAGGACTTTGCGTCGTGACGTTCCCGGTCTGCGCCCTGAAGCAGTTCCTGAACGTCGTTCAGCTGGTGGGAGCAAGCAGGAACCTTGCCCGCGCGGATAAGGCCATCAGCGCGCAGAACAAGGCAAAGTCGCGCTAGAAGAGACTTGTGTTTACTTGAAACCTGGGGAACTGGGACGAGTAATCATGCAGCAAATAGAGCTTTCTCCTCGGGCACTGCGTCGATCCTTTCGCGGATCCGTCGTCGGTGGTGTAGATATATCAGGATTTACAATGATATGAAACGAAATCATCAACACTGGGCAGATGTCTATGGGCGTTCTTCCGGAAACGTTATATAGCGAGGGCAAAGACCTTCGTGTGCGATGGGAAGAGATGCATCAGGAATTCGGAGGCGATGAGCTGCGTATCCTCACAATGAGAGAGAAAGTCCATTCAGACGTGAGCTTACCTGCATCATATTTGGTGGCTCGACCATAGGGCCTTTCGTCTTCAACTGTGCATCAAGACCAGATGATTCGTGAGAAACGTGTTCGAGGTCCCATCCCAAACGAGCACTCATCTCCGACATTGGCTAAACGCACCTTCGCTTGCAGCAGCATGTGCTGTATCACACCAATACGCAGGTCCATTTGCTTGATCTCAGACTGTAATTCACGAATGAATCAGAGATTGGTCCTCACCATCAACAAGCAAAGTGTCTGCCATAGGCAAGACTTGCGTAAGAAACATACCTTCAGCTTTGTAACCCCTTGTTTGATAGACAAAAGCGGTTTGGAATCCGTCATGCCACTGCCTATATCGTCCATTTGTCCCTACAAGCGCATTGCCATGTTCGATATTGCTCCGACACATAAAGTCACAATCCGGAAAGGGCTGGTGACCTACCTTGACACTATCAAGCTCTTCGGAGATCCGGGAGAGATCGATCGTCAGGTCCGAAACATGGCTGCTCGCTACACTGTACTTTTGCTTGATTTCCGATCCTTGGTCTTGCAGGACGCGGTGTTGCTCGGCCTTCAAGGTTCAGATGTCGGTGAGTCGGGGCCGGGGTGTGGAAAGCAGTACTTCTCCGATACCCAAATGGGTATTTGCATACCTGTGCTTCGAACTGCGTGTTGATGTATTTTTCCCTACTGGAGATCTTTTCCAGGGTTCGCTCGATCTCGGAATGCAATTTGCCGAGACGGCTTTGTGTTTCTGTTAGCGTGGATGTGATGGTCTAACATCCACAGCGTGTGTCAGTCACGTTGCTTCTCATTTGCTTTCTGCAGCCCGCTCAGATGCGGCCCGAATCCAAACCCGCACCTTGTGGTGATGCCTCATATTCTCCACATGGATCCTCCAATCCTTATTATCGTTCGCAATCTGCACCCGCAGCATCGGCGTCACCCGCTCTACTTCCAGTCTCCATTCGGCAGGATCCACGGTCGGTCTTGCTGTCGTTGGGCGAAGACCTGCTGACTCCGCTTTCCTGTAACGATACACATCAGCCCCTTTACATATGCGGATACTCATGGAACAGATGGCTTACGCAGTCCCCGCCCGTACGCCTGCTGATGCTGCCATGGTCCCCATGAACATATCTTCCGCGTCGTCATCAGCGGGTATGGTTTCCTCAATGCTTTCTGCCGTCAGTTCCGCGTCAGCATCTACTTCGGCTTCCTCAGCGTATCTACGAGTTCCCATCGCGTGGTAAATAGGCTGCTCTCGTGAAACGGCGCGTCCCTCGTACACATCGGTCACTCACTCATCGACTTTATGCGTCGGCTTCTGAAACGTGAATCCCGACTTTGCCAACGCCCCGTCTACCAGCGCCTGCAGGACGATCAACACTCCGTCTCCATGCCCCTGTCGAAGCTTGTTGAGCCCCACGTCTGCCGAAATCTCCATTTCTTTCAGTTTCGCAGCTGCAAAGAATGATTCCCACCGTTAGTTTCCTGGTCCTTCAATACGCTCGATGCAAGTACAATCCTCTAACCCATGTTAGCGACAGTGGCATTAGGGTCATCGAACTGTCCCGGTGGATCAAACGAGTTCCCATTCAGCTTCACCAGCCAGGCGGACAGGGAGGTGAAGCAGTAGAACTGCTCATTGGGGTTCGATGCTGGCACCGTAAAGTAGAAGCGGTGGAGTGGTTTGAAGTTCCTGATGTGTAAGGTGGAGATAAGTACGATAGCGCACGTTGATCTGTGCTGTATAAAGACAGACGGTGTCACGCACATTGTCTTACAGAAGTCTCGCTGATAGTTCAAGATCCTGAGCTTATCCAGTACGTCGTCCATGGCTGTGCGTGATGATTTTGGGGAATGATGGGTTGCAAGAGGATCTGTCTTACGAAGGAGAAAGACTCTGGGCGCGTATATCCAAAACAAGTTCGTTCGGAGGTAAGAAGTCTGAGATCTGAAAGTTTGACAGGAAACTGTTGGGATCGCGCGTTACGTGAAGCAAGTGGCGCGGCGAAGGTTTTGAGTCTGGACATGCAGGCCAAGTCGTTTGTGTTTATCTACATCTTTTGGCTGCGTAACTACACAATCTCCATCTCACTTCACCACTCCGAACATAAAGTATCATGTCCAGCATCGACGAGAACGAATTGGAGAACGCCTTTGAACAAGTTCCCGACGGCGTCGAGGTTTGTTTCCAACGACAGAGGTGGCAACAGGTGATCTACGTATACATTCCACACTGACCGTGTCCTACTCTTTTGTGCAGGTGCGAATCCACGACGTCTCCTTAAGAGAAGTAAAAGCCCTCGAAGAAGCGGAACGAGATCGCAGACTCCGTCTCGAAGCCGCATCTCGGTTCGCGCCGTCCTCTGAAGCAGCACATGCGCACGATGAGGCCAAAGCTCTCCTGAAAGGACTGGAGGAGACTTCTGCTTTCCACACTGATCAGGAAGACAAGGAGGCTGGTGAGGGCTGGGATATAGAGGAAGAACCCCCGCGCCGGATTAGCAACGTGCTCCGTCGACTGAGTCTGACGAATGTGGAGGAGGATGAGAGGGATAGGAGGACGTCGGTGGCGGTTGATGTGGCTTATGGGACTATTTTGAATGCTCATAACCAAGCCCAGGTATGGCTGCTATAATCATTACCAATGCAGAGCTTTACCCACCTATCTACTAATCAATTCCCAACGACATGCCAGGCCTTCCTGGACGGCATCCAATGCCTAGACGACGACCGCACCCCCGCGATCCGCACGCTCAATCGCAACCGCATCGACGCGCAAGAATGGGAAGAGAGGCAAAGCCGCCTGGAGGACAAGGCGAAAATCGCACACGACATCTCGCATGGGCTCAAAGAGTCGCAGTTGCTGATTGACGGGCATCTTCAGAACGGTGGACGGACTGCCCTTGGCAAACATGTTCCGGTACCGAGCCTGCCTCGCAGTGCTCTGGCTGGAACCCAGCTGAATGTTGGGAAGAATACGGCGGCGGCTGCCGAGGATTGAGATTAGTTAGTCGAAGCCTTGCGATGTAATTCCTTCGTGTAGATGCCGCTGTTCTCCCTTTGTTTTGCCCTCAGGTAGCTGTCTGTGTTTTGCTGAAGGTTCTTGGAACGGAATTTTTTGGAAGTACAGTACTTTTACGAGCGCCCATCGGACATACCGTTGCGTGAAATCTATCCATACGCTCATATGTGCACGTATGCCTTCTGCTGGCCATGAAAATACCAGCCCGCGAAGAACGAACTTCGGGATGATAAGGAAAAAAAATCAAAACCAGCAGCTGACTGGCATGCAGCTCTACGATGAGACCGAGAGTGCCACACACATAAACAGACCTCCCTCCTATACATCAGATGGAAAGTTCGACTGTGCATGTATGTACGATCGGCCCTAATTTTCGATCTCGGAAGCGAAAGCCATCTGAGGACCAGACTGACAGCCTGTGACAGGCTGTGCGGAAGCTGCGTGGGGAACTGACGTCACACAACGCGTCCCCTATTATTTTCTCCGTCTCCGCGCGAATTATCCTTGCCGGCTCCTTATAAAAGCCCAGGTCGGAAGGCCTTTCAAACTCCCCTTCCCACCAAACCACCTTCTCGCAATAGCAACCACATGAAGCAAACACAGAAGCTCTTTCGATTCCTTCAAATCAGATCCATTACCACTACAAAAATGGCCTCCAACGCAAACAACACATCCGCCCAGCCCTCGTTGGTGCACGGTCACGTCCAGTATGTCAAAGGCGCTGTGGAGGTATGTTTGCGTTGAAAATCATAAGGTGCCTTGTCGAGAACATGTATTCACCCCCCCATTCTCGTCTCAGGAAACCGTCGGCTCGATGCTGAACGCCCCCGCATGGACCGAATCCGGCAAGAACGACAAAGCCCTCGGCGAAGCTGAGATGCGCGCCGCCGACCAATCCACGCAAGCTACCCGCGACGCATCGAACGCCAGCCGCGAGAACAAGTCTCTGTTGGAGAAGGAAGGGCAGGCGGAAGGCCTTGCTGGGCGGGCCGCATTCTGTCCTGGGATGCAGAAGCATGGCGAGGAGAAGGTTGCTGCCAGCCACCAGAACACATTGTAAATGAGGGTTGCCATGTGACCCTTATGATGGAGGCCACGCTGTACATAAGATCTGGCTCTTACACTTTTGGCATACTTGAAATGAAATGGAAGATTGTACCAAGAGAAGTCTAAGTTCTACGTTCACATTGTCTCCTGGTCGGATCCTCTGATGCACTTCTCAAATGCCGCCCGTTCGGTGGTGTGGTGTGTGCACATGCCTGCTGAACCACCACAAGTGTGATCTAAGCGTACAGAGAGATGAGTGTACATGCAAGGAAAGTACAGAGGTCTATCTATCTATGGCTCCCATAGCAAGCATGGCAGTGATGTACTTTCGTCCACCGTCATTTTTCCGATTTCACGAAACCCTTTGTGTATATAGACAGGGTAGCCAGCAGCTGAAGACTCCAGGTAGGCCGGCATGCTGTCCTCCCGGGCTTTTTGCAGTCCCCAGTCAATGAGGACAGCACCAGCGCCTATCCCTTGATGATCAGGATGTGTCGCAATGAGACGCAGGTACCAATGCATGCGGTCGCCCATGAGTCTGCCATGCGAAGCAAACATCTCCTTCATGAACGCTGCCTTGAACTCCTTGTTGACCGCGGTATCGACGGGTTCATTCGGATCGTCTACCTTCGCCTTTTCCATCATTTGCTCCACTTCGTCTTTCGTCAACGGCTTGATCCATATCGCATACGCGATCATCTCTCCGGTATCGTCCCGGACGACTTTCCACGGATGTGCGTTGCTCGTGGGGTCTTTCAGCGCTTTTGAGACACGATATTTGAGGTTGGCGAGAGATGTTTCGTTCATCCCGTTTGGATAGAAGCGTTTGGTGAGCGGGCCGGGTCCGAAAGCTGCTCGCTCGATCTCGACCGCTCTGGGGATGTCCGCCGTGGTGAGCGGCTGAAGGGTGAGCTTCGGACGGACTGTCATTGCGGTGGATTGCGTTCCGTTGGAGTGTAGTAGATAAGGGACGGATATGCGCTGTGTCGACTCCGTCCGTACGCAAGAAGGGTGACGAGCAGTCCTTATTATATATATATACTGTACTGTACGAACGCCAGACGAACGCCGACCAGAGTAACCTTAAAAACTTGTCCACAGCGGGATACTGCAAGTTGAACTCGAAGCCGGGAAGTCACGGTTAGGAACAAACGCGGTTGCGCGGTGCTTGTGCGACGGCCACAAAGTGCATTCATCAACGGCCGCCGCTGTCGATTTGTTGCAACGCGCAAGTCACGCTCCTCCTCGAGACCTTCGTCGTGACCTCTCGCTCTCCCGTCTCCGTCTCGCCTGAAAAAGACCCCCATCTCCGTCGTTCGCCCCGTCAACTTACTCGCCCCAACACAACAGCCATGCGTTCCACACTAGCAGCAGCAGCAGCAGCGTCCCGCCTGGCTCTCCTCAGGCAGTCCCGGCTATGTGCGCCAGCGCGCCGTGGGTATGCTTCCCCTGCTGGGACTCCACCGCCAGCTGAGGGGTTCATGCCAGGTGTCGCTACCAGTCGGTTTATGAAGCAAACGACGGAGCAGGCTCTGGCTACCAAGGGTCTCCTTGGCTCTCCCGGAAGTGAGTTGCTCCCATCGTTCTCGTGGATACGATGACTTGCAGGACTTACAATTCGACTCGCTTTTCGCTGCAGCCGAGTCCAAGAAGCTCAACTTGTTCCAAAGTGTCAACGAGGCTATGGACATTGCTCTGGCCACTGACCAGAACGCAGGTGTGTGTTGGGAGCTTTAGCCAGTACCTGACTCTGAGCCCTTTAATAACCGGCTTTGACGTCCTGCAGTGGTGTTTGGTGAGGATGTCGGATTCGGAGGTGTCTTCAGGTGCACGATGGGTTTGCAAGAAAAATACGGTTCGTGCGCGTGTTGTTCTGTATGGAGATAGCCTCGAGTCTTATTGAGACGCCGTCGCATTCCTTCAGGGCAAGATCGTGTCTTCAACACCCCACTGACGGAACAGGGCCTGGTTGGATTCGGTATTGGCATGGCTGCCGTGGGTCACACCGCTATTGCAGAGATTCAATTTGCGGACTACGTCTTCCCTGCTTTCGACCAGGTATGCATGCAGAGCGAGCGGAAATCAGAATGCGCTTGGCGAGTAACTAAAGCTTGCTACGACAGATCGTGAACGAGGCGGCAAAGTACCGGTATCGATCTGGGAACCAGTTTGACTGTGGAGGCCTGACCATCCGTATGCCGTGCATGGCGGTCGGACACGGAGGGCACTACCACTCGCAAAGTCCGGAAGCGTACTTTGCTCACACTCCTGGTCTGAAAGTGGTAGTCCCGCGGTCCCCATTGCAGGCGAAAGGACTTCTACTAGCTGCCATCCGCGACCCCAACCCTGTGTTGTTCATGGAGCCGAAGATTCTGTACCGTGCTGCTGTCGAGCAAGTGCCAACCGGTGATTACACGCTGCCAATAGGGAAGGCCGAGATCTTGCGCGAAGGTACACTTCTTAGCAGAGTAAGTGCGGTGTGACGATTCCTTTACTGACGGCCACCATTCGACTAGGCAAGGACATTACAATTGTTTCTTGGGGATCACAACTATACGTTCTCGAGACCGCCATCGCAATGGCAGAAAAGGAGATACCCGGTCTGTCCGTCGAGCTCATTGACCTGAGGTCCGTCCTGCCGTGGGACGTGGAAACTATTGAGAAGGTGGGTCGCGCCAGCTCCCTGAATGATTCACTACGATATCACACTGACATATCATTCCGCAGTCCGTCAACAAAACCGGACGCCTGTTGATCGCACACGAAGCCCCCGTCACCTCCGGTTTCGGTGCCGAGATCGCAGCGACCATCCAAGAACGATGCTTCCTGCGACTCGAATCTCCCATCCAACGTGTCTGCGGCTGGGACGTGCCTTTCCCCTTGGTCTTTGAAAAGTTCTACGTCCCCAGCGCCATCCGTTGTGTGGACGGCATCAAGAGGTCGTTGAACTACTGAGCAGCTTATTGACATTGGAGGGAGTACTGCCGTAGTAGGCAGCTCATAGGACAGGCAGGACCTTTGACGGGGCGTCACCATCCATCCTTCGCTGTAGAGGGAATTGTAGATTTTTATTTTGGGGCTGTCTTCGTAGCGCAGATAGATATCGGCGCTGAGATTGTTCCTGCGACACATAGATCATCTTGCATCCATACTCGGGTTCGGTTGGGATTTGTCTGATTTGTTCATGAGCCTGCAGCTGAGCCTGGAGGCTCCGAATCCATGAAGCTCTGAATTCAAAGCTGAACGCGTGTGTTGTCATTCAAACCTCTTTCCTAGCTTTCCCACGCTTTCCAGCCTTTCACCGTCGCAGACAGGAACAGACAACCTCCAACCAAGCTCGGCCCCCTGCATGTGCAGCAACGAGCGACAGCTCACAACAAACGGCGTACTCTTCCCAAAGACAGCGAACCAATGCACAGCAACAGCCGGTTGTCCAAACCAGCGATGACCAAAACCAGCATCGCATCTTCAACACAACGAGCACCCCGAAAACCACCACCACCACCACCCATCTCCGCCTACCGCAACCGCATCCCACCCGTCGATCCACTACCACTCCATTCCGACTCCACATCATCATGGACGCCCCGCGAACTGCGCATGCGGCGCGACCGCGATGCTCTGGAGATCAAGTACCGACAAATGGAGAGTCTGCTACGAGAGGCGCACGAGAATATCGCGGCGTTGAAGGAAGAAGTTAGAGGGTTGCGGAGGGCGGTTGTTGATGGAGGGCGGGATGGACGGCAGGCTGATGCGGGGAAGGGAGATGTGCGTACCCCATCGGCCGACTCGACCATGGATGGAAGGGACGCCACTGTACTTTCACTACGAAAGGAGCTCGACGCCTGTCGTCGTGAGCTAACCCACCTGCGATGTCGAAGTGAGCTGTGTCCCTGGTGCCGAGACGAGCAGCAGCGAGATGACTCATCCGGCATGCGGTTGTCTGAAGCTGTGGATGATAGCTTTTTCAGGCCCGCTGGGAATGGGCGTAGGATACCGTGTGCGGGTGTTGTGCTGGATGATGTTTACACCGACCAGACTTCGTCCTGCGGTGCGGAAGGGATCGACGGGGCGGGACTGGATGGAGGAACCGATGCGGAAGCTACACATGCATCGGACTGGAACTCGTCCTGTATCGAGGAAGATGAACGAGTACGGTCAGAGCGAAGACCGAGATCAGAACGGGGGGTTGGCACCAACTCGGATGAAGGCCGCTTGAAAGGCACAGACTTTTTAGAAGCGCTCATGCAGGAAGCACGATGTGGAACGCGCGGGATGCAGGCATCGCAGAACCAACCCAGCATGGCCGAGAGCGCGAACGCGGGAGATTCACCAGAATTCGAACCTTCCTCGTTCTTCGACCCATCCATATCGTGCATCACTGCGGATGATCAGCCGCCGGAGGTTGCCATTCGCAAGGTCAAGGAAGAACGAGATGCTTTAGAGGAAGAACTTATTGAGACATATAAGCAGTTGCGACGTGCAACGACAGAGATCGCCAGACTGAGTGTTGCATCGTCACTTATGAATGAAAAGATTCTGAAAGCGTAAACAGTGCACAGTTTCGCAAGGGGGAGTTTTTCTTCATTCGAGTATGCCAAGCAGGCTTTATTATATGTACAGGAGATTGAAGTTCACTGCTTCCCTCCGACGACGAGGTCCATTCTATGCAAAGTGTATGAGCACGGACGGACGTGATGATGGCTCGAGTTTCAGTTATAGTTCAGAGAGGTCGCAATTCATGCGCTCCTAATAGATCCGTCCCAAGAGGTTGCAGAGGGAGTATTAGCAACGGACATACGGCGAAAGGACATACAGAATCACGAACGGGGTTGGTGAGAACCTTGCTGGAAGTTCCGGTCTCCCAGATTCGAGTTGTTCCGACTCGAGTTTTCCCGATCCGGCACATGTATGCGCACGTCATCCCCCTGCCGGTACGCGTAAGTCCCCGAGTGCGCCCGGAACTGATCAACCGAGGTATCGTGCGAGCCGTCTCGTCGATTTGGCAGTAGATTCGTTGCGGAACCTGGCGCGTCAGAAACCAGCTCTTCCGCCAACCAGCAGTGATATCTGTACGAGTAGGTCGAAATGACGATGCCGACGATCGCTCCAATCACAACGTCCTCCCATCGGTGCCAATAGTCATCCACACGTGATATCGAGATCAACAGCGCAAGGATGATGGGGATGATCGCTACGGCGTATTTGGGTGCTAGAGGCTTGCGGTGGATGTTGAGGCGACGGAGGAGGTAGATGCTCAGGAAGAACAAACCAGACCAACTCACTAGTGATGAACGTGGAAGGATCATGAGATACTTGTGTACGCGGGATACAATGATGCCTGATTGACTACTTACAGCTGGAATGCCCGCTGAAGAAGCTTTTCCGCCCTTCCTTGATGTCTCCAGCGAACCCTGAGCAGGATGCCACTGTAGTGACCTTGAGGAGTTCGTCCGTCTGCCATGTCGGGATGCACCGGGCCAGAAAGTCCGGGCGAAGACTACCCACGGAAATCTTGACGATTTGTGTGAAGATGAGGGTAAAGATCAAGGAGACGCATAATCCTATTGACCCAATGTTTCACGGTAAGGTCAGTCAAACCATGCCGTATATCCCGACGTGAAATACAAAATCCTCACCAAGTGCTGACATATGGGCATCAAACACACTCCTCTTGATGACTAACGACGTAACCAAAATCACCACCAAAGGTAGAACAATAGCCAGCACAGCCAGGAGCCACGTTGGAACGGTTTGCGTTTTGAGCGGGTACGCGATGCTGATATCGCCAGCAAAGGCAACTCGCTGATATGGCGTGATGAACTCCAAGGCACCAGAGACCCCGAGTAACAAGATGAGAACCACTGTCGAGTGTGGAAAAAACCGGTGAGAATCACCTTCGTCTCATACGATCTGACTCGGAACTGTGCTAGTCTTACCCCATTCCCAAAGACTTTCTCGCAGAAGGTGCTTCAAGCTATTCGACCGGGACTCATAGAGCACATGCACCCGACTCCCAGCGTCGCTCTCTGGCATGCCTTCAGGATGTACTAAACGTTGGCTAGAAATCTTGGAGATCGTTGTGTTTCGGTGGAAACGCTGAGGCGGTGCACGGGGACTCGACGACGATGACTTGGCTTTGGTTCGCAGAATTCGTTGGCGCTCGTGGCAATATTGGTTGAAATGGAGCGCACGTAGATAGCACCGGTCAGCGTAAATGGCCTTGGCAAGGGGCGCATACATACGCTGAGCGTCCTTTATTTGGTTCTTGGCCTTGGGAAACGGCGAACTTGTTTTTGTGATGATGAGGCGGTGGGAATGCGGGAGCGCGGCGGATGGGATTGATTACATCATTGGTTCCAAGTTTGAACTTGATGAGGAATGGAAGAATCCATTTTGTCCCATCTTGGCGCCCCGGGGTCATCCCGTTCAGGAGGATGCTCGTCATTTGATAAGGTTCGAGGTCCGTGTGTAATGTACAACTTCCATGCAGATCCATGTTTGGCTCGTCCTTGCGGACTTTGCGAAGTTGCGAAGCCGGTGTGTGAGAGTCATCAGTGACATCAGTCCCTTCAAGCGAGCTGGCTGCAAGTGCAACTGATGCATGAGATGGCTAGTGCATGTGCAGCTTCTGGATGCTTATGGAAATTGCAGCGGAAGTGGAGGCTGTTATGCGACGACCTCGGACGTACTGTACGTACGTACTGTATGTCTGTCGATGCGTATTCGAGCGTACGAGATGCATAAACTATGGTCGGGAAAAGTTTTACTATTGGAAATGCTCCTATCAGCTAGTTTTAGCAAGATCTCAATGAAAGCCCTACAATCATCATGCAAAACATGCTAAAGGCTCTTCTTTCAATTTGGCCATTCACTTTTCCAAAACGCCTTTTCTCATGTTCCAAACCATCATGTCCAAAGGGCCATCTACAGTCAGGCTGCCAGATATTTCGTTACAGCTGTCATGGAGGCTGGGTTAGCGGTGCTTGGGTCAGCTTAACCCTAACCCCAATAGTATGCCCAAAAAGATATGGCCAAGCCACTTCGATGCGCAGCCGCTGACACTCCGATAGCAGAGCGAGGTCGATAAGAGCTGAGTTTCAACTTCTTGCCAACGCTTGGCTGTTGAAGGCAGGCGCAGAGGCAACTCAGTCTCGTTGGATACTGGGTCAGGACGACTACTACCCAGGTCCTGAAGAGTTGTCCTCCTCTATATCTCGTATACGCTCCATATCGCCGGACAGAATGGGTGTTTCCTGTGTCTGCGACCCGGCGGTCGTCGACGGCTATCGGTTAGTGTTTGTAGGAGAATGCAAAGTAGCCCGACACTTTCTTTCAGGCCAGCGCAACCTAGTCCTCTCTTGCTTACGACTGTCCTTCCCTTCTCACCATGAAGATATGTAGAATGGATAGCGAGTTGGGCTGGCGAATGTGTTCACACTCCAAGGGAGATTCAAGCCTTTGCCTGCGGCATTGCTGCACTGTTTTGTTTCCTCGTAGGCCTACTGCCACAAATGGTATGTGAACCACATGGTTAGCGTTGACAGTACTTGGACGCCGGCTTTGGAAGCACGGCTTGCCGGCAGATGCAGAATCACCCGAAGCTCAAACAACGACTTGATGGTTGCAGTATAAGAACTACAAGCGCGGCGACGTAGAAGGCCTGAGTTTTGCTCTCCTCTGCATCTGGGCTATGGGAGATGTGACGAATCTTATTGGAGCGATCATGACACGCCAGACATTCGCCATGAAGCTGTGTGGGACATACTTTGTGTTTCTGTCCATTGCATCATTCGTCCAGTACTTCCACTACAAGAAGACGAACGATGCGAGCGGCGCTGGCAGGGCTGCGATAAGGGCGGCGGATGAGGAAATTGCTACGAAACCTGCGGGAGACGACCCAGATAGGACAGCGACCGAGACGGATCCCCTCCTGCATCAGATCCCCATCCCACATCAAAGCTCCTCGCAACCTCGGTCAGCTCAACGGCATTACGCCGGTGGTCGCAGTCATGTACCAACCGTGCTTGAGCGCGTAACAGCCACCACGGCTCTGATTTTAGCGCTCGCAGCGGTATTTGCGTCGGTGGAAGCCGCACCGACGTCGGAAATGTTGATGATGAGGGGAGATCAACCGGATGGAACGGCGCCGATACTACCACCGCCATCGTGTGATGGGCAGGATAAGCTGCAAGATCCGTGGGTGGCCCATACCGGGGAGGTTATTGCGTGGATTTCGGGACTGATGTACTTTTCTAGCCGGTGAGGACTCTATCGCAGTATTTGATGGAAGGGAGGCTAAGCGCATTGGCGCTGAACCAAACTTTGACTCAAATCTGTCCGACTCTCTCACCTTCTCCAACCCCAGCATCCCACAGCTAATCGAAAACCACCGCACCAAATCCACCGAAGCTCTCTCGCTCTACGTCTTCTCCCTAACAATCATCGGCAACATCCTCTACTGCGGCTCCATTGTGCTCCGCCTCCCGCACTCAACAACACCCGCGCTGGACAGCAACTTCTTTGCGGCGGTCTTGCCGTATTTGCTAGGATCCGCTGGGACACTGGTGTTTGATTTGGCTATCTTTGCCCAGGCGGCGTATTACGGCTGTTTGTGAATGGGACTCGTGATATGAGGACGGGACATGGACTTGGGAGAGACATGAAAGTCCAGATTAACGGCGTAGGTCCGACGAGCTGGACCGGACTTTACGTTATGCAGAGAAGACAGCCCCCCCTCACAAACGATTTGACGAAGTAATACCATGGACCACAGCATTCATGTACACATATATTAGCCTAGATGTGTGCCCTAACCTAATTTAATGCATACGATAATATCTCAAGAGCCATCAGAGCATTTCCAAGGTTTGCGAAAAGCGGCATCATTTTGGAAGAACAATTCTATTAGGACACATACAGACACAAGAAACAAGTGTTGACGGAAACACACGAAAGGCAGGCCAAAGCGATAACACAAGAAGGGGGCGGTATGGTTTTGGGAACTACTACGTACTGAAGAAACAACAAGCAGTAAAGGGGCACGGAGGGAGAAAACTCCACGGGACGAAACATGGCGATGAAACAAGCGATTGCGTGTGAAGGCACAAAGAAGACGTCGAACGCTATGACACATGTGGCAGTTCGACCCGTACGTTGTCAGACAATGGACTTAAGAGGCAAGAAAGTGGTGGATGGAACGGGTTTTCATGTCCAGCATGAGGGTATTGTCGGTGACGACACGATAGTTGCGATCGAAATGGCGATTTTGAACGCGCACTGCCGAGTCGGCTTCTTCATCGATAGTCTGATCACCATCAAGTGAATGCCGTTTACCTAATCAACACCTTCTCCAAGTCGGCTCTCGTCCCGCCCGTCAAATCATACACAGCATCCCAATCGAATAGCTGATTCGGCTCAAACAACTTGTCAAAGTCAAAGAAACTCTTCACGCCGGAATCGCGGGCAGCGGGGCAAGACATGACTTCATCGTAAATGTCCGCCGACAACGTGAGCATCCAGGATGCGCGGTAACCCTTGACGTTCGGGCGCCACTGGTATGACCAGTCGCAGACGTAGTACTCGAGGATGTCCGTCCAGCCCCACAAGAGCGTGCCAGACAAGGCTTTCGTGCGGAAGTTGAGGGCTGGGAATGCGTAGTCGCCGCCAGTGAAGGGTCCGTGGACGTAGGTCAAGCTCTGGATACGATTGGGTGGGTCGCGATGACACTTGGGATTTGTGTTCCATGAGGCGGTAAGGTGGGGAAGGAAGAGTGGGGCTGGTACGTAGCTAGCGGCGATCTGCTTCCATTCTTGAGCGCGAGTCCACGAAGTAGGAAGGAACATCTGGTAAATATCAGAAAGCTCCTGCAGGACGGCTTCGGTTCCCGCGTTGTCAAGCATACGATCGGCGGCGAGAGTAAGGTCCATGTCAGGGTAACGACGAGGCGCACGCAGGCGTTGATGGCCGAGTCTGACACTGCCCTGAGGAAGTACCACACCGACTTGAAAGGACCCTCCACGGCAACCTTCCTTGACAGACTGAGCGAAATCATCTTCACCGTCATCGATATCTTGCCTCTGAGGATCGCACATCTGCAAGGCGAGCTCCTGCGAAGCACCACAAGCCATCAGCTCCAGATCCTTTCCGACTAAGCCTTCAGCTTTGGCGAGAACTTGCATCCAGGCCGTCGTCTCTTGAGATTGCACAAACATGAAGAAGCGCTTGTCATCGACTTGCTGAAGGGTCTTGGCGTTTGCTTCCTCCCAGCCAGGTGGGCGTGTGGAAGGAGCTTCAGCACTCTCGAGGATGTCTTCCCACGAGATGCCGTAGCAGAAATAGAACTCAAAGGTTTGCAAGAGCTCCAAACGCCGGGTGGTGAGTTTACGAGTGAATTGATGGTTGTCCCATCGCAAAAGCTCTTTCTTCAGAGCGGGAGTAAGGTCCTGGCGTACAATATAGACGCGCGAGGCCGCTTGATCCAGCTCTTTCGAACGTTCTTCGGTAGGCACGCGCCTGGCACGCTTATTAGGACCAGCTTCTTGACCTGCCTGGGATTCATGATGGTGGTGGTTTCTGGTGCCTCGTCTTGATTGGCTAGCCTCTCCAGAATCGGCGCCACGTTCGCGTTTGTTTGCGATGGGAATAGTGGCAGGAAAGTTCGATGGGCTGCCAGTGTAACCTCCCTGCGAGTACGCCCCGCCAGGGATGGAATGAGAACCTTGGGGAATGTTATGAGAAGCGGCTGCCGAGTTGCTGCCAGAAGCGCGCCTGCGCTCAGACCGAGCAAGCTCACGACGTTCTTTTTCCCAGGCGTTCTGTCGGCACCTGTTACAAGGCTTCCCGTCCTTTCTGCCGGGAACGTGGTGACATGGTGCGGTCACTTTGGTATCAAGAATATACTTTGGCGGTCTAAGCGAGTTGAGGTTATGAGGGCTCATGCCGTTCGTAGCACTAGGTGTCGGAGATCCCTGGTCCTGGCTTCCCGAAGTGCGAACCGCAGTCTGGATCGTGGGAGTTCCGTTAACAAAGCCTTCCGGTTCCGGGGCTTGAGTGACTTGTTCGCTCATCGTAGCCGTTGTGATAAGTGAATTGCTAACTTGAAGTTGGATCGCGCTGAAAAAAAAAGGTGGGCGCGTAGATGTGAGCGTGAGGTAACGGAGAAGGAATCAGCGAGCTGCTGTAACTTACGCAACTGGATGACAATCTAATCGCCTCCGTCCTTAACCGATGTTCTTTCACGTATAGTAACGTTGGAAGATCCCGACAGGAACCACGCACGCGAGGTGTCTATCTCGAGCTTTTGGAAACAGGGCCGGGCCGGGCCGTTCCGTTCGATCCGATAGTGAAAGTGGCTAACAAACGTCGACCACTGAACGATGTAGCCTGGTCGAGCTGGGGATTGCAAAGCACGAGATGGATGTTTGCTGGGACTGGGCAAGTGCTCAGTGGTGCTATATAGTGTTCGTTTTGTGCCGTCGCTGTCACCGGCAGGTATTCTGTCGACGGGTGTCGTTTTCGACCTGCCATTCCCCAGATAAGGCATCAGCAGGCGCCGGCTGGGAGCAGCGGCTTTTTTAAGCATGACGCGACGGGCACGTGATGAGCTCCCCCGTTTAACTCCGCACCAGATGCATTTCCCTAATAGCGGTGATGCTAAGTACTGTATATGTCCTTGTCCTCGGCGGCGAGCTTGCATGGAGTCCTCCCCCAGCATGCCAGGTACATACATACATATACAAATTGAAAAGGCTTCCGTTAAACAGGATACATAACGATTCAGGTGAAGCAGAGATCGATGCATGATCTTGGTAGTCGTTCAATAGTTCTGGGTCAGAGTTTTGTCCGAAAATTACATTACGTCGACACTTTGCACGCAACGCAGCCTTACGAAGACGCAACGCCGGAGAATGCGACGACGCAAACTCCTCCTCAACGAACGTGTGAGAAATCGAGCGCGTGAATGCGGTAACAAGTTGGCATGGTTCCTGAGCCACCGATACGAATACATCCACGCCTCTACTTTCGCCACAGAGGAGATGGTCGTTAAGCAAAGAGTCGACGGACAACGCCGATTAATTCGAGCTCAGACATGCCGAGACCTCCTCACTTGGTGTCACGCCCCCTTTCAGCGGGCTCTAGCGTCGAAACAGGAAGAGATTCGGGGACTCTTCGTATACTTCAATGGCGAGGAATATATGGCCAAAACGTGCGATCGATGCGGATTCGTTCAACAAGTAAACGGCAAAATGTTGCGCTGTGCGTCCTGTATGTATCGAGTTCACCGCAATGTACATGGGGCCCGCGGTCACGCACTGAAAAACTGTGTTGGAAAGTACGTTTGGATCACCCGTCCTCATTAGAGAATGGCGGGTTAGGGGTTGATATAGCTCCGAAGGACGTTGTGCTCATTGATTACTTAGAACGAGGCAATATAGGCTCTTTTACTATATTTGATTAGTTTTGACTATATTTGAGCGATTCCAATATATCGGCTGTCGAAACTCGTCAACCGTGGCGCAGTAGTGTTAGTAGCGCTATTTTGGCAGTAAACACCGCGCCCCTCCACGCCCCTTCGCGGACCCCCAAGACCTAATCAGGAAGACTTATTATGGTCGCAAGAAGACGGGCAAGCCACCAAAAAATCCGAGGCGTTTAATTAGACAGCACGCAGACGAAGCAAACAACGACGACTGCAGCACGGACCAGTTCGGTGATTTCGCCACGACAAGAGTACAACATACCCCCATACACTGCTAGCGCTCTCGGACCACACGACGGCGACGAGTCTCATGAGGTTGTCCAAAAAGTAATCTCGCGACATTCCCATTAGGAGACGCCCGGCATGGTGTCCGAGCCCTTGAGCGGCCTCAGGTCGCGGACCTCTGTCAAGAAGGCCATGCCCGTGTGGCGCTACCACGAGGTACCGGACCTCGACGAGTCCGCGTCCCTTAGTAGAGCGCTCTTGCAAGTAGCAACCGGCGTCGAAAAGGAAGAGGAGGAGGTGAGCATCTTGGTTGCTATGTCTATTATGTGTGTTTACTGCCCCGGACTTGGCCCGGAAAAAAAAATTATGCTGACGTGTGCGCGGCGCGTGTCGGTGTTTTCGCGCACCGGTGTCCTGTCATTTCTTGACTGATGCTTGGGGGATCCTGTCGTTGCCCAACGGAAGACACACTCTCTCACCTTTCTCCTTGCGGCGATTGTGGCGTAAAGCCCCTTTACTGAACATAATGTCCCGTAATCTACGTAGGAACACCATCTTCAAGCCGCTCTTATTGCCAGTCATCAACCTGGGCACAAACGTGAACAGGTCATCATCCCAACTCCCGACGCCTCCCGCCTGATCCCCGACTACAGCAAGTACTACTCCAGCAATTATGAACAACCATCAACGACAATTCGCTTCTCGGCTACTCTCGAAAATGTCATCGGGATACCTTATAACCTGGATGATGTGGACTACGAGTTTCTAGCGGAATACCGGTCGAAAATCGAATCTGGCGCTATTTCTGCAGACGACGCGATCACAGATGAGGAGTTTGAGCTCATCATGTATTTCTTCGAATTGGCCGGTGACGACAAGGTGCGCGGAACTTGCTCTTCTTTTCCGTCCGATGTGGGTGATACTAAAGTATGTCGCCGTCGTCAGGTATCCGGTGAACCCCCAAGCCTGGATGAATGTCGCGGATTTTTCGAAGGCAGGAAATTTGATCTGCTGGCGCGGTGGGGCGCAATATCACATATATACCCCCATTGGCGACGGCGGCGTTATGTTCTTCGCGGCGGAACTTCTATCCAGCCCAAGCTCAAGGTGGGCGACTCTTTCTATTGTGATTCTGTTGACATCGTGCTGATCTCAGCAATCCGTTATAGCTCTCGGCAGATTGGTTGGGGAAAGCTGACGACGACCCATATGTTTGCTTCAGACGAAGGGAAGTCAAGTCCGTGCGAAAGGCTCGTGGCGCTCGGGCGGATTCAGTGTCTCTCGACAAACTGCGACGTCTCCGGGACGAGATGGATCGGGCTAAGCAAATCTTGGAACTGATCACCAACCGGGAAGCGGCCAGGAAAGAGAGTATAGTGCTGGAGCACTTGATCTTCGAACAACGTGTCCTGGTCCGAAGGTTGAAAAAGAAGCTCGGCATCGTAACATCCGAAAAGGAAACCGACCTTAGTCCAGATATGCGCAGGCGAAAGAAGCGGTCGGAAGATGGCCGGTAAGTCAATGTCTTAAGGCCTCGTCTCATTTGGATCGGCATTTCTAATCACCTCAGACAGGGACGATGTCGTCAAGAAAATCCGGATACCAGCGGGAACGCTTCGCAATGCCGCACATGTTATTTCTGCCATCGAAAGTAAATTGCATGAAGCTGCTGCAGATGTGGAATCCGCAACTGCGGAAGGAAGAGCCCGGCGAAAGAAGATGCTTGAGGAGAGTCAAGGATGGATAGACATCACTGAGGTAAACCCTCCAAAAGTCCATTAGCGACGGGGACCACGTACTCACCCCCATATGCAGTACCCGTACTTTCCACCGCCAAAGGCTGTTGCAACCCAGTGCTGGCGTTCTAGCGTTCCTGGTGCTCGTGTTCTCTGGGACGACCAATTGGAAGAGGAAGGCGACGTGGACCTTACGGTTCCGTATGGGCGACAGCGAGTGGGTCGCGGAGGGCGGCTCTTTCTGGACCGACATGTGAAACAGCGGGTCTGGTTGAGAAGGCATGGTGGAAAGATTATGCCTATCCCGTCCCCGTCCTCGAGTCGATCGAAACGTCATTCACGCTCTGGTGACTTTATGCACGATCTGTCATCGGGAACTCAACGTTGGCGCTTTGACACGAGCGACGACGAGGTTGAAGAACCCATCGTAGAGATGGAGGAAACTGCAGAGTACGTACTTCCTTCATCGATTTCGTATGAAAAGTATGTTCAGGAAACACCTGTCACTGACACCACTTCCTTGATGCGTATTAGTCAACTGGCGTATCGGGTGTTTACCGTTGGCCCCAAGACAGAGGAGGAGATTTTCTCGTTGATGGGCAAACCAGCACATCCAGATCAGGCAACGCCTCGCCCTTCTACTGCTGCACAACGCGCAGAGGAAGCGCAGGTAGCTCCCCCGCAGGTGGTTCGCCCTCAAAATGCGGCACATCTGGCTGCATTAGGCGCGAACGGGTTGAAAAAGCGGCCATCGAAACCTTCAGAACCGCCGCCAAAACTGCCACCTGCAGTCGCGGCTGCTCAGAAGAGGCGTGCGCCAGATGGCTCGGATCCCAAAGCCGTCATCATCAAAGCCATGATGCAACAGGCGCAGCGACAAGCTCAACAGCAGCAGCAGCAATTTCAGCAATTGCAAGCCCAGCAGCAATCTGGCACACCACAACCACAAACACAGCAATCCGTTCCCTCCGTTCCCATCCCAACCGGGCCACGCACCTCCATCTCCATCCAATCGTCTTCACCAGCACCAGCGCCATCAACCGGAACGCCAGCGCCAACGTCCCCACAACCTCAGCGCCCAGGACCGCCTGCTACGCAGCCTGCAGTCCCTCAACCGGTCATGCCTCTGAATGTCACCGCATCGTCCCCGGCGAGGGGTCATGCAAGTTATATTCCAGCAGCGAACTCCGGCGTGCAGGCGCAGACGTCCACGCCGAGTCAAGCTCTCATGGCGGCTTCAGCTGCACAGCAACCCCCACAGGCCATGTCGAGCTTATCTGCCACGGCAATGAATAATGCGTATCGCCAGCAGCAAGCTCGGCAAGTGACCCCTAATCAGATACAGCTACTTCGCCAACAACAACAGCAGCAGCAGCTTAATATTATGCGTCAACAGCAGCAGCAAGGACATCAAGTATCGCAACAGCAAACATCCCAGCCGCCGCAAATGGGGTACACTCAGTTCTCTCAACCTCCGCAGCAATCATCGCCAACCTCCCTACCACCCAACAGCGCGTCCGGCCTGGCCTCCCCAAGCGCAAACAACATCAGCGCCCAACAACTCCTATACTATCAACAGCTGAATAGTCCGGCAACACAGCTCGCTGTCCAGCAGCAGCAGATGCGTGTCCAAGCCGCATTGCAGATGCCTCGCTTAAATCAGGCGACTCTAGCGGGTTTAGCGAACGGCACCATCTCAACAGCACAGTTACAAGCTTATCTAGCACAACAACAACAACAGCAGCAGACGCAGCAGCAACTTTTGCAGCATGGCTCAACACCGGCCAACCTTGCACTTCAACAACACCTCATGAATCAGCAAAAGGCAAAGGCGGCAGGGATGCCTGCAGCATCGGGAGTCACAACCCCTGTGCTCAATGGGTCGCTCGCGGGATCCTATAACGGATCGCCGTACAGTACCGCGGCGAGCTCGGTCGCTTTGGCAGAGATCCCCGCCAGTTTGCCCCTGTCGAACGGTATCCCTACATCTGCGCAAATGCTCACCTCGACGATGCAGCAACAGTTCCAGGCAATGCAATCGTTACAGTCACAAACCCCGCAGCAGCTGTACGCGTCAAACCCGCAATTGATGCAGCAGGCCCAAGCCCAGCTCCTCTCCCGACAGCTACAAGGCTCGCACCATCATGTTGCAAATATGCAGCAAGCCCTTGCCCAATCGCCAATGCAGCTTTCCTCGCAACAGCAGCGCCCCACTGCGAACGGCACGCCCACTCCGTCCAACGCGGCAAGTCCCGCCATGTCGACGGCCACCCCCACCATCAACACGACCCCTTTACCCACGGGAGGAGCAACTGACACCGGGTCAAGCGATAAAGAAAATGGCCCTGGTCCAGCAATGGTCGGGACTGAACACTCTGCCATGTCGATGTCACCACATATTCCAACCACTCAAAAAACGGCCGCGTAGCACCCCTCTGCAATGCCTTGGAGCTTATCGCAGACGATCAGGGGTGGATGTCTGTATTCAATGCTTTGCACATTGTTCTTTGAGAACAGGCCAAGCGCTACAGGCCCTACGACATCCTGCCCCATTCAAAGGTCATACGTCCCCCGGCATGCCCTCCCTGTATCTATATTCGCTTACCCTGCACGATACCGGCGGCCGGTTGTGTGACCGCGGACCCTTTCGTCGTTTTGACACGGTTAAGGAATGTGGCTATGGGTACCGTGTTCGCCTATCCCGCTATACAGTCGTGGTTTCATGTGAGCAGAAAGTATGCCGTTGTCGGTCAAGTAAGGGTCGAGAACATTGTTCAGCCCCTTACTTCGTCACCCTCCTCGAACTTGGTATAGGTGTCAGTCATTGTGAATATAAAAGGTCCTTATTTCTTGGTTAATATTATATCCCGGTTAGTGTCAGAAGTGCAAGATTGTGTGTTCCCCTGAATGTGGCCTTCAAGTGCGCGAGAGTTATCTACCAGTACTATGTTACGCAGACGTGTCCATCGAAAAGTCAATTCATTTGCCCTCCCCTCTTTTCCACTCCACGCGACGGCCGCCATCCCCCCAGAAAACCGCATCGCTTTGCCAATCCCGCTCGTCCAGCTCCGCGATGAAGCGCGGGAAATGATTCAATGTCCACTGATGGGAGGATTCAAGCGGTGTGAGCGCGCAATTCTTCGCCACCTTGGTCGGCGACCCGGCGCTTTCCAGGTCGTTTGCCATTGATGAAGCTGATGTTGGCAAATCGATCGAAGGGTTAGGTTTGGTGATCATCGGACTAGATGCCGTGGCATCGTCTCTGCTGAACAGCTCATGGTGGAACCGAGTGGCGTGCAGCATCGCTTTGATGACGTCGTGAGCGGCCGCGGAGGTATGAAGACAGATGTGCACAGGTTCGTTGGGAGAGTTTGGCGTAGATAGGAGATAATTCTCCGTCTGCAGAGAGACATGGTGAGGTAGTGATAAATGAGAATCTCGTTCTTCTTTCTGTCTCGGGAGGACCCACCCCATCGAAATAGACTTACCTTCAAGACGCGAATTGCCGTGGACAAGACAGACGCGTCGTCGAAAGCCTTGTTGGCAGTTGCTCCAACATCGATGCGGACGACCTGCTCGCCTTTCGCCAACCATTCCCCAAACCAGCGCTCGTGCCGCTTCAGATCGTTCATGCCAGGAATTGTCTGGTCAGCTACATATTGCCGACAGATCAAGGTCAAGTTGGTATGATTCAGCACCTCAAACTGCGCTGCACGCAGTAAGGAAAGGGTCATGAAGAAGTGGATGGGCGTAAGGAGCAAGAATCCAGTGAAGAGATAAGCTGGCGAATGCGAGATGGTAATCGCGCCAACACCCCAGAGCATGCCCGCCAAGTGTGCTACGCTCATTTGGCTGTCATCCTTTGCCACAAGATCGCCGACATTTCCTTGCAACGCAAAGTTCTATGGCACGAAAAGAATTCGAGTTGGTCTTCGCAATCTCGAAAAAAATCAGTCAGCGAGGTGGGTCTCTCACCCTTGTGAACGTCATGTGCGTTGCACCCCATATGCTGTAATGTATGGACCGCAGGGCGTATCCAGCGCTTGCCAGCGGTAAAAACCATGACGAAGGCGAAACCACCGTGCAGAGTTGCATGAAAGCCCCCGTGAGCGAGGACACCTCTCCCACAAACTTCCAAGTTTTCGGATGGGAATCAAAAGACCGAGCAAACCGTTGAATGAAGAACAATTTCCCTATTTCGCCGATGCCATCTTTTAGAACCCACTGGACGGCAACAGCAGTGCCGGCCGCTGCTGCAGTCGACCCGATGCCGATGGAGGCCAACATAGCTTGAGAGCAGAGAACTGATACGGCGCTCCATACGAAGGTTTCGAGGAATTGATAGATGTGGACTTTCGCATACACCGGATGAACAGACGCCGGGTACCTATGCGCTAAGACATCATTTACATGGAACTCGTGCGTAAATCAGCCGCAGCAACAGACGGAGACTTACCCGACAGGCAGGAACATGGCTCGTAGCCATCCCCCAAAGCTTGGGACTATGTCCAGGAGCCTATCGACAGCACTTTTCGGCCCAGCACTGTCCACCACCCAGTTCCACGAAAGGCGGACGAAAGCCTTCTGACCGGGTGCTCCAGATGCCATTTTCCCAGGAAAGTAGTTCCGAACCCGCCCATTGAGAGTCTCGATCAGAAGAGGAGGCGGCGGGGCCGCCTTGTCGACGACTGGACTTGGAGGAACATCGTCTTTGTTTTCCTTCGACTCGGTAGCTATTGCTCGCCGCTGTCTGAGTATGCGAGGCGACACCGGGAAACTGGAGGTCAACATCGCGTTCCGAAATCCTACGAATCGTAGGAAGCCTCGAGAACGGAGGACATGGGTCTTGTAGAAAGCCGCACCGGCGCAGGTCCGGAGCAGAGCCATTGTGAAAGATAACCTTGACTTCGGTGAGGTAACGAGTATGCTTCTGGAAGCTCACCGAGAGTGGAAGGTCTGGCCCCACCCTAAGAGTCCTTTCTGGGCTATATAGCGTGTGTCGACCGAACAGAGGCGCCGTCCGGAGTATTGTAGTCAGGATGTCCCTGCGCCAGCGTCGGTGTTCCTCAGCCAAATCCTTCGAGAACCAGGGCGAGATTGCGGTGATGTCAAATGGCTGCTTCTCGGAATCTCGGAGTCCGCCTGCGCAAAAACACGCGGTGGGGCACATCTCGCCTCCACGCCCAATGGCTATCTGACAGCCAACCCCCTGCACATACCAAATACTTTCCATAATGCCTGTAGTGACGCTTTGGAAATAAGCAGCGCTTGAGATTACCATGAGTATCTACTACTGAACCGCGCGAAGCCCCGCAAGGCTCCAATGGAAGATGGACGGCATGCCAACGAGGGGGACCCCGTCGGCGCAGTGTACTGTACAGTACGGCCGGGAGACCAGAACCTCGCCCCTTGCGTGCAGCAGCTGCAGCAACATTGCATAATTCACATTGTCTTGCGAAATGCAGGCCGCAGCCCGCAGGCGGAGCCATCCGACAATCTGGTTGTTTGTGGGGCATGGGCAGGGTGCACTGAAGCGAGACGCGTTCCCCGGACTTCTTTGACGCGTAGAGACTACAAAGTGAGGCGCTCAGGAGCGACGGAGCAGGAGAACTTCAAGTGCAGCATTCCAGTGAATTTTCTGGGCAGTGTTCAGAATCCTTTTCGCTTTCCAAATTCCATACTGGCTGAACACGGCACTTTCGTCCGTACTTCAGGTTGCAACTTCCCGCCCACTCGTCGCGCCATAAAACCCCTTGGACCTGTTTGCTTGTTCCATTTCTACACCCCGAAGATATTGAAAGTTCGAAAGAGTATAGCGCTCCGACTCGTCCGTTTACATACAGCGCCAGCTTTGGCCCTCGCATCATCATCGCATCGAGCCTATTTCACCCGTAGTATACCGCCGGCGAAAAGCGGGATTGGACCCCCACCTTCAATCCATATACTGCGAACAGTCAGAACCGACCCGTTTATTAGCATGTCCCTGAAAGGCAGAGCGCTTCTTCGCCGGCGGGTCGCGTGGGCACTGTGCATCACTGCTGTCTTGGCATTTACCGCTACCTCGTACAAAGTTCAGTCCATAGCGCACTCTGGTGGGATATATGGAGTCCGAAGGTACGAACTTCATCCTTGGGGTCTTCTGCCTCGCGTTTCGCGACTTGTTCGTTTCCAACATACTAATCGGCCGCAGCGATGACAGATATACGCGAGGGAAAGGTTTTGCAGACCAGCTTCCGTTTCAGGGTGCCGAATCACCCGCTGCCGCGGCCGTGGACATCGACATTGCCGAGGACGATGCCGCGGGGGGACCGGGTTGGGGCATCTTGAGCAAGAAGCTCATGCGGCAGGTCGCCTCAGTTCTCCCAGCTCGCTACATCAAACTTGAGGGCTTTCAATATTGCTCCATATTAAATGGGGCGACCTTTGACGCGTTCACGCGTATACATCCACTAGGAGGGTCGATCGCTGAGATCAACCCCACCACCTCGGAGCTAGTGAAGTTACTGGACGATACCGCCATTGATACCAAGCGCCGCTTGACAAAGCGGTATAAGACACTCTACGATGAGGTGAGGAAACAGATCTAGCCTATCCTCGGATGTAGAATCGGCATGGTCTTCACTTGTTCAGCATCCTCACATGTGTATTCCCATGCAGGACGCTGATCGCTACGCCTGCTACGCAACAGCTGAAGGCGCCAACCCCTACGTCAACATTTCGTCAGAACCCCTCCTGAAGCGCATCGATCCATTAAACTACTACGGGAAGCTCATTCCTTCCATCGCTCCCCACGACTCGCTCATACCAGGCCCACGACGCAAGTACAAGCTAGCATACTTAATGATGATTCACAAAGTCAGCACATGGCAGCAATTACAGGACATGATCGAAATCCTGGACGACGGGAATGCCATCTTCCTGATCCACGTCGACGTGCTAGCTACCGAGCTCTCTGCCACCGTGAAGGCGTGGATCGAGGCCCGCGACAAGGCAGGGTCTGGGAATGATGTTGTCGGCACGCCAAGGCTTGGGAACGTCTTCCTTGCCCAAACGACCTATGAGGGCATGTGGGGCCATGTTAGTCTCGTGTGGATGCAGCTGAGCGGGTTTTGGGAGCTATTGGATTTGGCGGACTGGGAGTATGTCATCAATCTTTCCGCGCATGATTGGCCCTTGCGGACGAGTCAGCAAATATATGAGACCCTGAATTCGACTAAGCACAAGGGGATGGAGCATATCGAATGGTGGACAGATCCAGGTATGTCTGATTCGAACCTCAGAGATATGCCTTGTCTAGGTCTCACTGGATAACAACTTATCTTTTGCCAGCGGATATCGCTGGCCGGACGGTACGACCGCACTTCGGTCGCATGGATAGACCTTCGATCGAATACTCGACCATTCACCCACCAGAAGTTGGCTTAGCATTCCCACCATTGCCAAGTTGGAGTCTCTGCAAGCAGCATCAGTGGATGATCCTGACATCCGAGTTTATTAGAGATCTGCGAACCAACATAGATGGATTGCACATGCTGGCATTCATGGAGCACATGTGGATTCCGGACGAGGCATACTTTTGCACAGGTAAGGGTGATGTTCGTCATGCGCATCTTTCTTCGATGCTCACACTGCCCCTACCCACTTGGTCTCCAGTCATCAGCAACCATCCCTACTTTTCGCATAGGGTGGTGAAAGACAAGAAGCGCTATCTCCGCTTCAACGCGCAACATCCGGCCCAGCTTACGATTAAGGACATCCATCTTTTTCCGCCTGAAGAGCCTCGTGGGGCCGAAGCGAAGTACTTTTTCATCCGCAAAGTCAACACGCAGGACTCGCCCGAGCTCGCAGAATGGCTGAAGAACAACCATATCGACAAGCATGATCTGGCCAAGGCACCAGTGTCTCCGGAGAAGCTGGCTCCCGTGCATGATGCGAATGTGGCCGCATCTCCCCCAAGAATGAAGCTTGACGCGGCGGACGCTCGGGAAAAGGCTGAACTAGGGAAGGAGACGGGGGATGACAAGCAGGAAGCCGGGCTCCTGGAGCAAGAACAACCAAAGATGCTGGACATCAAAGTAATGGCACAAGCGCAGCCGGCGAACTGATCTGGACGAGATTACAAGAGGCAGCCGTAGATCCCCGGAGACCTTCCCTTGAACCTTTACTCCGGGAAGACGGGCTGTTTGTATTTGTGTATAATGCAGCGTGCAGCGTGCAGCGTCTAATCTATGTATATACAGTGAACGTCACGATTTTCTGGCTTATCAAGGGAGATGGTGGTTGTGTCCAGCAGGTGGACGATGAGGTGGGCGGAAGACGTTAGAGACGTTGGAGCCAACGATTGTTCGACGCAGGAGCACAACGAGGACTGATGAAAACGACCTGTCCTTGATGAAGGATTCCATTTGCAACTTGTGCTGAGTGCGTGGGGCTCGCAAACGCGTTTCGTTTTGACAGTTTGACAGGGCCGCGTGGGAGTGGGAGAGAAGCCGTTGCTAGCGGGTAAGAAGCAGTTCTGGACAACTCGCCGTAAAGTCTTCTTTCGCCCCTCCAGATCCACCCACGGACGGCCACGCCGCCTTTGAGCTTGCCCAGTACTCCCTGCCCTCGCACACTGCCATCCTCGGACTCGTAAAAGAGAAAAAGGACCCACAAGGGTCGGCTGGTTAGCTATCCCGCTGCTCGACCGTCGTTGAAAGCTTTCCTACGGAAGATGTAAGTGTGAAGATGACCGACCCATCGCCCCCACGCGGTGCTCGTTTTCATAATGATCACCGCATGCACATCTGCTTATATGTGCTACCTACAGATCTGCGGGCATCTTGGCGACCTCTAGCTTTGGCTCCTATTGTTCTTTCGTCCACCGAGAGTCGGGCTAGGCATAAGCGTTTCTTTCAGCCTTCTAGTAGTTTCGCTCTTTGAACGTCATGTCTGCTCCTCCGCCACCTGGTCCCCATAACCCGGCGAGGCCGGGTCCGGGTCCCACGCAACGACCTGCGCCGTTTATACAACAGCAGAGCGCCCCTGCTATCGGTCAGCAGCAACGACCCTTCACTCCGCCGCAAGGAGCCCTGCCGAACTCCCCAGCCATGTTCAGACCGCAAAGACCAGGAGCGCCAGGCCAAGCACCTGCACCTGGCCAGCCTGGACAGCCCGGACAGCCTGGACAGCAGCAGTTCAGGCCCCAAGGCATTCAGCATGCAGGTAAGCTCCCAGTGCGAAAGGCTTGGCATGGACAGAGGACGTTTGGTGCTGACTGTTTTCCGCGTTCAAAGCGTCCTTCCACCATACATCACAGCCGCAGCCACAGGGTAATCTCCATTTGTCACAAGATACTCGATTCCGCCTGGCTAATGGAAGCGACTTCCTTTACTTAGGCTCTTTCCATCAGCCACCACCTCTGCAACAACAAGGTACGAGAAGGCTACTGCGGAAGTAGGCGCTTCTCTACGTGTTCGTTTGGTTGACTATTTTGCTCTCGCAGCTTCCTTTCCGCAACCACCCCTGCAACAACAAGGTATGTCACCTGTTGCTTGATTAGCGTGCTCCTGTCGAGCGTACTCAAAATGGGACTGTCTTCAGGTTCCTTCCACCAGCCGCCCCTGCAGCACCAAGGTATGCATCACAGACGCTCGATGGCCTCCCTATAAGTTGTGGACCGCATGAATTGACATGCGTCGTTTATTTCGATGACGGTAGCATCATTCCAGCAACCTCCCCTTCAACACCAAGGTATTGCATACGGAACTCTCTAGGAAACTCCTCATGATGCTGGGAGCTTACTGTTCCAATCTTTTTGCAGCGTCTTTCCCCCAGCCTTCCGGCCCTCCGAATCAGGCCGCAAAACAGCCCATGCCCAGGCAAGGTAAGCATAGTTTTTGCCAAGAAGCCTCATGTCGGCCCTTTGGTCTGTACTGATTTTGGCGAAGATTCTTTTCGGCCCGGCGCACCCGGTCAAGCACCTCCGGCTCAGGGACAAACGCCATCCAGGCCAGTGCTACAGTCGCAAGGTAGGAATGGCTATCCCGATCTTTCGTGGTAGTTTTGCTGGGCCTCATGTTGATTGGGTAGATTCTTTCCGGCAACCTGGCCAACCCCTCGGACAATCAACCGGCGTACGGCCTAGTCTCCCACCTGGAACACAGGGAGCGACGCCTCAAGCTTCTATGGAGCGAATGCCGTCCTTCGCTGCAAATGGAGTGCCGCCAGGAGGCCAACCAGCGCCAAACGTGGGCTCATCCGGGACACCGACTGGAGCTGGGATAGGGGTTCCAGGGAGCACAGTTCCACCAGCACTGGGAACAACGCCTTCTTCTAGCAATCTTACGAATCAAATGGCGAACATGCAACTGGGGCCAGGAGCAGGCACACGGAGCACACGTGCGAAGCGCGTCTACGCTTCGCCTACTAGTTCCATGACGGATTTACACGGACAACAGCCGGGAGCACCAATGCCAGTAATGCCAGCTCCTGGTGCCCCAGGGTACGGAGCCCCGAACGCCGCTCCGGGGATGCCGGGGATCCCTCAGTTGAGTCAACAGTTCAGCCAGTCTAACTTGCCTGGCCAGCCTCAGATGCAGCCTCAAATGCAGCCTCAGGTGCAGCATCAAATGCCGCCGACGATGCAGCCTCAGGTGCAGCATCAAATGCCGCCGATGATGCAGCACGGAGCGCCACAGTTTATGCAACCGCCTGGGCTCGGCGCTCAACCTCCGTCTTTCGGACAATCGTACGGACAGTTGACGCAGGCCGGTATGCAAGGATCTCTGCAGCCAGGTATGCAACCCGGCCTGCAACAAGGTTATCAGCCTGGCCTCCAACAAGGCGTGCAACCGGGCGTGCAGCCTGGCTTCGCACCCAACATGCAGCCCGGTATGCGCCCTGGTATGCAGGCAGGGCCTGCACAGCCGCCTCGCTCTCGCATCGACCCTAACCAGGTTCCCAGCCCCATCCTGGTGCAAGAGAACGACCAAGCGGTGTATGAGAACCAATCGTTTTCGACTGCTACCCGAGCTGTTCCACCCTTGGCAACTACCGTATTCCACGCGATTGACGAAGGGAACTGTAACCCCCGCTTTGCGCGACTCACGACTTACAACATTCCATGTACAGACGATCTCGCTAATCTGGCATCGATCCCTCTCGGACTCGTAGTGCAGCCTTTGGCGGATTTGGGTCCTGGTGAAGAGCCAATCGAGGTTGTGGAGATGGGAGAAAAGGGGCCTGTGCGATGCAACCGCTGCAAAGCATATGTCAATCCTTACTTCCAGTTTATAGATGGGGGACGGAAGTTTGTCTGCAACCTGTGCTCATTCGAGAACGAAGTGCCACCCGAGTATTTCATGAACCTGGATATGAGTGGGCGCCGCATGGATCTGATGCGGAGGCCGGAGTTGAGGAAGGGTACGATCGAATTTGTTGCCTCGAAAGAATACTGTGCTCGACCGCCTGTGCCGGTCTCGTACGTCTTTGCGATCGATGTTTCATGGAACGCTATTCAGAGTGGTATACTCAAGAGGGCCGTCGAAGCTATCAAGCAGCTCTTGTACCACGATGAGAGGACCCTGCCTCAGAAGGCCAAGGTCGGAATCATGACCTTTGACAGGGCCGTCCACTTTTACAACTTGACGCCTGGACTTGAGCAACCGCAGATGCTGGTCGTATCTGACGTTGCGGACGTCTTCGTTCCCCTAAACGAAGGCTTCTTGGTTGACCCACGGGAATCACGTCACGTCATCGAGAACCTGCTCGATACGCTTCCGACAATATTCGAAGGCAATCGCACAAGCGAGCCTGTTCTCGGTGCCGCCGTCCAGGCTGCTTTCATGGCATTGAAGGATCGAGGCGGGAAGCTGAGCGTGTTCCAGACTATGCTGCCAACGTTCGGACCCGGTCAGTTGAAGAGCAGGGAGGATCCAAAGCTGTTCGGAACCGATAAGGAGCGTACGCTCTTTGAGCCACAGGAGTACTTCTGGACAAAACTCGGACAAGATTGCGCGACCAATGGTGTCTGTATCGATATGTTTTTGTTCCCATCGGCATACATTGATGTCGCCACGATTGGCGGGTTATCGGCCTTGACGGGTGGCGATCTGTACCTCTACCCGAACTTTGACGATGGTCGCGATGGCTTCAAGCTGGTGAACGATTTCAAGCGATCCTTGACGAGAACATTCGGATTCGACGCTCTATTAAGGATACGCGTGTCCAACGGTAAGAGGGGAAATTCGACGATGTATTTTTTTTTCTCGGAATGGAATGCTGAAACTTGCGTCCCTTGCTTAGGACTCAAGGTCACGGAACATTTCGGCAATTTCTACATGAAAAATATCACGGACGTAGAGATTGCTGGAATCGACTCCAGCAAGGCTATTGGCGTTGCCCTCAAACATGATGGCAAGCTGGACGAAAAGCAAGAGTCGGCATTCCAAGCTGCGCTTCTTTACACAACCGCAAATGGAGAACGCAGAATCCGCGTGCACAATCTGAGTGTTCCAAATACCACCGGTCTGGGCAACGTGTTCCGATACGCAGAGATGGACACTACTATCTGCTTCTTGTGCAAGGCTGGTGAGAACTCTATACAGACGGTACTCATTTGCTTTTGGTGACCTGAGCTCAAAGTGCTTTATTTTTCAGCTGTTGCTCAAACCTTGAATAGTTCATTGAAACAAGTCCGCGAAAAGCTGGGAGAAAAATGCGTGAAAGTTCTCAGCGCTTATCGGAAGCATGTGGCCTCGTCAACATCGCCTGGACAGCTCATTCTTCCAGAGTCCTACAAGCTCTACGCTCTGTATACGCTTTGTGTACTGAAGCTCAAGGCCTTCCGCGGCGGTATATAACCTACTTCATCATTTGCACTATTTCTCTCTCAGCAGCGAAGCTTATTTCTCTTCTGCAACCAGGTCCTGACCTCCCCAGCGACATTCGAGTGTTCAACATGCGCGTGCTGAAATCATTAGGGGTGTCAGAAAGCGTCCCATTACTGTATCCACGATTGATGCAACTGCACGATTTGGTACCACCGGTAGGTGACACATGACTCCTTCACTCCATCTATCCTGCTCGTTTGCCTTCTTACGTTCACCTCCGGACCAGTACGGGCAACCTGATGAACGGGGTCGCGTGAAGTTACCACCAAGCATTCGCGTTTCCGCTGAACGTCTCAATCCGGCAGGCGCTTATCTAATAGGTGCGGTGGCCCTCTCATTGAGCTATGCCCGGATTACATCGAGATGCGATGAAATCAATTAACTCGTACTTCCTGTCACAGAAAATGGTCAGCAAGTCATCATATGGCTAGGGAGACAGATTCCCCAACCATTCCTTCGCGAAGTCTTTGGCGTCGAGGCTATCGAGGCGGTGGACACCAGCAAGGTGATGATCGGGTTGTCTCTCAACCTCGTCTCTCTCAACTTCCGAAACATATATGCCTGACACCTTGTTTTCCGATCTGGCAGCGAGTGCTACCTGTTTTCGAGAATGAGACATCACAACGTGTGCATGCAATCCTTGCCGGCGTTCAGCAAGACCGGCCTCGCCATCTGCATCTCCAGGTCGTCCGGCAGCAGATGGATCAGTTTGGAGAGGTCGAGTTCAATCAGTTACTGGTGGAGGACCAGAACCTCGACAATATGGGTTACGTGGATTATTTGGTCGCTGTCCACAGGTGAGTGGCCGGTTTGCTAGCAATTTTAACTCGAGCACACAACTGACCCGGGCTTTCTACCTCAAGACAAATCCAGATGGAGCTGTCCAACCCGTGATGACGTTTGGAGACTTCGACCTTATCGAGCGAGTGTCGATGGCAGCGTAACAATCTATGAGCAGCCGGGGACAAGATCTTTGAAAAGACAATCCTTTTCGCGACGGGCTGCCTACCGGTTGGCATCTTCTCTATCTATGTGCATAATGATTTACGTGTAACTATAGCGGGCATTGCCGAAAACAGAATGCTTCTGACGCTTGATTCACTTTCGTTGATGCGCTTGCGTTGAATTTACACTATGGAGCCTAGATCAAAATACATTGGCATCGCCTCCCCAAACTGTGTGGATGATTGCGAGTTCTCGATGGTTCAAGAGCAACGAAACTACAGATGGAATGACAAATTGAAGGGGTTCCGAAACTATTCGATCCACCCAGTGAGCTCATCAGGCGGCGAAAGCCAGAATTGTGTTGTGGACAATCGGGACGACAGTTTATCAAGATACTCGTCCGAGATGCCATCCACGCCACAGACCAAAAGCGTGCGAAGCTTCGGACAGCTGTCGACCAACCTATCGATGGACGCTTCCGTGATTGGATTTGCCAGGTTATCGGATCCGCAACTGGCAAGATCCAGTTCTCGCAGTTCAGGGCAGTAAGAGATGAGCGCATCCACCGTGGCCTGCGAGATGACATCGGTAGAAGCCATAGCCAGCGTCGTCAGCTTCTTTCCCCGCATCTCCAACATCTTGATGATCGTGTCTTCCGACTCGAGGAGGATATCCTCCATAAACAGAGTGTGAAGATGCTGGCATCTTTCGGCGATGATTTGGATCGTGGCGTCCGTGCAGCGCGTGTAGCTGATCCCGAGCACCGTCAAGTTGCGGCAACGTTTGACAAGCGCGGTGATTCCGTCGTCGCCGACGTGTATGCAGTTTCGGAGCTTGACGAAGCGGAGGTCGCGGCAGGACATGGCGAGAACTTCGATGCCGACGTCGGTTAGCGCTGAATTCTCTTCCAGGATAAATGTTTGGAGGTGAGGGCCTGGGAAGATATTGAGAGAGAAAGAGTTAGTTGCGGTCACTGTCTCTCCCTGCACCACCAAAGAAGCCAAAGCAGTAGACACATACAACACTTCGCAAATGCAGTGACAATCTCATCGCCGACCCATGTCCGTCCGATATTCAGGTGTCGCAATGTGCTAGTCATGGAGCTGAGGACGCAATGGTAGAATCGCATCGATTGTGCATCACATACGACTATCAAGAGCGCGGACGAGGGTGAGTTGAGCATATGAGTGTGAGCGAGTTCCGATCACCTCCTTGACCAAACCAAACACAGGAGGGGTGCATACCATTGTGCAAGCATAATGCGCTCAGTTTCTTCATGCCTGCCATGAAATGTGGCACCGACGACTCTCCCCACACGTCAAACGATATGCATGGGTCGCCGCGCAGGGCAAAGCATTGAATATCATGACAGAGGTCGAAAACGTGTTCGATGGTGTTTGGATGAAAGTTCCGGATGCCCAAACGTAGCATCTCCAGGTTCGGGAACGTCGATGCCATGATGCGAATGAGCGGTGTGTGGAGAGGCTCCTCCAGCTGCAGGCCCATGGTATCCAAACGTCGGACCTCGGTGCCGAGATTCCCATTGAAGCTGAACCTCGATATCCGCGAACAGTACACCAGCTTGAAGAGACCTCGCGGTGACCATAATCGGGGGTTCTTCCACAAGAAGGGGGCAGCCATCGCTTTCCACGCTTTGTTGACGAAGCAACAGGCGAGAAGGTCTCTCTGCGTTCGCTTGTTCTGCTGCCCGGACTCCTCATTGTGCGCGATCGTCGGGGTGGCATCAAGATGCGCAAAAATGCTGGCGAGCACTTCCGGCGGAAGATGCGGCGATTGCTTCCTGTTTGGATCTGCTGTCTGTCCCGTCTCCGCCTGAGGTTGTCCCTCTATTGTTCGCTGTCCCAACGGATGGGATCTGCTCTGATTGAACTCAAACGGAATACTCCAATCGGCTACGCCCGACTCCCTGTCATCGTCCAGATATCCCCACATCTCCTCGTACATCTGCAGGACGCATAGTGCGTTGTCGATGTCGGATCGCGGAACATGCCGACCTGATTTTATCTGTGATAAGATGCCGTGGCAAAGGCCAACGGCTCGACGCGCACAACGTCTTTCCACGTTCATGCCGTCCATTACACCTTAAGACATACTAGAGGATGAGATTGACATTGGAGTAACGTTGCGAGGTGCGTTTGTCCGCTCCTTGGAGGGGCACAGAAGTGGTTCCCGATTTGAGATTGCCGCTTGTTTCGAAGGAGTGGGTTTTGAAACGATGGGAAACTGAAGTAACGCACGGCGGCGAAAGCTTATAAGTCTTCAGAAGTATCGAGCGTCGTAGAGGCAAGGAAGCTGTAGTGCGTTTGGTGTCGATTCTGATGGGTAGGATGACTAGCGGTTTGACATTGGTTTGTTCCGTTCAAACTGGAGAGGGCGGAGATCTGAGTGTCTTTCTCGGGCAAGGCTGACGCTCAATAGCCTCCAGCTTATATATGGTACATAGCATACAAGGCCTCTTCCTGAATTCCTTTGCGAGGATATGAGAAAGCGTAAATCGCACATACAGTAGGCTGCCAGATATCAGCCTCCCTGTGCAACCCCAGAAGTCACCGGCCAGCTGTCAGTCCTGCCCTGGGCTAGCCGTCGTGCTGAAAGGATTTGCATGGGGGTCGGCAACTTGAGCCGGTGGCTATGCTCGGAATGATGTGTCCTTGGGGCGTCGTAACCTGATATCTGGCAGCCTACTGTACGGTGCGAAGACGGCAAGTTTCCATCCGTTTCCTTGCCGCGTGCGTTCTACGCGCGGAGGACCCTTGAACTTCTGTCGTTGCAATGACGAAGCCCGCTGTCTCCCAGCCTTTGCAAATGTCTCCCCTGTGCCTCTGAAGGGATTTTCGCCGGTACTCAGATCGCATTATCCGTTTACACATAATGCCCCCATGAGAATCATGAGATCCTAACTCTTCGTGTATTGAAATCCCTCAAGGATATGCTTATTGGGAGCGGGCATGGGGGCAGAGGGGGGGGGGTGCCGGTGCGTGCTCATGCAGCATCGGGGAATAGAAGGTAAAAGAAGCGTATTCAGCTGATTGGAGCCGTTGGTTCTCTCAAGCGTTTCTCAATGGTCTCCATCAAATTTCAACTGCTGCAAATTCGACATGAGGATCGTCCCTGCTCGGAGCAGGAGCTCACTGGGAGACGGGAGACAGGATCATCACGATTCACGGGCGGTCCTGAAATGGATGATGTCACTGCGGATCTTCACGAACATCAGCCCGTCGTTCAATGATTCAAAAGCCAATGGCGCACCGATTTCCGTCGGTTTATATGCACCAAACCGCAATGCGACTAGCGATATTAGGAACGTAGTAAAATACAAAAGGGGGCAAGGCAATTACAGATGCAAGTACTGGGAAAGTAGCAACTCTAAATAAAGTAAAAGAAAAGCACGCCAAAATGAAGGTGGGAGAGACGGGAAAGGACAGAAAAAAACTGCGTCCAAAATGGAACGGTGGGGAATAATGGGGGGGTTGGTAGAAGACGCCATAGATGCGGGGCGGAAGGGGAGATACGCGGGAATGTCATCTCTCTATAACTCGCCCTTCAACACGCCGTCAATGCATCGGTGAATCCATTCCTTCTTTGCACTCAAATCAACTCCAAAGAACTTGCTCAGATCCTCCCTCACACTCTTCTTGGTGACCGTCATCAGATCGGCCGTGGAGAGAATGTGCCGCACTTGGCGAAGGATCTCGTCGTCCGAGGGAAGCGCCCGAGGGGCAGAGTCTGAGGACGCGCTGTATGCAGATCGCTGCGAGCTCTTGCGCGCCAGCGGTTGCGCGGCGCCCGGTGGTGGAACGGGTGGCAGGCCGGAGAAGTCGGGTTGTGCGCCCGGGTGGCCAGAGTAATGTGTTCCCCAGCTCATCCGGTTGGTGTAAGCGTCAATGCTAGGTGCTCCAGGGTATGGCGGTGCTGGGTAAGGCGCACCACCGTATTGTGAACCTCCATAGACTGACCCAGGACCTCCTCCGTACACGGATCCACCGTAAACGGAAGCACCGCCTCCGTACACTGACCCGCTGTACGCAGAAGCGGCGTGCCCCTTGGATCGCCCAGACGAGCCGCCGGCGGAGCCAGAGTGGTACGAGGAGCGTCGAGAGCGAGTATCCGCCTCTAATTCCAGACGTTCAGGTTCAAAGTCGGCCCATTTGCGAAGAGGGATGCTTTTCGGGTCAAAGTCTTCTTCAGCGACCGGCTTCTCCACGACCTTGCCTCCTTCCTCAACTTGTCTGGTGTTACCCCACGAGAAGTCGTCAAAGTGCCAGAAGGAGTACAAGGGAATGAATGCACCAAAGATCGGCATGGCGAGGATGTACTAGATACGCATGGGAACTCAGTTAGTAAGGTAATTCTACGAGATACGACAGAGCGAACAGAAGCATTGCAAACTTACAATTATCATCCATCCAATGTGTTGCCACTCCCTCTTCAGAAGGAAGATAATCATCTGGAAACCGTAAAGGGCTCCCAACATGATAATACTGATCAACGGGAACTGGCTGTCATGCTGCGTAGCGACGGACCATACAAGGTAGACGATGTAACCCAGAGCGGCAGGCTGCACGAATGTCGCAAAAAGATCGAGAAACACAACGAAGCGCATAGAGAAACAGCAGAAGCCGCACATCTCAGGTAACCACAACAACTCGAGCAAGTTGTGGACAGTGGAGTTGATCCATCGACGACGTTGCGAGAGAAGCACGGACCAGCGGTCGGGAGCGTTGGTTTTACACTTGGCGTCACCGGTAAAGCTCGTCTTCATGTTAGGGAAATGTTTGAGCATCAATGTAGTGAGGTATCGATCCTCTCCGAGATGGAGCAAGTTCTTCAAGTGCAACGTGTCGACAACATTCTCCGAGTAATCCTTGATGACGGTCGGGGAGATCAAAAGCGGGATGTTCTTGACCGGCGTACGAACACGGTACATACTGAAACAACCGGGCAAACAGGTAACACTTCCGAAGAGAGATTCGAAGGCTTTTGCCATGTTGTGGGAGATGAAGTATTCATAGACTTGGATCATCGATACCCATGAGTCTCGTTCGTTCGAGATTTGCGTTTCACCGCAAATACCGGCGATCTTGGAGTCACGGGCCATGTTCGAAACGAGACGGTTGAGCGAGTCCTTGTAAACCTCAGTGTCGGCATCCACCATGAAGATGTACTCGTAGAAGGAGGGGTCGACCCCGATGACGTTCTTCATTTGATGGTAGAGTTCGAGTTCGAGCGGGTTCATGGCTTGGTTGAAGTGGACACGGGAGAGGAAACGCATCAAAAGCAACTGCGAGTCGCGCTTTCCACGGTTTCCAGGGCGCTGCCTTTCGGTGGGCTTTCCAACCTTGACGACGACAATGTAGGGAACGACTTTCCCTTGGATTTCGTAGAGTCCAGAGTAGATCTTGCCCATGTTGAGCTGTTTGTTTCCGTCACCCAGGCTTTGGAAGCTCAGGGATTCAGGTTCAACATTGGGATCGACTCCGAGAATGTCGAGAACGATGCGAGGCGTGGGGCGGTCGTTTCCGGAACCGACAATGTTACCATCGCAAATGACGAAGAGCAGCTTGTGCTTGTCATCGTAATCTAAGGTGGCCAAAGACTCCAAAGTACGCAACAGAGAAGCTTCACCCTAGAAAAGCGAACATGTCAATGAAAGGTTCCTGCCAGGCGATCAGCTTTCAAACATTATGCTCATCAACGTACCTCTGTGTAACAAGGGACTTGGCAAATGATGAACTTGTCGTGCTCTTCGGGGTTCCTCTTGGTGGTGAACTGAAGTGCCGCCAAGAACTTGAATCCAACCACAGCGACGATAATGATAGACGCGACCAACATGACGTAGTTGGGAACTTGACATTGCAGGTCGTTACGGTGATCCACTTGACCAACATAGAAAAGATTATCCATGCAGTTCTTGATACTGGCGAAATCCTGGGGGAAGGATGTACGAAGCTTCTCAAAGTCCGCGGTACTGTCTCCAGGGTTGTTGCTGGCGCGGTTCAAGATCTTGTTCGACACGTAGTTGTCGGCACCTCCGGTGCGGGTGTTGTCGGTCTCCAGGAAAGAGGGGCCGCCCGCACGTTGTTGCTTGTACAATGAGTTGGGACCTTCAATTGGGGTAACATCGTAGACCCTGTCGTACGCGATCAAGTACCGATTTGACGGGGCGGTTGCGAAGGATTCAGGACCCCAAACGACGGTTCCTTTGCGTGATGAGGGGTCAACTTTGGCGGTGCTGTGGGGGGACCAGCTCAAGGGAGGTAGTTCAACAAACTCCTGGAACGTCGTTGGTTTAGTGAAACCAGGGCAAACACTTGCAAAGTTGGAGCCTGTAGCATCGAGCTTTGGGAACAGCTGGCGGATATCGTGCCCAAGAATGTTGTCTTTCCACAGGGCCTGGTTCGTGGGGTGGTTGGGCTCGTCGTTGATGAGAGATGAGGCAACGGTATAGTAAGACCCGTACAAGTGAACCATGCCGGTACCATCGAGGCCGACTTTGCTTGAGACTTGACCCGGGGATAACTCTGCTTTCTTCGGGCAGATGAAGTAGCCCATGCCGATGATGAAGAAAAGAATGGCGCAGTTCATCAAGAAGATGATGAAGCAAAGCGCCACCTTTTCTCTCCATGCCATCTGTCGATCCTTCTGCTTCATGCCGAATATCCAAAGGCAGAAGGGAGGAATGAGACCGGTGGTCATCCATGTGCAGCATAACCACCGACAGCGAGTTCCGGTCATTTTCTTCTTCGGTTTCTTCGCCGCCTTGACGGGAACCTCGTTGACGACGACGCCATCCTTTGCCAGGGGACTGAAAGACTTTTCGCTACCCCCATAGCCTCCTTCCAAATCTACACCATTCTTGATGAGCATGATCTGCGAGCTACTCTTTCGTGGTTCGCGCTCGAACTCCATCTCAGACTCGTAATGACTGATATTATCGTCCATGCTGTGTTCTGACCGGGCGTAGACGGAGGCATCGTAGGAATCCTTCGCGTCTACTTCCTGCGCTTCCTGAGCCGCCAATTGCAGCTCCAGAGCTTTCCACGCGGCCTCGGAGAGAAACACGCGGGACGACCCGACGACAGCATCCTTTTCCTTCCAGTCCTTGGCAAGCAGGATCCCGTGAACCTTTTGCCTGTTGTCCCCTCCCGATGGGCTGACAATCACTGCGTAGCGTTTCAGGAACTCTGCGTGTGTCATAGCGAAGGTGTACACCACCGCGGTGCAGGTAGTGAGGGCCAAGATATCATAATATTGCACTTGTCGTCGCACAGCTTCTTGGTCGACGTTCCTGCTCGAGATGTCATCGTTGATCCTGAGGTGATAGATCACCCAGGATTGCGCATCGCTCAGGGTAGGGAGCAGCTCCCCCAACGCATGGCGGAACTGATAACCGACGGTGTCACTAGGATCGCTTGAGCTTTCCTCTTCCACGTCCTGTCCCTTCTTGTTGCGACGGTGCTTAACGGATGGGTTACGACCCTTGCTGGACGCAGAGACCGCCTTGCCGTCACGCTTGCTGGCATGCGTGGCGATCAAGCGGTCCGAGAACATGGCACGAAGGAACATATTGGCAGTTCCAGCCTGCTCGGGACTACCGCGAACGAGTGTGACGAAGTCAGATTGAAGAATGTCCGAGTCACTGTCCGAGAATCCTCGAGTGTCGTACTCGACCGCTCCAGCGTAATGGCGGATTCCAAACGAATGCTTGGGCTTCTTGGCCGCGACGAAAGCGGTGTTGTCGGTCTGCCCATGAGCACCGTATAGCTTTTCGTTGATCTTCGAGTCCTTCGTACCCCTAGCTGCCTCTTGATCGATAATTTGGAGGACACCAGTCTTCGGGCCAGACAAGACGGCGAGAGTCTCCCGGTTACTTGTGAAATCACTCTGACTGAACGCGAGACCTTCGGCAGTGAACGCGATGCGAGGGAGATCGAAGAGCTGTTCGTTGATGAGACTATGCAGCTTCTCGTTTTCGTAGTTGACAAGGAGACGGTGGAATCCGTTCCCAGTAATATCCCGGCCCGCAAAACCAGGAGCGTCAAGGACGGCAAGGAAAGTGGACCACGCAGACTCTTCCTGACAGAGCTTGTTGTTAAGTTGCTCAATAATCCAACTGAAGGCGACAGCGTACAAGGAGCGTGCGAAACTGTCACGTTGCTTCTCAGCTCCGTCGGCATTCAGAAAAATGGACGTAATGTCGCGGCCGACCCTCTTTGTGCGGTATGTGAGGACAGCTTCGATTGCGGCGGGGTGGAGACCAAGCAGGCTTGCAACGAGCTCAAGCTGTGCATAGTTGCGCACTGAGCACGACTCCTGCGTGTTGTTGGGGTCATCATGGAAAGTGATATTTCCCAAGTGAAGGATCGCAGCTAAGAGTTGCCAGAGCTGGGCTTGTTGTCTGCGTCCGATTCCGAGGGACTTCAGGTTATCCCTTAGCTCGTCCAATGCTACCAGGCTGTCAGCTGTAGCCACTCGAACGGTCGACTGGTTGAGGTAGTGGAAGTGAGCAGGGTCCGACAGGTGCAACTGCATCTTCTCGTCAGGTGTAGCACCGGCCAACAGATAGTAGAAGATGTGGAAGCTTCGTCCACCTATAAGATCGACAAAACGTGTGTCAATGACCATGTCCAGACGCCAAACGATTCCGACTCGCCGCGACTTACCATCTTCGGCTCCTGTAACTCGCGACTTCTCGAGCAAATAGTCGACAAGCTTCAGGCCAACCATCTTACCCCTCTTATCGAATTGGTATTCGGCATAGCGCGTGTAGCATGAAGCATCGGTATTGAAGGGCGTCTGCGCATTTCCGAACGCGGATAAGACAGAGTCGACCTTGAGAACTGCTGAATGCACTTTGCTCTTCTTCAAAGAGGTCTTGCTGAGATCGCACAGGTGTCGCGTGATGAACCTGTGAGATTGTGATTTTCCTGAACCACTCTCTCCACTGGAAAAATGGGCGGTATGAGTGGGACAGTTCTGTACCAAAGCGGTGGGTTGTACATGATGCTCACCTCAGAATGACACATTGATCTTGCTGACTGCGAACCATGTGACGGTACGCAGAGCTTGCAATGTGGAAGACATGGGGAGGGTGGGAAACAGTCCCAGGACTCTGCTTGTATGCATCGGCATACTCCTTACTCAGCGCGTCCGAACCGTTTCTCGACGACGACAGTGCAAGCAGGCACCGAGCGCCGACCCGAGTGTAATGCTCCCCATTGCTCAGACGAGCCACGAGATTCCGCGTGACTTGCTCTACTGTGAAAGGGGTAGCCGGGAGCGATAGGTCTTCGCAACCTTCCGAGTTTGCGGTGGCGGCTTGGGTGGCCGTGGCACTGAACGGGTTCGCACCACTACGACCAGGTCGAACCATACTTTATGGAGCTGTACAGTTGAAAAGAACAAATGAACATCGTGAGTGACGTTTTGTTCCACATCGCAGCCAGCTGTCCAAACCACATACCTTTACTGGCGAGTAATTGTGCTATGCTGGTGAAATCGCTTGAAGCTGCTATCGGGCGCCCGAGCGTATATACACCGATTTTACCCTGACCACAATCAAGTCTGAGCTGCTGAGAGTGACGGAGTGGTGGACGGAGCGGTGGTGGGAAGTTTTTTCCGACCAGCAAAGAGCGAGTGTTCCCTCTTGCCCTCCTTACTCGTCCCCTGGTCCTTCTATGTGATACGTTCTATATACACGCACCTACCAGAAAAGTCTCTGTGGATGCAGGTTCTGAAAGATTTGAACAGATGTTCCCACGGCCTTTCTTTGAGGGGAGGGGTTGGGAAAAGACAGGCAGCCGGGGCTTCCACAGGTCGTTGTTTCACCTTTCTTTGTTCCCTCATCAAATCATCATCAGATCGCAGCAGCCACTCCCTCCATTACTGAAGGGCAACGCGCAAACAGGCGCCAAAAAAGAAAGTTCAGGAATAGAAACAACCGAAGCCTTTACCGCCTCCCCGGTCACGGACCCCCATCACCCCGTGCTCCCCCGCGCATCGGTGGTGTTTCAACTTTCTCGCGTCGGTCGTTGGGCCGCACCGTGAACAGCGCCTCAAACATGCGCCGCTCATAACGACGAATCGGCAGGCATCAGCATCACTTCACAATCTGAAAGCATCCTTCACGATACGTACTCCACGAGTCTCCAGAGTTTAGGTCAACTCAAGAGACCATTGGAGATCTCGCAAAACGAAGTTGAAGGAAACGCATCAGAAAGTCGTGCATGGGGAGGAAGCCGATTCTGACGCCAATGTTCCTGACAAAGAGGATGGAGAAACCGAAGGCGCCGACGAGGAGGAAAACGAAGACGAAGAGGAATCCGTTTTATCGACCAATGAGCAGTAGCATAATCGTTCGGTTTAACTGGGAAGTCGAACCAGGTGTATTGGAAATGTATACGACCGTTCGCTGTACCCGCCTTCCACTCTCTCAACTGAATTCGAGCCCACTAAGGTTCTTTTCGAAAGGACATCAATGATGAGCTCTGGACATTCCAAGATGTCTACCAAAAGAGTGCTCGGAACTCCAACATCACCAGGTGTTTGCGCACTAATGTGTCACTCCCGCGGACTGCGTCTCATTTGCAACTACCGTATAACTGTGTCTAACTATGCATCATCTCCGTCGTCGGCGCCGCCCTCTCCGTCCTCCCCATCATCGCCGAGAATTGGCCGAAAACCCTTCCAATTTAGTGAAAAATCCACATCTACTCGTCTATAAACAGCTAAGAACTTGTCGCCTTGATTCCTTTCCACCTTCTTCCCCTCTTCCGTCTCCTGCATAACGCACGGTACGCATGGGTCGTCCTTCAGCTCTTCGTCACTCATTCGCACAAACAAAGGATGCTCATCCAAATGCTTGACCATCCACTCGTGCAAATCGCGCACGTCGGTGACAGTATACAGAATGCCTCCAACACGAAGCATGTAGGCGTACTCTGCCAAGAGCGTCGATGTCACAATGCGAGCCTTGTGCTTGCGCTTCTTGAAGTGAGGGTCAGGGAACAAGAAGAACATCTTGGAGAGTTGGCCCTTCCTGAAGAAATTGGGGCTGAACTTCATGGCGTTCATCCGGATAACGGAGATATTTTGATAGGATCCGGACGCATCTATCGCCTTCTCTTTGTTCTGTTCGCGCAGAGCTTCGATGCGTTTGTGAACGTAGTCCTCGACCTTGACACGAATTTCCATGCCCAGCATGAGTGTTGACGGAAACAGGGGTGAGAGCGAGGTCAAAAGTCCTCCATAACCGCATCCTATACAGCATAAACTCGTGTCAACCGTAGCTCGATCCCATTCATCGTTCTCATGGGGAGCATGCTCCGCACCTATATCAGCAAACTCGACGAACTTTTCCTCCTGTCCAGCTTTGGTTGGGAACCAGGCAGGGTAGTGTTTTGACCAGTCATAGTCTTCCGGGCGTATGGAGCTAAAACAAGACCGTAGGGGGTAAGCAGCGGTGAGATGGAAGTTGCTGGACGAAAGCACAGCTAGAGTACGTACTACACCAGTTGGTGGTCGGAAAAGGGGTTTGCATGCGCGCTGTTGGAACAAAAAGACACATAAGTTTTGAGTCCTGAACAACGACCGAGGGGAATCCCTGAGTTCTTACCGTTGGCGAAAGTAGCGCTTCTGGGGCAGCTTGGTGGTGTCTTCTGCCATAGCTTCTGGGGCTCCCACTTCGGTGGCCATGGCTACGTACTAAAAGTCGTATATACTGTAATTTACGGAACGAGAGGAAGTTCACATTTCAACGAGTTCCAACTTCCAACGCGCGGGAGCTCTGCAAAAGTTCTCGGTCATTTCTTCCCCACATCCAACAGCAAGTCACCCGCCAATACACGACGACGTACGCCGTTGCAGAGCGTGAAGGCACATAAGACCCTTGCGGCTCCCCTCTTTTCACTCCAACTGATCACCAACCCTTGTGGGTGGAATCGCACGAAAGACAATCACCATGGCAGCAACAGTCGCGGGGACAGGGATGGAGGGCGTTGCGGGGAATGGAGGTGCACCGGGCGGTCCAGCGCTGATCTACCCCCCGCCAGAAATTAAGAGTATGTGTCGGCTACAAGTCTTTGACCTCGTTACAATGCATCTTAACTTCCCTGGCCGCTTTCCAGATATCGTCGACAAGACGGCCGTTTTCGTAGCCCGAATGGGTCCTTCCTTTGAAGAGCGCATGCGAGAGAGGGAGAGATTCAACCCAAAGTTCTGCTTCTTAAATCCAACGGATCCCTACCGTGCGTACTATGACTTCAAGATTGCGGAAGCTAGGGAAGGAACTGGTACGTGGGAGCAAAATATTGCCTTTATCAATTCACAGACTTTGAATCTGACTACCTTTACATAGGTGCACCAGAGCAGGGGCCGGAGGATGGGAAAGTAGAGCCGGCTGCGGAGGCAGTTCCTGAGCCGGTAGTAAAGCCACCAGAGCCAGCGTCATACGAATTCATGGCAGACGTGCCTTCGATGTCAGCACAGGATCTGGATGTAGTGAAACTCACAGCACAGCTGGTGGCACGGAACGGACGGGACTTCATGATAGCATTGATGAAACGAGAAATGCGGAATTACCAGTTCGACTTCCTGCGGACCAACCACAGCTTGTTTCCGTTTTTCACAAAGTTGGTGGAGCAATATACCAAGGTTCTGATGCCACCAGCAGCGCTGAATGAACGATTACGGGAGAACGTGGAAAACAAGTTTGCGCTGCTGGAGCGGATCAATGAGCGCGTGACATTTAGGCTGTATCAGGAGGAAGAGAGGAAGAAGGCGGAAGAGGAAGCAGACGAAGAGCGAGGTAATATTCCAGTCAGTTCACTCTGATTTACTGGCCGTCACGTTACTTACCATGATTCTGTACCTCTATCAGTTGCATATGCGTCGATAGACTGGCACGACTTTGTCATCGTCGACACTGTTGAGTTCGTAGAGGCGGATGAGCGGATGGCCCTGGCACCACCGCTGAACCTGGCGGATCTGGAACGCATGTCTTTGACGCAGAAGAAAGCAGCGCTTGCATTCGAATTTGAAGATCTTCCACAAGTCACGGAAGATGCTGATGGCGCCGAAATGGAGGTGGAGGTATGTCTCAACGAGTGCTAAGAGGCAGTTAGGCAAGCACTTACGATTCACCGCTTTACCTTCCAGATGGACGAAGATATGGATATGGACGAAGACTAGACTAACCTATGCCGCCGACGTACTCAGCACACAGCAACAAGATTTTCTCTTCTTGGCTCGACATCGCCACTTCCGCCCCGACATACCGGCGTTTGGCTTATCCGAAACTCGTGGACTCTGATGAAAGCAACAGCAGCTGCTACGATCGCAGTGGTCACTTGTAGCTTACATAGATTACATATACGCTGAGCTTTCCGTCAAGGCGGTCTCCGAAGGAATGAAGATACACGGACGTAGCCTGCAACATGGAATCGTTTGATTGTTTGCATTAGCTGTACAGTGTGTGTAAGAATGTACATATCGGAGGGTATCAGATTATCGCCCTGACAAGGGCGGGGCTGTCTGCACTGCTAGGCATCGCTTCAGATGAACAAGCCTGTCTTCGCCGCGAAATAGATTCATATGCAATGTGTTCCTTCGAGGAGCGCATTCCCACAAATGTGTTCTGGTTCCACATGGCTTCCGAGCGGCATTGACCGCCATCCGAAGTGCACTCTTCTACTCGTGATTCGTGACGGCTCGCTATTACGTGCGCTCTGATCCATTTCACCACGGGGCGCAAGCGAAGGGATTGCGAGTGTAAAGAGGCACCGGTTGAGCTGTTGCACCGCCTTACTGTTCGGACAGTCCTCGCTGACGTACTAAGTACGGCCTTGTGAGCTCAGCGGCGCGCTTCGTACGATTGTTGCGAGTTTGGAAGCACGTGACGACGCTTCACAAGGCACGATCGACATCGCTCCCGCATTGCATGGAACTCCATGGGTAACCCAATGCCAGCTGATTGTCACGACGGCACAATTGTGTAGTGGTGGGTATATGCCAACTCGGAAAGCAGTACAACACCCGCGCCGAGGAAAGACATAAGGGCAAAATTCCATCCCACGCGTTTGCAGGTCGTTGGCCGCGCTGGAATTCGACGAAGTGGGATGACGATATGCATGGCCTCTGTCTGCGTCCATTCATCGGACTGTCTCACTACCCCTGTTCCTCCGCTCGTCTGCGTCGACACCTCGGTCTGATTCTCTATACTCTGTCCTCGTAACCTTTCCAGATTCGCTTTCGCGGCCCGGAGCCGCTCCTCTTTAATCGCCAGTGCTGCCGCTTCCGCCTTTCGCTGCTCCGCGACTGCGTTCAACTTCCGTTTCCAGGCCAAAGCCTCGGCGCGATATTTCTTTTCCAAGATGGCCACCTCCTCGCTCGTCGCCCGTGCCCCAGTGCCCTCTTCGCCGCTCGTCGCCCGTTCACCCGTTCCCTCGTTACCGCTGGTCGCCCGTGGCCCAGTGCCCTCTTCCTTCGGAGCTTCGCGGACATTGCTCAGAGTTTGACGAAGCTCTTTTATCTCCGCTTCCAAGCCTTCAATGACTTCATCTTTCTCTGCTATTACTGCTGCTTGAGCCGCCCGTTTCTGGGAGAGATCGCCTAGTGACTGCTTCCACGCTAAAGCCCCGTCGCGGAGCCTCTTCTCCAGATTCGCTTTCTCTGTCATCTCATTTGCCAAGCGCTGCCCGAGATTATCTTCGCTCCCCATGTTTTCGCGAAGGTTGTTGACATGCGAATGGAGCTTTCGGAGCTCCTCTCCCATTGACCGAAGCTCCTTCTCTTTGTTTGCTAGAGCGGCTTCTTGCGCTGCCCGCTGTTCTGATAGGGTCTCCACTAGGCGCTTCATTGCCAAGATGTCCTTACGTGAAGTTGCCTCTACGGCTTCTTTCTCCGCGCGATACTTGGCCGTCTCCTCGCTCAGATCTTGACGAAGCTTTTGGTTCTCCTCTTCAAGGCTCAAGATCTCTTTTTCTTTCTTCGCCAGCGCGGCGGTCTGCATGGCACGATGCTTCTCCTCTAAAGCTCGCATATCCCCTTTCCGCCGTTCCATGAAGAAGGCCTCCCTCTCTTCCGCTTGAGTGAGGTCTTTCAACAGGTTTTCCGTCTGCACATCCTTCTCCATTCGTAGCTTCTCATTTTCCAACACAAGATCCTCTATGCGCCGCAGCGCCTCCTCGTGTCGCATCTCTTGCTCTTGGGATTGTGTTTGTAGAAGGGCGGCTTCATATTTCGCCGTTTCGCACTCTGCCTTGACCTATGGGATGACGCGCGGAAAGTGCTTAGAGGTCATCACAGCAGATGTGAGACACGTAGAGGGCTGTTACCCGAGCAATGGTCGTTTGGTATACTTCTATGTCAGCCCGTATCAGTTCGACGTCTTGCTGATACGCACGTCTTCCTGGCTTATGATACGCATCATGATACTCTTGGAGCTCGCGTTCAAACTCTACAGCAATGTAAATTCAGTGATTGGAAGCCTTATCTCAAGAGGAACGATGGCATCCCACCTTCGTTCTTCTCCGTTGCACGACCAAGTTCGGCATCTTCATCATCGTAAGTATCAGACTAGAATCATTACTTTAGCTGATGAACATACTCATTGATCCCTGGGCGGTCAAGGTCAAACGAAGAACCTACCCACTCCCTTTCGGATAAGGATCCTTCTGCATCGGATTCGTCCCCAGTGGAGTAGGTCTCGATGGGATCGCCGTCCACCTGATGTTTTTCCCCAGATCCCGAGCTGATGTTCGCCAGAGCCGCCGCGTTCCCATCTTCTCCACCACTTTGGTACACCTCGACTTGATCATTACCATCTAATTCTTCATTTTCAGCGTCGAATCCTGAGTCATTGTATTTATCGTCTTGAAAATCGTTTCCCATTTCGTTGGCGGCAGTATGATAATCCAGCACGCGATTGATCTCCTCGAGTCTTGACCCCATCGAATTACTCGAACTTCTTAATCTGCTCTGAGGACGCGGAACGCGTTTAGACCGCTACGTATGTAATCAAGGGCATGTGAGAGCTTACCATCGCTTCTCTGGCTGGAAATGACGCACGGCGCAACGTGGGAAGTTTCTTGAGTCAATGTCTTATGTTATATGACAACCACGAGGCGTATCAGAAAGCTGGTGCAGGGCTACAAAGAAGGACGACGGGTCGTTGATCGGGGGGGTCCTGACGTCAACCAAGCAGAGTTTGCGGCCTTCTGTTGCTGGTTTCGGAGTTCCAAGACGTCGCCTGACTTTGGAGAGGCGTCGCTGTCTTCATTCCAACGGCGAGTTCCGAATTCTGGTGGCACGTTTCTGCAGCGGTGGAAGCAGAAGATGGTGGACGTTACCTCGCTTGATACGCGTCAAAGCCATGCACAGCTCGACTATTGCATTTTCGACGAGCACTATCTCAAGAGAAACCGGGCCTACTTATACTGTACAGTAGTATACAGTATATACGTAGATAGAGAGTAATACCAACTAAACGGCACGTTAGGGCTTACAAGTTCTCACAGCTCGTCGGGGTAGGCCCGGAATGACGGCACACGTGGCTTTTACAGCGCAGTTTCGACTTCGACCCCGACTCGGCGCCGGTGCCACAGTGACAGCGCTGAGCGTAGGGGTGCGCGCACCAGTTTGACGGACATACCAGCCAGATCTAAATTCGGCGTGCACTATATCCATCATATGAACTGATTCGATCGAGATTCTACCTTAACGTTAATATGGGCAAGCCCGTCCGCCAAAAAAAAAAACGTTGCCGAAGGAATTGCCCACTGCAGCGGACCACCTGGCGGGGAGAACTGATCTCCAAAGTCAGTCCACAAGGGCCACAACGGTAGCCTTGTGGACGGATCAAATGGACAATCATGATGGTTGGTTTGAGTGGAATGTATAGATGACGGCGGGTATAGCCGACAGCCATATCATTGTTCGCCGTCACTCTGCTCCATGTGCTGCAGCCTCTGCAGCCCGGCTTCTCAAATGTTTTAAGACTCTCGCGTCGCTCTTTCCCTTCCTGCTGCTAGCTGTCCCAAACACTTCCATCGCTTTTCGCTGCAGGCCCCTTCCGATACCCAATTCTTCACATTTGCAGCGCTGTCGAATAGCCATGATCCAAATTCAATATCGATTTCCCTCGTCCTCAACGTACAGGAAACCCGCCGCTCTTCACCTTCCAAATTACCATTACGGAGTCGACTGGATTGACGACAAGCTGCTGGACATTAACAAGCCGCTCTTGGTAACTCTAAACCCTCTCCAACAACACCTCCAAGAAGCACCGGAAGGAAATTTACTAGGAGACATAACAAGTTCCAATGACAGGTTCGCAAATCCGTGAAGCGACATATCCGCCGTTCATGCAGTTGCTCACATATCGATTCATATCATGGGCCACATCGCAGTGATTTTAGCTTCGACGAGTTTACGTCAATAGATAGCAGCCCTAGCATCAGCACTAGCAGCAACAGCAGCAGTTGCGGAGAGTGCTCGACGTGCGGCGATGCGGACGACGAACAATCGCGTGCTGACACCACATCGGCGAGACACCAAGACTCGGATCTCTCGGATGCTGCCAGCCAGTCTGACGACGAAGACAGTGACGGCGAGTTGTCTGATGGAGACGACACGCGTTGGAGCATGCAGACTCCTCCTGAAGCTCTACGGCAATGTACCATCCAGGAGACCATCCGACCGACAATGTATGAAGAGTTCACCAAGAGCGGCTTGGACTGGTGCCGATACTGTGGTGTCACCAAAGGCGGCCAGACCACCGCGAGCTTCCGCCCGGGGCCCTGGGGCAAGCGAACTCTTTGCAAGTATGTTGTAGTATCGGCCGCCCAATGACCAGGATCCGCGATTCTCACAGTTGCGGTGTCGGTTTCACTAGCAAGCACGGATGTGACTATAAAGGATACGGCTATGCAGATAAGCAAAGCCGTCTGGACCTCAGCCGCTTCACCCGCGAATCAGCAAAAGATCGTATTCGACCGATTCTTCAAGATTTCTGTGCCACGTGCTTTCAGAAGGATGTGCCACACGCTTCTTCGTTGATTCAATGCAATGGCTGCCCTAGGGCTTTTCACCCGACTTGCTACAGCGGGGCTATACGCAACAGCGGTACGTTTTGAGTGATTGCAAAGCTGGAATGTTTTGGATGTCTCATAACACCTTTGGGAACAGACGATGGTCGGTGGTACTGTGACCCACAATGCGAGAGTAACCGTAGGCTTGCACGAGTCGGTAAGATTCCGATACACATCGAGTCTAACCATACTCCTTGACATTGACGCCATCCTTCTTCATAGTTCTCGACCTGCCAAAGCGCCGACTTCCGTTCATGACGGCGGGAATCTCAGAGCGAGGACTCGCCCAATCCGAAGGCTTGCCGTCGGAGTGGCGTGCATCAGATAGCAGCAAGAGTACTCCTTCGAAGCGGCGTCATTCATCCGGCCATGGAAGCGCCAAAGATGCTTTGCCGAAAAAGCGGCGAGACTCTGGTTGCTTGGATGTCAAAGGGGCGCAGGAACGAAATCATCCTTACTAGCTGGATAGTTTTGCGTCTGTCTCTTCGCGTGGCTCGCATATCGTGAAGATCTGTAGTGATTCACGGTAGGTGATAAATTCATCATTGCGGAGCATCCAGAAAATCATCTACATTTGGATACTGCACGACACGAATAAGCATGAAACTACCGATTAAGCTAGGCATAAGTATCTACCTTATAGGAGAACTCATCCGGCACCCTACACGTAGGGAGACGTAGACATTTGAATAAATGGCCTAAACATTTCGGGATTGTGATACTCCTGTGTACATATCACCGAGTCGGGCTGTAGGCATTCGCCTCTCCGATTGACAGTATTTTGACAGCGCCGAAATGGAGCACGTGAGCGAATGGCTGATAATCCCATTTATAAGAGTTTAAGTGCGCTTCTTCCCTCCGGATCCACACGATCAGGACGCGTTCAAAGCAATCTTGGCACGCGCTCGGTTTCACATCTCCCGGTCCGACGCCTGCGTGTGATGGGGAATAAAATGGACATGTGCAGCTTCATGGATAATGCATCTCCGCAGGATCAACGAGACGACGTTACGAATTCTTGCAGGATCCATCTCTTGTGCACTATGGAGGTAGTGGTGAACACGTTCTTTGGCGGAATACGTGGAGAGCAGATTACATGCAGGAAACGCATGCCGTCTTGTACATACGGTCTCTCCCATCACGACCCGATGGATAACGTGCCTGGATCTGGATCTGGAGGTCCTCTCAAGAGATGCTGTCCCGGAATTTGCCGCAGTAATATATAACCTCAGCGGTGCCGAGTCTGCCGACTGCGGAGACGATGCGGCGGTTGGTTGTGCTTGTACTCGGTGGGAGCGACGGTTTCACAAACGCGAGATGCCGCTTGTCCATATTTTCTGGGCAGTGACGTGATCAAGATTGTATACATGGGAGGGAGTTCGGCCGTATCGCGGGGATTTCGCAGCTTTCAAATTCATGAGCTGTCAGCTCTCTCCTCCCCGGCCTTACCCACCCGTTTCCTCCACCTGCCTCAGACTCAAAACTCAAATCGTTCGTCCACCACAGGCCGAAAACGAGGTCAGCATCTCGAAAAGGCTTCCTACGTTTGGCAGGCTTCCCCGCAATTCTGAGTATACGCATACGCTACTTGTGAAGGGCGCCTCCAGTGCGCGTCAACCAGCAAACTTATACCACCTCCGAAAGAAGGAGGTACTACAGCCAACTACCACAGTCTAAGAAGATGCTTCATATGGGTGGCGCCCCAGAGGAAGGGGACCATCAACCTCCTGCCACCTTCGACGGCAGTCTCGCAGACGCCGCCGGTCGGAAAACAGGAACCGTGAAATTCTTTAACAGTCAGAAAGGTTAGCCACCAGTGAAAACCTCGCGGTTTCAGATAGAAATCCTTATTTTCTTGCTATGTACATGTAGGTTATGGCTTCATTGTACCAGAAATGGGAGGAGAGCCGGAAGGTAAGCTGTCAGGAACAATGGACGACCCGTTTATCCTTCTCCTCCAACTGATGTGTCGTTATCAGTATTTGTTCATCACACCGCCATAAAGAATGCTGGGGGATTTAGGTACCGCCTCTAGATCTATGTGCATGGCGGATAACATATGTTTCGATTGCCGCTGACGCATCTTTCGTGTTGAAAACAACAGGAGCCTTGGCGAGGGGGAGATTGTCGAGTTCGATGTAGTGCAGGTCTGCGGACATCGTCTGATTGTAGCGCGAAAGCTCGAGCAGAAATCGTTAACTCGCGCAACTTTTTGAACAGGGGGCGAAAGGATTCCAGGCGGCCCATGTGACCGGACCGGGCGGCCAACCAGTTCAGGGCGACCTTCGGGCAATGAAACCTTTCCGTCCACCGCAACAGCAAATGAGATACGTATTCGACTACCGAGGCAACGGGCAGATGATGCCAACCTCTCCGGTTATGGCACCGATGTCTCCCGGTGGCACCTACCCCACAAATATGGGGCAAGCGATGCCAGGGGTCTACGCGCCACAAGGATGGATGTACGCACCTTACGGATATAACAGTGGCGCGATGCCGAGTCGGCCGTTCTATAACAACATGTATTCGAGCTCGGTAACGCCAAACGAGAACCCGATGGAGCCCCTAGTCGGTTCATCGGATGCCGAAGCCTTCATGAACGCGGGGTACCGGAACATTGGGGTTCCGAACGGTAAACTTGCACGAAAATGACCCGACTTTCGAGTGCTCAAGTAGAAGAGACATTCCGAGACACTCTCTATCACCCCTCATTCGCGGTCGTAGCAAAAACGCTCGTGGGCTCCTATAATAAGGATATTAAGGTGGAGACTCGACCGAAATCAGACTAAGGTTGCTCATAATCCCCTATTTATTGATACCACGTGAAGGGATATAAGTTGCGGGCTATGCATACTAGCTAACCTGCTTACGTGTAAGCAGTGCGCGACGGCCTTTGGTTCTGGGCTTCTAGGCGATTCGCGCGCGGATGGTCCCTGATTCTAAACAAAAATTGATTAGGGGGGTGCCTTTTTCTCCGTTTTCGGTTGACCGGCCTCGACTGGCGGGCACTGCGAGGGCCGAGAAGTTGACAACAAACACACACACACTAACGTACGCAAGGTCGATTGCAACTCGCAATATCACTCTAACAGCCGGTAGAGCAACCCAAGCAAGCAGCAGCACCCGCAACACCTTTTCCCTTCTCTCCCGTTCTCGTCGGGTCTCTCATCTTGTCTGTCCGTGCGGAGCCTGGTTAGGTGAGTGAAGCCCGTTCAAAGCCCGCGCCGCGTCTTGTTCGGTGGGGAACAGAATTGGAAGTACCATCCTGGTCATCGTCAGGCTGGTCATGGAGTATTGTACGTGTGAGCCGCTACCTGATGTTATCGCAATCTGCCGCCATCTAGAAAGTTTGTAGAAGGGTTTGTCGAAGCATCCCTATCGTGAACGATTCGCTACACATTTCACCGGACGGTAACGCCACACACATCCGTCCAAGACCCCCTTCTGGAGCGTCGTTGACCTAACCCTTCGCAATACTTGATACAGATTGAGAAGCTACCGGTCTTCGGACAGCGGTACCCTTACGCGACTGTATAAGGTTCGTTGAAGGCGCGTGGGAACCGATGCTCCCGGATGCCGGCGGGCGTTGCCCTGACCGACTTTTCTTGTTGGCTTTCGCGCTGATTTTTGAGAGATCCGATGTTAATATGCTTTGATTGATTGATTAGGCATCATCGTACTAGCAGGAAAAATCGTCTTTTCCCTTCAAAACCTACGGTAACTCGCGCTTCTGACACATAATCCTCGAATTGCCTATATTGAGACGGCCGTTCGCGTAGAGAAAATGAGTGACATGGCGGATCGCATCGCTGCTGCGAGGAAGGAAGCGGAAACTTTGAAAGAGCGCATCAAGCAAAAGAAAGATGCCCTTGCTGATACTACTCGTATGTCAGATCGTACGCGTTGATTGCACATCATCAACGCTCTCTAATGAGAATACTTGTTTCACAGTCAAAGCCGTTGCGGCAGAGTTGGAAGCTTTGCCACGGATACAGATGAAAGTTCGCCGCACGCTCAAAGGCCATTTGGCCAAGATCTATGCCATGCACTGGGCGTCAGATAAGCGACATCTAGTCAGTGCGTCTCAAGACGGAAAGCTCATTGTTTGGGATGCCTACACGACGAACAAAGTACATGCGATTCCCCTTCGATCATCTTGGGTCATGACTTGTGCCTACGCACCTTCAGGCAATTACGTCGCCTGCGGTGGTCTCGATAACATTTGCTCCATTTACAACCTGAAAACGAAAGAAGGCTCTGTCAAGGTCGCTCGTGAACTGAGTGCACACACCGGTTACCTTTCCTGCTGCAGATTCATCAGCGATCGACAAATTCTGACTAGTTCCGGTGACATGTCCTGCATGCTGTGGGACATCGACGCCGGCATGAAGACACTGGAGTTCACCGACCACACCGGGGATGTAATGTCCTTGTCCTTGTCGCCCGACAAGAACATCTTCGTGTCGGGTGCTTGCGACGCCACTGCTAAGGTTTGGGATATTCGAACAGGTCGCTGCGTGCAGACCTTCACCGGCCACGAATCCGACATCAACGCGGTGCAGTAAGTGGTCAAGCCCGATACTCCTTCCATATGCGCTCTATGCATGCAACTTACGATTACTTCCGGCTTCAGATTCTTCCCCAACGGCGACGCGTTCGGTACAGGTTCCGACGATGCCTCTTGCCGTCTGTTCGACCTCCGAGCTGACCGTGAGCTCAACCAATACACCCACGACAACATCTTGTGCGGAATCACGTCCGTTGCCTTCTCCATCTCGGGACGCTTACTCTTTGCTGGTTACGATGACTTCAACTGCAATGTCTGGGACACACTCAAGGGCGAAAGGGTTGGTGTGCTAGCGGCGCACGAGAACCGCGTTTCTTGCTTGGGAGTGTCATCGGACGGAATGGCGTTGTGTACCGGCAGTTGGGACAGTTTGTTGAAGGTATGTTCCCCGTTACCTGTTCACTGGAACGTTCATGGACCACTTTGATTTCCCTCACCACTAACCCATTTTCTTTCTCTCGCTTTCTCTCACCCTTTGTCCCATAGATATGGGCATAGAGACCTTTCAAAGATGGAGACCGTATGTGGTCTCTTCTTGAACTTTTTTGGCGCATCATCCTTGAACATGTCAACGGAGGGCGCTTTGGTGCTTGGTCAGCTTGTAAACTCAGAGGTCGCTCTTTTGTTCCTGTTGTCGTCTTCCATTTTTTGGGGAGCCCTACCTCAAAACTTTTTGAGAATGTTCTGAATACCTACCTTGTAACGTTTCCCACCCGATGAGTGTTCCTTCTACTTCTACAATTAAATTATTCTCGTTCCAAGGAATGTGCAATGCGGGGATATTGGCTACATATTTGTACAACCGCTGGATCGTTGGCATGCCATGTGACACCCGGGTGGTTTCAGCAGGAAAGGGGGAAAACAACGTATGTAATGCGTTCTATGTAAGTATAGGCGGCGCTACGAAATCATAATCTACATCATCGTCGTCATCATAATCCATTCTATCTCCTTGCATCGCACTCGCAGTCTCAAACTGCGAGCCGCCCGCTTCCGAGAAGGTCTCCCCATCGTCGTCATTGTCATCCGACGCTTCCGATATCCCATCCTCGTGAGTGTACAGCCGGCCGAGACTGTGTCGCCGGAATCGATACTCGGCTCGTCCGTCAGTCAACTGCGTGCCCAAGGAATCGATGGACGAACTCATCGCGTGGCTGCCGCCGTCGTCGTAGTAGAACGGTCCTGTCGGGTATTCGAGCTCGCTGCCGGCCTCGGTCTCCGTGGCGGCCGCCACGACGTCGATGTTCTCGCCAGTGAGATCCAGGAGAGCAAGGGTGACCGCGACATCAGTGAGCGCGGCTATGTAGTCAGCGGTGTCCCGGTTCACAATGTTCTTGTCGAGCAACATGTTGAAACCGTCCGTCCATTCCGAATACTGAACTTGGGTTGAGCAGATAAAGTCCGCCATGGTGGGAGACGCTGTATCCGAGGAGGAAGAGGATTTGAGCGAGAAGCAAAGTGCAGCTGTTTCCCCGGCATTCTTCTTGCTGCTGAACACGGGGGAGGAGAGACCCGTCAGAAGACCGGTTGCTAAAGACATGTCAACTGGAAGCACGAGATTGAGTGATCAGCAATCATCTCAAAGCCGTCACCATCTCAAAATCATACTTCTAGCAACTTACTGCGTTCGCTCAATTCTTCTATTCCCGGACGCCGTTTCAGTACCTCCACAAATTCTCCGTAATGCAGGAATTTATGGTTGGCTCCCAATCGATAGAATCTGTACAGCCCCTTTATCCGGCCCTTTTCCCTGACAACGGGAAACCAAGCACCATACTTGAGCCGATCTATTCTTTGCCGTTTCACGGTTTCGTAGCTTTCCTTGTAGAAACGTTCCCGGAGGTTTCGCACTGGAGGCTTCGACAGTAGCTGGTCCTCCACTTCCAGATTCTTGAGCTGCCGTTCGCGGATGGCTGAATATGGGGTATCCAGCACTAATGTGCGGAATGCTGCCACCACGTCGTTCGAATTGCGCTGAACAGATTCCACAGCGTGTTTGAATTGTGAGCGAACAAGGGTTGAAACGCGTGGCACATCGTTGTCAGTGGACTCCAGGTCCATTTCCCGCCATATCCGCAAAAAGGATTGAGCCAGAATGCAAAACACATCCTGATACAGGAGAAGTAGCGGCTGATACGTGGTCGTAGTGGAATCTACATGGAAGATACGGATTGTGACTGGTGAGTATACACGATGTATTCTGGCGTAGGTGGAAGGACACTGTCCGGGTCCTCCGACCTGACCCGTATTTCGTGGATACTTACATCCAGTGCTGACCTCCCAATGATCCGCCATGATCTCGCAAACCTCTATTGCCGCTCGCCCAAATGGGCATGCATGCTCTGGCTCCTGACCGGGTTGTTCATCGAACCACTAAACCACTGCGGTTAGACACAATTGCATCTGGGGGAGGCGGACTGTTCAAGTTACATACGCTCTGGTAGGTGGCAGTATCATAATGCACAAAGTAGTGCATCACTTCAAGGCCCAATACACCGACGCGATTCAAATCTTTGTGAGGGGAGAGGCTCTAAAAAAAAACTTGCGTATTAGTTGATAGAACTATCACAGACGTCACGAGCTGTTCCTGCCGTGCGTACCGTAAATCCTATTCGCTTCCAATCCGGAGCAGTCCCAGGTGCTATGCGTGATAACTCCCAGATGTCTGCCAGTTTTTCCGCATGAGAAGGATTTCTAAAATCCACCGGTGTCTTCCGTCGCCGGTGGCCTTCCGCGACGAGAAGCCGCTGGTAATCTATCAATTGCGCCTTCAGCTCTTCAGCTGGGTTGCTGTGCATCAGATTTACAATGACCCTCCTGGTCTTCAGAGCATCGAGCATTTGCACGAAGTCCCCACGAGCGCGATCGGTAACGTGGCGGAATAGCGAGTTCAATAACGATAATGAGTTCAATTGAAGCAGATAATCGGTAGCCGAGAGACGCTGAATCAGCGTAGGCAGAAAAGAGGCTTGCGAGGAGATGGCGTTATTGACGACTAGATAGGGAAAAGGTTTGGTACGGTGTGCCCCATTTGCGTAAACGTGGAACGGACTCGGAGGACCATACCATCAAATCCGTAGCTTTGTATGGCAGAGGAGTTATTGTTTGCATTGGCAGCAACTAGCTTGATGATAATGGCGGTGGCCGGTCGACAGATGTTCACCAGGTTTTGCTTCACTATTATCGCAACTAGCTATCGCATTGACATTGATCAGTCACGCGTCCACAAGACGTATCATTGGAACCCCGTCGTAATGCTTTACCGTGCTTATGAATTGTGGGCTGAATGATTCCCATCCGCGGTCATGTTCCATCAACGTTTGCAGCGACGTCAGCGCATAAGCTAATGTATTCCCTTCTGATGTGATTATGATGTCTTGCAGCTTCTCTGGCCCACCGAGAGTAACGAATTCGTCGACAAATTCGTCTTCCTTCAGGTATTTCTGCAGCAGAAAGATGCTGCGTTTGAGGACTGCCTGATCGTCCTCCGGTGTAAGATCCCGAGCCATCTCCGCCGCCATCAGGGCCGGCGAAGGGACGAGCTTCAGTGTCGTTCCATCGGTCAGTTTCCACTTTAATCTCTACAAGAGGACCGCACGTCGTTAGCCATAGTAGCGCTTCACCAACGCTTGACCATAAGATGCATAGCCTTCCTCCACACACCTCCTGTGTAACTAGTTCCTCTGTTTCGACGATTCGCAGGCAGTAGTTGGTCGGGTTTCCAGACAGCGAAAAATGGGATAGCCACAACGACTTTATTATACTTGGGAGGGAAGAGGACGGGTCTACGGCAAAGTTCTCGACCTTCTGGGACCCATACAGAACGGTAACCAGGATCCGTCGCTTTGACCGAGGGTTGGGTCTGTACGTTTGCGGCATAAGTGGAATGTAGACCACACAGTTGCAGAGCGGGGCTATGTAATGCCGGTCCTGCGCGGAAGATGGTATATGGAGGACGTTCCTCAGGGACCTCGGGCCTGCCTCGGGCTCTTTAGCTCCTTCGGCGAACGGTAGGAAGGCTGGCAAGGGGCAAGGGTGTGATTGCGTGGGATTGCGTTGTCGCGTTGTCCACATGCACGAAGCTTTCTCAAGGGTGCCAACACTAAAGCTGGACATCACCGTCTCTCCACTCCTGCACCCTAACCCTAACCCTAACCCTAACCCTAAGTACTGGCAGCCCCCAAAGACAGCCAGAAACAGGCGGAGAATTGGTGCGGCTAACAGCCTTTTTGACAGTATTTGTGTTACAGCGGCCGCTAAAATACGGATCACGTTCTTGCTCTTCCGGTTTCGGGACACAACCCAGCAACGTTTTTTGAACACTTGATGAGAAGTTGATCCGAATTTTCAACTCCTCTCCTTACGATCTTCTCGCGGAGCCTCCTTGCGCTAATTCGAGTTCCGCCAATGATGTGTCCTTTGGGCATCGTAACGAGATATCTGGCAGCGAATCTCGTTCATGTCCCGTCAGATTCAGAGGTTGCGTTTTGGAATGATTATTCTCTGATGTAGTTTTCCTCCGCCGCCCAAATAATCTGTGTTGTATGGGTCGTAGTACCATATCTATGATGGGCAACGGCCACTAAAACGCCTGGTTTGCGAATCGTGTATGCAACTGAGACACAACCCAGGACACAACCTGCCCGCCCGCCAAACCCTCCACACAGTCTCGCCACTTCACTCCTTTCAAAAACAGCCCCACAGCTTCCAACCCGGTTGTCTGCTCCGGGCAGTACGGCTTACGGTTCACTCCCGTTTCATAAGGGTTGGAGCGATCACTTTGACATTACCGTTCCTGTCCAAATTACATAAACGACTACTTCCACTTTGTGTTTCTGAACGAAAGTGGTTTGGCTGACGAGACGACAGAGGCAGCGATGACCAACTCCTCCACTACCTCCTCGTTCGGTGCACATTCCGTACCAGCAGTCGTCGGTTATCCCGCCGGAGCGGTGCTCATGAACGAATCTGTCAACGGTGCTCCCCGAGGACCAGCTCAACAACGGAGCGAGGCATTGCACCAGACGCAGCAGCAGCAGCAGCAGCAGCAACAACAACAACAACAACAGCAAGCACCACCACTACCAACACCACAGCAACATACCCACTATTTCAACGGGGTGATTCCCACTGGTCTGTTTCAACCACAGCCGGGTGCTCCTCCCCGGGTCCCTCTTAAGCGCTCTAGGGGAACCAGGGCATGCGACGTATGCCGTCGGAAACGTGTCAAATGCTCAACAGAAAACCCTTGTGAGAGATGTGTAGCTTTTGGGTTGGAATGCACCTACGAGGTGCCGCCAAGAAAACGCGGCCCTCCAAAACGTGCTACTCCACCGCAACCTAGGACCCATGCGACCTTGGGAGAAAGGCTGAAGACGGTTGAGTCGCTTCTAAGCGGCTTAATCCAAGGAGCTCCTGCGCATCTGTCTGACAAGTCGCTACTACGCCCCCGCTCGATGTCTGCATCTTCTGCCATGTCTGGGGCCTTTGCGCACGAAGGGCAAGGCGATGGACAGTCGGAGGATGAACACGATGAGGATGAGGAGGTTTCAGACTCGGAAGATGGTGAATCAGATAATCCAGAAGGAGGGTTTAACGGTATCGCTTTGGCTATTCACCGGCCCGTCGGCCGCAAAGTTGGAACCGCTAGAGTCAGCTCCTTCATTGAAGACACGGACGCTCCTACTTTTTGTCAGGTGCCATGGAGAGCCGGTGTGACCGTCACTGATCCGAAAAGTGGTGTGCTGGTGCATGCAGTGTCTTTGAAAGATCCGAAGATGATAGCTCATCGCATCAACAATAATGCTGGAAACATTACCATCGTTGAAGATGTGGTGTCGGACACAGTCCTATTCTACGGAAGTACAAGCACGTCGAATACGGCCGCACTTCGTCAAAGCCCCCGGTTCAACGACGGTGTCATGTCTATTGCCCTGCGTTCTGATGTCATCCCAGCGAATCCAAATCTGTCCATGGACTCACCGCCTTGCTCGCCCGACCTCGTCCATCACCTCGTGTCTTTGTACTTTACCCACATCCACCCTTACTTCCCGATGATCGATCGCGCGGCCTTCACCAGGCAGCTAAAAGAACAGCAAACTGAGGTATGGCAAAGCACTCGTGAGTTTTGCAGAGATATTTCCAAGCAAGTGCTAAAATCTCTCCTCTCTCAGCACTTTTGCTTACTGCTCAACAGCATGTGTGCTCTGGTCACGCAACAAACCCGTTCTTTGACTGCCTGGGGAATCACGAGCTCAGCAGAGCTGCACCGCGCATTCTTCGAGCGTGCTCGATCTTTGCTGGCAAAACAGTTTGATTGGCCCCACATCAATAACGTGCAGGCACTGTTATTGCTGGCGTTGGTTGGTGCAGGCACCAATACGAACGCTGCCAGTTATCAATACATTGGTATGTACACGATGCTCTTCACCTCCACAGGACATAATGCTGACTGTGAATTCGGGTTCCAGGCATTGCGCATCGGCAAGCAGTCGAATTAGGAATGCATCGGAATTTGGACAAGCTGAATCATCCCGGTCTTGACGCACCTATGAAAGAGCAAATGCGAGCGACGTGGTTCTGCTTGTACATTTTGGATCGATACACCGGTGTCCATCAAGGACGACCCTTCGCCATCAACGATGAAGGTACAGTCCGCTTGTTCAAGCATGTTGCAGGCTGCTGGTTCTCATAGTTCTACTTGCAGATTGCGATACCCCCTTGCCTCGCCAAGAGGAAACTGGAGACGTTGCGAGAATGATACGGCACGTCACGCTTAGTACGATCTTGGGCCAAATCGCCAATCACGTCAACAGGCCCACCACTGGACGGCGCCGGAGGAGTCGTTCATCGAAGGATCAGCTGGTGCGGGATATAGAAGAGCAACTTGCGCATTGGCACGATGAACTTCCCGTCGATCTGCAAGGGGAACCCAGTCGCGAAGTTGGCACATGGTCGTTCCATCACCATCTTCATGCCATGTATCACACTGCCACTATTCTCCTGCATCGGATTGCAACTGGCGGCTTCGGAGGCGTGTGCGCGAGTAGTGCCGTTGCTATCCGACAAATTCTTGAAGCCCTGCCGCTGGCCTCACCACCCGTCGAAGACCCCGAGGCTTCACCATCGTCCACGACTCAGACCGCTGCCGATTACGTATTTGTCTTGCCTTTCGTGGTGTATTGCGGCTTGACGGCTTCCACGACCTTCCTCGATATGCTGGTAGAACAGAAGATGGCCGCACAGAAAGCGGATGGAAAGGATGCCAAACCGGGACATCACCAGCGGAAACGGGCGAAAACGAACGAGAAGAGAGAGCAAGCCGACATCGATGTCAATGATGTCAATGCGGAGCTCAAGAGCAGTCTTACGGCTTTCGACCGATTGAAGGACACCTCGCAGTTTGCGGTATATTACGGGCAGTTGATTGCAGAATCCCTGAAAGGGCCACAAGCGAAACCACCAGATGGTGGTCCGCTGAACGCTGCCGCGTATCCCAAGCCAGCCCAAGGTATCGCGGAAGGTCAAAACGCACAACCACAAGCCAACTACGCGTATCCGCCTCCAGTCGCACCCTATATAGGGCACAATCCGAACGGACCTCAAGCGCCCGTCTTTGCTGACTATGGAGTCCGCATTGTCCCACAACAGCAAATGGAGACCTTGCAGGCTCCACAGTTCGTTAGCGCACCCGCCATGTTCTACCCACAAGGAGGCTTTTCATACCCGACGGCGTACGCGACTCATCCGCAACAGCAGCAAAACTCGTCACAAGCCGCCGCATACCCAGCATATCAACAACCATCACAACACCCCACTATGCCCGTTCCACAGCAGGAACAAGGGATCCCTCCACCAACCTTCAACACCACCTACACCGCAGCCAGCAACGTGGCTGCTAGATCCGTCCCGTCGATACCGAGCGGCGCGGGTGGTCCACCACCGCCACAGCTCCAGCCAAATCCCTCTCAGGCGGCCTTCCCGGGACAACCACCACCAGGGTCATACTACGCCGATTCGATCTTTTCCGAGTTGCTGAATCCATTCTTCGACACATCAGGAAACTGGTGGAGTGACCTGAGCGGTCTCGGGGATACGCCGGCGTGCGAAGGGGATGGTGGTGTGGGGATGCCAAAACAGGAGCACCCTTACCAACAATCCATGTCGAATCACCCGATGTCCAGCGTGCCGCCATCGACGAACGACGCTTCGATGGCGACAGCAGGGACTTCCCCGCCGCTTCGGGCCACAGTTGGGACGGGCCCTCTGTCTGCGTCTCCGCCGACTTTGTTTGGCGGGCCAGAAAACTCATCGTGAGGAGTTCGTGTTGAAGACACGTTTCCACATTCATCCTTGCTTGTAAATCTACTTTTGACTAGTGTACCCTATACTATCATTCCTGTCAATCTTTGTAGCATATCAAAACCCCGATTCATTTATCACCGAAGTTCCCAATTCCCAAAGGAAAGGACATATCTCCAGTATTTGGAGAGTGGAAAAGAGGAAATGGATAAATGCCATTTCCAAGATTAATTCCATCTGAACAGTACAAAAAAGATTGTGCACGAAGCGAGATTCGAACTCGCGCCTCTTACGAGATTGGAACTTGAGACCAACGCCTTAGACCAACTCGGCCATCCGTGCTTGTTGAATGCTAGCTTTTGGTTGCACAAATGAATATATACATTATATCCCATTCTACTCGCAACCACAACAATTCTTTGGCACGACGTCGCCTTTCCATGGTTCCATAGTTCCTGGTTCAATAGATCATGACCTTCCATAAGCGAAAGACCTAGTGGCTTTCTTTTCCTGCAGGAATATAAACGATTCTTACTTGCCCTGAGTTCGACTGAGCGTTACGGAGTGCTTCATTGATAGTGGTGGGCTGACTGAGTTCTGATGAAGCGCCGATGACCCGGTTGATATATTCTTTCGAAATCCCCAAAACTACGTAGGGGTATTTCCAGATGAAATTTATGTACACAATAATGCGGATCGGTAAAAACCCTCTGGCTAATGTGAGTGAGCCGCTCCAGACAAAGGTGGCTGCCTACGATTCCTGTTGCCTGCGAGTTTCGACCTTTTCGTTGCTTGGGACGTCCTCGCCATCGATTACATGGACCTCGCTGGCCTTTTTGACGACTGGATTGCCTCCTTTCTTGTCGTTTTCGATGAAGAGTGCAGGATTGTCCTCGGTGCCATTTCGGGTGATGTGTTTACCTGGCCGGTTGAGAGAAAAGCGTCATTTCGTGTTGGTGCACATCGCAAGAACGCAAGCCAAGTGCATTTAGACGCATACCTTTGATGGTCTTTTCCAGCTTCTCCTCTGATATTTCTTTGACATGACCTTGGGCATGGGCGTTGCCCCAGTTCCACGCGACGTGGGTACCTTTCTCGATCTCGTTTCCGCTGACGTCTGACATCTCGGCGTTCGTTTTTGAGCTCGGTTGTTGGGAGTCGATGTGTGTATGTATGCAGTTCTGTTGAAGCTTCGACTGGTGGGCGAGGGCCGGGAGAGGGCTCTTTATCAGTGAGTTTCAAGGTAGGTTTTTTCCGCTTGTGGAGCGAGGAAAAAGCTTCCCGTCAAAAGACCGTCAACAGCGATGACATCACGCGAGCCTTTCCGATTTCGACATCCGTTCTCGATCGGACCCTTCTCTCGTGCCTGAGTTTGAGGAATCAGCGCTCTAGCTGTTCAGCGTGCTGGAAAGGGCATGGAAAATAGAGCAAGCCGTTGAACAAAGAAAGCCCCGAGGACTATACAGTACTATACACAATACGCCGATAAGCTATCCGTAGTTCTCTATGGAGCTACACCGCAAATGATGCACTCGTCCATTCCTCAGTAACTGCCGCCGCACCAGTAGGAACGTCTCTTCCGAAAGTGATTCTCAGCACGTAGTCACCGGTAGGAACAGCCCCATACGCAACGGGGCCTGCTGAAACTTCCCCGCCATCCCACACTCCAAATGCAACATCGGCGGGAGTGTCCGCAGGTAACATTTGTCCGGTGAAAATGAAGGAAGTGGTCGGGCGAGAGGGACCTATGTAGAGGCTCTGTCCGACGGTTCCCACAACGGCTCCTCCCACCACAGCTCTATCAGTCGTTGTCGTTGCCGCGGTCAGGAGATGAACAGTGACGCTTCGAAGAGGGAGTTGGATCGCGAGAACTACCTCCGCTATACCCGCCGCTTGGCCAGATGGCGGTGTATGTACGATCGGGTAGGTGCCGTTGGCCGGGAGAATGGGGAGTGCAGTGTAAGATCCCACTAATGCCATGTATGTCGCGTGCAACGTCGCAGCTGCAGTCGATTGCGCGAAGGCTCCACTAGGCGTCGCAATGAGGGCACCGCTGATGAGATAGTTCTTTCCTGAAGGATCTGTGGCCGGAGGATGTATCGTCGCTGTAATGTTGATCGTCTGTCCAACGGGGATGGCAACGGTCGTCCCGTCGAATGTCACTGCGGCAGCGTAGGCATCAGTCTCGATCGGCGGGACGACGCTCGGATCGGCCAGGTCGATTGTTGTTGCAGGTGAATGGCTCAGGTCAAATTGCGCATCCTGGTCTCGTGCGGCGCCCGTGTGTGTAAGCGTCATGACCACGTTGAGCGGCGTGTCTGCGGCTACCTGGCCCACGGCCATTTTCGCAGGCGATAATTGGACGACGGTGTTGATGGCCGCTTTCATGTTGATCAGCCCACAGCCTTGAAGTGCTGCTGAAGCGATGCGATTAGCAATGGCGCGATGGCGAACGGGCATTGCTGTGGAAAGCAGCCGGTTCGTCGCATCTGCGAATGATGGCGCTGTGCCTGGCGGAACAGTAAGATGCTGCCGAAGGAGAGCCAAAGAAGCCGAAGTGTAAGGGCTGGCCATCGACGTTCCTGAAAGCTGAAGTTTGTCAGGTTTAAATCTCATCGCCGGCAGTGCGTTATGGGGAGGTGATGTGAAAGAGGTGAAGATGAACTCACTGCATAGTATGAACCGTTGGCGACCGGGAAAGTAGAGTAAACGACCGACCCCGGCGCCACAATGTCTGGCTTCAACTGCAAAGATGGTGCGGGGCCCCACTGATTACCCGAAGGGTAAGCCGGGGGCCAATCATTAATCGTAAATATGCGTTCCAGACTCGTGCGTAGACGCAAGGAAACTTACACTGGAATACTGAGCGACCGTCCCTCCATCTGGATTATCCATAACCCTTAGCCCGCCATCCCAAACCACACTCGGTGCAGTGGCTGTAGCCTCCACAATCTCCTTCATCCACAAACCATCATCCTTCGTAACGGCCGCAATGACCAGATCCGTTGCCGGTTTGTCAAGCGCAAAACGATAGAGTCCATCCGTATTATCATACACGACCATTGCCACGGCGCCTACAGCTTTGAGGTTGGTGGCTTTGGTGTTGAAGCTGCACCCGCCGCGCTGGAGGAGGACGATGGCTTGCGTGAAGTTTTGGCCGCCGGGATCGACGGCGGTGCAGGAGTCAGATGCGAGAGAGATGAGAGGCGAGGTTGCGGGCAATGTGAGAGGAGACGTGGTGCCAGCGTAGGTGATGTTCCGGGTGGTGTTCGCGCTCAGGGTCAAGAAACCGCCGAGGAAGTAGCTTGTTGTGGAAAAGGTTATCCAGAGGCATGAGTCCACATGGCTCACATGACTGGTTAGAAGCGCTCGGCACCAGCTACAACTCACGGATTCTCAACAGCGCCGACGGACAAAGCAGCAGGAGAAACTCCAGGTGCTGGTGTAGCAAACAAGCCCAAAGGTCCATCATTTCCTAAGTCAAGAATCAAAGAACCGTGCATTTTGAGCAGGCGCGCTGTCGAATTCCGCCCCAAGCACTTCCGACTCGAGAGAGAATATACCTTGCGCAGCAACAACCCACAATCCTTCGCCCACCGCCGTCTGGGCTGCCATCGCAGCGGGCGAGTCCGGCCATCCCCCGGGGATTCCCAGACTCAGGTTCACCACATCCATCCCATCCGCCGTCGCCTGCGTGAGGGAGCTAATCACACGTGCTTCTGTGGTGCCGCCGGTACAGCCAAAGATCTGTCAGGGGCTCCGGATGTGAACTAAGGCAGTGTTATGTCGCCGTTGGCTCCACCAACATACCTTGTAAGCCGTGAGACTGGCGTTGGGGGCCACACCGGCTACGCGAGCGTCCGTGCCTGCGATGATACCCGCTGGAGGTGCGTAGTCGGAACACAGGTGCACATTGAGATTCGCGAACAGGGAACATCAGTACCACTGGTCCGACTGTTGAGCAAAAGGTTTTGCATGCAGTCGTACCTACGTGCGTCCCGTGACCCGTACTAGCAATAGAGATCACCACAATGAATCAGACATTTCATGTTCCCACAGACGGTTCAGTTCAAGGAGATATCACTTACCAATCCACAACCGTAGTCGCGTCTTCAAGAGCGACAGGTCCGCCAGGCGCCCCGACCGCGGCCGTGAGATCCGCAGCCGCGGCGATCTTACCAGCCAGAGCAGGGTGGGTTGCATCGATGCCTGAATCACATACCAGAACGAGGCACAGTTCAGTTATCACCCCAACATAGCGCCAAAACCTACACAAGAAAAAACCTACGGACCAGTATCAGCCACACCAATCTTTATCCCGCTCCCATCCAGCTGCGGGAGCATACTCAAAACATCCGCAACGCCCGTCATTCGGTGACTCAGCTGCATCAACGGGTGGGTGAGGCTATCAGGAAACGTGCCGCTGATGACATCTGGTGTCAAGGGTATGGGGGCCGCTGTTGTCGTCCTCGGATGAATGAGGATGGAAATAGCGGCTAGCACGAGGATGGTGGCATGCATTTGGAAGCGATATGAGATGATTGCTGTACTTTGTACGTCCGTTTCTTTGCGATATTGAATATGGGCAAGCTCTTGAGAGGAAGTCGAATCCCGATGCAATTTGTCTGCGTCCCATCTCACTCCACACACATTTTGGGCAGCTGCCGCCGCCGCATTTCGATCGAAAGATGTGTGGAGTGTTTCGCATTTCTGCAGCATACTGTCAATTCTTGCCGTCAGTCCACCAACAAAGGTGTCAAGTTCGTATTCGTGATAATATGCTCACATTTTCGTTTAAAGTCGATAGCCATACGAAAAACCACATCGAACTACATAAAACTATGTCGTCGGACCAAGAAGGGAGCCGCTTGCTAGGGTATAAGATGTTTACAAACTTTGCAGATGTTGGTGAAATAAATCTCGATGAAAAAAGGCAGCACCTGGGAAAATACCCCATTACGGTGCATAAACGCTACAATGGCACTTTGCTTTACACTTCGAAAGCAGGATCCTGGACGGATCGCGGGTACACTTCGGAGAACTTGTTATAGAGCTCGGGCTTCGTACGACGGAGCGCAAGAGGGTCTTCGGCACTGAATGGCGTGCGATTAGACGAAAGGTTAGCATGCCAAATCTCCCCATATAAGACCGAAAATGTAGACGGGAGACTTACAGGCACACGAAGGTTGTCGCGACACCACTACGGATGGTCTCAGACAGGACCCAGAACTGGATGATCCCAGCAACGAAGCCCAACCCGGCCAACACCCAGACCACAGCCGGCTCGGAGTACTGCAACCAGCCGATGATGTACCCGACAGTACCCGCAAGGAAAGCGATCAACACACCTCCCAGGGTCAATACCCCAGATGTCAGATCGTCGTTAATGATGAGATCAACGCCGCGTGACTGCAGGAGGGCCCATGTGTCTCTTCCGGCCTCCAGGTAGGATTTGCCGTAGATGGCAACTTGGGTGAAGGCGTACACGTTGATGAAGGCGATGACACCCTCGATCATAGATAAAAGACAATCGGCACAGGTAGCAACCAACGCGAGAGCGCTGGAAAATGAGATATGTCAGTTCGTTGTATACCCGTACCAGCGCGATCCGTCGGACTTCGTGCTCTTACCTGTTGTTGTCTTCTTGTGCGTTGCGTCGAATTTGGTTCGCGACATGCCTCAAAGTTTGGATCAAAGCGATAATGAGACTACCGAAGGCGATTGGCCCAAAAGAAGTGGTGACGGCTCTTTTGGCGCTCTTGAGCGTCGGGTTTGCAACCGGGACCACGACGGACCCATCGGCAGTGGAGATGCCGGTGAAATAGTACGTAGCAAACACTGCGTGATACGCGTAAGTGGGAATGCTTCCAAATTATTGGGGTCAAACGGTGGTGAGACTTACATCCAGAGACTGTCACATGGACCACATTCTTGATAACTTGACTCGTCCAGTACATGGAGAATATTATGTACGTCGACACGATGTACTATGAGAATGAATTGTGATTTGCGGTTCGATCAGTAATCGGACCAAGCTTGAAGCCGACCCAGACGAGCAATTGAGTGACAACGCCTTACCTTAACGGCATCGCTGTCGTTCGTCTTTGTGAGCCTGTAGCCGCCAATGGCCGCAAAGGTCCAAACCGCCATCCAGATCGTCTGGACGACGGTACCAGCGACTCCCACCGCGAGGGTGCCCGGATACGACTTTGTGACCGTGGTAACGGCGGTCAAAATCACACGAGCAAACTCCATTCGAGTGCGGTAGGCGAAGTACATAAAGATGTGGATGGCGCTGTAGATGAGCGCGAAAAGGGCGGGGAAAAAGGCGCCGGAGGCTAGGTAGAAGATCCCCAACATGGCAGCAGTCACGGTGTTGAAGATGAAGGATGAGTGGATCAACTGGCGAGGATACCTTGAGCGAGAGAACGGGGATCAATTTCAGTATCAAACTGGGAATAGGGGCGAACAAATGGCAGACATCCCATCAACGCACCTTTCCATGAGGAAAAAGTATGAAACAGTCAACAGGAAGCCTGCCAAGATCACTCCGAAAAATGACATGGCGAATTGGGAGAGAGCAGGGAAGTCCCCAATTGGAACTTGGGGTTCGGAAGGATCGGCCGTCTCGAGAGCATTGCCATCGCCGGGAGTGCGCGGATCAGACCCGTCTGCGGGCACATCGGGCAGATTGACTTTCCAGCCAGCGACCGTCAGAAACGCCAAGACCACTAGGTGTGCGAAGAAGGCAACTGTTGCCCATTTGTCCTGCGTAGGGCGTAACAAGAGTGAGTTCCATCTACGTTCATCCAGGTACTTTGGTCGTGCCTGTAACAAGCTATATCCCCGATCTGCTGCCATTCGCATATGCATCCGCATCGACCCCTTGCCACTGCTATAGAAGCCAATACCAGCACCGTCCACAGCCTCAAGTCCTTCTCTACTCGCCAATAGAACACCGTTCTTCCATGAACCACCACTCTGCCCAACCCTGCCAGTAAATTCCCACAACTCCTCGCAAACCCCAACGCACCTGGTAAATGGGAGCATTATTGAATTTGGAGTCAGCACTGGAGTTCCCGAAAAGCGGGTCGTTCTCCTCGTTCTCAACATTCCCACTCCCGGAGGCGGAAGCTGTGTAGTTTGGAAGCGACTCGTAACTTGCGTCGCCAAGACCGCCGTGGACGGTGGTGGCGGCTGGCCTCTGCGGGAAGAGCGACTTTCCCATGATCTATCAATGAGGGTTTGGGAGAAAGGTTCCAAATTTCTGTTTGTGTGGGAACTGGGGTTGGTGAGCCAAGCCTTGTACTGTACAGTATATGCGTCTTATGCGTTCCCATCACGCAACGGCGCACGGAAGTTGGTCATCGCTTTGACGTCCCTGGTGCCAAGGCCATTCATTGCACACACACAAACTTCACATCGTCAATAGGTTACATACTGTAGTCAGCAAGTCCAAAAATGTCATGGGCATAACAGGAGAGAGTGGACATGGAGCCTATTGCGAGATAAAGGACATGATACTGTATACTGCAAGAAAATCATATTCACATCACGGACTGTACGTATATACAGGATGGATCACGGCCAAAACTACATCTCCGAGATTCATACAATTCAGACTCTTCCCATTCTTTAAAGACTTTACGCCATCACGGGGGTAGTTGTGGCTGCCGCCGCCGCCGCCTTCCTGCCACGCACAATAATCAAAGCGCAGAGCGCCGAGACAGCCAAAGAGATCCCAGAATAGATGAATAGAGCGAGCCTGAAGCTCTCACAGTTGATGCCCGAGCGCGAGTAGAAACCGAAACCGTCACCGCCAAATGTGGGATCGTTATTGAATCTGTCGTTGTTGATGGGGTCGGTCCTTGCAGCCACACAAGAGTTGTACCACGTGAAGGCGCCGAGGAGGGCAATCAAGCCTTGCAGCAGCAAGCCTGCGGTAAGTCCCTTGAGCATCGCTTGGCGGGATCGAACCTCCCTGATGCAGCAGTAGAGAAGGAAAGCGAAGGGACCGAAAAACCATGCCCCGATAACACCGAGAACAACAAAGATTACGGTGGAAGGTGGGCCTCGAGCAAGACCACCACCGGCGTACGGTGCGGGTAAGTACACAACCTGTGGCCCGCCAGGCGCTGGTGGGTACGCGTATGTCTGTTGCTGTTGTTGTTGAGGGTAGGGAGGCTGACCGTACGGAGGGAGGGCGGCGTTGGCGTAAGCGTCTTGAGACCATGGCTTCGACTTATCGTCATTGTGTTGGTCATGGATCGGCTGTGCGGGAGCCGGGACCGGCTGGTAGGGTGGTCCCTGGGTCGACGTGTTCACCCCGTACGATGTGTTTGTGTTGAAGTCCATTTCGAAAGCCGAACTGTCTTCCGAGTTGAGGGCGGGTGGCTGTTTCACTTTTCTTTATATTGAAAGACGGAAGCTGACCAAGACTGTTGGAGATGCTATTTGTGCGTGCGGTCTGAGGAATATCGTCGACGAGTGAGAGCGTGCTTTTTATCAACAGGAAGTGAGGAAGAATCGGGACGCACAGCCAGATTGCGAGCCAAGGAATCGACTCTCTTCTGCAACTGCGGAGAAGCGCCGGGGCAAGTGATTCAAAATGCCACCATGTCCTGACGTGTCGCATTGCGGCGAGGGAGCACCGCCACGGGGCAGCGTCCCCCGCTTGGCTCCGAGTCGGCGATCGCGAAAAACACATGATGGGGCCTCTCCAGTTTTCTCATCATTTTGGTTCCCATGAAGTTGCTGACACATTAGGCCTGGTGTCCCCAAAATCTAAATGCCAAGGGGCCGCATCCAAGGTCAAGCCTCACTTAATAGACCCACGTGACTGCGGATAGCTTTTATTTTGGTTTTTTCGAGCAATGTTCGTTGCACAGTTTCCTCTTAGGCATTTATTGTTGGGCTCATCCGGCCTCCTATCTACGTTTTACGAAGCAACTCTGCAAAGCAAGAGACGGTTCGAGGCATTGCGAGCCTCAAGATCAAAGCTCTTTGGGTGAGAATAAGATGCTGTAAACGCGACGAGGGACGCGTTCTCGTGCTCCCCCGGAAGCCACCTTCCAAATTCCATGTCCAGATCCAGATCCGAACGCAACCTCTGCAAGCTGCGAGTCTGGTCACCTCTAGCTCTAGTGCTTCCAGGTGCTGCAGGCATTGCATCGTAGTGGGTTGGCAAGAATGGTGGACATCCACAGGTCCAGATCTACAGTGCCTCACAATTTTTAAGTTTGTCCTTTTGCCGTTTTAGCGCGGGCAACAACAACAGAATGTCTTGAGTTCCAAATGCACCATCGTCTTTTGGCCAGCCTGGGCCAGATTGCTGCTTACCGCATCTTCCCCTCTGACCCCAAAACCCGCCTACTATCTGAATATGCAGCGAAGCGAGGAACATGTGGAACTCGGTGCATGTGGTGTGGTGGTAGTTTCGAATCTTCGCAAGTATTCCGGTCATCTTAGAAGCAAGGGGATTACAGAAGAACGGCCGCAGCGGTTATTCTTGATCGCTGACATCTTGAGGCTGAAGATCGGAAACTTGAAGGCGGGTTCACCAGTCCGTGTGTACACACACCTCACATTCATTTGCATGTGTGTCACCTGGAAAACATCTGGGAACGCAATTTGTGTGCTGCGAACAAAGTGAGCACAAAAGGGAAGACGATCAAGGGTGAGGGTGAAGCCGCAGCCACCCTCCGATGAAGAGCGGAACGGGCTGCTCTCGGAGGAAGCAGAACGACCAGCATGCTCATCACTCAATTCGCTGCCACTTCAATAGGACGCTCGTGAAACCACATTTTGACACTCTGATCCTCGTCACCTCTTGAGGAAGAGGCCCACTCCCCAAGCGATTGCGACACTCATTCCAAAATCCAAATCTGCGCGCTCATTAGGATCATCATCGCATTACATCTACCACAAGAGGACAAGCAGTAGGGAAGAAAGGACGTGGTGATATCTGTGGAAGGTTGGTTTGTCCCTTTCGTAGCGAAAAACATACGAAATGAGCTGGAGAGACGAGGTTGAGCGGAAAACACTTTTTCGCCGGGTTCGCTCCCGATTAACGTTCTGCTCTTCACCGTTTGGTCGCTTAGGGAGTGCAACGTTGAGAGTCCCCCTGCTCGTCGCCGGACTGTGGACGCGCAGGCGTGAGTGCGTGAGTCGCGATTGCATGCGGCAAGGAGCGGACGAGTCGTTTGGACAACCGGCGGACAGCAGGCCCGGCCTCAGGAGTGGAGACCTGATATATCGTTCCGAGGTGAGTGTTATGAGTGAGTGGAGTCGGCAAGTTGCAGAATGGGGATGCTGGTGGGAGAAGGAGGGTTTTGGGCCCCAGGGAATTAGTCGTGACACAGCTTTGACGCGCGCGCGAGAAGGGATGGGAGGAAAAAGAGCAGTGATTGGGATGGACGACCGCAACACATATCGTCGCAGCAGCAGCAGCAGCAGCAGCAGCAGCAGCAACAGACACAGGGACAGCAGGGGCAAGCGGCAAAAAGGAGGAAGGAGAGGGATTGTGTTTGTGAGAGTGAGAGTGAGAACGGAGGAAAGAGACGGGTCAACTTCGAAGCACCGCAGTTGGGCATCTCCATTGTGGGTTTGTCGAGGTGTTACTCTCATCGTCAACCTTACGGTGGAAAAGTGCAATTCCGCTGCCGACAAACACCGCAGCGACCTGTCACAACCCTGCAAGCACCAACTATTCTGACTGAGGAGCTGGATCGGCGCTGCAGGATGCACATCACCATTAGTGTCGCGTCATCACCATAACAGCACGGGAAAGCCGTGTGCTGACATTTCACATCCTGTCCCATCCTTCACCTTCTGCCAGCACCCGGAAGACCTAGCACACTGGAAACAACGAGCTAGAAGTCGCAGCGGTCAGAAAATCCCGGCTCGGCATAACTCCTCAATTTCCGCAACGACAACTCCAACATGCGAGCTCCAATGATAAGACGGGCGCACTCGGACGTTTCGCCGTTTCCCCTTTCTTCTTCCCTCTCCGGTCCTTCCCCTGCTTCATCTTCTTCATCGAGACCGAAGCGCGCACAAGTGAAAAACGCATGTGGTTAGTAAGATTGCAAGGGAGGTCAGACGGATGTCCTCCATCTTGGGCAAGATTGCCCCTTCAGACGCGATTATAAGAAGCGGTCGTCGAGTTGTTTCCTCCTTCTTTCGTTCTCACCAATCTTTGACGTTCCCCTTAGTGAACTGCCAACGAGCATGCAAAAAATGCGATGAGGCTCGTCCGTGCTCGCGATGCGTCAAATTTAACTTGGATGGCAGCTGTAAGGATTCCGAGCGGAAGGAGCGAACCAAAGGTGAATTTCGTATGTGTCGCAAGAGTTTCCGATGCTTTTTTATGCTTCTGTGGGCGGTGGTTTGTCACATGCGTGGTGGTCCGTTTGCTGATCTTAGGTTCTGTTGCCCACGTGTAGGAATAAAGAGAGGGACGTACAAGCGTCCATCATCAAGTAAGTTCCGATCTGCGCAAAGCTATTCCTCCAACGACAGTCAATCAGTCACTAATGATTCTGTTCCCTCCATCACTCTTCCAGCATCGGATGTGCGCAGCGATTCAGATATGTTCAACGATTCTGCGAGCGAACAAGGGCAAAGCAGTGTTTGCGATGCCCCTCATACTCAACATCACCCAGCAAAGAGCGGGAAGACCATCTTAGCCACTGCAATGATCAAATCTACTCTCCCGTCGCATGCGTACCGAGTCCACCACTCCCCTCAGTTGGCGATGGCTGCCGAGTTTGAACATGTCCATCGGTCGGTCCCGACGAGTGGGATCTCCATGTCGACGCCGCTTCCAGCCTATCCATCACTACAACAGTTGCAGCGAACAAATGCAAGAACGTCCTCATTTACACCGTCGTCTCTGCCAGGGACGATCTATGATTTAACGGGAGCACAATCGACCCCACCGTTATCTGCCGGGACGGAGAGAACATCAGACTGGAGCAGGATGCATATGCTGGCGAATATTTGCGGCTCGGTCCTTGATGAACAACAGTCGGACTCGAAGCTTCCATCGGCGTTTGTTCTTCCAGGCGTTGAGAGCCCCGAAACCGGTGCATTTCTGGAGATTGCATCACGCAGCACGTCTGGTTCTCCAAAGGAGACTCTATCCGTGAAGCGCACGCCACCGATTGACGCTCTGTCTGCCAACACCAGCGCTGAGTCAATCGCCACTGGTGTGACCGAACTCTCTGGATCCACATTACTGCCGTTCTCGATCGGCGGCATAGCCTCGCTGATTCCACAAGAACCATTATCGACTCCGACTTACTTCGACGACCTGCTGTCCCGGCCGTCCTCAATTGCGAGTCAGACTCAAATGCCGGCACACTTGCAAACGTACCATGATCATTTCTCGAGCTTTGCGACGCAAGCAACGTCGACAGAGCAGACGCCATCTTCGCTATTCGCTCAATCCAACATACCCTCATCGTCATCTTTCCTCGGCATGGACACATACCGTCCTGCGCGTCTATCCCACCGAAACTCAGCGGATGTTTCGGCAGGGCTGGGCAGTTACTCCTCCTCCTTGCCGCTGCAGTTCCAAACCACGTCATCGTCACTACCTCTGTCGTCGTCGCACTTTTCATCTTCGTTAAGCGCCTTACCGCCACCACCCCCTGGGGCAGCATTCCGCCGGGCGTGGGATTCGGGCGAAGGGAGCTTTCAAGAAGCCACGGCACTGCTGAATAGGTACACCGAGGTGGGCGAGGAAGACGCGGATGAGGCCGCCAAGCTTGATGCAACTGCTGCGTACATGAGCGCTGTTTTGAAACGCTCTAGGGAGCCATGGTCGGCTTTTTGATTTTGGATGGAGCCCTATATACCCCGCTTGCGCCGCCCTCTGCGGTACCCTTTGCGACCATGTGCTTCGTTCCATGGATGATAAGGAGGCCTGGGTGAACGTTCTGAATAGTTGGAGCTGGGCAGGAGGCACGCATTCCGAATCGTTGTGAAAATCTAGAACATACCCGGCAAATCGCTACCCTACTCGTAAACGCCCGACTGATATCTGTCGAACGTTATGAAAATCTACACTACCCTCCCACACAAATATACAGAACTGTTGCTTGTCATACTGCCGTCCCATCTTTGTCTCCCATTCTCTTTCTCCCTCTCTCGCCTCTTTTTTGCACTGCGGCGGTGTCCAGTGAACCTTGTGGTAGCTCGATTTTTAACGTCTCGAAGCTCGTTCCTCATCTATAAGAACCATATTTGTGGTGCATGGAGGTGCCTCTGATGGGAGATTCTGCTCGGCAAAGATAAGAACGGTGGTATGAAGTAGCCAACGCGTCTAAACAAACAGCATGGCCCTCCAAGCCATCGGATAGTGGGATGTCAGCCAGTCTGTCGTGAAGCTCTCCGCCTGATGAACGTCTTAATTTCACATCGGTCGAACTACTCGGCGTGCAGCCGCTTGAATGGACACCGCCTCTCACCAGGGAAGGGTATCAATGCTCTTCAAGTTTCTCAATATTAGGAATGAGGAGGATAGACTCCAAGGAAAAGCCGGTAACTTGATGAAGGAAGGTGTGCAAGCACCTGAGCGATACGAGGCACCCTCAGCGCGACAGATTGTATTCGACAGCAATGACTCTGCTGGACCATCTATGAATCATGCGTATGTATGATCCTCAACTCATGGAGGTCCTCCGCAAGAGGAGGATGGACACCATATGGCATTTGTGGTCACAAGGTGCATTTGACATTTTTTGACACCGGATCCAGACGTTCCTAGGACTTGGGAATTCGCGAATCCACACTCATGGTAAATGAAAGCAGAGGAATTTCGACTGTGCTGCGGATCCCTCAATCGTATAATTGGACATCTAGCCCCTCGGAAGAGATCGGTCGAAATGGAAGCAGCAAGATGCTCCCTGCGTCTCTGCGTGTATCCCCTCTCTCATGTCTCCCAACGCCTAGCACCGCCGCCCTGTGCATCTTGGGCATCATTGCCGACTCATGCTTGCGCGACATTAAAGGCGACGCGTAGCGGCGCAACGCGTACACCACAGCTTAGGCGTATGTTGCACATTTATATGAAATACAAATGTAAGGGTATATAAATTACGTATCTAACAATCGATCGAATGCTGCTGCCGCATGTGTCTCTGGCAATCGTATTTGCGGCGAAACTCCATTGGGCAAGCTGTGCATCGGAACTCTCTCGAAGGGCTGCAAAGGGCAATTAGTTCCAGTTCGTTCTATGTTTCCGAGGTTTGCAACGCATCCATGCGAAAAGAGAATGTAGCTTACCTATGGCATATCATATGTGCTTTGAGAGAATGTTTCGTCTTGAAGCTGCGTCCGCATCCCGCCTGGTTGCAGTGGAATCCCAGTGGTATATCATCAATCGGTGATCTCATTCGGCGTGGGTCTTTTGGCGGCCGACTCCGAGACATGTTTGGTATATCGGCTGGTGGTGGAACCGCTTGAAAAGGTATCGTGGATATCATAGAAGGTGTGGGAATGCTGTAATCCGGGCGAGTCCAATGCGGTTGTAAAGGGAAATGGCTTGGGACTGCATCAGGCATCGGCAGTTCACCTGGTACGGGGTGTGAAGGTATATAGCGGGTATCGTACTGCAGTGGGTTGCCGAAAGTGGGTATTGGTGGTGGAGGGGCGAACGACCAGTGCTCTGCGGATCTAGAGAGCATTCTTTCGGCCGGGATAGGGGGCTCACTGCTGCCGTTATAATATCGCATGTCGTACGCCGGTGCACCGTAATTTTGATCGTAAAGCATGCTGAATGCGTCCCCGCGGAGACCCTGTTCTGAAGCGACCGCCACCGGGACCAGGCCGCTAAGGGCTTCCGTCAAATCTTGTTCCGGACTCGTCGCCATCGGAGGGTATATGCGACGCGTAGGTTCGCCGTTGAGGGGTGGCTGAATGTGCGACGAGTTGAAACCGGCGTTGGAAGCAGTGGGAGCAGAAGGCGCCAGGTCCACTTCACGATACGCATTTCTGGCGGGTAATAGGAGTCTGAAATTTGAGTAGCCTTCTTCTGCATCGGTTCTCATGAACCCATTCAATGTTTCCTGATCGTTTATCAGGCAAACGTCGCCGTTTGGCCCCACGTAGGTTATTCCGACTGAAGCCGTGGTTATCGGAATATTGTGCGCTCCTGCAATCTAGGATATGTTTGGTCCATCGCGTATTGGCCAAAATATGGTTGATACCCAGACCATACCTGCTCACAAATGTTGCTCCATGAAACCGGTGTCCCTTGTGGTATGACTATCGGCCGGTATCCATCGTCAGGATGAATCGTCACGTACCAATTTCGCCAGGAAGGGCCACTCGTCGTTGTTGTTGGCGTTGGGACACCAGGAGAGACTGATATTGAAGGCCATCTTGCGGAGGACATTTTGTGCAGTTCCCGTCCAAAAAAGAGTCGATTTCAAGTGCTTGTTCTCTCAAGCGGAAAGAGTCCTCTTGGAAGTCCTTGCGAATACTTTATCTTCCAACATCCTCCGAAGTTCGCTCGGACTTCGTATCCAGTACGCAACGCAAAGCGCATACGCCTGCCCTGTGCACACCTCGGGCATATGACGCGGTGAGCCCAAACCCCTTTTCTACGAGTTTTCTCCTTTTTTTTTTTTTCAAATCTTAATGGGAAACAGTTTCTAAATCAAATTTAATACGTTCGGCACCCGGTTTTGGGAACCGGGCTTCTGCGGTACGCCGGTACCAGCTGCAGTGAAGCCCTGCCCCTACTATGAACTAGCCCCTCAACATGGGCGTTCTTTCGTTTTTCATTTTCCGTTGTACGGCGAAGCTTTCCAGTCATTAATGAACATCGTAATGAGCATCAACCCAAATCATACGCGCTGTCAAAATTTTTCTAAAACAATACCGGTGCAGCCACGGACACAAACCAGCCTGATGCACGGCCAACCACGGACAAAATTTCATACTTCATAGATCTGATCAATTTCGGGCGCCGCATGGAGATGCAAGAGATTGAAGGCCAAAAAAAGTTGTGCGCTTGGCAAACATGAGCTGTATTGCCGTCACCCCACTTTCTCGAAGCACTGTACATCGTAGACACCCGGCCATATGTATAGGAAGGTGGCGTCTACAGGTGCACATACGAGAGTCTGTGGTGTGTCCTTGTCGATGGTACAGGGAGCTTGCCGAAAAAATGAAAAGTGCTGCTTGTATCCCCCCCCCCCCCCCCCCCCATTTTGCGCCCCGTGCGTGGTACGAGATGCTGAAATGGCATTGAATCGAAACGTGCAGTTGCAACCAAAAAAAAGTTGTAAGAGAATGATAGAAGACTCTAATCTGAGTATGCCAATTGCCAAGCGCAATCATTTGCTCCCGGTACGGTACGCCACCAGCTCTGGTAATCCCGCTCTACGCTCGTTAAGCTTTTCAGACTTGTGCCTGGGAGTATTCCTCACCAATGGCTCTTAAGTCCGCCAGATGCCGCATCGTCGGCCTTCCGTGTGGGCAGTTCTGCAACGAAATCAAATATGAATATTTGCTAGAGCAGCCGCGTTGAACAATAATCCATACTCACCCAAGGCTGCTCCATCTCACCCATCTGAAGGACGATCTAAGGCAAAAGCGATGCACTAAACACAGCGAACCACTTACTAAATCAAGAAATGCGGGAACCTCGAAAAACTAACCTTCTTCATTTGTCCCGCGTCCAAGGCTGTCCCTATCATCACAGCCGTTCGACACGCCTTCGAGGCCATCAAGGTGTTGACCCTTGAGCACTTGACGTCCTCATCGGCTCCATCCCCCAGCCGGTGAATAAGCTCTTCAAGATCTGCGAGTTTCCGGTTTCAGGTTGGCTGATTCACGGGTTCCAGCCTAGACTGTTTCTTTACCTTTAACGGTGAAAGATACACCCTTGCTTTGAGGGAGTGCGAGGAGCTTTACGCGTTGGGAAGGTGGTGCCTCCACATCAAATGCGACGTGAAAGCCGTTGTTCCTGGATCGCATAATGTAAGTAAGATATGTTGGCGTCGGAGAGTTCCACCCGGAGCCCCTTACCTCAACACATCTTCATGTTCTGCCGCGATCAATTCTTGTTGAGCGGTAAGGTCGAGCACGAATGGACTACCGAACAACGTCAGCACCGTTTATGATCATTCCAAGCTTCAGCCTTTATGTACCTGAACAGCTTCTGAGAGTCAATCTTCATCGTCCTCCGCAGGTTCTCATAATTGAACTTTTCGTCACTGTATATAGTTTCGTCCCCATTAGCCTTTGGTCGAGTCAGCCGACGACAACAGATGCCTCACCTAGCATGCTGATCGACTATAAACAGATCATTGCCCAATCGGACGATGATGAAGCCCAGATTAAACTGTCCCAAAACCTCCATTTTCCGGAAATCCTCTTTCCGAATCCTCCTGTTCAGCTCCTGAACAGCTGTCTGCTCATCAACCCCAACGGGCACAGTCTCTACATACCGGTCGCACATGGATACGCCGTTTTGTCGGCGCCGCTGGTAGAGGCTTGCTGATTTTAAAATCTGTGGAAGGTTGATAGCCACCTGAACATCTTGCGTGATGTCGTTCAGATATCGGGACAGACCCGATGTACTTCGTTTGAGTGGTGACGCTGCATTCGGCCTTTGCGAAACCGAAGGACTTGGCAATTCCGAAGAATCCAACGCTTGCTCAGTGGGCGATCCCGCGGTTGCATCATCTTGGGGTAGACCCCTCAAAGCATGCGGGGAGATGCTCAGGACATCGGGTCGAGATGGCGATGTTCGCCCAGGCGAGATCTCCCGCGCACGCTTCCGTGACTCTTCCGCCCGCAACTCTTGCGCCAATGGGTGCTTCACCACTATTGAGCGGGTGACGTGTTTCGTTTTACCCAAAACGGGTGATTCTGCCGTGATTATCTCGTCCGCAAGGTTCGAAAGAATGTCCATTTCGGAAGGTACTGATGTTCTGTGTGGCGTTGCTACTGATGGCACTGCTGAGATAAGAGTTTGACTTCCGACGAATATCATCTTGGATGGAGTCTGGGTCTGGAATGCTCCCTGATGGGACTCGAAAAAGGTTCTGAGGTCCTCCTAAGAAAGTAGGCGATCTCAGCGAATGAACGGAGGTTTGGATTCATCCCTTGACCCTGAACGATACCTTAAGCGCTTCCGCTATTGCTTTTTCACCTTCCAACATGATCGTCCTCTTGTCCGGTGTTACGTTCACATCGTACCCGCCTGGCGTGTAGTATTCGAGGGTCAGGATATCCTTTGGCTAAGCTTTGCCAATCGCCTTCTCCCAAGCTCCATGTCATACCGGCAGCAATGGTAAAGTTGACAATCGCCATTGGATACTTATGTGTCACATACGACATGTATACCTCGTTCATTGCCTTGGTGAGCTGCAAGATCGTCAACGGACTTGGATCCGCACAATTATACGCATAGCCAAAGGAGCTTACCTTTGGAATATCACACGGACGTCCATTGACGAAAATAAATTGTCTGTCGCCACTGTTTCTAGCGCACTGCGGAGATGGCCTTTCATCGCGCATCAGTTTCGGTCAGCACCTAACGGTTCTCGAGATTTCACCGCCTTACCGCGAGATAAGACCTTGTACTTTGATTCTGTTCAAAGTGCAGACATCAGCGATTTGAATCACTGCGAAGCAGGTTCGAAATTGTTCTCCTACATTCTACCTATAGCCTCCGACTGTTGCAGAGTCAAATCTAGTGGCACCAATTGAGCATTGAGCTTCGACCCGAAAATGTTCGAGACGTTGTCCGTTAAGGACTGATTTCCATGAGTTGCAATCACTCGAGTCCGTTCACTATTACAGTACGTCAATGTCATGCTCAGGTAATGTAATGATGCCATGAATCGTACCCCTTTCCGAACTGATTAGTGAGGGAAATTCGGACTCCTGTAGAAATGAGTGCGTAGGCTTGAACAATCCCGACGCACTTTGCGAATTCTTTCTTCAGATTGCGTTTGAACTCATGCAAGCGGACTGGCAGGTTGTGGAACAGATCGGATAGCGTCACGGTTGTGCCTATCAGAAGGATTCAGCAACATCGTCCCATCGAGAACCACCGGGATGTAGACGGCAATACCACGAGATCTTGGAGCCGGGACGGTGGACACCAGCCTGCCCCTGGAGTCGTATTCAAGTTTGACCCCTACGTGTCCTTGCTCCTCCGTACACGTTGTTACCACGACTTTCGCAAAGGCACATAGGGAGCTTAGGGCTTCTCCACGAAAGCCAAAAGAGCTGACGCTGTTAATGTCCTCAAAGTCTCTAATCTTGGATGTCCAATGCTTGAGTGCTACAGGAGAAAGCATGAGACTCGGTGCTTTTGAGACCGGGGCAGGATAGGGCACGCTTCCTACCAAGCGCGGCGTAGTCGTCCGGAGGAATCCCTCGCCCGTTGTCTGTGGAGATTTCGTGAGTTGTGTTATGAGGGAACATACACAGCGAGGTCCTACCTACGACTTCCACAGCATCGGCACCATGCTCTTTCAATCTGATTTCTATTGACGTTGCACCAGCATCGGCACTATTCTCCACTAATTCCTTGACCGCAGTTGCTAAGTCAAGTACGACCTGCCCTGAGCAAATCCGATGGACGGAACCCTTGTCTATAGCTTTGATGCTCCCGCCGTCCGGGCTCACCATTGTAGCTGCGATATGTACTGTACGACTACCTCTCGTGCTCTACAATTCACAAGAGCGATAACAAGTCCGAGACTGAAGCGATGGCCGACCTGCTGACGTAGCAGTGTAGGACACTCGACTCCAGCGTCTGTGCGTGCCGCCTCGCCGCTGTCCCCTCCGTCAGTGCTTCAACATTGGGTGGTAAAATGGGAATGACGGACGAAGCCACGCTTCAAATCCATAGGAGACGCGTCGAAGTTCGAAGTGCTCAAATGCTCAGAAGGAACTCTCAATTGAATGGAGTAGGCCGGCGTCGCTGGACACCTTCGGAAACCCTGCGTAACAATCAAGCAAAGTGAGCAGCGTCAGACAGCTCAGCTTATTCTCAGCTGCTGAAGTTGGTCAGCGACTTTGGGCATGCAAAACTTTGCGGAGCTCCAGCTCACCGCTGCTCACCGTCCAACATTACTGCCGCGGGAGACGATCTCCGTACTGCAGAAGGAGGTGGGCTTATATGAAGGGTTAGATAAATCACACTGTACCTGGGTTCCTGAATGACAGCTCGGGACGGCCTAACAGAACAAAACAGGAAAGTGCGCCTGCAGGAACACGATAGTGGGGTAGCTTTCGTCACAACACACAGACTGCTATGGGTGGACGATGCTCGTGATACGGGGCTGCAGCTACCCTTGTCCATAGTCCAGGATGTAGACTCTGCGGTTCGTTCTAACATCCCGTGCCTTTACGTCTTCTTCTCGCAGTATCTAAAGTATGTCTGCTGTGTTGGCGTTCTTTTCCTTGCGCAGGCTGGAATATGGAAAGCTTCGTCTCCGAAAATCACATTGACTCTCGCTGGAAGACCTGGCAGTGGCTCCGCGCGCCTAACCGCAACTGCCGAGGCGAGGGCTACTTTAGATGGAGGGAGGGACGGTTCATCCTTCCGGCCGTGGACATGCGAGATTTGCGCCCAAGAGAACACGCGGGAGCCTGTGAAATGCGAGCTCTGTGGAGTCCAGAGGACTGTCCCGCCGAACGAAAGCATTGATGCCTCTGCCAGCGCAGATGGCCGCTCAGATTCCCCCGTGCGGAGCCAGAAACGATGCCCCGCTTGCACCTTCCTTAATCATGCCGCCCTACCATACTGCGAGATGTGCCAAGCACCTTTACCTGCTGATAGGGTATGGCCCGCATCACATTTGCTTTTCTCTATAACGGGACATCCGTTCTCGGCTTGCGGATCAACTCATTGCTGGCTGGCAGAACGACAGTGTGCCGAACCCTGAGCCTGCAAGTCCATCCATCGCCTCCATAAAGCTGTCGTTCCGCAACGGAGGCATGTCAGAATTCCTCAAGGCTCTGAAAGCTTCGCTGGTCGAGAAGGCGTGGGAGGTACGGTTTCGACGTGCAGTTTGAGGTTTGCATATGAAGTCTGGGTCTGATCACGTCTTCGATTTCAGCGGGATGTACCAGAAGAAAAACCTCTGCGCAGTGCTCCTTTACAGCCATCACCGGGTCTTGGCGGAATCAGTGGGTACTTCAACGTGTCTTTATACGCCAAGCTCCCCGGTGCTGATTATAGCCAATGAAACAGCGAGCATTATTCGATCTGTTGAGCAAAGTAACCAGCGGACGGGGGATACGCTTGGAGAAGCCTTCACTGACCTGGATGCATTGATGGCCAAGGCAGCGGACATGGTATGAATGCCACTGCACTGCTAAACGGCCGGATGGGATCTTACCAAGGTTTCTTTCAGGTGCGCTTGGCTGAGGACATCAGCACAAAACTTGCGCAGACGAGCACCCCATCAGGCGATGAGTCCTCGGAAATGGTGGCTTTCCGTTCATACCTGATAGACTTAGGGATATCCAGCCCGGTGACCAAGTACGTGCACCAAACCTCAGTCTGCGTCTCCCGCCATGGGACGCTGCAACGGATATTGACCCCATCTTCAGAAAATCAACCGGAAACCTATATACGAAGCAACTAACGCGGCAGTTAGCGGATTTCTTGGAGAAAGTGCTAGCAAAGCATGGTGGCATGATAGCCCTGACGGACCTCTACTGTCTCTTCAACCGCGCCAGGGGAACAGGTGGGTTGGAGTTGACCCTCTCGTTCCTATGAAATCCGCAACAACAATTCACATCCGAACAGCTCTAATATCACCAAATGATCTGCGCACATGCTGCAATACATTCGAGGAATTACGACTTCCGTACCGTGTCAGAAAGTTTGACAGTGGTCTCTTGGTAGTGCAGTCTAGCAATCATCGGGACGAGGAAGTCATAGCCCGCGTTCATGCACATGTCCGTGCCGCTAAAGACGGACTTCAGGCCCAGGACCTTGCCACATTGGAGCATGTGTCTGTTGTGCTGGCAGCGGAACAGCTTTCGGTACGTCCTTTGCGGCTGCATCTCTCCGTCCTCCCTGCCGGGAAAGCTAAAGTTCAACATTTCCAGATGGCTGAAAGTCATGGGGTTATATGTCGGGATGATACGATAGAGGGGTTACGATTCTTTCATAATATCATGGTTGATTGATTGAGAACGTAAATAGGAGCACATTGAGACAATTGAATGTAAACTAAGATGTGCTGGATGACGAGGACGTCAAGGGAGAGATTGTTTTAGTCGGGTAATCTTGATATAGGTGTTCGCGATCAGCGTATAGTGAAAGAGGAAGGTACTGTAGGAATACTCCGTGACGTGAGCGGTCAATCGTGCCTGGACCCTGTCAAATGGAGCCCAACAACCTTAAACCCGGTAAAGCTTTATCACGCCTGCAATAAATCTGCACTTCTTGAGATACCTTTCGAGTCTGAATCGGAAATCCTCCCATCCGAAGTTCCTCTCTAAAGTTGGCAGAACTATGAGCATGAGCTCCTCATCACCGATCCCCACACGGCGGACGCTCGCCATCAAGCGGCACGCAGATATCGTGAACGTCCCAAAATGGAAGGAGAAGGAGATGGCATCCCTGCGCAACGGGCCGCGTGCTACGTTTTACATGAACAACGGCGACCGTTATATAGGCGACTGGAAGTCTGGGAAAAAAGATGGTTGGTTTTGAGTTGTGGAGTTGCGGGCCGTCAGATGTGTCAGCCCTTCAAGATCCTGATGGAATGCAACTTTTCGAATCGTTGTAGGAAACGGGACATACTTCTACACAGTCAGCGGGGCCGTCTATCAAGGCGAATGGTCCGATGACCAGCGGTCTGGTTATGGCACCTATTCCATCCCCGTCGGTCCGTCCTCATCCACCTCAATGAATACCGCCATGCCCGACCAGCGCCGCTCGCCCGACCTCCCACTCCTGCCATCCCTCCAATCTCTAAAAGGCAAAAGCCCACCTGCCTCTGGCAAACACCGAAGACCCACACCCGACGCCCAACTCCGCAAAGTCTACGCCGGCGAGTGGCTCTACGACGTGCGCCACGGTCGCGGCACCTGTTTCTACGACGACGGAAGCGCGTACGATGGCATGTGGGAAGGCGACGTGCGGCAGGGGTGGGGCCGGATGACCTATGCCTCCGACAAGAGCGTATATGAAGGCGAGTGGCATCAGGGGCAGAGGCATGGGCAGGGGGTGCTGTTGTTGGCAAATGGAGATCGGTATGAGGGGACGTATTTCAATGATTTGAAGGAAGGACCGGGCAAGTTTATCTATAGACGGAAGAGGCAGGCCTACGAAGGCGAGTGGGCGCTGGATATGCCAAAGTGCGGGACGTTGAGGGATCTGCCGGCGCTTGTGGGACCAGAAGGGAAAGGCCCAGGTGCCCGTGCTTGGTGGCCAATACCACCGGTGAGTGAGATCATGCCATGGCTTGTTCCGTTTTCGAGGATGATGTCTGACAAGGACCTATCAAATGCAGCTCACACTGAAGGATTCGCAAAGCGTCATCGCAATGGAGCGCCGGGCAATCTTGGAGGAGCGCCTGCAAAGGGTTATGTTCAATAATGAATCCCAGCAGTACCCAGCTGATGTGTACGGACATGAATGAAGATTAATAAGAAAGGCGTCGTAATATCAGAAATGATAGATGGGGTTTTCGCTCATTGGGGTTGCAGAGAGAGTTTTGAGAAGGAGGTTGTGAAGGGATGTAGCTCAACGGGGGAGGAACGGATTATGCGGAGCTGACTTTCGCCAGTCCCTCCCGTAACACGTTGAGGAATTGCGGATATGAGTAACTAGCATCGATGCGGTCTTCGATGAGCTGCGACAGGAACTGCATGCGGAAGTAGGGATCGCCGTCTTCCTTGACCACGTACAGATGTGGGTAGGTGGTCATCATCTGCAGTCGTACTTCCCGGACCTTGCCAATGATGTTGTTGATCTTGGTGCTGAAGTCGTTTTGCAAAATGGGCAAAGTCGTCTATTTTACGTAGATGAGCCCATCATTTAGTTGCGGGATCAGGGTTATGCTTGAGACAGCCTTTGCCGTCCAGACAGTTGATGCTTACCTTTCCGACACCCACGGCGTCGTACGATGGTTTGTCGAACAGCTTTTGGATCAGCTGGGGGTCAGTGCCGCGGCTGACCCACAAGAACATCTCGAGACCATTCTCCAAAAGATACAGTCCATGGCGCTCGAGCTTCTCAGCGCTGAGGTTGAGTAACGGTGGGAACACAATCTTTCCGTCACCGCCCGGAAGACCGACCTGAGTAACCATCGCGCATTGAGGTCAGATCAGAAATTCGAACCCGCGAGTAGGGCACCTCGCATTCGTGTCATACCTGAGGCTCTAAGGCATGCAAGGGCCAGAAGCGGGGATGAATCTGTACAAGACACATCTCCGGAGGCAAGACGTAAAGCATTGCCATCAAATAGGAGCGCAGATCGCTCGAGACCGTGCTCGTTGCGCGGAACGCCGTCTAAAGGCGAATGTCAGAATACCTTTTCGGTTCATCGTATAGAGACACAGAATGATGATGCCCTTACGTTCTTCAGAAGCCCCAGAACCATCAAAGGCAAGAGTTTCAGGTTCTCAGGGACAAGCAATTGGACAGCTTGGCCCGAAGTCGTGAAGGCAGACTTGTACGATCCCATAATGTCGTCCAGCTTATACATCAAGGCTTCCCGGGCATCCTCGATTTTCGACGTCAAGGCGCGCTCCACACCTGATGTCATGAATCAGCAATGCAGCATGGTTAGCGATGCCATTACAAAGCTTGCAGCTCCTGAGACACTCACCCTTTTTGGCCAGAAGTGACGCAACGGCGAACTGATCTGTTGCGGAGAACACGTCCGCCAGGTTGTTGGTTACAGGTACAGCCAGGGTGATGACGCGGATTCGGCGCTCGCCTGTAAAATGGACACGGTGAGTATTGCTTAAAACAGTCGCAAGCTCGAATAATGCTAAATGAAAGCAAATAAACCCACCTGTGCTGCTTGTGTGCAAGAGAGCAGTTTGGAAGCACGCAAGCGATGTCGACAAGTTTTCCGTCAGCGTCATTTCGACAGCGTACGAATTGTCGGGGCTGACATTGGGGAGGGAGAGGAGATCGGTCGAGCGCAGGAAGAAGTTTCCATGGAAAGCCGTCATCCTAATGCCCTTTGATGCCCTGACACGCATAACCGCCTCCAGGCCAATGGGGCGAGACAGGAAGTGCGAGAATTCATGTGCGAATTTCATGGCGTCTTCTGACCGTGAGGCGTTGAATCCGGGGTAGAAGTACACGGATCCTCCAGTGAACTTTGCACATCCACCTGGGTTGTTGCAGTTAGCCTTTCCGATACGCCATGTCTCCGATACGCCATGTGAGGATAGATTGGCCACTTACTGAGGGTGGCCACGTCAGCGTACTGTGAGCTGAAGAGGAACACATCTATGCTCACTTGACTTGGAGAGCAAGCGACGGCCATGTTCTTGTAGAACGGTTGTTGCGGCTGGAGAAGACTGACCTCCTAAAAATAACAAAAGTGTCAGTTCCGCGTCTCACTTCCGCCTAATCTCAATCCTATACCGACCTTCGGCGTTCCCAGAAGTTTAGGGTCTTCTCTAGGCTTCAGTGCTCCCTCGTTCTGATTTGGCAATGTCGCCTGCAGAACGATGATCTTCCCTCCAATTGGGCTCTGATAATTGATCTCAAGTCAGCCGAAGCCCAAGTGATCAACAAAACCCCCGTGACGCTTCTTACGATCATTTTGTGCGCCGCCTGGATCGCTCGCCCCAGAACACTGCCCACATTCTGAGTGTTCTTGAACATGTCTGATACCCGTTGCAGCAACGCTTCGATGAGTGCCCGCGACTCCGTCAAGGAGACCAGCAGATCGTAAGGCATCGGAAGGAAGACTTCGTCTAAATCTGATACCACTAGCATTTGCGGCTCAGAGACATTCGGCTACAGAATCTTTCATGATAAGTATTCTCCAAACTTTGCCCCTCCTTCCCGACAGTGTCTGCTTACGCTGAGGTTGTAAAAGTGTAGGGCACTATCCACTGTAATGAATCCTACTTTCGTACGAGCGTCAGTGTTTGGAATAGCGTCTAGTGTATCCAGAATCGTCCTAGCAGCCGTAGCAACCATGCCTATGTTGTGAACCTAATTGTCAGCGATCATCCCGTTGATCAACAGGTGGATGGCGCGAGACGTTACCAGATTGGACGGCGGCATGAGAGACGTCAATGATGAAAAGCATGACCACTGGTTGAGGCGGTCGAACCTTTCGGGATGAGGGTATCAGCAACCGACACAGTGTCACTTCTTAGATATGCAAAGAAGCTCACCATGTATTCCTGCGGCGCGACATACTCGACAGTCGCATGGGTCAACTCTGGCCGGGCCATCCGGTCCACATGCTCCCTAGTGTCAGGATCCCAGTCGAAGAAGCTTGGCACTATTGATTGAAAAATGTTAATGCCATAAGGCATGTATGACAAGCACATGATTCCAGATTCACCTTCGTTCGTCAGGAAGCACAGATTACACTTCCACCGACTTCCCTGGTCCACAAACTGCACCCATGGATTGATGTACGATCGACATCTCCGGCACCTCACAATTTGTACCGGGTTGATCAGAGGGACGGGTTCCTTCAAAATTACCTGTTAATGGCTGAAAGAGAAGACGGCACGACATGTCAAAGGCGCCACTCACCTCCCCGTCCAGCAAGTGTCTATATGGCGTCACCAATAGCCCGAGTGGAATTTTGCATTTGTTCAAGAGTGTCATAGTTTGCGGAATTGCATTCATAGTGCATCGTTTGTATTTCACGTCTGCGTTTGATTCCGCGTGTTGTGAAACAGACGACTGAGGGGAAATCCAAGGGGCCGGCACCGGGTTGTCTAGTTGCTCAATGGTCGGAGGACCTTGCAACAGATTGAGCGCCGTGGGACCGCCCATCTAGAACAATCAAGCGGTTAGTTTCCCGGATTTTCGTACGAAATAGAGGTTTGACCATTTACCTGCGCTGACATGTTCATTTGAGAGAAGGAATTCGTCATTTGTCCTACATCGGCGGCACTGCCATATTGCGGAACAGATCCCATGTGCCCTGGTTGACCCGTCCATTGAGGTTGCTGCTGCTGCTGGTGCTGCTGACTTTGAGGCTGCTGCGGGCCACCATAGCCCTGTTGCTGCTGAGGAGCACCTTGTCCGCCGAACATGGGGACTTGAGCGCCTTGTCCTGCGAAGCCTGGTGTTTGGCCCTGCTGCCCGCCAAAGGCCGGCGTTTGCGCCTGTTGGGCCCCGAAGCCCTGGCCGGTGGCGCCGTGCTGACCAGGCTGCACGGGATTGAAAAATTGCGGTGCATTCTGTCCAGCTGGTGACAGAGGAGCAGTCTGCGGGGTCATTGGCCTATCTCCGTATGGGGACTGTGCCGAAAAGGGATCCACCTGAGATACGGTGTTTACATATGGATCCGATGTGGGATACGCTCTTCGGCCAGCACGAGACCCTGGAGGAGCTGCTCCGGGGCCTGGTGGAGGGGGCGTGCCAGTTACTGGCGGAATGTAGTTCGCAGGCAGTCTTCCTGGTCCTCCTGCTGCACCGAAGCCCGATGGAGCCCCTGCTCCCACTGATCCAGGTGGCGGCATGCCGCTAACATTTGGAGCCGAATATCCGGTACCGGGCGAGACTGGAGATATCTGAGGGTGGCCCGACTGTTGCGAAGGTGCCGGGCCGCCAGGCCGCTGCATGGGTGCACCAGCTACAGGAGACGCGATAGGGAAGTTCGGAGTTGGGGATCGCAATCCAGACCCGTCCTGCCCGCTGCCATAGGAATTTGTCTGCTGCAACGTAGGCGCCCCCTGTGGGCGAAAGTTTTGGCCCAGTGGTTGTCCTGCCCCAGCGTTAGGTTGCCCAACAGCACCCTGCTGCGGCCCCACGCCTGGTCTGTATGCGTGCATGCTGATTGGCGTTCCCGGGGTACCTGGAGTGCCTGGTGTACCGGGTCTGTTGACGTGTATGTTTCCGACGGGAGCTGCATGGGAAGGTTGTTAGGTGAGAAGGTCACTGGCTGAAACACAAAAAACAGGAATAAGACCAACCCAACGGTCTTCCCGGCAGTTGCCCGGGTACAGGACTACCAGGTATCTGCCCTTGTGGGCCCTGTGGACCGCCAGGCCGAAAATTTGGATTCTGATTTTGTAAACCCAAGGGCATCGCAGGCCGACCCAGCGGTTGTCCCCCTGGTTGCCCTGGGGCGCCCGGATATTGCGGACGCTGCATAGGGTAGTTGGGTTGCGGTGCGGCCATTCTCGAGTTTCCCACAGTCGAGCGGGTAAGCTACAGTCTGGGGAGTCGGAGAAAAAGAGGGGAGGATGCTTATAAGCCAGTTATGTTTTCACACCATCGGCTCATCTTGACCGCCAGCCATTACGCCTACGCGGCCTGGTTTGACCCATGCAGCTGACTTGTAGGAAGCAGAAGGCCAAGCACATACCTGGAGGAAGCTTACTGGCGACAGTGAGCGTGCGCCTGTACTGCTGTATATATATGCGATATGTGAGCGTGGGAATGCCACGTATTAAGTTCGCCGAGTAACGAATGTGGCACCTCCAAACTCAGCGCACACTCGGCCGCCCGATTGATTGCGATGATCGCGACAAGCACGGTTGGTTGCATAACTTGCATTGCCGTGGCCGCCGCATCATAAACCAGATAAACCTTCGATTCATGCCACTTTCCCACATACGTACACTGAGGGTATATGAACACACACACAGCCAGACAGAAAAGGCTCCTCCACCATCTGATTAAGGACCACTCTTACATGCTTTACACGGCCTTATCATGCTTTTTAAGTCACATCACAAGCATCACTCTATGGCGCTACAGTGCGCTAAGTGTATATCACAGAAAAAAATACTGTAATTCCGCTGCATCAAATTGCTGGTATATTCACAGAATAGAGATGGCTTTGTTAACATGATGAAGGTAAAAACAAGTTTGGACACAAGGAACAGGAGTAAGTGTTGCCCATGTCCAGATGTACAGGAGGTACAACAACATCATCTGCGCGGATTGATGCCCATGGGTCGCAATGATCAGAACCTCCTGTATGTATGTACATCTGGACATGGGCAACACTTACGAGCCTCCTGCATTTGTTTCTCATACGCCGAGTCCGCTGCCACTGCGACCTCATACATCCTGTAGAGGTCCGGTTTGCGAATACTTCCAAGTACAGCATTTCTCCACCAATTCACAACGTCAGACAATCCAATGTCTCATCCATTGCGCTTTCCGTGTACTTGCATCGGAGGGGCTATCAAGCCACCATTGCAAAATCTCGACTTGCCCTTCCTTTGAGGCCCAGTCTTTGCATCAACAGTGTAGGGGCACCTGAGTCCGCTGTTTTACCACCATTCCCGTACAAGAACATGCCCGTTCGCTGAAGCCCCGTTCGGGGAACCTCCCACTCCAGACCTGAGTCCTTAGGCCACTCCAAGATTGCAACCTTCCCATTTCCTGATGCCAAGTCCCACGCTATATCTGAGCAGACGCATCTCAGGCTACTCCTTTTCCAAACATTGAGGAGATCCTTGTGGTTTTCCCTGGAGGCGTGTTCCATCGAACATTCGGGTGTGTGCGGAATGCACTGGTCACGAATCCGCAACAAGCGCAGATCCACGGCGACGAGAAAACGTTCTTTCACTGGGAGATATGCAGCAACCTCCTCGATTCTCGTAGGGCCGGCATGGTGGCGTGTGGGCGGGAGTTGCTGAAGAACGAGCCCACTTTGAGTGAGCAAGTTGTCGCGAGTGTTACGCGTCGTGAGACTCTTGAGAGCTTGAGACTGGAGGACTCGCTTGAGACTGGCTCAGCGTTTGCAGATTGGTGGACGTGCATGCAAAAACCGCAAAAACCGCAAAGTCCGTCCTGCCAACCAGCCTGCCAACCCATCCTGAGCTTGAAGCTGTACTACTCTGCCCTGGGTGCTTTCTGAAAGGGATATATATCTGGTAGATTTCGTCACTCCTAGCTCACAACGCAACCCATCCAGGAAATTGTCCAGCAGCACGACAAGTCTGATGCAGGTTCAGATCCTCGGCCGATTTACAACATGTGCGGACCGGGTTGCTAAGCTCCACCCATACGCAGCCACTGAACCGCTTTGGGAGGGGGAGTTGAGCAAAAACGATTTTGGAACTCGGGTCGAGCATCTCACTCAATTTAGCCCTGGCGGACGAGTTCTATCGTTTGATACCGAGGTGTCTGTTGTTGGTGGCACGGTATTCACCTACAACGGCGGCGTACACGGGCAAAGTTTTACCGCTCAAACCCAGTCTGGGAAAGGAGGTGCTTACGAAACACAGACCGATGAGCTTCGCCCCATCGCCACCCCATTTTACGCGCGCTTCCGTGTTGAAGAAAGTGTCGTTACAGACGCACCGTCCCGTGCGTGCCAACTTCGCAGAGCTCTGACCGTGTTGTACCCGCGCTCAATCACCTTATACTTTGACAATGGGGTAACGGAGCAGGTACCTATACCGTATCAGCTGGAAGCCGCTTGGCCTTTGCGCGAAGGTATCCTCATCAGACGGAAGGATGGACGTGGTGAAGATGCAACAGGGTCAGCACTGTATACTCTGAGAAGTGCATTGGATTACCCTCGCCCGGTTTCCGTTGGCAAACGCGTAAAGCCACCGCATGGTGGGGTGTCGGCGTCGTCTGCTGTAGTCAATGGAGCATCTCATGCGACAGAAGCGTTCGGTCGCATTTTAAAGGTTTCGGTCGCCGAAGATGCTCCGCAGATGATTGTCGCGTTTAATGACGGGAACAGGAAGCACAGCATATGGATGTGTTCGGATAGCGTTGGGAAAGTCGATGCTGAACCGCCTGTTGCAGACATTGCGCTACCCATGCGACGGGCGCTAGAGCCTGATTTCGGCCTCAGCCTCCTCTGGGAAGAAAGCGAGCCTGGCAGTTTAGGATTGAAAGATGCAGCCGAAACTACCTCGGTGTCTCCCATCAACGCGCATTCGGCGGTCATTTGTTTTTTGGGCCTGGCGCACGACGGAGAGGAATACTCCAGCGCGCAGGGTCGGCGGCGACTTGTGGCCTTACAATGCTCTCTTTCCGTTGGCACATCGGATAATAGAGCAGCATGGGAGATCTTGTGGAGCTTGCCCGCCTTAGGGGCAGTGCAGCTGAGATGCGTCAGATCGAAAGCATTCGACGTGTTAATATTGAATCCGGATCACACGCTCAAGCTCTGGACGGGTAATCAGGGATTTGTTGCTTGCAAGATTCCCACCGACTTTCCGTCAGTTTTATCAGGGCACTTGACTGGGCCTGGAAAGCGGCCCCGGTCTCCCGACGATACCGACCCAGGCAAGACAGACAGCATGGAAGACATCAGCGTTCCGGAGGCAGAGCCTGGATTCCGAACATCCCGAATCGTGCAGCTCAGCAGCGCCGCAGACAATCGCTTCAATCTTGAGCTTTCGAATGGCACCACATATCGCGCCACCCTGGAACCTAATTTCCGGTCGTCCGTTGTCCGTAGATGCGTCGAAGCTCTGAGACATGCGTTACCTGTGGACTTGTTTGACGCCTTCCAGCAGCGCCTTTTCACGTCGCAACATGGCACTGCCCTCGAACCGACGACTGAAGGCGATTACGAATGGCAGACGTTGGTTGGTGTGCTATGTTCCTTCTGCCGTCAGCGATTCCCCTCGGATCGCAAAGAAGCACAATCACCGAAGCGCCAGCGACCAGATTCCTTGACAACTCTTCTGAATCGGAGTAAACGGAAACGCCGTTGGATTGCAAAGTTGGTGGAACAGGCTTCTCATCTCCTTGCGGAAGAAGATGACGTATCGCAAGACACCTGTGTCCCGTCATGTCCTTCGCCGACGTCGCGCTTTGACCAGCTTGCCCAACACCCGAATGGCCCAAGTCTGACACCACATCTTCCGACAATCTTATTGTTCTTGCACGTGGTTTATGAAGATTTGAAGTTGAACATTCTGACAGCAAAACATGCTTCAAGACTTGCCCATGTGCTCCTTCACATCGCAAAGTCGCTTGAGTGGTCCGACTACGTATATTACTACGGCCAGGAGCAGCCAGAAGAGTCATTGGTGGATCTGTATTTTGGTACTTGTGGCACTTGGCTTCTTACATGTGGTATTGATACTGACACAATCGCCCGATAGACCCACTGCTTCAACCGTGTCCAATCCCACCAATCGACTTCCTCAGCTGGACTTTGCAGAAGACTCGGAGCAATATGGAAAACACGAGCGCTTTGGACGCTTTGATAGAGCTTATGCGCAACAAGGATAGCGAAGCAACGACTTTCCTCCGCAGCACCAGGGTTTATACGATCTCAAGATTGTACACTGAATTGCATTCCAACGGTGCGGTTGGTCTGGTTCAGGGCATGTTGGAGCATAGTATCGACAGAAACGCGCTAGCGACGCTAACTACAGGAATCGGGTTACCTCTTCAGCAAGCGATTGATGACTGTCGTGAAGACCCTCCTGGAGATTGGTCTGTCGATGCGTACCTATTGATCGGGAGAGAGGATCTAGCCACACAGGTAGAGCAGCTTTCGAAGCCTCTCTCTGCTGACTTTTCGATGAGTGAGGAGCTTCCCGAGGACACCAGCTCCAAGGCTGACGCCCCCTTCGACGGCACCGAGTCTGCTCAAACGGAGGTGTGCAAGCTTCGATTTAACAAAGATCGCAGAGTTGACGAGGTCCGAAAACTACTGCAATCTTCGCGCCCAATATTGGCCAAGATGGAGCTGGACTTCAACGCGACTGAGGAAAAGCAAAGGGCTGATCAACAAAAATACTTGATGGGCATCTCGACCCGGATTTTGGCGCGACCTTTGGGCCGCGCACCATTCACAATTGGCACGGTTACGCCAGTGGCTACCAACGTCTGTCCCATCCCGGACCTTGTCGTCTCCGCCCGCTTCGCACCGATGACCACTGAAGTTCCGCTCGATGTTTCCAAATCAACACAATCGCCACTGAGTTGGCCGGACTTCCACAACGGCGTCGCCGCAGGCCTCAGCATAGCACCACATCATGAAGTCGTGGATGGCGCGTGGATCGTCTTCAACACGCCTCTTGCAACTGAGGATGGAAAGCGGCATTTGAGCTGTAGGCACGCTGGTTTCCTATTGGGACTCGGGCTTGCAGGGAATCTGAAAAAGATGAATTTATTCGACCTGATCGACTACATGAATCTGAAAGACGAGTACACTGCCGTCGCGCTCCTGCTGGGTCTCGCGGCAACCCACAAGGGCGATCGGGATCTCCGCCATACCAGAATCTGCTACTCGCACATTGAGGCTGCAGAGGATATGGCCGGCAAACCCACAGGGGTCGAAGTCAAAGCCGCTGCTGTGCTCGGTATCGGCTTGCTGCATATGGGCTCGATGGCTCGGCTCCATTGCGAGAAGATGATGTACTTACTGGAAACGATTGAGAATGAACCGTCTGATTTTCCGGAACCACATAGGGAAAATTGTGCTCTGGCCTGCGGCTTTGCGTTAGGCTTTATCACGGTTGGTGGCGTCAGCAGCTCGAAGGCTGCTGGGATTTCCGATCTGAAGCTTGTGGATCGGTTGCTACATTACGCTTTAGGACGCAGCAAACATTACATAATTACGAGCGCGACGCTTGCTCTGGGCCTCATGCAGCTGAAAACCAACGACACAATGATCGCCGATCGACTGGCTTTGCCAAAGACGAGTTACTTCCTGAACCAAATCAAGCCTGACGTGTTGTTGATGCGCACCCTTTGCAGGAGCATCATTTTGTGGGATTCCATAAAGGCCACTGAAGAATGGCTCCTGCAACAGGTTCCGGAATATATCCGTAGAGGCACTCAAGAGTCTGCAGACGACGAAGATTGGGTTGATTTGTACTCTCAGGCTCAGTGGAACATTTTGGCTGGGGCGGGATTTGCGATCGGTCTCAAGTATGCTGGATCCTCTAATGAATCCGCTTTTCAAACACTGCTCTCGTATTGTCGGAAGCTGGCGGACATGTCGAGCACAGGCGGTACGAATCTTTCGTTGGTAGCAAAAGCTCAGTTCAATCGGTAATAACCTCCGTTTCTCTTAGGCTCAATGTTTCGAGACAAGCTCAACCGAGGCATCTTCCGGAACTGTTTGGATGTTATGCTTTTGTCCCTCTGTGTCGTTATGGCGGGATCGGCCAATGTCGAGATCCTACGCTTGCTGCGACGGCTGCATAACCGGACTGCAAGCGAAGTCACGTACGGCAATCACACCGCAACCAACATGGCCATCGGGTTTCTGTTCCTCGGCGCCGGCTCATATACGTTCGGAACCTCGAATGAAGCCATCGCAGCGCTATTATGTGCCTTATTCCCGCAATCCTCATCGCAAACTACGCACAATCGCGGACATATACATGCGGCGCGCCAATTGTGGGCTCTGGCTGTGGAGCGTCGCTGTTTCATCACCCGCGACGTGGGCACTATGGGAAAGTGCTGTCCACCGGTGGTTGTGACTGTGGCTGATGGAGTCGCAACTCGGGAGATAAAAATGAGCACCCCGTGCTTATTACCTGCATACGACAGTATCGTCAAAATCACCACCAGCAGCCCGCGCTACTGGGGCAGAGTATTGGAAGTGGCACACAACCAGCGTCATGCAGAGATCCTAAAGAGTGGCCGTGGACTGTATGTGAAACGTAAGATGCGCTATCTCAACCACATCCAGGACGAGGCCGATTCCGAGGAACCTACATCACGGTCCCTCGACCTGTCATCCACGCACCCGCATGTACCTGAGAGCAGCGTGACCGTTCCCATCAGCTTAGCTCCTGAGATTGCGGGGTTCGCAACCTATCTGTGTCCCGAGAACACAACGTCGGATCCTACGCATGTACTCCTTCAGCGATGCATTGAGTTTGAGAGTCCGGATGCCGTGACACCGCTCATGTGGATCGATGTTACGACGCGGGATCGAGGAAACTTCTCGCGCAGTGCCGTCTTGGCGTTGAAGATCATTCTGGAGAGCTATCAGTCTCGACAGACCGCGTCAGGTTCTAGCCGGGATACTACCTCCGACGGTCTGCGACAGCGGCAGTTACTCCCTGCATCGTTCATCAAGCGACTGCGATCTGAACTTGAGGCACACTTCAGGGCGTTCGAACGTGACGAAAACAACGGGGAGAACATAGTGGACAACCCTTGGAAACTATCTTTGTTCAGATATTTGGATTCCGATGTTGAGAAACGAGCGGTGTTTGCGCCAGAAGCACGAGCCGCATTCAGCGCGTATCTGGCATACCGAGAGTGGCCAACGGCGTCGGAACTAGAGTGGATTCGGAAGTCCGTCGCTCGCACCTCTGCGGCTGCAGGGCCGAAAGTTCCAACTACGATTTTGGAGTTGGGCGTATTGTCTAAGTTTCCTCGGATGCCGCGCAGGACACTCGAATGGGTCTTGGCGTATTGTCACTATACTAGGGAGCGGGAGCATTAAGCTCGAGGCATAATGGATAAACTGAGGGAGACGCCGAATTGGGTAGTTCTATACTTATGTAGTGCCCAACTCAGTTCTAGTTCCAAAAATGTTATCTACATGCTCAAGTGAGCTCTACGAGGTTCACAGATACATCCATCTAGATCTCTAACCGCTTACGTCCCCCAATGCGCCGCCCGAAGACTGCACCTATTGGGGTTTAACCGCACTTCGAGGCGCTGGAGGTGATGACGAACGCCGGGGCCGAGGCGCCGATCCGTTTTGTTCCTTCAAAATCGCCTCAAACCTCCGCCGCCGCTGGCTCTTTCGGGTCTGGTGTCCTTTCGTCCGTGCCACATCTTTCGCGCTTTTTTCCAGGTCTTTCAGTGTGATGACACGATCTCGCCAGGTATCCTGAGGGTATATCGTGAGCACCATAGCCGCTGGGAACAACATTGAAGATGCTTGCCGTACCCGCGGCGCATTCGAAGCAGACTGGTATAACTGGTCAGCCGAAACGACAATTCGATCGAACTGCCGCCTCCGCTCTTCTTCCACATCGCTGTGAAACCAAAACCAGTCAGCAATGCTATTCTCACATGGAGTCCTCCTCTCTGTGACGCTGAGACTCTTCATTCACCAATACCCACCTGGTGACCTCGTAGTCTCCTTCGTGCCTATGTTGCAAAGTAGTCCGACTGGGGTTCAAAGACAAGTTTTTCGAAACCCCGTTCGAAAACAATCGGAATGCTATAGGACGGACAGCATCAAGTCAGCTTCATGATGGGAAGCGTCCCAGCCGCCCACCCCCGTCCAGCCCATATACGCAAAGTCCCTTCGGGATACGCACCAAACCCAGTCGTCTTTCCCGCCTTGTAGATATTCTGCACATGGGCTATCTGCACCTTCTCCACCTCCAGCACAGGCTCCAACAACGACTCCAAGCATTTTTGCGCCTCAGCGACTTCTACATCCTCGCTCGGTGACCGTTCCATGATGTTGGGGTCACCCTTCGTGTATATGGCTGCTCTCACCGAAGGCTTCGAAGCTGCGTCGAATTCATGGCCGCTTGGCCGCGGCCGCGACGTGAGTGCCGACCATCGAGCCTTTTTGGGCAAGGGCAGGCTGAATACGTAGGAAGAGGAACCTGCTTTGCGTTTACCCATCGTTTGTCTATCAACTGCGAAAATCTGGGCGGAAGCGGAACGTTTAGCAGGTGTACTGTACTCAGAGGTGTACTGCTCACCCGTCACGGACCCTTTCGCGTTCGGCTTTTGAACGTTGGGCTTTCCGCGGGTTGTCAGCATTCCGGCCCCTCTGGCGGCGACTGAGCTTCATACATAAGCACTTGGGTCGGCGAACATCGGCGAACATCCCTCTTCCCCATTCCAATAGGGTACATATGCAAAACTGGAAAATGATCTCCCAAAGAGTCGGGCGTGGGCTGCTTGCCAATGTCCCACCACGGACCTCGTTCCTCCGTTCACCAACCACCATCTCGGCACTCCGACCACAGCCTACCCGCTCTTACACCGCACCCCCACAAGCCCGCGGCCGGCTTGCCAACATCACGTCCCTCGCCCTCGCCTTTTCCACCGGCGTTTTTGTCGCCGTATACGTGCAGAATGTTAACAAGGCACCCGACTCTTTCACGGAATTCACTGACGAAGCGGAGCTCGCCCACGCGACGGTGTTGAAGGCAGAGGCGGAGGGGCTTGCAGAGGTGGAGAGGCTGAGAAAGACCGACGGGTGGAAGGAGGTGGATCCGTATGGCTACTTGAGCGCTGGAAAGCTGCATAGGAACTTCACCGCTGGGACGTTGAAGGGCAAGGGGAAGGTTAGCGAACGAACGGGAACGTTTGGTGACTTGCTTTCGTGGAGGATGCCAATTTTGACTCAAGGATACCTCGCTCTAGTTTGCTCTCCGACCGCTCCTGTTTCATAACGCTGACCAAACTGAATGCGTTGCGATTCTGCACATCGGCGAACGTTTATCGGGGCATGATTTGATTTGTCATGGCGGCGGTGAGTATCGACAACGGGCGATTCGATCTTTACGTTGGCGGATTTACCGTACTAAACGTTCTGTGTTTTGTACAGTACTCGCAACCCTCCTCGATGAGATGTGCGCGCGAGCCAGTATCCCGTCGCTCCCGCACAAGACCGGCTTCACCGCAAACCTGACCCTCAACTACCGCTCTCCCGTCAAAGTCAATCAATTCATCGTCATCCGCAGCAAGCTCACAAAACTCGAGGGCCGTAAAGCATTTGCAAAGGCGCGCATTGAGAGCGTCGATGTCGATGAGGAAGGAAAGCCAAAGACGGTGTTTGTTGAAGCTACTAGTTTGTTTGTCAGCCCCAAGAATCAGCTGCTAGCCCTTGCTAGCAGATGGAACCCTTCGTAGATGGTGTCGGCATCCACCGGCAGGTCCATGCCTTATGCACTTATTTCGTGAGTCAGAGAGACTAGTACGAGGACTGGCATATTTCATTTTAGAGAACATCCGCTTCATAGATTAGCATCTTTGCAGTAGAGCAACTGTGACGCTGGAAGGGATTCCATAGAACGGCGGAAATGCAGAGAATGGGATTACAAACTCAATGGTGACAGCAATCGCAAAACATTTAACATGGAGCAGTAATGAGTATCTGAACCTTCGTGATTCTATTTACAGCGATTTCCGAAGGGGAGGGAATAATGGGAGGTGGGAAGATGTAGCGCCCAGTTCTAAATTCGGTTCAATGTGGTTGTTCTAGCCCAGGGTGGCTGCCGCCGTCGGATGGCCGGCATCCGACTTCCGTCTAGTAATGTGTATACGCTGCGAGAGCGCCTTGGTTGGATAGGTGAATGATACCGCTTGGTCGGGATCTTGATTTCGGACATGAGACAGAAGGAGAGACGACGGAGAAGTATGGACGTGTGGCGGCGTGGAATTCAAACTCTTTTCTTCGATTTTCCGTTCGACGACGAAGAAGTGAGGCCAGCTTCTCTCAACACCTCCTCGCGTTGAGACGGCGGGAGTTGGCCCGACATCTCCGCGATGATCCTGCGCAATCGCGCATTCTCGTCCTCTTCGTTCAGAGAACTAGCGCTAGTGCTGGCGCTGATGGGGTTGCTGCAACTCTCAACGGGAAGGTTTTCGTGACTCGAGCCTCGCGAGTGGTTGGCTGCTGCAAGGCGGGAAGAACTCGGGCCCAGCTTGCGGTTGACTTGGGTTGTGTGACGTTGCAGGGTGGGCGATTCATCGTCCAGTCGGCTGAAATGTCTATCTGCAGCCACCGCGGTCTTACGCGATGGTCGGACCAAGGTGACATTCCACGACTCTCTTGGTGATGCCAACCCGGATGGCCCCGGATATGCGCCCGGGGACCCGCTGGGACTTTGTGAAACGCCGTTGGGAATGGCAATGCTGTCGGTGGATCCTTGAATTGGACCAGCATCAGCGATGGCCAATGGAACTAGGGCGGGAGGCTCAGAGGGGCCGGCTGACGGGAAGTAAGAGTCTCTTGCTGGTTCCGTGTCCGCTCCAGGTGTAAGGAGAGGCGTCGTAGCACTCATGAAACGATCAACTTGTTCATCGGGTATCATTGCGTCGAGATCGTTTGCGGTAACTCTCGCTACAGGACGCGAGGCTTCTTCCAGGATCGCCTTCACGTTCTTGTCGACATCCTCCTTCTTGAAGCTCTTGATGCTTGCGCCGCTCCCTTTGATTTCCTCGACGCCCAGTAAAGAACCGGGGGTCGCGGCGCTGCGGCCATCCAACCAGGCGTTTTCGTCTTCGCCAATGTCCGCGTCGAGGTTAGTGACTTGTCTGCACATAGGGCAGAGGAACATTGCCCCGGTGCCTAGCAGCGGCGTGACGCATTTGTAATGGAAGCAGTGCGAGCACGGTGCGAGGAAGAGGGATTGGAACGGGGATAGGCCGTTGAGACAGATACAGCAGTCCGAAGTGGGGACATCTGCGGACGTGGCCGACGGGTTCATAGCGGTGATGAGCCCCTCGATGGCGGACTTCAATCTGTAAGAAAGTGAAGTATCAGCGACCATTCGATGGAGTCTCACAATTTGGGAATGAAGATGAGACTCACTTCATAGGATTGTAGGTCTTTGTGACACCCATCTTCACAGTAATGAAGATCTTGAACATGACGCATTTGTAGATCTCCTCCGTTCGCCCTTGATAGTCGACTCCGAGCTGGATCACATCGCCACTCTTCAGAATATGAGGTGCAGATTCCTTTCCGCTCTGCGACAATCGCAGACGGTTCAAAAACGACCCAGATGACGATCCCACATCACGGAAGCTAAAAGCAATGCATCTTAGAGACGAACTCGAAGAGGAGATAACGCTCGAACAGTAGAAGAAACCACTTACAAGACTTGTCCTTCGCGTCCCACCCACATTTCTGCATGCGTCCTTGAAACCACTTTGGAGCGAAATGCGACGAAATCGGCTGTCCGCTTGATCATTTGAGGTCGAGTTGCGCTAGTCGTCGATGGCGGTGGAACGGAACTTTCCCTTGCCGCTCGCGACTTCCGCTTGGTTTCTTTCCTCTTGGCACGTTCATCCTCGGCATCCTTGGGCTTCTCAGCGGAAGCGCCAGCGCCATTCTCGTTGAGAAAGTAAGCGAGAGGCGCATCGTTGATGTTGAACTCCATCTCCTCGACCCCGTTTGCGACGTTCGCTGAACGCTCCCCTCTTCGCCTGGAACTGTCCGCATTTCCCGCCACCGTATTGTGTCGGTCAACTTTGCGGCCGATCCGTACAATACTTCCAGGAACGAGGTCCTTTTCGACGGGCGAGAAAGTGAAGGAAGTGTAGCCGTTGCGACCTGGCGCCGGAGCGGGCTGGCTAGCCGGCCGGTCAGAGTGAGGAAACAGTTGCAGTCTCACTTGTAAGTGAGAGCCTGCCGGTACGGAAGTGAATGTAGAAGCCTGGATATCGGCATCCGTGAGGGATGGAGGCAACCCATGTCCGAGGAAGGACGACGGGGCAGATTTTGCAAAGTCGCTCATGCTTTGCCTACAGAACCGCAGATGCAACAACGATACTGTCGTGGGAAGAAAGGGAACGTTTAGCATATGCCCACGCCGTCTGCAATTGACCTCAGATGCACCCTCGTTCCAAGGACTCATCGTGCACACCTCGGCTCGCCATGCACTCACGTTCAATTGCGTAAGACCTCGCTAGCCAGTGTCCTCTTCCTGTTTGCGGCGACGGCGTATGGGTCAGGGCGGGACAAGTGTTCCTTGGCGAAGCTTCCCTTTCCCTTTTTGTTCTGTTTGTGTAAAAGTGGGGGATATCTGCGGCGGGGTTGTATTGCTGAGGCCGTTTTGATCTGCTATGTATCGTCCCATGGAATGTACATACATATGGAAAGCCTCAACCGAACGCTCGCGGCCGCTTGAAACACGTCAGGGGCTTCTTCTGTGCCTTTCGAGATGATAGAGGATGATCATCATGACAGCTTCTTGAGCGAGGCCATGCGGCAACTGGGACGACTTATGTCACATGTGCCACCCACCCAGGATCCAGGCCAGTCGGGACGCCACGGGAACCGCCGGATCGCAGCCTACCAATCTGATGGACGTCGGTACATTGTAGACCCTGCAACACACGTTTCCGGAGGTTAATCACACTCAATTCACACTCCACTGCATGACGTGGGTGCTTGAATGATGACCATGCTACGCTACGTAGAGAGAGCTGTTCTCTATACTATGCGGGATTTCACCATCTCAAACCGATCGATAGTGTCCAGCTTTTCTGGGGGTGGCCTCGTCCCCGGATGTTTGTGCGGAGCTTGCGGTGTAGATGCCTCATTCTGAACCATAACCGACCGTTTGCGCATGCTGTGTTTTTCCGGGGTGGCCGTCGTTGAGGACCGCAAGTCATCCCGCTCGCTAAAGATTGTGCGTTGTCGCGCGATCCGCAGCATAGACATGCCAACTGCAATCTTCATCAGAAGCAAACTAAATTCAAATGGTTGTTAAGTTTCGAGTCGTGATCGATCATCTGCCAAAAACTGTCATCCATACCAGACGTATACCGCTCCAACGATCGCCAGAGACGGTCCATATGTTGCAAAGAACTTTGAAACAAAGTCCGTGTAAAACGTCAACCCTTTCGACGCTAGTACCTGCCAGACCCTGCTCCCTGCGGCGTACAGCAACCGTAAGCTGTCCTCGGTAAACATAGCCTCCGAAGACCATCGCTTCATCTCGTCCGTCCATGCATAGGCGCATTCACTGTACAGGTTGACAAGGACTGCCATCATCGTGGGTTGAGATGCCGACCCGCCCATCGGCTCTGCCGACGAACGAAGGTAGATCAACATATTCAGAGTCTGGTAGGTCACGCGAATGACCAAGCACGCCAATGGGATCGAGACGAAGCCTATTCGCCGAGCGACAGCCGGCGATTGATCCACAAACTGCTGTGATGCGCCGAGAAATGGATTAGTTTTTGTGGCAACGATGAACACATATAACTTCAATTCTGCATACCATTTGTGGATCTCGAGCGTGCATATGCTCGTCCCCGGAAACCCCAGTCTTGGATTCGCGCCTCCCGTCCGACCCACTCGTCGGCCGCATTCCCACAAGGTCTCTGCACAAACTATCTCTGAATCTTCCATACACGCTCGGCTTGATGTAGTTGAATTTCGAGATGAAAGCATGCTTCAGCCAGTCCACAAGCACTTCGGTGCCTAGCACAACGATCACGGGTGTGGCAAGGCTCTCAAAGATCTTGTACGTGGGAGAGGAAAACACTTGAGCAAAGGCAGCTAACACGGAGGACGCTGTCGGGATGGCAGCAAAACTTGGCTGCTGGAAGATCGTCGAAGGCGCAAACATCGATGTGGAGAACAAATCGTAGAAGGAAGTAACGGCCGATTCCAGATTGCTCAGGCCTCCGGTAAGCTCAATCAGATTACGCAGCGTGATTATAGCGAGGAACACCGATAGCTGAAATCGCTCCACCACATCTGCAGCGCAAATCATATCGCGTGTCAGAATCAAGGAGCAGGAAATCACACAATCGCTTCCGCTTCCAAAGAAAACTCACCAGCACAGCTCAGTTGAAATAGGTTTTCTTTCTCGAATCTCTTAAAGACGCTTCCCTTGATTTCCACGAACTGATTGCTTATCAGTAACGTCAGCAGCGCATTGTTGTACGAGTTGATGGCCACGTTGAGTGTCATAACTTGATAGAACAACACTAAGCTGTGAGCGAACACATAGCAGAGGGCGACCAGGAAATGCTTAACCCTTCCGAATTGTCGTTGGCCTCCATTGGGATTGGCTAGCGTGTATTTCACAGTTGCTTTGGAGAAGAGTGAGTCGAGAATGTCGTGACCGAATGCGCTGCACAATTTGTCGCAGATCTATTGAAGAAGTCATCTAGTCAGTGGCGTCCTCAGAATCCAGTGGCGAAGTACGGTGTTACCTCCAGTGAATTGAAGATAACATAAAGCTTTATGAGGGCTTGCCCGCGCACAGAATGATAAATCCGCGACGCGTCATATCGTTGAAGCATGTAGGAGCACAGGACAATCAAAGCCGCCTTCATGAGGTCACATTTTTGAGCAGACTTCATGTGAATATGCCTAGAGCCCGACACAGTGAGAATGCATCGACATCGTGACATTTGCAAAATCGCAACCATACCTTGAAAAAATACTTCGGAAACCAACCCAGAAAGCGACAATGATCCGCAGCGGGAGGATAGTGAAGATGTGTAAAAAGGAATCGAAGCAGATAGTACATCCAAACAGCACGAACTGTCATCATCCGAGCAAGAAGATTAGTGGCATGATTGGTTGCATGGGAGCTCCAGCGCCTAATTGTTACCTTCTCAAGTTCCATTGGCACCGAGAGAAAGTTTTGTATCCTTTCCTTTTTCACGTCGGGACTCTCATCGAAATCTGCTCCAAACAGCTCGCCTTTGAAGTATGCCCACACGCTGTCCTGTAGGTTTGGCTGCAAATGTCCCTGCAACTCATCGACTTCGGCTGGACAGTCCCCTACATCATCGGAAGCTACCCGCTCCTCCTGCGCCACGGGGGCGACTGCTGGCGTTGCAGCGACGTTGACAGCACTGGATCGCGGGGATTCAAATTCCGCGGCGTTCATGCCTTGAGGTGGATGCTGGACAGAATTCCACGTGAGGACATCAGACGGCTCCAGCACACAGGAAACCCCGCTCTTCAAAGAGCACAATGATCCACGCGATGTTATACTGGCGCGGCTGAGGAAGCCTTGTGGAAACGATACTCGACGGGCTCCCGTTACTGTCCCTGTCGGGCCTCGTACGCCCATCACAGATAATGACTCTGGCGAAAGTAGATCCACCGACACCTCAGCGTGCTGCAATCTTAGAGATGCCTCGCTTGTCAAAGATTCCGAGCGAAAGTCGTTTATCGATATCGACCGTCGGTTCGAGCGGTCCTTCGGCCTAGCATCTGTACCTAACACGGAACGTTCCGCACGCGTTCAGCTTCCCATTGCCATTTTGAAGAAGGCCCGCCCATACATCGCCCAACCTACCTTCAGGGGCAGCTCCTATTGAGTCGCCGGCTGCGTTTCCAATCAGTTCAGCATCTTCTTGCGTCTTCCGCCGTTTCCGAACAGAATTGGGAGAACCAGGGGTCTCCAGGAAGCTCCCATCGGATTTTACAAGCCCATGCGCCTGCTGGGACAGAACATTCGTATCACTCAGGGTCGAGGAAGTTGGCGCATTGGAAGTTTGGTTCGGACGAAGGTGCAGCGAGTCTGATGAAAGATATTTCGTTCGAGTGATGTCGCCTGGGTTGATATTCGCAATGCCTCCGCAGTCCAGTTACCTTGACATGACTGTACCTTGCTCCTCTATCTCGGACCCTTTAGCATCTTTGGACTCCGGTTCGTCTCTTCCGCGGTCCATAATGGTCGGCATTGCTAAAGCTGTAAGTCTGTTGAGTGGTGATGATCTCCAATACAAGTTCAAAGCGTTCTCCGCGTTCTCACCCTATATACGTAATATCGCAAGTCCGAACGCAAGTTGACGTTTTCCTTCGTTGCAAGTCCGCTCCAAGTTACGTGCTCGTCTATCTGGTACCTCTGTCAAGCAGTTTGCGAAATGGAGTCGTCCTGTGAGGGAATTCCCAGGGAGCTTTCCCAGCTTTCCCAGCCCACATTTTTGAGAGGGGCGAGTTAGGAGTTGGGGGTGAGTCAAGCGACGCGGAGGGGACGCCCGGTTTATCGCCTTGTCAAAGTTGTCATCGCTCTCGTCGCCGGTCCTTCTGCCTTCACGCCAGCCACCTCCATCCCCCGAGGAGGTCTCATCGCAAAAACACTCATACCACTCTGATACGCCCGCCACAAAGCTAGCGTATGCACGCCCCTTGATGACAAGTCTCTTGTACAGCTTAGGTGTTCGAGACAGAAAGTCACTTATATAGTGCACAGCAACCATCGGCGGGCGGAACATTTGCTCTCTTCCGTTGGCTAGCGTTGCAGTTGCTTTCAGGGACGTGGGAAAGCTGCTTGTCGAGAAGCGGTTTATTCGATGGCTACTCCACCACGCGGCACTCCACCTGGAGATAGGCGGCAGTATCTGTCTCCTGCTCGTGCGAGTCCATCCCCGACGCAGCCATCGCCACTCTTCCGCGCTGCGTCATATCCACACTCTCTCACCGGCTCTGGACACATACGTCCGGCTTCGCCGGCGACCAATCTGACGTATAGTCAACTGGCCTACGGGATTGCGCCCCCGAACATTAGTCGACGAGGGTCGGCGGCTAGTACGACATCAAGCATAAACCCGTCTGAGCGCGCGGAACAGATACTACAGAATGTATATACCAAGGTCGCTCAAGTCATTGTGCAAGCCCGTGCGACCGGCTTGCCAGCGTCCGCACACGGAAAGAAGCCAAACAAGTGGGTAGGTGGGTTTTGGTCTTGCGTTTAACCTCAACTTGGGCAAACGCCCGTATTGGATCCCACCTCACGCGCATGACATAGTTCAATCTCGAAACGTACGACATTGACATTTTGAAGGAGGATTTGAAGTATTGGCGAGCTCATGCTGTGTCCGCACCTCAACCGATGCTCCTCGATGTCTATCTCGACATCTCCTCGGGAACACCAGATCAGACCCTCCTTTTGCGCGATGAAATGACGATGCGGCGTCAACGTATCGGAGCGGAGAATCTGGTGACAGTCGATGCCCAATCTGGCGCTGATCTGAGAGTCAATACGATACTTCTGGAGTCTTGGCAGCTCACCTTGTCGTAAGCATTGCGTCTGAGTTTTGATTTAGCACATCTCAGGTCCCGAGACTAACACTATCCCTTTCGAGCAGTCAAGCTGCTTCATCGCAACCCCCAGAACTTCCTCTGGTTTACAAAAAGTCCGTCGCATTTTTCAGATCTTTGTACAGCTATATACGGCTTCTTCCCGCCTATCGTTTGTACCGAAGATTTCGGCGCAAGCAGACCAACCTGCGAATCGGATATCGTCTGTCCACCTCGCGGATGATGCCTCTTGATGAGGCAGGATTGGATCAATTGCATAGTAGCGGAGACATGCGCCGTGGGATTGAAGAGTTTGACTTTGGGTCCATCGACACTCCTTTTGGGTACGTGGACGCTGTTCTCGGAGTTCAATCCTTCATCTCAATACTCACACGTCCATACAGAGTTTTCAGTTTACACGTCAATTATCGGCTGGAGTGCGACTTTTCGGTTGAGGACGCGAAAAGTACTATCCTTAGCTCGCGGGGAACTGATCTAGATGAGAACTACTTCTCTCCTAGGTCGCAGTCTGGAATACAGGAAACGGGGACAGATCCGTTAATTCCGCAACCGCGGCGGAGCAGTTCCTCCTCGAGCAGGAAAGGCTTCTTTTACGAGGGCGAGGATGTATTCACAAACCCAGCTGTGGCGGGCTCTGTTCCTCGGCGGCTTACCAGATTTGGGTCGCAAACATCGTTGCAAAGCCATGATAGCAGTGGGAATCGACATTCTCCTGTCAACATACCGCCCGCCTCTTTGCCACCCCGAGCTTATCGCGCGAACTCCATCACCTCGAACACTTCATCACCGGGAGCAGCCCACATGTACTCTGGCATCATTGCATCACCTTCATCTCGACGATCATCGACTAACCCGCAAACCGGCGATAGGAGATATTCCTGGCAACAATCTCCAGCGATCAAACCGGTCGCTCCTACATTCACGCCGCCTTCGACGGGGTTCTCTCTACACAAGCAGGAGTCCGACGTCTGGCGGCGTGATCCACCGCCTTTCTCTACAACGCGGCAAGCTAGTGGAGATCAAAGGCTCTTCACGTCAGCTCTACCACCGATGGACTCCGCCCCATTTGCGTCGCAACCTCCCGCGCAAACGACCTCCCAAGCGGTCATGAGAGTTGACCATCCCGGATCGGCATCGTCCACGGGTAACGTCTCACGGCGTCCCTCTCTCACCTTCGTAACTGGCGACGCTCACGAAGTGATGCCACCAGACTCCATTCTCTTGTTTACGCCAAGCACTTCCACAGCGGGCAGATCCCCAATGCAGGGGCTAGAGAACCCGTCCCTGGGAGGACCGGACCCTGGGACTGGGCCCGAGCCAGGTCGAGAGTTGGAGAGCGGCGAACTGCTCAACTTCTTCCGGACGCTCGAAATGAATCGGAAAAGGCTTGAAAATCGCGAAATGGGTTCCAGCCAAGCCGAAAACAGCAGCCTTCCGGTGGTCGAAGCCTCTCAATCCAGATTGTCGAAAACGAGGATAGCGTTGGCGCGGTATCATCAGCTCAATCAGCTGAATGCGTCCTTCTCAGAGTCTCTGTCGCATATGGCGGCTTCGGACGATTCGCAGGGCCACTCGTCGGAGACATGCAATGAAACACGGGTTTTGCAACATCACACCCACCATTCTCACGTTCCTCACGCTCACGGATCCCATCGCTCCCCTCGGGTGAAGGAACTCAGCACGGTGCCCCAGTCCCCCAGTGATTCTTTCCAAAAAGCCGAGGAGCCTTCCGGGATACCGGAAGCCTCAGGCGTAGCATATGTTCCGCCTTCGATCAGCTCGGCACCCTCACGCAACGTTGACGCGAATCAACCTCGGACTTCGGCAGAACGCTGGACGCAGCAGGAGCATCTATCTTTCCATACGTCTACATCCCGCGATCCGGTGCATCATCGAAACGACACACAGCCCGGAAATACCCAACCGATGGGTGGCAATCCGCACAACCTATCGCAACAGCAAACGAACCAACCGGGGCCCAATCCACCACAATCATGGCACAACCCAGAGCAAGGTCGGCAGGCCCAGATCCGCGATCAGTATGGCAACCGCGCCCATCATCGCCGGCGCACGTCCCGTGGTGACTTTGTTCCCAGCGACGAGGATGAAGAACTTCTCTTCGAGATGAGCGGCTTGGATATTCTTGATCCGCGTGGGCCGTAAGGTGTACATTTTTCTGTTTGCACCCATTATCATCGCTTTCCCGGTATCGCATCGTGTCTCGTTGAATACCCTTTGTACGTACAATATGCAATGTATATATCGCGACCGGGAACATATCCAAAGATACCGAAGATTTCATCAACTTCCTTAGTTTCCAAAACCAAATCATGAATATCCGATAACTGTATTAACCAAAAAAGTAAGCTACAACATGGTTTCAGGCTCCGCACTTCATACGCCTTTCTCGGATGTAAAGCTTATGCGCCATGTAGAAAGAAGTTCGGGTTCATTTCCATCGGCGGCGGTTGTTCTGTCCGGGCTTTGCAGGTTTTGTAGGGAGGACATAGTTGATGGCCTATTGCGTATCGGGTTTTTGGTGTATAACAGTCAGCCATTCAACCGAAATCTCACGCTTCATGATAGTACATTAGCCCGAGCTCGTACCTTACTATCCAAAAACGCCCCGAGCGCCTTCCGGGAGCATCTGGCGAGACTCTCGCATTGTGTAATCTGGGTGTACAACGCATCAAAATCCAGGGGCTACAATCAAAGAGATGAGTGAGTGCGTATTTTTGTAGGCAAGACTTCTTTGCATCAGCCGCGTACCTCGTATCGCAAAATACGACTGTACAACTGTGTCTGGTTGCGAATGAACATGTATAGTCGTTCATTGATGTCAATGCTTTCATTTGAGTCGTTGTCTGCGGCGCTGTTGACGATTGAAGAAGGCCCTGACATGCTCCCTGTTGCGGATGCAATGGGTTCTGCGATAGTATGCGACGCAGTCATCGGCGCGGGAAGTAGGGGAGCTTGTCGCTTCTGAACAGATAGGCCGCTCGCACCGTCCGCCATCACGACCTCTTGCCTTGTCGTGGAAATCGCTCTGGGAGGAGTCACTGCCGTTATCTCGACTTCAGGCGAATAAGATCGGAAGACCTGCTCTTCCATGTGCGTCGAGCGTTCATAGTAGATCATTCCACGGTCCTCATCGAAGAAACTCGGACTTGGATTTGGTTCTTCAGCATCCTCGACTACGAAAACCGTCTGATCCTTTACGCCAAACCGAGATGACGGCAAGCGCTCGATGTAGGCCGACCTAGCCGGCTCTCCAATGTCGGGCATTACTGTCTCGAATCCATCATCCTCAGAATCATCTATGACGATCACTTGCGATGCTTTGCTGAAGGGCCTATTCGAACGGGTTGAATGCGGCGAAGAGGGTGCATCTTTGAGATCTTTCTGGGAAGTGATGCGCGAGACGTGATTTTGCAGTACGGCCAGAATTTCACGATCATCAGAGTCCAGGCAAACGCGGCTTGACGGAGCCGAAGGCTTCGCAACCGACAGATCCTTCTGGGGCACAATGTTTGGGATAGCAACATGGTCTAGAACACCACCGGCCTCATCATCGGAAACGAGCGAAGTGTGGTAAACATCGTCCGGTAGTTCGGGAGTGTGATCTGCTTCGTCCAGCGCATATGTGAGAATGGGTGAAGGACAAGAGCCAATAGGTGAACACTGCCCATGTCCTGATCCCTTCCGATTCATTCGAGAACGCGAAGGAGGCTCGAACAACTCCGGGCTAGTCGATACCCCTCGTTCCACCGGTGTGCTGGTGAAAGTGGGAGAAGATGGAGGTGGCGTTGCCGCGACTGCTTCGGCACGCGGCGGAGCTTGTGATTGCTCCAAATTGTGCATTATCTCACCCGCAGCCTCTTCCTCGGGAACCCGCGAAGCTAGCGCGGGCTCAGCAACCTCCTCAAGGTCATCTGTCACCGTAAGCTCGAGGTTGCTCCCCACCGGATGCCCGACATCATCCTCAGGTAGCACAGTTGCGAAAGATTTCTTCTTCACATCGGGTTGTTGCTCGCTTTCTGTCGGTTTCGTGTCGAGATGTGACGACTCAATCGGCTCAGGACGCAAAGAAGGCACTGCAACCGCAGTAGTACCTACAGGGGGCCGGATTCGATGAGCTTCCTTTGCTGCATGTTTCTTCACTTGTTCAATCTCCATATTGCGATTAGCAAGGTGGGTGCGCTTCTACGAGGTTGCCGGGTTCAGCAATTCGTGTTACGCAGGAATAGGACTATTAGGTTTGAACAAAGCGCCTACTCACCCAATTGGAATGTGTGCGCTTCAAGCGGGCAATCTCCTCTTCGAGCTCTTTTTCCTTGGTCCGCGCCTCACTATCGTAAACTGCCATAATGGTCAGAATCCGACCCTCTGTCTCCTTCGCGAGCTTTCGCTCCTGCTGCGTTGGGGGGTCGCCAGGCGATGGAGACGGTGCGTCCTGTGAATTCTGCGGCACAATAAAGGAAGCATTCGTTGGTTAGGCTCTCTCGTAACGAAAAGGCGCCGAAGATTGGGACCCTACTTGCAGACCAAAGGTACAATCGAGCAGCAGATGTGCAGGAGGAAACGCGGAGATATCCCAGTTTGTAGAGGCGAGATTCCACAAAGACAACGCATTTCCTTCTGCCCTCATCAAGGGAGCGGCCCGTGGAATATCTTCGTCCATCTGGCAAGACCCGTCCCAGCTCCTAGTCTGGTGTAAGTGTTGTCCGAAGACCAGCACTTTGGGCAACTTTCGTTCCACCAGCTCCTTCGCACGGCCCGCATCAAGTACCGTTGACTGAAATGGCTCTTTCTTTTTTCTTCTTCTGATCCCCTCACACCTTGAAAACGTAAAGACCAGATCTCCTAGTTGTGGAGCAACTTTTCGCTTTACAGGCGCCTTTTTCGGTGGCTTGGGGGCGACCTGCTCCGCCTTCTCCTTTACTTTGAGCCGTTTCGGTGCTCTGGTGCGAGTGGAGCTTTGAGCACTGGGTGCCCTCGAGACTCGTTTACTCGGCGCAGTGGTTGTCTCCCCATATTCCCCTTCCCTTGAGTCATGCGGTATCTCCAATTTTGCGCCTGGCACGGAAGAGACGGATGTTCGTTCGGTGGATTGAGGCCAGGTGACCAGAGTGGAGTGATTTGAAAGCATCGATTTTGTCCCGCGTGACGCAGCTTCCGATGTGATCTGTACAGAATCATCGGCATCAGACTGCTGTTCTGTCGAGCGTTCTCCTGTCTCATGCATGACGCTGATCACATGGCCGTTGCCTACAGCAGTTTTGATGCGAGATTCGTCGTTGAGAAGAAATTCATCGCTGGTGCTCTTCGGAACCTTTGCAACAACGCGCGAACGTGTGGGTCGTTCGATTTGTATGCTATTCTCCCTCGGTCCCGCTTCCACCGGTTTTGGTCCCTGGTCGTCATCTTTAACCTCGATCGCATGCGTGGGCGCAAGGAGCTCTACGGGTAACGACGCTTTATCCACCTCCACCTCGGGATCGACGGGCGGTTCGACGACCTTACGCTTCGTCACACGGGGTTTGGCTGGGGCCTTCTTCGGTTTGGGAGCAGCTTTGGCTCTCGTTACTCTCTTCTTCGTGGAAGGACCCTCCTCTACTAAGGTAGTTCCGCCCTCCACGGAGGGAACGTCCCACACGTCGCCAAGGTCAGTGGCCACGTTTCGAGCGACCTTTGCTTTCCTGCTTGTCGGCCTGGCTTTCGGTAAAGCTGGTAAAGAAATGGGAGGGTCGGCCCCAGCAGCTTCTCCACTCGCTATCACGACAGCTTCCATGCCGAACTGAACATCGGGTTTTCCAAGGCCCTTGGCCTCCGGTTATCCCCAAGGAAAGACAGAGCTATGTCGTCTTTACGCAAGAGACGATCCCTCTATTTACTGTAGTCTGGTGGGTGGTAGCGGTGGGAAAACTCCAAAAAACCAGGGCTCGAGTTCTCACGACGCGTCCGTCACCATGTCGCTTGCCCAAGTTGCAATTCGCCCCAGGTCTGCGTGTATGAAATACCGCTTTGTTGATCCCATCGTAGGTAAGTTAGATATGAACAACTGAGGGATCGGTGTGTGTTGTGTCCTCCGGTTCGTGGCGACCATGAGGACGCATGACAATACAAGCGCATAGTTCGGCGATACCTGCACCCCCAAACGGGACGTCCCAAGCAGGATGTCAGCGTTCTACGGGAGACCACCCTTGCATTCATGAAGATGGACTTCCTACATGGCCACCACTCTAGATATATACACCACAGGAGACCAAACAGATGGAATGCTGGTCTCATTTCTCCCGGTGTCCATCGGGGTTTACCGCTGGCGAGCGGTCGGTGCATCCCGTCACCCAGCTTCGCTAGCGTCGCTGTTAAAGCCCTGGCATAACTGCCACCTGCATGGTATGGTCGCCCCAGACGCTCATCACATTCATCATGTTTCCGGAAACAACGAAAACTCACCTCCAGGACACTCTTCGCAGAGGCCATGGTCACGCACACTGGCCCAGATTTGCGTGACTTTTGAGCGGAGTGTGATGTGGTTTGGGCGGACGGGGAAGACGCGTAAATTGTGGTTCCGGAGCGGAGTCAGGACTCGGCCCAGCACATGCCAGTTCACGGTTAATCCTAAACAAAGTGCATTACGAAGGAACGCCTCCAAACAAGCAAGACATTAGTAAATTCGCACAGTCAGAGCGCGAGTCCCGAACGGCCACAACAGCAGCACGAGCATCACTCACTCACCAAGTCACTGTCACCCCACAGCTCCACCAAGGGATCCAACGCCGTCGGAGCTCCAAAACAACCACAGAAAAACCCGTTCCCCCTCTCAGCCTGCTGTGCTGCTGCTCTTGTGTTTTTTGTCGTCGTCGTCGTCTGGGAACCCATCGAACGCTGCTTTCCTCATCGCAGCATGCTCTTCGCGCACCGTGCTCTGGCTGCCTCTGCTCTTTCTAGACCGCTGACCCTCAAACCTGTCACCCGTATCGCCACTTTCGGCTCTCATCTCGCATCCGTCGTCCCGCGCCATCAGGTAAAGCATCTGGGCATTGCTTGGGAACCCACGCTTTGTCGTCTTACTCATCCAGCTCCCCCTCGCAGAGTTCGTTTCATACCGGTCCGGTGCTCACATTCTCAGCCTCAACAGCACACAAAATGCACTCGCTCACTCCATCCGGCCCTAACAAGCCGCTGTTTGCTCAACAGCAATCACTTCCCAAACTTCCGGTCGCTCCGTTGCAGGAGACAGCCGCGAAATACCTGAAAAGCTTGAAGCCTCTGTTGAATGAACAGCAATATGCTCATTCTGAGGCTGTTGTAAAGGACTTTATCAAACCGGGAGGCGAGGGTGAAAAGCTTCACAAACGTCTTCAGGAACGCGCAGCCACGGAGAAAACTAGCTGGCTTTACGAATGGTGGAATGACTGGGCGTACATGGCATACAGGGATCCCGTGGTTATCAACGTCTCGTACTATTTCGTGTTCAAGGACGAGTTGAGGAAGCAATGGAGGGAACCAGCATCTCGTGCGGCTTCGATTGTGACTGGAGCTCTCGAATTCAAGCGATTGGTAGTGGAGGAGGAACTGCAACCTGAAACCGCCAAGGGCGGTGCTCTCTCCATGGATCAGTTCCAATGGCTCTTTAATGCCTGCCGTGTGCCCACAATACCGTCCGACACGACTTTCGTGGCGGATCCTCGCAAAACGTCGCACGTGGTCGTCATTCGCAAAAACAAGTTCTACTCCATTGAGACCCGTTTGTCCGACGGTCGTCAACTTTCCACCGCGGAAATTGAGCACCAGATTCGTGCTGTGTATCAAGACGCCGGTGAAACCGTTGGCCCGGCTGTCGGTATTTTGACTTCCGAGAACCGCGACGTGTGGACAAAGGCACGGGAGGAGCTTCTGCAATCTCCCGTCAGCAGAGCGTCGTTGGAAGCGATCCAGTCTGCCGACCTTGTTCTCTGTCTCGATGATTCGGCCCCTGTGACGCGCGAAGAGGCCAGTCGTGCCTGCTGGCATGGAGATGGCCGCAACCGATTCTTCGACAAACCATTGCAGTTCATCATTTTTGACAACGGCAAAGCGGGATTCCTGGGAGAACACTCTATGATGGACGCAACCCCGACCAGCATGCTTTGTGACTTCATCTGCACTGGATTGGCCAAGGACAAGATCGCACACGGCTCCACGTCGGTGGCAAGCAACCTGCCCGCACCTCGCCCTTTGCCTTTCGAAGTGACTCCCTCTATTCAATCCCGCATCGAAATCGCATCCGCACACTTTGACACGCTCATCGGCCAGCACGATCTCCGCGTGCAAGCCTTTCACGATTACGGAAAGAACTTGATCAAAAAGTTCAAGGTCTCGCCGGACGCCTATGCCCAGATGGCTATTCAACTGGCATACTACAAGAAGTACGGAGTCTGCCGCCCTACCTATGAGAGCGCCCAAACGCGCAAGTTTGCCTTCGGACGAACGGAGACATGTCGTTCTACGAGCACCGAGAGCGTTGCTTGGGTCAAAGCTATGCAGGATCCCTCGGTTCCGGCCGCCCGCAAATACGAGCTCGCTCAAGCTGCTTTGAACGCCCACACCCGCTACATGAACGACGCTGTTGAGAACAAGGGTGTTGATCGCCTGCTATTGGGGCTCAAGCTCAGCTTACGCCCTGACGAGCCCGTGCCAGCGATCTTCAAGGATCCCGCGTTCGACTACTCGAAAACTTGGTTCTTGTCCACTTCGCAAATCTCCTCGGAGTACTACGACGGCTATGGTTGGGGCGAGGTTATCCCCAACGGTTACGGTGTTCCGTAAGTATCCTCGTCTTTGTTACGCTCGCTTCTCGAACTCTGTATCTAACCACTCACACTCTCTAGATACTCCATCATGAACGACTCGATGCGCTTCACATTCACCTGCCGCAAAGAGCTGCGAGCTGATCACATGGTGCATCACATTGGCGAGGCTCTCAGAGAGATGCGCGTGGTCTTTGAAAGCGCGATTCCTCCTGCTGTCCCCAAGGCCAAGCTTTAGAAACCATCAGGCAGCTCGATATAGATCTCATATAGATTATCAATCATCCGTAGCTTAGCTCTCCTTCTCGCAGTCTCGACGATCAGTTTGGACGGTGCATTCTCGACGAGTTATGTTCAATATCGATCACTTTTAAATTAGGATCCAGTCTTCCTTTGCGTGAGGGTTGCTTCTCTTCGAGCCCGTGCGGTCGCTGTAATTCGCCGATGAAGCGCTTGAGAGGCTACATTCTATGCGGGGTACGACGGAGTTGATCGATGCGAAAAAATGCTTGAATCTGAGAGCATTCGACTGATGTGAGACAAAAATGCTTCCATCAGAAAAAAAAACTCTCATATTTACATATGCCCACATTTGTATCATATACAGGCGCCCGCTAGCGATAGCTTGGGTGATTAAATGGGTCTAAATGCTATTACAATGGGTATCAAAATTTGCGCAATATACGCCGTACAAAAATCGAGCAAATCTGCTGCTAATCGCTCGCGATGGTGCCGTCCTCAACGCCCAACGAGGAGGGGCTGGAAATGTCCAGATTTCTTCGGCTCGCTTCTGCGGACACACCGAGCCACACCATTTGGACGCGTTCCGCGGGCAGCTGTAGCAGAAGCTCCTGACAACGGGTGATGGAGTTTGCGAGGAGATCCGGCTGCGACGAGGATAGGACCTGTAGGGACTCGTCTCCGCCGATGGTCGCCAGTCTCATGACATTTCGCACGTCGCGAATAGCGGTCAAGAGTTGCGGATTCGTAAGCGTTCTGAGGCCAGCGATGAAGTGTTGATGGGTATAGGATGGGACTGATTCTGCTAATTCTGCCGAATCTGCCTTGTCTGGTATCGTTTCATCAAGGACGGCTTTCTCAAAGGCCGTATTCGTAAGGGAAGGGGTGGTTGGAACAATCTCTTCACAGTGAATGCTCTCTTCCGAGGAAAGATGAGTACCGTTGTCGGCAGCCGATGTCACGGGGTCTTCCTGGACTTCCACAAACTCCCAAGGTTCCGAGTCAGGCTGATGATCAATCGTGGGCCGGTTTTCATGATCATTCTCATCCTCCTCCTCTGGTCGGTCCTCAGCTATCATTGCGCCCGGCGAATCGCTGGGGATTGAAACAATCGGTGGATGGACCGCTTTGGCCTTATTTCGCGGAGGCGTGGAAAGCGGCGTGGGGAACGTAGTTGCAGCCTGGAAATCCGGCGAATCATTCGCTATCGTGCTCGTGCTCGCCTTCCTGACGTGTTCTCTTCCGAACTCGGCCGAATAACTCTTTTGTCCCGGAGAAACGGACAAAGAAAAGTTGCCCCCGGATTTATGTCTGCAAGCGACCGACTGAACAGAAACAGCCAGATCCGGAAAACGACGCTCGCATTCCCTTTCCACGTCAAGTGTCAGACGAGCGAATTGCGCAGGGCCCATAGCTCCCAGGCGAATCAGAAGTGCGTCGCTAGTGGTTTGCAGGTGCGGTCCTGCGAGAGCACGGGCGGCCGGCACCTCTGCTTGCTGCATACCGGGAGAACTGTCTAGTTGTCGAACGACAGATACTGCAAGATCAGCCAGCTGGCGGGAAGACAGCCCAGCAAGGGGCGTAGGCTTGGCCGTCGCACTAGAAGAACGACTCCTCCGGAGAAGGGACCGCCGGGATGTGCCAGTGCTTGGCGAGCGAGGGAGAGATTCGGACGTCCCCGGTGGCGGAAACAATGGGGCATCATAGCCAGCATAGCTCTGAGCACGTTCGTTCTTCTGTGAGACGGCGAACTTATGGGACGTTGATTTCGAGCGTTTTAAACTGAGCATTTTCTTCCAGAAGTTGCCTGATTCGTCACCCTGCGGCGTTTCCCGACCGTCGTACGAGAACGGCATTTCGTTCTCGGAAAGACTTCAGCGCTAAAGGGGGTTTGTCTCAGAGGCAGGTCGAAGCGGTTTCGGTCGAATACCACTGCATGCAATTGCTGTAGAAAGGACCGCAAACTGGGATGAAGCGCTGTGGTCCTGTGTGGAGTCTGAACGCTCATGCGTTTTTGACAGCGTGACTCATTGACAGTTCACTCGCCGGAACAATATCTTCAATCGTCTCTTCAATTGTCCTTCTCCCACGCCGCCCCTCATCCGCATATCGTTGCCTTAACACCGCGAGCAACCGGCGGTGGTGGGTGAGGTGGGTGTGAGGAGTGGATGGATGGCATGGAATGGGTTGGGATGGGTGCCAGCTCGGAAAGCTGCTGCTGACGACCGGCTGTTTCTGCGAAACAGTGCCATCTGTCCGGACTTGCCTTGATATAGAGGAAGAAAAAAGGCAGCACTTGCTGGTAGCCAAGTCAATCCCAAAAGCCGGAAAGCAGTTGCCAGAACGATCCCAGTTTGTCGTCGCTCGTTGCTAACCCTAACCCTCCGCCGCATCGGCCGATGGCGATCGCCGATCCGTCACGTGATGGCCGCCATGGACTGACGGCCTCTCTGAAGTTGAAGTTGTTGCATTCTGTCAATCGGACGCTCGTTTTTCCGCTCCTCCGGGTCGTCATTGGACCGAGTCCGCCCATCAGCACCCCTGCACCCCATAGCATACAGTGGTCTCCTTGCCACTGCTTCCTTCGCTAGCAGTAGTAGTGTAAGCGTCCGCGAGCACGGCCTAAAAGTTGCATAAGTGTAGTACTGCTCCTGGTCTCACCGCTTTCCAATCAGCAGTTGGCTAGTTCCGACGTCGCCACACCATAGCGCCAGCGCATCTTGTCGTCCAACATGTTCCGAAACGCAGCCACACCCTGCAGAGGTGAGAACTGGAGCTATATGCGCTGGTTGTCTTTGTTCTTGTCCCCAATGCGAAGCTCCGCTTACCCCCTCTCTAGGCGCAATAGGCTCGCCCGCCATGCACTTCCGACGACGACTCGCTACGGTCGCGCAATCCACAAAACCGTAAGCGTCTCAGCGAGGCCGTTGGTATCGATGATATTTTAGGAATGAAAACTCAATCTGGTCACTCTTCAGACCCACAGCCGTAGTCCTCATGAACCTCGGCGGACCCAAAGACCTCGACTCCGTGCATTCCTTCCTCCACAACCTCTTCTCCGACGGCGATCTCATCCCCATCCCTTTCCAAAGTTACGCCGCAAAGTTCATCGCTAAGCGGAGAACACCCAAAATTCAGGAGCAATACGCGCAGATCGGTGGCGGGTCGCCGATTCATATGTGGACGGAGAGGCAGGCAAAGATGTTGGAGGAGAGACTGGATAAGGCATCGCCTGCGACCGGTATGTTCGAATCGAGCATACAGTGATTTCTGAATGACAACCGTATCTCAAACCCATCACTCTACCCAACAGCACCACACAAATCCTACGTCGCCTTCCGCTACACCGCCCCCATGACCGAAGAAACCATTCACGCAATGCAACGCGACGGCGTCCAAAGAGCCGTCGCCCTCACCCTCTACCCGCAATACTCCTGCTCCACAACCGGAAGCAGCCTAAATGAGCTATGGCGCAACCTAAAGGACCTCGACCCAGACCAGAAAATCAAATGGAGCGTCGTGGACAGGTTTCCGACCCACCCGGGCCTCGTCGAAACATTCGCGCGCCATATCGAGAAATCACTGGCCACTTATCCCGAGTCCGAGCGCAAAGACGTCGTATTACTCTTCTCCGCCCACTCCCTCCCCATGGACGTCGTCAACCGCGGCGACCCGTACCCGCAAGAAGTCGCCGCGACAGTGCAGGCCGTCATGGAACGTCTGGGGCATTCGAACCCGTACCGCCTGATCTGGCAATCGCAGGTCGGCCCGAAACCATGGCTGGGCCCGAAACCGGACGCGGTGCTGGAGGGGTATGCGAAACTGGGCCGGAAAAATCTATTGATGGTGCCGATTGCGTTTGTGTCGGATCATATTGAGACGTTGTTTGAGGTCGATGTTGAGTATGGGCATTTGGCGAAGGAGGTTCGTTTGCTTCGTTTGCTGGCATTCTTCTTCCGTGCGTTTTCCTGCATAGTCTCACATCCTCTCTAATACATCCAATAGAAAGGAATAACAGGCTTTAAACGCGTCGAATCCCTCAACGACGACCCCATCTTCATCGACGCGATGGCTGACATTGTTCAAACCCACCTGGCGGGCAACAAACCGGTTTCGAATCAACTGCCGCTCCGGTGTCCGCTCTGCACGAATGAAAAGTGTGGCGAGCAGAAGGAGTTTTTTAAAGGGCAGCGGTTGTAGGTTGAAAGGGGCGACGGTTTAGGTCTAGAGGAACGGCGTAAGCGAGGGAGAGTCTCTGGAAATCACTGCTCTTGTCGCCACGTGCGCTGTGTCGGTTTTTTGGCTGTGGTTGCAACCCGTGGCCGTGGTTTTTTGGCATGGGTCTCACGCTCTGATGGATGTGCGTTGCAGAAATCATTAACGATTCCCTGCCAGACTCGGTTCACTTACGTACACATCCCATGCGCATTCCAAAGTCTCATCGTGTGATTGAATCTTACATTACACAACTATACGTTTACTTTAGACTGTAATATGGGCAATCATCCTTGACGTCTTGCTGCCCGGCGTAAACAAAACCCTCATGGGCGAGTTTCTACTCCCTTCCTGATTGGGATACGACGCATCTTCGAATTGTTCATGCCTCACAATCCGCATTGGTCTCTGTTTCGAACCGATCAGATTTTCATCTACCCTGTCTAAAACCGTATACCGTCTCAAATGAAATATCATATCTACAGATCCTTCGAGCTAGTAACTACTTGTGTTGGTGTTCGGTGGTGACTGGATGGCTCCAGGCACCATCCACCCATCTCCAAATATGGTGCTCTATGCCAAAAAAAAAAAAGGAAGCCCAATCCTAACCCATGTCTCACAACCCCAGTCCCACCATTCCGACCTCCTCATCAAATCGCACTCTTAGTCTTCTCATAAACCACATAACTAATCGAGACAGCGGGCAGGACCTTCATCAACGTTGGGGCGAGGCCGCGGTAGAATCCAAAGACGCCTTCGCGCGCGTATGTTTTGCGGATCACGTCGAAGGAGTTGGTGTAGCGTTGCGGGTGGGAGGGGGTTCCTTGTGCTTGCAGTCTGATTGAGGAGAACATAAGGGTTGTGCGCGAGACGGGCTAAAAGGGCGAGGTTGAGAGAGATGACAGAAGTGATCGCAACCTACCTAGTTCGAATAACACTCAACGGATACATAACCACCGCTCCCGTCGCCGCACTAACGGCGCCAAACCCTAACAGGCGCACACTACTAGCCTTCGCCGTTGGATCGCCTGTCTTTGCCCTCAACCGCTTCTCATACCCGCTGCGCAGCGTCTCGTAGGTGGCGAGGTCGATGCCCGCGTAGGGCACGATTCCGATCAGGGAGGGGATGCAGCCGCGGTAGAAGGTGCGGATGCCATTTTCACGGTACATTTGGAGGATGGTGGTGAGGAGGCGGGGGTGGGCGGGGGTGGTTGTGGTGGATGGGAGGTGATGTGGACTTGAATGTGGAGTTGAATGATGTTGCGTATTTGATTGCGGATCCGACGCCTTTGCCTCTGCAATCTGCGTCATAACCCGCGTCTTGAGCGTTTCCAGCGGATATATAGTAAACTGGCTAATCAGCCCAGCTACGCCACCTGCTACGAATCGCCCTGGCACGCTGATGTAGTCGATGTGGTTGGCGCCCTCAACTTTTGCGACGGCTTGTTTCATGGTTTCGAAGGTGAAGAATTTCATGCCGGATTCCGGGGCGATTTTGAGCACGTTGATGCCGTTGCCGCGGTAGAAGGAGAGGATGCCGCCCTGGGCGTAGATTTGCTTGATGCCGGTGAGGAGGGCAGAAGTTTTTGATTTGGCAGATGATGCGGAGGCGGATGGTGATGTTGGGGTTTGTGTGACTAGAAGGACCTGCGACGTAAACCCGTATCAGTTCCCACAGTTATAGATGACGAAGTGACATTTCCCAGCGTTCTAACCTTTAATCGGTCCAATGGCGCCGTAACACTCCGGCTCACTGCCCCACTCAGCCCACCACATAAAAAGTATCTGACTCTCTGGCTAACCACGGAGTCCGCATTCCGCACATCATCAGGAAACGGCATCGAGTCCGAGTTGACGTCCAGATTATACACGCTGTTCAGGTAGTTGAAAACATTCTGCCCCGTAACGGCATGGGGCAGCAAGAGCAGGAAATCCCGCCATTCACTGAACGTGATACTCCCGTCGCGGTCTCGATCGAAGCGTGTCATAAGATTGCGGAGTTCTTCGTCTGTGACATGGATGCCAGATGCTTTGATGAAGTGCCCTAGTTCGTCGTACTGAATTGTGTTATCGCCGGTCGTGTCCACCTATTTTGCCAAGCGCAGCGTCAGCATCAAACTGTGTTCAACGTATTGCAGAAGGTTGCCGCGAAACACCTGAACCGACCTTGCGGAACACCTCCTCCAATTCCCGTTCCTTCGTATGTACAAACCCCTCGAACTCCGCAAAAGTTATACGTCCATCCTTGGTTTTATCGCACTCCTTCACCAATTCCCTCGCATACATCAACGTCGACCCCACCGGTCCGTCCGCCTTTTCGTCCGCCTTTTCCCCATCAGCACCCGCCTCCTTCTGCGTACGCGATGGCGGGCGTCGCCTTCCTCGCAGCTTTGCTCTCCGGCAGTTCTCTAAATCTGGGTGCTGTGCATCGCTCGCCTGCGCCATCTCGTCTAGCCGCCGCACGATGTTGTCGTGGTCGAGGTATCCGCGTTTCGCGTCGTCAAGGGTTTCGAACAGCTTCCGTATCCGTGCTCGGCGGGTTTGTGCGTCTTCGGGGGACTAGGTGATAGGGGGTTCGGTGGACTTGCGTCAGTTGCAACGCTCCATCCCTCCCGAGTAAGTAACGGTCTGCGGTGCACTTACGAGTGGCCCTGGATTCCGCTGTGGTGCGTCCGGTATTTTGGAATTCCCCGTCTTGTTTTCCCCCAACTTTGTATTCCCTATCGATGTCAACGAGCTCCCTAATGCACCTCCATCTATATTTTGCTTCTGAAGGATAACGATAAGCTTTCTCTCTTCCGTGGGGCCAATAGTCTGAAGTAATAGTTACTTACCGCTCCGACATGCGTGCCTTCACAATGTATTTTCGGGACACAAGTCCAGTTGAAGTAGCCCATATTGACGAATTCGACGAGTGTAAGCTCATGAAGCTGCCGTGGCCTCAAGAAATCCTGTAGTCTGTCCTATCGCCAAAACAATGCTCTCCCAAAAAAAAAAAAAAACACGAAGAATGTCCCACGGCCGCCTCAGTTCTCGCTCTTGTCGGGGTTGTAGGCCTGGCGGGGGTGAAAGCTATCAACTGCTGACGACAATGTCCCTGCTATCTCTACGTTGTCTATGATATATACTGAGCGAGCGTTGTAGGATTGCAAGGCCAAGATGGATGGACGATTTCTCCTAAGAGTTTGGCCGAAAACACAACCGTTTGCATGTGCGCCGGAGACGCCCGAGAATCGACAGGAGGCGCGACCATATGTAAAGAACACATCTCGACCTTCAATCATCCCTGACTGATCTCGGCCCTATGTCTATGTACGCACGATAAATGCATGATTCCTGGCTGGTCGAACAGCGGCTTGCGATCATAGTGATATCCGATGAGATGGTGTACTGGAACAGGATTTATGTACCGGTCGTATACTGGATAGCAGGATTATCATTCACGAAGAAATAGGGAGCAATAACCGAGAAAGCTCGCTCAGAAAGCACGGAAGAACAGCAATTGCAGAGAGATGTTCGAATCACAACAAGCGAGCAGATGGGAAATTCCAAGCCAAAATTGAGAACAGAGCAATGAGGCATCCGGTGATGAAATGAATTACGAGACATGGAATCATGTGGACTGATAGATCAAAGTTCAAATACGTAAAGAACTGACGGTGAAGATGCCTGTTCCTCCCAACTTGATACCGTTGGAGTGTAATGAGGCAGATGTCCCTCCCGCCTTCAGCTCAACCCCGTAATGCTCAACCGTCTCGGAGCATCCGCGGGAGAGAACTCCGGCCTCGTTTCCGCCTTCGACACATTTGCCACACGCGGAGGCGAAGTCACAGCCTTCTTCCCATTCCCAGTGAGCAACGCCGGGTCGACCGACAAATTGGGCGTGCCGTGCGGCACCAGCGCATCATGCGGGGCCGTGCCGACGCTGGTGTTGCTAGACGCCGCCGAATGGACGAGGAAAGGCGGAGGCGTCGCCGTGGACGCGGACGACGTGCTTGTTCGTCGTGCGTAAGGGTTGTCGGCGAAGCGAGCGATTGGGTGTTGTTGTGGGAGGCGCGAGGTGGAGGAGCGACGGTCACCATTGCTTCCGCCTGCTGCTGTCTGTGCAATACCCCGCATGTTTGGGTATGCGACGTACGCGGGCGTAAAGTTTGATGGGATGTGGGCTTTGCCTGCGCCGGTAGAGAGAACTTCGCCTCCGGCGTCGGGTATGGACATGTCCAGCTGGCCTGCCGAGCGGTGCGCAGCGAGCATGGACGTATCTTGGCCTACGCAGCATGGCTCGTTACAAGGACCGGGACGGTGGTGGTGGTGTGGGGGCCGCCAGTACGCGGCCTGCTGCTCTGCGTGCGGATGTGCGTAATGTGGAGCACGTACTGGGCGCGCGTGATCATAGCGGTGATGCGGATGATGAACGCCATCGCCCGGTTGGGCTGGAGGGCCACGCATCATGACGGGGTCCGGGCCTCGTTGCGTGTGGGCATGCATCCCTTGCCCACCGGCGTACCGGGCCGACGGAGGTGGTGGGTACGAGGCGTCACGGTATCCATCTGGTGCCGCGACATTCGCAGGTGTCCACGGACCCGTCGGGAAAGGAAACCCAGCAGCAGGGTAATACTGCTGGCGTGGATAGTCTCGTTGCTGCGCCGCGCCTACCACTGCGGCCGCAGTGTTATCGTACTCCACCGATTCTCTCGCCGTCTCGAGACCGGCATTCGGGCTGATGGGTCCTCCTCTCGCCCTCGCCGCCCGGTCCGCATTCTTCGGGTCCAGCCACGCCTGCCACAAATCGGGATACCTCCTAAACGCCTCGTAGGTGAGTAGCCGCTCGGTCAGTCCCGCGAGAGCCTGCTGCTGGTGCGGACGCAAAAGCTTGCCCTCGTTGAGGTCAGCTTCGAGGTAGTATGCGACGAGGTGCAGCTTCCTGCCGTTGGATGTGCGGACGGAGAGGCAGCGTTTAGACAGGCCTCCGGGCTTGCGAACCACTGGCCCGCTGCTTGGCGCGACGAATGGGTCACGATTGACCACCGGTCGGGCTTCTACTTGTGTCGCTGTGGCTTCTTTGCCTTCGATCTCGTAATACGTGAGGAACCTTTCTTGAAATCGACGCGACGGTGACCAGAGGCGACTATCGGTCCAACGCTTAATCGCGGCCTCCTCCTCGTCCCAGACGAAGATGGCGCCCGATCGAATGCGAGCTCGCTGAAAGCAGAGAGCGGTAGAATGTCATGTTTAGGAATGAGGACGATTGATTGCAGGAACCGATGAATTTCCAGTGACGGATTGTCGATAAATCTCACCTTCTCCGATTCGTTCAACCGCCTCTGCACACGCGGCAGATATCCTTCCCTGCACGCCTCAAACAGTAGCACGGCGTCTTGGAGCGTCTCAACCGCTCCCGTAAGCGTCTGCATGGTTGTGTTGTGTTCTTGCTCTACGTGAATGAGCTCGACTTGCAAAACTCCGATGACGGCGAGGGAACGTTAAATGGCGCGTACGATTATACACGTAACGACGGGCGTGATGTGGGCGGTACAGATAGCTTCTTTTTGAGTATCCCACAACTTTAAGGACGTAGTAAGATATCGAAATAGGGTGGTGGCGACGATGTTATAGGATAGACAGAACAGAAAGCTTAGTCGGATAACACGATCAAATGTATCCCAAACTGCGTATACGTCTGTGGTAACGGAGCGAAGGGGAGGAACGCTAAGGCGCTCGGTATAAATGCTGAACTCCGTCAGGGGGTGCGCGAAACGGAGCGTGTTTGCTGCAACTTAGTGCAAAGGTTGTCTCCCGAAAAGCAAAGCCCTCGGTGGATTCCTTGCTAACGCCTCTATGAATGCCACCGGAAAGAGTTTGCAAAGGGTGCTTTGTGGGAAACCAGGACCAGCTATTTGTGACAGAAAGAGGCCGATTGGGAAATTGGGATTCTTAGGTTAGGCGGTAAACGTCACTCCGCCCTGGTAACAATGAGACATTGGCGGCCTTTCGTAAGGCGGGAGATCCAGCCCAAACACGCGTTCAGCTGTGGAAGAAATAGGTCAGGTATGAGCCGGGCTCATTGCGCATTAAGCGTGGGTTTGGGCATGCCGGGGTTTAGGCATCCCGCGCATCGAGTCTGTTATCGATTTCCAATTTCATTCTTTACGAATTGTTATCCGTGGGCGGTGCAAAAAAAAGGGGCCAAAGGCAAGAGACAAGGACGCTGGAGAGAGATAAGGTTGGAGCACGAAAGGAACAATGTGTAAGTGCGAACGTGCTGACTTTAACCCAACCACCCCCTTCATGGTCGCAGGCTAGCGGAGAGACCCAGCGACCGAGGACGGCTGAAGGAAATGTCACCCAAAGGACGCTTGTTTCTCGTCGCCGCCAACAATATCATCGACAAGGTTTACAAATCCGTTTCAACCGGTCTTTCATCGGGGAGCATCGTAACCCGTCGTATCGCCAGTTTCCTTCATTATGTCCGCATTTCAGGGTCCATGCAAACCCACGGGATCAAGGAGATGGGTGCCATGACGACGGGGCTCGTCAGAAGTTATGCCGTTAGCTGTGATTAAAGATCATTTCCCACGCTTGTTTTCCCGGAATTCCCGTTGAGGGGATTATGAACACGGGGAGGGGTTTGTATCGTTATCTGTCATAAGCTGGACAAGCGCGTGAATTGCCCTTTTTTGTGGGCGAGAGCAGCTGGATCAGTGCGTTGAGCATTGCTTCGCTCGCGCTAAGGCCCAGCTGGTCAAAAGGTAAGCTCCGCTCGCTTACATAAAGCGCGGTTGTCACTGAACGCGCGCGGTTCATGCTGCGACGACCGCTTTGTTGTTGAGATGCGCCAAGCCGCGGGGTCGTCGCAAGTGTCTCTCGAATCGTATGCAAGGTCAATTGTCGAAGCGTATAGGTCAATCGTATGCAATCACGACCATCCATCGTTGAATGCGATGAATACGTACAGCATCCTGGCGGCACGGCTAAACTCAGACAACCCAGCTTGTGGCCACCGCACGGCAAATGCGGCTGGATTCGCCGTACATGCTGCGTATGAGCAAGTGTGATCTGTAAGTGAAAGCAAAGTAAAAAAACTCTCATCCTGTGAGAAATACGGATACCGTTTCAAGATTCGTTTTGCGGCTCGAATCCTGCCTTGGCGGCGTCAACCTGGCCCGTTCCGCCTCGCTCGCTTGATGTACTGTAAATGCACCCTCGAGAATTTCATCCTCGTCTACGCTCTGGAACGCTCAAGGGACAACCCATCCCTTAGTCATGCCCGAAGATGAAGAACGTGAAAAGAATTGCTTTTTGCCAGTATCCACTCCGTTTGCGGCTCCATCTTGGCGATGTCAGGTCGAATCGCCGCTCTCCGCTTCCTACGGCGGGCACTTGTAAGGAAGTCCGAGGCGCTTTTCCCGTCCGGATTGGCGCTCTGAGCTTCCTTTTCCCGAGGAGTCATCCCCGAAACAGAAGGACGTGAAAAAGTTCGAGCGGAGAAGTGATGACATAACCGAACGCGTCTGGGATGATCCTCCCAGGACCAAGATTCCAATTTCCCAATGCGCGCGGCACAAAGTCGCCAAACCATCCCGAATCCCGAAGTCGCCGAGGTCACACCCAACAATTCAGATTGTCACACACGTGCCCCACTCACTGCACCCGGTAAATACTGTATATCGACAAACGCGGCGTCATTCCAGCGGAGTTGCCGCACATAACCCATCCACTAACGACATTCCTCTCAATCGGCGATATCCACCTCCGACAAAAATTTGCACAACGACATTCAAAACATTCTAGTTCCACCGCTTACTCTAACTCCGATCAAAGTTCTTTTGGATTGTGCGGCCGGTTTGGGAAATTTACAGCTACCCCCCATGACACCAATGGTCGTTGTGCTTGGCGTTGTCTGCCTTTGGACGGGTCTTCGGGGATCAACGGGGGGTGTATGATTTATGTCCAGTTGGGCCGATCGGAGTTATGTTGTAGGACGTCGACGCGTACGTGGGATGGGGCGGGCGGTTGTCGGCTGGCGTTCTTTCCTGAGGGAAACAACGATCAAAGGGCTCTAGCGAGATATGGATACCTGTAGTATGCAGGTGAAGGATGTTCTTGCAGGTATGAGAGTGCATAAAAGTATAAAAGTACCGCCGTGTATGGGTTGTCTCGGGAACACGTCGCTATTCAGTGTTCAACACATAGCGGTGAAGCAGCCTCAGAGCCCCACAAATTGCCATCACCTAAACCCAGCAAAACCACAAGATGAAGTTTCTTACGCAATTTCTGTCCTTTGCGTCCGCCGCGATGGCGGTGAGTGGTGTCGCTGCTGGATGTAAGTTTCTGTCTCATCAATCACTTGTTCGGTGGATTCAGCGATCTCACAGAACCTCCTCTTCATTTGGATGCAGACCCCAACCCCGGTAAAGTCACCGGTAACATCGGCGTACACGACCCCTCCATGGCCAAACTTGGCTCCACCTACTTCGTGTACGGCACCGCCCCAGGCATCTCCATCAAAACCTCCACCGACCGGACCAACTTCCGCGACGCCGGCGTCGCCTTCCCCAACGGCCTACCCTGGTGCAACTCCTACACCGCCGGCGACCGCAACATCTGGGCACCCGATGTGCATGTCATCAAGGGCAAGTTTTACATGTACTACTCGTGCTCGTCGTTCGGGTCGCGAAACTCCGCAATCTTCCTCGCGACCAGCACGACCGGTCGAGCCGGGTCGTGGACCAACCGCGGATTGGTCATCAAGAGCACCCAAACGTCGACGTTCAATGCGATTGACCCCGGTCTGGTCGTTGACTCAAACGGGAAGTGGGTCTTGACGCTTGGCTCGTTTGGCGACGGCATCCACCAGATCGACATTGACCCCGCCACGGGCCTGCGGTTGGGTGGCAGGCGGCACGGCCTGGCATCGCGCCCGCGCAACGGCGGGGCAGTCGAGGGTGCGTACCAACACAAGATCGGCAACTACTGGTACCTCTTCGTCTCGTTCGACAAGTGCTGCCAGGGCGTCGGCAGCACGTATCACGTCATGGTTGGTCGCTCCGCCCACCGCAATGGACCGTTCCTCGACAGGAACGGGGTGGATATGGCTGCGGGTGGAGGTACGGAGGTGCTTGGAGCCCACGGAGATGTGCATGGCCCCGGTGGTCAGAGCTTGATGCAGGATGTGGATGGGCACTTGCTCGTGTACCACTACTACGACGCGAGGGGAGCGCCGACGTTGGGCATCAACAAGATCGTCCTTGATGGGGCGGGCTGGCCGGTGGCCGTTTGAAATGGGTCATCCAATACCCTTTCCAAAGTGTGACTAGAAATGTACATTTTTCCCATTAGAGAACCTGTTAGATAGAGATGCACTGGATGCACATGTAGAAATAAATACCTCGTACAGAACCACGGTTCTTTTACGCACTCAAAAACAATGTTGTACTTTGTCATGAAAAATCAATCGCTTCTCAAAGTTGAATATCGGCGAGCCTCGTTTGCCGTGAGCATCAATCATTTCAGAGCGGTTGTCGGACAACCGTACAAAGGACTGTCAAAAGCCCGATTTACTCGATTCACGTGACGCATTAAAAGGCTCCTAGGAAGTCGGAGATTAGTAAGTCGAAATAAACGTCTGCCCATTGTTGCTTCCCCACTTGGCATCCTCCTTCTCTCGTGGCTTCCCCACATTGCGCTATAAAAACTGCCCCGCTATCCTCCAAAGCCCCAGGCGGCTTTCCGTTGATTCCCACGACTCACTCGACTCAACTACGGCTTGCTTGTCCACAGCACATATTCCTATTTGATAGGCCAAGGGCCCTCGCAACTTCCTGCAACGTCAAAGCTCATTCCGGATACGTGGCAGGTTTCTTCTCATAAAGAACCCGTCCACGTTACGGTAAGCCAAAGCCATAACCCGTCCACGTTCTGCCGAAAAGCTTGGCAACAAGGAACAGTAAGCTTCTTTGTGCTGCTCAAGGACTCGCATACCACAAGGCACCAAGTACCCCGGAGGAGAAGAAGGAGGAGGAGACTCCCAACTCACTCAAAAGCGTAAAGTGCTTTCCCTCTCCTAATTTCCACAGTTGATTCCTGCGTCAAGCAAATCACTTGGACTTCCCTTGACACACTGAGGTAAAAACAAAAACTACCTACGACGTGCGTCGCTCTCTTCCCCTCCGTTATCGAAAAAGCAGCACAGTTCCATAGAGAACGACAGTTTTTTCCTGGTCGACTTCTCTCAAGCCTACATCTGTCCGCAACAGCTATTGTTGCGACAAGCCGAGCAATGGCGTTCCTAGACAACGCAGATGCTTTCCTCAACCTCGATAACACTTATACCGACGGGAAAGAACTGAATAACCAATCGGCTTTCTATCCTTCACCTGAACTCGATCAGATCTTGGACGACTTCTACTCTAAGTCTCTCACCCAAACACAGTGGTTGAGCGACTCGAGCCTCTCAAGCGAATACCTCTGGTCCCCCGAGACCGATACCACCTCCATCCACGACTCGATGTCGCCGTTGGTTCCTTACGACGACTCTTTCCTTCCCTTCGACCCTACCAAGCCAGTTGCTGACGGTCCCGTCTTCCCTTTGGCAGATCTTGGGAATATGGCTCTGTACCCGCTTGACCAGAACACACCGTCGATATTTGACGACAACACGGTGCATGCGAGAGCCTTCGATGATGCCCTCACCAAAGCTCTGAAGCAGAGTGAAACCGCTGGCGTAGAGTGTTCGGGGACTATGAGCCCCGCGGGGTTGGATGGCGATTTCGATACTGGGTATAACCTGAGCAAGTTCTTCGCCAGCTTGTTGGAGGACCACCCCCACGAACACTCATCAGATGCTTACGACCTGTCGACGTTGAGTCCAAGCATAAAGGGCGAATTCGGCGAGAACCCATACCCGTCACCAAGGAAACGTCGATCGAGCGCCGTTTACCAATGCACGATCGCCTCGTGCGACAAGAAATTCACCCGGAAGTTCAACCTGCAAACACACCTGAAAACCCACAACCCGTGCCGAGCACGACTCTTCAAGTGCCACGACTGCCCGAAGGACTTCCTCCGAGCGCACGATCTCGAACGCCACGCATTGGTACACGATGCCATCAAGCCCTACGGATGCCCCGACCCGGACTGTGACAAGCGATTCACGCGCTCGGATGCGCTGCGCCGGCATCTGAAGACGTCTCGATGCGGTGGAGATCAAGACTCGCAGATGTAAAGGGTCGCATGGCCATCACACCCCGTCATTTCCCGTCGCCGGCGTATCCTTCGGCTCCATATCAAACAAGCAACATCCTCTATTACGACATACCCAAGCAACGACACTGGGCAATCATATTAACAAATTTCCGCATATGTGGTTTCGACATCTCGATCGATTCCGGTGCTATTCATCAACTCCACCCCCCGCGGACTTCAAGCAACGCAATAATTATCAACGCCCTTCGCACCGTCGGGCGTCACTTTTGGACACCGGCAACAAATTCAAATACCCACCATGGAACCTACCCTTCCCAATCATCCCGCGGTTTATTCCCACCCGAAGCTACCCAGAGCTTTTGGACACAACAACGCCGCAGTTGCGGTCGGCTTCCCGTCGCCACGCACGACCCGACTTCCCGCGCGGGGTCAGCTAGAGCAGCCTGACCCCCTCACCAACAACCGGGAACTGGAGGACCTGTCCCAACCTTGACTGGTAGTGTTCACCTTCACACGCACAACCAAAACGTGTAACTGATGATGTTCATGATGACCAAAAAGGCAATCTCGTTTTCTGTTTCTTCACTTTCTCACATCACCCCCACTACCGACTTCCGGTATTCCCCTTTGTATATTTATTTGCAGCAGAAGTTGTTCTCCGCAAGAGAGAGGTTTCTTCTGAGGAACTGGGAACGCGTTCGCACCACCTACCCACCCACTCACGGCTTTGCTTGGAGTTCCCTCTTCGCCGTCGTTTCTCGTGTTCTGCGTTTACCCTCGGGGCGGGGAGCTTCTTCGGACTGTACTGGGACCCCGCGCGCGTAATTATTTCGTTTTCGGTATACGAGATGAATAACATGCGAGGCAAAAAAATATCTTTCGTTGTTGACAAGCAAGGACTCCTTCTTATTTCGGTTTTCGGGGGTTTGTGTTTCTTTTCCGTTTATTGCGTTCTGTATATAGCTGTTTGAGCAGGATGGAGTGGGACCCGGGAGGATTGCGATCTGAATGTAGTGTAAGAGTAAAAAAGAATCCCAATGAGAAGCGAAATAAAACTTGAAACCTTGTGATGCTTGTGCATGTCTTGATGGTAGTTTCGTGCCCGTTTTTCTTGGTTTACATAGGTAGCTATCGGCATGCGTACAATTTGCAGAATGTTCGGTACGTACTTGATGTGTGCGTGTCCTGCTATCCTTCCTTCGCTTCGCGGGAGCAGCGTGTCCCCCTGTTCCCTGTCATTTTCCCACACAAGATGGGATACGAGACTCCCGAGAACGCATGCCGATGTGGACTATTGGTAGAAGTAGCGAATGCGTTCCCAGTGACGACGCTTGCGAACGTTGCGAAGACGAGTCCATCTGCCCATAATAGATCTTAGAGTCCTTGCTGTGCAGTGTGGACCATCCTCACTTGTGGTCGGACATGTCCATTCACAGTGAACCAATGTTTAGAACAGGCGACACTGTCAGGATGCCCAAATCGACAGCGCGTCCTCGAAATTGACAGCCGATTCCGTCATAATACGATTTTATTGGGCCTTGACTGTTTATTATTGAAAGACTAACACTTTGAGAGCCTTGAATTAGATTGTCTGGACGTCTCCCGGTTGCAGTGTGTCCAATTTTAGTCTCACTGTTACCGACCCTCTTGACCGTGTTTGGGAGATTAAGCTGAATCCTACTCTCAATTCACATGTGCCGAACAACAAGGGGGCCTTCTGTGGCTCGAATCTTCCATTCAAGGATGCAAGCACCCAATGCCGTTTGACAGGATGGGCCACGTCCCGTAGGTAAATAAGCCCGTCAAATCTTGACCCATCTCAACTCGATTTCTGATATCATGCAATTTCCTGCGCTTGTTCTCGTCGGCCTTCTCGGCTTGCTGGGTTATGTTGCTGGTATGTTCATTCCGGCCGTGTCTTAGTCTTCAATTCGATTAACCCCATTTCGATTCCTTCCTCTTCCTCAGCCGCTGTGAAGCCGAGCATTCGAGTGCTTATATTCCCCACTGTTGGAATCCAACAAGAGTCTGATGTGCTTCTTCCTTTGGCCCAGCAATGGTCCGACGCAAATGGAATCGATATCACTATCGAATGGCCACAGACCCTCGTATCCACTGACTATGGTGAGGAAGTTCCTTGGCATTCGGGATAGTCATGGTCATGCGGGTGCTCCGAATCCATTTGCCGAACCAGTATCCAATCATGCTTACTCCGCTTGGTGATGCAGCGGCCGTCGTTAGCACATACCTTAAGGTATTATCACAGAAACCCCTGTCGACCCATACGACTGTAGACTGACGACCGCATTCGCTTGCTTAGACACACAAGCCCGATTACTATGACATATATATGATTGACGTCGTCTGGACGGGCGACTACGCTGACTTCTTTGTTCCACTGGACAAGTACATCGATCAAGCTACCTTGTCTTCTTTCAATCAAGATATCCTCCGACAAGATTTCGTGAAGGGCAAACATGGTGAGCCCTTCCTCCTCTCTCGCCATGTTCGAACGTCGGCCATAACGGGTGCTAATGGCTATCTGTTTCCAGTTGCGCTGCCGTGGTACGCCGATTACGGAATCTTCTACTACCGCCAAGATCTGCTAGACAAGTACAACAAGCCTATACCCGAGACGTGGGACGAAGTGGAAGATGCTGCGAAAGCCATCTTGAAGGGTGAAAGAATCGAACAGGCTGCCGGTACAGCCATAGACAAGAAACTATATGGCTATCTTGGACAGCTAGATGGTAGGCTTTTCTTTCTCGCTTTCGGGATTTCTGATTTCCCAAAGCTAATCTTTCTCAGGAGATAGCTTATGAAGGCTTGACTTGCAATGTGGTGGAATGGGTGAAAAGTGTCGGCAGAGGAGATTTGATGGTTAGTTTCCCCAGCCTTCATCGCTTTCTCAGCCTCCGGTTTCCAACGCCCTTGCACTCTATATAGGACGCCGAAGGTCATGTCACAGTCAACAATGAGGGTGCCAAATGGATCTTCAATAAGATGCGTAGCTGGATCAACGACGACCCTTATATCATCCCAGGGGGCTCGATGGTCTATCGCGAACAAACTGGTTTGGACGACTTCGCTGCCGGTTATGCGTGAGTGTCTTGCCGACTGCATCATTCTATGGGAGGTTTGGACAAGCTAGCCTCCGATTGACACTGCTGCTCTTTATCTCCCCAGCATCTTCATGAGAAACTGGCCCTTCTGCATCAAGGCACTCACCGAAGCCAAGGCCTTCAACAACACCGCGCGTAAATGGGGCTTCAAAAGACTACCGGGAAGAATCGCTGGTCAATCGGCTGGAACGCTCGGAGGATGGCATTTGGCCATCTCAAACCACACGCAGGATGAGGCTTCCGCCGTCAAAGTCTTGAAATGGTTGACCTCGCCTGCCATTCAAAAGGCTCGCGCAATCAACCATGGTCTTTTGCCCACTGACATGGCCTTGTTTCAAGGTGCGCCTATCGCAATCTTCCTGTGGGAGCCCACGAATGAAGTATGCTGATCGCCTTTGTCGTTAACAGATCAGGAAGTCTGCACAGCAATCGGTCATTGTGATGTTTTCGGAAACATCTCGGTTGCCGCCCGACCTTCTGCGGCCTCTGGTGGAAGCTACCTCTCGGTGTCTCAACGGTTCTACACCAGCATCAATGAGTTTCTGTCCGGAAAGAACGGTGCCGAGAACATCGACACAGTTTTGAAAGCACTCACCATCGACGCTGAGAAGCTTGCTGGAACGTACATCGATCCTGCGAGAGGTCCACCCGTTTACGTCGACTACGAATCACCGATTGCGAAAGCAATGCTGGCACTCTACGGAATCGGCTTGATCCTTCTGCTTGCCATGATCGGTCTTATCTTGCACTTCCGGGACGTCCGCGTTGTCAGAACCGCTTCTCCGTTCTACTGCATTTGGGTGCGTTGTGGATAGCCTTATATCACGACTCTTCTAGCCGTCTGACTTGATGATCGGGAAATAGATGATCATCGGCGCCATTCTGTGTCTCAGCACTCTCTTCGTCTATACCGGATACCCCACAAAGGCGACATGTATCCTTCAGCCGTGGATGCTTGCTGTTTCCTTCGCAACCATCATGACAGCACTGTTGGAGAGTAAGTCGGCGCGGCGTAATGACAGATGCATGATACCCTGCAACCTCCATGCTGAACGAAACTCTGTGCCATTTTTCCGATTCGGCTCCTTATAGGAAATTGGATCATCTTCCGAATTTTCAACAACCCGTACCTCAAGGTGCTGCAGTTTTCCCCATGGCACTTTTGGGCTCGTTTCGGGAGTGTTCTAGCCGTTGAAGGAGTAAGCCGCCTTCGCAAAACCATTTGGTGGTGCGCTGGCTCTCATAGCAAACTTCATTATCAGGTTATCATTGGCGTCTGGACCGGCATTGATCCTCCGCAACCCACGCGAGTGTATCTCGCCGATTACAACTACATTACTTGTCGATCCTCTTCGTCAAACTTCCACTGGACCATGACTGGGGTTCTCCTGGCCGCCAACTTCCTCCTCCTCGTCGCTGCCATGATACTCGGCTACTTCACGAAGCACGTCCGCAAGGATTACAACGACGCACAGAAGATCGCACTTATTGTCTGGAATACAACTTCCTTTTCGTTTATTGCGGTAAATAAAACTCAAATGCCTTACACTTCCCTGCTAGAATCTCATCCATATCGCCCCCTTCTCTTTCTTTGTAGCTTGCGCTCATTTTCATCGAGCCGCTTGGCGTCAAAACGATCTACGCAATCCGATCATTGATCATCTGGGAGTGCAACATGTTCTTCCTCGGCTCGTTCTTTGGCCCCTTGCTGAATGATGTTGCAAGGAATCCCGACGGCCTTGTCAGCTCTGCGGTTCCTTCGAACATGCCCCTGGGTATGTCAATCAATGCGTTAACCCAGCAAATGGCTACGGATAAAACAGCTACCACTACTACCGATGAATTGCACATGCCAAAGCAGAAGACATCTCTCATTTTGACTGGTATCCTCGTTGGAAAGACGGCGCAAAGCAAAATAGCGCTTTCCTTTTCCCCTTGGAATCACTTCATGGTGGTCATTCTACCGGACGACGGCATTCTTTCGATCATGCCTGAGGTTGGTTCCCATGTTAGATTCGCACATCTTTCTATCAAGCTTTCGGAATACCTAGCGCGAACATATTTCTCGTTGCCAATCACATTTCTAGAAAGGTACTCGGAATGGCGTCAGTATCTTCGTCGAATCCCAAGTTCACACCGACTACGTACTGGACTCCGATGGAGTCTGGAACTTCTCTATCTGCATCAATGGAACGCACCACTACCAGTTCCTCTCCAGCAACAAAGCTGTTCTGCAGGCCTGGGCAGCTCGGTTCAACGGCATCAGGAAGAAGGCGCTCACCACGTCGTTCCTCGGGCAGGGGAGCCTCACCACTGCGTAGAGCGTCTTCTGGGAGTCTCATGGTGACATTGGGAAACGTCACGTAGACAAAATGTATTTGAAACTGTAGGAGTAAAGCTAGCTCTAGATTTGCATTTATACCCGGCCAATTGACCCTTTGTTGGATTGAAGTACTTTTGCTGTGACTATTGGCTATTCTCGAAAAGGTTACTGGTGCAATTCCACCTTGTGCGGAGTGCATCCCCGGGACGTCGAAAACTCGACAGCGCGTCTTCTCCGAGATTGACAGTGGAACGCTTGCGTTGAAGTGCGAACCGAATCTTATGATGCTGGATTGAGTCTGGCTGCAGGCCAGGATTTCGGTTCTTCGAGGATTGCAAGAGGCAATGCAACATTTCGGTGTCGAAAGGGGAAACTGCTGATATTCGTAGGGTGCCCGTGCATATAAATACTACATTTTGCCATTGACGATCGAGGCCAATGCGACCACCGACACAAGAAATCATTCACAATTTCCTAACAATTTGGGAAACGGATTCTACCAGACATGCAGACATGCTCATCTTGACGTGCAAGATGGTTGATTAGCTGCCGTGTACCCGACTTCTTTTTCCACAGAGCGGTTCTATTCTTTGTCTTTCTAGGGTCCATGGCGTGCTTGAGCGCACAGGGTCTCCAGTTTCAGCGAATGGCGTGCTTGAGATTTGCACATGGCGGTCTACGATCTAAGTGGGTGGCGCTTGGCCGTGCACAGAGCTAGTTTACAACATCATGACCTTTGCGACTCGCGTAAAGTCTCGGAGTGCCGTTGCCGAGAGGGTGTTCGAGTCGGGAACTGGTCGGTTGGTTGAATCTGGTCATACATCGAACATGACAGGTCCACGGAAGCGGTAGGTATCCCCGGGCGGAATGCATGAGCGGTCACGGCCCTGCAGGAACCTTATCTCCACATTGTCGTTTCTCAGTAAGACGGTGGAGCAGCCATTGGTGTTCCACGGAAATGGAGGTGTTCTCCGTGGGAACGAGGAAGAGCTTGATGCTGTATAGGCCTGCGGCCTCACCCCGGTTGCTCTGTGGCAAGAATTTTTTGATTGCCGTGCGAAGGCCGATGGCTTCGATTGCTCGGTGGAGGTATCTCTAGAACAGGTTGAGTGACAGGGTGAGAGAGGGGAAAAGGCAGGCGAACAATGGCTCACTGGTAAAGACACTGATTTCCCGCGGATACCCACACTTTCACCCTCCCGGGTGACAACTGTGATAGATTCGGAGTAGGTCGCGGGAAAGTGTGTCATATGAACCGTTGTCCACGTCTGGCCGAGGATTCTGGACTGCGGCCTACATGCGTCAGGAGGGGGCCCCGGGAATGGTGTACTATGTTCAGTTTCGAAGTAAATCGATAAAACAGATGGGGTCTATGTACCTGTGAGCGGTACAGCAGCACTGATTTTTGCGGAGCGGCGTAGTGCCGGCATTGCCCACTTCCACTCGCAAAGCTCGATGTCTCCAGGACTGGCAGATTAACCCGAATTCGTAACGCGGAAGGGGCCGTAGCAGTAGTTGGGCGATCGGGAGCTCTCGCAGGGGCCGCTGTAGCGGCAGGACGAGCCGCCACGGAGGTGGTTGTGATGGGAGGAGGTTTGGGAGGGATCGGCACGATTGGGAATCAGTTCAAACTGAGTGATCAGGCGGCGGACAGTCCCGCCCGCAACGGCTCATTGGAAACGAAGCAGTTGGCCTTCATCGTCGTGGATGCGGTCAAGCGGATCTTCTTCGTGCGAGGCCCGTCCACATCGGTGACTTGAAGCGTACTGCCTTCTTGTTCGAAAGACTGTGGCCCTTGGCGTCACGCTCGAAAGCTTCCAGGTTGCTTTCATAGACGACATGTGGATGGACAACCAGGCTGCTGTAAAATGCCGCCTGTCTTTCAATCGCCGCATCTACAGCAGCCTTGTCGTCCATCCACGTGTCGTCCACGGCACCGGGTGGGCATAACCGAAAAGAACATTTCGCATAGGATGACGCCCAGGGATCATATCCGCTGCATCCCGCATTGAGCGCGTCATGAAGCTAGTTTCCTCCCGTAGACCAGCCAGAAGCCCATGCGGCCCAGGTGTTTTTGTTCAGCAAACCACTTTGCGCCGCCCCCACCGGCGTCAAATGCGTCATGATGTCAGGTATCTGCATATTCCAGAGACATTGCACCTGGCGCCTGCGGTCCTGGGAATGGGGTGCGCCGTAGGCGTAGCCCGCAGTTTGCACTCGATCTTCGGCTCGCTTCGAGACTGCCTGGAGGTAGGCTTGAACGCTCGATCGGCGGCCGGCCTTGCAGCTTGCTGATGTGCCCACCCGAGCCACGGCATTGTGGAGGTCTCTAACTGCCTGAATTGGGCTAGTAGGGCCGGCTATGCTCACCGCACGTCTGAGTATCTCACGGCGGCTTGTGATGCTTTGAGAGCATATCGGAACGGTGTTCGGCGACTGGCGTAGTCCGAATGTGACTTAAAGAGGAGGGAGCGCATTGTGAGTTGTTGTGGAGGTTTGTGTGTGTTGACTTTTGTTAAGGTGGTGGGATCTCTCTCTTTATATGGGAGGTCTCAGCAAGTGCTGCCAGTCTGCTCAGATTGCAATCCGATAAGGAATGTGGGGTGAGAAAGGACGGGAGAACGGGCGACTGACATGTTTGACAGCACAACCGACGTGTTTGACAGTACCAGTGTGGGTTCTACCGCTTTCTTGTGATGGCCTCCAAGCAGCGCCATTCCTAACCTATGAAAGCAAACTAGCTTCCTTCCCGCGTTCGTTCTTCTTTTTCATTATCATACACAACAGAGTTCATCTCGTTAAGGTTTTGAAGATCGTCTAGTCACCTTCATTACTGGGTTTAAATGTAGTCATTTTGTCCGGCACCATCGGTCGACACACACACGGGAGGCCCCCCCGCGCAAATGAGAGATGAAAACGTAAAATTCAAGATGCCCTCTCAACTCCTACAATCACCGTGAATCATGAGTGAATCCGACTCAGGAATAAGAAAGAGTCCTGTGGCTCAATGGCAAAGCTTTCGACTCTGGTTGCAGCCGAGTGCTTTCATATGTTGAGCTAGTCTTTCGACGCGTTTCATTGTTTGATAATGTCCTGATGGGGAAGATGGGGAATTATAAGGAAATAACAAATAAATCCAACTCAGCAATAAGAAAGAGTCCTGTGGCTTAATGGCAGAGCTTTCGACTCCAGATCGAAGGGTTGCGAGTTCGATTCTCGTCGGGACCATTGTTTTTTGCGTTGAACGAATTCCTTCATATTCCGTTGTGACGGCAGGGGGCGATGAGAAGGTTGCGAGATCTCGTTGGGATCATTGCGCCAACGTTTTTTTTTTCCGGTTCAGAGGACAACAAGGCGTAATGAGTAAGATTATCCTTCAAGGCGAATGTCGTAGGGATCATATCAGCCACGTACAGCCAGACATAAAGCTGTGCCCCCGTCTAATTGAAAATCAATGTCGGTCACTCACGTGAATTTTGGCGTTGCGGCAGTCGCTGATTTATTTCAGGGGGGCACAGCTTTATGTTCCATGGGTCTGGGCAACAACGAATTTGTAAACCCAAGTGGATGGATTGACGCGTCTTGGAAATTCGAAATTGATGACGCCGCCTATATTGCTCAACGGAATACAACATATAATTGTTCGGGAACAGTCATGTCTCCTCCGTGACTCCGACGCGCACAAGCAGAGGCTTGTATGAATTTGGAAAGGGGTTTCCTCAGCCCTGGGGGGAGTGTGGGGTTGGGGGGGGGGGGGGGGGGGAGGGGGGGGGGGGGGGCTGCGGCTGAGCTGCTGAGCTGCTGAGCCGCTGACTAAAGCCATAGGGGTCAGATATGTGGACTCGCACGTAGTATATAAAGAGCTGATTCACTCCCACGCCGAGCAAATGTTCAATCGTCGCATTTCCCGTCTCATCAACATATCGATACGTTCCTCAAGGCAACCCATTCGAAGTTATAGTTCAAGCACCACCGCCTGTCAAATGCTCGCGACGTCAGGATCACGCGGCTGGGCCTATCAACAGGAGCTGCACAGGGAAAGTCTCGCGGACCCCTCTGGATTCTGGAGGAAGCAAGCTGAGGCCATCGACTGGTATGAGAAGGGCGAGGACGTTCTAGTTCACGATGAGGCCAAATATGGTCAGCCAGGATATTCGTGGTACCCCGGCTGGAAGGTGGGTAATGTGTCCTCGAGTCCCGTAACGAACTTGCCACTCACTCTAACTTCCCTTCTCACTCTAACTTGCCAGATGAACACCTGCTACAACGCTGTCGATCGCCATGTTCTCGCCGGTAATGGTGAACGCACCGCTCTCATCTATGATTCGTCCGTGACTGGAAACAAAAGCCGCGTGTCGTACGGGGAACTGCTGGAAAAAGTCTCAACCTTGGCGGCGGTGTTAAAGTCCCAGGGCATCAAAGAGGGAGACACCATAATCATCTACATGCCGATGGTCATCGAAACGGTCGTCGCGATGCTTGCCTGCGCACGGCTTGGAGCCGTTCATTCCGTCGTTTTTGGCGGATTCCCACCGAAAGAGTTGGCGAAACGCATCAAGGACTGCAAACCTCGCCTAATCTTGACCGCTACATGCGGAATCGAGCCAAAGAATAGAATCATCCGATACAAACCCATCTTAGATGCCGCCATCGTCATAGCCGGGCATCAACCGCAAGCGATGATCATCCTCCAGCGTCCCCAACAGCCAGAATCACTGAATCCCGACAAAGGAGAGTACGATTGGTCTCAGGAGCTGCTGAAGCAACGAAATGCAAAAGTGGATCCCGTGCAGTTGTCCGCTTCCAGCCCTCTTTACCTTCTTTACACTTCGGGATCCACGGGGGTCCCAAAGGGTGTCGTTCGGGACAACGGAGGCCACGCAGTTGCACTTCATTGGACCATGAAGTACATCGTTGGACTTTGGCCAGGGGACGTTCTCTTTTCCGCGGTGGATGTAGCCTGGGTGGCTGGCCACTCTTTCGCCGCGTATGGGCCATTGCTCGTTGGCGCAACGACCATCATTTATGAGGGCAAGCCGACAGGGACTCCTGACGCAGGAGCATTCTGGCGCGTGATTCAAGAGTACAAGGCGGTATCCTTGTTTACGGCACCGACTGCAATCCGTGCAATCAAACGAGAGGATCCCGAAGGAAAGCTCATCAAAAAGTATAACCTTGGAACTTTGAGGAACATATTCCTTGTTGGAGAGCGAGCAGACCCAGATACTGTCGACATGTATGCTCGCCTTCTGAACATACCCGTGAGAGAGAACTGGTGGCAGACGGAGGTATGTTCTTTCGTGATCTCAGTGACACATATGTCTGATTGGAGCTGATCCCATTATTACCTTCACAGACAGGTTGGCCGATGACGGTTGCATGCGAAATGCCCGAAAAATCACTTTCCAGCGAAACCCGGTTGGGATCCGCCGGACCACCTATCCCCGGATATGACATCCGTGTTCTCGTCCCAACCACGGGAGGCTCGGGACACACCGACGAAGACGACCAGCATACATCCAAAAAGCTGTTCAGAGAAGCTAAGCCGAACGAATTGGGTACCCTCGTCGCGAAATTACCGCTACCGCCGGGAACTTTTACGACACTGTGGAACAACCATGCAGGATATGTAAAGTCGTATTTCTCAACGTTTCCTGGTAAGAAGAGAGAACGTGAGAGGGATGGACACCCATCTTCGTTGACTTACATTCTGGGTTGCCGCGGTTGCAGGATACTTCGACACCGCAGACCACGGCTTGATCGAGGAAGACGGATACGTGTGTGTTATGGGCCGCACGGACGACATCATCAATACGGCCGGCCACAGATTGTCCACCGGCGGCATGGAGGTTGGTTCTCGTTGTTTTCGTCTTTTCTTTCGCTCCGTTCCGTTTTGCGCATTCCCGTTCCCCTCTCTTCTCTTTCCTCATCTTCACAGCAAATTGTTTCGGCTCACAAGAGTGTCGCCGAGTGTGCAGTCATAGGAGCCGCCGATCAACTCAAGGGGGAGATACCGCTTGCCTTCGTCGTCTTGAAGGTCGGAGAAGAGACAAAGCTTAAGCCAGGGCAGATTGAAAACGACCTGAAACAAGCCATCCGAGGCCAGATGGGAGCCATCGCCTGCTTCGACAAAACGTTCATAGTCAAGAGGCTGCCGAAAACCAGGAGTGGAAAAGTCTTGCGGAGGACTTTGCGCGCGATCGCCGACGGAAAGAAATACGATATCCCCGCCACCATCGAAAACGAGTCCGTTTTGGGAGAGATCCATGCGTTGTTCGCAGGCAAACAGCAGGACGTTGCTAAGGCGAGGCTCTGAGGAGGCGAAGCTCTAGGCGAAGCTTTGACGATGCGCCCTTCTTTCGTATAGCCAGTAGTTGTCCCGTAGTATAGGGTAGCGATACTTCAATTTTCCTCAACAAGCTGAATCATCTGAAGTGCGTGTTCGACTGATTATCATACCGGGTTAGCGTACCCGCTGGGCAGAACTTTTCTGATATCCTACAGACGCTGGCGTTTTCCCGCGGTCGGCGGGGTTTCAAATGACTGGGAAATGTAGCGGAACCCTCTTACACGGTCTTCCATTTGCCAAAGCATAATGACCATGCCTTTTGAGTGCGCAATAGTGTCCCAGTACTCCGTTCTCAAGAGCTCCTAAGTGGAACTCCCAAGGCACGCCCGAAGAATGGCATGCATCACTGGTTTTCATCGCTGGCGAGGGATGATGAGCTATCTGCACTCTCTATGTGCCAGGGGCAACAGCACGAACGTGGCTGCTGGCGTTTGCAACTCTTGCAGCTAGCAGACAGACTATGCAGACGCTCGGAAAGGATATCCTCGGCAGAGGATGGAGTTAATCGAGATGGACTTTCCAGGACTTTCCGCTTTTTATGCCTCGACGAACTCCCTCCTCCACGTGACCTATTGATATTGACGAAAGCGACAGCGCGCCTGTGTCGCGGAGTTCACGGTCGGTAAGCAAACCACATCAATAATTGTGGCAGCACACGCAATGCCTTTTTGGTAGTGCTCAGAATCCAGGGTCGCTTCAGCCCAACATGATTCCCTGAACCGACTCCTTACCGGAGGTTGACGGAGCCAAGGTATGTACAAGTTGCCTGGGACGTTTGGAATTCGAACTAGGTTAAGCGTGTTGCGCCAACGTCGTGTCATTCCCCCTCAAAAGCATGGATTTCGACGGTTATGTAATGTCGGAGGTGCATGTGCACGCTAAGGGCCCTGAATGCGCCCGCCCATTCCGTGGATCCAACGCCAAAAGGGCCTTGCCGAAAATACCATTACGTATGTATGTATGCTCGTCTGGGAAAGTCCGAGATATTCGATTAGAGTGCAGCTTTCGAGGACGGTGTCGAAGATAAATATAAACGCGTTCCCGGCAGTCCGAAAGTTAGCTGGGGAAAAGTTCCGTTGTAACACCCATCGCGAGGTCTTTACGACCGCCATCCGCCATCCAAAACAACGGTGAATGTTGTATTTTGACAGGAAGCTGCAAAAATGACGAGCATGGAGGATGGAGGCGTTGGTGTCAACTTTGAACCGCGAGGTCGTTTCATCAAAGAAAATGCGTTCGTCGAAGCTATCGTGAGTGCCTGGCGGTCTTCGTTTCTTCTGCTTCCCCAGGTTCTGATCGAAGTCCATCTTCTCTGCAAAGTTCGGCATTCTCTATGGTGCGGCAGGATGAGCTTGTATCATCCGTTATACACGATCTAATGTCAGATGGTTGCAGGCATGACGCAGGGGAACCATCTGAATCCCTTCATAGGACTGGGAATTCAGATGGTTGAAGATTTGCAATTGCTTTCCTTCTCGTTCCAGCCTCAGTATGGATTCGGAAACTTGCCCTCGTGGATGCGTAAGTTTTGGTCTGATGCTGCATCGAGGCTTTCTCCCATACGGCCATCGGTCGAGCCTCTCATTATCAAATGCGACAGCATACGTTTTCAATCCTCTGTCCGCCAAGCCCCACAATTACAAAGGCCTTCTGGTTCTTTTCTATCTTGCCTTCGGCGTTACCGTCGCCAATGCGTTGCTGACTGTGGTTGTTGGAATTTCGATGCGAGGATCGCAGATGAAAGGTAGCAAAATTCTATGCCGTGTATCACTCAAAAAGCGAAAAACTAATGCTTGAATGGAGTTGTTTGGCCGCTACAGCTCCTTCGGATTCTGACGACGGCTCTTTCGACGGTCCTTTTGATTCCCATTATCGAGATTTTCTTACATGCTTTTGCTTGCTACAACGCGGAAACAGACCTGCCACAGCTGCTGGAGAAGACGTCATTGTGTTTTTCGTCCGAGTACCTGCCTCCATTCGTCCTTTCCATTACGGCGTTGATATACCTGATTCTGCAGGTACGTCTCTTCTACACTTCTTGTTCGTCCTCGAGGCTAAATCAGCTTTGCAGGCGCCCCTTATTGCGCTGGTATTCTTCTCCATCGATCCCACGGCGAAAGATGTCCACGCCAAGACGACTGGCAGATTTGACTCGGTGTACAACTGCCTCAGGATCGCCTTAGCGATCTGCCTGGAGGTGTTTCGACCTTACCCGCAGGTGGCTTTGGCAGCCATCATTATCACATCCATCGTCATGTACGGAATAACCATCCGCTACCAGCCTTATTTTGTGTCATGGGTCAATGACTTGCGAGCTGGCATCTACTTTGCGAGCCTGGTGTCGGCAATCCAGGCAGCAATTGTCTTCATTGTTGGTCCTACGGAAGGCCCTGCCTCTTTCGCCGTGCTCTGCTTGCTTCTTCTGCCCTCCTTTGGGGTCGGGGCTCAACTCTGCAAACTCAGCCGAAGACGTATCGCTGAGGGTGTCTATCAAAGGTTCCGCGGTAAGTGTCAGAAACTTAGGTATAAATGAGGCGGATGGAAGAGAGATTGCTGATGGTTTGGGCCTCGGCAGCAAAAATGGCGTATCAACCAAATCTCGCCAGATCGCCTGCACCTTCTACGACACTGAAGAGATCTGCATCTTTCTTGAAGAACCAGCGGCTCACTCCCTTGCAGCAACAAATTCTGGAAGAGTCGACGGAGCCCGACCTTGAGCTGAATAGTCCCGCCAAATTGAGGGCAATTACCACCAAAATCAACCCGAAACCAATCAAAGTTTTTAAATCAATTGAGGTAAGCGGCGCATAGTAACTTCCGTCGATGAGGGTCTTGATCGCTCAACGTTGGCAAACAGGATGTCGAAATTGCATGCCGGTTTTTGCAAAACAATGACGACGCTGATGCGCGTAGCTTGGCGAGGAAGATCTTCTTGGTCGGAGTGGATCAGTTCCCGCGCTCTAGCCAAATTTATCTACTCCGAGCTCATTACGTCGTGACATTCAACATCCAAGGAACCGATGTTGCATACGATTCGCTGCTTTCGGCGAAATTGATGAAGCCGCCATTCGACATTCGATTCTTTTTGACAAGAGAGGAGCGATGTTTGGAGCAAGACAGACGGAAAGAAGATCTGCTAGTGTCCAGTCTGAACGTCACTGGATACGCTGAGCTCTCATCTATGGAGGCAGATGCTCGTCATTATCATCTCGAGACGCTCATTGCCGTGAAGTGTTTGTGGCAGTACATGAAAGCAGAGAAATCACCAGCCGCTGAATTGCCATATTTGCTTGACTCGGTGGCGCATAATCGCCACATAGCGTCAAGGCTGTACGAGAAGATTCTTTCGAAATTCCCGGTACGAATATCCTCCCTAACAAGTTGAAGCAAAATTGCTGAACGCTGAACTTCACTTTATCTGTTGACACGCAGCGATCAAAACAAATTATGAGGCATTACAGCAACTTCCTCTTGACGACTTCAGATGATACCGAGAAAGCTAAGAAGCTGTTTGCCGTACGTTGCGTCGGTCCTACAAGGAGGTTTGTGCATCGTTCCTAACCATATGTCAACGTTCTCGCATCAGCGTGCTGAGCAAATTGACAATGATGAGAAGCGCGAGATGTCGCTGAGACACGGGAATGCAAATATGGCGGCCATGACGACTATTGGGCAAAGTCAGATGTCCGGCATGGCCCAGAGCACGACGTCCAACATTGGGCAGAATCCAGTGTCGAACATCGTGGCGACTGCTACCATACCGGAGCAAAATAGCTTTGATGAAGACATCGAAATGGGAGAAGACGCCGCGTCCCATCAGCGACAGAGAAAGAAGAACATGCACTTTGAGGATGGGGGAAAGTCGCGAATTTCCTTTGCTCCGGGATCCACTATGCCTTCAACACCAGCTTCGCAAGCCTCGTTCATGATGACGGCGGAGCAGCGGGCAACCGCGGAATCAGTCTTCAAGCGGACACCTTCCATCCATTCTGGCGGAAGTAGTCAAAAGGAAGAGCGTCAGAGACGGTTCCTCCGCGACGCCATTTCGAGACGATTACGTGCCCCAATCCTGTCTTTCAAGCTTGGCATGAACACCAGCTTTGTCGCGATCGTGGCTGTTTTAGGAGTTGGATGCGCTCTTGCTGTCATGGCGTACTCGAACATCACGGCGGCGCTTACGAGTGCATTCACTCGATCCAGACCGAGAATTACAGCATCACGCAGTAAGTTTTACCCCGTTGCTAATGCATCGTTTTGACGAAGACCACCGCACTGACATGGGGCTCCAAGTCATTTTGATTGTGCGACAGATGTTTTCTTTGGTAGCGGGCGTCAGCCCAACCGCAGATCCTACTGGAGATTTGGCAAAGGCCGCAAGCTCTCTGTCAGCTCTCGTGAACAATCCGTGGAACGCCCTATTGCTCCCCGTAGTCCAAGCAGACCATATGAACGATGACGCGAAGATTGTTCTATCTGCATTTCGCGGAACAACTGGTACGAGACCGGAGGGAGTTTCCTTTGACTTTCCTTGCGTGACCCAACTCAAAGCGCCTTCCTTACCAGTCAGTTCAGAAATCTATAACGCCTTCACATTGGCTCAAACCATTGCTCTTCGCTGCCAGGTTATAAGCACCACGCAACTGCAGGACCCGGTCGCTGTCGATGATGGACGATTCATTCTCTCCAATTTGTTGGATATCGTTCAAGCCTATGATCAAACGTCGCAAGACGGGATCACTGAGTTTGTTACGTCCATCAGGTCGAGTACCACCGGGATGAGTATGTACCTTCCAGTCAATCAATCTTTGCACAACTCCCGGATATCCAGATCACTAATCTCCTTCTTTTTTCATAGTTGCGCTTTTGATCGTTTTACCCGTTGGCTGCTTCCTCATGACGGTGGTCTATTTCCGGGCAATGATCGAGCGAATGTATCATAAGCAAGTCCTGGTGTTCAACCTCCTCACAGGAATGCCTCGCGAACATGTCAACCGGATGATCGAGAGCTATGAAACGGAAATTGAGATATTGCTCGAAGAGATGGATGACACCAAGACAACGAAAAAGCAGTCGTTATCTGCGGCCACAGGATCTTTCCCTCCGAAGATGGTCATGGCGCGCTCTGTCCCAAAGAGGCAGTTTAAGCATTTCATGATTTATGCCGCATTGATTGCCTGCCCGGGGACGTTGATGTTCGTTCCAGCATTACTGCAAAACAACGTGAGTTACTGAGCGGAAGATTTGGCCTGCATGATATTGCCTCTCATATGACCATTTCGCAGTTCGCGGTCAGCATCGCCGATACGATTCTGAACCTCTCCAATCGCGCTTTCGACTTGGCCATCAGCACTGTTCTTGCGGTCGAGGTCGCTGTCAACGACACGACAATATGGCTTCCGGATCGTCAAAGAACCTGGCTGGATCACTACTACATTGCTTTCCAAAATGATCATAATCAGCTCATGATGGATAAGGCTGGTTCTCCAAGTCTTTTGAGCTTTGGAGCTGTGAACAGCTTGCTGTCTGTCGGAGGGATGTGTTTTGCGAAAAATGGATGCGACAACAGGTTTGGAAATGTGCCAGTGGGCCGTTCTTTGATTGGAACCTCACTGTGATGTTCTCACCTTGCCTGATTCAGGGAGTACAATGAAACCTTCGGGTTTACGCAGGATTTGGTTGAAGGACCATTTGAAACGCTCAGTGAGTGAACATCGATGCATCTTCTGCAATGCCTTTCAGGACAGGAATAACACTGTATATGTACTCCCGATCAGTCTTCAAATGGCGCGAGAGCCTCTCCCAATATCTGCTAAGCAATCCGGTAGATCAGAATCTGAACCACAAAGGGCTTCGTTTGATGCAAGCGGTACTTGAAGACTGTGCCAACGGCTCGGCTGCGATCAATGATCTGCTCGTCGCGGATATAAACGAGAGGAACAAGCAGGCTCGAGCTTTGACCATTCTAGCGTTCTCTGTCGCTGTTGCTGCATTTGCGCTGGGGTACATGATCGTTCCGCGGCGGCTGATCAGGAAGTTCAAGGTGAGATAGAGCGCAACAAAGGGGAGAACGCAGCAGCAGTGTCCTATTGCTTACAGTCTTCTTCATTGGTTGACAGGAACAAATGGATAGCTGTTTGTGGCTTGTCTTCGCCCTTCCGCCAGAAGTAACGAACACTCTTCCGGATCTGAAGGTGGGTCGCCGTCGTGAGATATTCTGAGACATACAGGCCATGCTCACATCGTTTGGATGCCCTTTGTATTAGCGATTCATCGAGAGCGGGGGTGCCATCTTACCGGGGCAAACTTCCGACACTTAAGGCGTTTCGAGGCCTCCCAATGCCACATTCATAGGCATCGCATTTAGTTGGAATGTGGCATGCGGTCATCATCATTTATATATTCGCAGAGCAGAGAGGAATATTGTAGTGCACTACTCTCAAGTTATGCTTTCTGCATAACAACTCCTTCAAGAGTGCTTCCAATATATGCCGTTGCCTTCCAATAATGTAATAGGCAGGGATTCGAGACTACAACCTAGCGCCGCACGGCCCTACCTAGTCGCGAAACTCATCCATATCCTCATTGTAATCGCCCAACGCCGCAATGTCCAACTTCATGGAGGCGCACAGTTCTTGGAGAGTTGGGAGGCGGGAGTCTGATGGGAGGATATACTGTGGTTGCTCGTTCTCCACTCCGTTTTCGTCATTGTGTTCAGACCGGCGAGGTGGGTCACCACCAAAACCGTCGTTGGACCATCCACCGAAAGACGATGTCCCCGGGGCTTCAATCACAATGGGACCGATGGCATCACGTAACGTTGCGAGTATTTCCCGAGTTGATGCTCGCCATTTCTCCACCAGCGCGTCAACTTTATCGGTCTCGCCCTGAAAAGACACTGATCAGTGGGGAACAAATGGAAGAGGCATCGGCCAAGGATATCGCTTACTGATTCAATATTCGATTTCACCAGCCGGATCTTCCTCAACCGTTCGGTCTGTGATTTGATCTTGCTCTCCAGTTCACGCTTCTCATCAAGAAGCGCATCGACGACAGGATCCCCGGATGTGCCATCAGATGAAGATGGCAATTGGGAAACGGAGGATTTACGGACAGCAAACGGGGATTTGAAAGGTGACTTGAAACCTCGGTTTGACCCTCCCCTCGTACGTGGTGTACCCAAATTTGATTTCACCGGCGTCGCGTGCGCCGATTGCCCTGGAGTGCCCGGAGTCCGTATAGGAGATTTGAAGGCCGTAAATCTGGGGCTACTCTGTGAATTTAGGTATTAGAGGACATGTAAGATAAGGGAAGATTGCCTTTTAAATTTCGTCGCTGCACTCACAACATTCTGCAGTGAGCTCTTTTGAGGAGTCTTGAACGGTGTGCGTGACAGCGAATCATTTGCTTTCCGCTTTAGCGGAACTGTAGGCTGGGTGCGAGCCGTAGATTCAGTTTCGTCTTTAATCTGGAGAGATGTTCCCACATCTACAGTATTCACGTTACTTTAAAGCGCATATATCAACGTATTGAAGGAGAACATGTGCTCTCACCGGCAAGACCTTTCCGCAACCAAAATACGGAAGACTCATCTTTTCCAACAACGAAGCTGTGACGGCCAATCTTCCCCTCAGCCTTCCCGCAAATCTCCTTCTGTTTCGTGGGTGAGTGCATGCTCCGCAACGGTGCTTTTGCGCGTGATGACACCAACCTTCAGCTGTTCTATGGCGACTTCCGTACGATTTTCCTCATGCAAGAGCAGCAAAAGCTCCTCAGCTGTCAGAACGGCTTTGTCCTCCGCATTTATTCGTGCCGCCTGCTGCCATAGCGAGGCGACCAATTCTTCTCCGAGTGGGCGGTCGTCAACCATGTCAGCGGAACCTAGCAAATACAGGCGCTTCTGGTTATGGAGTGATTCTCTCGCAAATGCGTTCCTGAGAAGAAAGACAAAAAGGAAGGAAGCCCGGTTAAGCGCAATTTGGCCGTCAAGCGCATCGCTTTGCGACTCCCATTACCTTCAAGCTGTGACGCCTCCTCTGGAACGTCGAAGGGGAAGATGTCGTCGCCAGCCAGCTTGTTGGAATTGATTCGAGCAAGCCGAGCATCAACGGAGTCCGATGGGACCGGACAGCACCACGATTACGCCGTCCAAAAGGGTTTGGCGTGTTGAGTTTCGCACCTCGACGCGTTCTTTTCGGCCCCCGAGTCCCTTGATAAAAACCCCCTTGAACGGGATTGCAATAAGTCACGAATGTTGCATCACTGGTAAAGCCGAACCTCCGTCCTGACTAGGAAGCCCCTGTTTATGATGTCCTGTGGATTGCAAACGAATGGAGTTGTTTCCATGATACTCAGCGTTCTGTTACAATCTAAGAGGAAGCCAGCTCAAAGATTTCGGGGTCGAGTGCAATAACCCTCAGGAACACGGCATGAAATCTCTGAAAAGCGCAAGTCTATCTGAGCATATCGGGCGTAAGCTCGGGTCACAGCTTGTGAGTTTAGCTGGTGAAGGAGCCTGGGGACCGTCGTTGTAATCAAAGTACGAAGAACACGTAACGCTCGAACCCCTCTCTCACTGTGGTCTTGAAAGGAGCTGGAGCAAGCACAAAGACCAGGGAGGCACAGCTGGACCGGGCGTGAATGAAAACCCAGAGGGGCAGGCGAAGAGAGCATGATCAATCACCGCAATTCGGATGGGGCGATGAACAAACTCCCTGGCTCACAGTGACTGCCATTGCTCACCAGTGGGACTTGTCGTTGATGGATTGTCACCTTCGTAAGAGATTGACTTGGTCACTGAATCGAATTGAAGGCTTCAGAATCTCGCATTGCTCTCTTGGGGGTGCCTCAGTCAACCCCACCTGGATAACAACAGGTAGAGTGTTTTCCAGAGTTCCCCAACCTTATGTTTGAACCCTTGAGACGGACGGGTCCTCCTTCGAGATTGTTGTATGACCCTCGAGGGGCTTTGCCACAATGAGCATTCAGAATGAGAGTGCACCGTCCGAGGGCGGTTTCGAACCTTGCGGACAGGCGCCGTGCCCTTCCCGCCAATTCTCAACTTCCAAGGTTTCGACCAACAGGCGTCAGTTTCGCGTTGAAATTTCGGACAAGTTCGGAAATCGGACATGCTGAAAATCGGACGGTCGAAAACGCGTTCTGCCAGACTGGTCCAGTCGCGCGTCGCGCACGGCTCCACAAATGCTTCCCTCCAATCGTGTTCCAGCTCCAATCGTAGACTTTGCTCGCCAGCGACATCCTTTGACCAAAAGTCCCACTCCACGAGGTTCCTTTTCCCCTTCTCCCACAATCCGGTGACCCACCCGTTAATTAGTGGATCGATAGGCCAAACCGGTCCGCCATAATCGCCTTTCTAAAACAAAGATTCGATGTCGAGGGCAAAGCGATTGATATTGTGAAATGAAAATACAAGAGTTGACATCATTCGCAACATCTATTCGTTCTCCTGTAAAACAAAATGATCCCAATCGTTAGTTTATGGCATACAATGCACTTGGCCAAACTTCTCAGGTACTTACAGCAGTACGCAGACGGCCAGCGGCGTTAGTAACCTTGACGTTCAACTGGGCGGCACGCTCAACGATGGCAACTCGCTTCCTGGACGAGACGTTGTGCGCAATCTCGGCGGCGAACACGCGGTTGTGCATCAGCAGAAGCTCGAGGTCGCGAACGTTGTTGACCAAGAACTTCTTGAATCCGTTGGGCAGAAGGTGACGGGTCTTGGAGTTAGATCCGTAACCAATCTTGGGCATACTGTCATGGGAGGTACGAGGAAGTCAGAATGTGACCGCCTATCCAGTCGATTCGCAGACGACACCCAACTTACGCAATCTGGCCCTTGAATCGCCTCCGGACACGGTTGTCAATACCCTTAGGCTTCCTCCATGACTCCTACTTATTCGACCAACTTTGGTCAGAATCGCGCTGTTCTCCGCAAGTAACCCAACTCGTCATGCTGCTCTGAACGTACATCAACTTTCTTGTAACGGTCAGATTGATGGCGCACAAACTTCTTCGTGCGCTTCTTGATGATGGTGCGTTTAACGAGAGGGGCGACCATTTTGACCTAATCGACAAGCGCAAATGCACCACACCATTGAGAAAAACTGACGTCCAAAATTTGGGCATAGATTCTCCCTGTAGACGGCGCATGGCAAAATTCCCTCTGCATGTCTCCGCTTCAGAAAAAGAATCCACCACTTTTCCTCCTCCATTTCCACCGCCACGTCGTCCTATTGCAGAGTAACGCGCATTTCGTTTGGGTCCCTTGTTCGCTTCGGTGTGCTCGACCGTAGACGCCTCGTTTTGCGTATCACTCGATTCGTAAAATCCCCAGCGTCGTTGTATGCTCTATGAGTGCCCACTGTGGCTTGTCAATTCCATCCCCTCATGTTGAACATGTCGAAGCCATTCCCATTCCGTCGCGACCTCTCCTCCCAGCCCTCGTCTGTCCTCCTCGGATCCACATGTACGCGTCCTGTATGACCTCTCTCAACCGATGGATGGATGGATGGATGGATGGAAGGCTGCTCACCTATTCGACACCTCGTCGTTGAGTATTGTCGTTGCCGTGTCGATCTCAGTGCTGAAGCGAGATGATGGATATGTTGCTTGCATTTGGACAATACCGAGACCCGGGAACCCGGTAAGAGCGCAGTCAACCAACTCTCCCCTTTCGCTCTCCTTGAGCTTTTCTCGCTGAGACGCTAATGTGAGAGCTTTCCAGCTTCATAACAAGAAGGTTATTTTTACAGCTTTGCATCTCTCACACAAGTCCCACTACGAGCACGCTCTGAGGCAGTCTTTCATTTCTCTGCTTCCGTTGGAACGGTCTTGATAAGCATTTATGACGAACACCATGACCGATAAACGCACTTTCAACGACCTCGGCTTGGACTCTTGGCTGGAAGACGCACTACGGACGCTGTCTATCAAAGAGCCGACTGAAATTCAGCGAGCATGTATACCCGAAATTCTCGCTGGTGAGTTGTGACCCACGACCAAGCGTATTTTTTTTTTTCAGCACCCTGATTTCTCAACTTTTGTATGGCAGGGCGAGACGTAGTAGGCAGTGCGACGACGGGAAGCGGAAAGACTGCTGCGTTTGCTTTACCAATTTTGCAGAAGTTGGCGGAGGACCCGTATGGGATATTTGCGCTCGTTGTGACGCCAACGAGGTGAGCGTTGGGGGATGTGCTGGACTTGCCGAGGGAATCGAGGGGAGGAAGGGAGGAAGGAGTAGAGGGCAAACGCTGACGGCTGATTCCTTGTTCCGTTTCTAGGGAGCTAGCCTTTCAGATTGCGGAGCAATTTAGGGTATTAGGCGCGGGGATCAACCTGAAGCAATCGGTCGTTGTCGGTGGTTTAGGTGAGTGTCCAACATTTCTGCTCCTGTCACATACACCATCGGCAAGACTCAGTCAGGCTCCTTCCTTTATCAGACATGATGAACCAAGCGCTCGAACTCTCCCGCCGTCCCCACGTTATCGTCGCAACACCCGGCCGCCTCGTCGACCACATCAACAGCAGCTCGAACGCCATCAGCCTGAAACGACTGAAGTTTCTGGTTCTCGATGAGGCGGATCGGTTACTAGACGATACATTTGCGGAGGATCTGGAAGCCATTTTGGATCAGTTGCCGAAGAAACGACAGACGCTGCTGTTTAGTGCTACTATGACGGATGAAATCAAAGGGTTGAAGTTCAAGGAGGGGGTTAAGCCATTTGTTTACGAGTGTAATACCAGGTATGCCCAGACTCTTGACCTCTAGCCACTTTGGGCTGTTCCGATCTCTGACGTGCCTGGGTTTGGGATTCACTAGATTCGACACAGTAGAAAAGCTCGACCAACGCTACATGTTCATTTCCTCCACCGTGCGCGACGCCTACCTCGCGCACCTGATCCGCACCACCTTCGAAGGCAAAACGATGATCATCTTCACTGGCAAATGCCGGACGTGCGAGCGGCTGCGCATCACACTGCGGGAGCTGGGCCTGAAGTCCACCGCGCTGCATGCGCAGATGAGCCAGGCGGATCGGCTGGGGTCTTTGGCGAAATTCAAGTCGGGGATTGTGCCGATTTTGCTGGCTACTGATGTGGGCAGTCGGTACGTTTTGGAGGAGAGGGAAAGCAGGAATGCTCATTTTCTTGAGGTAGAAAAGAAATTGACAAAATCTTGCTCTCTCTCCAACAGTGGTCTCGACATCCCAACAGTCCAAGTCGTCCTCAACTACGAGCTCCCCGCTGACGCCACCGACTACATTCACCGAGTCGGACGAACAGCGCGTGCGGGCCGCGGCGGTCTTTCCCTCTCCTTCGTCACGCAACATGACATCAACGTGCTGCTCAACATCGAGAAGAAGATGGATAAGAAGATGCTGGAGATGAATGTGGTCGAGAATGATGTGTTAGGGATCCTGAATGAGGTCGCATTGGCGCAGAGGGTTGCTAATATGGTATGTGAGGCTGGGAAGATGCTCTCGTCCGGCGTTCGTTTATGGCTGACTCCTTTCGCGTTACCTCTTGCAGCACCTGGTTGACAACAACTTCGGCCAGAAACGAAAGATCAATAAGGAAAAGGCGCAGACGCAAACCCCACCAGCTGGTTCAGAAGCTTCACAATCGCGCACCAAGCGGAGACGAAAGGAATAATCCTTGCACGAGATGGTCCTGTAAGAATAGTCCTCAGATTGCCGCGTTGTAGCTAGGACAGGCCTCACCGCTGGCGTCTTCCCAATTTTGTTCTCCCCTATTATCCGTGACACATAGACAACTACACGCATGTACACATCCGCACGCACATTCGGCATTTCCATACCCACTCGAATCTAATTTTATCAAAGCCGCTACAAAAAACACCCCTACATCTCTTTCAGAAGCTATTTACTCTTCGCGTCCAAAGCAGGATGCGGCATGCCCCTATGCGTGTCAACAGCCGGGATGTCAATTTCATACCGCTCCTCCGCACAGCCATACGCCTTGGGTGTCAGCTTAACCACGGTGTGCAATGGGATCTTGACGTACGGTAATTCGTCAAGGGAGTAGTTGAGGAAGTAGGCGTAGATGGCGCGCAGGACGGCTTGATGTCCGACGATGAGGATTGCGTGGTCTCGTTCGTGGTGGCGTTCGAGTTCCATGATTACGGGTTCGAGGCGTTGTACTAGGTCGCGGTAGCTTTCGCCTCCGTGATAACGGTAGTTGACTGTTGTCATATGGGAAAGTGCAGGAGCAATGGATGAGACGCTTGCTCAGCCATCGTACACACAGTAAAACTTACATTTATCCAGATCCCGTTCCGAGAAATCATTCGGATACCTCTCAGCAATCTCCTCATACGTGAGCTCATCACACACTCCCGAGTCCAGCTCGTCCAGCTGCTTCCACTGCAGTTGCGGGAACTCCAAATGTGACGCTGTTTGCATTGTCCGCTTTAATGTGGATGTCCACACCGTCAACTTTGTTTCCTTGGGCAGTTTGTCGGCTAACAGACCCGGCAATCGCTGCGCGAAACGCATTCCTTGCGGACTTAGATCCGCGTCTCCCCCTATCTTTCCTTGTACGTTGTACATGGATTCGCCATGTCGTGTGAAGAAAAATGATTTTGGGGTGATGTTCAGGTTCATGAGGAAGTAGACGATGCGGGATTGGAGGTATCCTTTGACTTTATTCACAATGACTTGGTCACCGACGTTGATGACTTTTACGAATGGAATGTTGCCGGAGCATTCGGATGGATCGAGAGTTTGGTAGCCCATTTGGTAGTGCTGTATCCGGCGAGAGAAGTCCTCTACGGCCTTCTCCGGGTCCATTCCCACGTAATCCGGAGACGAAAGCTTGACCTACATAGTGGAATCAGCGACGCGCTCGCCCGTCAAGATCATGCAGAACTCCGGAATAACTCACCTCCTTGATGTTGGCCAAGATGATATCGTCATTATCGCAGATGCTCTCAATGAACATGATGTCGACCCCATTTCTTAGGCACTCTTCGTAAATCCCCTGCCGTCTTTCAGCCGTCGAGTTGGTAGCATCATACACTGCTACCCATCCCGGTCCACCCGTTCCCGCTCCGACCACACTCAGCGAGTCGCTGCGTGGCCTGCTAGTCACCGGCGTCATAGGACCGTCTTTCGTCAAGACCGCGCCTGTTGCAGGCGCGTCGCCAGCTTTCCCAAACCAGCTTAACATATCCTCCAGCGCTTTGTCGGCCACCTCCTTCCGCTTTTCGGCGTATGCTGGATTTGTGGGGTCGAAGAAGTCATGCGGCTGCACGGCACCAACTGCCACTCGTCGATAGTTTCCCACTGGAGGTCGAGACAGAGGACATAGGGACGTATGATGAGTATTAACGGTCATCCGAAGAAGCTGACAACGAATTGCGCTTACCATTGAATATGCGACTATGATGCCCTAGCCAAGCGAGGTAACGTGCGATTTTGCGGGCAACATAGGTTTTCCCACGCGCAGGAAGGCCAACCATCACGCAGGCAAGCTTAGTAGCAGCGACATGGGGCGCAGCGGTCCTGAAATAGGGCGACATCTTTTCCGACGATGCCTTCGCAGTTAGCCTTAGTAAATCTTGCAAGCCTCTATTCTATGCTTGGGCCAGGAAGAGCTGTTTTCAGCGATGAAGGATGGGCCGGGTGGATCAGAAAGTGGTGCTAATAGTGCTGGGATCTCTGGGCAGCACCGCCCCCAGGAACCTCGCGCGATCAAATGCAATGAGCGTATGTCACCCTATCGCGTATGTGGCTTGCAATCGTCCCCAGGCGGAGTTCGCTATTGACAGGATGGTCGTTCCGGCAACACCGACGAGCAGGCGATATCATCTTATCTAGCAACACCCATACGTACTGTACATTATCATCGATGGTTCGAACGTGGCATGAGCAGGTTCGCTGTCATTGGCTGGTGTCATGGTGTACTGGGGCCAAGATACTCACTGTCCACATCAGGATCGAGAAACGGCAAGGCAGCAATGGCTGCAAGAGCTCGGTAAGCAGGCGCACTGAAGTCCTCTGAAGAACATGCATAGGGAGAAGCTAGGCTAACAAAACCCATTGCTGACCAGCCGCCCAACAACAACAGCAACAAGAGCGCAAACGTCTTGAAGTCGAGCAGCGCAAAGGCAAACAACTTGTATGTATGACAGATACGCAGAGACCGCTCGACATTGGATGAACCTGACACCACACTAGGTCTATACAGGGATGTTCGAGCTGCCAATATCAAGCACACCGCTGCCCCAACGTACCAACATCTATGGGGAACCGTCGTCCAGCGGCCGGGTAAGTTGTTGAACAGCGTTGCTTCAGTGAAGGCTATGCCAACTGGACATTGACGGTTTTGATGCACAGCGTTGCCTGGAAGAGATCAAGAGGATCGGAGGAGAAAGCACCGTCTTGGGAACGGAAATGGTAGGTAAGGGTTTTGAATGCATTCAGTTGCCACCGCATTGTTTGCTAAGTGAAGAATTTACGTCCCATGCAATAGAAAACTACAGGTACTGTGCCCTGAGGGTTCGAACAAACGACGACACGAACTGACACTTTCAAAACCAAGTAGTACCGACACCCACAAACAAACGCATCTCCTTAACCGCTGCAGCACCCCCAGCCCCAACCCCCGACGATTTCTTCTGGTCGCGCCGGTCAATAGGCGGCGGCGGGTCCCCGCTCCGCGACAAGCATGGCAAGGTCCACACGCTCCGAGTATGTCCCGACCGAGGGCCCAGTGGGCTTGCCCAATCTCATTGCGAGGTTGATGTTTCGTCGAGTCATGCGGGTCAGAAGGGTGTAGATGCGTTGGGCAGTGGACAGTCCTCAGTACGGGACCAAGCCCCACCCATCGCCACCTCCGCCGAACCAGCAGCCCTCACCCCGCCCTTCCAAACCACCCTCCTCAACCGCTTCGAAGGCTCTGAATCCCTCGAGTCCCGCAAAAGAAACGAAGCCGCCGTCGAATATCAAGCAGCGCTCCGCCAGCAGATTGCAGAGAAGAAGGATCGGGACAAGAAGGCGAAGATGAAGGCGGACGAGGAGGATCGAAGGATGATGGAGAAGTATGAGGCGGAGGTGAGGGAGCAGATGAAGGGGCCGAGTGAAGTGAAGGAGGTGAATCACGGAAGGGGGAAGGGTGCGCAGCCTGGCGGGGCGATTTCGGCTTTACAGAAGATGAATGTGGGGGAGACGGTGGGACCGCTGAAAGGGCAGCAGATCCACAGCGCGGTAAAGACGGCGACGGCATCAAAGCTGACACCACTAATGCAGCCGAAACCGCCACCCACAAACGCCCCGCGCTCACTCGCCGCCGACGGCACAAGCCGGATACCCCGGCTGCGCCGCGTAAAACCCACCCCAGAAAAGATCGGCACGCCAAATCGGGCTGGAAGGCAACAATGCACCGACCCACCAATTGTACTCCGCACGCAACCCACACCCGCCCAACCAGGACCGCTCTCAATAGGATCAGCTCGAAAACCCGTTCCTTCGACATCGACTGTAAAACCCAACAACCGCCTCCCGCCCCTTCGCCAATGCAGTCCGCAACCGCCCGCTGCACCTACCCCGCATGTATTCACCGGCCGGCGTGGGTTGAAGGTCGCTGCGGCTGATGAAGCACCGAATGGGCAAGCTGATGGTGGTGCTGAGATGCCCACGAGGAGGGCGAGGGAGGAGAGAGGGGAGGATAGGGAAAACGGCGCAGCGGAGGCAGTCTCTCGTCCAGCCGAAAAAGCTCAGGCGGTAAAATCTGTGAGGAGTGGTAGTCCACCTCAGAGCGACCTTCCGGCGCTTCAGCAGCGCCGATCACCGGCCAAACCACCAGCACCAGCACCAGCTCCACCATCCCCACCGCTAAGACCAGCAACGCACAAGCCTACGCCCGCCCCAGTCCCAACCTCATCAAAACAAGCAAAGCCTAGCGATCCACCACCAGACTCACCCGCCGAACAAGACGAATCCGTCACAGCCTGGCTTTTAACGCTCCGCTCCGCGCCAGGTTCGACACATCACAATCAACAGCCGCTACAATATCAACATCAACATCAACAGCAACATCAACATCAACATCAACATCAACAGCAACAGCAACAACACAGGATCAAGGCATCCATCCACACCAGACGAACCAGTAACGCCTTCTCCCACGCCGATAGGGACCCGCGGCCAGGTATTCCAACGACAAGGGTAACGGGTGGCGGGATGGAGAGGCGGGTGCCTGAGGTGCGTCTATCCTGAAACGCATTGACGATATGTGAATTACATTCTGAACATCGCTCATCTCTTTTTGGAAAGCAGAAACATACCCAAGAAAGGCGTAGTGAACCGGACATGTCGGCCGCGCTGGTCCAGCTACGACGGTTCTCGACGATGCTTATGGACGAGCAGCGCAAGTTGGCGGATGATATGAGGGATGATATTTGTACATAGTGTGTTCTTGGTTATCGACGCAATCGTCAAACGGCACACCATTCACAGCACATCTCTCCTCCTCCGCGTCCTCCTCACACCCCCTCCCATCGGCTCACCACCCACCAACCCCAACACCTCAACACACATTTTATATTTCTTCCTTTGTTTTGTGGTGCTCAAAAGAGCTTCGGCGTCACCCGGAGGTAGTGCAATACCGGGAACACCAGTGCCAGGGCCATGAGCAAGCCCATAGTGACCCGGCGAGGTTCAAAATTCCAGTTGATATTATCCAATTGCAATGCAGTCGCGTTTAGATATCAATCTGAACAGAACACATACAATCATTCTTGATTGTCATCGTGTCATCAGAAACGCATCCGCGTACATAGGCATACAATTGACAGATTTTTGACAGTACCAGGTTTCTTGTCAGGGCAAACGGGTCAATACAAGTCACATCTTGTCCAGAAGGGCCTGAGAGGCTTGATAGGATTGACGATCAAAGCCATTGGGAGTCGAGTGAAATGTGAGGAAAGAAAAGATAGAAACGTCGCAGAAGGATATCCTCAGTCTCCCTCGATGTTGCGCAAGTTGGTTTCCATTCTCCGATTTTTTCTTTTTGAATATTTTGGCTTGTTGCCTGCATGATATGGCAGAGTTGAGCTATGAGGGATGCCGCCTTCCACTGGTGGGAGACGGGACGGGCCGGCGAGTGGATAGGCCGGCGACTGTTGTTGTTGGCGAATTGCCGGACTGGTTTCCTCTACTCCAAATATACATCTATTCATATATATCCAACAAACCACAGCTATCCTACACCCCTACTTCCGGCCCCACAACCCCCCAAGGACACCCAAAAGCCCACCACTCGTTTCCTTCGTCTCCTCCACGACATCCTGCGCCCTAGGGACGCGTTCCGCACCTTCGGCGCGACGCGCCAGGTTGCGGGTGGGGAAATCGATGCCGTTGTAGGCCATGTCGAAGAAGAGGGGTTTGTAAGGGACGGGGGCAAGTTGGGGCGGGAATGAGACAAGGTTCGGGTTGGTGCGGTCGAAGGTGGGGATGTAGGTGTCGAGATTGGAGATGAGGGGCTGTGCGGAAAGAGACGGAGCGCGTGAGAATATGGGGCAAGTGCAAGGTAGAATGTGGGTAAATACCTGGCGAGGCGCTTTGGCCTGGCTGCCGTTCTGGATCGACATATCTGCAACGCCGTCCGCAACCGTATCCACATCCTCCTTGTTCTGCAAGTAGGACTGTGCACGAGCCCGCACCGTTGCAGCACGGACAGCGCCATCGATAGCAACGACCGCTTTCCGGAGCTCCAGAATGACGGCGCTGTCGTCCTCGTCATCCTCACCCGCGACGGATGACTGACGACGAGCGCTGCTCTCGATCAGCGCTCGGCCTTGCGTTGCGTGTTCGGAGGCGCGCTCGAGGAGCGTCGTCGCTTCGTCGCGCTTGCCTTGTCGACTGAGCGTTTCTGCGAGGTATGCAGCTCTGCATAGAACATCGGGATTTTAGGTAACATCGATCGAAAGCAGGTAGGGATAGACGCCACGCTTACCTCTCCGCCTTGATGACATAAACAGCCGATTGCACCAGGCTGTGTAGCCCAGCGTCCGCTTCCACTTCTGGGTACTTCAAGAAGTCGTTTGCAGCCTGACAACCAAATCAGCTTCACCACCCGTACCCCATTCAGCACAAAAAGAACGGAAGTACACACCTGCAATACGGCATCATAAAGTCGTAGCACATCTTCCGGTTTAGCTGCCTTCTTCCTGGGTGTGCCCCGGGCTTGGGTTTTGATTTGCTGTTTTGTCAGCTCCACCTTCAGATTTGTCCGCGTCAATAAAGTGAGCAGGCGATGGAATGTGGCGTAGACCAAGACCCATCGCAGTGCTGCTGTTGTCTGGTCACTTTTCGATGATTTGACTTTGCTGACTGCAATCTGTAAAATAGTCAATTTCTCGACCTCATGGGACGGCCGACTTGGAAAGCAAAGCCCTTACCTCGTCCTCCCGAACATCCGACTTGGCCAACGCCACCACTTCCGTCCACTTGGCGAGCAACATGTCGTAGCCATCAGCAACTCCCGGCAAAGCCTCGACTCCCTCAGGCGCCGACGGTCCAATAAAGGTGTAAGGGCGTGTTTCGGAAATTCTCTTTGCCTCATCCATTCCCTGCCTGATCTTCTCGTTCTTAAACGCAACCGACGCGCCGCGCCATTTGAACGCTCCATCTTCGACCGGTTCTTGACGGAATTCGGCGAGTGTGTTCTGGTTGAAGGGAAAACCACAGTCAGCATAAGCGAACCTCAATGTTTTCGAAAGGTGGAACATACCTTGACATGTGCGGTCAACGCATCGAGTCCCAAGCTAGCCTTCTTATCCTGAGCCTCCAACAGCTTCTCGATCTCCACCGTCTGAGCTCCTGATATCCTCAAGCTGTACGCACAGAATTTTATGCTGGGATCTATCCCGTCTATCGCTGATTGGGCTAAAGTGGCCTGGTGGGAATTCCCAGTGTTGGATAGTCCCGCGTATATCGTTCTAAAAGTGAGGGTAAAGCGGGTAAGTTTCAACATCCGTGCGCGATGCGAGACAATGACAACACACCTTCCAACTGCAAACTTGTTGAGGGCATCCTCCCAATGTTGTTGTTCGAAAGCGAGGTATGCCGAGAGAAGTGCAGCGTACGCCTGCAAAGATGTGTTTCCCATTGAGCCGCTGCCCATTCCCACCAATCACAGAGAGTAACTGCCGACCTTAACATCCAACACAGTCCTCTCATCCGCACAAGTCTCGCAAAGCTGCTGCAAGCTCTTCGCCGCCTCCACTCCCCGCTTCAACCGCTTGATCATGTGAAACTTCTTCCGCGGCTCGTCCCGCACTTCCTGTTTGATCTCCATGGCGTACGCCCATGCTCGCTCGGCCTCGAAGAGGAGAATCTGTAATGATCTTTTCCGGGTGTGAGCGTCACTTTCCCAGCGTGATGCGCGAATCTGGTACCCCAACTCACTTCTCGCCTGTTACGAGCTCCGCAGTGACCGGCTTGCGGACGTATTTCTTTTTGGGTGTGGATTGGGTGAGGCCACCAACTTTTCGCAGTCGGGCGATCTTCCTGGCGCAGAATTGTCTGCAACCGAATCGTCTCAGAGGGGCTGACCTCGTTCATTCCAGCTACCCGACTTGACAATACCTATAGCGTTGGTAGTCCTGGTGCCGCAGACCGTGCATGTTTCTCGTCTCATGGGTTTCGGAAAGCACTGTCGTTGGCATAGGTGGCAGTTGAGTATACGTGCAGCCACTAAGACGGCCCTCAACAACGAAAGGGACAAGGAAACCTACCATTGAGATGAAGGCCAGTAACAGGCTTTGCCTCTGCGGGCAAACCGCCGTCTATGTCCATGGGTTCCGACATGTTTGTTCGGTCTGTTCGGTGCTGATTCTGGGAACCCCCGTTCAACGGCAGGCACTGAGGCCAACGGCAGACGAGGCGGTTGAAAGGGTCGAAGTAAGGGTTAGGGTTGCTCGTTGATTGACGCGCGTCACCCAGAAGACAGAGAGTCTCTCCCGGCTCGTTCCCTTTCGCATTGCATTCCCAAGAAACAACTGCAAGGTCCCAGTCGTAGGACCCAAGAGCATCAGTACCCACAGCTTTGCTCGACATCCCCGGTCACTCGTTCCTCGCCTCCCTTTGTTCGAGCTCTCACGAAAAGAGAGCGATCCTCGTTCAAAGCCCAGCACTTGAGCCTTCGCCGAAACCATCACGCCCCGTCCTTTCACCCGAAACCCACAAGTATCATGGTATGTATTTCCTTTCCAACTCTCTCATAGTTATCCTATAGCGCAAGTAATGAAGCTCAATGCACCCACTCCCTCCAACATTCACAGTCCCTTCGCCTAATTCCCACCACCAAACCGACATCCACAACCATCGCAGCCGTCGGCCGCGACACAGAGTACGGCGTACACGACACGTTCCGACAGGGGTTCCGCAGCGTGCGCAGCGAGATTGTGCCGCAGCATCCGTTGGAGAATATTGCTAAGAATGTATGTTGGGAGGGGATGTTGGGTATGTGAATTCTGGTGGGTGGGTTGGGTGCGATCTGACACGATGCCGTTTTTGGGTTTTCCGCAGTGGAAGGAAACCCACGACCAGCTCCAAATGACAACACACCGCCAAACCTTCGGTCTGCACGCCCCGCTGCGTTTGCAGATGGAGAAGGCTATTGTCAGCCAGGTATGGACCCATCTCTCCTTTACGTCTACGTCTACCACCCAGCGCGCATATTCACCCCGCTCGTTCGCGCTCATAGATCCGAAGGATACCAGTCCTCCCCACGCGCAACCTCGGTCTGGACATCCTAGAAGGTCGGGACTCGACTATCGATTATGAGGATTTCTTGGGTGGTACGTCTTTTTATGAGATTCCCAGGAAAAATCTTGAGAGTGCTTTCTTGCTTATTTTGGTTCCTTCGTTCTCGGTAGACCCGTCGATGCCGACTGCGTTGATGGACCCTCATGTGGCGATGGAGCATGCTTTGGGGATGGGGTCTGTTTGAGTCTGGGCGGGGCAGATGGAAGGATGTACATGTACAATATGCAGAGAAGAAGGGGATTTGGTGCGAATACTATGTTCGCTGTTTGATTTGAAGGTGCCCTTAGGTGATGGAACAAAGTGGTCGACGACGGTCAGCATATGCCATAAGCGAACAGAGATGATGCACCTCTCGCTGGTATTGAATGGAAGTCCGTACACCGTTTCCCACATACTGTACATGAGAGCCATGGGGAAAAAAGTGATAGTGATCCTGTGGTTCCGCATCACAGAGTCCCCTCTACCTAGTCTACCCGTCCCCACCTCCCCAAAAGAGGCTACCATAAAAGAGCGTCCTCCGCCTCCCCAAACACACTCGGCTTAGCCGCCACAAACGCGTCCTTACCACCGACCTTCACCTTCCCCTCCCCAGCACCCTCGAACAGATGCGCGACATTCACCCTAATGAAATCGGATATCAGCCGATTAATCTGTTCGAATTCCAAAAGAAAGCCATCGTGTCCCTCCGGCGAGGCGATGACGGCCAGCGTGGCGTTCGGAATGGATTCGGCGAGCTCGCGTTGTTCGCCGATGGTGAAGAGGCCGTCGGTTTCAATTCCTAAAACAAATGTAACAGTGCTGGTGAGATACCACACAGCAACGCCATGTGGGCGCACCGGGTAGTTTCGCGCATACCTATGACCAACGTAGGCTGCTCAACCCTCGCCAACACATCAAAATACTCCCCACGGCCTCTGGACACATCATGCGTGTCCATCTTCCTCGTGATGGAGATATAACAGTTCGCGTCGAACCGTTTGATGAACTTATCGCCCTGGTAGCGGAGGTAGCTTTGTGCGGAGAAGACTTTAGGTGGGGACGTCGTGTCGCTTGTGCGTTCGGTTTCGGTCGTATCCGATGCGATGGCTTCTGCCGAGGACGATTTCTTCCCGTTAGGGGAGTGTGGGTTGGATTTGTTGCCTTCGTTGTGGTAGGCTGTTGCTGTTGGGGCGGGTTGTGGGGAGGAGGATGGGTTGGCGCCTGGCATGACTTTGCGGCCGAAGCGGGATTCGAAGGAGTTGCGGGAGCGGTAGGTGAGGAGGGCTTGCATGCGGGCGGCTGCCAGGCCGTTTGTTGGAGCCTTATGAGGGAGGAGGGTGTGAGAAATGCGCAGGGACTATTATTACGTGGGAAAAGTGTGACTTACGCTGTCGGCTGAGTAGTATCCATTGCCTGATACGACGAGAGGAGGGACACATGTCAGTAGTCAGAACCAAAAAACTTCCAGTTCGTACAACATTCCGTACCATAGTTGGGATCGCTATAAATCGTCTGCCGCTGCGATTCACCCCAAGCGATGCACCAAGCGGAATGCCTTCCCGACGTCGCAAGCGGCACGATACTCTTCACATAGTCACTCCCAAAAAACGACCACTCCAGCACCTGCATCCCGCCCATAGACCCGCCAATCACCGCCTGGATGACCTTGACACCGAGCCGTGTCAGGATCTCGTTATGCAGCCGGACGTCATCTCGCACGCTTGTGATTGGGAATGTTGGGCCGTATGGCTTGCCGGTTTTTGGGTCTGTAGTCAGTGGGGATGCGGTTCCGTAGGGCGAACCAAGGACGTTGCCGCAGAATATGAAGAAGACGTCGGGGTCGAATGCTCGTCCCGGACCGAGCAGTGGTCCCCACCTGACATAAAGAGGAGGTTCGTGTCAGTCAAATCTCGGATGTTTGGATGTCGGATGAAAGTATTCCTGCTCGCTCCCTTCCGACGAGGAGGTTGGAACGCGGTGGGCGGAGCGTAGCTCGCTTCGCCCGTAGAGGATGCAACGCTCGCTGAGGCTCGCTAAGAGCCGTGATTAGGAGTATGGCGCCTTTAGCGCAAGGAACTCCTGCTCGCCAGCGCTCGCATAAACCCCGCCTTCGGCGCTTCCACCTGTATGTGAGTCGCACTCGGCCCCACCGCTTCGTCTCCATCCCAATCTCCACCCCTGCGGGAACCCACCAGTCCTCAACGTCAGCAGACCCAGACAGGGCGTGACAAATAACCATAACATTCGACCCGTCCTCGTTCAGCGTCCCCCACGTCTTGAAAGCCACGGGGACATTCTCGAGGACTGTCCCTGACTCTAGGGTGAAGCTATCGATATGTTCTATTGTCTGGTCAGGTATCAGGCCGTGCAGTGGTTCTGTAAAAGGAGGAGGGAGGGGTGGTGAGGATAAACGTCACTGGGAAACGCGTAGACGGCGGACCTACTTGTCATGCTAGGCTAGCTGAGTTAGACTATGGGAATGGGTTCTCTGAGGGAATATGCTCTGACTCTGGAAGCTCTTGAGAGACAGGACTGCAGCGACTTGTTGGGAGAAGCCTGAGAATGGGTAGCATTTGTTTGCCGTTTTATTGTGAAGTTGAGACTCCGAGGTCGACGCCGAAGGAACACAGGCAGGCAGTTTGGACGCAGGAGGATTGCGCAACCGACGTGGAATTATTTGACGAGGGAGATGACTTATCGCGCGGCCGGCTCGTGCACGCGTTTGGCTTCCAATAGTCCAGTTCCAAGCAGGGAAGACAAACAGGGCTTGTTTCTCAACAACCTGCTTCCAATTTGGCAAACGGCCCACATTCGACAGGCAGGTATAGTCGCTGCTCCGTTTAACATGTCTTCTTCACCTGCACCGCCCGCCAACTCCGGGCTGGAAATGAAGCCAGTCTCCAGCGTAGTCACAGGCTCGTCGGCACCACCCGGAATCACCACCACCTCACCGCAACAACTGTCCGATCTTGCAGCCGCTCTGCTTCAACTCTCACTCCGACTAGACGACATAGAACGGAGGCTACCTCCACCCAACCCTTCCGACCCTACAATATCACCCGCCTTCTCCTCGACAACGCCTCTCGTCACCCCATATCTTTCCACACCTTCGATCCACCCACCGCCATCACCAACAAACCCGAACACCCCAAAATCACCCCGCTCTACAGCCCTATCAGCCTACATCTCCCGCTTCATCCACTCCCTCCCGCATCGCGTAGCATACGCCGCCCGCTCAGCTGCCCTTAAACGTGCACAGCACTTTTTGATCAGCACAGGAACAAATCTGTTGATGTTTCTGTGGATAAGGAAGCTGAGGAAGGTGGTGTTGCAGTACTCGATTGTGCTGGCGTTTAAGCTCCAGCGCGCGCAGGAGGGGCAGAAGAGGTTGTGGAGGGGTGTGGGGAAGAAGTTGCTTGAGGGGGCTACCAGGGTTTTACAGTAGGGCGGATCATAGGCAGGTGTGCAAACAATCGAGATGTCGGCTACATCAGCAAGTCAGTCAGTGAGGCTGCAAACCACTATATCATTATGAACGTATTTATCAGCGTACTTGTGTATGCAACTCTTCCAATGAACCCGGATTTTGGGATATCATATGAGTATCAAAGTGAGCAACCGAATCGAAGGCACCTGTTCATCCCAGGTAATTGCCATTCGTTGCCGGCGCCTCAAGCCGTCCCATTGCCATCAGCTCTCATCAGCTACCGTCTATACGGATGACTCCGCGAATGGTCGGTCCTCCGATCTCGATGTTGCCACGGCGAAGAACGCGTACTACTCCCAGCACTCCCACACTCCTCCCCACCCTTATCCTTAGCCTGCTGCAGTTGCTGCATTTTGCGTTCTATCGCAGAGATCTTGCTGTCCGTGCTGCAGGGGGCGACGCATGTCAACAGCCGTAATTTCCCCGCCGCGACCACCCCCAAAACATACAAAGTCGTAACATACCTCACATGTACCACCTTCGCCTGCAGCTTCTGATTCACCGGTTCCCGCGGCGGCTCCCGATACCTAGGATCCGTCCTGCCTCTGCCCCGTCCCTTCCCGCGCCGTGACGCCGTCGGTATGCCCGTCGCTACACTCGTAGCCACACTCGGCCCACTATTCGCAGACCCACCCACCGCCGCAGCCGCCCCTCCCTGCTCACCCTCAAACTCCACCGAAAAGCTCACCACCAACGTCCGTCCCGCCACGACCTTCCCATGCATCTTCTCAACAGCGCGCTTCGCGTCCGCCTTATCCGCGTACTCAATAAAACAATATCCCCTCGGTTCGCCCTTATGCGGCCCCTGCTTATGCCACAAGAAATCGATCTTGGTGAGGGTTCCGAGCGGTGAGAAGAGTTTGAGGAGGTGGTATTCTGTGAGTGTTGGTGGGAGGTTGCCGATATAGAGGCGGGTTGGTGTGCATGGTTGCTGGGTAGTGGTGTTGGAAGCGGTTACGGAAGGTGGTGAGACGTCTGACTGGTATGTGCCGTGGGAGTGTGGGTGTAAATGGGTGGAGGAGACAGCTGAAGTTTAGAAGTGGAGGGTTTTGGGCTCTCGAAGATGGAAGGGAGATCAGAGCGCTACCTTTTCGACGGCATATTGGATATGCCCGTCGCCAGGGACGGCGGACCCCACATTAGTGGCCTTCTCTGTCATATTAATGAACCTAGCGTGGTGAGCGAGCGTGGTTGAGAAGCTCGGATAGTGGGGAAGGAGGAGAAGGAGGGCTGTGGGGAAGGAGAAACGCGCGGACAAATCGTGTCAAGCCAAAAGACTCAAAAGACGTCGTCGGGGGCTGCGTCGGGGGTGACCTGTGGGACTGCCTGCCTGGGAATTGCCACAGTTTGCACCCAGTTCCCTCGCTTTTGCAGAACGCCTTCTCAACTGTATTAACAGCGCTGAAGGGCCCTTCCGCTCTACTTGCGGGCACTGTATCAACCATGGGTAGTGAACAATATGAGCAGGTTGCCCCTGAGCTGCAAGGCATATCCCGCGAACTCGGGGGCGACTTTGTGCTGGGAGTCAGGGACCAGACTCAAATGGAGGAGGATGTTATGGCTGAGGTGAGACTCAGGTATCAGGTGTGATCAGTCGAGGAAAGCAGCCTGCTAACGCGGCAGGAGGACAGGTGGACGAGTCGATGCGGAGACAAGATGCCGAAAACAACGCGAAGAGTCTTGCCAAAGTCCAGAAGCAGCTGAGGTTTGGACTAAGCTATATTCACAAGTCTACGCCTTGAGCTGAAATGATAACCCATCATTCGGGGACACAGTGTCCTCCAAACCCGCCTAAACGCCCTAGAAGAAGAATACGAACTACCCCCAGCCGGCACGACCCGGAAAGGCGTGCAAACAAAAATCCATCGCGTGCGTGACCGCATCGAAGAGCTCGAAGACACCGAGCGCGAGATCCTAGAGCGTATCAGCTCGGGCCAGTCGCGGGAGGAGCAGCTCGGGCTCATGATTTTGGGAAAGGAGACGGAGCGGGAGAAATTGATTAGGACGGGGAAGATTACGCCATTTGATAATGTGAGGGGGGTTAGGCAGGCGCAGACGGGGGGTGAACCGTCGGGTGGGATAGGTGTGGCTGAGGCGCCTACGATTGCGGATGTGAAGGTCGAGGCTGACGAGGAGGGGGTGGTTGACGCCGCGCCGAGGACGCGAACGACTATAAAACGGCGGGTGAAGACGGAAGATAATGATGACGATGAGTTTACACCGACTGGATCAGATGCGTACGATGAGGATGAAGAGGAGCCGCCAGAAAACTCCGATGAGGTGGGCAGTGATGAACAGGAAGATCTGGGTTTGGGCGGCTCGTCCTCTAGTCGAAGCTTTGCGAGCCATCATAACCGCCACGCGGATGATGGCGATGAGGCGACGTATCAGAAGAGGCTGACGGCTTGGGCGTCTCGGAGACGGTGGCACCGGGCTAAGCGGGAGCGTGGGGTGCACTACGCGGAGGCTATACCCGCCGAACAGCTTGAAGCCGACGCTGATCTCGAGATGACGCAGCCATCACCGCAAGATGACGACGCAGAGTTCGATGGTGGGTTCCGGATCCCCGGGGACATTCATTCGTGCTTGTTTGACTACCAGCGGACGTGTGTAAAGTGGCTGTGGGAGCTTCGCAGTCAGGAGACTGGCGGGATCATTGGTGACGAGATGGTGAGGTTCTTGTTCGCTTTTGATAATCAACTACCGTCGCTTATTTGACTGGACACTTCCCTTCAGGGATTGGGTAAAACAATCCAAGTCATAGCCTTCCTCGCCGGTCTTCAATTCTCCAACCTTCTACACGGGCCCATCCTCATCGTATGCCCCGCGACCGTCCTCCGCCAATGGGTACAAGAACTGCACAAATGGTGGCCACCCTTCCGGGCAATCATTTTGCACTCCTCCGGCAGCGGGCTCGTCCCATCCAGCCTCGATGACGACGTGGAAGACTTTGACCCGGAGAAGGATGCTGAAGAGAAACTATTTGATGATGGCGATGGCGATATTTACGAGGATCGACGGGGCGGAGGAGGCGCGGATGGGAAGAAACGGTTTAAGAAACGGAAATTGGCGCCTGTGAAGAAGCAGAAGTCGGCGAATGCGAAGAAGATGTTGGGGCGCGCGGGGGCTCTAGTTGATAGGGTGCTTCAACATGGTCGGTATTGTGGGGCCGTTGGTACGGATTGCGAGGAATGCCACTGACAATCAGGACTTGCAGGCCACATACTGATCACAACCTACGCTGGCATTCGAGTGTATTCCGAGAAACTCCTTCCTGTCAAATGGGCCTGTGCGGTATTAGATGAAGGGCACCAGATCAAAAACCCAGACGCAGACATCACGATAGCATGCAAGCAGCTGAGAACACCACACCGAATCATCCTCACAGGAACGCCCATCCAGAACAACCTCACAGAACTGTGGTCGTTATACGATTTCGTGTTCCCAGGTCGACTAGGGACGCTACCTGTATTTCAAGCGCAGTTCGCCATCCCCGTGCAACTAGGAGGCTACTCGAACGCGACCAATATCCAGGTTCAGACCGCCTACAAGTGCGCATGTGTTCTCCGCGATCTCATCAGCCCATATATGTTACGACGAACAAAAGCCGACGTGGCATCCGATCTGCCGAAGAAGACTGAGCAAGTCCTATTCTGCAGATTGACCCCTTACCAACGTGAGGAATATGAGAGGTTTTTGAGGTCCGATGAAGTGGCGAGCATCCTTTCTGGGAAGCGGCAATCCCTCTACGGTATTGACATCATGCGGAAGATATGTAACCATCCAGACATCCTCCTCCGCGAAACCAAGCAAAACGACGCAGACTATGGTGCCGTGGAACACTCAGGCAAGATGAAAGTCGTGCAAGCGCTTCTCCGGATGTGGAAGACGCAAGGCCACCGCACGCTGCTGTTCTGCCAGACGATTCAGATGCAGGATATCCTCGAAGAGTTCCTGAAAGCGGAAGGGTACCGGTACAGACGGATGGATGGCAGTACGCCGATCAAGAACCGGATCGCGCTTGTAGATGAGTTTAATGGCGACGGATCCGTGTTTGTGTTTCTGTTGACAACCCGTGTGGGTGGGCTTGGGATCAATTTGACGGGCGCCAACAGGATCATCATTTACGATCCGGACTGGAACCCCTCCACCGACGTGCAAGCTCGCGAGCGCGCGTGGCGGATCGGACAGAGAAAGGACGTGACCATATACCGGTTGATGACCTCTGGGACAATCGAGGAGAAGATCTATCATCGTCAAATCTTTAAGCAGTTCTTGACCAACAAGATCTTGAAAGACCCCCGGCAACGCCGGTTTTTCAAGAACAATGATTTGAATGATTTGTTCACGCTGGGTGGCGCTGATGAGCATGGCACGGAGACGGGGGATCTGTTTCATGGGACTAGCGCTGAAATTGACGTGCCGAGTCCCGAGAACGGTACAGGGACAAGTCGCGGCAAGGGGAAACGCAAGGCCGACGGCGACGAAGCGTTAGAGTCCATTGCTACGCTAGACCGTGTCGACGAGTACACACCCCAAGCCGACGACGAAACCACGCAATCGAACTCCACTGACGCCGCCATCCCAACCGCCAACGACGACGACCGCGTCCTCAAATCCCTCTTCTCCAAATCCGGCGTCCACTCCGCCCTGCACCATGACGTAATCATGGACGCCTCCAGCCCCGAGCAACTTATCATTGAGAAGGAAGCCTCGCGCGTAGCCAACGAAGCCATCGCGGCGTTACGGCAGAGCCGCAAACGGATCCGCCAGCGGGAGGGTGTGCATGTGCCTACCTTCACGGGGCGGAACGGCGCAGCGGGGATGGATTCGCCAAGACGCTTTGGGTCGATTACGCCCAGGGGCTCGCCGCTTGCCTCGCCGCGGATGTCGTCGAGGCCGGCGGTGAGCGGGTTTGGGAGCGGGTCCGCCTCGGGGTTCAATAGTGTTTCTGGGAGTGCAAGAGCGTCGCCGAACGTTGGGGGCAATGCTGGCGGACCGGCGTCGTCGGCTTCCATCTTGGGCAACCTCCGCAACCGAAGCGCGATCGAACGCAATAGTGATGGTTTGACTGGGCCGGTGGATGTCGGGTCCATCGACCGGAATGGGCGGCAAGGGATGATATTGCAGATTCAGGAGTTCCTTGGTGCTCGTGAGGGCCGTGCTACCACCCAAGAGATCTTGCGACACTTCAAAAACCAGGTTAAAAACGACGATGCGATTGCGTTCAAGAAAATGCTGAAAGGCATTGCTACCCTTACACAACCCGAAACTCCTGGCCCTGCCATATGGGTGCTCAAGAACGATTTCAAATGAGCAAAGCTATCAAATCCATTTTCATGTACATAATTTCTAGTTCCCCATCTATATTGTCTGACAACATGTACATAACAAAACTGAACATTCTAACCTAACATAGAACCCTGAATTTGCAAGTCCCATAGCGCGCGCGTATGTGTGATCTAACTAGTCTCAGCACTCGCGGTGGGAACTGCAGGAGCAAACACGCGATGAAAAATGAAAGAGAGTACGCTCGATGTCTCAGGTCGCTGCAATAGGTTTCCGAGCTCGCAATCCGCCGCTGCTAGCTCTTCATGTTTTCCCGTGGGGGTTTCCCCTGAGGTCGGGATATGCGACCATTCTTGTAGTTGAGCCAGGCAGTCGATTGCCGAGGCCATGGGAAGCGCTTTCCTGCCCTTTCGGAGTGTCAGACGGGCGGTGTTACGGCATGAATGCGAGGGGAACCTACCGAACAGCTACATCCTACGAGGTCATGAGTGAGGCATTCAGTCTCGGACTCGAGCTTGAAGATGTTCTTCAAGTCTGCGACGGTGAACCCGTTCCCTTCAGTAGCCTACTGAAACCGTTAGTCAAAAACTCGCGGAAATGACAAGTCTTAGTCCATAATAACTTTTTGATCAATGATGCTATCGCTCAGACCTAGCTTCGTAAGCTGCCTTTGATAGATTCGTTCTGCGTCGAGAGTGAGAACTTGCGGTTGTCGAAAGGTAAGCATTTTGCGAGAATGTCTGAGGTAGACTTACCCTCAATCGTGCCAGTACTAGAAAAGCAAATGAGTCGTCTGAGTAGTAGGCGGCCGAAGTAGTTTGGTAGACTCACCTCAAGAATCGATATATTTTCACTGGTCGGCGCTGGCCATCACGCCAGATACGGGCCATGGCTGCTCTTTTCATATGAGCAAGGGATCATCTCGATAGGGCGGCCCGAAAACCTACCTTGTTGGCAAATACTTGGATTCCTACCCCGCTCCGTTAGTAAGCCTATCCCGTGCCTCCATCACAAGAGCTGCCGAAGTGGCTTACCAGTCGATGTCAAACAAGATCAAGCGAGACGCCCCCACCAAGTTCAACCCCACACCTCCCGCCTTGCTGCTGAGGAGGAAGATGAAGCACGACGCGTTGCTGTTGAACTTGTCGACCAGACTAGAAGCAAGCGACATTGAGCCCCTGACTGCAAGGATCTTCATGTATTCATCAGGTATTTACTCTTGACGATTCTGCACCGCCGTGCTTCCGTCGAGGCGCAGCCTGTCATATCCTTTTTGCTCGCAGAGCCTTTCAATTAAGTCCAAGGTTTGTGTCCAATTGGAGACAATCACCACCTGATGAATAAACGGAACTTGGTCAACTCTGCGCCGGAAACCCAAGCCATGGAGCACAGGGCACCTTTTCCTCAGTCTTCGTTCGGATCTCATGCAACAACATGACGAGAAGATCCATTTTGCCTGGAGTGAACAGGAAGGAAGTGAGTGAACCGATGGGCTGTGAACTTGGTGGCACAAACAATATACCTGAGTTTGTCATGTTTTCCGTTGCTAGTTTGTGTTCAAAGCCCTCAGTCTCCTCCTCCGACAGCTTGATTGAAACCAATCAGCATTGTGCTCATGCTATAGAATAACTTGCGCTTCTAAAACACATTACCAACGTCGGCGAGTTGACGAGTTTCTTCAACACCGTGATGTACTTCAAAGCATTGCTCATCGTTGACGTCTGGTCGGTCAAATGGGTACGGTCATACAGCCTGACAACATGCTTGTATATCGCCGTCTGCGTTGGCGTTGGTCTGACAAAAAGAACCATTTCATGCTTTGCGGGAAGGTAGCAAGAGTTCACTTCCGACGTCCTCCGCAGAACGAAAAGCTCCGTCAAACGACTTAATTCTGCCGCACGAGCTTGCCCCAGTTCGAGCTCAGTGGTGTTACAGCCTGGCTCGCGACTGCGCTTGATCGGTTCTTCATAGACTTTCTGTTGGATGATTTCATTCAGACGCTGCGTATGAACGCTTTGCATGGTACCTTAGACTTACTCGGAAGGTGGCGGCCGTTCCAAGAAGACCTTATCCGCGTTCCAATGAGTGTCCACGATGATTCCTTAAGTTGTTCCGCGCAACATACCTGGGTTGACAAAATCTACCATGGCGTAAAATTCTCCTAAATCATTCTGAAATGCAAGTGTTGGCAAACCGGTCTCTCGCAAATGAGGAAGTCTCAAGTACCTGAATCGGTGTGCCGGACAAGATGACGCGCCGCCGTGTCTTAATAGAGTTGAGCGCTTGGCTGGTGCGCATCTGAGCATTCTTCAGTCGATGTCCTGTTGTGCACGCTTCAAGATGAGGATGACGGCACGGCATCTTGAACCTTCGAGCCATGCGCATGCGTACCCTCGTCACAGACAACGATGTCGAAGTTCCCTTCCTTCGGGACGATATGATTTTTGTCAAGGCTGTACTCGTCCAACCGGAGGAAGAACCGTTTGCGTACCTGTATGGTTTTGAAGCAAGATCGCATCTTCTCATAACCTGAAAATACCATCGAGTCAACGACTTCGGATTGACATGCATAAACAGCGATAAGCATACCTATCACCAGCACTTGATAAATGCGGCCGGCGTTGAAGCTCTGCGCTGCCTCCGAATCAGTGGTTATCGCCATCACTGCAAAAAGATAGATCAGTACACCGGATATTCGCTGGCCGCCTAATGTTGCCTCATTTACCTTGGATGCGTTGATCACCTAGCCACTTCTTGAACTCGTTCTTCCAGTTGATGACAAGGGATGCCGGGCATACAACCAAGGCTGCGCGGCGTCAGCGTCCACGGACGGATCATACGGACACTATCAAATCTCACCTCGTTTCAAAGGCGGAACACCAACGTGGCTCGACTGCTTCAGGAGAGTCCACAATAGTGCTATTGTCTGCACCGTTTTGCCTGGAGAACAAAGATACCCACAGTTCGACTAGGGCGTGTAACAGAAGGCTCTGCGACTGGGCATACCTAGTCCCATTTCATCTGCAAGGATTGCACCTGCTCCCTCGTAATCTGCGGCAAAAGGTTAGAAAAAGACCTGCTCCATGCGGGATGTGAGATTTCCGCGTACCTTTCATTTGATTCACGCATTCGTAGAGAAACGTAACGCCTAGCCGTTGGTGCGCACGAAGATGTCCTACAAGAATATTTCCGGTTGTTGGAGTCTACTCCCTCATTTTCGTACTGGAAAAGTAAGAACCCACGTGCAATGTACGGATCGACTACCACATCCATCACATTTCTCTTTCTAGAAGATGGCGTTAGTTGGGACGGACAACAAGCGCTTCTTGAAGTACAGACCTAGACGCAGTGTCCTTGGGCCGCGGCATCACCTGTGGAAAGTCCGGTGAGCAGCAGTCCGACAAGGAATGAATATGCAAAGACGTACCAACGCATCGGGGGCATCTGGGCTATGACGTGGGGTTGTGACGGATGCAGACGCAGATGAGTCCTTTGGACCGCTGAATAGACTTTTGAAGGTCTTCGCCGCCAAAGCGATCTTCTTGGGCTCTGCTGCAAAAGATTGCTTGACAAAGCACTCTGGATTCCATCTTTTGGTCAGCACAGGCACGTGGTCTCATTTCGAAAAGAGAGGCGACTCACTTCCGCTGATATAGTTTTCCCAAGGGATTGGGGCCCCGACCTGATTTTGTTACCACAGCTGCGACGGAGTGCAACGCACAAATCCAGCTTACCTCTGCTTCCAGCCGCCCGATACTCAAAGGACATCCGTCCGACAATGGATCCGAGTTCGCAAACGTTACTTTGCCCAGCCTAGAACAATAGGGGTGAGTATCCCGCCAAGCTACACAACTTCTCCGCAACTTACTCCTTCGCTTGCATGTCAAGGAGGACACACTTGCTGTTACGCATCACCACGATTCCATCTATCTCGGATGGGGTATCCATGAGCACAGGCAAGTCGGAGACTAGCACAGTTTAGCTTCACCTCCTTCCCAAGTCTTGTTCTTCCCACGGGAATGATACGAGAGTCCGTTGATATAAGACACGGTTCCAAAAGTCCCTCGCCAGGGAACTGACCTTTTTTTGCTGCCGCTTCCTGTACACAGCGCTGTAGCAGCGGACAACTTCTTCTGATGTTTCCGCGGCCGAGTTGGCTGAAGGGTGGCCTGCCGGAGCCGGGGTCTTCTTCAGGACTTTGGCACCCGCTGGGGGGGTTTGTGGCGTTAGAGGGCTTCTAAAGGTAGATAGCGGCTTGAACCTTTTGAAGGCCGGCTTCTTCTCGTCCGCAGGACGTTTCAGTGGATTCGAAGCCATCTTGATAACAAGATGCAGGCTCACCACCGAGAATTCGTCGCGTGAGAAAGTTGGAAAGTTTATTAAAAGTCGGACTGCCAAGTACGCGCAGCCCGCACGTCCGAACACGCACGCATATAGATAGAACGAAAGCAGGTGTTGCAAGGTATCGATTTTTATGCGTATGGCTATAAGAGTTCTATATGCCACCATCAGATTCTATGTCAAGTGTGTGAACCGTCTGGGACTATCGAAGCTACAGGATCGACTGATCTAACACCTCATAGGACCTTCGCTTCGTTTTTGAGCTTGTCGATAAGCTACGAAGAACGACATGAGTTGATGTGCTCAACATGTAGCTTCAGTAGCCTCCATGACATACCTCATCGACGCTCTCGACCTTCTTTCCACCAGATCGCTTGGGAGGCTCAGCAATGTTGATGGTTTCAATTGAAGCAGTGATATCCACACCAAGATCTTGGGGCTTGAACACCTCCATCTTCTTCTTCTTGGCCTTCATGATGTTTGGTAGTGTAGCATACCGTGGTTCGTTCAACCTACAGGAAAGTCTCGTCTGAGAGGGATACCGATGCAGAAAACAGTAATCGAAGGCCACATACCGGAGGTCCGTGGTAACAATAGCGGGGAACCTTGTCGAGATAGTTTCCAGACCACCGTCAACTTCCCTGGTGACTGTCAATTTATCGCCAGCAACTTCAAGCTTGTTGGCGAAGGTACCCTGCGACCATCCCAAAAGACCAGCAAGCATCTGGCCCGTCTGACTGCTGTCGTCATCGATGGCTTGCTTTCCCAAAATGACCAGCTCCGGCTTCTCCTTGTCGGCGACGGCCTTGATCAACTTAGCCACCTATTTCCACACGTTCATTTTCAGAATTGCGATCCCGCTGCCTCAAGCCTTAAACGCGGGTGAACCTAGCGACGCACCTGAAGAGGCAAGACTTCCGTTCCCTCAGGCACATCCACGTGCACGGCGCGATCAGCTCCCATAGCCAAAGCGGTCCGAAGAGTCTCCGTACTCTTTGCTCCACCAATGCTCAAGGCGATGACTTCCTTTGCAGCCTTCTTTTCCTTCAGCCGTACAGCCTCCTCCACGGCGATTTCGTCAAAAGGATTCATGGAGTGCTAGAAAAGAAAGGTGAAAGGTCAGAGAACATGAACTCAAAAGTACATGGTCGTCACCAATATTGCATTGACTACATCCCCATTGTACATATGTCTCGAGGGCGCACTAGTCAATGCGATGGAAAAAACGACGGACTAACATCGAGAGCAAACGTACCTTGACATTTGTGTCGATTTTACCGCCGGTCACTCGGACCTTGACGGCATAGTCAATCACCCTCTTCACGGGGACAAGAATCCGGTTCAACGTCATGGCTGTGAGGTATGCCCACGGTACAGATGTGCGGAGACTTGAGATCGAGGTCTAATTCCGCAATTCGGGAAATGAGGCAACAACAATCGCGGGAGTCCTCGCGCCTCTCGCGCACACGCTCACACGTCGAAAGCACGTCGGGCCACCTCGGGTCGCTCGCAAACCACCGTTCGACATGGAAAAGAGGAACAGCATGCCTTCGCATCACGACCACAGTCCTCCGCCTATATATAGTGTCTCCACCCGGGGTCTCGGTCCCTCCAGCTAGCCCTGCAATCATATCCGTCCAAACACTCTTCTGCCGCCGTCAAACGGCCCTCTTCCGACGAGGTCTCTCACGCGCAACTGCAACAAACCGAGTTGTCCTTCGCCCTCCGTCACCAGCAGCACCACCTCACAGCGAACCTATAATTCCCTCAGACGTCATCTATCGAAAGATGGCTACAGCACCTGCACCCGTTACGAAGGCCCTGGAGGCTCCAGCGAAACCCAATGAGAAAAATGCCTTCATGGAGACCTTCGAAATTATATCGGAGGATATTGTTCAGGACTTGGGGAACTACAAGGTGCCCAAAGAGGGTGTCGAACATATCAAGAGGGTTAGTTGAGAAGGAACGAGGAGGAGAGGGGATATTTGAAGGGGAAAGATCTGGAGAAGGAGGGGAGGATGTGGAGGGAGGGATTCTGAGAAAGAGAATCGAATACGACGCATTACAACCTTGCCGAACGGAGCGAGGCTCAAGCAAATCGTATCCAGCGTAGGTTCATTGCAGCGAGCGAAGCGACGCGCAAGATCAGAGTACTCTTACGATGCATTACGAAGAAGCATAGCAAAGCAGAGCCTAAGTCGATTGCGTGGCGACGTACAGGGTAGCTAGCAGTGCGGTATTGCTTGAATTGTCATTGATCTATAGCCTTCGATCGCCATTTCGTCTGGCTTTTCGTTGACCGTTCCTTTTGATTTGGTTTTACAGATGCTGCACTACACGGTTCCGGGCGGCAAACTCAACCGCGGTCTCACTGTCCCGTCTGCGCTGAAGTCCCTGTTTAAGCGCGATTTGACGAAAGACGAGTTGTTCAAGGCCCAGGTTTTGGGATGGGGTGTTGAATGGGTGGGTTTGGGTAGGAATGACTCTCACGAAAAGGCTCAGAAACTCATGTCGGTTGCCCCCACATCACAGCTGCAAGCGTTCTTCCTCATTACCGATGATATCATGGATGGCTCCATCACAAGGCGCGGACAACCATGCTGGTACAAGCAGGTAAGTGAAGACTCAGTCTTGCTCAGGAAGGCCGCGAACACTGATCAAACGGTTCTTGAAATGCAATAGCCCGACATTGGAATGATTGCCATCAACGACGCCATCATCTGCGAAAGCGCCATCTACCGGCTGCTGAAGAAGTACTTTCGCGCCGAGGCGTACTACCCCGAACTTGTGGAGATGTTCCACGAAGTCACCTACCAGACCGAGCTCGGGCAGATGATGGATCTGCTGACCGCCCCAGAAGACCATGTCGATCTTTCCAAGTTCTCCCCTCAAAAGTAAGATGTGGTGCAACTTCCCTCCTATTTCACCTGGGTCGACTTCTCACATTTCCAGCTCACTGCACAAAGACACGCCTACATAGTAGAATACAAGACCGCTTATTATTCCTTTTACCTTCCCATCGCTCTGGCCATGCGCCTGGCCGCCATCACCGATGAAAAAGCTTACGCACAGGCCAAAGCTGTACTTCTCCCTCTCGGCGAGTATTTCCAGGTCCAGGACGACTACTTGGACTGCTATGGGAGCCCGGAGGTCATTGGGAAGGTTGGGACTGACATCGAGGACAACAAGTGTGGGTGGTTGATCATTCAAGCATTGGAACGCGCTACTGTTGAACAGCGGCAGTTGTTGGATGTAAGTGCTGTGTTTTGGGTCGATTTTTCATTCTGCGGGGATCCCACTAACGTGCTCCCACAATCTAGGCAAACTACGGGCAAAAGTCCCCTGAAAATGTGGCCATTGTCAAGCGCATCTATGAGCAACTTCACCTTGAAACGGTCTACCGTGAGTACGAGGACCGCAGCTACAAGCGGATCTCCGAACTCATTGAGCAGATTGATGAAAGCTTGCTGCCGAGGGATATCTTTGTTACTTTCATGAACAGGTAATTTGGCGAGGGGTCGCTCGGCGTGAGGGAAGGGGGTTTTGATGTGGTTATTTTTGATTGACTTCTCTCTTCGTCTTAACCTGCCGACACAGAATCTACAAACGCAAGTCGTGATTCATTTGACCGTAGAGTCGCAATAGCAACGAGTAATAGGTTGTGCATTGTACAGTATATTTAGACTCGGTAGAATACATGGAGGTTTTCCGCATATTGGTGTTCCGCAGAGTCGGGCATCAACCCGGTTTTAGGGGGTTACTGGACATGGATGGAGTTAACGCATGCAGGCGTGCTCGGCGCTTCTGAAATTCGATCATACCGGCTTTGACACTCGATCTCAAGCCGGCTTTAAGGCGCATCCCTTACTCTCTGCAGCTTCGGTAGTCCCCAATGGCTTCTCTGTACGCCGCTCTGTTGGCGGCGAATCCCTCCGAAGACACTGCGGCACCAAATTCAAATCGCTCACAGCAACCCAATGAGTCGACGAGCACTATCCCGACGCCTGCGACAACAGCTCCGTCTCCGTCTGTTACTCCCTCCACAGCAAAGGTGGTTGTCCCCGCTGGTTGGGCTACTACCCAGCGACTATTTCAGCCGGTCCCGATAAAGCGGAAACCGATAACGAACAACAGGCCGAAACCGATGCTGGTCGGCAAGCCGAAGGCTATGGAGAATGCTGCAAAGTGGGCCAACGCGGCAGCGTCGTTAAAGGATCCAGCAGCGCTAGCGAAAGGAAATAAAGCGGCCGAAGAAGCCAATCATACGGCCTTGGGTGAACGAGCAGATAGAAAGATCTTGCGAGAGGAACTGAGCAGCATAAGCGACTCGGCAAACGTCGGGGCGGGGGGAAACAATGGAAAGCCGTTGCCACCGCCGCAGGACATCTACGATCCTCTCCGGCCGAACGACTATTATCAGTTCAAGCGTGAAGCGAAGCGCAGAAAACAGCATGCGAAGCGACAGGCGCTAGAGGAGATTTCTGGCAGATATCCGCCGAAAGGCGGGGATCGAAGCCGGGGGAGAAGTCGAAGCCGATCAAGGTCGAGATCACGGTCACCGCGAAGGAGGAGAACAGGGCGGGAAGATGAAGATTGGGAGAGATCCGAGAGAGGAGGAATTGGTGGCAGTCATGCATACATCTCTCGCAATTCCTCCTCACAAAGCTCACCACCACGCCAAACGACAGAATCCGTGGCATTCTCTCCACCCACGAGTTCACAGTGGGCCGCACCGCCGACCCCATCACAGCCCATACCGGACGTTTCTTCCGGTGAAGAAGCGTATCTACGTCGGTTACGGTTATCTCAGCCCTCCGCGCCGAACCCCCCACCAGTCGTCCCACCCACACCTCCTGTCGCACATCAGCAGACATCGGAACCACGTCCCACGGTCATATCTGCGCCGTTCATACCATTCAAACCAGCAAGCATACAACCGCACTCCCATCCACAATCGCGCATGCAAAGACCAATACAGCCATCGCAATCACCTGTCATACTTCTCAAAAACATGGTTGGACCTGGGCAGGTCGACGCAGACTTGCAGAACGAGACGGCGGAAGAGTGCACACGCTTTGGACGGGTCACGAAATGCGTTGTGTATGAGCTGCCGTACGCAGTGGGTGAAAGCGAAGCGGTCCGAATCTTTGTGGAGTTTGTGGACCATGCCAGTGCCGCAAGAGGTAAGGATCTGCGGTTGGAATGCAAGTTCATCCGCTTGATCCAAGCGTCGGAAAACGCGTGTGTGTCATATTTACTGAGTGAACACCCTTTTCCTCTCGTATTAGCACTCAACGAACTAAACGGACGATTCTTTGGCGGGCGTGTTGTGTCTGCAAGTTTCTACGACCCCGACCAGTTCCGGAAAGGTCAATACGACGATTGAGCGCTGATAGTATATGAGGACCCCATCCGACGGGTTGGAATGAGAACGGCTAGGAAAAGGGGGATGCGAAGGGCGATATATACCCGAATCTTCCGTCACATATCATGCACTACGGCGTTCGCTCAGCAAATCGGAGTACTATGCTCTTGTTAGTCCCTCTCAGCCGTTTGTCCATATGTATAGGTCTTCATTGGTCGCAACTTTCTTTCGGAGGTCGGTTTCGTTTTGGTAATACATCTCCGGCTACTGTTGGGCTGCCAATTTTCCTTCTTTTGTGCGAAAGCGTTCAGAAAGGAGAGGACGGTTTATCTCGCGGTTTATCTGACCGGGAGACGCGTTGACAGCGCGTTGACCAGCGTTCACCATGCGGAGAGTTCTCTCGGTCCTGCGAAGCTTGTTTTAACTTCATCGTACGGTTTTCGCAAACTCCATACCTCACGCATCTTCTCATTTTGAGCATCCAGAAACGCAAATCGATGAAAGCATAGATATCGTCTCCAGAAATACTCACGAAATAACTGTACAAACATGGGACCTCTGGTCAAGGTCTCACCACCACCACACACCCCTAATGTCGCGGCACTGAAGACCGCCTTGAAAGCGCAACCACAAGCATATCCTGACCACACTGCAAGTCAGATTCTAGCCCGGGACAGTCAAACCTCACTTACCGGTACTGAGGGCACAGACACGGCATCGAAAATCCCGGATTCTAGCACGGAACTCCTCTCAACGCTGCAGAGCAGTAGCAGCGACTTGACTGTTCAAACCTCGTCGCCAGCGGGGAGTGAGGGCACTGCAAGAACAAAACGACCACGAGAGGAGGACGCATCTGATGATGCGGCAGGGGCCAAGGATGGGCTGGCGATGAACAATGAAAGCGTGGCGGAAGCGGGGAAGGTTATCAAACGAAGAAGGAAGGAACGCAAGGGAGACACTTCAGTTTTGGATGCTGCAAATAGGTGGGGACTGGGCGCTGCGGGTGCGAAACTATGGTGCATCATCATCTGACATCCATAGTATAGGATTTTCCCGGAGTATCTGAGATTAACGAACGAGCTATTTGCCGGGTTTGAGGGATTGGCTCCTGGGTGCACTGAGAGGAGGGACAGAAGGCAGGAGGCCCGGTCTTCGACAGAGTCAGGGGCCAGTAAGCCGATACTAGAGCACCCCACCAAAACATTGCGAAAACTCCTTGCATTAGGTGCTGAGAAGGATGCATTTGTTGCACGTTGTGAGTTTCTCGTAGATCGTTGGCGTTGGATCAGCGGAAGGATATCTGATCCTGTTCCTTTGTTACCTAGTGACTGCACAGCAAAAGTTGCAGGACGAAGTGGACGAAGCAAACATGCAATTGTTAGATATACGGGCCGGCACTGCGGAGCTCTGTCGATTGATTGGACGAAAAAGACGGGAAGGCGCTGATCTACTCGACGAAGCTAGGCCGGCACTGAAACAGGCGAAAGCAGCTGCCGCAGGTAAGATTCTCCCAAGGTGCTCAAGCAGCCTGACTTCTAAAATGGTCTTCATTGCTAATTCACAAATCCTGCTGCAGAACGTCTGAACGTGGAAGATCTCACCTCATATGCCATTCGCCTCTCGAAGTTCACAATGGAAGCACCTGTCCTTGGTCGTGGTCACGAGCCACCGATTCCACAGGAGCATCACATGAGGATGAGCTTGCTCTTTCAGCAAGGCCATGGCCTTGGTCGGCAGACCACCCCGGAAGCAAAAGGTACCTCCCCAATGCACAAATGCGTTTTCGTCACGGCATACGGATTGCTCACTTACTCTTTACCCTTGGTGGTCATATCAAAGAAGAAAAGACACCAGAGCATGTGTTACCTTTCAACTTCATTCCCGATGGCGACGAACACAAAGACGATATTTTCGCCGCGGCCACGAAGCCATTCGGAGGAGAGGATGACGACTCGGATGGTGATCCACTGGATCTTGACTTCTGAATATTTCCCAGTACGACGGGCGGTGAAGATTATCGGGCAGCGGAAGAAGTAGGACCCAAGAAGGAAGGCTGCTGACCGCGGCTGGAAGAGTTTAAGGCTTATGAAGAGCTTGCGGGGCAGTTTTGCATGGCGAAGAATTGGCTGAGCATGTTTTGATAGCCGAAGAGGAGCGGCTGTTGGCTGCCGATCGTTCGAAAGACCTGGCAAGGAGCGGAGGAGGAAAGACTGCCCGAGGAGCGGCGGTCACTTTTGGAAAACCCTACTGTGCATCCACGTATATACCCCACCTACGGATCTGGTGCGCTTTAAGGTTCATTTTTTGGCTCTGATACATTGATAGAAATATAAATTACAATTCCATGTTACAAAATTGTTGGGTGTTGCCTACTCTATAGTCTAAAGCTAGTTTCATCGAGATACTCCGTAGTGTGTAAATTCCTCAGGCCATTTGCCACATCGAAGACTTTATCGTGGGAAAAAAAAGTTGCCTGTCCACATCCTAATGAGCCTTGGACTCCAAGAGCGACAGACGCGTGTTTCCCATCTAATGTGACAGTATCGAAGGTAACGCGGCAAGTCTTGTTGCGCACGTTGTTCTAATCCACTCGGCCGAGCTTCTTCAGCGTCGTGGTGCCCTTCTCCAAAAATGTTGACGCTATGGGCCAATGGTACGGCAGCCAGGCCTCTTCTTCTGCAGGTATTCCCGAAGTCTCCCAGCCGGCCTCTCCTCGCGGCTCATTGAGCTACGGTGTAAGCCACTTTCATGACCGTTTCGTAGTCAGGTGCATCTGGGATGTACGGGCAATCCGGTCCCAGTGCCGCGTCGACCTTCGCATGCGATTGTTCCGTCTGGCCCTTCTCCGTCAGCCCTTTTTCCCGCAAGATCGCCGCTTTCTGTTCGCGTTCTTGCCGCACTTTGACCAGGTACTCTTGTAATCCTAGCAGTTCAGCCATTCCCTCGTATGACTTCGTTCTTGCCATAGTTTCGCGGAACTCCTTTCCAAGAGCGCCGGGCCACATGAGAAGCAGGCAGTATTTGGCGTTGTGATACGGCATGTCGTAGTCGATGGCTGTTCGGAAGTATTCTGCCATTACTTCTTGAATTGGAAGGAGACCTTCTGGCCGGAAAACTGACACGTTGTATTGTGGCGCTCGTGCCAACATGAAAGATGTGATGCCTACCAGGTGGACACGACGGTCAGGAAACAGAACGATGTATATGAGGAAAGAGCACGCAAAACCTACCACTTGAACGGGTCAGCTTCCGCATGTCTTCCATGCTAAAGACATCTCCATTCGCAATAACCGGTATGCTGACCACCTTCGCCAGTTCATCGAAGTATTCCCAATGTCCTGGATCTGACGGCTTCTCGTCTTGGAATCTACAATGCACGCCGATTGCGCTGACACCAGTAGCTTCTATGCGACGCATCAACGCAGCGGTTCGCTCCAAGGACGTTTCCGTATCGGTCGCAGGCAGTAGACGGATTTTGCAAGTGACAGGAATGGTCAACTCTGCTTTTAATCGTTCAAGAATTGCAATCAATCGATCAGGATCGGACAATAATGCAGCGCCCATGCTCGATACGAGCGAAAAACGTTTCGGGCATCCACAGTTAAGATCTATTCCGGCGACATCGCCAGCGACCACCTTGGCGGCCTGCACTGCTAGTTCAGGATCGCCCGTGCCCAGTTGCACAACGAGTCGGCTAAGCTCCGAAGGATGAAAGCGCAAGGTCAAGGTCTTTGCATCCTGCTCGATATAGTCGATTGTTCCTAGGAGTTCATTGACTACCCGTTTGGACTTGATCAACCGCTTGTCGACCGTTTCAGGACTATACACAATATCAGCGCCGTACTTCAACGCTAGCAGTCGCATGGTCATTGTGCCCACACGAACCATTGGCGCAAGGATAAGTTTGCCCCGATAGTCCAACGGTAATGCCGAATTGGACTTGGTGTCGTTTTCTTTCGACATGGTGACGGCCTCTTCTGTTTGCGGGTCCGTCCCCAAGTCGGAAAGTCTGACCTGAACACCCATCCGACGTCGTATCTAAGAACAAGTGTGCCGATCTTCAGAAAGCTTTCCCAACTTCTCGTTGCCGAGTTTCACAAGTAGCCTTACACGTTTGAGGTTCAGGGAGGGCCTGACGGCTGTTAAGGTGCTGCCAAGTCTAGTGTCAAGGCGAGGTCTAGGGAAACAAGAAAGCTTGCCGAGGTTGGAAAAGGACCTCAGGGTCGACACCATTCAGGAGCAATATGCCTCAGAAATAGACCTTCAAAGCCCTATCGAGCGACGGACCGCGAAAGGCAGTGCAGCGAATGCGACTGGTATGCCTTGTTTCGTCGGTGTGGGAGGAAATTCCCGAGTTGAGCAGTTGGGAGGAGGCTGCGCGGAAACCGGAATTGCGGGGGCAGCGGACTGGGAAAGGATGACGGGGGCCCTCGAACGTACCGCCCCGCTTTTATACTTTTTGCCTGATCCACCAAAAGTCCTATAAATACCGGCCCCCTCTGCAACCCCCCTCCCTATCGATCCCACCGATTCAACGGCGCTTCCCACAAGTTTCTTCATTGGCTTTCGTATATCGCTGGGTGAATAAAGTTTTCAATTCTACCTACTGCAAACATGTCGAACCAACTTGTGGTAAGCTGGCGTGGAGCTAGCTGAGCCCAGCCATGGCTCGGTGGACAGTCTTTCTACTTGTCTCGCTGCGTTTTCATATGTTAACCAGAGCTGGCTATTGCAGCCCGGGGTCTATAACTATGTTATTGATGAAGTCTGCGACAGTGTTTCCACTACGTTCGCGGAAATGGGCGTCGGACAAAATATCCTGGCGGAAATGCGTCAGGTACGGGAGCCCAAAGTTCTCAGCCTCTAGGTTCTGCCCTTATCCAGTTTTGACCTCTGGCTGGCCACCTTGGAACTGCTCTATAGGTGTGGAAACAGAAGATCTCTGGAATGAGGGTGGCAGACTTTGACTTTAAGGACGAAGAAGACGACGGATACGATGATTATGAGACTGACTACTATCCCGCTGACGGGGTGGATCACGATGCCTCTTTCACAACGACGGGAGCTGAAGGCGATGACGGTCTGGAAAGTGGTGCGTCATTGGAGTGGACGCAATATGCCAGCCACCATACAGGGTTGACAGACGGGCATATATCCACAGAGGAAGATGTCAAGATAATACCGCAGGAGGACGGGGCCCCAGACGATGGAGCACCAAGTAGTTCTTCTGCTGCCGTCCCATCCAGAGTGGTATGGGCGTAAGAAAATGCGTGGATCATAAAGACCATCGCTGACTAAGAATATTCCCAGGCAATTGATCGTATGATTGAAAAGCAATGGGCGCAAGCTCGCGATGAGACGGCCCGAAAGCTGGCGAAGCGTCGGATACGGCAGCTGGATGGGGTTGACGATGATGAGGAGGAAGATGAAGATGTAAACAACATCTCTAAAAGGGTGGGATCGCAATTCATCTGAGCTAACCTGGCCGTTTCGCGCAGGATGACAATGATGACGGAATCAATTCCGAGCTTGACGACGAAGATTCCGAGGATGAGGCTGCTGATACGCCAGATCTCATTCTGTGTCAGTACGAAAAGGTAAAGAAACCGAACCCAAAGGTAAACAATTTTTGGCACCGTTGACTAAAATCATCACACCTTGATGAACGCATTCGGCAGGTGAATCGCGTAAAGAACAAATGGAAGTGCGCTCTGAAAGATGGCATTGTAACGGTGGACGGAAGGGATTACCTGTTCAATAAGGTAGGTTTGTTGCTTTTTTGCAGTTACCACTTTGCGGTGGCCGTGTAAACGCATTTGCGCAGGCGAACGGAGAGTTCGAGTGGTAATCAAGCATAATGCCCGGTTTGGCGGGTCGCAGTCGACTGTCGGGTCCGTCACGATTTGCTCAAGATCTGCTGTGACAAGGGTTGCTCAGTTCGTTTTCAACATCTGTTGCTGCCAGTAACGCATACGACGTACCTGTGTGATGTTACACTTTCTTGTAAATTCATAATTCTGCATGAGAGATTCTCATTTCTCATGTTCAATCTCACATAAAACCTGTATAAATACCTCCCATGATTGGCATCTCGGTTACTGGGGCGATTGAACAACACTGATTTGTGTGATGATATGCCTAATGCTGCCAACGGTACAAGTATTTACAGAACTATCTAAGCTTACAAAACGATGCCCTTTCCCAATTTGGATCTACGCCATGGTGTGGTAATCGTGGTTGCTTCCCTTGCACGGAAACCTCTACGCCCTCCCAAAAATCGCAGCCACCTTATCCATTCACCTGGACTTGCACACCCTCCATAGGCGTGACGCCCAACTCCACTCTACCCGGCCCCTCCTTCCCCTGTGCCCGCTCCCTCTCCTGCCGCCTCTGCAGCTCGTCAGCGTCCCATAGCGATACGCCCAGCTGATTATGCTCGAACGGTTGCGCCATGCTACGCAGGAACTTCTTGGACATGGCGATGGCCATATCGGTGGAGAGGTTGACGCAGGCTTCTGTCATGCCCGCGTTGATCCATTTGGGCAGTTTGCTGCGTTTATCGGCGCGTGCGAATCGCTGAATGGGACGAAAGGTTGGGTATGTCTGGGTGGTGCTTCAAACGCGCGGGCCAAAAGAAGCGACAGAGCCATCCATACCTTATCAGCAAACACCATGAGCCCGTAATCCGTTTTACCGCGTAAGACTCGTCCAACACATTGAGCGCCGTGCCGCATGGCATCAAACGTCAGGAAATCGTTCTCGCGGATCTTGCTGTTGTCTCGCAAGAACTCCAATCTTGCCTAAGCGAGTGAGTGGCATTAGACCCTCAACCCGAGCTTCAGTAAGTGCGAGTCCTCGACAAAACGCACCTTCAGTATCCGAGATTCCGTGTACTGATATGGAATCCCGAACAGAATCACAGCTCGTCCGTAGTTGTGGTCGAAATCCACACCTTCCGAGACTTTCCCACGCGCGACGGAAAGCAGAACTGCTCCACGTCCATTGTCGCACGCCTAGTTACGTATTAGCATTGCTCTGGTTTGGGTTGCTGTTTTCCAGTACACAAGCGAAGCACCTACCAGTCTGTAGTTCTCCAAGGCTAAGCTGGTCTCGGCGGCGTCAGGTGTCTCGATGAATATCAGCTTGTACTTCAACACGTCTTGAAGCATGCCCTACAAAAGCTCGACTCTGAGCATCTGCTACGGATCCATATTGCATCCTTCATAGTGCATCCTTCGTGAGAGATCCATACCAGTTCATTCCAAGCCGTGACAATAGACTCCATGTACAGGTAACTCGGAAAGAAGCAGACGAGCCCATCGGGAACAATCTTCGCATACTCGAGAAGAATGTTTCCGAAGTTCCTGACCACAGCGAGATCGTTTCGCACCTCGAACTTGGAGCTGATGGCGACTTGGTCGCTTCCTCGAGTAATGGTCTACGGATTCGCTGAGTGAGTACTTGCTACTTGTACGTGATAACCCTTAACCGGCCTACCAAGGGCAAGAAACAAGATCTCGTCAGGGTCATCTGATAACTTTGCATCACAACGGGTTGGAATCCAAGAAGGGTGGGGTATAGTTCCATTGGTGAGAGTGTTCCGGACGTGATGATGACGGAGCTGAACCGGTCGAAGACGGGTTTGATCGCTAGAGTGGCGTCGAGACACCTGTAAATGAAGAACGGAAGTTGATCAATGGGGTGGATGAAATGTGGACTGTGCGACTTGACGTACGATAGGTGTAGCACGGGGTTGGGAATGGTATCTGTGTCATTCTCAAAGGGCTCCAGAATCAAAATGAACCCTATCGGTCGCAGTTGATCAGTGGTCAAAAAGCAGGTCATTGAGGTCCAATCAGCTGCTTATGTACCTTTCTGATATGTCGCAACCAGAGTCGCAAACCCGGCAATCTTCTGCAAGGCCTGGTAGTCCCCCAGATCCGTGAGCTCCAGAGTGCGGATAAGGGATCCCAACCTTTCCGCACAGAATCTAGGGTAACATGCGTTACCAAGTGGATCGTATACAAATGTCGTGGAGGGTGAGAGTATACCTTAAGGGCTTCTTATCTATATATGTGATTTCCTTGACGTGCTGTAAGAAGGACGTAGGGCTTTCCGCAACAACGTGCATGACTCGTAGTCGGGTCTGCAGGGATCTTGAGTCAGGTGTACACGGTAGATGACGGACATTGACGGCGTACCTTGAGGTATTCAATGAATCGCCTCAGGAATGCAACGAAGTGCTCTGCTCTTCTGATGTTCCCGGGCACAGCTTCCTGCAATATATCCTCGGGGAGAACTGCGCGTTCAGATGTGAGATGTCAGTGTTCCGGATGTCTAGTGTTGTCGGAAATATCAGGAAAGATTTACTTGGATTTGACATGAATTCGTCGTTGGCTCTGGACTCCTGTGCCGTCCGCAGTCCTAAAATCAATGTTACGGGCGACCTTTGCTTGAGACCCAGCCACCGATTTCCCTTACCTTCGACGAGCCGGGTGTACTCCGATTGCAGCTTTTCCGAGTTCGATTGCTTCAACCTGTCCGATCGTGATGAGTGGACATCCTGTCACCCGACATAGTCAAGCTTAGCTTACTCGTCGATTTTAGAAGCTAGTGCTTGCACACTTCGCGCACTGGCATCCAAGATGGGCCGGGTGATGTCCATGCTCAGGGATTCCGTGCAAACGTTGTCTAGTGGGCGAGTCGTTAGGCCTCGTTCGGGTATACTCAAGAGTGAGTTTCCTACGCACCAATATTGTGCGCCTCGTCAAATACGACAATGCAATCTTTCGCCATTTCCTTCGACACCAAATCCGCCACTTTCGGGTCTAGCAAGTAGTGGTAACTGTAGATGACGACATTCGCAAAGGCAATCTACACATGCATGTGGCCGTTAGTCCGATCTCACACTTTTGCGTTCCAGTTTTCGCCTTCAATCCACATACCATCCTTCGAGCAAGGAAGTATGGACAGTAGCCATTTTGTCGGCCCCATTCCTTCAAATCTTCCAACGTGTAGACGCCCGGAGGCATGCTAGCGGTTTCATCCGCGTTCTCCAAAGACTGCGTTCGGAAGATGATGAGCGCATCTCCCATGTGGCATACGCATAACACCCTCGAGGTTACCTCAAAGAAACTGCACGTCTTGACCTCTCCCGGGTCACTCTCCTTCGCTTGCTCGCGAATCCATGGCGCGGTCAGGTTTCGACATTGTGCGTCGACGATACTCCCCCATTTTTGTTTGCTGACCTAGACACAAGCTTGGTCAGAGACAAGGGGTGCGAAAAGCCACTCGATGGAACCATCCCATACCTCGGGATGCACACATAGATTCCGGCGCGAGGTGAGTCCGAGACCCAGAAACTTCTCTTGTAATCCATGACTTTTCCTATACTCCATCAACCTCTGTAACTCGGCTAGGGCTTTTTCAATCTCGGGCACCGTTCGCGAGCAGTAAATCAACTTCCTCTTCTCCGGGTAGAACTGAAATGGCGCTGGGATCAATCTTGAGCCATGTATCGAAGGCGCATCGGTCACAGCGTTTACCTGCTGATATGCTACAATCAACGACAACAGCGATACCGTTTTCCCTGTTCCTGACGGCATTTCCAGCAGACAGTGTCCCTACACCCACGAGAGCTTGGTTTTTAGACAGGGAGCTTCAACAAGGTCTCCAGATAGCTCACAAACCTGTGCATCCAGGGCCCTCTTAATATCGCGCATATAGGCATATTGCTCCGGGTATATGTAATCGTATGGGAAGAGGACCGGCAGGCCGTCAAGGTCGAACCTGAACCGCAACATGGTCAACTCAACATTCTTTGGAACTGTACAGCTTTATTTGTCCATACTTCATCTCGACAAATCGTGGAATGTCCTCCAACCTCCTTGAGGTTTAGCGAATGATAGAGAGGTAAGGTGCGATTGAGAGATATGTACAAAACTTCCGCAAGTGAGCCTGCAAGTGGGCGATGACTATAGAACGCTCAAGTTCAGCATCCTTTGCCACCTGCCGCGCAGGAACCCATCATACAGTCAGTACACAGAAACACCCACCAGCTCCTGCAGGACTATATTCCGTCTGAATGAGCCTGGCTAGTGGCTGTTGGGAAAATCCCGATTGCTCCTGCCGAGAGCCAGAAGACAGGAGCTGGAAACCAATCCGATTAAGCCGGGAACCGAGAACCCACAGTCAGGCGGTCCAGAGCGCGCGTACGTAGTAACAGTACGCTTAATACTCCACGCTGTGTCATCCAGGTCGCTCTCTCATCAGGAATAAGCGGGGCAAGGCGTAGTATTGTTGCTGAAGACCCTTATTCGCACTCCACCTTGCCTCGTCCAGGGCCAGCCAGCTGGCTAGCCCACGCAGGAAGTATCTACCACAAAGGATGGGCGAAATAAGGCTAAACACGGGCAGGGGTGGGTGCGCTGTATGCTCTCCACACTCGGAACAGCTACGGCGTACATACATATTCCGTGCTGGAGATCTTTGAGGCGGAAACGAGGTTACAAAGTCGTTTTCCGCGAAAGCAGTAATAGAACTTCGTAAAGACGTACGCCAACCGCCAAAGGCTCTCGGGAGTGTGCGATTTCAAAAGTAGTCATCAGGCGATCTCGCCAGCGCAACGAACGCGCCTCATATCCGTAAACACCGTTTGTAGCCCTCATGCTGGCGCCGTCGACACTGAAGCACGATGCGACGGCTGCCGCGCGGGCGGCGGAGGCGGACGAACAGCACGGTGGTGAAGACGCCGTCACCACCGAGCGTCCACGGAAACATGATATCAGTAGCTTGCGCGCGAGAGGGTCCGTTAGCAATAGTCCCTTTCGGTCTCTGATGTTGAAGGGCAGCAGCGGGACCTGGAAGGAGGAGGTTTCCAATGTAAAGCCGCCAAATCCCAAGCTTGTTGACCCTCAGCCGCCATGGAAGGATTCAAAGCCCAAGGCCCTAGGTACGCGTCAGTTATTGGATGTCTACAGTTCTGCCTGTATAACCCCGCATAGCTTGAGGCTCAACTCAATTCGCCGCGCAGATATGGAAAGATGTCGGGCAGCGAGCGCTACTCCATACACCTCGTCGAGCACCTCGTCCGCTAAACACTCACCACGCCTGAAAGACTTCAAGAACGGCTCCGTCCGGGGAAACCCGTTTGTCCTCGCCGACCGAGGCACGGGTGGGAAGACTGGCGAGACGATGAAGGCGGAACCTTCCCACTTGCGTGATTGGCGATCGAGATCTTCTTCAGCGTTGCCGGAAAACAGCTCAGCGGCATCAACTCCACCACCTGTACCGCATACGATCAGCGATACCCGCCAGCGAAACAGATTATCTTTGCCGGACATGTGGAAAGGGAAGACGACTGAAGGAAACGAAACACCCAAAGCTCCGGAGGTGGTACCCGGTCTCTCGTCCTCCGAAGGTTTCTGGCCCATCCGCAAGGACTCCTTCGGAGTTGCCGTAGGTGCCAAGTATCTGGAGTCTGTGAATGCCAAAAAGAAGTCTGGATCCAGCCGGCGGTCGCTTGATGTCGCGATGTTCAAGCCTCCTGATGAGACAGAGATTGGATCCAAAGGGGCTGGTGTCGAAGAACCTGTTCCACTCAGATTGGGTAGTGACGAAACCGAGACCGTTCCCACGGAGTCGAACGTTGAGATCCCCAATTCAATCAGCATAGCGGGTGATCAAACTTCGGCCGAGGTCGAGAGTTCTTCGCACCTCGCCGCCGATGCATCCTCATTAGCCTCTCCAGATGTTTCCAACGACGCTCCTGACCGGGCGCCGGACGCGGCGAGTGTTGAAGATGTGACGTTGGTTTCAACTTCAACACCTCCGGAGATGTCTGCCGATATCGAGCAGAAAGACCACCTGCTTGATTCCTCGCCGGACGAAGCTGCGGAAACCTTTCCCGTGGTAGCGGATGAAGATACTTCCAAGGTCGGTACTGCTGCAGATGACAATCGACACGAAGCTGGTGTTTCCAAACTTGGCCGAGTCCCATCCAGCGCGAAGCAAGCTTTCAAGCGAATATGGAGTCCAACTCGCCTCCAGGTATGAAGCTCATGTCAAATATGCATGGTCCCTGTTCAAGTCCCTAATCTGACATTACGGACAGGTTCCCTCAGTCTCGGCTATCTTCGATGACCCCGACTGGCTGCATGCGATCCTCGGCTCTAACAAGTCAGCAGCTGCCAACGCCACGTCACCTGTCACACCTACAACATCCCCGACGTCCGCTATCGCTGAAGCATCCCCAAGAACCTCACTTAGCACAATGGTCCCGGCCGTCAATCTCCCGCCACCTCCGAATACCCCTCCATCAATCGTCCGCCCGCCTACGCCTCCTCTCACCTCGCATCAACCTATGCCACCACCGGATACCGTGTTTCCGCCTCCTGCAGCAATGACCAGCGGTTCTGATGGCACTCAACAAACCCCAAAAGGTAGCGGTCTGAAAATATGAACCTCGCATTACTTTTTCATTCATGGCCCCATCCTCTTTCTGGACTCCAGATGACACATCCGACCTCAACGTCTTGTTGTCATGCACAGACTCGCTTGAAGCTGATTTTGACGACGATGGGTTCGACGAAGACTTTGATTATCGAGACGCAGTCCGCAATCCTCCCAAAATGCCTTCACGCGTCGAGAGTCTGACATCAATCGTAGACGACATTATTGGCGAGATGCCTCGGAAACGCGCCTCCATTGGGAAGTCTGTCCGGTTTGGGGTAAGGACTGTTTGAATTTGGCGAGCTTGATCCTGTAAGCTTGGTGAGCTCATCGTGCGTTCGGGATATAATAGCGAGCGTGGAATGGGGAGCTGGAATCCAAGCGCTTGATTTTCGAGGAGGTGGCACGCGCTGTTCCACCCAGCGATGCCCGGATAGGAATGCTGTATCTGCGCAGTAAGTGCCTCTGGAACGTTAGCATTTTCGAAGAATTACTAATATTTTCGGCTTCCTAGTAAATACCCTTGACGACGCCTTCTTCAGGAGCAATTCGGGTATGTGTGTGAGGTTCACGGCTGTTACTCCATTCTTACGAAGCTATGCTCATAATACCCGAATTCAATCACAGATATTGAAGTGACTCTTAATATCCGCCAGCAGAAAGCTGACCGACAGTATGAGTTTGAGACCACACGAATTTTGAGTCTGGGCGAAACCGATGTCGATTTCGACCTGGAGTGCGAGATGTAAGCCCAACCTGCTTTTATCCTCTACGCCTTCCGCTGCTCGTAGTGATACCTACCATACCAGGCCGCTGCTCCCTACACACCCTGTCTCTCTCGTATTCTACTTCAAGGCACTCAGTAACCCCCTCTCACAAGGTTCAGCATATACTACCTCAACCCCATCCGCGTCCGCATCCGCAACCAACCTGCTGGCACCTATCGCAAAGTTCGCCACCGCGCCCCGCCGTAACAGTTTGATGTCCTTCTTCCGCGGGGGCCGATCCTCGAGCGACGAGACGGTGGTCGACAGCAACAACTCCTCCTTCTCAAAACCGTTACCTGCATTACCAAGTGGTTCTCCTCGCCGGTCCACCTCCGGACCCGATTTCATGACCTCCAACCTCCTAGTAGCAGAAGCCGAGCCGACGCAGTCCGAATGGGCCGAGATCCTGCAAAGTGCGACCGGAACCCTCATTGCGCCCGAACTCGAACTGCGCACCTTGGAATGGAAGGGCGGGATGGTGCATGGCGAGTGCGTTGGAAAGATCTCCTGTCTTATTGGGTTCTTGCCCTTCATGGAGGAGAAGGTTCCGAGATCTTTCTTTCCGACGACATATGCGGAGTATCAGATGGCTGTGAGGATTACGGATTGGAATCAGGCGCTGTCTATGGAGGGGCATTTGTGGCAGCTGGGTGGGGATGTGCGAAAGGTGCGGCTGAAACTGAACTATCTCCTTTGCTCATTTGAAAATCTGCTAAACAGTTTACCTTCCCTTAGCACTATCGCCGCCGATACTACCGCTTAACAGGTGCCGAACTGCACGTTTACGAAGCAGCTCCATTGCCCTTCGTCACAGGCATTTCTTGGGACGAGTCCGACTTTGACCCAAAGACCGAACTCCCCGCCCCACTGGAACAATCCCACGGCAAACACCTACTGACAATCGAGCTGGCTCATTGCGAAAACTGGTACGCCTTCTCACCCATCGGGCAACGGTACCGGACGTCTTCGGGTGGTCCTACGAATGCTAGCGATGACGGTAGCGAACCATCGCAATCTGATGCTGCGTTCAACGAGCGGGACAAACTGCCTGATCAACGCGCCGCGTTTGTTTTACTCTTCAAAGACGGCCGTGAGATCATTTTTGGAATCGATCCGGACGAGGTGGAGAGGTATCAGCAGGAAAGCAACAAGATGCTCCGATCGTCTGAGACGATCAGGCGAGAATGTGATGGAGACGGGACGCAGCCCGCGTTGGTAGAATGGCAATCGTCGGATATCGCAGACATGTGGAAGCAAGCCCTCAACGAAGTTTTGAATGGCGTGAAGTACGAGACGCCGCTGTGGTGGGATGCACTGAGAGCGTCGAAGGGTGAAAGGAAGAGCGAGCAGCTGAGCGAGGAGGCTTACGAGCTCGCGTCCAGGTCGTGAGACTGTGTTGGGGCCATGAGGCAGTTTTGAAGACACTTACTGTAGTTTTGGGATCTTGCATTTTTTTGGAACCTTCACTGTACCCAATTAGGACTTTGTCACATTTATCGAAGATGTTACACCCATATGCTATAGCGCGTCATTATTTTGGCAGATCGGCATCACATGCGTTCATCAGAGCTCGTAAGCAAATGGGAACTGCCCAGTGAACCAGAATTTGCATTGATATAATCCGGAAGTTCAGAGCAGGAGTATGAGACAGCAATCGAAGGCAAAATAACACGTCTTCAAGAGTCCTTCTTGGGCACAGAATCATCACTTCCAAAAACAGTGCAACACTTCCAAAAACAGTGCAACATCTGCGTCACTTCCAAAAAACAGTGCAACATCTGCTAGCGACTCCTGAGATAGCCCTCGAGGTCTTCCACGGCCGCTGGAGGAGACGGACCGCACACGTTGGATTTACGTGCCCGGGCGAGAGCTTGTTTGGGTTCGGAAGTACCAACTCCTCAAGGCTTTCCGCTTCGAACTCCAGAGATTCCGCAGTCTGACGGATCGCGGCACCCGACGTTGGCCTGAAGGGTATGCCCAACTTTCCCTTGGACACCTGAGGGCATTGGTAAAGCGTTGGCAGAAGTCACGGATGCCTTGACGATGGGCTTCGCACGGGTTTGGTTCCGAGGATGTCTCACGGGTTGATGCGTCCTCAGAGGACGAAAATGTCGCGATGTGGGCTCAGTGCCGGTTATTTGTTGCTATGTGCATTGGATATCTAAAGCCTTCTATTGCCTGCTTCGCAGACGCGCCTGAATAGCCTTCAATCCCTGCCTACATATCTCTTTCGGCGGGCTCTGCAGCCTCGACGAAGTCCCCACATCGAGAGTCAGTGTCTCCAACTTCTCCAGTTCTCCCAGTGATGGTGTCAACACCTCAATCGGGTTGTCGTCTACATGCAAAGTGCTCAGCGATTCCAGTCTAGACAGACTCGGAAGTTCCGACAGCTTGTTCCTCCGCAAATCCAAGAACTGCAGCGCGCACATATTTGCAAACACATCTTGCGGAAGGTGGTGAATCTTATTTCCACTGACGTCCAAAACAAGGAGGTTTTCGAGGTTGCCTACTTCCTTCGGCAGGGTCTGAAGCTCATTATGTGAAAGGTCCAGGTGCTTCAACTGACGGAGGTTCCGTATGGCCGGGCTGAGAGCTCGAAGACGGTTGTGCGACAGATACAGCTTCTTCAATTTCCAGCAAAGGAAGAGATCTGCTGGTAAAGTGGTCAGGTTGTTGAGCGCAACATCCAGCAACTCAAGGTGAAGAAGAGTAGAGAAAAGCTTTTCCGCAAGCTGGTCGATGCTATTTTTGAAGAGCCGCAGCTGCGTGAGGTCTGTGCAGAACCCGAGCTCCTCCGGCACCCGGCTTAGTTGGTTGCTCTGAGCTCCAAAGAACCTCAGTTGATGCAGGTCCCGAAAAATAAGACCAGGCAATTCGTCTAAGTTGTTGAAAGACACGTCCATGTGCACCAGAGAGTTCAGCAGTCCTAGTTCAGGTGGAAGCTTCTCAAGGTCGTTCTTCTGCAGATAGATATACTGGATAGGGCTTTCGGTCCCAGAGCGGAGTGTTGAGTTCCTCGACCCCATTTTGCGCGAAGGCTTCTGCCCTCCAAAATTGTTCAGATATCTCACCTGATTGAAGTTGCAGCCTCTCTGATAACATTTACCAGATCGGCAGCAGCCTTGCCGTATGCTAGATCAATACCAACTTTGTCCTCGACATCCCTGGTCAGATAGCTTTTGGAGCGTATGAGCGGAAATGGAGCTTCTGGTCGGGCGTGCGACGACGAAGGGCGACCGGCTGCTTCCTTATTGCTCAACATTGCACGAATGAGAGCCTGCGGAAAATAGCCCTGCTTGGTTGCAATGCTTGCGGTGCGTTCGAGGTGTTTAATGCGAGGCCCCGCCTCGTGACAGAGCGCTGGAAAATCGACAGCGCGTAACTCCTGACGGGTATGCTAGATGCTATATATTATACAGAGCCACGACCACACCTCCGCTTCGCCGGACGGTGCCTCGTTGGCGGCCGTTGATGTATAGACGCACACCTTGACCGAAAGTAAATTGGTAATAGTGCAGGACTCATTGCACAAATAGTTATTACGGGAAACGCTTTCCCAACATCCTAGAACGGATAAAGGGCTGTAATTGAGTATTGGCGGAAACTTTGAAAAGGGTTACTACGCCGTGCCAATCTGAATCGACTCTTGATCCCGTATATATGTCAGTAACTACCTCTCGCGAGAAATGCAGAGCTAAAAATTCAGTCAGCATCATGTTCAGTGCTTTCGATGAGCTCCTGCACTCCCCAGGCATGCGCATCTCCCATCCAATACACGTCAAGGTTATGGGCCTCCTGCAGCCTCCTACCGATTTCCATTGCCCTTGACTTCTCAATGTACATTTTCGGAAAAAAAACTGAATAGTAACAAGCAAATGGTGAGTATTTAGAGCTCAAATGATATGAATAGTTTCGAAGAACTTACACCCCAGCAACATCCTTCTTCAACTCAACATCTCCATGGATTTGCATTTCTTTGTAATCGCCATAGGTTGAGATAGGGCGTGTACCGGCCGATCTTCCGCCTTTCGCAATGCGGACAAGCTCATGTATCTCAGCGTCTTTGTGTGACAAAAGCAAATGTGCATAGTGCTCAACAGTTGCTAGTTTTTGGTCCGAAACATGGGCGAAACTATCCCCGTCGCAAAAGGTTGCCCGATATCGAACTACATCTCTCAACTTTAGATAGCATTCACCATACTGACGCGCGGAAGGGACGCCGTGTGGATCGTTCAGAATGTTGAGTGCACCGTACTTCACCCTTTCCCCGAAGGCAGCGTTGCGGTAGTGTGAGGCAAACAAGCTGCCCTCTTCATTGTTGCGTTGCAAAGACTTGCGTACTTCGGACAAGTTTCTGTAATGGGTATCGTTGGCGAGGAGGCCCAATACATGCAGCGTCACATGAATGATGATGGGTGCCCGATGTCGAATGTAGTCGAGCACGATATCGAGCTCTTGTTCACAGTAGCCAAGGGTATTGATACGTTTGACTAATTGACTCCGACATTTGTTGGACTGCTTAGCCGAGATCTTCTCCACATGGTGTAGCGCATTGAGTTGACACGGTGTAAGTGCAGCATACGGGTCTTCCCCACTCCAAGATCGAGATAGCTGAATCGCAAGCTCATCATCTGATTTCAGCTGCGTTTCGTGTTTCGCCAAGCACTGAGTGATGTGGTTTTGCTGTTGAGTACTTGGCGGAATGGAAAGCTTGCACACGGGACAAGCGCGGTCAGGGCTTGTTTCGTGGTTGGTCCGTGAGGATTCTTCGGCGGCCCGAGCACGAGATCTCAAGCGATGGCTGCGGCGCAGGCCGGGCCCAACATCATCGCAAGGGATACAGGCGTCTTCAGCATCTTGAAGGGCTCTTGCCAGGGCCTCATCGCTTTCGTGTTCAGATTGCAGAGCTCGTGCTACGGCTTCGTCCGCTTTGATTGCGGCTACTTTCAGTGCGAAGCACTTCTCGACATGGATCAGGCGGGTTTCTGGATACGGTTTCTGGCACACCGGGCATGTGTGGTAAGGCGACTGTGCTTGCATCTTAGTGCGTGCGTTATGGGCTGGAGTTGTAGGACAGACGGCGGCTTTCAGCTTGGCTTGCTTCGTTCTCTGTCCCACCATTCTGTCGAGACCTGGTTGCGATTGCCACCTTCAGCAATGAGACTCCACTGATTTGCCGATCCACCGACTGAAACAAGTGCCTAAGTACCAGAAGAGAAACCGTCTGATCAGGTCCGTTCGTACTAGGTCAACGGCCCTTTGATGATCGGCGGGAGGGTTTCTTTTTCGTTGTTCGTTCAACAGGGCGTGATTACGTGCAGCACTCAGGCAAGGCTACTCAAACAGTGAATGTGGCCTGCCGGTATGTAGCTCTCTGGTATGGGCTTTACACCCGCAGATTAGCCCGCTGCCAGGTAGGGGACCGGGCTCTCCACAGGTTTCTGAAACTGCTGTCGTTCTGGCTCACATTGACAGTTTTTGACGGCTTCCCCGCTTCTGAGAGGAATGTGGGAGCGACGGCCGTATACCAATGGGTTTGATTCGAACCAACGACGGCGCAAACAGTCCTTCTCGTTGTCGCAGTGGAGCACCACCCGTTCAATGCATCACCGTAACGTTGGCCGGGAAAGCATCACTGAAGTAGGGGACCGCTCTTTGGATTCGATCGGCAAGTTATCTTTGTGGAGAGGTCGCATGGTGTAATGGTCCGAGGCATTTACTTTCACGATAGATTTCGCCATCATCACCACCGCATGGATAGCGCTTGATGCTCGAGCATCAGTCCTCAAGGCCCTGCCATACGTTGTAGCCGAGCGACATCCGCATACTACGCGAGAGTGTGCGAGACAGCTATGACTGACCCGGAGGACCCCTAGCTGACTTGTATGGCGCAAATCCGCAGTCTCCCCCGTCTCGATCAACGATTTCAGGCCACTGTGCCTTCTGCAAGATTAGATGCTTCAGTCCAAATTCTGAGTTTGGGAGACGAGGTGCCTCTGCAAAGAAAGGCGGATGGGATGACTAGTCTGCACGCAGTCCTTATGGGCTACAATGGGCGGCAGGGAATCAATGTCGCTTGCGAGAAGCGTACTGGAGGACCTGATGCTTCCAGGTTAGGCGATTCTCGGGCAAAGAACAGAAGCCAGGAAACTGAGGGTAACCTGGAAGTGCATCATCCAGCCTCTCGTTGATAGTTGCCTGCCACCGTCGTCCCATTTCCGCTTTGGCCTCCTGCTTCAAGTTACCCGGGCGCCCGGCATCAAGTAGGCCACATTCTCTTCACGGTGTCTCGGAATCGACATGGGGCAATCAATCGGAGTCATTGCTCGCTTGGCAGTATGAGGCAGCCGCTGTGCGAATGCGAACTTAGCAGCAGATGCTGCTGAGCAGCGATGGTATGTACTGTATCTGATGCTGAGCTCGCATTATTGTGCACGTATAAGGCGGCGGTGGGACTTTGAACTCGCCTCCGTTGCTATGTTTGCCAGCATCCTCGAACCAGAGAACGTTCCCGCAACGTGCTCAGCACCCAACCACATCAGCATCAATCCGCCTTCGTTGACCAGGCCGGCAAGGACGAAACACAGTCTGCAGTTGATAATGATATGCGGTATATTTACAGCAAGCTAGAATGTGATTGTATTTGCGTGTAAAGACTCGACACAGAATACAGATTTAACAGCTCGCAAAACCCAGCCAACAAGACAGAGCTTAAGCCTGGACATCCTTCTTGCGAGTACCGTAGAAAGCAGCCTTCTCGCTCGCAGTTTGGAAACGACCTGTAAATATGATTGTATGTAAGTATCAAGATAGTGAAGAGAAGCAGTTCAAAATAGTCATTGTTACCATGTCCAAATTTAGACGAGGTGTCGATGAACTTGAGCTGCACCTTCTCGAGAGCGGAGCGGCGGGTGTGAACGAGGAGGGACTTGCGAAGGGTGAGGACACGCTTCTTGACACCGGGGGCGGATCCCTTGACCATGATCCAGTCCTCGTGGACGACACCGTAGTGGGGGAAGCCACCGAGAGGGGTGATCTCCTTGGCGGTAAGGTCGAACTCAGTGGCACCGGCGTTCTTGTCGCCAGCCTTTCCGACGCGGTAGATCTTCTTGTTCATCTCGGTACGGTGGTGGTAACCGTCCTGACCGGCGCGAGGAACAGAGTACATGACACGGGAAGGGTGCCATGCTCCAATACAAGCGACCTTACGAAGACCTTTGTGGGTCTTACGGGGAAGCTTCTTGGTACCCCAACGAGCGGTGACACCCTCGAAACCGTGACCCTTAGTGACACCGATGATGTCGATCATCTCGTCCTGCTCGAAGACGGTGTTGATGTCGATCTGCTTCTCGAAGTGCTCCTTGGCCCAGTCGACTTTGTCGGCAACCGATCCACCGTTGAGCTGAATCTCCATGATGTGAGCCTTCTTCTGGCCGATCTTCACCTTGCGGACCTGGGTGTGGGCAAGGACACGGACGACCTGGCAGTACTTCTTGATGCGCTCGAACTGCTGTCCGATGGGCTTGGCGCCTTCGGTGTACTTCTTGGCGTACTTGGTGAAAGCCTTCTTCTTGGAGCGGTACCAGTTCTTGTAGAAGCGACGCTTGATCTCGTCGGACAAGTGCTCGGCCCAGACGGTCGTCAACGAGCGGAGACCACGGGGAGTCTCGACGTAACCGACAACACCAACGATGACCATGGGGGGAGTCTCGATGACGGTAACGGCCTCAACGACCTCCTTCTTGTGCATCTCTGTTTACGTAGGGAAAGAAATTTAGAATTGGCCAAGTGTCCCAGGCACCTCCAACAAGTATCGCAGTCAAAACTTACTGGATCCAGGACGGTCCAAGTCACGGACAATGTGGCTCATACCAGCCTTGTAGCCCAGGAAGGCCGTAAGGTGGACGGGCTTCTTGGGGTCATCCCTGGGGAAGGACTTTACCTTTCCACGGTGACGGGCAGCACGCTTGCGCGGCAGGAAACCAAGGGAACCCGTACGAGGGTGCTCGAACTTGCGGTGACTCTACAACACACAGAACGGAACAAAAGGCCGGTGAGACTCTAAGACTCGTATATGCGTCAGCACTTTCGCGGGCGCACAAAGAATGTGGTTGCCGCTTATGCTTCGACATAGACGATGGCCTAGAGTCCACGACCAGCTCCCCTCCATAGGGCGGGAATGGAGAAACGTTTTCCACCGCCGCGCCAAATCTCACCCCACGGAAGGAGAAGTGGTCGAACCTCTTCGGCATTCGCCATGTCGGCCCCCATTTCGGAATTCCCCACTTGCCGGTCCATCCATCCCTTTTTCATCCATCCATCCATCTGCGCACTGCTAAGCTACGTTGCTCTCCGCCGGCTTTCATCCATGCTCGCCGTGCATGCTGCCGGCTGGATGTCGAATGGTGCCTGTCGCTGCTGTCGTTGTCCTCCTATACTCACCATGTTGTGAATATGCCGCTGCGGTATTGAGAAGAAAGGGAACTCGCACTTTGCCTCGAAGGTCAAGTCGTTCACAGGGGGACGCGACTGCAATTGTGGCGCAGTCCAAACAACAGTTGCTGGAGAACACGGCTGCGGAAGGGCAAGTCAAAATCACAGAGCCGATATTCGCACTTACTCTCAGCCACTTAACATTACAATAAGCGACATAAACTTGGTGGCTTACTAACCTACCATAACAACACGCTCCGGCTCGGGGACGGCCTTCGGCCGGTTAGTGCTGGGTGTTACTAACCCTAGTCCCAACCCTAACCCTAAGTGGGGCACTTAACAATTAGAGTATGAGTGCGAATAGAAGCTTGATCAGTGAGTGCGAATATCGGCTCTCGTCGAAATCATCGAAAGTCTGCCCTGTTCTCCAGTGAGTGCGAAGCGGTCGGACATTCCCAGGAATCACTTCATGGAATTGCACAGCCACCAGTCCGAAACCTCCCATCACACACCCCCAAACTGCTCACTCGGCGCTCAGCACTTTCCACCTCTCCGTGGGCTAAGCTGGGACGGCAGTATCATACAGAAGGCAGGGCTGTTCAGGAAGAGCATATATCGGACAGTATCGGAGCGACTCCAAAGCACGGCACTCAGGCTTATAGACGTTTGGCCAGAAGCGGCATCACGAGACGTTTTCGCCGAAACCATGGGTAGGCTCGTGGAACTGGAGCTGGAAAACTTCAAGTCTTACCAAGGACGGCAGACTATCGGGCCTTTCTACAACTTTACCTCAGTCATCGGTCCCAATGGCTCTGGTATGTTTCGTTCTGCTAAGGGTATTCGTTGCTATCGCTGTCGGTCGTGTGCTGACCGCGTTAACCTGTCCGCCCTTCACCCGCAGGCAAGTCGAACCTTATGGACGCTATCAGCTTCGTGCTGGGAGTGAAATCCGCACAGCTTCGTTCGTCTCAACTCAAAGAGCTGATATATAAAGGTGGCCGAGGAAAGGCTCGGTCGGACGGCGACGCGGACGGTGCCGACGAGAACGAAGAGGGCGATGAGACCGTTGCTCAGCCTACTCGTGCCTACGTGACTGCCGTTTATGAGACGGCCGAAAAGGTCAGGGTTCGATTCACCCGCACGTAAGTCACCCACGCATCTATGTTGATTCACGCGGCAAAGTCGGTCTCTAACCACTGTGCTCTACAGCATTACTAGAGCTGGAGTCAGCGAATACAAGATAGATGGCAAGACTGTTACTTTTGCCAAGTACAGTGCGACACTAGAGGATGAGAATATTTTGATCAAAGCGAAGAACTTTCTGGTCTTTCAGGTTAGGATCAGCCATCCGATGCCAGCTCGTCTCTCGCGTTTATGCTAAGGGCTTCTACAGGGAGATGTTGAAGCCGTCGCTTCGCAGTCGTCGAAAGATCTCACTCGTCTAGTCGAGCAGATCAGCGGGTAAGGCAGCCTGGACAATTTTCTCTGACCTCCCGACCGAAGCTGATCGTTCCGCAAACCTAGGTCACTCGACTTGAAGCCAGAATATGAGCGACTCAAAGAGCTGCAGGAACAAGCGACTGAGAATTCTGCACATACATTCAACAAGAAGCGAGGTATAAACGCTGAGATGAAGCAGTTCAAAGAGCAGAAAGAGGAAGCTCAGCGCTTTGACAAGTTGCAAAAGCAGAAAGTATGTCAGTAACCAGAACGTGACATCAGAGACTGCGACGGCTAACGGCGCTTCAAACATGAACAGGCAAAGCAGATCCAGAACTACTTGATCTGGAAGCTATACCACATAGAGGAGAAAGTCACGAGTTTGCAAGAAGCGATCGAACATGCAAAACAGTCATCTGAGGAGCACGAGGAGGAGATGACCAACCTCGAGAACAAACTGAAGGAAGCCAAAAGGCAACAAGCCAAAGCGAACAAAGAGCTTCTGAGGGCAGAAAAGAAGATAGCAGATAAGCAAAAGAGACTGGACGAACAGAAGCCGGAGCTTTTGCGAATGGAGCAGAAGATTGTGCATGGGAAGCGCAAACTGAAGATTGCTCAGGACAATGCGAAGAAAGCGTCGACGGAATTGGAAAAGGAGGAAGCCTCCATTAAAGACCTCGAAAAGGATCAGCGAAAACTGCGCGATGCCTTGCGCAAGTTCGAGGAAGGCCTGCAGGCAAGGCAGGCAGAGCGGGGTAATCAGCAGCTGGACGATGCGGCCCTCGCTGAGTACCAATCAAAGAAAGGCGAAGTCACGAAGCGGACGTTCGCGGAGAAGCAAGAGCTGTTGAACCTGCAGCGCCAACGAAAGACGGAGGAAGAGACGCAGCTTCGTCTTACGGAAAGCCACACCGCTTTCCAGACCAGGAAGGAGACCTTGGAAGAGGAGCAGAACGCGATGAATGAGCGGAAAGTGAGGCTCGAGGAACAGGTCGGACAGCTCGACCAGGAGCTGAAGGAAGCGCGGAAGAAAATCACCGCAGCGGAGTCTGAGAAGCGTAAACTGATCCTGAAAGAGACCGAGCTCAATGAGAACCTCGTGGCAACGCAACAGCAGCTACAGCAAGCTCGCGTAGACCGCCACGAGAGCGAGAAAGAAACGAGGCGCAGGGAGATGCTGGTGGAGCTCAAGCGGGTTTTCCAAGGCGTACATGGCCGCGTGATGGATCTCTGCAAACCAACTCAACGGAAGTATCAATTGGCCATCTCCATCATCCTCGGCCGCAACATGGACGCGATCGTCGTGGACACGCAGGAGATCGCTATCGAGTGCATCAAATATCTCCGCGAGCAACGGTTGGGAATGGCGACCTTTCTCCCTCTGAGCACCATTTCGTATAAGGCCCCCAACGAGCTACTCCGCAACCTTAAGGGCGCCCATCTCGCTCTTGACGTCATTCAGTTCGATGATGCATATGCGCGCGCCATGAGCTATGCTTGTGGGAACACTCTCGTTTGTGATACCATGGATATTGCGCGTGACATCTGTTACAAACAGAAAGTGCAGGCTAAGGCTGTCTCGTTGGATGGGACCGTTATACACAAAACGGGTATGATTACGGGTGGAAACAGTGGACAGGATAGTCGGAATGCTCAGAGGTGGGACGAGAGGGATGTCGACAGTGAGTTTCTATTAGGAGGCGGTCCCGTTACTGGGCGGTTGATCAATGAGTTGCATGTTCCCTGATCTGCCCGTCATCTAGATTTGAAGAAGAACCACGCCGTTCTCATGCAACAAATGCAAGAGCTGACAAAGGAGAAGCGCAGGAACGCCCACGATGATGTTCTGCGCAGCGCCGTAGCCGATATGGAATCCAGGTTAAGGAGCGTGCAGGACGATCTCGCGATGACCGTTCGCAAAATCGCCTCTCTCGAAGAGGAGATTAGGCACCTCAATGACGAGATGCGGCAATCTGCGCCCGAGCTGGCAAGGACTGAGAGCAAGATCGAGTCTATCGATGAGGAAATCGAAGAGAAGGATGCGTTGATTCGGGAGGTAGAGAATGAGGTCTTTGCCGACTTTTGCGAGTCGATCGGCGTGCAGAATATTCGGGAGTATGAGGAAGGGCAGCTGCAACTCTCGCGGGAGACTGAGGATAGGAGGATGCAGTTTGAGACTGCGAAGGCCAAGTTGGATAACCAGTACGTGTTGTGCGACTGCACTGGCTGATTTGATGAGAGCTGGTCGCATAACATCTGGTTACCTTGCAGGCTGGACTTCGAACGAAGCAAACTGCGCTCAACCCAAGAACGTATCGAGAAACTGGAGGCCACCATCGCCGCCGACGAAAAGTCACTCGCAGAGTGCGAAGAGGAGAAGAACGCGCTGGAAGTCGCTGCGGAGCTCATCAAGGAGGAACTCGTTGGTCTGAACGAGCGATTGGACGCAGCGAAAGGCGAGGTTGAGCTGCGACTTGCTGCCGTGCAGGCTGCCAAGAAAGAAATTCAGAAACTCAATAAGGAGACTGAGGCGAGGTCGAAAGTTATTGTTGCTAAGGTATGAAGCGGGAACGATGGAGGTGTGTGTGTGATTGGAAGGTGTGATTGTACGCTGACCCGTTGAGAAAGGACCTGGAGATCGAGAAACTGCATGCAGACAAGTTTTCGATCTACCGAAGATGTAAATTGGAGGAGATCGACTTACCGCTACTGGAAGGCTCGCTCGCCGACTTGTCACTAGACCATACGGAGGTATGTTTCTCACATTTCTCTGTTGTCGCCAACTTTCCACTGATTTGTTGCTTGGGTCTTATAGGGAGCGGAGAGAGACGAGGATGACATGGAAACAGACCAGGACATGGGTACTCAAAACTCGCGGGCCCGGGTCGAAGGAATCAAAGTGGATTTCTCCAGTCTGAAAGCGGCATACAAAGAGGTATGTCAGGTTTCACCTGACGCCGTCATCATCGCTCTCCTCATCCCCCGCTTTCTGCAACCAGGATGGCTCTGACGAGATGGACACCGATTTCCAAGACCTAATACGGAACCTGACCAACGAAATCGAGAAACTAGCTCCCAACATGCGCGCGATCGATAAACTTGACGAGGTTGAGGGGAAATTGAAAGATACGGCGATTGAGTTCGACAATGCGCGGAAGGAAGCTAAGGCTGCTAAGGATGCGTTTGTCAAGATCAAGCAGGAGAGGTATGAGCTGGCGTTTGTGAATGGTTCTTTGGTGATGAGTTAACCAGGTGGAGCCGACACTATTGGGATTACTCGTAGATATGACAGGTTCAATGCGGCGTATACCCACATTGCGGAGCAGATTGACCCAATATATAAAGAGCTTACGCGATCGAAAACCTTCCCACTGGGTGGAACGGCATATTTGAGTTTGGAGGACACTGAGGTAAGGATCTGGGTTGACTCAATCCGATTGCGCCTTCCTTACCAGCGTTGTGCGTCATCTAACCATAATCCCACAGGAACCATATAACGAAGGCATCAAGTACCACGCTATGCCACCGATGAAACGTTTCCGAGACATGGAGCTTCTCTCCGGCGGCGAAAAGACCGTCGCCGCTCTAGCCCTCCTCTTCGCCATCCACTCCTTCCAGCCCGCCCCCTTCTTCGTCCTTGACGAAGTCGACGCAGCCCTCGACAACACCAACGTCGCGAAAGTCGCCGCTTACATCCGGCACCATGCGTCGGACACGTTCCAGTTTATTGTGATTTCGCTCAAGAGCACGTTCTATGAGAAGGCGAGCGCGCTGGTGGGCATCTATAAGGATCAGCAGGCGGGGAGTAGTAAGGTTTTGACCTTGGATTTGGATAGGTTTGAAGGATGAGGTGTCGTCGTCATTCGCGTCTTTGAGACGCTGGCGCTACCCTCGTATGCGTAGATCTAGCGTTTGGCAGCTAGAAACTCGCGTCTCACTTGTATATAGTCCTTTTATCTTTTGTGCCAATGCCATCAAATGAGAATCCGTAGATGAGTCCTCATGCTCTCTCCGCGCTGTGGAAACATCACCGTTCAGGAGCAAACGTATCATATTACACCCCAAAGTCTCTATCCGGAAATATCAACGGCGCAACCAGCGTCCACCCATACAACAGAAAGCATGCCCATCCCGTCGCGACCTTAACCCAAACACTAACAAATCCTGTATTCACCGAAAAATCATCCGACGTCCCCGTGCTCGTCGTGTTTTGACTTAGTTTGCTCCAGTTGGTCATCACCGACGCCATATACATGTTTGCCAATACAAACACGAAATGGAAGAAGGCGTATGAGTATGTGATTCCGTCCGACTCGTCGTCGGGATCCCCCGAGCCGCTGATGCTCGGCGATTCGGCGTTCAGGCGGGACCAGAGTACCACGGACCCGGCGCTAAGGGCCGAATAGCCTAATGCGAGAAATGTGATCGCGATCCCGACGTACACGGTGGCCTTGCGGAGGGCATCTTCTTCAGTGTCGTTGGGATCTTTCGGGCTACATGAGAAGTTCTGGTCGTTCGGCTCTGAGCCTACGGCGCTGGCCATCACATACGTGCAGTACACCGACAATACGGCGGCTTGGAAGAGGCCAGCGCGCGGGTTGGCTCGCTGCACCCTCGGTGATATGGATAATGCCGTGATGAGGATGCAGAGAAAGAGATTGAGAGTGATGTAAAAAATGTTGAGTCCGCATCCTGGCTTCGTGGTGAAGAAAATATAGAGGAGGACAGTGACGGCGATGACGGCGCTGTATTTGGCGGCCGAGAAGAAGATGAGGAGGAACTTGTAGAAGTTGTTCCCGGTGCTTTCCCATTTTGAGACCCAGGTTTCTGACCAGCTCCAGCCAAAGTCCACCTTTACCATTGAAAGCATTAGGATGACTTGAAAGCCAGCGAGATGACACTGTTCCGTAGATACATACCAGGATGTACGACTGCAGCAGAATGAAAAGCGCACTAAACACAATCGCAGCGATCCAGTATTTCGCGAGCTTCTCCGCCGGGATGAAAAACATGGCCACCAGGATTGCAAGCCATATCAGGAACTTGATAGGCCAGCCTCTACACCACTCCAAGAAGAGGAGAAATAAGTACATTACGACAAATCAGAAATGACGGTCGGCCGGCCACATCACGTCCCGAGGTACACGAATGACTGGCGATTCGCCGTTTTGGTACATACCCATTATGTATAACTCCACGCACATCCCTGGAGCTCGATACACCGATCGTCAACAAGCATAGTGCACCATGGTAGATGACCATGGATAGCGACACCCGATACACCGCCAGAAACTCGAAACATGCCCCGTCACATTCCTGTGTCAATGCCCCTGCTGGATCCGCTATCTCAGCACCCCAATGACTTTGCGGAAGAGAGATCTGTCAGCATGGCTGTCTGACTCCCGATCTCTGTGCAACCGAGTCTCCTGCTCACCTCAGAGCCCATGCTAGTATCGCTGCAATGACGAAGTTCAGTGTATACATCAACCGTGTCGTGGTTGATGTCTTGCATGGGATAACACAACATAAGCATCGAATTGCCCCGGCGCCTGCGCAACATACTGAATAACATTCGATTGTAAGTCAGTTCTCGTCCGTTAACGGTTTAAGCTCTCTACATAGCCGTCATGATGGTTCTTGAAAGAGCGGCGGAAACTCACATGCATCCGCTAAACAGCAGCTAAGTATTCCGCCCATGATGGAGGCTCTGCTTCAGAAGATAGTTTATGTGAGACGAAGGCAGAACATGGCGCTCTGCGCTACAGTACTCATATACTCGTTCGTCCCGCCGCTCGAGAGTGCCAAGATTGCTGTCCTATGTTTTTGGACATAGGCCCTTAACTCGAAGGAGCAATTCACACGCGAAACTCACGCGCCGTTGCTTACGCCATGACCCAAACGTGGCTTTTACTTCGATCCACAAACGAAACTTGGCCATCTTCCCACCTTCCACGACTTTGCACCTCGTATAGAATGGGCATCCCTCGGCTGCATGTATGCCGGGCTACCGCCAGGAGTACGAGAAGGTCCTTGACGCGGCCCTTCGCAAGCGCGGTCCGTCCCATTGCCCACGAAATTCGGCTCGATGCCCCCGTGTCGGTCTACGTTCACTGGCCCTATTGTCAAAGGTATCTTCAAGGACCCGTCCGCCGCTAGGACGTGATATACCAGCCTGCCTGCTATCGTTGTGCTCATGGTCTTTGTCTTACGGCAGTAAGTGCACCTATTGCGCATTCAACAAATATCATATTCCTGCAGGGTAGGTCCGGCACCGCAGTGGGGAAGTCCACGGCGGAGGACGGAAGGCTGAGAAATTCGTCGTCAACCTCTCGTAGAGGGCAGGACCACGACAGAATGGAACGTGCGCTTCTCACCGAGCTCAGACACGCGTTGACGTACGATCCAAACGAGGATGCCGGCGGGCCTGCATTCGTAAAGCGGCCGCGGAGGCGGAAGCTGAACTCGGTGTATTTCGGGGGTGGGACGCCCAGTTTGGCGAGGGTATGTCTGCAACGCGAGGCTGATGATTACTGAGATGCGTGCTGAAGACTATCTCTCGTGGACGGCAGCCACTGATGATATCCAAAGTCCTGGAGTATCTGCGATCTGTCTGCGACGTGCCGAACGATATGGAAGTCACTCTGGAAGGAAACCCTACCGTACGCTCTATTAACTTTCACTGATGTACGGACGATTGTCGTATCTGACAAGTTCGCTGGGCAGCTAGTCGGTCGAAGTTGAGCTCCTAAAGGACTTCAAAGCCGCGGGAGCCAACCGGTTGTCATTAGGCCTGCAGGTAGTGATCTTCTCGACGGAAAAAACTTGGTGGTCGCGGAAGTTCTCTCAAGCACCTGTGCTGGTCCGTCTAGGCGCTCGGTGATAAAGACCTGCGCTTCTTCGGCCGCGATCACAGCGCTGCCGAGGCACATACAGCGGTCGAGAAAGCGCAAGGGATCTTCCATCGCATTTCTTTAGATTTCATCTGGGGCCGGCCTGGTCAAACGCTCGCGGCGTGGGAGAGCGAGCTCAAGGTGTGCTTTGAGGCTTTCATCAGATCAGTTTTGAACCGGAGAAGCCTGAACGTCTTTCTTGTTCAGCGAGCACTGTCTTTCGGCGCGACCCATTACAGCTTGTACCAGTTAACGGTCGAACGAGGAACGCCACTGTTCAAAGATGTCGCAAAAGGGGCCGTCGTTGTCCCCGACGATGATCTGGCGGCGGATATGTATGAAAAGACGGTCGAGGTTCGTTGGGAATCACCTGCTATCGGCCAGTAGACTCCCGGAAATCTAATGCCGACCACCTTGCAGATGGCATCCGAAAACGGCTACCATCAGTACGAAGTATCCTCCTTCGCGTGGCACGGACTCGAGACGAATCGCAGCCAGCATAATCAGTCGTATTGGAGAGGATATGACTATATAGGCATCGGGCCAGGCGCTCATGGGAGGGTGTATGGAGCAGATGGCACGCGGTTTCGGACTTTTCGAGTGCGTTTCGAGACTGCTTGTCGTTAGCCGTGCGTGACACTTGGAGCTTATGTGTTCCCCGCTTGGCGACAGACCCTGGATCCAAACTCATGGATGACGGAATGCGAGACCACCGGGCAGGGGTACGGGTTGCAACCTGACTTACGCGTATTTTCCCCACATCCATGCTGAGTATCCGGGACTTGCAGAATGCGACGGGTAGTCCCAATGACGCTTCGACAGACGTTGGAAGTATGTCGATAGGTTGGCAGCTCTCACATCTTCAAAGAGTTCTGACTACATTGGTTGCGTTCGCGCGGCATAGGAACTAGTCCTTCTAGGTCTACGCACAATGGACGGCGTGAGCTTTGGCACCATCCGACAACATGCGGGAGTTGAGTACTCCATCGACTCGGTAGGTGTTTTGTGACCATCCCCGCCCAGCCCCGCTATTTCTAAGACTTTACATCTGGCAGATCATAAACATCGCGGCAACGAATGACTTGGTAAGCGGCGATTTACTGGAATGGGTGTACGCGACCAGCGAGATGGACGCCGCGGTAGAGGTTGATGGAAGGTTGGTTCGAGGCTTAAGACCGACGCGGAAGGGGTTGGCTGTTATAGATAGGGTTGTACCTGAAGTGATTGCATAAAAAGGACGTAGAGATAGAAGGCGGAGCTGAAAGTGACTTGCGCGAAATTGGGGTACCCTGCAATAGCAGCACCCCCTCAATGCTGACGACGCCTCACTTCATCACATGAACATTATATTGAGAGTCCATATGGATATGTTTCAGTCTATGATACAATGCTAACCCTGACTGAATGCGGGGCCAAAAGCCAAAAATGGAAGAGAACCTTTGTTGACAAACGCCTCTAAGCTGATGCGTGCAGGGGATAAAGCTGATTGCCCCGGCGTCAGTCCTAACTCGTCCGGCCCTTCCTGCATCTACACCGGCATTGATCCACTCCCAGAGGGTCCGTTGTTATGGCTGCACTCTTCCGCGTGCTCATGATGGTGGTACGAGTTGGCCTTCCCTTTCCGTTTCGGATGCTTTCTCACAGACTTTGGCTCCCTCTCATATGCGTTTGGTTCGTTCGGATCATCTGCTTCTGACCCGGAGGATGATTCAGAGTCCGAAGATGTGTCGTCTGGATTGTGAGGCTTGCGGAATATGCAGCATACTTTATGCAACGGGTGGGAAGTATAGGATATCAGTTGATAGGCATTGCGGAGAGTCCAAAGATTCAGGTCCTTGTGGAAGACAAGCATACCTTTACTGCTCTTCTTCCCTAGCCCCTCATTATCCACCACGTCGTCGTCCCATTGCACTTTTCTGTCGGTCAAGTTCCCTCCGCGCAAGTGTAATGTCCCTGCTGTGATGACAGGTGGAGGTGCCAGTTCCGTGTGCTCGACTGTCTGCGTCTGCGAGCCACTCAAAGGTTGTCGTTGCTGTTGCGAAACTTGTTGCGTTTGAGAGCGAGTAGCACTCCCTGGCCTTGCCACTGGGTCAACGGGTGTGTTTGATGAGGGTGCCAATGCGTCCATTGTAGGAGAAGATCGTCGTCAGGAATTGTTTTGGTGAGGACAGAGAACGACGTTTTGAGCGAAAGACGGTGGAAGACGCGGGCATGACGCGGGCAGAATTCCAACAGGCCCAAACAAATCGTGGCGGAATGCGACCTACGAAACGGCGTGGTGCAGGAACTGCATCGTGAGGTAGCATGTTGAGAGATGGGAGCTATTGAGGAAAACTGAGCAAGGGGTTGGCCAGCGAGTATGTAGATAAGTATCGTGGATTAAGTTACTGAATCTATGCACGAGGGACTATGTACAAATAGCTACAGAACGACGCCTTGAAACTAATTGATGCGCCTGTGAAGGGAGATCGAGATATCGGCCTTCAATCCAATCCTCCAAACATCGATTTGGAAACCTTAGCCTTCTTCGTAGCCACCTTCATCTCCTTCCAATCCTCGCCCTCGCTCCCCGAATCCGACATCGCCTCAGCATCATCCTCCTTCCTCGCCCGCTTCCCAGGCGCAGTCGTCGCAACAACCTCCCCATCCGCAACACTCCCATCCGCATTCTTGGCCACAAACGTGCCCGCGGCCTTCGCCTTCGCAACCGCCGTCCGTTTCTTCTCCCTCTTCTCCCTCCTCTCCAACCTTCGTTCCTTCAGCTCCCGATGCTGCGACCAGCTCGCGTCTTTTTCCGCTATCTTCCGCTTAGCTTTGGTCCTCGCGAGCTCTGCCTGCTTTTTCGCGATCGCCGCTTCGCTTTTCTCTTTTTCCAGTTTCGCAAGTCGCTGCTTTTCGCGCGCTTTGTCTTTGTACTTTATCTCGTCGACGTTGATCTTGGCGCCGGGGCCGGAGCCTAGGGGTGTGAACTCGATCTTACGGTCTTTCAGTTCCGGCATCTTAGGCAGACGAAGAAGACCGTATGAGCGGGCGACGGAGGCGATGTCAACGTTTTTGAAGCGGAAGATATAAGAAGCCTGGTGTTCATTGTAAGCGCGGACCCAGGATACGAAAGCCTTTGTCGATTTCTCAAAGACGTCGCGATCTTTCGTGTTGAGCTTCTGAATGGATTGGAGGACCGTTTCCTGATTGATTACGGGGTTGACCGTGGATGGTTTCCCGGAAGGTGTGATGCCTGGTTCATCTGGTCGTTCGTCGATTTGTAAGGGAAGCTCGATCATGGGGACTTTGCGGATCTTGAGGAACTCAACGTAGGTGTCTTCCTCGGGTGTGAGGAACACTACGGCTTTGCCCTGTCTTCCTAACCGAGCAGTACGTCCACATCTATGGGCGAACGCTTTGGGATCTTGTGGTGGATCGAACTGGATAACGTAGTCTACGTCTGGGATGTCTAACCCACGGGCTGCGACGTCTGTGCAGACGAGGACGGAGGAGGATGGAGCGGATGTAAACTTTTTGTAGACGAGCTCGCGGCGTTTCGGGTCCATCTTGCCGTGTAAGGAGTAGAATGTGAAGTCTTTTAGGTACGAGAGACTGCTGAGGATCTGGCAAAACGGACATGTATTAGGGATCTGTTCTGATAGTTTCCGAGAGAACTGGCAATCAGACGTACCTTGAAAAAGTAGTCAACGCATGCGCAGGTTGAGAAGTAGACAATATACTTCTTATGCCGTTGGTTCCGCAGAAAGCAGATCAACTGCACCATCTTTTGCTCCGGTGTGCAGAGAACATAACCAATTTCCAAAGAAGCTGGTGTGACCTGCTCCTTGACCTTCTTGTTCAGGCTTTCCACCTTGACTTGCACACGTACGGGATTTCTTAAACCGACTCTGACAAGCTGATTCAGTGCATCGGACATTGTAGCGGAAAATAGCCCCGTCCTTCGCTGTTTCGGGAGTCGTTGGATGATAGCAGTGAGGACCTGCTCGAATCCCATGTCCAGCAATCTGTCCGCTTCGTCCAACACCAGGACTTCCAGCTCTTTCGTGTTGAATAGAGCTCCCCGCTTCAGCAAGTCGTCCAATCGCCCTGGTGTCCCAATGACGACCTGTGCTCCTAGTTTTTGGAACTCGATCACGTCGTCATGGACGTTATTCCCACCGATGAACAGCATATGCCTCAGGGTCGGTGTTATCCGCTCTGCATCCTCCAACGCTGTGTTTTCCGCCCCTTCTGCCCCTTCCCTATCAGCCTCTGCAGCCTCCGCTTCAGCGGCCGAAGCGGCGTTGATGGCATCCAAAAATGTTGTTGTCACATCGAATATCTGTCTCGCGAGTTCTCTCGTTGGCGATATAATCAGAGCTCCTATCTGATTCTTCAACAGCGGGCGTCCGTCCCTATGGCGGCGCAACAGCATTTCGAGAATGGGTATAACAAAGGCAAGAGTCTTCCCTGAGCCAGTGACTGCTTCAACCACCACGTCCTTGTTCTTCATGAAGAGTGGCACGGTTGAAGCTTGCACTGGCGTCATTTGCGAGAAAGAGAGCGTCCGCAGTGCGTCGAGCCTGGTTGGGGTTCCAGTAAGCGTCCGAGTATGCGCAAAGCACCCCGTGGGACGGAAGACTGAATAATTGGTGAGGCAGTTGAGACTTACATTGGGCCCGATAGTGCGGGTTTGAGCGACTCCCATGTCCCTGCATTTGCTATTTCCTCCATTACGAGTCTGCGTAGGTCTCCCTTTCCTGTGCTGAGGTCGTTAACACCACGGCGGTCCTGAACAATTAGACCAGTCTGGATGAACCGCTGGATAGTTGACGAAACCTGCAAGTGCAATTCGCAAAGCTGTGGTGAAAAACCCAGAGTTTTTGGGTTGGTGCGCGCGCCTGCCGATCCCAGGAACACACAAGTGCGCGGCCCCACTAGCGCGCACCCCTTGTGCAAATGGGAACCCGGTAACGCTCATGATCCGGCGGTGCGGGAAACGCAACGATCCGCCTCCGCCGACCTGTCATTTTCGTATGCTGCAAGGATCATAACCACACGTTCCACAACGTACCCCATCTCGGAGCTGAATGTGATACTGTACTGAATGTATATACTGTACTGTACAGGGCATCCATATCCTACCAGATCCCGTCTCAGCAACGCCCACCTCACCACCTGAACCTCAAGGAGATCCATCACATACCCATCCCTCTCCATTTCAGCAGGATGAGCGCCACTTCCAACACCCTCCGCCACCATCTCGGCAAGAACGGCCCCTCAATCAACCCTCTCGGCTTGGGCTGCATGGGCATGAGTGCTTTCTACGGGAAAGCTGACTCGAAAGGCTCCATCGATACCCTCAACAAAGCCATCGAGCTGGGTTGTACTTTCTGGGATTCTGCTGACGTATATGGTCAAAACGAGGAACTCCTCGGACAGTACTTCAAGGACACCGGCAACCGCGACAAGGTCTTCTTGTGCACAAAATTTGGTTTCGATATCCATGACAAGAAAGACGGGAAGCCCAATGGGAAGCCTGAGTGAGTGAGCGAAAGAAGCATTTCATAGATGTTGTGAGAGCGTTTCTAAAGGTTGACGCGTCTATCCCTGGCAGATACATCAAGACGGCGTGTGCTAGCTCCCTGAAGCGCCTAGGAGTGGACCACATTGACCTGTACTACATGCATCGCATGGATCCCAACACTCCCATCGAAGACACCATGAAAGCCTTAGCCGAGCTCGTAAAGCAAGGCAAAATCAAACACATTGGCCTATCCGAATGCAGCGCCGAAACGCTTCGCCGCGCCCACGCCGTGCATCCCATCGCTGCCGTCCAAGTTGAGTACTCGCCGTGGACGCTCGACATTGAGACCAACGGTCTGCTTGCTGCTTGCAAGGAGCTCGGTGTTGCCATCGTCGCGTACTCGCCACTTGGCCGCGGGTTCCTGACGGGTCGGTTCAAGTCCGAGGAGGATTTGGATAAGGACGATTGGCGCCGTAAGAACCCTCGGTTCCAGGGGGAGAACTTCAAGAAGAACCTGAAACTTGTAGAAAAAATCGAGGAGATCGCCCAGCGCAAGAATGTAAAAGCGTCCCAGCTTGTGTTGGCCTGGGTGCTTGAGCAGGGCGATAACTTCTTCACCATTCCGGGCACGACTCGTGCGGCGAACTTGGAGGAAAACATGGCTAGTTTGAACGTCAAGGTAACTAAAGAGGATGATGCCGCTATCCGTGCCATCACCAAGGAGATTGGTGTGGCGGGTACTAGATATGACGAGGCGGGGTTGAAGACCCTCAACCTTTAAGGCATATGTGCGAAAGGCTTTTAGGACCGGCCGTGCGATAGATAGCCTAGGACATTTCTGTCTGTAGCATCGTTTTCTTGATATCAAAAGTAGAAGCTCACGGCATCATGCACTCCGAAGCGTTAACTCGTCGTGATACTGCTCAACATTCAGTATTTCTCTGCCAAACTTTGCAGACCTGAAACAGCAGATCAATCCCGACGACTACGCTGATCGACCATATATACAACCCGACATTGTGATTTTCTTGTTCATGAAAAACCGTCACTAATCAAACCGCGTCCATCCTGCGACGATACGATCCACACGGGCCCGGTCTTCCTCCGTGTACGCTTTCCGCATATCGAGTTTGAGCCGCGGACAGAGCGCCAGGTGTTGTTTGAGCAGGATCGCGTCGATGGCGCTGGGTTGGCCTTCGACTAGGAGTTGCACTTCGGCGTCCTGTACATGGGCACGCCGGAAGTGTCAAAAATTTACAACCTCCCATCCATGGAATAAAGGCGGCAATACATACTCTCAATCCCAACGCCCTTTCAATCTTCCACTTCATCCTCTCCCTTGCCCGCTCGGCCATCACCCTCCCCTCCCTCTCCATCCCCTCTGGATCGCCCCACTTCCTTCTCGCCTCCCTCACCTCACACTTCAACGCCTCCACAGCCTTCATCTCTCTCCTCCGCGACCGTTTCGCGCTCCGCTCAATCGTAGCCTGCACTTCCGGCTCAGCGGGCGCGTACGCGGCGTATCGTGATGCGACGACGCGGGGGAGACGGTGCAGTTTCGTTTCGGAGACGGCTGCTGGTGAGTAGCTTGAGTTGGATTGCAGCGGGAAGGGCTTGTACGGCTCTACTTCGATCTCGGGGGCGGATGTGCCCGCTGCACCGGTGCCGTCTCCCGCGCCGTCGCTGCTACGGTCCCCGCCGCCAGTTCCATCATCGCTTCCATTGTGGTTATTGCCAGGAGAACTGATATTGTTGGGCTGCTCGCTGAGTCCCGTAAGTTCGAACCGCGTCCATCGTCGCGCATTCCTCACCCCGCTGCCATTGCCAATTCCATCCGCGCCAGGTACAATACTATTTCCACGATGATATCCCACAAATGCAACATGCCTCACGGCAGCAATCCGTCCCTTTGAGCTCCGCGGTCTCATCCCAGCCATACCGGGCCCGCCATCACTATCCATCGCCACCGGCCCCGCACTACCAAGCCCAGCAGGAATCGTGCTATTTCTTCCCCCACCTCTTCGCGCATTCGGCGGTTGTAGTCCCTGCACGGTGGCATCATCCGCCATATCATTCCCACCCCCGACCCCGCCGCCGTTTCCCGCGCCACCCTCGTCTGACGCTCCATCGTCCGCATCCCCACCACCGCCACCCGCACTCCCGCCGGGCGTGCGATCGCGTCGGCCTGCGCGAAGTTGTTGTGAGCGTTGGTAGCGTTGGGACAGAAGGGGTGGAAGGGTGTTGCGGGTGTAAAAGGGGCGGCCGGAGGGTGTTATTCTGGGGCCGGTTTGTGCGACGGGCGCGGTGGTGGGTGGTGGTGGGTGCGTGCGGCCGATGAGGTTGGTTGGGAGGACGGGTGGGTAGGATTGGGACATTGCTGCTTATGGATCGTTGTTGGTGGGGAGCTGGATATGCGTTACGAATTGAGGATTGAGCTCGGTAAGTTTTTGGCGTTCCTCAAGTGTGGCGTACAACGGTGATTCCGATTTCGACGGCGCGTCCCAGCGTATTTTGACAGGTCATGTGCGTCGGTTGCGTTGCTTGAAGCTTCCAGGTCACCTTCGCATTTGACGCCCGATTTACAAACAGATATCTCCAAGCAAGTGACTTTTTGCATCCAGAATGATAGGGCTGAGGTCGAGAAGCGGGATTATCCCAAGTTCTTCGAAGATTTCTCCAGGGGCTACCCCTGTACAGCTCAAAATGTCCGGCTCCGACGGGTGGAACTAAGGCTAACCTTGTTCTCGACCCCGTTTCGCTCATATCCTAGCACGGTGATGTTCTGCTGTTCAAAGAAGCATACTGACCGCAGTCAAAAATGTACGGCTAATATTGGGGAAAGTCAAGACCAGTAGAGATTGTGGACGGACTACGCCGGAATGCAGAGTGAGGTGGATAAAACACATAAAAGGAACAACTACATGCATCCTACAAAGTGACTGCCTACGCACTCATAACCTTCTCAATATCCGCAACCTCCTTCGGAACCCACCCAGTCAAGTTGTCTACGCCCGTCTCAGTAACAACCACATCGTCCTCTATCCTGACACCACCCACCGTCTTGCGGAACCTTTTAACAACCTCAACATCCAAGTACTGAGTGACGTTGGAGTCCGCAAGCGCCTTGTCCAAAATCGCGTCGACAAAGTAGATCCCAGGCTCAACAGTCACGGCCATACCGGGCTTCAATGTACGCCGCATACGGAGGTACTTGAGCCCAGGGTCAGTTAGACGCGGGACGCCTTTGGGGTATCCGCCGACGTCGTGGACGTCGAGGCCGATACTGTGTCCTAGACCGTGCGGGAAGAAGAGGGCAGGTATGTGGTTGGCAATCAAAGTGTCCAAATCGCCCTTGATGAGCCCCGCCTTGAGAAGACCTTCAGCGGCAACGCGGTTGGCGAGCTTGTGCATGTCCTCCCACTCGACGCCTGGCTTGATGGCTGCCAGGACGGCGTTCTGCATGCTCAGGACGATCTCGTAGGTTGTTTTCCAATCGCCTTCGAATTTGCCGCCGATTGGGAAAGTGCGGGTGATGTCGGCGGCGTAGCATTCGTATTCGCATCCGGCGTCGACTAGCAGGAGGTCACGTTTGTCTTGGGCGATCGGGTCGGTGTTGTCGATGTAGTGGAGCACGGATCCGTTCCTTCCGGATGCAACGATGGGGGTGTATGCCTGGTATCGTCCGCTGAAAGTAGAACAGACGCTATGAGATCTAGGAGCCCCGCATCGCCTATATTCGTAGGCATCAAAAATCTACTCACTCGTTGCGGAAACATTCGTATTCGAAAAGCGCCTGCAATTGGCGTTCCGTGTCCTTTCCAGGCTTTGCTGCTTTCATCAAAGCAATGTGGGCATCTCTGCGATGAAACATGTGGGTTAATACCATGGTATGATCCAGACATATACGATCCCAGACAACCATGCACGCACCCACTGATCTTGGCTGCTCTCCTCATCAGCTCGATCTCGCCCTTGGACTTGATCATGCGCGCTTCGGTGACGGCAGTGCTCAAAGCGGAGGAATCAATCTTGTCTTTGAACGCACCAATGGCTGCCAAATCCTTCTCCTGCTCGAGTATATGAACCTTACTAGCCTTCAGGCTCTCCAGAGTCTTCACGATGTTGTCAACGACGTCACAGTGCTGCACACCGTAGCGCTCCTTGATGAAAGTCTCCGTTGGGGGCGGTCCCATCCACAAAGCGTGGTCCTCGGAGAACTTGGGGATAAACACGTGGGCATCTTGCGAGGCCACGTCGATGACAAGGTGGCAGTCAGGCTCAGTGACGCCGGTGAGATAGAAGAAGTTGCTCTCCTGTCTGAACGGCACTTCGCAGTCGGTCCACTTGCGCTCCTCGGTCTTCATGCCGGTGAGATACAGGACGCCGGACGTGATGCCGGCTTGCTCTAGATGCTTCAGAACCTTTTGGCGGTTCTCACGCGCCAGAGGGGCATAGGACCTGCGGGAGGGGTTGACGGATGCGGTGGTCATGGCTGCAGATGGGTTGGTAGTCCTCACAAGTGTTGTGAGCCGAGGAGAGAAAGCGGTTATGAGAGCTTTCAGCATTCACCTGCGAGAAGGGCGAAGTGTGAGATGTCCTTCTCTTAGACAACGGTGTCGGGCGACCCTGCCAATTATATTCGGAGAGGAAATCTATCTATATCTAGCCAACGGCTCCTTAAAGTTACCTGGTGTGGTAGGTATGGTGGAGATGCTGATCGTCGGAATGTGAACTGCTTGTGGGGTATAGGTCAGGGTACAGGTCAGTCTCAGGTCCACCCGTGCTGCGCCACTGACAGCTTTTTGACGACTTTTGGACTTAACGAGGTTTTCGCAGACCCAAAGTTGCTGCAACATGTTGAGCAACATCTTGACAGCCAGACATGCTAGCAAAAAGATTGATTACGCAGTTTTGTGAAGAAGGCACTGTTTCAGCGTTTGACACCTCCAACTGGCAAGTTTTACTCAAAAACGGCCAAGGAACGACAGATTTACTACTCAGACCTTTGGGCCTCTGTGTTAAGTTTGTTGCAGCAGCTACCCCCACAGACACTTGGAGGGGATTGGCCGAAGTAGCTAACTGGAGCTGTATGCAAAGGGAATAGGTCGTCCTGCATGTCTGTGGGATGGTATGGCTGCTCGAAAAAGAGGGTTTTTTTAGGAAACGGCTTTAATTTCCCTAATTGTGCCTTACGGTAACGCGTGGAACGGTTGGGTGGCGCAGCACGGGTCGGCCTGAGAGGTCAGTTGAGCTGTGGCTGTGACATCGTCCGAGGCTTTTACAGTAAGTTTTCGGCGTGTGGGGCTTTTCCCCACGGCCAGCAAAGTGAGAACAGTATACACTTGTCAGAGGTATCTCGCAATCAGATCCTTATACGGCTGCATACAGCTCAAAGCTGCACCCTCACATCAACGAAGTCCTGGACGACGTCTGCCGCTCCTGGGCTCTCGTTCCAAAATGGAACGGAGACAATGCTTTATGCGGGGTAGTTGCATTAGCGCGGCCCATGTCGCTGCTACGACTATGCTACTAGGGCATGAACGTGAGGAGGCGAGTAGGAGGCGGGCCTCCGAATCACCGTCATTCGTCGCAAGAGATTCGTGATGCGTCAATCGCTACAAGATCGAATTGCCGCCACGGGCGATGCACGAAAAAGGTTTCGATGTCCTTGGATGTGTACGACCTGTGCAGAGTCCGCCCGGCCCATCGCGACGTTTGTTCGACACCGGATCTGCCGGAAACCAATCCAGCATATGCCGCAATTAGCGCCTTCGGGACAGTTTCCCTCCCCGAATACATCTTCTATGCGACTAGTAAGACAAGCCGGCCTTCAACAAAACCCGTCCCTGTAGAACCGCGCTTTCTGATTAACCGCCAATGGCGACATTCTCACGCCGCCGGGTGGATCACAGTTTCACAATATCCATTCCTCACGCTCTTCCTACAGGAAAAAGGTACATCACCGCATCGGATTGATTTCCGTCCGACAGACACTCATCTCAACGGAGAATCTACGGTGCATCCCATAAGCGAGGACAAGTATGTTCAGCGCCGCCGAGTTGATCAAAAGAGAATCCTATCCCACGTCCTGCAAGCAGTGCTCGCTTTGCCCGCCACACCACACCTTACTGTATGTATGTACGCCGTTGATGAACTCTCAAACCGGACACGCCTGCCACTCGACGCATGAACGCGTTTGCAAAGACAGACAGCACGTGACTCATTTACGTACAGTTCTTGGTCGCTTCGATATAGCTCTCATCGGCTGAGCCCGCAATCGGCTGCATCTTCCCACGCGACGAGACAAGCCGATTCCCACTTCCACAATGCTGGCCTCCTCAGCGCCGCTTCTGGAGGGGGAAGAGCCCATCCTCGATATCTCCGCCGTCCGTAGCCCACCCACGCGCCGATTGAAGCATCATCATGGCACGGCATCCGCGATTGCCGCCGCCCGTGAGAATCTCGCCGTGTCCTTCCTCAGCTTCCCTGCAGAAGTATGGGTAGAGATCTTGTCGAACGTGCAGGAGGTAGAACACGCGCTCTTTTTCATGAAGACGTGTAAAGCCGCACACAGTATTCTACACCCGACACAGCGAATAGGCCAGATGATATGGCGACGATTGCGTGTCCGATTCGACTGGCCGGACCCCGCCATCGCGGGAATCTCCGACTACAACATGCTGGAGAGCTACCACGGCCGGGGCTGTCATCGCTGTCCGAAAAGCCCGCGCGTGCGGACGCCGCAGTGGGGATGGAGGGGAGTGCGACTCTGTGAAGCATGCTTTAACGAGCTTACCGTTCATTGGACTGTGCTGGAAGAGGAAGGGTGCGGCAAGAAGCGGTATGGGAAACTGCCGAGTGTGTCGGGATCCTACCTGCGATGCATGGTCCCCTCACGGCATCCTACTTTGGAGGAGGAAGTAGAACTCGCGACTCGACAAGCAGCTGTACGGGATTTCAAGAAAGTCATGGCGAATCGCAAAGGTGATTTCGCGTTGGCCGAACGACGCAGACTGTGGAATAAGGCGGAAGACCGTCGTGCTGAGATCAAGGCCTTTCTACAATCGAAATACCCATACCTGCATCCGCATACCTTCCCCTGGTTCGACTGCGTTAAAGAAATAAACGGCAAGTCCACGCTCTTCACGAAATCTGTGCAGAACCAACTCTTGCGCGACATGGAGCCTGAACTGGTGCAGAATCGAAAGAAACTCATCTGGGCGCACATGGGAGGTCACATGTGCGACCTTGGAGGGAGCGATCACATTGGGGATAAGGCTTTCACGAACATCTGCGACAGCGTGGCAGAATTCGTAGATGCAGAGCGCGCGAAGGAGCTTCTCAGCGATCTTGCTGCGCGAAAAGAGAAGGAGAAGCGGCAGAAAAAGTGGTTACAAACCGCGATCCGCACACCTTCAGACGACAAGGACCTCAGACCGCTCCTGGTTGCTCACCGGCTGTACAAAGTATGCAAAGCGGAAGATGAAGAAGAGTACATTCACTATGCGCAGCAAACCAGAACCGAGCTCGAAGCGAAACGGCAGTTCGAAGTACGAGCACATATGTCAAAGATTGGCGGACCCGACGCCATAGAGAAGAGCAGGACCCGTCCTATGTGGTCTTGTGCATGCGGGTTTTGCATCAAAGCTGGAGCTAATTTCGATTCTATATATGAGCACGCTGCAGCGTCGAAGAAGTGTAGCATCCCGGATATCCAGCTATCGAAGAAAGGAATGCATTACTTGAAGCAACGGGCGGCCTCGAAAGCCAATCAACTAAACCCCTCGGTGCCGAGTGCGGAGCACGGCAGTCGCCCGGTACCCAATGCCAATCAGTCAAACTGCCCGGTCCCGAATCCGGATCAGGGAACAAACAGCCCGATGCCGAATGCCAAGCAGTCAAACCGCCCTATGCCGAAGGTGAATGCGAGTCAGGCCAACCATGCGGTCCCTAAACCAAATCATCCGGTGCCAAATGGCAATCAGAGGAACCGCCCGGCGCCGAATGGCAATCAGGAACGACGTCGAGAACACGCTGCCCCGAACAGTCACCATGGAAGCGGTTGGGAACGCCTGGCCCCCATTTCTAACCAGGCAAACGGTCGGGCGCGACCTGCTCCGGGACCGAACCAAGGAAGCGATTGGGGAAGCTTCGCCTCGGATGCGCAGCAGGGACACAGTCAAGAACACCCCGTCCGGAATGCTCACCACGGAAACAGTTTGGGAAACCTGCTTTGGACTATGAGTCAAGGATACCCTGTTCCATATGCCAATCAACCAAATCCTGGGGGATAGCTGAACCCATACGCCAATCAGGCACATCCTGACGACTACCCTCTCCCGAAGGCTAATGAAGGACACCTCTATTAGCATCCTATCTCGAGCCAACCAAAGACCTTGGCAGGGCACCCGGTCAGAAGGAAGCCATCGCGAACTCTTCATCGCCAGCGCTTTTGCAAGGCAAGCGCACGGGATCGCTGCAGATATTCCCATCCTGCCTTCGGCCTTTTACTGTCATATCAACCCCCGCGCGCCGCCTGGTCCTCAGCAAAGCTCCGTAGAAGCCTTGATACCACCACGGCGTATCTGTAGAATATTCTGTAGCTTGTGTAGCTTGTAAATACGAACGGTCCTCAATATACCCGAATCATCTCGCAAACTGACTTCATTTTTACTTTTAAATCGAACGATGTCATTAGCACGTGATCCGGGGAATCCAAGTTTGCTGAGCAGCAGCGACCCTGGCAGCGACCGACGATTTTATTGAGATCTCGCCAATTGCAAACACCCCCGAAAGACTTTTGAACGTCCTGTTGGTATTACCGGAGGTTCGTCCAACTTTAGAAAAGCCGGAAGTCGAGAGTACATCGTACGGGACCTCAAGTTTCCATTCAGTCGATAACTCTCTCACCATGCTCTACCTCCTCGGCGTCAACCTCCCCGACCACAAACCTGTCCCAATAGCCCTCCAACAAATCTACGGCGTCGGGCCGCACACCTCCGCCACCGTTTGCCACAAACTCGGGATCCACCCACGGTGCCGACTCTCCGACCTCGCCGAAGACAAAGTCACGAAACTCTCCGCGCTACTCAACACCATGACGATCGATGCGGAGCTGAAGCGGGAAACCAAGGCGCGGGTGGGCGTGATGGTGCAGACGGGGCGGTATAGGGGTGCGAGGCATAAGGCGATGTTGCCGGTGAATGGGCAGAGGACACACACGAATCGGAGGACGGCGAAGAAGCTGAATGGGAGATGGGTTAGGGATTTTACCTCATGGTAGGTTAATTTGGGTTGTTGTGGAGGAGTGGTTCGGTTGTGTTGCGCTTGGAGCGATGCTCGTTTGGATGACTAAGTTTGAATCTCCTTCCAACAGCACATCCCGATCCCCACTCGCACAAACACCAGTCCCATTACCACCAACACGGGCATCGCCACTCTCGTTTGCGAAATCGATCCTACGTGTTTTGCCTCGGGTGCTGTAGATAGATGGCTGCGACGGGTTCAGCTTTGGTCCGGGAGGAATTTGTGAGGTGGAGGATGCCGCTCCGACGTAGAGGGTTTGATGATGGGTTCGGGATCGAAGCGTGGGGCCGGATGGGCCATCGGTCGGCAGCTTCGACGGCTGTGCGGAGAGGGCGAGTCTGAAGATATCACCAAGCGTCAAAGTGAGCCGGCGTCACGCGACTCGGGCTCACCTCACGCTTCCGTGGGAAGCTTCGGCACCATATTCATCGCGATTCATGGTCACCTTTACAATGAATAGAATAGATCATGCTTTGGGAGGCTCGCGATCCTTGGCAGCGCACACAAATACACACATATCCGCCTCACGATTTCTGATTCCCGCGAGAGCGATGATGGCCACGGAAGTGGTTCCTTTTTGGAATGAAGGGGGGCTATTGTACATGGTGAACGGAGAAGTCGAGGACGGCGAAGATTGGTGAGATACCAAGACTCGCGATATACACAGAGAGAGTGCGTTGCAGCGTATGCGGAGGAGGGTTTACTTTGTACATTGGGACAAGGAAATTGGTGAATAATGCCGACGGGGCAGTTCAAGACACATGGATGATGACAGCGTGGCAATGCATTGGCTCATTTCCTTCCAGTGTATGTGCTCAATCCAGCGGCTGATGCTCCGCCTGCTATCTCGTTGTGCCTATTGGGAGTGATTGGAAATGGTGAGTAAGACGAACTTCGAGAAACGAATTATGATGGTTGCAACATACTCTTCCGAGTCATCCTTCAGGCGATATAGCGTTATCTGCGAGAGCCGAAGAGACGGGATCAGCCTCTCCACAATCCCGGAAAGCTCCATCCCCATAATTCGTCAACGTACCTCCTGCTGCTTGAAATACCGCCGATTCTCCTCATCCACAAGCACGAGATTCAGATAGTATCTCGTCGAGAACTTCTTATTCACATCACGGTACGTCGGCGTCAACTCAAACCCACTGAGGAAAAGGCGGATGGGAATGGTTTCGCCACGCACGGGGGCACCGTCCATGATTTCGAATTTGGTGACGGTTTCCGATTCGTTGTATTGATTTGGGGCTGCGCCAGTTGTTTCGCGGCGGATAATGGAGAGCTCCATGTACTTGATTTTAATGCGGACGAGGAGGAAATAGATCTTGCCGACTATGACGTCGCGGAGGTGGTACCTTGAGGAATCAAGGGGACTCGAGTCAGCGCCGTGTACGTTTCAAGCAGCCATGATCCCGCACTTCGTTTTCACAAACATACTTTGATTTGTTGTACTCGAACTCAATATGCAAACAGTCCTCGATTCCAACCTCCATCTTGATAGAATTATTCACTTCTGGTGGTATGCGGTACGAGTGCACAAACACGTCCTTCTCTTTTATGATATCTGAGATTCGCCGCGAGACCGTTACACGGACAAAGTATCTGCTCACATGTCAGCGATATGCCCTATCCTTCTCGCAACAAATCCGAAAGCATACCTCAGTTTCACATTGATTCCAAAGTAGCTTTCGTACTGCTTCTCCACGTTCTTAAATTCAAAGTCATACGTGGCGCTCGACCTTAGCTCTCCGGGAGCAGCGAGTTCTTGCGCCAGGGATGAGAATTCATAGTGATTCCCCCGATCGTAGAACAACTCTACAGGTGATGCAAGCGACATGAATCAGATCTCGAAGTCTCGTCTAGCAAGTGAGACCTTCGTGAGGCAGATGCGATACCCTACCTATATGTCCAACCCACTCGATCTTGATCCCCTGATGCTCAACCTTCTTTCCATCCCGCACACGCACTTGAACCTTTTGGGCGAAACGCCAAGATTGCTAATGTCAGCGCTCTCCCCATTCACCGAAAACCCTCTCATGCCACTCCTATGATCACGTCCCCATACCTTCCCGCTAACGCTCTCTCCATCAAAGTAAAGTGGATATTTCGCCTTCTTATCTTTATCTATTTTGACTTCGACCAGTTTGCGTTGATCTTCGCCAGCGAGAACGACTTCGATGTCGGCTGAGGAACCAAGGCCAAAGAGACTCTGGAGGGCGAAAGGGATGGAAATGGCGTCTGTTAGCTTTTTGCTAAAGAGAAGGAAGACAAACCCTCTCTCGCGCAGGGTTTACCATATGCCCAAGACTTACTGCCATTGCGGTACGGTGGAAGGATGAAGACCGAGATAAATTGATGTCGCTTATGTGTCGAGATGGTCCCGCGACTGTGATGGCTGACAGAGATCACGCTGAGGGAAACCGGAACCTTGCCGTCTGCGGTGTTCGAGAAGCCCACTTATACAGTTGTATATATGGTGGAGGGACGGTGAATGGTTGGACGTTGTGGGAAGTTGAGCTGACCGTTGACGTTTGGGCTTGACGCAGCGTCACCTCTCTGCCTATGACTCACCAAATCTCGCTTGACCTGCAGATATTTGGCAAACCGTCGACCTCTTCCCGACAGTGGCCGGCGAGACTGGATCTGGTGTTGGCGAGCCACACAGGAGAAGGTCCTGGCCTGGTCGTGGCCTTGGTCATCAGACGTAGGCTTGTCGGCCTTGTTGCGTGAGCCAGTCCAGGACGTGGTCGACACCGAATACTGTACTTTCATCGTGCAGGGGCTTTTTGGGTCATCCGGCTCGGCGTTTCCTAGCACGAACGGCCGCTCCAAGCAAGCGTGATGACAGGCACGATCGTTTATCAGCATGGAGCTTAGAGCAATGATTTGATTGAAGTGGCTCGAAAGCTATCTCCCAAGTGTAGGTGGGTGACAATCTCGCAACTCGAAGTAGTTTATCGCAATATGCGTCACATGGGCCAAGGGTGTTTTTTTCAATGGTTCTATTTACACTGTTTTCTTTCGTCTATACAATAGGTCCTTTGAACGGATTGGGTGTGAGGTATGTACAACATTCCTTGAAGAAATGACATTTCGGAAAGGGAAGTTATGTGCAGGCGGCAATGAAGGGATGGTTGAAAAAAAAGAAGGACAGCCAAAACAGCTGATGTCACGGCCTAGTTGTCGTCATCGGCATCCTCGGCCTCTTCCTCATGGTCATCCTCGGCTTCACGGGCACGGGCCGACAGGTCGTGGTCGTCTTCCTCCTCGTCCTCTTCTTCGGCTTCACGGGCGAAAACCTCGTGGTCGTCTTCCTCCTCCTCTTCGACTTCACGGGAAGCCAGCGCAGCTGGGAGTTCCGAGGCGGGGATATCGATAGTACCGGCGGGGAAACCGGCACCAGCCACTTCAACACCGGCAGGGATACCGGCACCAGCGACTTCGACACCGGCCCCGGGGACCCCGGCACCAGCGACCTCAACACCGGCAGCGTCAGCGCCCGCGGCAGCGACTTCGACACCGGCAGCGTCAGCGCCCGCGGCAGCGACTTCGACACCGGCAGCGGGAGCGGGAGCAGCAGCGGGTTGAGCGGCGACAGCGCCGGCTTGCTGGACAGGCATGCATCCACCGAATGGACCGGCGCGTGCGGGGTTTCGGCATCGGACAAGGCACACGTTTTTAGCAGCACCACCCGTGCACGCGAGGTTGGCGGGCATGTTGACGACGAGAGGCTGATCGGTGAGGGACGTCGCGCGGTTGTTTCCACGACGACCAGGCAAGTTGGTGGTAACCGTCGCCTCCTGGAAGTTTTCACCGGTTCCTGTTTGATCGACCTCACAAGTGTAAGGACCAGCGCCGTCGCCGTTGATTTGGTGGACGGTGATCGTCATGGGTTGGCCGGCGGCGACTTCCGGGAGAGTGCCGAGCTCTTGGGTCAGACCGGCGATGCCCGCGGGAATGTCGATGTTACCACCACCCAACGTCCTCCCACATGCGCCGGCACGTCCGGAGGCAATATCGCGGTCGCGGATAATGGCGGTGTCTTGCTGGAAAGGGTTGCGTCCTCTGCCGTCACGGGGGGTGTTCACGTCGATACCGAGAGCACGACCTTTTGTTCCGGAAACACCCTCGTAGGCGATGATGGCACCGTGGGCGGCGACCTGCTGGACGGTCAGGGCGCAGAATGCGGCGAAAGCGAGACTGAACTTCATGCTTGCGATGCGATTGGTTTGAAGGCTTGATAGAGAGAGACAGAGGTCAAAGCGTTAAGGAAAGATGTTGTTGTTTCTTTGATGAGGAAACGGGAGAGAAGTCCGCATCTGTGCGGTCGGCTTAAATGAACCTCGGCCGGCTATAAAATATTTCAGCCATTCCATGCGAGTCGAAAGAAAAGGAAACAAACAGTCGAATATCGTTCTCTGAAAACATTCCTCCGTGGCATTATTGTAATTTCGCAAAAGTCCCTCTCAGGCCAGCATCCTAGTGGACACCACGACGATGCTGTTGTCCTCCTGCGCGCCATATGATTACTTTGTAACCCCGCCGGAACCCTACCCACTCGGGGCAGGATACTTGAGAGTCTCATCGTCAAAAAGTGTAAGGACTTTCGCACATGCCCAACAATGCTAGGTTGTTGTTCCCCCGCTGTGGGTTTGCTTCACTTAGGAGTACTTGAGGAAGGAGACAATGCGGCGGTTTGTCTACCAGGATATGTGTGCAAGGAGTGTGCACGGAGAGCGAGTTCCGAACGCGTTCCACAAGTCCGACTGTGACTGCTTACGTGAGCCGCTCACTCCTTCCGGACGCCGTTTCGACAATGGGCAAACAATCCGTTTTCCCAGCCTCGTGCTTTTGGGACAGACCTGCAGGCATCTGCCGGACATTGAAGACGCAATGTACGCACCCAGAACACACCCAACTGAGGTTGGGGTTCCGTGACAGTGTCGGAGGATGGGATACGTTTGGTTTCGACTTTCGCAGGCATTGGAAGAACAGCGCAGGAGAAGCGTTTGAGGTCCTGAGCAGCGGAGGTTCCATCTGAGGAGCCCGACCGATGCCCCAGGCGCACGAATCGGAAAAGGCGGCAAGACCGATATTGACCAACTAAGGCTACGAAGGGAGGGGGGCCGGAATGAGAGCAGAAAGCGGTCACAAGTAATAGTAGAGGAAAAACGACGGACCTAATCCACGTGGGAACTTGAGAGACATGGCCAGCGCTAGGTCGCCAGAAACGCCTGCGGCACATAGAGAAGTTCCACCGATGCAAACGTGCGGGAAGAGCGAGAAGCAGCTCACAGAAACATCTCACAGGAACACATCCGTACAATGAGTATACTAGATCTCATCGCATCCGACAGGGATTCACAAACTTCAGATTGAATATCATGAACGACTTCGCAATTACGACGCGGCAAGCACAGATGGTGATGCCAGCGGGCCATGATGGCGGGGAGGTCCACGCAGTTTCCGGATGCTCTCCCATGAGGCTAGCCCACGTGAAACACACAACGGCATCTTCGACAAAAAGCATTGCGAGGCGCTTCGAGTATATCTGGATATAAGTAACAAGTGTCAAGGACCGAAGCCACTGAAACTTACATTGATGTAGGTGAAGTTAGAGTACATTCACTTAGCACTCACGGCTGCTTCTGACTTTATTTTGATGGCCTACAGCGTCGCACCGCCCATCCTTCTGCCGATTGATGCTCGCAGGTCACGGATAGGTCGTCCAACTCGTAGAACTTTCAGGATGTCCGATCACCGCACATGCAGTAAACTCGCAAACAACAGTTTTCGCTTTGGAACATTCGTTTGGGAATACATATCGGTCATCTCTCGGCTCAGTTGCTGGAGCTCTGGGATTGGTTGCCTTCCCTCCCTCTTATCACCAGCTACCATCTCAGATCGCACGCAAATCGACATGGAGCGGCAAAAATACCACGCACAGTTACTTCGTAAAACCAAACAGGTCGATAACACATTCCTCAAAAACTATTTATAGAAACGAAAGAACTCGTTGAAGGGATGAATGAGAACAAAACTGATGGTACAACTGTTGTTGGGAAAGACGATGGGAACTACGCACGATATAGAGGTATACAGAGGTGGGGAATGATGCAAGAAAGGGAAAATGGAAAGAGGGATAGAAAGCGACCTCCAAAAAACTGAAGCGGGATCGCTAATGGCCAGCGAGGGTGTGACGATGGTGAACATCCCATTGAATCACACCTTGTGATGAAACGCCCTGCTCATACGTCGGAAAAACCGCTTGAACCCCTTCTGTTGGCTATTCGCCTTTGTCTCCTTCTTCGTGCTGGCCTTCGCAGCTGCCGCTTTCGATTTTGCGGCGGCAGCCGCGGCGGGGTTCGTAACGCCCGGGCCGCCCTCGTTGATGCTCGTGGAGCTCGAGCGAGGTCCGATGGGCGGCCGGTACATCCTATCCAAGCCCACGACGCTGGTGTTGTTAGGGAGCTCGAGGGAAGTGGTGACGGGTTGTTGGATGGTGGTAGCGGGCGGTTGGTCATCGGAAACGGTTGAGGGCGTGTACGCATCGTCAGAAGAGTGGGTTGCGCCGGACGAGCGACGTTTCTGTTCACGAGCTTTCCTGTCGAGCGAGCTGTAGGCGGAGTCGAGGTCGCGGAGCGGTTCTGAGTCGACTACGACTACCGGTGTGACGTGTGCGGCGGTTGAGAGGGGGTCCTGGCTGTCGCGTTTGGGGCTTGCGGGTGGTGTGAGGAGGGTTGGAACGTCGGGGGTCTTTCCGAAATGTGGTGGTGTTGCGGCGACGGATCGGTCTTCTGGCAGCGAGACATTTTCAGATGAGGTCTCTGTAGGCGCGAGCGATTGTGCGCGGGGAGGAAGTTGGGTCATCACACCCGTTTTGGCCGCCTCATCTCCAAACTCGAACGACCGACGGTACGACAGATCCGTCACGGAAATATTGGGTTTGACACGCACGGCGTCGTCTTCTAGATAGACAGGGTAGACAGGGTGCGACCTGTGCTTCCCATACCGCCCAAGTGTAGGGTCGTATCCAACATCCTCCTTGAAGGAAATCACATCCCCGATGACCTCGTCCAGCAGCATGATCGATCGACGATTCCGCACTTTGCGAGGTGGCTTCAGTGAGGGGAGGGCAGGTAGTCCGCCGATGGAGTCGGTCCCTTCAAAAGCCTCATCTGCGTATGCATCCACCAGGTCGATTTCCTCCTGCCCATAAAGGTTCTTGCTCCAACTTTCATTCGAGCGAACTTCGAGATGTTCTCGGCGGTCGTCTTCATCCGAACCGGATGTAGCATCCGACCAAAGAGAGGACTGCGAATTTGTGCGTTGCAATGCCGGGTGGTGGTAGGCATTTTTCCGTTTGCCGCCTGGACTGCAACTGTGCTGAGAATGTTGCGAGAGGTTTCGTGTGTATTCGAGTAGAGGGTCTTGTTGTGCGAGGGAGTCATGGGAAGCTGCCAAGGAGGTCCCCTTCCGGAGGGTTCTAGTCCGACCGCGACTAAGCGACGGCAGCGTCGTCATGATTGTTGGGATCGCTGTCGTTGTTCTCCTCTTCTTGGTGCTCCGTCGGCGGGCAGCCAGTGCTGCGGGAGTCTTCCAAAGCCGTGAGCGTTTCTGTGACGACGATCTAGCAACCCCGGATGTGTTTGACGTTTTCTGCGACGCTTGGTTCAAGGAGGCTCTTTCGGAGTGTTCGGAGTCCCGTGCTTCCGCAGCTACTGCCGCTTGTTGGGGATAACTGACTTCGTCCATGGGGTGAGCTTCCTTTTGTTGAACGTTGGAAGTGATATTTTGCTTCCTCGACAGGTGTCGTTCGTACTGACGTGCGACTATTTGCTCACGAGGATGATGGTGTGACGGGCAGTCGCCGGTTGACAGATATCACTGGCAGGAAGAAGGGGAATGTCGGTGGGCGGTCCTTTGTGTTTTCTCTATAACTGTTTTTGGGGGGTTTGTGTTGTGGAGAGGGTTTCTTACATCATTTGTCCCTCGCGAGTTCAGGGAGTGCGAGTTGGGCGCCAAGAGACGGAGCGAGGGGAGAATTTGATGACGAGGGGATTTACCCTCACCTTATAAGGACTACACCGACCTGACTCATGCATGGTGATATGAATGAGGCTAAGCTCCGCCAAGCCGCGGGTTGCGGAACGCGTCTGTCAAACCGTCAAACGGACAAAAGCATTTTGTGAAGCCCCGAATCCCCCGAATCCATCGTTGGATGTCTGCTCTCCTACCTTGACATCGACCGCCGTCCGTTGCGGTGGATCGATGGTTGGGGCGGTCGGGCCGGCGTTCGCCGTTGGAACTTCGGGTGTCAAAATTCTTACATCGTGTCCGGCACCCGTCATCCGCCTCGTTCCAGCGGCTTTGAACGTGGATATCCATCCGCCCAAGTCTCCAACCGCTTCCACACAAGCTGAGTGGGAAGAGGCTTTCTTGTGTGTACAGAGTACTGTACGTGGCAAGCGTACATACTCCTTACTCTGCTTCTCATCTGAAGGAAAGTCAAGATGTCACGATCTCCCCCAGTCTCGATCTTTCAACCCACTCCATGGAAATCGATACACGTCCTTCTGCGTCCTCAACTTCCGCGATCTATAGAGTCGTGAACAAAGCTCAGCGTATTGAAGCTACTCAACTGTTCAAATCGTAAAGAACATGGACGAAATCAAGGAAGTACCAGTTCTGATGTTCCAGACACGATTCCATGTCGTCGATTCTACGCAGCTCAAAGACTGAAGGGTATCTGCAAATGCCAGTCGCAACATCGTCTTCCCACAGTAAAAAACGGTGCGACACATGGTCGCTATCCTCCTTGTCCCGAAACAGTCCCTGATGGCGCGTGGCCCTGCAACCTCCAAGATTTCAGCAGAAAACGTCTTGTTGAGGCTTTAGTAAGAACGCCAGAGCATAATTGGGACCTTACTTGTACGGGCCACGGGTCAGTTAGAGGATCAGGACTGGGCAAGTGCAAGGTCTCCCTGGTCTCCAGCTCCGGATGTGGAAGCGATGTGAAGAACAAGCGCCGGAAAGAAACCCGTTTTATTCAAGTGAAGCGGTCATGTGACCTGGTTCTCCACGCGTGATTCCAAGCGATAATGGGGCGAAGCGACTTCCCCGTTCAACACCCCGTTCCGACCTTGCTGGACAGCACTAATCTCACCAACCTGGACTCTTATCGCTCGCACGTACGGACACTCATATCTATCCAAACGGGTTGAGGCGGTATCTGTCATCAGTCTCGTTGCTCGCACGCTGTTGCCGAGCCTGCAAAACCCTTATCACTTGGTAAGTTCCCGCCTCGCAGCGTGAAACTTACGTCCGTCCCGTTCCCGAGCTGTCGAGTTCACCGTACCCGACCATAGCAAGAATACTGGCAAACGATGCATGCTAACCTCTGTAACCTCTCCCTCCAAGAGTCGTAAGACCTTCACGCCGTCCTCTCGAAGATCATGGCAAAACTGAACGCAGTTCCCGCAACGAATGGCGCAGCGGAGCGCCGAGTCGTCTTCACAAACGATGCGCAACCGGCGAGCGCGGTCAAACCTCCTACGTCGCTTTCTGATAGGTCCGTTTCCACTTCCGCTGGAACCATGTTTCTACGTCCTTTGTCGGTGGCAGAGATGGCTTGAGATCTCCGCTTACGGTTTCAATCGAGTCGCACAATTCTCACCCCTGCATCACCATTTTCGCCTTCCTTTCCCAAACCGCCACGCACAATAAAACAGATTTACCAGGCTACATGCATCTTGGTCAAAGTCCACACCTCGCGGTGGCGGCGGCGGCGCCGTCGCACCCATCGGCGCCCGCTTACAGCACGTCGGCGGCGGTTTCAGAACAGCTCCTCGAGCAGCAAGACCACTTGGCGGGGCACACGGAGGCGGCCTCTTCCGCGGCGTGCACACACGCGGCGGTCGATTCCGAGGCGGGGCGGCGGCGGGTTCAGGTGTCGCGGGTGGAGTTTTTGCTGGAACCACGGTCCGAGGCGGTGCGATTGGCAAAGCTGGGGCTGGAGCCCGAGGGTTTGCGCGGGGCGGCCGCGGATTTGTAAGGGGGTCTAGAGGCGTGGGTGTCGGTCGAGGCACGGGTGTAGGTCGAGGCGGTCGACGAGGCGGCATCTTACGTGGCCGTGGCCGTGGGGCTCTCAGGAGCGGAAAACCGTCCAGCGCTGACGCGCTCGACAAGGAGCTGGATGCGTACATGCTCAAGAACAAAAACTACGCGGTCGACAAACTCAATTCGGAATTGGACGACTATATGGCGCAGGATAGCGATGTCAACAATACCCCAGTGCCGATGCAGACATGAGACAACGTACGAACGCACCGGGGGTCTCATGCCACCAGCATGGCGCTTTCGCTTGCCTTCCCCCACGACCGCCTTAACACGTATGCCGGCGCGATAACCAAAAAACATGCACAGCTGCGTAATATATATAGGCTCCAAAATCGCGAGGAAGCCACATTATCCTCTTCATAAACGGGAAAACTACACGATATGATAGGGTAGGAATGACCTCCGCGGCCCCGTCGCTCTTCTCTTATTGCTTCGGGTTTATTTCCCTGATTTTGTAAAATGTAAATATCGTTTCGTATCAGCAATACATATCAGAGCTAGCGTTCTTTAGGCGCTTGTGGACCGAACAAAGCCACCGCCATCAACATAATGCATATTTCCTTGGCTGTTAGCTAGCATGTAGTAGTGCACTATCGTTCCTACCCATCCAAGCGATGCTGGTGAAGTGCAGAGCCCCTACGGTGATCTGCGCTGCTATTACTGTTCGTTCGGTCGTGTGCTGTCGTTGAGATGTCGCTTACGCCATTCTTCGCAATGTTCGGTGGGTTGGGCGCTCATCCGCGACCTCTGCTTCGTCTTCCACCCCGTCCCCTTCCTCTGCCGACTGCCCCACCATTTCCATCTCGCCCACCCCTGCCGAAACCGCGCCCACTTCCACCACCACCGCCATAACCACCTCCACTTCCTGCAGGATTGAAAGTCCCATAGCCCATCCCCATCCCAGTCACATTCCCCATCCCTCCAGCAGGCATGCCAACATTCGCAGCACCAAGCCCCATCATCTGCGCCAAGTGGGCCATCTGCGGCAGCTGCATCATCGGGTTCAGCGTCTGCGGTTGCGACGTCATCGGCACGGCCATCTGTCCAAGCGGCCTTTGCTGCGGAGTCCCTATCTGCATTTGCTGCTGTTGAGGCGACATGAACGACGGTGCCATCATGTTCAAGTTCTGCAGGAGGGGGTTCAGGGTCGGCGTTGTAGGTGTATTCGGCGGCACAGTCGGTGTCGGCACTGCTGAACACGGTATGTGATTTCCATACTGTGGCCGTTGTGGCGTGAAAGCATGTGGATTCCGTGGGTTGCCCATCTCAGGCTGCGGCGACACGAGCGGCGGCGGGACATCGCTTACCTGACCCTGATTTTGGACGAGACCCGGGGACATCGCGGCGCCTAGCATCTGCGGGACGTTGGAGAAGCCCATGCTCCCTAGGAGACCGCCGATCATGGCTAGCGCGGCGTTGGCGGTTGCGACGGGGTCCACGCCGGGGTGAATTGGGAAGGGTGGTTGCATGGGTGTTTGTGGCTGCATGGACGTTTGGGGTGGTTGATGATTTGGTCGTGCTACTGGCATGGAGGCGAGTGGAAATACAGGTGGCGGTGGTCGGACTGGAAGATTCATGTTGGGCTGACTAACTACCTTTGACATTGGTTGCGCGGGGGCAGTTTTGGTTATATTATCGGAGTCGGGGAACCGAGTGTGCGCAACACCCTCCTCGGAGAACCGGATGTGTGTGCCTTGAGGTGGAGCTGACTTTGTTGATGATCGCCCATCGCCGTCATTGTATTTTGCCCGCTTAGCAGGCCGGGTATCGATGTTTACAGGTTCCACTTGTCGCCTTTTGGTGTCAGCTCCATTTTGCGGAGGTTGGAGCCTCCCTGCATCTGCGGCCGCCTCCAATTTCGGAGCGACTCTATTCTCAGGTTGAGCAGCCCCTGCGTCCGATGGCGCAAGCCCCAGCTCCTCTATTGCCATTCTGAAAACTTCCAATTTTGCATCTGCCTTCTTGTTGGTCGGTTTCAGATTGGTCCACGTCTTGACTTCCTCTTCTCTGACGGAGTCATTCTTGTCCATAGGTCCCAGCCTGAGCGTGCAGATGAACAGGCTCGCCTTTGTCGCTGCGCCGGGAACGTTGGTAAAAGTCGTGGTAAACTTCAAGTTCCGTTTCTGACAGTAGTGGTTCAGTATCATAGATGGATTGGTGGGACCAGTTGAGACTGATCTGGCTGGCGAAGGGGCACCATTGTTCCTACTCGCTTTCGGACCGTTGATCATTGGAATGTGCTGATCCTGTATCCCGAGATCAGAGCAAATCTGTTCCGCAACGTCTTCCCGCGCTTCTGCTCGTTTCGGATGCGAAGAGCGTGAATGGTACTGTTTCCCTTTGATCGTGGCAGAGGCCGTGTGCGCTCTCCCGCCCGTGCCATGTGCTTGGTAGTCCCAGGTCAGCAGCTCGTCATTCCGTGAGACGTACAACATCAGTCGGGCCAGGGCATATCTATGGCCCGTTTTCGTTGCTGTTGCGCCTTCCACTAGCACAACATCATGGGCATCCGAGCTGAAAGCGTCAGCGTGATCCACCAGTTGCCCATCTTCTAAATCTTCACCATTCTCGGCTCCTTTGAAAATCTCACCCAATCGTCCGGAAAACTGCTCCGTTCTACCCGCGGCCTCCAACCAGCAGTACATGAACGCGCAAGCGACCCGACAACAGTCTTCAGCAGCCGCATCGGCGTTGCTAAACACATAGGCGGATTCGAAATGCTGGTCGGCGACTTTGAGCCGGCATCGGTAGGTCAGTTTGTCGGCAACCATTGATGAGGACAGCAAGAATTTCGGTTGTTGATCAGAGGGGAAGTGTTGGTCGGCAAAATGACGTAGGCGGTGAAGGAAGGGTATATTGCCTGGGGGTATAGAGCTGAGTGTTGAAGGCTCGAACGCAACCGAGGGGATAGTGGCAGAAGTAGGGGCCGCTATGGAAACATTGCTCGCATGGGTATCTACTCGGTATGCAGCGAGTGTATGCAGATGCACAGACTGCGGCGGCTCCATATCGCTCGGATCAACGGGCAAGGCTTCCACTTTCACACTGGTTCCGGGCCCGCCGATCGAGGTCACCACAGCCTCCCGGAGAACCTCCAGTTCTTCCTTTACTTTCGGATCCTGTTGATCTTCCTCCGTCTTGAGGACCATATCGGGCTCGGGCACGAAATCACTCTCGCTATCACTCTCCTCAGAACTATCCTCATCCTCGGATGTATCATCGCTGCTGTCCCCCGAATCTTCCGACGCTTCCAAATCGTGCGTCGGCGTCGAACGCAACGCACATTCAGAAGAAATGCCCGACAGATCTGGTGGCAGCTGGCTCGCTGAGTTTGTCCCCTTCGTTAAATCGGTGGCATTTCCCGCGGGTATGATTTCAGGGGGCGCTTCGCTCGATGTATGAATGACAGCCAGTCCATTGGTCACATGCTCCGCTTCGTCCGCCAGCGTCGTTGCGTCTTCAGTCATTTCTACGGTTCCCACTCCATTCAGTGTCACGGGGTGAACCACGGAACGTTCAACATCGAGGATCCCGCTGGGTCCGGCAATGCCATTCTTCGCTTCCTCCGCAACCGCAGTCGGCCTACCGTGCTCCATCGAGACAACAGGTGCAGAGACATCTACTTCGCTTCGCTTCGTCGACCCTTTGATGAGATTGGAGCTATTTTCTTCCGGAAAGTCTCCTGCAGATTCTTTGCCATTCGGGATATCCTGTGACCTCTGGCGTTTTATACTTTTGACAGGTTCAGGCGGCGTCGTCAAAGTCAGTTCCGGCTGCTTCAAAGTCTTCCCAAGCATGTGCATCAATACAGGCCAATTGAAGCTGACCTCCGGATTTCCGCCCGCCGTTCTTCCGAGGCCGATGACGCCGGCAATCATAAGCAAAATCACAACGTATTCCCGGATCGAGTCATCATCCACCATATGCAGGAAAGGACCGATAGCGTTCAAGGAGCATGTACTTGGCCGTGAGTCGGACGGTATCTCATCGAGCAGATAGAGCACCTTCCCGAAAGCGATGTTAATGGCAGACTGCCGGGAACCCCCGTGAGTTTTCAGAACGTACGGTAAGAACTCGGTAAAGGGGTTTGGGGTCGGATCTGAAATGGACGGCAGATTCAGCTTTCGTGAGCGGCATATTTTGCGTAGGATCCCATGAAAGTTTGTTTCGCATAGTGCTGTGAACGTCGTTTGCAGTGGGAAAACGCTGTGGAGTTCCGAAATATGTGACATCAAGACATCGTTTATAGACGTTGTCGCTTCAACAGTTACGACGTGCAAGCGACTCTTCGCGGTGGGAGCATCGATGCCCGGTGATTCTTTACCCGTAGCAACGACATAAACCACAAGGAGAAGCTCCGGTGGAATCGGTATCCTTCCTATCAGCTTGGCGATCTGAGGGGTGGTGCCATCCAGGAAGTACGCCGTAGTAATAGGAGGCTGGCCATCCAGCCCAGCCTTTAGCTCCGATACCAGCTCGGTATATGGAGGGCTGTGAAGAGTCGGGGACGGGCAAAGGTCGGCCATCGAGAGAAGTGTGCCTCAATTAGATGCTTTTTTCCTCCCAACTCTCACAACAAACAGCGCAAACGCTACAAAGCCTTCGAGGTTCCACCGAGAAGCTGCGAGTTTGTAGGGTCAAGCACTCTCAAGTGTGCAGAGTGGGCAGGGCGAGGAAATGGGACGTTACGCCGCAGGTTACGCCGCATACTCTGCAAACTTCTGTTGCGGGTGCAATTTCTGCTCAATCAAACCTCGTTCAAAAGCCAAAGGAAAGACCTAAGGACAGCGCAAGCACGTATCGAAAAATTTGCAAGCCTCTGATGGGTTCTGAACTACCATGCCCCAGGTTCCCAATACTCGGACTCGGACTCGTCTTGGTCTCCTTCCACCACAAAACGCCTCTGTTCTAAAGCTTGCCGTCCCCTCATGTTGCTGAAACTTCTATAGGAGATACCCCAAGCTCTCATCGCAGTTCAAACGTAGGAGATACCACGTAAGGAAACCGACTTTTATCGATAAAAGGTTTAGACGAAATCCGTCTGCAGCTTTCATCGCAGCTCAAACGCAGCTCAGTTAAAACATCTGAACCCCACTTAAAGGAAATGTACTTTTATCGATAAAAGTTTTAGGATCTGCAGCTCTCATGATTCCAAAGCAGGTGTTGCGATTGGCAAGCAAGCCCCCGCCCGTTGTGGTCACGGCAGGTACTATTCGGACGCGGGCTCACAAGGAATTAAAATGCCGATGCTACCTTTATACCTCAAGTGCTATCGAAGCCCGAGGAGCTTGCAGAGACAACGACCCAAAGATCAAGGAAATCTGTAAACATATCGCTTTCGAAGGTTGGGCGAACGACGAGAAGTTCTTGGCCTGGGTCAAGTGTCAGACTGAGTATGCGCACGAAACTGAGCCGATGGAAATCGTTCTTACCCACTTCGAAAGGAAGTTCAATGAGCTCGGCCCTGAACTCGAATTCGAAGAGTTATGCAAACTCTCCGGTCTTAATGAAAACCTCGTTCATAAATTTGCCACGGAAGTCCCCAAACTCACATGGTCATCGTCCTGCCTGTGTTCTTCGCCAACCTGTGCCCTAATCCCGATATTGCACTTCCCTGCCCTTTCAAAAACAAGACAGCCTCCCCCGACCTCCTGGAGCAGCTCACCTACTGGACGCCAAGTGCAGGTCGGGCATCGTCCAATCGGGACCGATGCTTCCCTATCTCAAAAAGCTGGTGGAATCGTACAAAACCTCTCCACTCGAAAAAGACGACACCCCACCAGGCTACGAGGATTGGTATCATGGAACCGACGGGTTCACCGCCGAGAATATCTGTCGTTCGAAAATCCAGCTACCCAATGGCATGCTTAACCACTCCTTTGGTGTTGTCAAGGCGTTTTATGTCACCAACTCGAAGGAAAGCGCCATGTTCCAAGCATGGGCTAAGATGCTATTCAACACCCGCGGTGGAATCTGGTGCGAAAGCGCTGCAGTTATCCATTTCCGGATATGTCGGGCCGACCTCGAAAATTTCATACCGTACCTCCGCCTGTGTCACCGCGACCCTTTCACAGGACAGGCCAATTGGAAATTAAGACTCCACAGCGACGATGTGACCGTCGGTGACTACCATGATGTTGTCACCAGATCTCGCAGCACGCCGAAGTCTGTTTGCCTTTCTGTTGATGAGAACTCAAATAACCCAGACCCGGTGGTCCCGCGTCGCATTCAATGGATTCAGGGAGTCAACCACATGAGCAAAATCAAGGATACGCACCCGCAAAAGTGGCAAGTCGAAGCCAACGAGGACATTCTCGGCTATCCGTCACCCGGACCTTGCGAAATATTTTGATAGCTGTAGACGGGGCATTCTTCTAACTGAAAACATCAGGGACTCGTTCTGTTCCGGAGAACGCTCCGGAACATGCAACACTCTAGAATAGATAACTTTCTTTCCCCGCAAAAGGCGTCAAAGTATCTCGGTGTACACTACAACCTTCGCTCTTGCAGAAACATAAAAGTTTTTTGCAGATTTCAGAAACAAGTTTATCGAGAGAGCTAAAAACCAATTTAGTCGCTGAAACGCCATTTATATCCTTAATTTTCTATCCTTTCAATGTTTGACGGTATTGTATCCCAAGCATCCGACTCCTCTGTTGGTGAGAGATAGCAAATGGATAACTGTTTTTGCGATGAATCGTCCATTTCCCATGCCTCTTCTTCTTCTTCTTTAGAAAGATAACCTATTTGCAATCTGGTTGTTGTTTGGGGACTTCCTACTAGAAAGAGGGAATGAGCACAATCACATACGTACTCATTTGCCGTCTCATACAAACCAGACTGACTCATAGAACTTGTAGTGGATTCTTCCTGTATGTTTCCAGTGGTTTGACTCTGCTGAGATGAATCGCTTTCCATCGTTGTTTGACTTGTTGATGAAGTGAGGGCGACGTTTGTGGTAGACATCGTAGGAACAGATCCTGATACCCGTGCCAAAGGTCTCGTATCATACTCGACCCGGTACTTCCCGCAGCGACTTCCCGCGCTGCGTGAAGCCGGGCACTTCTCTGGAAGAGAGTGCCGCCGGAGCGCTCTCGGCGCGACTGCGGGCGAGTATGATACGAGACCTTGGCACGGGTAATAGTTCTCGACATAAAAACTCGTGTACATGAACGCGCAACGATTGGACAGATTGAGGCGCTATGACAATGGGAGTCGCTAAAGTACTCGCATTTAGCGGGCGAAGGATATATTGCCCATTATTTCGATAGGAGTACTGTGCAAGTGTTCCCATCATACAGTCATGAAAGGCCATCCAACTCAGCCCCTGAATTTGCCCATTGGTTAGTAAAATAAAAAAGAAACTGATTTATTACTTCAGATACCTACATTACGTAGTGGGTAACTTGGTGTGATATCGGCGGCTCCATCAGTGCCAATGGGACACTGAGGAATGAAAGTCGGGGGCGCCCGACTTTGAAGAGGCAGCAAGAAAAAGCGGCCACCGTTGTAAGTTCGTAATACAATTGCAGGACGTGGCTCCAAAGGAGGCAACTGTCCGTCAGCCCGTGGGAACTCGTAGTAAACTATTTCTCCCGAAGTTGGGCGTCCTGATGGCCACGTAGACATGACGAGAATACTGTGGATGTGTGAGTAGGGAGGACTTGGGTTTGCGGTTCCGCTCCACTTGTCTCCGGACGACACACTGTTGGATGAGGGACAAATGTAATGGATTCCGTTCAAGGTTGTGCTTACTAAAGCTTCTTTTCTTTCACTCGAGCGATATTACTGTTCATAAAGCAAGACCGCATTTGAGAGTGCCGTCAGAGAAGTGCTCGACCGCGTCGCCGGCCGGACGCTCCAGACAACCCGAGCGAGATCTCGAGAGCAGCTAAAGGCCATTGCACAGCAGACATTTCAGGATATTGAGCCAGATGTGCTAGAAAAACTTGTGTCGAGCATGCCCCGGCGTATAGCGGCAGTCATAGCAGCTACAATTCGTTCAGGAAATTGCCACACAGCTGGCCGAAACTGTTGGAGGTATCATCTGGAGGTATCAACTGTTGGAGGTTAGTGATTTAGTGATAGAGGCACACGCCCTGTGATTTCGTCGCCCTGTCGAATTCTTGTTGCGGGGCCGTCAATGAGGATTCCGCCGGACGCTTTCAGGGGCAAACCGTCTATCCGTCCGCACCCAATGGCTAGCATATCGTCTTCATCGCCGACGAAACGTGCAGAGAACAGAAGCTTCGCAATTGTAATATACAGTACTTTTACCATTGACTTTACACTTTTACATGAAGAGCAGGGAGTCCTGCAAAATGAGGTTCATCAACGTCCCATCCTTTTTGTATTCATCTCAGGATTCACCACTATGCTATTCAAGGGCAAGCACCAGCCCATATTTCCAGAGAGCAGTCGCAGTAGCCAACGGTGGTCCAGACATCTAGACAACACGACATGCATCGAAGTGAGCAACAGCGGTCATGCTACCAAAATGCAAAACGAATATGAAATTTGCACGCGTATATACTTCTTAACTTACTTAGCTTGGAACACACGAGAAGTACCGACGAGTCGCAGAAAACGTCATTGATTCTGGGACACTTGGCCCCAGCTAGTCCAATCTGCACACCAGCACCTCCGGTCTCTGTCGCTTCAGGCACGGCTTCCGTGTTCAAAACCCGGGTAACGGTTGGACCCTGCCCATCGTCGCCTAGCCCAAAAGTGGGCGCAGGGAATTCGTCATCCCAACCCCAGTCGGTCGCCGTAGTGGTCGCTTCCTCTGACGTAGTGGGTGCCTCTTCTGTCGTAGTGGTGGTTGCGGTGACAGTCTCATACGAGGCCCGTGTTCCGAAAATGTCCCATGATCGCGTAAAGAAGTCTTGCGTCGAGGTCGGCGGAGGAGGGCAGTCTACGCCGTTTCCGCCTTGGTTGCAGTAGCATTGTGGGCGGATCTTATTATCTTCCAGACACAGGCCTTTGCAAGTCTCTTTGGGAATCCAGCGGCCACTTTTCTGGCCGCAGCGCATGAAGAGTCTGTTGTCACAGGCATAAACATCTACGGTTGGGTCGCACCGGGTTGCGACGTTCGCGGTTTGCGACTGGGGATCGATTTCGTTGGGCTGGTCGAAGGTGAGGCCGCTGCCGGGTACTGATGGATCTTGACCGTCGTTTGAAGGATCCTGGTTCTGTCGTTGCCAGTGGATATGGGGGAATCCGCTGACAACTTGGAAGCCCAGGATGGTGACCAGTAATGTGAATAGTCCGGTATAAACCATTTCCGAGATGTGACTTGATGTCAATGCTGTTGGTTGTAGTTGGTTCTTCGACGCTTGGACGGATGCAATGGACAAGTCCCTCTTTTATACATCCCCCGAAGGACAGTCGTGCGTTGTTCCCCACATCTGCAGCTGTGGCTGAAGAGCTGGGAAGTTTAAGCTTAAAGGAGTTTACCTCGTGCCGCTTATCCCCTTCCGCTCTCCAGCCCGAGATCAGGGCTGCAGAACTCTGCGGTCGAGCGGCGGCACGGCATCGAATATTCGAAGGTATGTTTAAGCTTATGTGGTTTGATGCGGGAACCCCCAGGGGAGCAGGTGCCCCTGAACGGGCTGGCTGGGCTTGCGCATTCGTCGGCTTCCGGCGGATGATACGTATCAGAGCAGAATCGAACACCGTCTATTACCTGCGCCAATCAATAGTGAAATCCCTTCATCAATGGGGTTCCAGACTCTATCGGCAAAATCGTTCCCGAACATAACAAATATATTACACATTACATTAACACTTTAGACGCCGTACAAAACTATTTACAATGCCGTCTCATGATGGAGAGCAACGACAGATCTCTGTAAGGAGGACTTCATTCTGCTTCCAAATATGCGCCAATCCCAAATGCCGGTGTCGACGGTCATACTACGTAAAATATGGTATTCAATTCGAGTCGTCCGAGTCCTCAGAACCCGGAAACTCGTATTTCAGGGTTTTCACGTCCAAGTCGCGAAAATTATACTCCATCAGCTCCCGCAGCCGTGCGAGCTCGTTCCTGTCCACTCGTGGGGCGTATGTGCCACTATCATTATCTGCAGGTATGACAGCAGTCCGCAAGTGGGTAAGTGATGCATTGAAAATTGTACCAAAACTGATTATATCAACACGTACCCATTATCAACACTCGCTTCATTGTCCCTTCTGCCCTTTCAACTCGTAACGTCCCGGCATAGACGACCGACTCTGAGGCGTTCGAATGCATGGCATGTTTCGAGAACTTGTCAAGAAAGTTGCTATCTGCGCGCGAGAAGTGTAACGTCCCATCTGCCAGCAATGTAAACGTATATTCGGGCCCGGCAATCTGTCCAACGTGCTTCCTCGCCAGCTTATCCGCTTCCTTTTCGTTCGGAGCGTTTTCCCGTTTGACTGTCTTCCCGCCATGTTCCTCAATGATATCGAGGAACTCGTCCCCGGTCTGAACCCAGTATTTGTCTCGAGGCTTCTTCAGGAATTTGAAGAGGCCTTGGCCGTACATTCGCCTGTGCATGGCTCGCAGTGCTTTTCGTGCAGCACGCCCTTGCGGAGTGTCGGCAAACAGGGCGCGGATGAATGGTGGCTTTGTGTTGTACTCTTGTGTTAGAAGCTTGGCGCTCAGCACTTCCCGAAGTCGTTGACGTTCGCGTGAGGAGTGCAGATGGTTCTGAACCCCACTGAATAGACGTCCAATAAGAGTCTTGGACGGTTTAGCTTGCCCGTGGGTTGCAGCGAGCTCTATGCCGGAATCTGATTCCTGCGGACCGTCAGCTGTAACGTGCATAGCATCGGGGTCTGCGAAATACTTTTCAACTCCCGATAGCCGCGTGGTGAAAACCGGGTAGGCTTCTCTATGGTTTGCGAGGGTGAGCAGCCGGTTGAAGTGTACTTTACACCGAACCGGGTCCCGCCGTTGGGTTTGCTGAGATGGACTTGTCTCAGAGATGTCCCTGTTTTGTTGCTCGCCCACGACCTCTCGCTGTGCCGTACTCTGTGTGGTGCTCTCGGACATTGCTGAGAGCGAGGTTTGAAATGGGACGACTTCGAAAGAAATAATATAGATCCAAGGTGAGTTTTTATGGGCCGCGACAGTCGATAAGTCGAATATTATGCAAGGACGAGAGTTGTTGCCGGGGCCTCCGTGGCTCTTGTATGCGTTTGCAACGTTGCATTTCCCCTCTCCACGCCGTCGCAGAAAAGAGGCGAAAGACGAGCCGCGGCTCGCATTTTTCAGAAGTTGCGACTGCGCAATGCGTGCATGACATCATTGTGGAAGTTCTGTTTTGGAACTCTGCGCAAAGCCACACTTCCGTCTCTCCGGAAGCCACTAAGCCTTTCTTGCAAATCACCTGGCAGTGCTGGCACTGCTGGGCTTGAGAGTCTCGGACGGGAGGGATGGTGGCCACCGGGATACGGGGTGGCTCTCATATATATGCCCAGGTCAAGTCGAAGACTTGTTGGTTCAACACACGCAATCTCACTGGATTCCCTGTTCCAAATTCAGCTCCACGGGCAAACCCTCGCAAGTAGCTTATCAGGATCTCGCCGTTGCTCAACATGCTTGTTGGTGCACCTGGATGGGTTTCCTCAGTCAGAATACAGGAAATCTCTCAATCTCAGCCTTGCACGGATCTCTCAAGCCTCTTCCATCAGCCCCAGTAGTTGTTCTGCCTTGAGGAGGCGCTTGAAGCGGTTCGGCGATTGCTTGCGCTCTTAATGGCGCTACTGAATGTAAATCACGACCCAGACGGCACATGGCCTAGAGTGGCAGTTCGACGAGAAGAGGGATTAACCGGCATTTGCGCAGCAAACGAAGGCCCCGGCGAACTCTCCTTTGATCTTTCTGCTGAATGGATCGAACCGCCATGAAGAACAGTTCTGCCTGTCAACGGTCGGCAACGGTCAGTCTCACGGGTGTTCCTTGAGAGCATCTCGTCAATCTGCCTTCACCACGGCCTCGACTGGAAATGGATGCTCGCCTCTTCACCACAATATACGATCGAGCAGTGGGTATGGAGATGAACAACGTTCGCCTCGACTGCATCAAATGAGTCTGCCCTGGTCGACGACAAACGCACAACAAAACCCTTCGATTCCACCGCAGTTCCACCGTCGGCGAAGACGCTCCGATAACCCTAACCTTGTTTTCGGGGTTGAGAAGACCGTGAAATCGTGAGATGGTTTTGTGGTGACATAACGCGAATTTGTTCGACGTTGGACAGACGATCGAGACGGCAAACCGGGCTTTCGTCCTCCTGAGAGGCGGCAGGCGCCAACCCTCACAAATTGGACATGCCGACGGCATGTGCGCCGTGGGGTGAGAGAGGAACGTGATTCTCCACATGTTCCCCCTTGATTAGCGGATTGACGATGATGTGCAGGATGTGATTAGCCCTTGCGATGAGGAAATGACTTTTTGCGCGTCTTTTGGCACGGCGTGATGTTTCTGGCATAAAAAGTTGAAAGTTCCCACGCCTGCGGGAACTGCTGCGGCATCCTCCAGTCGTCAACGCTGGACCCTCCTGAATTGGCTGGCCAAAAGTTCATCTCACTTGTCACAATTTCATTCGCCGCATCCAGCCGCCGAAGCATTATAACATAGAGCAAGTTTCCTCCGATATCAACGCAGTTTATAACGCAGTCAAAAACGGTTTCCTGGTGCCCGGTCCACTTAGGACAGCCATGTCACGTAAGAGCGACTTTTGAAAGTTCGCGTTATGGTCCCGCATGAGCCTCAACGTTCCGCCTCAGCAACAGCAGTCAAACACGCTCAGTCTATGAGCGACCTTCATGGCTCTCAGAAGTACTCCCCACGACCAAAGAGGCGAAGCAATGTTCTGCTCAAGGACTTTTTCTCAGTTGACTCGTTGTCAGAAGAGGAACTACGTGCCAAGCTTAGGGAAGCTTTGACGGCTCTGAGGGAGAGGGAGCGAGGTAATCACCATGATCTCTTTTGCGGGCCGATATCAGTCGCTTACATGTCCTATTCGATCTTTCCATAGATCTGCAGCTGGCTGCAGAAATCGGGCAGCAACTGGTGGCAACGAACAACAACCTGATGACAGAGTACCACGACTTCATGACCAAAGGGAAATTGGAGAGAAAACTGTCAAGCGGCGCCTTGCCGACCCCCAAAGGCCGCTTATCGAGCCGAAAGTCGAGAGCCGCGCTCAAAACCGTGCAACTGAACTCGATCAGAATCCGCGAAACCATCGTAGAGTGCTCGCCAGTGAGGAGGCCGTCTATCCACGAAGTGTTCGACGAGCGGGGCGGCCATGATCCTTACGTTGCATCGCTCGAGAAGGCGAACGCGGACCTGCAGTCCTGCTTGGAAGCGTCTGAAGCTGAGCTGCGCGATACCGAGCGCATGCACAGACAAGTGGTGTCACATTTGCGACGGCGGAATGAGGCGTTAGAGGATCAGCTTCGCGCTACGTTGCAAGATTTGCGGAACGTTGAAGCCACCAACGCCGAAGCAATGTGCACGTTGGAGCGAGACCTCGATCAACTCCGTCAGGATCTTCAGATCACTGAGCAGACGGCGGCCGAACTGGAGGTTGACCGTCAGAGACTGTTGCACGAGAAGCGAACAATCCGCCGAGACTCGGAAGACATGGAGAAGAGCGACGAGCTCATTATTGCAGACCTCCAGAACCACATCTATGAACTCGAAGCCGAAATCACCAAGTTGTTGGCAGCCAAAGACAAGGCAGAGTCACGAAGTCAGGTCCAGAAGGAGGAGCTGGCAAAATTGACCGATCACGTCAAAGCCCTTCAACTGGAGTTTGAATCAAGCGAGGATTGGCACGATGAATGCGAAAGACAGCGGAAGATCATCGAAGAGTTGACGGAGCAGCTAGAAGACATGAGAACTGCTACGTCGGAGGAGAAAGCGGAGTCACTGCTCGCGCGGACGAGCAGCGAGAATACCCTTGAAGAATGCCTTCTGCCTTCCGGATATTTCGATACGGACGAAGACGAGACTATTACGGGTGACGAAGACGACGCAGAGGCGGATCATTCGCGGGAATGGGATTGGAGCCACTGGACTTATCGAACACGGGTCCATCTGTGGGAAATGGATATTCAGGGAATCAAAGAGGAGGTGGGTTCGAGTGGCGCATTTCCAAGTCCACGTGCGCTGGGAAGAGGCCGCTAACCGATGTTGTATTTCTCCAGATCAAAGACTTGCGACAGAACTCGGACGTCGTTTATCTGAGGCTACGCTCGAAGATTCATACCTGTACCACTCAAGTGGTAAACTTCACACCTCGACCCATCGCATCTCTCGCGAACATGGCCACCAACGTGATCGTCGCTGTGGTTCCCGGACGCGTGTTCAAGACAGCCACCGCAGTGGCCAAAGGCGTGCAGAACGAACTTGAACGCCGGATCCTGGGTACGAAAGTAATTGAAGCGGCTGTGGAGAAGGAGAAGGACGATATGGACACTGATCGCCCTAAGAGACACTTATAGGTGTACTCTTTGAACATAGCTTCCGATTTTGGTTTAGTCTAGCGCACCTCTTATACTTTATACCCACCCGATGCTACAGCATACTTATTTCCCAAGTTTAGGTTGAATAGATCGGACTTTTGGTCTGCTACAGCATCGTTATCAATGGTACTATCGGGTCCAACATACGCCGTATAACCTGCTCATCTACAGCTTGGAAGCAGCCTTGATAGCCTCCTCCCCATGAACGAGCACACACGGCCCACCCGAAATGACATTCAACCCCTTCTCCCTGCCCAGCGCGAGTGCTTCCTCCGACTCGGCCCCCGGCTGAAGCCACACGTTCTTGATACCCAGATCGGCGGCTTCCTGGATGATGTTCTTGGTTATCTTCGGGGGCGTAATGACGGACACGGAGTAGGAGGCGGGATCCGTGAGGGTTGAGAGTTTCGCTGCTGTCGTGTGGTTCTCAATCGTCGGTGTGCTCTGAGCATAGTTGGTTAGTGGGCTGCTTTACCCTACGAGAACCGAGATATTTACTCACGGGATTAATGGGAACCACCGATAGCTTGTGGTCCAAGTACCTATGTTGTATGTACCACGGTTACGCCCAATTAATCATCAAAGAATCTGCTAGCATTCCGACACATACCACCGGAAGACCTTGTTCCCAAACTTGGCGGGATCGGCGCTAGCGCCAACTAAGACGAGAGTAACAGGTCATTTCGAGAAAAATTGCGGGTCTAAGGGCAATTCCGGTGGGCTTACCGACGGCGAACCGGCCTTGTTGGAAGAACCTGGCAGATGCTTCGAGTGAGGACATTTGTGCGATAATGGACTCCTGAAACGTTTTGAGTGCTTTGGAATTGTTGCAAGGACGACCAATGTCGACGAACGCTGTGAAGTCATTGATGGAAGTTGGAGATGGATTGCGGAATGCCTACCATCGCACGCGGACGCGTTACCGTTTTGTCATGCCCTTGTTGGGTTTGTGATCAATTGGGCGAACGAGTTCCACCCACGACCGTTTCCACTTTCCCCACGGAGCCATCGCAGCATCATCGGCTTGGGCAACCACTGACGGCCGGAGGAACTGACACAATGGACACGGACACGGCCACGGCCACGGCCCCGCTCACAAGCAACGGAAATGTCCCGTCATCGGACCCTAACATAGTCGTCGCGCAAGGTAAGTCGAAGGTTTTGGGATGGAGAAGACGAGGACGGCGAAGCTTCAACTAACAATCTTTGTGCCGAATCAGAGTTCCAATATTTGTTGGAGAAATCGCAGCAGTTGTTCGCAGGCCTGAGGTGTGACGTCGTGGAAGAATCTTGCGTAACCTCGTCTCGAGCTGTCGGCTCACGCCTCCTGTTATCGTAGAGATCTCCCTCCCACGGGCAAAAATTGGCAGACGTACTTTCAGCGCACGTTCGAAGTGTACACGCGGTTATGGAAGTATCAACAAACACACAGGTACGTCAGAACTAGGTATTGGCGAGGGGGAAGTCACAACAGGGGGTTGACCTCCACTTGCATAGGCAAATCCTCGAAAATAAAGACTATCACGGCCTGAAGCGATGGGACATCGGCGAAGTTGCATCAAAGATTGGACGTAAGTCTTGCGCGTCCCGCCACATAGTGTTGCTTCCCACTCGAAGACTAATGAGGCGACGTTTGCAGAACTCTACTATCACTACTACCTGCGCACCAGCGAAACAAACTACCTGCTGGAATCCCACACATTCTATGACGCCATCCGGAAACGCCAGTACTTCAAAGACGTGTTGGAAGTGAACAAGTAATGATGCATTTGCATGCATACATACGGGAAGGGGATGTGAGGCAATGTGCTGACAACGATCGGTCTTTGAACAGCCCGGCGCTTGTCATCAAGAAGCTGCGATACTATGCGCGATTCATCGTCGTATGCTTGTTTTTGAACGAGACGGTTGAGATCCGAGAATTGATGGAGGAGCTCACTGCTCTCATCGCGGACTACACGAAAATCTTCAACCCGAGTGACTCTGCTGAATGGAACGTCGTGCTTTCCGAGATCTCAACATTCCTAGAAGTGCGTGCTGGGGACTGATATTGTAGGGCAACGGCTACTTGGTCTGATTCCAATTTTCTCCAGGCTCAGAAGAAAACGACACCGGTAGACTTGGAGGGAAAAGCTCTACTTGCGCCAACACGACTGCAGATTGAGCGGACCCCGAAGTTTGACAAAGATGGCGCAGCACGATTGCGACTTCAGGAGGCAATTCTGGTCGGAAACTATCAGAATCAGGTTGGTAGCTCATCAAAGCAGCGACCAAGAAGAAGGCCCTCGTTCTCATTTGTTTCGCCAGATCAAGTTTTCCGAACTGACGTTGGACATGTACCGGTTGCTGCAAGCCCTTGAACGGGAGCCAACGACCAATACTTCGGCGGGCAAACCCGCTCATCCCAGCGATGACCCGAATGCCATGGTCAGGAAGGAGGAGGATGCACCTGCGGACGGATCTGGCTTGGGATCTTCGACTTCCGCTGGCGACAAGTCGAATCTCCGGAGATCGAACCCGCATAAATACCTGCTCTACAGACCAACGTTTGCGCAGCTTCTGTACTACATAGCTACCACCTTCAAGGTTCGCCTCTTCATTGAATGGGGAATGAGGGCATTGTGGAGTTGATGCTAACGGATGAACTTTCGAAGGACATCAACGAAAACTCAGCGATGTTGATATACATATCAGCCGATGGAGCCAAACGACCCGTGAAATCAGAACACATGGACCCAGGTATGTGATGGACGGAGCGGCTAGTTCGACTTCGCCCGACTCAGTGATGCTTTTGACTCCGTAGCATACCTGACCAACTACTCCGGAGGAGCCGCGACCGCTGTAAATCAGAACTACGCCCGCAAAGGCGGCGACAAAACTGACAGCGAGCAGCATACACCGCTAGTGCATTGCTTACATCCGAACGATCTGGTCCCATTCTCGAGGAAACCGTTGTTTGTGATTGTCGACAGTACAAACAGTGCAGCATTCAAAGTAGGTGACGATCTGCTTCGAATAGAAGTGCGAACGATTCGCTCATCTGGTCTTCAGGACTTCCCGAAAATCTTCCCACAATCCGTGGCCTTCTTGATGAGCCCGACAGAATACCCCGCGTCTATCAAAGGTGATTTTCTCATTCATGCAGATCAGCGAGACTCGGCAATACACAGACTGAACCATCTCTTGCTGTGCAGACAATGCGCAAATAGGAAGTCTCTTTACGCTATTCCTCACCACTCCCATCAAGGCATTCGCCTTCATCTCCGACATCACCGAAGTGAGCAAAGAGGTCTGGGAAAAGTGCTCAGGCTTGGTTAAAGAGACCGAGATCCTCGTGGGCGATCTACTGGACCTATCAACCGAGCTCGGTAAATGATTGACGTCGTGCATGGGAAAGACGGGCTGGCGATGTACTGAAGCTTATTTTGCAGACGCGGCGTACAAGCGATTCCTTCAAGATGATTTCTTGCGGCAGTTCCTCATTCGATTCGTCATCACCGACGCGATATTACATCTGCACAGCAGTTTCAAGGACCCTCAGGTATCTCCCCACCTTTGCAGTGAGCGCTGAGGCCAACTTATACTGACTCATCAATTTAGCATTTCCCATCGGCATTCCCGGCCATGGCGCCGTCTATCGCTGCGACGCCAGAGTTGCACAATAGGCTGAAGGAACTAGTGGACGCGGCTGGGGTCGGTGGGTTGTATAACTTCCCTACTGAGGCGAAAGCGGAACCTGTACAGTGAACAACCTTGGCGGTAAGCAGAAACTTAGATAGGACCTTTTCTTTCCAAAGGGCATATCTCTGCTGCTGCAAATTTGTACATCTCAAAGCTGGTCTTTTGGCTGCCCGTTTTTCTTTGCCAATTCTCAATCTATATCCTCTAATGATTCTGCGAAGTTCCCTTGTCTGGTCTACGTTGTTCAGTACGGTGTTTGACACACCATACCTCCCAATCGTCTGCTGAACGGGGTCCATACGACAGCCGGCTACGAAAGGAGATTGCTGCTTGAGTCTCCGGTCCTTAAGTTCAGCGCATCAGGCTTTCGAAAACTTTTTGTCAAATCTGTCCAACTTTCCATCTGGCTAGAGGCCCAGGAGTCTGCCTCACAGTGCCTAATACCCTCATGTTGGTTACAACTTAGCACCTGCGAAAGCCACCTATCTATATACCCTTACAATTAACCCACCATCTAGTCTATTCGCGCCCAGGCCCGAGAATTCCCAAAACATATGAGGCGCCTCACTGAACTTTCTCCTTGACCTTCTCCTTCACATCTTTCAATGTGACCGGGCGTTCCAGGGGCCAGACAGTGTCGAACGCTTTCGCTACGAGGTGCTCCACAGGGTGGTCGTACATGATAGGGAGGAAGGGAACGACGAAAAGACCTGCCACGGTTGGGGTCCATCGGACGAAGGCCGTCTTCGGGCGGCTGCGAAATCAAGAGTCGTTAATTCCTGCGTATATCGTTCGGCTACACCACTCGTGCTCCTCACCTCTTCAAAGCTTTGCCGGTCATATCAACAACGGTATGGATAGTCAACGCAGGGAGCAGCAAACTCGCTAAACCCTGGAACACGCCGCGTTCGGCAACTACTCTGGCGATTTCCATCTTGTCGGCGTTGCGCTGGGCGGCCTTGTAGCCTTCCAGTGCGACATCGAACCCGACGTATGCGAAGGAGATACCGTATGCGGCATTGACGAGGTTCTTATGGACTACTGGCCTAAACGCTTCACCTGGTGAAAGGAGAGCTGTATTAGGACACACACGATCGAATGACGTACCCCATGAAGGTAGCATTCCAGTACCTACCAACATCCGACGTGTAAGCAAGGTATCGAGTACCAGTGATAGCCAACGTCTTGAACCGAGCAGCATAAGCCAAGAAACGCAGCGGCGTGTCGGTCGACTCCGCGGTTTGGGGATGCTCTATCAGCTGGAGAGGGGTGACGGCTGTGGCTGGGTATTTTGCAATGTCGGCCTTCAGGTCGTCCAGGACGATTTCAGTCACTGGCTTGCTGGTGTCTACATTCGCTGATGGGCTTTGTTTGGCCATTGTTGTCTATCGGTTGAGGTAGAGGTATTGTCGGTGTTGGGAAAGGAGGGAATGTGAGATCACTCACTGGCTGGCTTTATGCTTGTCGGAGCGGCTTCAGCGTCGGCTTTGGGAGCTTTGGGTTCCGCCACGTTTCGCGATCTCCAACATTCGCCAAAATCACAGCCAACCCGCGCCTACCACGTCTACACGCACGTAGCATGCGGCAAGCCGAGGCTCATCACTAGCGATATGTCTGAGCAGGGCTATTCCGGGGACGACATAGCAGAGAGCAATCAGGGTGGCTCAGACTCCGGCGCCGACGACCAGAGTAATGTAGGACCTGAGGACGCAGTTGGTGGCGAGCATGTAGCCCAACCGACGACGACAGGACGGGCAACATATACACCAGGAGCAACGACCCTGGCTACAAACGCCCTGCCGATTGGGGCTGGAGAGGGTGGGGAGGAGAACCTGGATATTGATAGAATAGTCAAGTTGGAGGCGGTCAAGAATCGGTTGAGTCATCTTAGTGAAGCGCTACAGGACTTTTTGCAGTTACCCGAGTTTGGACACTGGTAGGAGGGCTCACATAAAAAGGGGGCTGTGGAAAGGTTTCTCACGTATGGATCTGCTCCCTCCATTCTCCGCGTATAGGCCGAATGCCCTCACGCAGTTCAATATCCTCGTAGCTCGCTTTGAGAGTCTGTTGGGAGACTTACGGAGCAGAAAGGAGTGGTTGAGGACCACCATAGTTGCCCCGAGCTCGATCATTCCAGAGGTGCCGGAGTGGAGTGAGTGAATGCAGATTCACGGCTCTAAGCGTCACCAGATATCCCTGACCCATCATGTGTTTCGAAACGTAGCGCCGAATGTCCTACTCCGGACGACTGTTGAACCGCAAATCACAGAGGAGGAGCAAAAGATCCTTGATGAGTCATCTCGGATCTCTGTGAACTATTTAGACCAAGAAGCCGTGGAAGCAGCCAAGCAAACGCTTCTGGACCGGATGGAAAGGCACGACATTCTCATCCGAGAGTTTTTGGAAGATACACGAAGTCGAGAATATGATAAACAGCTGAAGACTAGGCTGCCGGTAAGCCAGGATCAAGTGAACCCGTTCGATGAGGCAGGGCAGGAGAACAAGCGAGATCTGGAGAGGGTGTTGATGTGGATGGCCAGTGGACCAGGTACGAGACCATAACACTTCGCGATGTAAGTACGGTTCTTGACGTAACTTCGATGATATCCACAGAGAGCTGGGAAGAGAAGCGGAGAATGACGTACGGCGGTAGTGCTCCTTGATCTTGGATGTCGTACCCACGTTGTACATATGTACACACACAATGCCAATTTTCAAACCACCCAAAATGAGGCGATGAGAGTCTGGCTAGCCATTTGAAAAGACACCGTCTATCCTATCAGACATCAGAAGTGGTCTCTTCCGGGCTCGCCGTTCTGAAAGCCTAGTCGGCTGTCTTTCAGGAATTCTCGCAAAATGACAACGAGACTTCGTCACATGTACGCCGACCACCGCCAAAAATATGCACGTGAATACGCCTTCTCACATGCCCGGATCCCTCGCGGCGTGATGCATCATACAACCTCCATTCTCTGCCGTTTTGGTCCATTCGAATCGACATCCGTCCCCAGCACATCTACGTTTTCGTCGTTTTCTGGCACTTCCCGTTTCGCGGCTATGAGTTTGCGCACTAGTGCGAGCTCCTGCTCGAGCTTTCTTATTTGCTCTTCCTTCGCTTGCAGAACTGTTGGATGAGAAAGCTCAGCTGGGATCCCTGAAACTCGAGAGACTACATCAACTTACGCGCTGATGGCTCGTCTATCTTCGGAAGTTCTATCGCTCGCCATTCCTCTTCTGGCAGTTCATACCTGATCAGATACAATGCGAGATGTCAGCGACGTGTCGTACCAGTACAATTCACCCAGCTAGCCTTACTTTTCTTTGTTCTCCTTAATTCTTCGTAGCTTCTCTTCCTTCGTCACCTTTCCTGTCGACTAACGCTCATCAATCTCTGATAGGTTGGCATCCATCAGGCCTGGGTGCATCAGATGCATCATCACTGACCTCCAGAATTGACGATGAACCCATTCTTCCTCTTCACATCCGGCCCTTGTATTTGCGCATTCTTCTCTCCAATCACAAGCGGGTCGATATGGAGTAATTGGAACTCTGCCGTACTCTGTTGCCCCAACATCCTCTGTGTTTGCAGATTCAACTGTGCGTTCGTCTTGCCCGGCAGTGCCCCACTCTCCATGATATCCTTCCAGTTGCCTATTCCGAAGCGCATGAGGGCTTTGCGGAGTATGTCGGCTTCATCTCGCGACCAGCCGGGAGAGAGTGTGCAGTTCCACAGTGAGGCCGAGTCGTTTGGCCGCAGGACGTTGCGTTGCCCTACGGGCATGCTACGAGGCTTGTGATGTGCCATCCTTATAGTATTCTGATGGTGTAGGAGCTCAGCATGAGCAACCATTGTACGTACGCCAGGCGACCTGAAAAAAACATACAGAAAGCGAGGAAGTATGTGACGGTGTTGCGTCGAGGCAGCTGACTGATAGCCTGTGGTGGGAACCGGCTTATCGACAAGTAGACGTTTTCTGCTCGATGCTCAGTTCTGCAGGATTCTCAGTTAGCGGTGGGTTTTCCGTCCGACAATGAGGGCAGCAGGAGCGCAAAAATCGTGATGAGCCCACCTTCAAGCAATACATCGTACCTGTGCTATACCAATCTTGTTGTGCCTGCGTTTCTCGTTTACCACGCCTTTTTAGTGCGAGAGTTACAATTGCGAGTCGAGGAAACCAACGAAACCTCCAGATGTCCGAAATGCACGCTTCGGAACCGGTCGGTCATTGCGCACGAGGCTCATTACGTAAACGATCAACGTAAACGAGGATCAACAGCGGTCGAGACTTCGTTCACCGAGGCTTCCCCCACAGTTACTTGCAATCCGCCGCATCGTATCCTCACTTTCGAAATACACCCTTGGCCGTGGAGCTTCAGGGCAGCAGCACATTCTTCTCGAGCTACAGCTTCGCGAGTATTTAGCGGCACAGCGCGGACCTTATACGGAACGTTCGCTACTGAAGCTTTGTCAGGTTGGTGTTTGTAAAATCATCCAGGCTGGGAAGCCCTATAACGTTGCTCAAGAGCCTGAGAAAGCGATCACGTGCATCCACCCTGACACAAACCGGAGGGAATCTAACTTGAGGAGTGGGCGGCTTTTGTTTGAGCACGGCGGATAGTGATGCCTCGCCTACCTGCGAAACTAAATGAGAGTGTGGCTGTAAAGCAGAAATTGAATTCATCCCTCATACAGGAACTTCTCTTGAGCCCAGACCTTCGTAGCCACCGCGCGCTGGAACCAGCGTTCCGTTTCCGTAGTGCTTCTAAGTGGTCGTCCGGTTCCAGCCGCGTTGGCAGTTAGGAATGGCAGACGCTTCAGTAGAGAATACTCAGGTCACGGACGGTCCATCGATCGAAGTCCGCCCAAATGCCTTGAAAGAGGGACCACCGGTTGTCGTCAACGACAGGGTGCCAAACAACAAAGTGAATCTCCGGTTCTTGCTTATATCTGGACGAAGAACGGATTTGTTGTTCGACCCTACCGCGACGGTGGACTTTGTAAGGTCTCAGATCTTTGAGGCATGGCCTGGTGGTACGTCAGAAAACTCAGATCATACGCTTTTGACTCTGATCGGCTCACTCTTTACTTCCATCATGTACGAACCTCATCGCTTTTCTAGAATGGGCTGACGAGAAGCCAGAGTCTCCTCAAGGCCTACGCGTATTACATCAAGGCAAATTCTTCGAGCCCGCAACAACCCTTGCATGTAAGCCCTGCGAATCTTTGCTTCAGAAAGCCATACAAAATACTGATCTAGTTCGTCTATAGCCCAAAAACTCGAACCAGGACAAACCGTTGTGGTGCACCTTTTACTTCGACCTGGCGCAAACACAGAGCCAGGTAAGTATAGGCACCGGTTTCAAACGGAACCGAAGGGCCTGAGTGAAGCTAACCATGCTCGTTTCACCCCTTCAGAGGAGAAACCAAGGCCAGCTGCTGGAGTCGACGGGGTTGCGCGTGCATGCGCGTGCTGCACTGTTTTGTAACGACACACAAGCAGCTCGCGTAGACCGTGCAAAAAAATCTGTGCCGGGAAAGGAACGCACAGGACCGGAGGGAGGGGGGCGAGTTTGCGAGACATACTCGCGGTTTTTGGCCGGGGTGTTTTTTCCTTGTTTCTTTTTTCTTTCACCTCTTCTGCTGATTATTTGTGAATATCCGTCATGTGCACTCGAAAGTTACAACATTGGCCGCTGAATCAGATGTGAAGGCGGGGGTATCGCTATCGCAAAGGAACACCGATAGGACCCCAAAATAGATACGAGTATTCAACAATTCTACCTCCATCTTTGGAATAGCAGCATCAATGGGAAAGCTAACAGCCCATACAAAAGGATGGACTGCCTCTCCCCGCCAGATTTGACAGACCGAGCACAGTAATCTGCGTCCACACAGCCAACAGTCCTCTGCGTAACTCCATTGCATCCCGGCGTCCCATCTGCCTTTGCTGGTAGTGTACAAGTCCTCGTCTGCTTCTTTGTCCCCGCAATCCCGCCAGGACACGAGATACCCAAGCAAGTGCTCGCATCGACCCAATCAGCAAACCCCTTCGTCTCAAAAGGCGCACAGCCCGCCGTACAGTCATATTTCCCACTGCAAGTCGCTGTAACCCCTGCCAGCACACATGTCACGGTGGAATCAATCGACGTATCCGACAGCAATGTACCGCTCCACGAGCACTGAAACTCAAGGAATACAACCAATCCCGTCATTGCAGTCGCCGTCTGCTCCCATTCGGCGGAGAGCGCGTCGCAGTGGCAATTGTCCGGGAGCGGAGTGGTGTTCAAGGGGATGCCGTTGGTGAGTAGATCGTCGTTTTGGGTTACGGTATAGGCGTTTGTGCAGGCAAGGATGCATGCGTCGGTTGACGCGGAGGCGAGAAAGCCTGTGCAGGAGAGGCCGGTGCTCCGTGTCCATGTGCCTTTCGCCGTGGTGCTTGCTGCATCTGAATGGAAGTGGAGCATTTGATACAATCAACATTTGAATCGCATGTTTGACCGCGAGATTCAAACTCACCAACATGTGCTGCCATGATTCCTATGAAACCCAATGAAAACAACAGGATCCGGGAAAGTGCGTCTTGGATTATGAGCGGCATTGTGAAGACGTTCTCTGAAGGACTTCCGTTGCAGGACTCTCGGAAGTAAGGTATTGTTGAGGGGGGAGACGCCACAGATCACATTTGCTTGGATTTCTGGCTCCGAGAGCAATCTCCGCCGAGAGTGTCATCACTTTTTGACGCGTTTCTGACAGGACGCGTGAGATGTGGCAACTTCCACATCTGAACTTCCGACAGCGTACAGATGCAATACCGCGAGGTACCCGGGGGACATTATGAGGACATTATGAACTTCACTCCTTCAGTGGAGAAGAATGTCAAAAAATGCGGAGGATCCGTTGCAGCATCCTCAAGCCCCGATTAGGGTATGTTGAGAAGTCTTTGATATTCATCATTGATATCTAAAATCCAAGTCCACAGAATGGAAAACGAACACACATGGAAATGTAAATGCACGAAAACGAAATCTAGATGCAGCAACCTCTATGTCGACAAAGGAGCCCGCTCCTTCAGAACAGATTATAGCGCCTAATCTGGGAGACGGTCCTGTAGTTGATGTTCAACAAGTTGACAGGGCCGCTGGATCCGAAACTGACGACCTGAGCAGGGGACTTGTCGACGAGGATGGTGACGTGCGCCGGGTTCTCGTAGAAGACGAGGTCGCCAACCTGAGCGTTGGAGAGGGAGACGGCGGTTCCGTGGTCTTTCAGGGTGCCGGTGTAGCCGGCGTTCCAGCTTTCGCCGTTGAGGAGATCTGTGTCATGCGGGAGGAAAAATCAGCCTTCATCTTGCGTGACTAGAAGCGTAGATCAATACACATACCAGCGCCATTGCCGAAAGCACTCCAGTAAACCCAAGTCACGAACGAGGAGCAATCCATCTTGGGCGGGATGCCGCTGTGCGGGCAGATGTGATTGTCGATTCCGGACCATCGTCCGGCGCCTTGGGTGTAAGTCGCGTGCGTGCCCGTGTTGTGGGCCCACAGTGCGGCAGCAACGATACCGGCACGGGTCTTGGGAACAGGCGAGCAGGGCTGGCCGCTGCCACCACCGCCAGATGGAGGGCTGTCATTTGGGATGGGTGCATGTTCAGTATGCGCCATGTGTTTTGCTTGGCGGAAAAAGTCAATGGACGCTTACCAGCACTTGATGCCATCACCGCCGGAAGGACAGTAGTTGGTCAAGAATCCCTTGGAGCATCCCGTGGACGTGAACTTGCATGTTCCGCCGATACCTTTGCACTTGGCATCGTTGGTGGGGACGCAGCATTTAATGGAGTCGCCGGAGCTGGGGCAGTAGTTGGTCACGTAGCCGCCGTCGCAGGAGGAGGTGGTGGCCTGTTCATCATGAGAAAAATTAGCTGCTTTTTGCTATCAGCAGTTTCATGGACAAAGGGCGACCTACCTGGCAAATGCCTCCGGCGTTCACACACTTGGGATCCTGCGTTGCGGCCGACACGAAGATGGAGAGTCCGGCGAGGGTAGCAATGAAAAGCTTGGCGAGGGTCATGTTGCCTGATGCTTTGGGGATGCAAAGACGTAGAAAGCTTGAAAGCGCTTGAGAGTGGGGTGGGGTGTGGGAGAATGGGGAGGCAGGGAAGCACTCCGGCTTTTATGCTCCGGCATGCATCGGCGAATGCCCTCAGGAAAGGAGGTCCCATCGCAGCAAATCCCGCAGGAGCGTGTCTGCCCCGCGTACATTCCCCAAAAACGGAGGGAAAGCATCCGAAAAAAGAAGAGATGGACAGGAGACGAAAGAAGGCATACGAGCGAGAGCAATGTATCCGTTGCTGGTCCACATTGTGCCTCTGATCGCAAAAGAAGCCCAACCATGGGTTCCACAGACACTGGATGCACACCTTTTCTATCGCCATCAACGGATTTTTGAATGCGAAAGGCTGGGATCTCCATATCTGGCTTCCTTGTTATTAAGCCGCTGACAACCGTGGGGCCTTTCTCTTCTGGAGCTTGATGCTCCGTCGTGGTGGAAACTTCCGATATCATCACCTAGATGCGGCTTTCTTTTTGTCAGGGAAGATGTTTCCCTTGTGAGAGGCATCTGAAAGTTTCCCGAAGATCGCCCGTCACAAGGTAATACCGTGCAACCAAGTTCGTCCAATAAAATTGTTAGTAGGACTTGGAAGCTCTTGGGGTGTCGACTGTACTCTACTGGGTACATCTGTATGTACAACATATGTACTGTATGTACATGCACAGTGGAGGAGTGCATGTGCCAGGAGTCCAGGACCCAAGGAGTCGGTCCGGTGTCGGAGCAGCAAGTCCAAACACAATCACTGTGACGCGTGCGGAATGAATTCTGAAGGGCTCGTGTGCGCGTCGCAGTGAACGTTTTCACATCTCGCGCGACACATCGGTCTCCTTCATCATGGGGGGAGGTTACGAAACGTGGGGGAAGGGGAGCGGGTCAAAGCCACGGTTGGGAACTTGGGAATGGTCCGAAGGCGGCGTTTCTTCCAATGAAAAGTGGAGCTCAAAGATTATGTAGATCTTGGGTCGCTGGTTGAGGTCGCTCAAGGTTCATTAGATTCACGACGAAAGCCTCCCACTTCCGTTTGCCCAAGCTTTGGGGACTCCTCAACATTCAAACGTCCCGCGTCAGAGCTCAAATGGTCCCGCGTCGGAAAGGATGGGGCACCATCGTGGATGCTGGGTGCGTCGCCACATGCAATGGCAATTGGTTTTGGAAGAGATTTAGGGTGATGTGCGATCAGCGCCGGTCAAGGATCTTTCAAGGACATAACCTCGCACGTGTTGATTGACTTCCGTGGCACACATGTACACTCCAGAAAGGGCAGCGTCCTCGTCACTTGTCGCGGAAGCACCGGAAAGGACCCTTACATAGGGGCTACCGCCCAGGCGAACTTGGTACAAGTGCAGGACCCATCGCTCTCGAAAGTCCTGGGAAACCGTGAGTGCTGAGCATTGCATCTACTTTCATTGCACATGGGCTCCAGATCCATGTCGACAGGTGAGAGTATACGTACTGATGTTTGCCTTTCTGGGATGCCGGAGATGGCTTCACGGGTTGTTGGACGTTCAAAGGTTGAAAATTGATAAATGTGAGAAGCTTCCGCAAATTGCCGCAGCTTCTATGGGCGGATGTCGCCCTTAACATGCGTAAGATTAAGTGTACCAGAATACAAAATAATTGTGGATCCTCGGCCGCTGGCGACGCCACCGAAGATCCGACAAAGCCGCGACTTGATGAACTTCATGAAGGATCCCATCAACTGCACATCACTCCGTGCGCGCCAGAAACCTGCTTGCCATGGGCTGCCGCTGAAAGCTGCTCAAAGCTGGCTCCCACATCCTCACCCCGTTCCGACCACGATTCATGCGACATCTTCACACCCATTCCTATCCTACGTACGGTCTCCTGCTGCTACTACGGAAGTGAAGTCTGAACGAACCTACGAAGAAGTCAAACGAAAGTAAGGACTGTGCGATGAGCGGACCGTACGGGTCTCACCAGCACGCGCAACCGCCGCACGGTGGTGGGCCCTACGATGCCTACGGCTACGACGACTCTCGGCGACACGACGACAGAGCCCCTCCGGCTCACTATGGGAATGACTACGGCCAGGTGGGTGTTTGTTGACTAGAAATGCTTTAGCGGGCCTGTCGCTTTGACCAAGCATGAACACCTGATTAAATTCCAATGTCTTGCAGTCCTACTACGAACCGGAAGAGTCGTATTACAACCCTCAACCTCAACCAACATTCAGCCATCCGGCATCAGCAGGCGGACCGGATCCCTATCACGCCCAAAACAACTACAGCTACGATGCACCACAGTCTGCTCACACGCACAATGTCTATGCGGCGCAACCACAGAGGGAGTGCGCGCAGTACCCCCAGCAGCAAGAAATGTCTGCCTACCCTCCTTCCGAGTACAGTGGCTATCCCCAGAACAATGACCTGTACCACCCGCAAACACCATCAACTCCGATGTCCTATGCAGTCCCACACACACCCACAAAGGATGCGTATCGGTATCCCTCGCCCAGATCAGAGTTCAGCCACGGTTCCACAAAGTATTCCCAGGCATCAACGAAGTACTCCCAAGCATCGAGGACTCCGTTAGATCCATCAGGCGCCGCTAAACCAGCAGCTCATACACTGGCTACGAAATCGAGCGCTGGGGCTTTCAAAGCGGGCTTCAATGACGACGACAACAAGAACAACAATAAGCGCATTGGGACACCGCGATATTGCTGCGGGTGCTTCGGCACACGACGCTGCTGTCTCACCTTTGTTACTATTCTGTTCCTGCTGCTAGCGGGCGGCGGGGTTGCTGCGTGGTATTATTGGCCCAAGGTTCCTAACATCGCGACCTCATCGCCCTATATACCCGTCACAGCGGCTGGGTTCAAACTTCCCCCAACAACGGCCGGCGCAGCTTCAGCTTTCAAGTGGTCACCTGGACCTCGCATTACCGGCAGTCTGACCGATGCATCCACCGCCGCTCCGTTTGAGCTCGATCTCGGTCTGGGGGTCAATGTAACCGTGGACTCGCCCAACAACGTCGGCTTTACCATTAACACTTTGAAAGTTGACGTAAGTCTTCCCAAATTTTGCGGCGCTTGCCACTACGGGCATGTCGTCTGACCTTGTACTCTCTCCTCCATACAGGGCACTTTGTTGAACTTGATGGATCCCCAGAAGAAGCCATTGACACCGATGCCTGGTGGTACCCTCATCGCATCTTCGCAGATTGTCGATATCCACATCGACAAACGAGCAAACACGACAATCATGCTTCCCATCCTCATTTCCTATCAACGCAGCTTGCCATTTGATCCACAAATTTTAGCCTTAAAGCTCATTCCCTGCCTACTTGCGCAAAAAATCAATCCGGGCGCTGGGTGCGCCGATCCAGGGGACCCAGTCTTGGCTGCTTTCATCATGGCTTGCGGCATTCCGGGGATTCTAGAAAAGCAGCCGGGCTCGAAGCTGACCATGACCTTGAAGATAGAGCTGGACCTGAAGATCATCGCATGGACGGGGTTCAAACCATCATCTATCCGCGAACAATCCTTCGATTGTCCTTCGACGTTGACCGATCTCTTCAAATCCGTCTTCGGCGGGATGATGTTACCAGGGCCGGCGGCGATTCCGGCAGTGATTCCAGCGCTCGGGACGTAAGAGAATGCAAGGGTAGCCTGCATGTTTCATCTGCAGTTTGGCCAACTCGGGCGTATTCTAGATCTGGATCTTGTTAGACTTGTGATCTTGTTGAGCGGGCGGACATCTGCAGGATCAGATAGAGCAAGTGTATATCTTTATCACCCGATTCTCTACCTCATCGGTTTACCTGTAATTCAAGCTTGTATGCATGTACATACGTGAATAGTAAAAAGATCTATGGCGGAATATGTGTTCAGTTGCCGGAAAGCCCTCTAATCGGCATGCTTCTTCCCCCAGGGAACACTTTTCTGGAGCCGCAATCGGGTGTCTTCCCTTCTTGACTGGCCCAAAACCGAGTCCGTGCATATTTAATCAAAATTTCCCACCGGCGTCACGTATACAGCGGAGTCAGCGGAGTTCGGAGTCTGACCCACACGCCCGGCTCCTGGCGCGAAATGTCCGAATTCTGCAACCGAAACCCCACACCTGAAGCGTTTGTACAGTACAACAATAAATCAGCGGTCGGCTGCGAGATCCGCGGGGACGGTACCGTCTCTTTTTGGGGCCGTAGCGCGGCATGATGAGAGCGGCAAAGGAAAGAGAAAGTGAGCCGTTTCGAAGTTTCTCACACAGAAAGTTTATATTTCAGCGGGAAGGTGAAAGGCATCTGTCAAACCGTTGAAGCCTCATCCGACCTACTCCATCGCATTGCGTTACCCACTCTTCACCAGTCGCATCTCCAACACAACCCATTTTTTACGCACGGTTGAGGTCCAACTTCCATCCCGCTTTCCCACGCCTGACTGTGTCGATCTAGAAACGCATTAGTCAAGAATGGTCAAGTCCGCTTACTACTCGCAGCTCCCCACCATTAGGTGCAGGGATTGTGGAGAGTTGCTCGACGTGAGCCAGCGGCACCGATGTCGGTTCGCAGGAGGCCGCGGCCCCCACGCCATAAACCAACCACAACAACGGCAACAACAACAGCGAGGGCGCTACGAGGAAGCACCATACTCGCCCGTCGACGAGTTGACCGACTCCTACTACTTCAACAATTCCAACAACAGCCCAAATAACTATAATAACAATGGCCGAAGTCCGGGCGGTCCAGACTACAGCCGCGGGTCACCCGGCGGCGGTGGCCCCGCAAACGGGCAGTTCGCCCCGCGAAGCGTTTCCAAGAAAGGCCCGCGACTGGACAACATCCGAACCGACAGGCTAGACAGTCGCGATCAGCCGAGAAGCGCTCGGAGCGGTAGCGCGAGGAGCCCTTCCAGTCCGTACGATACCACGCCTAACGGATCGCGCTACCCTACGGACGACGTTATGTCCGGTCTGTTGGACGAAATGAGTATGGAGAGCAATAATAACCGCGCGCAGGCGCAACAACGATCATCGGGACGGAAGCAGTGCGCGGGATGCAGAACCGAGGTCCATGATTCGAGGCAGGCGTTCAAGATAGAGGCGTTGGACAATCGGGTTTACCACATTCAGTGCTTCAGGTGCGTGCCGGATTCACATATGTCACATTCGAGGAGTGCATATCAATGTGACCTTATTAATACTCGTGATCCGTCAGGTGCTGTGTGTGCGAGCGGGAGTTTGACAACGACAATCCGTTCATACCTCAAGATGGTCTGGCTTTTTGCGAGCAGGACTATCAACAGTCGCTTCGTAACATTTGCGGTGGATGGTGAGATTGCTAGCGTTGTCTATGCGCTGACCACACCCTCACGCAACTCACCACTTCCATTCCTTTCCTAGCGGTCAGAGTGTTTTCTCCCGAGTGGTATATGCTCTTGGCAAACCATGGCACGAAGAGCACTTGAAATGTTCCGCATGCTTCAAGCCGATCAGAGGGAATCCCTTTGAGCACAACAATAAGGTAAGCTTTTCATTTCAGCAGGATTTGCCCATGGATGTGATTTTCTAACTCTTCCCACCCGACAGGTATACTGTGCGGCAGACTACAAAAACCTCGTAGCAGAAAAATGCCGAGAATGCGATTTACCAATCGAGGGCGAAACCATCTGCGCACTGGATTCGTCGTTCCATAAGGAGTGCTTTGTGTGCAAGACCTGCAAGGAACCGTTTGCAGATCGTAACTTTTACGTGTACGACGACGAACCACTTTGCAACATTCACTTTCATGAGAAGAATAATTCGCTTTGCGGTGCTTGTGGGGACCCAATTGAAGGTACGAGCTTTTCATTCTCTCATTCTGTGAATGGAGTCCCACTACTATTGGCAGATTGCTGATACAGGTTCCTTCCTACAGGTCCATGCGCAGACATCGCTGAGACGGGACGCCGTTTCCACACCAACTGCTGGGCCTGCTGCGTATGCCGCACCCCACTGGTGTCCGTCTACTACAGTCACAACGGCCGGCCATACTGCGAGCACGACATCCACGAACTGTACCGGAGGGAAAAGTCGCAAAACCAACGGGCGAAAAAGCGGCAGACTTTGATGATGAACTTGTAGAAGACGCAAGCATGAGGGGCGGTGATGCGGGACATCGCGGCTGTGCCTCTTTAGACGCTACTGCAAGTGGGGAACGCGCATATCACAATATCACAAGTAGCTTTCGGTTTCGGGTCAGGAGCCCGTCTTCGAGGGCTGTCGGATACTCATCATCAGTTAGTTAGCTCAGATAGATTATATAGAGCCAGCCATGTCCCGAATGGATGTTTGTGCTTGGCATTGTATGTTCAAACCATCGGAGTCTGACCATCGTGAGAATGAAATGTGAGAGTTGCGGGTCACGTGATCGATCGCGGAGCCCCGCACACAAGAAGCGAACGGTCACAGCCGACGGTTTCTTCTCTCAGATTCACCAAACGGATTATACACCCATTGGGTCTCATCGGTGAGTGTCAGCAACGGCTACTGAGTCTGGACTCGCCTTGTTTCACTGCAGGAAACTCTCTGCGGTTATTTCAAGTGTGACATTGCAGGCTGGTGTAGATTCATATAAGGGACGGAGAATCCGACAGAGACGACATGGAGTCCAGGCGGGCAAGCCTCTTGGTGTGGATAGTTTCTCAGCTGGCTTCGGAAAAGTTCCGCCCTACCTGCCACCCCCGGAACTAGTCGACCTTTTAGAGGAGAAGGGAATGTAGAACGATCACAACCGACAAGCATCTGGAAACTATGATCTCACTGATTCTAACCTGCTGGCTCTCGGAATTCTCTAGCCAAAATGGGTCGTCGTCCAGCTCGTTGCTACCGCTACCAGAAGAACAAGCCATATCCCAAGTCTCGGTTCTGCCGTGCCGTCCCTGGTATGTCTCTCTCTTTCCAATTTTGCATAGTATAGCCCGCATGGGAAACCGGTCGGGCCATATTACTGGTTTATATCCTAACTTGGCGCATTTTTCAGACCCCAAGATCCGTATCTTCGACTTGGGACGCAAGAAGGCCGGAGTTGACGAATTCCCCTGCACCGTCCACCTTCTCTCCGATGAGTACGAGCAGATCTCCTCTGAGGCTCTTGAGGCCGCCCGTATCACGGCCAACAAGTACATCGTGAAGATGTCTGGAAAGGACTCCTTCCACATGCGTGTCCGTGTCCACCCCTTCCACGTCATCCGCATCAACAAAATGTTGTCCTGCGCTGGTGCCGATAGGTGCGTAGGAGGATATGAGATTGAGAAACATTCGGTCTGGGCTGATCGCTCGATTTCTTGACAGGTTGCAACAGGGTATGCGTGGAGCTTTCGGCAAGCCCCAAGGTACCGTTGCTCGTGTCGACATCGGACAGGTCTTGATGTCCGTCCGCACCAAGGACGCCAATAAGGCTGTTGTCTCCGAGGCCCTTCGTCGTGCCAAGTACAAGTTCCCTGGACGTCAGCGTATCCTTGTTTCCAACAAGTGGGGTTTCACCAAGCTTACTCGTGAGCAGTACGTTGAGGCTCGTCAAGCCGGTAACCTCCAGCCCGACGGTTGCTACGTCAAGTACCTTGCCCCCAAGGGTCCTCTCAGCGCTTACTTCAGGCGTCAGGAGAAGCTTGCTGCTTAGATATCCATCTGGCGGCTCTCTTTCTGTATAGTAAATACTAGTCTCTTGACACTCTATCACTTCGCTTTGCTGTTCCGTTACTCTGCATGACCTTCTGGCCATTCCGTAGCATCTGACCCGGACGATCCAGAAACGAACAACCTCAGCGATGGTACGATGGTATGGAAGATGCACATTGATAATTTTCCAAAATATTGCACGGCGCTATTCTATTGCGGAGCCGGGGCGGTGGGAACAGCCCCCGATTTGATGACCGCATCACGAGCACCCTCATAGAACTTCTTGACGATCGCCGGTACACGAGGGTCACTGGCCGTCGCATCCAATTTCTGTCGCAGCTCCACAAACGCCTGCTCCGTCAAGGGCGACGAATGGTATCTGAACATCAGGAACCGAGCGTACATCAATGGAGCAAAGAACGAGGTCCACCCGAAGAGGACGCCGATCGTCACGACGGGCATGATGGTCCACACCTCCACGTATGCGACATATCGCAAGGCGGTGTGCTGGTACGTTTTGACGAGTCGTAGGATCGTGTCTCGGATTTTCGGGGTGATGGACGATGTGGAAGGAGGAAGGAGCGCCGGAAGGACATCAGAACGAATGTAGTTCAGCGAGTGGAAAAGGGAGAAGGTCACGTATGGGAACAGTGTGGCTGATGAATGGAAAAGCAACTCATGAGCTGCCGCCCTAAACTGGAATGACTATTCACATTCCGAAGCACTCACCAACAAGGGGCTTGGATGTCACCCAGTAAAGTGCGCTCAGAAAGTACCAGCTGTTCTCGTCCCTCAAGACATTCGTGAGGTAGCCCATGCTGATTTGTGGGTTCTACGCAAGACAAAGCCCATGAGATCCCTGTCTCAGAAAGATAAAGTGATGTCATATAGCAACCCAACGTACCCCATGAGCCTTGAACATGATAATCCCATACGAAAGCAGGGTCCCGTAGTAAGCCTTCGCGTAGGCCTTAGCTCCACCATCGGTACTGGCAAACCTGGCGTACAAAACGTAAACCAGTGTCTGTATCACGGTCGTGAGATGACCCAGGAACCACAGAAACTGGGCTGATATGACGAGTTTGGAGAGGCGCTGCGTGAGGGGAAGGACGGGAGCTGGTCTTGACGCTCCGGCGGTAGAAGATTCGCCGCTGGACGGTGCGGGATCGGTTGCTGAGGTTGCTGGTGCCATTTTCTATCCTGTTTCCGCGGTGCAAGATTGCAAGTGTTGTGGAAAGTGAGAAAAGTGTCAAGCGGAGTGTGACGTGTGAACGGGAACGCTTTCGACTCTTCCCTCCAAAGGACGGTCCGGGTCCGATACCCGGGTCGAAGAACTCACCTGACTAGCGTTATGTGAGCCAACGACTGCTGTTTTTCTCAGATGTTCAGATTTCAAGGCAGAGAGAATTGGGGTTGTGTGTTTCCCGACAGAGAGGAGCGGGCCTTTTGAATTGCGAGATTACCGCCGCGATGTGACGCGTGTTGAGGCGCATGCATGTGCAGCCACGTCTCCAGAAGTTCCTGGCGTTCCTTCCCCTTCCAAACCGTCTTGCCGCACTATGAACACATGCATAAATCCGTGGACACTCAGGATTGGACATGTACACACTTCATTTTATTGAACACTGTCCTTCAACTACATACTGTATTTTGCTAGAATTGTACACAAAGACAATGAGAAGACTCAGACCCAAGAAATTGTAGACAGTCGACAAATGAAAAAGCCTAGACCAACGAATAAGCACAACATCAATCTCCGCGGTACTCCTTGACCCTTCTGGTGCGATGCTGTCTCCGCCTCTGAGAGCGGTAGATGGTAGAGACGACGTCCTTGCCAAGGATGAATAAGCATCCTCCCAGTACATTTCGATGGAATGGGTCAGGCAGCTTTTGTCGAACCCATGGGATGGTTCCCAACAACGTTCCCATCATCGAAGACACAGCTGCGTATTCGTGAACGAAGTCAGTAGTGGCGCTCTCTCCCGGCATACCAACAAACGATGCTCACCTGGCAGAAAGAGGCTGCCAAGTACAAGTCGTTGTCCATCCCTCCGCTCCACCGAGACTTCTCGTAGCGGCCCGTCTTCCTGATCATCTTCGCCAGCACCTGCAAGACCGGCATTCACTGCATATGGTCGAGGTATCGCTCGTGCTGAACGATTTGCTTTTGCCCTCCGGAAGAATGGCAGCAGTTTAGCCCAAACCGCATTGTAACCGAGCCTGACCCAAGGCATCAAGCAGATCGTCAACGCTGGCGATGGCGGGAAAGATAGGCGGATCTGATCATTCCCAAGAACTAGGAATGGTAGAAGTGGAAGAGCTGCGTCCGCGGAGCTCAATCTTGAGAATACCAGCCCAAGGGGAATGAGGGGCAGTCCAACCTGCGGGTAAGGCATCAGAGACGGCCGAGATCTGGTGGATGTCGATTTGCTAGTACATACCCATGTCCGCCAGCCCCAATTTGCCTCACTCAAGATCTGCTCTCCGTGATCAGGCCCGCACATTGTCATGACAGCGTATGCTCCATACGTCGTAGACACTACATAAAATGCCATCGACATCCCAGCCAATGTGACGTATGGCACGAATGATTGGATAGATCCATCAACGAAACTGAACACGGACAAGACCACATCTCGAGATCTGTGGGGAGAGGTGATCAGCGCGATGGCGTAGGCAGGACTTTCATTCCATCCAGAATATACTCACTCGTCAACTGCATACACGTGCCCACAGGCCGGGCACTTTACATCGGTATTTCCAGGTTCCTGCTTTTCCGCAATCCACTTCAGGAGGCAGTCTTCGTGCGCGTACTACAGAAACAAGCGTTTGAGGACATGTTTTGATGGTTGGCCGACTGACACCCCCGAATTACCTTCAGCGAATTCTTGCACTTGCAAGGCCGAACCCATTTCAAGCGTTTCGAAGGCTCTTCCTCGTCCTCCTCCAGAAAGCAGATCCAACATCGCTTCTCATCCCCAGTTGACTCCTCCCAAGGAATTGGTGCGGAAGGAGGTGTGATGGATAAGTCCGCCATGCCGCCAGGTCCTGCTATCGGAGGAGTTGTGCTGCTGTGGGCCAGAACGGATGCGACGACCGACGGGATCCCAGGGAATAGTAGGGAGTCTTCGCTCATGAGCAGTCCAAGGTGATGGGCGCACAGGTCGACTTGAGACGTGGGTTGGGACACAGTTTGCCGCACTTCGTTGACAAAGGAGTCAATTGTCAAGTAGCATGTGATGTTTTGTAACCCACTTGCGACTGCTCTGCGACTCTGCGGGTCTCGGCTCTGCATGACATGACATGAACGCGTCGGCCGGTTCCCCAACCACGCCCAATATACAGTACTGTACGCCGAGGGACTATTATACCTCCTCACAACACACAAGTATTGTGGAGAGTCCCCACCCCACGGCACGTAGTTTAAGTTGCTGGCCATCATGATCGAGGGCATGGGCCAAGGGTAGTTCTATCCCCTACAGCGGTTGAAGCCGCTAAACTTCTAGTAGAAAACTTCATTTTTCATCTCTGGCCTACGCCGCCTTCATTTTCGAGCAAATACGCCGCCTTCATTTTCGAATGGCCCGCTGCATGGGCTGCTGGCGCTGTAATCGCTCGCGTTCAACCTGCGCCGCAATTTCTGCCATTCCTGTCCGTGCTTTCGTGCCCGCCGAAAACTCCGATTTGACTGAAACAATACCCATCTCATCTTCCTTCACATCAAGTTCGTCAGTCGCCAGCGGATACAGACGCTCTTGTTTCGGTTCCAGCATAGAATCTATGGGAGCCGAAAAGAAGCCATCAGACGTGAACCATGCAGCTATGACTCGTTGATGCTGCATGACCCCTCACCTTTATCACTTGCGTCGTTATGTCCACCTGAGCGGTCGCTCTCGTCGTCCTCTGAGGATTCACTTTCATCACCGCCATCTTGCTCCTGTTCAGACGGCTGGCTGTCGGTTTCATGATCACTGTCGAACTCTTCGGCAACCTGCTGATGTAATTAGTCGACGGAACGTTGTGACGCGTCCATGTCGGTCACGATGCATACCTCCTTCCGTTCGTCTCCAGGATCGAAATCCTCGTCTGCCTCGTCATCGTCATCCATAGGGACCGTGACATTCTCGATCACTTCGCCTTTTACGTCTCGCAGTCTCGCAAAGTTTCTCCGATGCGATTCAACATATGCATGTACGCGGTTCATCTGCTGCCGCGGGAACATCTCAAACTCCAGCTTGCCATCCGTTGGTGGCTTCCTTGTCGTAAATGCCTCGGCCTTCACATCCGACGGGTACACGGCAAGAGTAAAGAAGTGCCGACTAACAGCTATGAGCTCTATATCGGTCACGGTTCTGAATGGCAGGAAACGAATCGGCTTTTTGAAGCCAAACAGTAGCCCCGTCGGAAGAAAGAACATATGTCTGTGTGATCAAAAGTCGTCAAGCGACGACGTTGGCGGACAGTATGCGGGACATCAGTTCGTAACTCACCCACGGGTTGTATTCTGTGCACATTCCAGTGCCGGAAGCTCCCCATTGGTCCCAGCCAGCTCTGACGTCGGGCAGGGCAAGGTTTCCAGCGTCTTCCATATATTAGCTTTGCAGTCGGCGCCGCCCAAGTCTGCCGGACTGCCCCCATGGGGCCCGTTGATCGTTACACCCTTGGCGACATCAAAGCCGAATACAATGGGATCTTTTCCGGATACCATCAAGCAGAATGTGAAATGCGGTTTTGCCCTAGCTGGGCTCGGAACGCAAAGTGCATAGCATATGTCCGAAGTCAGGAAAAGGACGCTGTCGTGTCCGCTATTCGTTGCCGAGTAAAGGCGAATAGATTGTCTATGAATGTGCATTGAGCATTTCTTCCGAAGAGGGCTTGTGAACGACACGTCTTCCAATCTATACAATAGCTCATCAGCTGCATCGGGCTGAGACGGACCCGCCGACGTTGAGTCCGGCCCATCTAATTTGCGCTTTTTGGCTGGACCTTCTTCCGCGCGCGTTTCCGTGGAGCCGGCCCTTGCCTCTATGGCCAGGTCCACGAGCCTTTCAAAGATCGACCGCAACTGCAAATTGGCTTCCGTGGCGTCCAGAACCTCCTGCCTCAACGGCATGGACAGTTTGCCAACCTTTTCAACATACGAACTATGTTGGGATAAGAATCAGATACGAGATGGTTTCGCACCACGGGCTGGGCTGCTTACCTATCCATGCCTACGTCCCCTCGTCGAAAAGCGATGAGCCAAAGGGGATTAAGCTTAATATCCTGACTGCTGCTATTTTTGCAACTGGCGCACTTGTTTACACGCTGCTCGGCACAGATGAAGAAAAACAAGGGGAAAGTGGTCGCCAAGGGGGGCGTGAGTCCCTTTTCCGCCAACGCTATATAAGAGAGGTGCTGTACTGTGCAGGACCTCGTGAGAAGTGAATGTGCAGAAATCTCATTTATCACTCTTCGTCGTCTCGCCTGTCCTGCCAACCCATCTGCATGGGCCACGGTCAGCGCGCGCGACAAGGTCCTCGTCAGCATCGACAGCGCATCGTCCCGACGGAATTGACAGCTTCGCGCAACCACGGCTCAGACGTGCATACGCACAAAACTATTCCGCCATCAACGTAGACCGCCACTCTAGGGTCTAAAAGTTTGAGAGGTACCCTCGCTTTTGGCAGAACGACAACAGCAAAACATTGTTGAATCATGAGCGACGCGATGGACGCCTTCATTGAAACATCCGCCCATGACTCGGCTCACCAGCAGACTCACCAGCAAGCCAAGAAAAAAGCTGCTATTGGGCAAGGCTTGGCCGAAAAGCCTCGACAGACCGCAAGGCCCCTCGCCACCGCTGATGACCACACCGCGGTTGCAGCCGAGTACAGATACACAGGCTTGGGGGACGCGGATGCTCACGACCTCCCCCCACATCTGTCCGATGCCACTCATCAAGCGAGCTTCCACGACCACACCATCTTAACGGACGAGGAAGTAGTTGAAGCTCTCGCCGAGGCCACCGGGGGTCGTGGAAAGAACAAGCGTAAGCGTGCGGCGCAAGACCACTTCTCTGAGCTCGTCAGTGGCACCGAAGAAATTCCCGCGGACCTCACTGATGTGCTGGCCAAGAAGCTGAAACTAAGCAACAGCGATGTGGAGGCGTGGTTCTACCAAAGGTACGTTTGTTGTTGCTCGCACATACTCTCGATACAAACACTTCTTCTTACGTTGCTACAAATCTACAGGCGCACAATACACAAGTATACGACGGCGAGCAACGGATCTGGACACGGAGAACTGGCTGACCAAGAGCATGCCCCACAGTCGTATCAGCCGCGACCAGCTACGGAAGCTCGCAGGCCAACTGCGGTCACCGGAGCTGGAACCACTGAATCATTGGCACAAGCCCAAAGACGCGAATCCGCCTCAGCGGCCCGTCGCCCAAGTGCGCAACAAATCCCACGCGGAAGTATCATGATGATGCCGATGCCGATGCCGATGCAGCGTCGCGCATCGCTCATGTTCAATCCGATGATGCCACCGCAGATGCTTCCGTACCCGCAACTGGCTGGTCCGATGGGAGCACCCATGCCGCCGCCATACTTCGCAACGCCAGTCTTTTTGCAGCCGGGGATGCCAGCTAGTCTGGCGAGTGCAGCTGCAAGTCGAAGGTTCACTTACGAAACTGGCAATCCGGACCTTGCTGGTGGACACCCATCACTCTCGTCGATGTCAGCCATGCCCCCACCGCAGCTGATGCCTCAATTCTACGGACAGATGATGTATCCTGGGGGAGGTTACCTCGTGCCTGTCCCCTACGCTCCTCCAATGCCTTCCGCATCAGCTGCCGCCGTCGCCGCTGCGAGGGCAAGAAGGCAGTCATTCCCGCAGCCGCCATCCAACCACGAAGCGGCCATGTACGCAGCGGCACAGAACTCGGAATTCGACGACCTGCTTGCCCCAACAGCTGGCGTCGGGCAAGTGCCGTCCGCTCAAAAACGGAGCAGGAGCGCCAGGGCCCAGCCTGCCCCTCATCCTCATCCAACCAGTGATGACGTTTAGTCAGAACCATCATCAAACGCCTGAACTCTGATACCCTTCGCCAACATTGTGATCCTGTTATTGGAATGGACGCACTGCGAAATAATCCCCTTCTTATGAACTTGTCCGTGTGCTAGTATCTCATGCCATTATTCGCAGTGGTATGAGGTGAGTTAGTTTTAGGCTCTCATATGCATATCATCTCGACGAATTGGGGCGTCCCGTGCAATCACCCTCATGCATAAATACACCATTGAAACGTATATACATGCTCAGGAAGTGGGATGACAATTCCGTAGGTAGAAGTTGGGAGCGAGCGGAGTTTGACAGCGGAGGTGAGTAGAGGAGCAAGTGGCTGTGCACGTAAGTACCAAAGCACAGTCACGTGGCGATTCATTCAGATTAATTGTCAGATTCAGCTGCAGTTGGGGTAGATCTCCCCCTCCGCCTCCGGTTTGCATGTGAGATGTGCATTTGGAACCGAAAAACAGGATCCCGAGTCTTCTGCATCCCACCATTGTCAATTGCCCAATCTGATTTCAGACGTCCAACACTCTGCAAACGGAAGGCAGAAAGCGTAACCCATTACCCTCCGGCTCACGAGTCTAAACTTGGTCTAGAGCAGGTGGAGGAGAGGAAGAGACATCCCGACGAGTAGTTGAATCGATGTGGAGCCTCTGCTACTTGACGGTCGGCAGCGACATACTGTGAAGCGACCTCGGACTCAACTTTTCCGGCGCCAAGCACAAACCCTGCCCTTCATGAGGTCCAGCGGGCAAGCGGTCTCGGACGAGACGACGCCGCTGCTGGTAGTGGTCGATTCCAATTACGGCTTGTATCATACTCCATCCTCAGGCTCACCATCACCGCCCCGATCACCACCGATTCCGCGGCCTGCACTGCTATACTCCCGCATCTCAGACTATTGTCACACATATTCAGATGTTGAGCACGAAGATGATGACAGCGCCCCATTTATCCTGGGCGTACATCAGTACGAAGATGGCGACCCGCTTTCTGGCCTCGATCAAACATATGACCTTTATCGTTCGTTGTATGGAGAGGATCCACCACCATACTACTGCGATTCGATATCTGAGGAGGTTGTAGACGAGCTGCCTACTTATGGCGAGGCATCACTTGTAACAGGTACAATGTTCATAGTTGCATTAAGTGCCTTCACGCTTTTGCTCACTTATACTATCCCTTCCAGAACAACACACAGACGATGAGTTTCAGGATGAGGACGAAGAAGGGCAATGGGGCGGGTTCTTGCTCTCGACATTCTTCACACTGCTGATAGCATGTGCTACCCTTCTGGCCATCGTTCCGATGGACTTCACAGGGCCGGAAGTCAGTATTGCAAAACATGCCGAGGCCCTACAAGCGCCGAAAGCCGTTGAATACGTCCCGGCCACTGGAAGGGCTTTATCCCGAAAACACAATGCTTTCAATGCACGAATAGACAGTAGAGGTTATCGCAGCGCGAGCTTATGATACCCGCCGACCTCTTTTTGGAACCTGCCTTGCTCGGGATCTTCTACTTCTAAGCCTACGCTTGTGCCTCTATACCCTCTACTTCCAGTGGGTGTGCTTACCGTGCATCTGTACATATTTCTAAAGCATTCACTACGTATATATGTAAATAAGATCCTCGAGAAACTCGGTTTTCTTCATGGGATGATTGTTATTATTTGTGACAACGGACTGAATTGCAAATCTCGGGATGTGTGACTACGATCTCAAGCTGCCATATGCGGGAGTTTCAGTGAGGAGGCCATCTTATGCTGGGCCAGTTGAGATGCTCCTTTTGATGTCTCGATTTCATGCGGCACTTTGATGGCTTGCTGCTAGAAGTCGCAAGGAGACATGTTAGAACTCAAGTTTTTTGCCTGCGATCCCTCGGTAGCAGTAACAGCTGCTACCTTGTAAGTCTCAACAGAGTCGACCACACGTTCCTGCGTCGCATTCTTCCCATCCCGATAGTCGCGAAGCATGCTTCTGATAATATCCATCTCTCGTGACATGGTCACCTGCAGCGTCTTCGCCTCCTCCCTGACACGCTCGGAGGTTTCCTTCTCACTCACGAGTTCCTCACGCAGTCGAATGATTTCATCAGCCATGGCCTCGTGCTGCACCTCGAGGTCCGAGATGATGTTATGGGATCGCGTGATCTCCCGCGCCGAGGTTTCCGACATGTCTGCAACCGATGGCGGGGTGTAGAACGCGGAGGATAGATCCGGGACGCGGAAGCCGCCTTTGAATTCGGTTGGAGGGACCAAGCCTTCTTCATCGTCATCCTCAACCTCCTCGTCTTCCTGCCCGTCGTCAAGCTCTTCGTACTCGTCCAACTCTTCTTCGCCTTCGCTGCCGAAATCAGACACTGTCATGCGATCGCCATCAGCATCGGACTGGTGGATGAGCGCCTTCTTCTGCGATCGAGTCTGATTATAACCTTCAAAAGTCAGATTTCCGCCGGATTTGACCACTGACAATCATTCAATTGCGCGTATTACCGAGGGATTCGTTTCCTCCATGATAGACATGCGACGCGCGACTTCCACAGCGGAATGCTTCTTCAAAAAGAACGAGTCGACCAAAGAAGGTGCCCATATGACGATGGCTGCTACGAAGATGATGAAGCCTGGCGAGGAACGAACAGTTTAGCCGTACTGTCCTGAAAGAAGAGCATACTGTGGGAATCATCACCTACCAACGCCAAAAGCTTCAGATGCTCGCTCGCTGAGCACGACGTAATTCATTGTGTACGGCTTTCTGTTGGTTTTCCGAGCTGCGATGAAAATTTCACAGCGTAATGTTGACTATTGCCCGGACGACGCTGGAGTCGCAAATACGCTGAAGGCTGCGTCATTTTGTCAGTATTGCCGGTCTGGGTATCAAGGAGCCCTGCCGGAGGTGTTTGCGGCACTATTCCGAACAAGGTTAACTTTACTGCTCTGAGTGTCGTGGCAGAGGGGCTGAGGATTGGGGCTGGGATTGGGGTAAGAGTTCGCGTTTTCCCCACCTACTTGACGTTCCTGGAATTTTCCTTTCCCAGAGGACTCTCCATTCACTGCGACCATCGGCAACCATACGCCTCGGTCTACGTTCGCCGCATAACACGTCCGCCAACCACGAATATCGCTCTTGAAGGCCCATTACATAGGGCTTCTTCTTTATCGAGGCGGACAGTCTGTGCATATATATCCCGAAGGGCAAACATGGACGAAGACTTGCTCCTGGACCTGGAGGAGCTGGGAGGAGATGAGGAGGAGCTGGATGATCTCGATGATGGCAACGGCGACGACGATGCTATGGAGGTGACGGACGACCTTCTGCCTACAGCGGTGGCGGGTGATGACGTTCGAGCAGTTGCAAAGCTTAGCGACTCGAAGCAGTTCAAAGACGCCATGCAGGTGGGACTTTGCATGTGGTTCGTATATGAAGGGGAACGTCTTCCTCACAACCCGTCTTTCGAACAGAAAATCGATCAGTTCATGAACAACCCACGGCCGCCAGAACGGTCGGCGGGGCATACGGAAGACGATCCGGAGTACAAACTGATTGTTCAAGTGAACAACCTGACGCAGGATATTGACACCGAAATGTTGATTGTGCACAAGGTAAGCGAAGGCATTTTCATAAATGTTGCCATTTGCCTCAAAGGCTATAACATTGCTTCTCGCCGTTGACTGAGAGTAGATTTCTCTCCGATAGTACATCAGGGACCATTATGCGTCAAGGTTTCCGGAGCTGGAATCGCTTGTGCCCAACGCTTTCGCATATGCTCGCACGGTGAAGCTGATAGGAAACGAGCTGGTTTGTTCGAACAATCTCTGTTCTGTCCGATTCCCACGTTCCTGGCTCACTGACCTCACTTGCAGGATTTAACACAAATAGGAGACCTGAAGTCGATCCTGCCGCAGGCGACTGTCATGGTCGTCACTGTTACCGCAACGACAACAAATGGTCAGCCGTTGAGCGAAGATGCCCTACAAAGGGTCCTACGTGCCTGTGATACCCTTCTGGCTCTCGACGCCGCAAAGCAAAGGGTGAGCGTCTCTCAACTGATAAACTCTTACATCATTTCATCTGCTAATCTTGGCAATTTTTCTTTAGATTCTGGAATATGTCGAATCGCGCATGTCGTTCATCGCTCCAAATCTCTCTGCTCTCATCGGCAGTAACATTGCTGCGAAGCTGATGGGGCTTTCAGGAGGACTGAAGCATCTTAGCGCCATTCCGGCTTCTAACATCATCGTGCTGGGGAAACAGATGAAAATGAATACAGGAATGTCGTCCGTGACGCAGCAGAAGCATCAGGGAATCGTATACACGACAGACTTGGTCGCAAATGCACCGCAGGAGTTCCGACGCCAGGCTGCTAGAATCTTGTCTGCCAAGTGAGTCACTATTCACATACCCCTCGACCTTCCTAGCGTGACCTGGTCACTAAACACAGTTGCACCCTCCAGATTAGTGTTGATGGCGCGAGTAGATCAGGCGGGAGCATGCGCAGATGGCTCCATGGGGCGCGACATGCGTGACGAAGTGCAAAAGAAGATAGAAGTCGTGTCTCAACCACCACCCGGCAAGAACATCAAAGCACTGCCGATCCCAGATGAAGGGCCCAAGAAGCGCCGAGCAGGAAAGAGGTTCAGGAAGGCGAAAGATCGTATGGCGCAGACTGAGCTTTCCAAAGCGGCCAATCGCATGCAGTTTGGAGTTGCGGAGGATGAGGTCGGCTTTTCGACTGGGATGACGAAGGGGTTGGGAGTCATTGGGCAGCAAACTGGAAAAATCAGGGCCATGCAGGCCGATGCTCGGGTCAAAGGTAAACCGAAGAGTCTCTGTCTTTACAGGTCATACAGCATGTTCTAACAGGACTCCGCTTCTCATTTCAGTTGGAGTCGCGAAGAAGCATCAAACGCAGTTGGGCAGGATATCTGGCGGCGCGACATCCGGCTTCTCCTCCTCGGTCGCTTTTACGCCGGTCAAAGGAATTGAACTGGAGAATCCCGAATTGGCCGCACAACGCATGGCGGCAACTAAAAACGACAAGTATTTTGGAAGTTCTACCTTTGCAAGCGTGCTCAGTAAAAAGCGGTCGTTGGAAGAGGCAGTCGAAGCGGCGAATAAGAAGGCAAAGCCGTCATGATCTCAAGGAGTATAGAACGCGTACAGCGGGATGGCGGTCATCCAATGTGTAGATAGTCCTCAATCGGGATAGATCATGGAATTTCTATTTCCATACATTATACACAGAGTCCCGGAAGTTGGCGTACCGCGTATCATGAATGAGAGTGACCCAAAAAGTCTTCTGCGTCGCGATGGTTGACCCAAACGCTGGAGTCCTCTCTATTATTAATGCCGATGGTTGCTGTTTCCCGTCAAGCCGTGGCTGACGTGGAATCATCGAAAACTCGGTGATATTCATAGACCTCACAGCCTAGACATAACAACGCTGTCCTACGCTTTTGGGCTACTTATGCTTCGCCCATGGCCCATGCCCACTGGGGCACTCCGTGGGGCCAAATACGGGGGGGGTTCGCAAAGGGACGAAACTAAACTATCTCTGAAAGGCTCACCGCCGTCTCGAAAGGCATCTTGACACTTTTAGGGTGGTGTAGCGAGTGCTTGCTTGGCATTCGCGAGATCCACTTGTGCGGGTGACTTGAGTCTGGCAGTTATGGCATTAGACTTGAATTCGACATGCCGCAGAGTCGTTCTAGACGGTTGACTGCTTTCACGGGAGGAGAGTTTATTGTAAGCGACGGGGTCTAACAGCAAGCAGCTTGACAGCAGACAAACACACAAACTTACATGCGGGTAGGGATTTTCCAAGCAGATGCTAGTAGTGCAACCGTATATGCGTTCCGAATTCTCAAGGGGGGGATGCCGGTACTGCCCTTCTTTTATATTCTTGGGAAAGCACAGGGGAAGTGTCTGGCACTCCTCGGCCGTATCGATGGAAACGGGGACGCTTCCGGAGTATGGTCTGGACGATAGACGAGCAAAATAATGCATTGCAAGGAAATCTACAAGAATGGGATTGCAAATAGCTCCTCCGTAGCGCCCACCTACGCTAAAGATATGCAGGAGGGAAGCTTGAAACTAGTCGCACAAAAGAAGCACAGCAGCCTAACGAGCTTCAACACCGACAAGTGTGCCGATGATGTCCGACCTCGTCACCACCCCAGTCGGAATGGGGTTCTCGGGAGAGTCCACCACCCAAAGCTGGTGAATGCGGTTTGTGACAAGAAGCTCGAGCACCTCGCTCAGAGAAGTCTGAGGTGTGCAAAGGATAGGATTGCGGATGTGACCATTTGCCGACTTGCTCTGTGAACAGAAAGGTGAGCTACTGCATCAGTAAGCTCGCGAATGATCAAAGAACAACCTTGAGATACTCCAATACTGGCTTCTTGAGCTCGACCAGCCCGGCCTCTGTAATACCTCTGAGATCTGAAGCGCTGAAGTTTGCTACTATCTTGCCATCTTTATCCACAACTGGAACTGCAGCTATCTTCTTCTCCTTCATCAATGCCAACCCATCAATAACAGTCCGGTTGTCCCGCATAGTAATCACGCTGCTGGGATCTCCAAGTTGTTTGAGAAGCGATATTTTGATCGGAATTGTAAGATCGATCGACGCCGAAACGACGGATGGATTGGCATGGATAAAGCGGATGATATCAGTTTGCGTCAACAAGTAGGCTTTGCGTTGGTTGAGGACGTCGGTGATTAGTGCACGATGCACTCCGCGAGCGAATGCCGTCAGAGTCTAAGAAGATGAATGAGCTCAGAGTCGGGGTTATCTTACGGCATTTGATGGTTACCGATTCGATGGTGTCCAAGAAATCCCGCTCCCAAATTCGATAACTTTCTTCAATTTCATCGCCTAATCCCAAGCTCTCAACGCTTTCGATGCAGTCTTTACTAAGATTGATACTTTGACCCTTCTCCAAGATGTACGATATAATGTCCGACAGTCCAACGATGGCGGCGATGTTTGTACTGCCGACTCCTGAGCGGCGGCGAATCGGGACACTGACGGTGTCTTGGGACTTCATAAAGTCCAAGACTTCCGTGATGTAAGCATGTGGCGAGATGCTGTGGACGGGACGTTTGGAGTCTTCCAAATGGAGGTCGGCAAACGTCAGACTTCGAAGAGATGCTAGTGGCGCCATTGTACCGATCGCTTATGTTTTCTCTGGACTTTTAGATGCCTCAGAGAGTCACGGATGCCTCTGAGAATTGCGAAAGGAGGCTTTCTCTGCGAATCTTCCGTGTCATGTCACAACGCGTGCGCGGAAAGGGCCGAAAGCACAGCGCAGTCTTCTCCCCATCTCGGGTCAGGAAGGCGACGCATACTCAACAGTCCAAGTGCAAGGTTGCTTGATCACGGAGCTCACGGGATATACTGTACTCGAATTGTACTTCCCCACACTATTGAAGAGCCATCATGGAGGCCCCAAAGTCATCCAACCGCCGAGCCTCCCGTAACCGCCGCGCAGACTCCTTCATCTCAGAAGTCACTTCTACCAACGATGAGGTCGCCAACAACCTCCCGGCGCTGGGTAAGGAGCCCCCTCGGGGCGGATTCCAACACGATGCTCAGCTTGTTAGTCCGGAGTAAGTCAAGGCGCTCATGGGAACAACGAAAAAAGCACCGAGGACCTGACCATGTTGCGTCCCACAGAGTCGCTCAGCAGATAATTGGCGCGTTGGAAAGTATGTTCTCTAAGTTCGCATGCATGGACTTGAATTCTAAACCTGGGCTCCGACTATGACTATCGCAAAGAACGGGTTACGGAGTGTGGACAAGGCTTGTCGATGCATCTTGAGAAGAAGTGCGAGCAACGTCTCGCCAGTGCTACTCAGCTCCTCGAGAAGTTCAAGGAGACGCAACAGACGAAAGTGTGCGCAGCGTTTCTGCGGGCCTCATTCCCGAGCGCTCGAGATTGCTAAGCCGCTTCCGTCGTCTCCAGTATCCCGCAGATGGAGGACTACAAACGAAAGCTCGATGAAATCGCGGATGGGCGCGGTGGCGAAGCTCAGAAACAGCTGAAAGAGTCTCTTGAAAACCATGAGGTGATTTTCAGAAGTTATGTTCCGTCTTCATACGGATCGGTCTCACAGGTGTGGCACATTGGACAGTTGTTGATGAATACGCTGTTTGAACGCTTCGACAAGAACTCCGCTGCTATCGCCAAATGCCGCAAGGGTTTTGAGAAACAAGCGCATGAACTGAGTAACATCTTCTTGGTTTGCAAATACCCGTCAACCTTTGTCGTTAAAGCATTTTGATAGGGGTCAACCAGCAAGCGGAAAATGCCGCCTTGTTGAAGAAACTAGAGCAGCGGGTCAGTACTTTCAAGAAGACGGCAAACAAGTCGGCCCAGGTACGATTGAAGCATCTCTGATAATTAGGCTCTCATACTCATACGCTCTCGGGACAGAATCAAAACTTCGCTGCTGTTAAGAAGGTATGTCAAGCGCGAACGATGTTGAGATTGCGGAAAGCAGGACACTCATGTCGCGGATGAACAACCAGTCGATGATGTCCCTCCTCTCGATGTGAACATTTTTTGCGCCTTCGACGGACCCCCAAGCGTAGCAGTTGTCCTATTACATATATCTGTTTCTTATAGATTGAATGCAATGTGATTCTATGTGTACAAGAATAATTATCTTGGCAAATAGCATAGTGTGGTGAAGGTTGTGTGAACCCCAGCGCAGCACGCCGCTATCAGGCTCTAATGCAACGAATCTAGCCTTCACGCTCTCTGCGCTGCCGCGAGAACGGATCCCGTTCACCATCCTTCGGTGGAGCTGGCAGTAATTCTCTCGGCAACGAAGCTGTATCGCCCATGAATGTTGGAAACGGGACCTCCACTCCTGACGGGAATGCCTTCTCGTACCATCCCTTCCGGACGGCGTCTTTTATCCGGACGTAGCGTTCGTCTGTCCCGGGCACTGCCCCCTTCACGTAAACCAGATTGTTTTCTGTATCTATTTTCATCACCTGCCAGCACACCGTTGTCAGTTTTAAATACAGCATCGGTCTCAGAAACGGAGCCAGACGTACCCTCAGGTTCTGCACCGTTACGGTGTCGTTACCCATGTTACCCGCCATTTTCTTTCCCTTCCACACTCGTCCCGGATCCTATACGAAACTGAGGTCAGGTCCAATGCTCCAAGTCCCCAAGCCGCCCGCGAATCCGGAAAGACGTACGATTTGGCCCGTTGAACCAGCGCTACGGTGCGTCAAAGATACACCGTGCGATGCTGGTTGCCCCTTGAATCCCCACCGCTTCATGACACCTTGGAAACCTTTCGCAGATCTGTAATCGAAAACTTAGATAGCTTCTTCAACTCCTCAATTCGTAAAAATGTTCGTTCTTACGATGTCGCCTGGCAGTCCACATATTGGCCTGGTACAAAGTGCGCCGCTACAACGCGAGTCCCTGCAGCAAGTAGTGTGAGCAGGCCGAGCGTAGCTACGAAACGGTTTATGCCGCCGCGAAAGGCAGGTCGCCTGACATACCCGTTGGTAAACAGGCATCGGGTGAGACCTGGAATCCCGTCAATTTCCGTTTTGGTGCTACCGTCCATCGTCGGTAGTGAAACAGCTGCGCCTTGTTAAGGTTATGCAGCCGAGGATGGTCGACGGCTCCCATTTCTACAATGTATGAACCGCATCCAGCATGCCACCGGGTTCGAATCACCTCACAGTCCACAATCTTCAAAAAATCGAACGTTCGTCAGGATCAGCCCCTTCTAGAACATCTCGTCTCTCTGGAGTGTTACCTGCAACACTGTCACAGGCGTCAGAACACCCCATTCGTCCCACAACGCCGTCATGCCCTTCTTGATCCCTACGACGCCCGTTCGCTTCGATTGAGGGGTCCATTTCGGTTCAGCGACTTTCCCTGAGGCATCGGCTACGGGAAAGGTCGCTGGTGGTGGTGGTCGCAGATGCAAAAGGCCCTTTCGTGGTTCTGCTAGCGCTGCTGATGCTGCTGGTGCCGTGGTCGTAGAAGAAGTTGCTGCAGCTGCCTTTGTGGCGGACGTTGTGCGCAAAGAGCAGACAGCCCCGGCACCAGGAAGAATCGTGGCTGGCAACGCCGGGCGGCTCCGTAACAGGGTTTGCTTCAATAGTGTGGAAGACATTCTCCTGATCTTTCTTGACGCTTCCGGCTGATGTTGTCGATCTGGTGTTCGAGCTCGCAGTGAAAGGTCGCCTCAAGAATGTTCAGTTTCCGTCGCCATACTTTAATTCGCACGTGACAATTTGCATTCTGACGGGCTTTAACAGCGCCAAAAAGTAGTGGCAGCAGGTGGCAGTTCAGCAGTTCATAGTACGCAAAGGTCTGTACAAATATAGGACAGCCTAGGTTAATGTGCTCCATGTGCTTTAGAAAACTCCAAGTGCCTTCTTCACTTCAACCCGCTTCCAAGGCTGAAGTTCCCAATAAGCTTGCTTCGTCATCTTGAACAGAGCTTCGAAGTCTTCTTCAGTCATGTATGCCTACGGGCAAATGTTTCAGTCGAATATCAGAAAAGCCTGAGCATGCGAAAGAATCACCTACCTCCAATCTCGTCGGGTCCAGATGGGGCGGCACGTTATCCCCTAATAATATCTCCACCGGGTAGGTCTCCCGCGTATACTCTTCGAGCACTTCCTTCAATGGTCTCGATAAGACCTGGTTCTCGGCGTACAATGACTTCCGCTTCGAGCGAGCCCACCCCGGGAATGCCCGGGAAAATTCATGCGGTTCTTGATGTTCATAAGTAACAAACAGAGCCGGTGCTTCCGAGGCCTTGCTGCCGTACTCCTGCAAGAAAGCGCACAGTTGGCATTCGCATCGAGCACAATCCCGCTGAGGCAGTTGCTTACAATGGCGGTTTGCATCCCGATAATCTTTTCTGAGGATCTTGAGGAGCTGCCGAACCATACATAGATGGATGAGAAACCATCTAGGATCATGACCATCTTGGCATCCAGGTCGTCCTGCACAAACATCGGGACTTCTTCGACCTAGACCGGACGGTACGTTCATTGGTCAAAGTTAACAAACGCTATGAAATGGAGCACACACCTGCACGACTCCACTTCCGGCGGAGCATGCGAACAACCGAGGAAGATACCGGGCTTTCGTCGATCGAAATGAAGGAAGCTTTGCACCGTAACTTTCGAAAAGTCCTGCTATTTCCTTCGGAAGCTTCTCCGTCTCTCTGACGATGTGAACTGCTGACTCTTCTGCCAGGAACTTGCGTGCAACCGTCGCCGCGTACTGCTGCTCTCCTAGAACGGAGTGAGCGCCGGTCCAAATGTAAGCCATCTTGTCGAATATTACGAGCGTAATGTGATTCGAATTGAATGGCAGATCTGCAATGAAGAGCAACATGTCGTGTAAGTTGTTATTTCAAGAACGCTTGGGATGCCGGCAAAGTTAGTACCTTGCATTGCCACTTCAGTGGCTTTGAAGCAGCCTTCATAACATTCTCGGATGTCGAATCCCACCGGTAAGCCCAGAATTTCACCATCTCGCCGCTGACGCCCAATCCTGACGACGATGCCGTCGGAGAACAGCTTACACAAGTGCAGTGGCTCTGGGGTGTTACGATATCTATGAGTTTGCCACTTGAACGTTCATCATGCGCTAAAGACTTGTGGAGCCCCTACCTTTCCCTTCGACTACTCGAATTTGAGTAACGTCACCATCAGTCTGCTTGCTCAACTCGATGGTCAGCAACGCGCTCGTCCCTTTTTGGGTGACGGAACTGGTGGAACCTTGCCAGAAGTAACTGATGCACTTCTCCACACCACTATTTGGCGGTTTGTACATGTATGGGATGATATAGCTTTCCCCTTGAAAGAATTGGCCCACCAGGTGTGCGGGGACGTCGTGGCACAGGAAGTCCTCGACACGGTGGACGGACCGGCGTCCGGACTTGCCGTCATCCGGGCAGGTTAGGAGGTGAGCTGGCAGCGACGCACGTCGGGGCAGTGTATCAAGGTCAATCTTTGGTTGCGCAAGCTGAGGAGCAATGTTGCCCTTCGTCTCCGTTTCGATTCGCATGCTGATGGGAAGGGAGCCTTCGTAGTCCACAAATGTCTCCTACAGAACCCATATCATACCTCAAGTTTCTTCCCACAGCACATATAAAATCGAGCATATGTCTCGTACCTTCCATATTGCTGATTCTCGTCCTTCGAACTCTCTTCTGACAAACACCTGATGTTCGCGGCTTCCCAAGGCATCTCGGAGCATCATGGCACCTCGTTTGGCAGCAAGATTCGCAAGGGCACGATCGGAAGATTCGCGCGGACAGGAGTTCCCAATCCAAGCAAAAACTTGATGGCGGCTGAGGACAAGGCAGACGGTATCGGACACGAGCAGTTTTCGGGACGGTGCAGTTCCCTCGTACACAAGCCTCAGTCGATTCTTTCGCAATCGCGACGGGCGCGATATGAACATTTTGACATTCGCATCCAGTACAGGATCCGATGGTGAGGATAAGGGCTGTTGTGTGCGTACCGCGTCGGTTGCCTTTTCAGATCCCAAGGCTTTGAAGAATGTATTCAACAGGTCCCGATCTGTGTCGTCTACCAAGAGCACTCTCGGCCGGTTGGCCCGCATTTTGCGAATTCGAGATGCAAGATCCATGGCCCGAGCCCGACATACCCGAGACGAACTTACGCCATTCCAATGATAGACCACGGATCCTGGAACCCAATATTCACTGTTTAGGAGTGACATACATGTGATATCACGCTAAAATGTCCCCACTCACCCAAATCCAAAACAAAAGCTCCATCAGAACGAAGACTTTGCCAGGTGCAAGGAACGGACCCGATTGTCAACCGCACCTTCCCAAACACTCCAGCGAGGAACTTCTGCTCCCCTTTTTCAATGCTCTTCTCGTCCAGAATTGTGATTCTTTCCATCTCTGCTTTCCAGTTCCCGCGGCTTTCATCGATTTCTGCTTGGAACATCTCATCCTGGAAGGTTTCCTCGGAGGAGATTCCCATTGCTTGCAGCACGTCGTAGGCGACCATCCTAACTTTTGTAAGCTCGCGAGCCCAAACATTTGCTTCGACTAGCGATTCGACCTCATGGACGCATTTGATGTCTGTTGTGAACGATAATGTGAACAGATTCAGATCCTTGGCGGGAATAAACTTCCCTTGAGCAGCAGTGTCCGGATTGCTCTCCGCTCTACCAATTTGCACACCGTCGAACTTCCCACTATCGACAACTTTGAATGGGCTAGTGCTCAGCCGCAACGCAGAATACAGGAAGTTGCCATCGACGACCTGCAGCCAATACCGGCCAGGAGGCAGTTTGAGACCGTTGTCGCTGTCCTTGATTGAGACGAACCCTTCCAAAACATCGCTTTCGATCAACTCCGCTGCTGGCAGGAAGTTCTTCACGTTTATAACTCGGCGAATCTGAGTGACCCAATTAGCAGCCTCAACTGGATTGCGCGCTTCAAAAAACACATTGTGCTTCAATGTGGTTATCTGAAACGCTTTCATCCCCGAGGTATCTGACCCATTGGTCTCATGCATGCTCGTGGTACTCTTCAAATCAACGAGTCGCACCGCCATGGCTTTGTGTAGACTCCATGTTTGAACGGGGGGTTTGCCCTGGGTATACGACTTGATGTCGTTGACGAAGAGGTGCAGAAGGCCGTCTTCGTCGAGCATGACGAGTCTCGGGTTCCAGATCTGCTTGGTATTTTCTGTTGCCGTGAGACATAATAGATCACCGAGAAGAGCAGCACCTAAGCGGTTGCCTATGATGAAGGATTGCGATGATGGCTTCCGCTCGAGCGGCGCCAAGCTTGGTGTTCTCGAGAGCAGGTTCGCTGACGAAGCTCGTGGCAATACGGGCAGGTCCAATGTACTCCCACGAAGCCCTTGATGAGCCAGCGAAAGACCCCTCTGCATTCCTTCCGTTAGGGCATCCAGCCAGCGATCCCGCTCGTACTTTGATCCAGCTCTCAAACGATGGGTTTTCTCCGTCGTTTCGAGAAAAATCCCCACTTTATCTGATTCGTCGCCGCGATCAATGCCGATAGAGAAGCCCTCGACACGCTTTATAGCTGACATGGAGATGGAATACAGAGGTGTGTCTGCATCAGCGTCACTGCTAAAGTATAGCCGGAGCTTTTTCAAGGACAAATAATGAGGCTCCCAAGTTGCAGTCAGCCATGTTTTCCGCTCGATATCGAGACGCCCATCTAGACTCGTCGCCGGACTTGGCGCGTGCGACGCAGGAATGGTTTCTGTAGCCCGAGACTGTGTGAATGAATTGATTGAAGCGTTTGAAACCGACCGCGATGACCCATTTGCGGACACCGTCATGGGCCGTCTCAGTGTCGTACTCTTTCGCAGCATGGTATCGCCATGTCGATGGAGAAGCTCCTCGACACTGGGAGGGGCTAATGAATCCCGCAGGAGATGCGCTAATGGCTCGTTGGATTCTTCCCTTTTCTTGGTGCCAGAAACCGTATCCAAGACCGCATGTACCATAAGAGGCTCGATCGTGTCCCTCGTATTGAAGAACAAGTCGGCATCCCGTCCGGAATGCGCCATTGGTATAGGAGGATAGAGGTCTTCCTGGAAAGCTTCTTCGCCATGCACTCTGGGCACATGGATTGTTGTCATGTCCACGCTGCTGTTCTCAACACTGCGAGAACCATGATCGGGTGTCACCATTTTGCTCTCCCGCCATAACCGTATACTACAAACCACCTCACCTCAAGCTCAGGAACCTCGCAATCTCGCATCTCCTCGCATCACAAAGCGATTTTGGCATCAACTCCACTGCTGTCTAAGCTTGCCAAAGCGCAGATTCAGCCTTATGCAGCCATCGCCGACAGCATCGGAGTCACACAGTCTTACCGTCTAACACGCTCTTACCGCTTGTTTCTCCAACTTCATCGCTCCGATGTATGCCAACGTCCCATGCAGGAGTTCGTACGCTCGAATCCCCTCGGCTTTGGATCCGCAATAGAGGATCGGCAGCCCGGGATCCCAATAGGGTTGTAAGTGCCCCACACCTGTCCCGTCTACATTCAAGGACTGTATGGGGCTCGACAGGTTGGATGTGTCCCAGAGGTTGACTGTTCTCGCGTTTCCTTTCTCGAAACCGGTTGTGACAATGAGCGGATCCGGGGTCAGCCATGAAACCCTGCATGATTTCGAAGGGTTGTGCCCGGTGATCGCTGTCTGATTACTGAGGACTATCAGAAATTGTAGAACAGCGACATGCAAACAGCATACGGTCGAACCTGTATAGGCTCTGGCCCCGCCCGACAATCGTACAGGTACAGATTGGCATCCGACCCCATTACGGCCACCATTCCTCCGCAAAAGTCGAACGATATATGTTGTGCGGACTGTGCGGGGCAAACCAGCGAGACCCTATCCTGCATCCGCACCAAGTCCCACAAGCGTATCGTCGAGTCTCTGAAATAGAGGGGAAGCATCAAACTTCAGGTTCTGAGCATCTATAAAGCATACGCAAATTGCGCCCATTACTCACGCAGAACACGTTGCCAGGATATTCCCCACGGTCGGATGAAACTTCAACAGCTCCACCTTCTTCTCGTGTCCCGCCAGATACGTATCGGCCGCGTCAATCTCCCGACCTACACCTTGTTGCGACACGTCCGTGGGAATCTTCCAGATACGGACTAGACCGTCTGCACGCGTGCATGTGGCTAAGATGGTTGGATCTACGGAGGAGAACTCAAAATCTTGGATCTGTTTTCCATGCGCTAGTGAAGTGGACAGCGGGCCGTTTAGAACAAGCTTCCCAGGACTCAAAATCATGTTCATGGAGATACCCACGTAAAATCAGAGGCGGATTAACTTCCAGTCGAATCGGGTCCGTGAACGGCGGTCGGCGGACCGGAAAAACGCCGATGTTCCCGATACCCCACGGCACGGCAAAGAAGATATCATTGCACTAGGATGGCATATACATGCTTGGACGTTGGATTTCTTTATTCTACGCTTTTCTTTAGCTTACCTTGAGCTTCGCAGTAGCAGTGGTATCCAGATTTATATTCGTGTATAGCGACTTTCCCACGCCCCCTGAGAAGATATTCTTGCACTTGGATGCCGGGGTGGCATTGAGAGCTCTGGTAGGATTGCGTAGTGGTCGTGGGGAGCTGTTCATATTGGGGCTCATGTATCTACTGGGTGCAGGCCAATGTGGTGTATATATTATATGCTAAAAGAACAGCAGCAATGCCAGATCAGCAGCGGGAGAAGAACCTTGAAAACCCTGCATCATACCGATGACTCGGGAACGTGTTTTCCAAAAGTTACTGCCCTCCTTTTAAACTTACCCCTGCCCACACACCCTCCGGAAGCTGGAGACTTGATTTTGGGAATACATCGCCTGAAGGCGTGTGCGTTGGACATTCACCATAAGGGATGTGACATGGGCTCGAAAGGGTCAACTTCCTACAACGCTCAAGAATCGAACCTTCCGTGATGAAAACTAAAAATGTATTGCTGCAAAAATGACACTGCTTGGCAAGAATTGTGGGCAGGGGGGTATATATATAAAACAAATGTGATCATCATCGTCAGATATCTCGTAACGTGTTTGTACGCAGCCAGGGTCTTACGCCGTCTGAAATGGGCACATAAATGGCACAAGTCAACAACTTCTAGCCCCGGTGATACGCAGGGTGATATGGGTCAACAGGATGATATGAATCATAGCCGCCCACCATAGAAGGAGGGCCGGCAGGACCCACCATGGATGGACTGCCGACCATAGATCCACCAGCCATAGATCTACCCATAGACGGAGGGCCACCCATAGATCCACTCATAGACGAAGTATACTGGTGTGACATTCGCCATGTGGATGGCGGGCTCCGTAAACCATTCACGGCATAGCCTGCATGGTCAAACGGATGCGGAGATGGCGATGGCGATGGTGAGACTCCAATGCTCTCGTGCATCGAATCCGACGTCTGGCTCCCACCGTTTGCACGCATAAGTCGATCGCGAAACTTATTCGATGGTCTGAGACCCCATTTGCGGAATAAGAAGATGCCGATAGCCGCAAGGATAATCGCAACGGCTCCTCCAATTGCAATCCCGACGATCTTTCCTGGGCCCAGGCCACTGCTTGATGAGCTGCCACTCTGGCTTAGATTCGAGTCAGTTGTTCCCCTTGAAGCAGTTGCATTTTGAGACGGAGTAGAGGCTAGTACGGTCGAAGTTCGAGATCGAATCACGGTGACAATGTGGCCATCACTTCCGCGAGTTACTTGGATCACGTCCGGAGTCGGGGCAGGCGCTGGCACTTGTGGCTGGTTCGGGGCTTGTGGTTTGCCCGGATCTGCGTTTGGACCAGGGTCGGCCGGTGTAGGTCCGGGTTGTGGCTGCGGTTCTGGTTGTGGTTGTGGTTGTGGTTTTGGTTGAGGTTGAGGCTCAGGTGTTGGGGTAGGACCTGGCGGGTCGTTAGGTACTTTAGATGGCGGTTGGGGTACGGTCGTGGGGTCAGCGTGTGGAAGATCCGAAGTGCCTTGGCCGTTGCCGCCGTTACCGCCTCCGCCTCTAGGTTCGCTCTGGGGAGAGGGTAACAGGGAGTCCGCTGCCTGACGTCGGAGGATGAAGTTCGGGTGATCTCTCACACGGAGTTTCCCACGGGTTGAGGAGAGGAATGCCGCGCTCCCATCCTCCGTGTTGATAGCGAATGCAAATGCGGGAAGCAGGGGGAGAAGAAGAGTAGAAAGCCTCATCCTGACCAGCCCACAGGTTCTTCCAATCTATTTTTGTGGTGGCCGTTGGTATTAAACTCTTCGCTTCAGCAGTGCCGGGTAGATCATCCGCGCACACGATGGTAAGTTTGACTTTCAACGGAGGGGTTGTGACTTGCCGTTTGCAAAGGATGATAGCGGGCGAGTGACAACAGATGCAGCTTTTAACTAGTCGGCTTGTTCAAAAGAAGGAAAACCCGGAGAAGGGCCTGCAGGGGCTGCGACTCCTGCGAGTGGGCGCATTTTGTGCTCTGCTGCTGCGGAGAGCGACGCCATCCATCCATCCATCCACTCCCGCGCGTGCTTTTTGACCACAGATCTGGACTTCTTTGATATCAAGTGCAGTACTCCGCTCCGAGCCTCCGTAGGATCTTATAGATACTATACGATGCGCCATACGAATCACGATAGAATCCTGGATAGAATCTAACGATTTATCCATACCACCGACGGCTCTGGTTGACAGCATGGGGAAGCCGCCGCCTTTCACTCAGCAGTCAGGCGGAAAACCAATGCACGGTTGTGAGCAATCCAAAGTATGTATCGTTGATTTACCGGACTCCTAAAGGAGACTGGATTCTTAGAGCGTTGATCAATGCTGCACAACCGTCTTGAAATTGCTGATTGACGGCGTACTTGCAATGCCGGGGGGTCTGCCCAGCGAGAAGGACTTGCTTCGAAATTCGAAACCACAAGATGGCTTTGCTTGTCTTCGCTGTATATATGTATACGAGAAAAACGCGTCACCAATGCAAACGTCACGGCGACGAAAAGAGCGCTAAGCCTCGCCACAAGGCCCACAGCACGCTGCACAGCACGTTGGCAATCCCGACGTTCAAGGGATCGCAAGTCAGAGAACTCAGCACTTACGGCCGCACACAAACCAACGCATTGGCTCAAGAAATTGTAACTTCCCAAGTGAAAACCTCACAAATGGCCATGAAAGTAGTAGCCGACTATTGCATCATACCCTTAGGCGTAGGGTCCTCGGTAAGCTGGCCAATGTCAAAAGCAGCTCCCACGCCAGAGCAAAACAGCAGGTGCTGATATTTTTTCCATCCGGGGTGATCTACGCTTAGCTGACCAAGTACGTCGCGCAAGTGCAACGCGTGCTGCAGGAAAGCGCAAAGGAGAAGAAAGTCAACTATGCTATGCACTCATGCGGGACGAATATCGGTTGGTTGGCGATTGTGTTGCATTGACCGGCGGTACAAGAAGGCAAACCTGGATGCGGGAGCTCATGGATATATGTTTCATTCGGGTATGCAGAAGGAGAGTGGGATGACGTGATGAACACAATCAAGTGAGTGCAGGCAGGGTACGCACAGGAAGCATGGAGGATCACACTAATGGTTCGGTCCTCGTGTAGACGATGTCACGAAGTGCTTCATGCACCGCCGAACAACGCTCCACGAGTTCATACTACCGTTAGGATAGGTAGGTTTAACATGGAAACACCGGCATTGGGTGCTCTCCATACTAAAAATGCTGGAATACCAGGAACGAGGACAGACAAGGAGTCCTCGATCAAAGACAAAGTCGAGTCTGTGCAGCGGGAGTTGAATAGTTCAGGGGCTACATGGACACCAGGCGAATGAATGAGCGTCCATCGAACAAGATTTCGATTGCGTCCTTTCCACAAGAGTTCAATCGCCCATTCGGTTGCCGCCGTGGAAATACAACAAGTTCCAGCTTTTTGGAGCATTCTCAAGCATAATGGTTCTTTGCGGTAAATAATCCACATCAAATAGTGACCCGCTAATGGTCAATAGCAGCAAGGCGCCAAGTCATTACGATAGCAGAAATGGGGAATACGAGAAATCAATTTTTGTTGATAACAGGAGATTTCCACAACAAGTGTTCAGAGCATGTAGGACTTCCAAAAATGTGGGCAGCACAACGATTTCCAGATGTTGATACACTTTCAAGGAAGGGAATGAAAGAAAGAAAAGCGCAAGAAGGAAAAATGAAGATCCGCGGGCTGCTGTTGTGCGAAATTCTCGATATAGGGCAGAAACGCTTATTGTATCGCTGTCAAGTGTGTGCGTTGCTGCGGGGCTCAAAGGCCGGTTGATATTCAGATAGCTTGTTGATAGTGCTGAGTTCGGGTATATATCGGGTACGGCGGGAACCCGCTGGAGTTGTCCGACATGCTCATCGGTGCAGAACCGTCGTAGATCGACTGCTGGAACAGGCAGCTGATGGGAGGGAGCGTATTCCCTGGCTGGAAGTGTTCTCCGGGACGTTGCCACTGTTCACCTGAACGCTGCCATTGGTCCGCATGAGGTTGCCAAGGCTCGTGCGGACGCTCGATGTGGGTCGGATGGACAGGATAACCATTGTGCGGCACCGGCGGGTACCCTCTCGCGTGTCCCCAGCCATAGTACCGGTACGCGTCCATCGGCACATGCCCGTGCGACGGCGACGGGGTGGGTAGGTTGAAAGATGCGCTATGTCGGTATGGATCAGTCGGCACCCGCTGTACATGCGACGGCGATGGGGGCGGCAGATTCATAGGATGGTTGGGGAATGACAGCCTTCTCGTCAGGTTGTCGTACGCTTCATGGTCGGTGCTGAGGCCGTATTGCCCTCGGGAAGGGCTAAATCTCACGTCCTCCATCGCCATGGATGACTCCACGCTCGAGGGAAGCATTGGAATTTTCTCATGTGGGGACTTGATCGGAGAGATCGGTTCCGCTATTGTTTCGCGCTTGATATGAAATCCCGGAAACGATACGCTTTCGACCTTCATCCGCATCAGAGGTTGCGGCATCGCTGGCGAAGACAAGGGCGTCTGGTGCACCGAATGATGAGCTGATGGAGGGTGGGAGTTTCTCGGCTGGATCATGCTCCATTTGATTACACGGTTTGTGCCGTCCGCAAAGGCGATCCTGCAGCTGTTTAGGTTTCCAGTGTTAAGTGGGTGACCTCAAAGGCACAAGTGGGCATCCAAGCTGACGAACCTTTGTTTATGATGATCGACTTCGCTTATCAGCCCGTCATACCATTGCCCTTCCCTGTAGGTGGAGCGATGAATAAACGGGGAAGCAGGACAGTGCGGAGAGGCTGCTATCGGTACTTACGATCTGGCAGAAACAGGTAGACCTGGCGTGAAGTTCCTCGCTGCCTCTTCCAACAACTGGAACTTCTCAGTTTGTTTCGCGAATTGTCTTTCCGGATTATGTTGGGTGCTATGGAGCATGAGCCGTTGGAGTGAATGTGCAGTATAAGACAATAACGTAAGGGATACTTACCAGAAGCAGTGCGGGTTTTCCTGCGCATCGTTAGTATATATCTGGTCTGCTTCCATGGCGCATGTTACATGGTAGGCAACGACGCAGCGACCCTGGTAACGCAACGGGCAAATGGATAAGAAAGGTAGCCCGGTTAGAAGTAATCCTCACATGAGATGCGTACCTTCGCGCATTGAATGCATGCGCCAAGTCCTGACTTTGGGAGCTTGAGCCCCTTAACTCGACAGATCGCACATTTCTATGAAAATGAAAGGCAAACGAAGGTATAAGAACATATGCGCTGTCAAGATGTGCACTGGAGGGCAGCGGTATCTTACCAAACGCCATCGAGCTTTAGCTATGGCGTCAATACCTATAACGATCTCTAAGCCTGCATCCATCGGATGCGCCTCAACACGTGTTTCTAAAGGGGAACAGCCGATTAATACCAATGCGGACAGAAGCCGAAGATAATAGATGACTTACCAGGGATGAAGGTAGCACACGACCTGTGGGCCCAAACATTTGGTTTGTCCGTCGGTAGTAGGAGACCAGATGTCGTAGGGCACAAAACACATTTCATTGCAGGCACAGGGGATTTCTCTCGCTCAGACGCAGGCATTGAATCTTTGGAATTCGGCACATTGGAAGATGTGGCCGCTTTGACCTTCCGGCGCTTCTTTGGTGCAAGGACAGGCCTCGCTTGTGCGGTTGAGTTGGTTTCAAAATCGCCGTTTTCACTGTTCTCCCGTTCTCGCTTATTCGGCGATGGCCCGTTGGGAACAACGAGCTTGATTTTCCTCACGACCGGAGGGTCGAACAACGCGCTAACATCGAGTCGGACACTATCTGGGACACAGGGACAGAACGTCGCCTGTTTTCCGATAGGAATCCACGAGTCCGTGGCGAAGTTGACAGACTCGGCGCAGTTGAACCCCATGTTATATCCCTGGTGGTATCCGAAGGGGAATGTGATCATGAACTCGCCGGCGTGCTGGACCACACGGTTTACTTTGATTCCCTTTCTTTCAAGAACCTTGGGGGAGCATATACTGCTTTTATGGCGCAGGAACTGATTGCACTTTGCATGATCGTTCCGAAAATTCGACTGCATGGCGGTCTCGAATCGTCCGCGGCTTTCTTGAGGGATAACATACCACTGCTTCGGAGCGCCGAAATGGATGTAATTTATCGAGTATAGGTCCATGTCTTCAACGTGCCAAGCGAATGTCGATTTCCACATGCCAAAGTACAAGTATGGGAGGTTAACCCCTGGTAGCTTCAGGTTCACGCGGTTGAGTAAGTTTGGCAGGCGAGTCAAATTCCAAGGAATGTCTCGTGCGGCTTCTTCAATGGTTGGGTGGTCGAAAAGCGACCCGAGCATGTCCGCGCCGTACAGGGGCGCGGCGAACGTGACGTTGCGCCAATAGTGGCGCTCCAACCTGGAGCAATGGTCCTTGTCGAACCCGCTTGACGTCTCCTCCAGATCGAAAGTTATTGAGGAATTGCACTGCGGTTGCATTGCTGAACCCTCGCCAATTGGGTTCATTGCGAGCTCGGGAGCCACCCGAGCCACAGGGTCATGGACGTCGCTGATGTCCTTTGTGGGCCTCCTCTTCGTTCGTAGAGGGTCAAATACGGCCCTTCCTTCCTCGTTAAAGCGGGGAGCCTGATACTGCCCTGATTGCGAGGCCTCGTACCATTCCTGAACTGTGTACGTTCTACAGTGGTCTTCATTCATTTGAAAGAAGCAGCCGCTGGGGAGGCTGCCCCCGCTGATCGACTGCTTCATCGCTTTTTTGATTTTGAGAGAGGCTAATGCCGTCCGGACGTCCGGTAGAGCGTCCTTCCAAGCCTTTGGCGGCACCACTTTGACGATGCCGGCCTCGGCGCCTATCCCTTCGATGCTCTTTATAAATTTCTCGAAGTTGGCGAACTGTTCGGTCGTGGGCCGGAAGACCGGCACGCCGCCCTCGTCAAATTCATATTCAGGAGGAGGGACGGGGCCGGCTGTGGTTGGCGCCTCCACCGGTGGAGGGTCTGCAGTCTCTACCGCTGGGGGACGGGACGAAGGAATGCTCGGGGCCGGGGAGCTACTGGGCAGTGGCGGCGCTGGCCCGTTGCCGTTTTCGGTGGTCGTATAGCCGGGTCCTGATGAGGCTTCCAACGTAGCCATATTTGCTTTGCCCTGGGTGCGGGACTTGTTGGTGTGAGACTGTGGTTGATTCAGGGCTCCTCGTCTCGCCGATGGACTTTTATGGAGCGGCCAGTCTCAATGATTTAGGTGGCGCAAGTTGGGAGGAGCTTGGAAGTAGCAAGAGGAGCTTGCCTAAATACAGCAACGAACTACGTAGTGGTCAAGTCTCAGGGTCGTTGTATATAACCAAACGAAGACGGGACCCTCCCGGAAACTTTCCGAGTCGCAGCATGTCATGAAGGCACTGTCAGAAGGCCACAAGTCGCCAAACTTGCACCTCCGCGCCGCCGGCTCCGACTTTCCCAGCCTTGTCTCTCATCCGCACATCCGACCGACACTCCCACACTGCACAACACTTACACAGCAGACGGGATCGGAAGAACGAAAGAGACGCACAAGGCAACGCAGTGTAGGTATAATTTTGTTTGTTTCTCTTTTTCTCTCTCAGCTCGTCCAAAGGCTAAAACGCAACTTTTCGCTTCAGCCTGGAGGACCGTAAACCCCACCGCCACTTTTCGTAGGCATCTCTTTATCACCGACTCTACGGCCCTATTCAGAGAGGAGACAATACGCCCACTTGGCCGAGTCTTACAGCCCATTGCTTGAAGCTTTACTGCCTTCTCCGGAGAACAGCACGGGTACGGTCGCTGATCATATGGAATTCAAAACCGCTGGAAAGTAGATCCATGCAGCGATACCCCTTCCAGCAGACGGAAGTAGACATTCAAATGCTTTCAGATTGTATGGGGACAAGCGAGGCACAGGGAGCAAGCGACACGGAGGATATGGATCTGGAAACCTTGGGAGCGGAAATTCCTGAAGCTTCGAACTCGGAGGAACCGCGTCAAACGAGGGGCGTCAGAAAGCGAGCTGAGCAACCGAAACCCGGTTTGCTTGATGAACGAGATTCTAAGAGACGCAGGAAGGGTCAAGGCGAGACTGGGAGTGCTGCTTCCGAAAGCTCATCGGCACCGGCGACCCCTTTCAGCGACGACCCCAATGGAAGGCCACTCAGAAAGCGCGGAGCGTCAACTAAGATACTCCAACAGCCGAAGCAGAATCAGCGTGGCAAAGGCAACCCGGAGCTTGACGAGACTGAGGAGACAGAGTGGGATGTATGTTACCATCGCCAATTTCTTTTCCCGAAAACATCACGTAGCCATCTCGTTTCCATATTCACCATACCATTTTCGATCTCCTTCAATGTTCTGCATCTACGCAGGTTGAATCCATCTGTGGACAGGATCAAAACCTCTATCTTGTCAAGTGGGTGGGCTTCAAAGAAATGACTTGGGAGCCTGCAGCCCACCTGAACTGCCCAGCACTTCTCAAGAAATTTCATGCACAGGAAAGGAGTGCCCTTCATCCCACAACAATCAAAAGAGCCATCAGCAAAACAATAAAAAGACCCATCAACAAAGGGAAACCAAGCATCCCCAAGACAACCTCTTCTGCATCCATGCCCACCATCTGGCTGGCACCCTCCGCTGCGGACATTCTCAAAATCCCAATCCTCCTCAATACACCTATCAATACGCCACACCGAGATGAGTGGTCATGCCTACTTGCCACAGCGGAGTATTGTACATCAGTGTACAATGATACAGATGCTGAGGGGCCCCCAGATGGGTTCCAGTGGCTGGAGGGGTATCAGTATTCAGCAATGCCACCTCCCAGCTCAGAGGCACTTGCTGGCTGCTCTTGTGTGGGCAATTGCATGATGAGGTAAGTGTGGTTGTTGCTGTAGACTAGGGAAGTGGGTATGTGTCCTGATGTGGTATATAACTCGTTTTGGACTTTAACAGTGGGGAATATGCCTGCCAATGCATCTTGGAATGTGTGGAATCACAGGCCCCATATGATGCTTCTGGCCATATGCAGCATCGTCCAGAGCAAGGTGTTGTGTATGAGTGCAACCCTAATTGCTCTTGTGCTAAGAACTGTGGAATGAAGGTGGCACAGCACGGCAGAAAGGTTGCCTTGCAGATATTTCGCTGTGGGGGACAGAAGGGATGGGGTGTCAGGGCACTGGAAAATATACCACAGGGAACTTTTGTATCCAAGGTAAGTTCCTGCGTCAATGTAGGCAGCATGAGATCCTGAACATTCTAACCTTAATGTGTTTAGTATGCAGGGGAAATGATGCCCAGCAAACTGGCTGATTGGCAGGCCCAAACATGTGATGGCGCTTTCCTCTTCAGCCTGGACTACTTTGGTGAATCCTCCACCAGTGGCATGTCTTATGTCATTGATGCAAAGAAGTTTGGCAACATTGCGCGGTTTTTCAACCACTCCTGTGATCCAAACATGGCGTGCTATGCCATGTTTCTGACCACACAAACAGCGGAAATACATGACCTTGCTTTTTTCACCACACGGGATGTCACAGCTGGTGAGGAGCTGACCTTCTCGTACTTTGGAAATGCCGCAGTAGGGAGCAAAGGGAAAGTTTCAAAGGCTGCTGGTACTGTCTGCTTATGTGGCTCTGCAAAGTGTCAAAAATTTGTATTGATGGGAGGCATGGCTTGATGGGGTCAGCATGTAAATGTTTACTTGCACATATGTTTTATGCAATCCATGTCTGTGGTCTGCTTGAAATTGTGTACGAATTGGTCACTGGTTTGCATCGTGTGCGATCAGATTGTGTCTGTCTTCCGAGTCGCAAGCTCAGAATGAGCGCGGAAGCACTTGGTTTGATATCTAGCTTGCAAATGTCCGACAGCTCGAGTTTCGTTTGCCATTGTCGGTTGCCGCATCTCTGTCGAGCGCCGCGCTCATTCTACCTTCAATCGATGTGCGCACAGCCGGCCAGCCGTCTGGCCTGCCGTGGCGCGGTAAAGGCATGCGGCGGACAGGGTTCGGAGGGATGTCTCAGGGGAACGCGTCGCTTCTTATTTCGAAGGAAACGCGTCGGTCGCGTCAGGAAAGAAGAGCATTGCTTCCGTTCCCAAGGGGTGCTCCCAGACAAACATCGGCAATCAATAAAAGCATCCCTGATTTTAATCACTGTCCTCCGCTCGACGGCAGGACGGATATGCAATGCGTGCGTGAGGCGGTGGCACGTCAAGAGCAGTTTGTTTTATGAACGGCGAAAGGGGCAAGGCGCCAAATCAAACAGTTCGTGCGGTGAGCCTGAACATCGTCACAACTTTCATCCCAAGTCTCTTCAATCAGTTTGTCGGTTGCAATATCGAGTGCAAAACGCTGTACGAGCAATACCGGACCCCGTTACCCCGCTGCGCATCCATAGTTTTTTCCGTTGCGATCGGGCCCGCAAGTGCGAAACCCCGCCCAGTTAAAAAGGCAACCACCAAGTGCCCGCCCTTTCGCTTCAAGAGTTCACGCCGGTTATCTCGCTCGCAAACGCAACAGATATCTCATCGTCTCATCGTCTCAGTTCAACCCTTTCTGCATATTCCCATTCATTCCCCTCGCCATGCACACTTCCCGGCCAAGCAAGCTCGGCTGTCGCAGTCCCCAGTTCGCCATCCGGCTGTCGCTACTCTGCAGTCTGACAATATCTGGTGTCCGTGCTGTCCCTGCACCCGCTGCTCTTGCGAAGCGATCGATGTGGACCTCGCCGACAACCGTCACTTTCACCACCGCAACGTCTGATACAGCTGGCCAGTGGACGTCCGATCCTCCTTGCGACAGCATGACTACTACGGCGGCATGCCAAACAACTACCATCTTCTACTGCCCGACCGACACGGCATCCCTCACTACTCTCGCAAGCTCTACAGCGTCCACTTCGTGGGTGGCCACTTCATATGAAAGCAGCTCAAACGTCTGGGCATCCGCTACATCAATCGCGGGCGTTCACACATCCGTAGCAGATATTTCGATCGTCTCACTTGCAAGCAGCACGGACAGCATACCAATTTGGACGACTACGGATGCCCCAACCTCAACTGACTGCTGGACCACTGTCTATGCCACATCTTGCCCATGCACAACGACGACCGAAGACCCACCGTGTGATGACACGACTACTTCTATCTCACACACCACCCCTACTCAAGACCCTCCTTGCGACACAACCACAGAAGAGCCTACACCCACGTGGACGGATGTCACACTCCCGCCGTGCGATACGACGGAAACACCGTCCCCGACGGCGGTCCCTAGCGGTCCCTCTTGCGCGGCTGGACTTGTCGCGGAGGACTTCGCCTTCAACGAAATCTTCCAGAATAACACTCCTACTGCCGTTGGGACGACGTTCGAGAGCTCCCTGGTCGTGAACGGAACTACAACCGGCATTTCACGAGGGTATGTATTGATTCTTTGATTGACATGTACAATGGGGTACAATGTTTGGACTTTCCTAACAGACATCTTGCCATCCAGAACTTGCACGGATCTCAAACAAGACGACGGAGCCAACTACTGTTCCGCCGATTACACCTTCGGCAATCTTGGTACCTTTCAACTCGCGGGCATTTTCAACCCAACCACCGCCGACGTGCAAGGCCCATTGTCTATCATTGGCACAACCGGACATTTCTTCTCCGCCAGCGGGTTCGCGACGTTCCAATTCACGTTCAACGAGACCGTGCAACAAGCGCCGATCGGCGGTCAATATCTTGCGAAGCTTTGTGTTGTCGCTGGGAATTGAGACGCGGGACCTGGTATCACAATCTCCATTTTGAAAACCTCACGGCGTTTTCCTTTTTCTTTCACCTTCAACTTTTCTACTGTATTTATCGCGGCAAGGGACGATTTCGGTGTATCTATGTACTTTATAAGCATGCTCGTGGAGGGGTTGGGGCGATGTGAAGCGTGAGAGGATTATTGTATTGCGTATTTTGTACATCCTTCCTCGGTTTTATCAGGAAAGTAATCAATTTTCCAACTACTGCAATGTGCTGCGACGTGAGCATTGGCGCCATTCTCAGTCTCGAGTATACTTTGATCTCCATCCCAGGGCAGAGCGGGTTCCATAAAGTAGCAGGCAGTTGTGAATACATGATATTCGAAGCTCCGGCTATTCCCTATGTTACAAAACTAAATACAAGCAACAGCGTGGTGGGCCTTTCCTGTCTCCATGACCCCTAGCCGGCCCACACCTCTGCCATCGACCCTATGCTCGGGTGGCCCGATGGCAACAATGCTGTACACAGGACCACTGTGTCGGCGGCTGTTGAGCGACCTCACCAAGCGCATCGCCGTCCTTCTCGCATTCTGCCAAGAGGTCTTTCTGACCCTAACGACTAGAATTCCATCTCCCTACGCCTCTTCTTCGGCCTCCATCATATCATCCTGTTTTGTTGCCTGCGCGGTGCCATCCGGAACCTGCCCCGTTTGCAGCAACTTCTCCAATCGTGTAACTTCGTCCAGCGTCTTGGCGTTTTTGATTGCTTCCCTAATCTTTGCCGCTTCCTCCGGGGACGGCCCCTGGTATAATTTGGGTGTTTTCTTCAGTCCTTCCCCTGGTTCGAATGTCCTCGAACTCGTAGCAGATAAACTGGCTGCGAGCTTGGTGCCGTCCGCCCCCGAAAACAACGACGCGGCTTCTTGACGCTCCTGATCGATTGGTTAGAACATCGTACTTCAGCCAGTATGTTCAAGGATGGCCCGCACCTTTTCCTTGACTTTTCGGAAGTCCAGTATCCTCACTTTCGGGCACCGATGGATGATATATTGCCTGTAATACTTTTTTGTAGCAACAGGGTTGTCCATCAGACTCAAGCATTCCAAATGCTCTAGGTTCGCCAGTGGATCAAGGTCGCCCAGCTCCTCTATGAGGTTGTTCGCCATAATCAGGGTTTTTAGGTTGGGTAGTTGCTTTGCCAACTCGAGATCGACTCTTGCGATTCGATTGTTGCTCGCTAGTATGGCCTTCAATCGCTTCATCAAGGGGAAACCATCTAATCGTCGCAGCTCGTTATCTGTGAAATCGATCACATCGTTTCCGTCCTATCGTCGTAAGATCGCTGTAAGATATGGTCGTCGACTCGCATTCGCCGAAGCCGAAAACGCACCTTGGTAATAGCTAAGTTCTCTATTTGTGGTATCTTAAGGCCTATGAATATGAGGATGGTGAGTAATCTATCGGAAAGCCTTGCAAATCCCTGCCCCTTCTGAGCCCTTATAGGGTACTCTCCAAGTGAGTGGAAAGTCCTCCGCACCCCCGTTACGCCCTCCGAACCTACCTCGGAGATTCAGCTCCCGATCTTGCACGGCGTTAATGAAAGAGGACGCCACACTGAGGACGTCATAGTTGAGCTTCACCATGGCGGCTGTGCAATGGAATGTCGTCCGGCCTCTGTTGGGATTCGCAAAATGGTGATCTCTCGCTCAAAGTGGGGAACGATTCGTGTGTTGCGCTGCGCCACTCAAATTGAATTAGCTTCACGTGCACAGGTAGATTCGACAGCTGCCTGTCAAAACCTCCATATCTATAGCTCTGAGGGAATTAGCAGGTAAAGGCAAATGTCGTTCCGCTCAGGAAATCCGTATTTCATTCATACCCAAGTACCGTACATCACTTACTAGTACATGCTATCCAACGGCGTGGCTTCAACAACGCCGGCATTGTGTGAAAGGTGCTCCATATCGTCGGCTTATCGATGCGGAGGAGAATGCTATCTAGGGGACATGATGGCTGACTGCTTCATGGAGAGGTGCTCCTCGCACAATTGGTCTACGGTGCACTGTCGCTTGCCCTTTGACGGTTCGGGTGAGGACGATCGGAGACCTGGTGAAGCAAATGAAAGCGACACAACAATGGCAAGCTAGTTCTAATGGCAAGTGCTTGCTTGAGCTTCGCCGTGTCCGAAACCGGCAATAAACCAGAAATGGGCACTCGGACGTAGGTGAATGTAGGAAATGTACAGTATGTACTGTATGACATGGAATAACCCAAGGAATAAACCACGGTGTTGGGAGCATTTAAACCCCACCCACGGTAAATTGCACATTGGCGCACGTGATGGGTACATAGAATGCTTTCTTTTCATGCTCATCGAGATCGTGATATCGGCGATGGTTCCCACTTACAGGGCTTATATGGCGAATTCCTCCCTTAAAGTTAACGATATCTATCTCCCACACTGTCTGGGTATAATATGGTGCTCTCCGGTGACAAGTTCAAACACATATCTGGATTTTGGAGCTGGCCACTAGCTCAGGCTGCCTTTAGAGCTGCCCACGGAATACTTATGACATGCCGCAACGTCATTTTTTTGCAATGTGCAAGCCATCTCACCCATCTCCCGGATATGCAAATGCGAGGGTTGTCCTGAGTGGAAATGGAAACGAGAACATTTCAAGCAGGCAGAGGATCAGAGGCCGTTCCAGAATCTTGCCCTGTGAAAGAATTCGCCGATCGCCGCGACCGGGACAATGAGCCAAAGCCCTGGACTCGTGTCACGCTGTCTCCCAATCCGGGAGTCAGAGTTCCTTTTGAATTCTGCTCGCGCATTGAGATGATTCAAGCTCGGAAAGTGCCATGCCAAGGTAGGAAATTTCTTCTGCCGACGAGTCGACGACTTGAATCTGAACAACTGCGAAGACCGTAAACGCAGACGCCGCCGTCTATCGCCCGCCGCATCGTACTTGAATGTGAGCGGATTGTGACGTTCAGGTGTCGAGACCTTCAGGTGTCGATGTTGCCATACGGTATCCATTTTGAGGCCAAAAAGACATCGTTGAAAAAGCGCGAAATAAAGACTTCTCGAAGAGGCTGGAACGACGCCTGGACCACCAGCTACTTAACTGAACACGGATTCCGGCGTGCTATCACAAAGACACAGTTGCTTCCGTAGGCTTAACCCCAAGCTACGAAGGAGGAGGCCAGCAAACCGTGAGTATTAATGAAAGCCTGTGAAAACCAGTTCTCCCTACCGCACGGCACCTGCAATGGTGGTGGGAATTACGTTGGTCGCAGAATGCAAAATCGCCTGTGGCAAACCGGGGCCGACGTAGTTGTGGGCCCCTGTTGCTTTCAGAGCGTCCTGTGCATTTATCTCACCTCCCATCCTTCCCGCTTCACCACAGTTGTGACAAATCGGTCATTACTCGTTCAAGCCCTTGCGGGCTAGCACCTTATTCACTTCAGCGCTGCAGTGCCCTTGCGAGCAGGGAAAACAACCTACTGAGCGAACCACCAGGGTGCGACTAGGCAGTGCGGATACTAGTTAGTGAGCTACACGTTCGGGATCCTTTGGCACCCTTCAGCGATCAGTGGGAAATCTTCGAGGCCGTAGCACTCGCCGAGACGTTTCCCAGATACTCGGCTACCCGGTGCCTTCAACAGTACCTACCTAGCCCGGAAACGTTGACTGACCGCGTCAGCAATGGGGCCAGGTTTCGACCCGACCGGAACGCTGTCTGCGGTGTCGCCTACGGACCAGAACAGTCAAAGTGATATATCTTTTTCAGTGAATGGTCAGCGCGGTTCGTTGCCCTTACCAACCCTACCGAGTATGAATAAACGGCTGGATGGTGTACACTCGAATTTGACGCCGCACCCGTATCTCAGCAATAGCTATCAGCTGCCGCTGTCTACGATTGATTATCATCCACAGCAGCAGCCTCGTGTCGGATCGCGGCCATCGGTCGACCTGTTACTTATCCAACCACCGCCCTTGCAACTCTCCAATCATTCAAGTTTGCGGACCCTATCGGATACTTCGCATGAGCCGGCAAACTCACGGACGGGAAGCAGCTTGCAGCAGCAGCCAAGTCTAGCTGCTGAGGCAGCACCCGAAGAACCGGCTGAAGGAACCATGTCTAGCCAGCTGAAACGCGAGGAGCAACGAATTGATCTGAAAGTCCTTCATCACCTCAATAAGGACAATAATCGCCAAAAGCAGAAGAGGTTCAAGCGAACTGTCACGGCTGTGCATTCCATTGTGACCCATAAGCTTTACAAGAGCAAGGCGTCGAGCTTGGAAACGTACTTCAGGGATGCTTGGAAGATCTCACGAGCTCAAGTCTACCGGTTTCTGGATTGTGCGATCATTCTGAAGGTACTCGCAAAATCCTTGATGTCAGCGCATCACTGGCCGTATCGCTTTATCTCTACTGATCATTGTTCTCCTGTCCATAGCAATTGCAAGACTTCCCGGAACAGCCGTCGCGCGAACGACTTTGCCGCTCGTTGAAGCGTGTCGCAAAGAATCGAACGGACATCCAGACCCTCTGGAGAACAGTGCTGGAGAAAGTCAATGGAGATCATGAGTCCGTCACTAGCACCATCATCAATACTGTGTGGGAAGAGTTGTTGCAGAAAGGCGAGGTCACTGGCAGTTTTCCTTCTCGCGACGAACACGTTGAGTTCGAAGGCGAAGTCGGCGCGTTAAGCGAACTGGAGATGGAGGCTACCGCGGATGGTCATGATTCAGATGATGCGGCAGCTAATTCTGCATCACGAAAAGCGGCAGAGGATGGATCTTCAGGCACAGGCACTTCGGCATTGCCTCCGCCAAATGGAGTGAACAACAGGCCGTCGGCGGGAGGAGAGTCCAGCCGGAATCCACCGCCGAATCCAGACCTTGGTGATAGCCGAATGCCCTATCCTCATATGCGGTCCAATCTTCCGTCATTCAACACATCTGGGACCGATCCGAAAGGTAAGGATCAATCTCCCGTCTTCTGAAGTTCCCTTCCTCTCTGTAACCGCGAATCGACCCGCAGAAGCACCCACTGCGGTAGAGCTTTCCGCATGTTCATCAATAATTCATTCCTTTGCCCGAAAAGGATACACCCTCCAGCCATTCATCCATGGCCAATGGAACCAGGAACCGATTTCGCAGTGGCGTGTGGCACCGCCTCCCCAGAATACGCATGCCCAGCCCTACGTATTCCATACGCCTCTCCCATCGGTCCCGTCGGCTCATGGGCTCTACGCTCAAGGAGGGTCGAATCAGCACACGCCAGGGCTGCCACAGCCACCACGGTATCCCTGGTATCCGACCGAAGATACGGCGCGGTATGATCCCCCGACAGATCGGTCGTCGTCAAGGTCATCCGGAGGGTTTCCTTCAGGTCCACGCGCACCAAATGTGGGCTCGTCAAGCCAAATGTATGATCCGCAACCGGTGACTCGTCCATCGATAACGAGTTACGATTCGTACGGAAGCTGGTCTCATCGTCCAGGCCCTAGCTACCCGCCACCTGGCAAGCCCAGTAGTCACTCGTACGATCGGTTTTCGGGTCAACCTCCTTCGCATCACGCTCCATCCGGCAGTTACAGTCAATCGTCAGGCCCCTATGGCTGGAATGGTCCGTCTTACGCTTCAGCGTCGCAGTCCTCCGGATCGGGATCCCAGCATGCTCCAGAAACGGATAACCGGACCTTTTCACAATATCTACCTCCCCCACCACCGCTGCCGCCCATGTACAGCAATCCGCCTTTTTACCATCGACCGGGAGCACAAGATGATCCGCCGAATGGGGTTAGGTATTCCTACAATCCTTCCGCGTCGGGCGTCTCCATGCCATAAAATAGTATACCCCAACATCCACATCAACCCACGTCAACTCCTCCTCGTGCGCCGGGGGGCTGAAGAGGGAATCTTTACACCGTGGTGAACATCCTTCATACCCCAAATTCAGATAGGCTTCCCTTTTTGCGACGGGATCCTCATCGGTATATGATCGCATTGAAATCAATAGGGATGTACCACATCGCTTTGAAAATGAATACTGATTTATTCCATCGTTGGGGGTGGTCGTACTGTACATCGTGTCCTTTAAACGCGCTCTTGTCATCCATATGCACATTGGCCTTGGCATTGGCCTTGGACTTTTTGTTATTCAAGTCCGCTTCAGATTCTTCCCCCATTGGCCTCTCATTGGCATTTGTCGTAACAGTGCACGGCACGTACAGACTCCGAGATCTACTGCACTCCAGTCTCCCGTCATTCCCGAATAGTCACGGTGTCGGTTTTTCCAGCGGTCTACACCTGCCATGGCAGACCCGGATCGAAAAACGTGCTCATTCGCGCGTCCAATTCGTTCGATGTTTGCCAAGTCGAGGTCGTACAAGGGCGGAGATCCACTGTATCATTCATTACGTTGCGCTCCTGAAATCTGGTCTTAGCCCAGCCCAGATTCGGGTGTAAGTCGGAAGACTGCCCGTATATCATGCCTGCCCGATGAAGCAGCCACAAGTACCCTTGCAGCCACCTGGCATTGGCGTAGATGCGCCGTCCTTTGCTTTTCCAATGATGTATCTTACGCCCCAAGGCATCCGCATTGCACCATGTTGAAGTTCATGTTCGAGCATAGGGCTTCAATGCGGAATTCTGGGATCGCTCAATTTGACGATACAATGCAGAGCAGCATTAAATAATGTGCATGAATCGAACATGATGTCAGCCTCTTCCAGCAATGCATGCTCTTCCATGAACAAAACGACTCGATGCATAGTGTTATTCGCGGACCGTATCGTCCAAGTCCACTCGAAAAGTCCATAAAACGACATCCACAAATCCATATGTCAAATCGCGTCTCCGAAAGTGTTGCCCAAGGGGAGACATGACTCGTAGCCTTTCCTTTTGCCATAGCACACTGCTGGCCCGTTTGGAGCTCGGATTGCTTGCATCCAATTCCCAGCACGAGCGGCTCGGGCGAGCATCTTGAGGCGCAGCGCATTGAGTCGCGGGTCTGAGTCAATCCGCATTTTCTTTCCCGTGAGCCGATGGGGGAGACAGAAAGGGTGTGTTTGGTGCTGCGACGGGATTATATGTATATCGGACATTGCACCGAAAACCGGACGACGACGACGACAGCTTGGGCTCTCTCGGCAGTTTTAAAGGGCCAATCTCCTCCAAGACTCCTGGGAATATCCAAAGCAGTCCGCCTCGAGGCCGTCTTGCTACTTTGAAGGTAACGTCTGTTGTCCGGATGACGACCATCGCCGCAAGATGTTCGTTGCCGACGCAGCATAACAACGCAAGGGCTCTTATAAACAAGGAGGGCGCGGAAGGGCAACTATCATTAGCACCAGGGATTACCTTCAGCACAAGCGGGCTCGCTACGGGAGGTTGATCGAGTGTCACTCGATAGTTCGTTACGATGAAGGAACCGAGCTGAGGAGCCAAAGAAGACAGATTGAATTTCGCTCATATGATTCCAGCGCAAGATTCGACGGAGTCGAGTCTTTGCCCTGCTCAACTGGTGTTCGATACCGCTGGTGTGCACATGTACTTCGCTCTTCACGGATTAAGCTAACGCTTCGATTGTAGATGAACCTCCTCAACGAAAAAGTCGCGAAACGCAGACGCTGGTGTGGATTGAGTGTGGACAGAGTTAGACGTGGGAAAGGAAGGGAGGTGAAACGGAGAGAATAGTGTTGGACGTACGTGCCAAAGGCTCATTTCCGAGGGGAAGGGTGGATTCATGGGGTAGCCTGTGGGAGAAAACGACGAAGAGAGCGACGGTTCAGAGGAACTCGCCTGAACGCCTGAAGGAGGAATGGGAGGAATACAGTACGGGCGGCGACACGAGAGCCCAGCGCGTTCCCACAATTAGGCAAACCCAACACCGCCAACACGGCCAACACAGCGACGCCGCCCCCCATTTCTTAGGGATCGCGGATCACCGTCGAGAGACCGGAAAGGCGTCTCTACGGGTTCGATAAGCATGAAGATTTTGCGGAGTACAGGCCAGATGAACCCATAAGATCCTGAGGCTCGGTTCAATTCAACGGGCAGAGACTAAATCCCTTCACGAGATTGACGCGTTTTTCCAGATTAATCGACCGACAGCATAGACGAAGTTCATCTTGAGGACGAGGCGCTTTTTGCTTTCATCCGGTTGTTATTATCGTACAGCCCCAAAAATACAATTGTTTATATACAAATTCAAGGAGAGACCTGCTCTGATTCCTTGTGGCTGTCTATAGATCCTCTGCTTGGCACCCGTCGACCAGCTAACGACAAGCTAGCGTGATGAGAAAGAATCCGAGCGCGCGACTCTCTTGTCGTGTTCGAGAAGTAGAAGCCGCCCATCCTTGCGACCGAAGAAGAAATGACGCTGATCGTGGGATATCCATGCGCCTGTGATGGTGATGGAGACATCGAAGCGATGAAGTACCTGGAGGCTGGGATGTGAAGCAATTCAGGTCGGATGAGCAACTGGTTGGAGAGTGGCAAACCCCCCGCATAAATTGCAGTGAGCACAGAAAGTGCACAAACATAACTAACCTGTGAAGACTGAGCAACGAGATTCCGCCACGATCGTCCGCAATCACCAAATGCTCTCCGTCCGAGGAGCATTTCACGTCTTTTGAGCGTGTTGGGAACATCCGAGACTGCATCAAACGGCCATTGACGGAAAAAACATGCAGATAGCACACCCCGCCCAATGCCGGAACCATGCTTGTTCTGCGTTGCGTAGGTGACATGTGTGTGCTTTCGCTTCCGGATGGAGGAGTATCTGGGTACAGTTCCTTAGCTCCGGTCTGAGGAGCTACGGTTACCGTATTCTCTCGAGGGGTGACCTCGGAATACACAACGATGCACGCGTTTTGCGTTATCAGCACGCGCCGTATGGACAACACCTCTTCAGGCTTCTCAGGGCATGGCCGTAAGGACCGCAAGTATCCAGCATCGTACAGAGTGTGAAGAATGACGGTTCCATCCTGCGATACGGAATACGGTTAGCGCGAGACTATACATTGGCGAACAGATTCGACGCGCAGCATACCGTCGAACCGCTAGCGACAATGCCGTGTTCCGTGTCAAGAGCTACATCGGTCACCTGCAACAGCAACGGTCAATCGGCGGCTCTGTCGAGGTTCTGGAACGCCGATGTACATACCCATTCATCATGACCGCAGAAGACCTTTGGACGAAGTTTCTTGACGCCGACAGCTTGAGCCGTGCTTTCCAACTCCCACGTCAGGACAGTGGTATCTCGTGATCCCGTGGCGACAATATTCTCGTCAGCTGAGATTGCAATGCACGTGACGATATCCCGGTGTCCATATATCGTCTCCACGGTGCGAGCCGTTGTCGAAGGACCTTGCGGGTTCTCTAACTGGATCACCTTGAAAGAGCAATCCCAGCTGCCGCCAGCGAACAAGTGTCGGCCGTCCTTGGTTACAGCGAAGAGGTTTGAGTGCAGTTGCAAAGAAGATGCAGGGTCTAGCGGGAGCTCCCTATATGCAGCCTTGAGTAAAGAGTTTCTCATTTCCGAAGACAGTGCATTGACATACCTGGTGATCAGGGGAGACCTGTCCATGTCGCAGCTCAAAGATCCATCTAACGGGCTCCTCCACTTATGGCTGCGAAAGTGTAGACTTTTATCCACCGTAATGATCCTTCCTTCACTTGCAGCACCTCCTGCGGCGGAAGACCTGGATTTGTCCGCACCTCCTGCAGAGCCATCCCCTCGCCCATCCCCGCATGCAGCAATGAACTGTATTTCCGGACCTCGCGGAGTCTCAATAATGTAGCTGCGGTAGTCTTGTGGATTCGTGAAAAGGTGTGAGTTGTTAGCCTTTACGGCAGGCGATCGCCTAGGATGAGGCTTCTTGAACAACTGGGAAGGGGTTTGCCCGAAATTATTGATCTGATCCTCGATCGACCGTCGTTCTACCGGATCCTCTATCGCGTCGATGTTGATGGCTCCCTCGTAGGTGAGATAGTAGAAGACATTGTTCGCCTTGATGGCCTCGTCCCCGGTTTGCTTGTATCCCCAAATCAGATCAATCCATTCATTCAGGTGGCTGGAGACGTAGTCACTTTCCAGTGCTTCCCGATGTATACGAATGAAATCGTCCACCGTTTTTGCCCACGGCGGAAGAATGACGTCTCCCAAGACTTCGCCCGTTTGTTTCACGCCGAGGTCAAAGTCATTCTGCAGGAAGGTGATGTCCATAAGGGATTGAATAGACAACCGCCCCAATGCCATGAAAATAATACCTCGTTCAATAGGAATTCGGGCATATAGAAGAATTCCGGTATAAGCTCCTTCACGTCGCCAGCTCCAGTGGATACCGACTTCCAGCAGCTCTGCATAGAATGAAACTGCCTGTCGGGATGGTCAAACTTCCCACTTTGTAGGCTTATGTGCAGACTTGTCAAAGGTTCCAGTCTGAGCAAGTAATACAAAACCGACGCCGCAGATGAATAGTGGGTCCCATAGTGGAATTTTTTTATGCGGCCCGTGGGATCCTCGAAGGAGTGATAGCGCTCCAGGAACTGCTGTAACCGGTTGTCGTCGATAGCGCCGATGGGCTTCGATAAATCGCGGTAGACTGACGGGTCACCAAGGTCCAAAGAATCGCTGGAAAAGTCACGGAGCACCCAAGGGAAGACCGGATACTGAGTGAGGTCGTTATACGTTCGCCCGCTGACAGTGTTAAGCCACATGAGGTACTCGAAATTGCTGATCTCTCGCTTAATCCAGCGATCAGTCATGTTGCTCCGTTTCGCAATGTCCTGAGGCGTACTTTTGAGATCAACGGTCTTCAAGCGACCGGGTTTGCAATTGACGAGGCATTTGAGAAACTTCTGCCGCTCTTTGCTGGCTGCCTTCCCCGTACCGCGGAAATTGAACAAATGATTCGTCTTGTCGACAAAAAATAGCTCCAATGCGCTTCGGCGCAACATGTACCTTCGCAGATAGCAGTCGGTCAGGTCTTCCAACGGCCATGCACGCTCTTTCAGCCACGCACGGTTATCCGTCATCAGCGTGATAACGGCTTCGCGCTCAGCTTCGCATAAGTCTGCTGTGGTTGATTTGATGTCGGCCGTGAATATCAAGTGTGTAGCGGTCAGCTCCAATCGGCCTTTGACGGGCGTCATCAACAGAATCATATCACATTCTGTCGAGAATATAAGCCGCTGCCCTCCTTCAAGCCCCAGTCCGTCAAGGCCGATTGTTGAAGACATGCCCTGCAAGTCGTCTTCGTTGAGCACATTCCATTCCTCCTCCGCCATGTCGAGCTCGTCGTCCAAAATGAATGCAGCGGAGTCAGTCAGATTCATCTGACTGAGAAGATCTCCACCATCGCCTGGGCCAGCCATTGGTACACTACCGGAGCGCTTCAGAGTCCCTGATAAGCTTGAATTGGTGTTGCTTCTGACCATCTTGGGACTTCCTGCTCTCGAAGACTGGATCTTATATGTCTTATCCCTCTTCGCCGCAGCACTGTCGTGGTCATCAAACTCCCAGTTTACAGCTAGTCGACGTCGCATGCGCAGGCTGTTTTCCGCTCGATCGAGTTTCCACGGTCGCGTAGGAGTCGCGGATGGATCCAGTTCGCTGTACGGTCGCCATATTCCGCGCTCTTGGGTCAAGTTTCGCCATAATGAGCACAACTCCCGCGTGCGCCATCGCCGCTCCATCTCCATGGATCTCTCCAGTTCGTGTCTGGCCCGCACTTCGTTCTCTTTCATCTTCCACGCCTCCTCCTGCAACTTCGCCAAGAACGCCTTTGTCGTAACTTCGAGATTTGCTTCGTCCTTCTGCCATGCTGACAGTATCGTGCGTGTAGCCTTCCCGAACCTTTTGGCGATAAACGGTACCATAGCGAATTGCTCGTCCTCAACACTCCGCATGACGGGAAAGAAATGGCTCTCGAATACTCCATCCCAAACTGGAGAGCTTACAAGATGCAGAAAGATGTCTTGATCCATCAGAGCCTCGTTCAGGAGTATGTCCGAGATGATCGATTCTCCTCCTCCAGTGCTCTTATCCGTAAGGCCCCCTATGAGCTCGCGCCATCTATTGACCACGAGCATGTAGAGTGGGAGGAGTACCCGGTAATCCACCCTCTGGATATCCGAAGAGCGATTCTGCGCACTAGATGGTGGTTCAGTAAGTGGCATCAAGGCATGACGAAAAACTCGTGATTGACCCACATTATGAACGCTTCGTGCACATGACCAAGCACATATAAGCCCTTCTCTTTCTTTCCCTCAGAAAAGGTGACTGCATGCTTGTCCATCAACGGTATGAGGTGTCGCAGTACCAGATGCCATATCTCTTCCTCCAGTAGTGAAAGGCCGCTCAACAGAATACGGATGGCGACGCGCAAAAATCCACCGCTTCTGATGTGGCTCTGAAGTATACCTTGAGAGCTGAGCGAGTTTCGAGCTAATACCGCATAGACCTCACCTTTTCTGCATTGTCTTCCAATTTGACAAAAATGACACCCGCGTCGAGGAAGCACGACAAGACTTCCAGACATTCCTCAGCTAATGGTCTGCACTCGGTCCAAGGGAACGATGCATGGACGGCGTCAGGCTCTGAAGTCTGGGCCTGAGCTGAGTTGGTCCCCAGGACGTCTGGAGAACACGGGAGCTGCGACAAGCGTTCCTGATCCTGTGCTCGCACAGCTTCCAGAAGGGCAGCGCGCATGTTCTGGTGGCAGAACATGAACTCCTCGACGAACAGGATGGCATGCGAAATGTTTTCCATCTTCGCATGCGAGAGCGTCCGGAAATTCCCTGCTGCAATCTCCCCTCGCACTGCAGATAGGAGACAAACCAGGAAATCGCATATGATTCCATGCGCTTCCTTCTCGCTTTTCGTAAGCCATGCATAGATGACGATGTCTTCAATACAACGCCATGACTTCTTGTCTTTTTCGAAGTTATCCAACGTGAAAGTAGTAAGGGCCTCGTAAATCAGGTGCTTGAGCTTAAATGCTTCCACAGATGCCTCCACAGAAGGTTCCACTCCCTCTCCAGGATGCGGTGCTGCCGACTTTCCCGAAGAGTCATAAGCAGCTTCTGTCGTCAAGAGTTGCAGGAAACTGGCAGGCCACCGAGACGATTTCCGCATTTTGCTGCCGTTTCCTTGTCGGCAGCTCAGCACAATCAAATCATGAATGACCTCGCATTTCAGAGGAATGGGCACGTCGCGATCCGCAGCCATCTGAAGTATTGCCTGGATAAAGCCTGCGTTCTGGATCTTTGCGCTGCGCATGTCGATAGGTACCAGAACGGTCTCCTGGGTGGTCCAGTCCAGTATCTCCTCCTCGTACGCCAGCTGCAGCAAGCCGTGGTAGATGCTCATGGTGAGCTCCCCATGTGCCATGATGCGTGAAAATAGACACGGGCCAGGAGCAGATGCGACGCCTCCGCTCATCTTCAACTTTGACACATCCTCCAACTTTAGCCTTTTCTTCCATTTGTCAGGAACTCTGTCCGAGATGAACATTGCTGAAAGCATCTGCAACGCGAGCACAGTGATCTTCTCCGATGAAGCCACGCTTAGCAGATGGAAAATCGTTTCAGCACCCCCATGTTGCAGCATACAATCGAGAAGCTTGTTCTGCGGATGCGAGACCACGATCTCCAGGGTTGCTGACAGGCATTGGGAGATGTGTTCTTCGTCGTCGATTGTGAACGTGTGCAAAAGCTGTTCCACATCCCCGGCTGTCGGGGTATACTTCAAGAAGTCCCGAAGGATATCGATGACAACCAGTCGTAATTGCATCAAATCTCCTCCGCTAAGCTTCGCAACGGGCGCGTCTCCGCTATCGGAAGACGCCAGCTTCGCATCAATATTGCCGTACCAGCGCTCCAAGACGCCTACCCAAAACTGGATGCCGAACCGCATACGATACTTGTCAAAACCAGTGCTAAGTAGACTTCGGATCAGGCATAGATATTCGAGTTGAACAAGAGTGGATGTCTGCGTCCACAGCTGCGGGTCGAAGATCAGCGTCTCTTCGACAGCTGCCGCCAGTTCATGATTTGAAGACAGGGCCTAGAGGTGAAGAGAGCGTTTGTCAAATCAGCTCAAAACACATGAATGAGAAACGCTGGGCGCATACCTCCACAAAGCGAATCAATGCCTCAAAAACATCAGATCCCAGATTCGCAGGGTCATTCTGCTGAAGCAAGCTAGCCACGATCTTTGGCCCTTTGATCGCAAAGAAAGTGTCGCGATGGACAGCGTCACGGGTCATGACCGAGGACATCAAGTCAAAAAATGAAGACGTCCGCCGTTTTCGGATGTTCCGCCTTCGTAACTCCGCAGCGTTCAGGTCATCGTTTGCTTCTTCTGTGTAAACGTCCGCACCGCCATGCAAATCGACTTGTGCCAGAATGGGGATCAAGATCCCAACACCGCCCAGCGCATGGATGCCGGTTTGAAAGCACTTGGTCCGACATGTGATCACGCCACCAGCCGGTCGCCCAACTTGGTCCACCCCGATATCGCTGTCGCTGACCCGTTCATGATGCGAAGAAGGGTATGCAACGATTGCACCGCTCTCGTCCTGCAAGGGAATCGTCTTAGTCGCCAACGGGTGGAATTCCAGTATGATCTTGCCCATATCGAGAACCGGGCTGGGCTCGTCTGGTATTCGGCCAGATCGTTGACGGGTTAAAGATGATGCAAATGCCGGGCCTAGTAGGTATATGGCCGACGTCTGTTGAGGCAGGAGCACGTCGTCCAGCAGGTACACGGATGTCATTTGGCCGGTCAGAGCTCTTTCAACCCGTAAAGAAGTTCGCCCAGTTGTAGAAGACCGTGCTGACTGTTCGTCACCGGCAGAGCACCCAAGAGAAGCCGTGATGTAAGCCCCCGTTTCTGGGAACTCCTGCTTCCCTTTCCAAATGGCTGCGCCGTCAACGTAGATGGCGGCTTCTGCATGGGTAGACCACGGCATTTTTGGGAAGCTTTGGCAAACCACTATACAATGCCAGTTCCCAGGTGTCAAAGCAGCCTCCAATGTGGAGACCACATGCGTCTTCCCTTGCCGCGTCACCGCGACGCACAGCGCACCGTCTTTAACAAAGATCTCCAGTCTCTGTTCCGCAGACGCAGACTGCAAACAGAATATGCTCGGATCGCTTGAAGCCGTTCTGCCTCCGTCATCAAATGCGTCGAATTTGACCCAAGCGATGAAGCTCCACCCGGTCGCCCCACTCGGCCACTTCTTCACCCCAGGCATCCTCATCCCTCTCGACCCATCAAACGCATAAAAATCCAAATCACCATCCTGCTCCCGCGAGATATCCAGCACCATCCGGAGGAGAGCGTCGTACCAAAACGGCAGCTCCGCGGTGTTGATCGCATTTTCGTGGTCGGCGGCGGACTCAATCTGGCTTGTCATCGGCTTGTATCCGGCAAATGAGCTCGCCCATATGGGCGCGGTTTTCCCGGTTGGCGGCATATTCGCCAAATCCCGACGGCGGAGACACTGGAGGAGCAGTTTCACTTCCGCGACGGTCAGGGAGTAGGATGCGATTCCCTTCAGCAAGGACATAATGTCGTCAAGGTCGCCCGCATCGGTGACGAGAGGGAGGACGAGTTTCAAGATCTGACTGAATGCGCCAGTGTTGTGCAGTAGGGCTGTGTTTGCACCGTGAGCGCGCGACACTTCTTTCAGTTTCGTGACGAATCTGCGACGGAGTTCTGGAGAGCAGTACTCATACGTCCGGAAAAGTAGGTTGACAGCGTCCCCGTTGTGCAAGCGAGGCGGCCATGAAGTGTCGCCGTCGGCCACCAGGATGAAGAGCTCGCTGATCAACTCGCTCCATGCGAATGCCTTCGGTTTGATGCATATACGCGTCAGCAGCTCGTCGTAGCCCCGCAGGAGACGGAATGTCTTTTTCGCGCTGTGGTCGTTCCGCATAATGACTACAAGAGTCCGTACCACACTTTCTGCCAAGGCGTGGATCAGTTTCTCCTGCGTCTCCTTTGCCGCGTCGCCCAAGTCAATCTTCACACTCAGCACGCTCAACAAGACCTGATGTGCTTTTGCCTTGACGAGCGACTTTTTAAGAGCAGAAGCGCACTCCGGATTGTTCTGCACAAGCTTCCGCACACCTAGCAAGAGCCTCAATTGGTACTCCGCTTCCTCCGCTCGCGTTATTACACTGGGGAACCGTTCGAAATAGCGTTTCAGTAGATCCGACGTCGTTTCTTGATCTCCTCCAAGCGACGCCAGTTGCAGGTCGCTGACAATCGACAGTGTGCGTTGTTGATAAGTGGGGTACTCTCGGATCAGTATCGGAGGCATATTCAATATGACAGTCTGCGCAAATGAAGAAACGGCGACCGTCTCCTGGGCGAGCATGTCAAACAGTAGACTCATAGCGGCCGGATTGGTGAAAACGTCGATGGTGATTGCGCTGCTTCCGTCCAGGACAGAACGAAGTAGGGTGATGATGGAGGAAAGGAGAGAGTGTTTCCCTTGCGCTCTCAGGTTGGAGATCAGGGGTATCAGGGTATCAAAGATCCGCAGTCTGATGAGCGCTTCCTGAGTCGCCTCACATCGGTCGTGCAGTGTCCTGCATAAAGTGTCGCACGTTTGAGCAAATGCCACATCATCCGTGGCCGCCGTATCCGTCAGTAACGTCAGGAGCGCTTGACATGGGCCGTCGTTCGGCCATTCCGTCAAGGTGGCGCTGAACCGCAAGAACTCTAGGATCGCATTCTGCAATGAACGTGCTGCGTTCGACTTCTGGGGTTCATAAAGTCCTTCTTTCGGGATCCCCCCAAAAAAGGCCTTTTGTGAAAAGTGATTCCACAATCTGAGATCTTCCATGACGCCCAGAATATCTTTCCTCCTGAGTTCGCGAGCACGTTCACCGAAAGACTCCTCATCAAGCAGGCTGTGCAGCGTATATATGACTGCAAACTGCAACGCAGAACTCGCGCCGTTCTGCGCGCCAGCGAGTTGAGGGACTTTCTCTGCACCGCTGACACCCGAGTTTCTGAGGAGATTCTCGAACTGCTCCAATAGACTTCTCCAACTCGTTGCTTCGGCTCCTTGCGAAGCAAAGTAATCGGAACCCGAAGGAGAGTGTATCCTTGGCGAATATAGCTTTGGGGAGTTCGGAAACGGCGAGGCTGGGGCAAATTGCGGACCCCGATGGTACTGAATAAGCGCAAGTGTTACAATCGCAGATACCACAAGCTTCGTAGCGGGAGAGCAAAGTGCTTCCAACGCAGATCGCTCTCCTTGGCCGCCCCCCAAAAGATGCATATCAGCAAAGAGAGGTGATTCCGCCTCCAGAGCAGTCTCTCCGTTGTAGATAGCTGCAGTCCACATGAGCAGAGACATCGTCCCGTTTTCCCAAAATTCATTTACAAGGAGATGTCTGGGGACAAGGTTTTGACGAGAAGCGTAGTCCACATAGTTAAGCGTCAAAACATCCGCTTTCAAAATCCCTGCGAGAGACGCCCACTTTGCTTCCGCACCTTCGCTGGCGAACGGATATTCAGCCAAGCTCGGGAAATTCAACTGCAGTGAGCACAGTTCCCCAGACTTCCGCAATTCCTCATAGATAGAGGCCACAGTGGAACTATGTCGGCTGCAAAGGCACGCCAACGTATTGATGCACTGAATTCGTACTGCAGAATTCGATGGTTGGAGATGGGCATACAGCGCTATCAGCAGGCCGTTGACCGAGTAAACCGCGGCGCGGATGATAGAATGTGACAACATGATTTGCGGACGGAGTCTCATCGGCGAGGATCCTTGGAACGCGCCAGTATCCAGTTGCGTCGGATTCCTTACGTACCTAGCCCATTGCCCATCGGGATCTGAGCACCGTTGCAGGGTAATCAAAATGCTTTGTATACAACGCCAAGCATGCATCTGTGTATGCGTATCCTCAGTGTTCCCCGTATGCAACACGGGCGTGGCAATCTTCAGCATGTCCACGAGAGCTGGAGGGACTTCATGTTTAATGAGTGCTTCCCGGTCTCCGGGATAACGCGAAAGGATCTCGATATGAGCTAAGAGGGCTTCGGCGATATTTGAGGTGCTTTGTTCATTTCTATGCACTGAATGCTCGAAACGTCCAACCATTCGTCTCGCCAAACAGCAGATTCCTGTGACAGCCGCGTGAGGATGTCCAGCTAGAGAGCTGTCCAGAGGCGAACGCACACTAGCTGGAGAGACCACTCCGAAGCCGACAGGAGAAGTCGGTGGGATTGAGGGCCCAGGCTGTATCGCGCACATATCGACGCTCCCTACGGCGTACTCCAGTGGTGCATAGCGGTTATTGAACAGATGAAGATACGCCAGCAGAAGCCGATCTGATTCGTCAGTGTTCTGTGGGAGGTGCGTTTGGGCACCCGCACCCGTTGCGTCGTGAAGATCATCTCCGCCACCAGCAGCCTCCGAGTCCGCATCGAAGTGCCTCCAATAGTCCGATACGCTCTTCCAAGCGCTTTTCAGCTTCCAAGCCGCGTCGTCGTCGCCAAACGTTCCGTCGAGACGGCCGCCCAGGGCACAGCAGGCGGGCGAGTCGGCGTTCTCGAACCTGCCGGTTTGGACATGTGGGTCGTTGGAGTTGGCCGAAGAAGGGCGGTGAGAATGACGCCTGTCTGAGTGAGCATGTTTAACCTTGCCCGCTGTTTTCTTCAGCCAGTCCATTCTATTCTCGAGGTCGGTTCACTTGCTTGCTATGCCATCTGGCAGCGATGTGTTCAAGAACGAGTCTGGGGCTTCAAAGCTCAATGGACTGCTTTCAGACAGCTTTCTGACCAAAACCAATCGCGTGGAGTCACACTCAATCAACCTGTCACTGTCAATCGACCGTGTCTCCCATCTCCCCCCGTGCGTGCGTGGTCGATCAAATCCATGAGGATGCAGCTTCTGGTCGGATTGTCTATGGCTATATCCGCACGGAATTCGAGTGAGGAATCCGTGTATTGAAGGGAGTGGGAGTATGCGTCACCATGACATCCACTGAAGGAACCATTGGGCAATAAACGCATGATGGACCACTCCCCCTGGCGCCTTCTCCCATATAAAAGGTCGTCGGCCTCAGATATCCAGCCTCGAACCTTCGAGCCTCGGCAAAATACAACACACAAGCGATCTTCAAGCAAACTCAAACCAAAACAGAAACCCACAATGTCATCCACCTCAGCCCCTACCACGGAGTCCCCCTACGCCCAATCCCAATCTCAACCGCAACAGCAAGACACAACTCCCCGCACCGGCCTGACCAACATGAAGACGACCGACTACGAGCAGGTCGTGCAGCCTGTTGTGCATGGTGAGAAGCATGAGCAGGCGAAGGTACGTTAGTGTCTGAGATCATCTGCTCCGGGTGTATTCAGTGTGCAGTTTATGTTTGAGCGGGTTGCTGCGATTGACAGGTTGCTGGCTTTCTTTTTTCGGCAGGACCAGGAACGTGTAGGATTAAGCAATATGAAGAGCTCGGACCAGGATACGGTCATTGAACATGCTTGATCGTCTCGAATCTCGGGACAAGGCTGCTCTCCCTCGTCAAACGGCTTTGTCCTGATGTAGAAGCCAAGGTTTTGATGTAGTTGCGTGCATTAGTGTAGTGATCGTTCCGGTGCCGTAGTGAGCGTTGTTTTGATATCACCTATTGCCAGTAAATGAGTTCAGCGTTTTGGTGAAGCTTTGTGCATTACATGAGGGAAAGATGAGAGTATTGTGTGGTTCACTTGAGTCCAGCGACTGTATTCGAAACTATCAAAATGCTACTCTTCTTACCAAAGCCAATACAATTGTCTCTGTCCTATCTGATGGATAGCGTCTATGATAAAAAGGAACCCCTTCAAGGTAGGAAGTATGCAAAAGTTCACAGAAAACATATAGGGTAGGAGAACATGGTGCCGCAATCCGGCCCGGAAAAGGTGTAGTAAAAAGGTCCCAATAAACAAGTATCTGGAGAAAAAATGTCTGAAGTCCAAACCCGTCAACCGACAGAGATATAACGAGTTGATTTCCGGAGCCAAATCAGCACACAATACAAAAGCATGTTTCCCCGATCCAGTTTGCTCTTTCGGCTTGGGCTGAGCAAAGTCGATGCCCTAAGTGTGTAGTCACCGAACAACCGCTTTGGCGCCCTTGTGGCGAGGGCTGGCGGAAGCGGGGACGCCACGGTCGTAGTGGCAGAAGAGGAGGTCCCATTTGCCCAGGCAGTGGCCGATGCGGTCGCGGCGGCGGAAGGCTGGGACAGATCCTTCGAGGGAGTGGAGGAGGGATGGCTCGTCTTCGTCTACTGGAGTGGCGGTGTCGGCGGAGCCGTGATGCTTGTCGCGGGCCGATTTGCGGGAGAATAGGGTGGTGGAGAAGGTGGCTGGGCGGAAGATGCGAACGACGCGACGGATGACGTCTTCGAACGTCTCGTAGTCGTCGGCGGTGGCGGATCCGCTGTTGGGCGAGCGACGGACTGGGACGGTAGTTTCGAAGGATGCGTAGGAGCAGTGGTCTTCGGGCGTGACGTGAATGGTGAAGTAGTGCGGGCCGACGAGCCCATTGAGGGAATAGCCGCAAGGGTCGAACAGGTAATCATCCACAATGGCGTCTGGATAGATCTCGGAGATGCCGGTGGCGCGCTAGATTAGGGAACGACCATGGTTAGCTTCTAAGCTGATAAGGTCCGCTCTTTGCAGCATGAGGGGTTACTCACGTAAACACGCTGTCCACCTTCCCGGGCCACCTCAGCTGCCCGAGCAGGGTCTCTGGCAGCCTTGAGCTCCTCTGCGTCACGCCAGAAAGTTTTCATCGCTGCTGGATCAAGCTGGGTCATCAAGATCTCCAGAGTGACATCGTCGTCGCCTTCATCATCCTCCTCCTCCAGGACAGATGAGCCTCCATCACTGTCGCGCGACGAGGAAGAACTGTCACCCAATTCCACTCCATCCAAATCCAGGCTGAGACGCAGTGGAGTCGCCATGTACAAGCACCAGTGATCTCCATTGACTTTGCCAATGACGTAGCCAGAAGTTTCGTAATCGGTGTCCGGCAGAATCTTGTCCAGGTATGCCACCTCGTCGCCCCATCGGCCATGGGGCCACGCTTGCTTTTCGGGGAACAAGAAGGCCTTGCGGGAATAGAAGACGGCGTTGATTTCGTGCAAGCCACAATACTCGGCCGCGATTTCAATAATCTTTGGCACGGCGTGGAGCAAGGTAGTAGTGCCACATGTCTTCAAAATCAGGCGGTGTTGGTAGACAAACATGGACGACTCGCTCAACAGATAAGCGTCGGCGCATTCGTTCTGGATGACATTCAAGACTTGGCACTTAACGATGCCCAACATTTCCTCCCAAACGTCCCGACTGACGGTGCGGAGTCCAGTGCGAGGGAGCTGATATTCACCGTCAGCGTTTGGTACAGTGCTGTTGTACACATGTTTGCCAATCGGTGTGAAGTCTTCGACGATCTCATCCACGGATGCATTATCCTCACTAGCTACAGACTCCACGTCGGGTAAAGGAGATTCTTTGCCGTTGACGGGACGAAACCAGATTTCAAAGACCTTCTCCGGGCCTTCGAAACCGCAGAGAGTCTGCTGAACTGCGTCCGACTCGGGTGCGAGAGGGGTAGGGTATGTCGAGCTGTAGATCTGGCTGTTTAAATCGAGATTGCCAAGCTCCGGGACAGGGTTGTGCTTGTCCAGAGCAGTGCCCGAAGATGCAGATGCTGTTTTGTCGATGATCATGTTGATGCTTGTTCTCGATGGTGAGATGTGTCTATTGGATGAAAAACTTTGAGTTCCAATGCCGACTAGGATGGAATGTCTATGTCGTAAGGGTCCCGTGAACACAAAATCAGGGTATGCTGAGAGGATGTCGAACGAGTGAGTGCGGTTGCCGAACGGGACTGTTGAGCGAAATAATTAAGATGTCGAGTGGAGAAGAAGAATGCGAGAGCGGTTGCGGAAGGGAGATTAGGGTGGCTCCTTCGGCGCTCGCTTAACCGTAAGGAGCTTAGGGCAAACGGAGACTATGTCGCTCGGGAGGTGTCCTATCGAGGTAGCTTCTCCGCGTGGTACCTAAATCACAAGGAGACGATGTGAGTACTCTGAGGATCCATTCACACACAAGGCGCTACTATTCGGGCCATACCTGAAAGCCGAGAAGGAAACAGAGTCGCAGAAAGGGAAAGAAGCAGTGATTGCCGTGGTAGGCGAGCGAAGCATAGCAGGGGGCAAGGAGACCTGACAGTGAATTGCTTGCGGCTTCCGTCTTGAAGAATTTCAGAGGGAAGCACCCAAAGTGGAGTGATTGACTCCCGCGCAGATGGCGAAGGGCGGGGAGGTGTTAACTTGCGGGTCAAGCTATGTGCCTGGAAAGACGGATATCGTGTTGACGACTGCCGCAGCAAGAGAACCAGCTGCTATCAACTAGGCGCTCAAACACAATATTGAGGCTGTCAACTAGGCTTGTGCCGTTGTATTGAAGGGGTCTGATCTGAAGGGGGCCGAATGGGTGGAGTGTGAACTTTTTTTCCTTCAGCAGTGCTGCTAGCCTGCAACAGGAAGGATTTCGCTGCTGAGATAGTGTGTGAGCTTTGTTACAAGGCGGACTTAGGAGCAGCAAGTTGCCATTGTCAACGACGACGATCTGGGGGTGGGAATAGCGTGGGGCAGGAAAGGGACAAGAAAAACGGAGCACCGAAGCCGAAGGGACTGGCCAGTGGGTCTGTCGCAATGGGGACTCCTGGCTCCCGTTCCAACCGGTCGTTTTCTTGTCCCACCCAGCCGTTCGTAACATCCGTACTGTATGGCATATGCAACGTTCGTCATTCGAACTGTCAGTCACGTGATGCTATCGATGGAGACGCATCGGTTGAACTCGTCGGCGAACGAGCTATTATATACAGTCACGTGATGGCCCCTCCTCCACGTCATCAAATTGTTCGTGGGAACTTTCAACTGCGATTCTTTCACAAGCTCCTCCACCGCTGATATCCGAACATCGTTCCACGATTGCCGATACCCCTCAACTGGCGTGTATAGAGCGCTTGAAAGTCCCCGCAAGAAGCTCGTCCCGGAATATCGATCAATCCATAGTGGTAAGAAGTCGATGCTTGGTTTGTAGGGCCAAACTTGTAAATCTGTTGACTCAGTCATTCAGCTGGTTTATCAGCGATTTGCTTGGCAATCTGGCGGAATCTTCCCTTCTCCACCGAAACCCTCCGACGTATCAACCCCACACCCTCCCCTTGAAAATCCAACAGTCTCAAAATGAACCTGTTTCGAAGAGCACAAGTTTCGAAAACGGCGCCCAAAGATGCCATCGTGAAGCTGAGGGAGAGCTTGGAGCAACTGGAGAAGCGCCAGAACCACTTGCAAATGAAAGCTGATACCCAGCTGAAGATTGCAAAGGCAAACGTGACAAAAAATAAGAAGGGTACGAATGCTGGGTGTGACGTGGGGGCAACGGCAGACCCTCACCACATCGTACGTGGTGTTGGTGTGAAACTCTCGGCTGGGCGCACTACTGACCCCTGCTCTCTTTCCAGCTGCGCTGACTGCTCTAAAACACAAAAAGGCATATGAGGACCAGATCAACAAGATCTCAGGATCGAGGATGACACTCGAGCAGCAGATGATGGCTATCGAGAATGCAGCTGTGAACCTAGAAACCATGAATGCCATGAAGGCAGGAGCGGACGCGATGAAGCAGATCCACGGACACTTAGATATCAACAAGGTCGACGGGACGATGGACGACATTCGAGAACAGATGGACTTGGCGAACGAGATCAGCGACGCAATCTCGCAACCTGTGAACTTTGGTGTGGAGTTTGATGAGGATGAGCTGAACGAAGAGCTCGAACTGTTGGAGCAGGAAGACCTTGACGCCAGGCTACTGGATAGCGCGGGCATTTCAGACACGGGTTTGGGAGATTTGGAGTCGGCTCCAGGGGTGCCCAACACGGTGCCAGGTAGGCATTCTATATTGCAATTGAATTTCTTGGTTATTCTGCATCGTCGAATCACTCACGATGGCCCCCGTTATCTGTAGCAATTGCGCAACCGCCACGCCCGACCAGAGCAAAGCCAGTGCAAAACGACGACGATGCAGAATTAGAGGAATTGCGGGCGTCAATGGCTATGTCTTAGATAGTCTCCCAGCAACCATCAACAATGTTCCCATCCTCCCATACGCCATTAGACGCAGCGTCCGATAATTTCGCCAAACTCCGTTGGCACTTCTGTCATGTTCCTCTCGCTAGGCAAACTCTATGTATCTTTCCCGTCATATTTGCCCTTCTTCCCTGCCAGTCCGTATGGAGGGTTGCTCAACACGGATGGCAATCCTTACCCCACAATCCCGCAGGCCGCGGCTGTGGATGTCAGCATCTCCGTAGCGCGCGGCGGTGATAGTTTGCGGCATCACCCAGCCAGACTTTTCCGGAAGCGGATGACCTCCCCAATGGTGTCAAGAGATGCCATGTCGCTATTCATATGTATGTCTTCGCCTGATCGTTTCAACAATGTGGCTGAAGTCTGGCATACCACGTATCTTCATCTTCGAAGCTTCTTGGGTGTCTCGAAACCAGAACAGAAACAAATGGGGCTTGGAATTAGTCGATCGCCATCCCCTGCTCCGTGCGACGGTCAAGTTGTGGCTCTAGCACATATAATTTAGATCCATATCATGAAAATAAGTGCCGTTAAGTCACCGCCCAACCTTAATCGAAAGAAAGTGGGCAGGCAGCACACAATTTGGCCTTCCGCTCTCGACCGCAACTTGTTATATCTCGCAGCGCAACATTGAACAAGCTACGACTGGGAACTCAGGGACGTACTACATCCCAAATAGGTTGGGTGAGATATCCCCACTCCACTGCAGCGTGCTCGCACATTCAGCGGGAAACAATGCCTACGGTTCACCGAACGTTTGCTTCCCTACGGGGAGAGCTCCATAGGCGGGACACATTCGCCAAGGTATGCTCCAAAAGTTCCGTAGATGGTATTCTGTAGGGAGTCCCGAAGATCAGAATATTGACGAGAAACATACCCTTACGCAGCTGATTAAAGCGAAAACGGTCTCTTTCTTCGGTGGAATATGCCTACTTATCAACGGAATGACCGGGCCGGGTGTGCCGTAAGGATTCCGCTGTCCAACGTCAGTTCCCCCATGAAGCCTTGGGCACTGATATGAAATTGTCGTTGTCTACAGATTTACCCCCGCAACCTTTCAACAATCTGGGTGGCTCTTCCCTTCCATCCTTTTCGTGGCATTCTCCTTCGTATCGGCGTTAAGCGTGTAAGTTGGGCTGGTCGAAGATGTGTTCACACAAGGAGGCAACGGACTAATGTCTCTCGGACAGTCTGTTCGTGATAGAAAGCATGCAGGCTATACCTGGCAACAAGAACTTTCAGGTGAGCTATAGATATCAGATGTGTTTCGACTTTTATGAACTCCCATCCTCACGCACACTCGTAGGGAACGGTCGAATATGCTACGCTTATCAATTTCTACTTCGGCAACTATGCCCACTTGATTGGGCAGTTCTTGCTGTACGGCGCATTGCAAGCGAACGCGATGCAGTCCATCGTCTTGATGTCGCAAGTAAGGACAACATTCGCATCTGCCCCCTAACCATGCTCGTGGAATGCTGATACCATGGATATGCAGACCTTCGATAACATCCTGGTTGATGTCTTTGGAAAAACTTGTGCGTTGGCGGTCAGTGGGCCGAAACCGGGATGGTACTGCGTGGGGACGGTGTCACAGGATTTCCCCTCGCCATTTGAAAATACGTGGATCATTTTCTCCTTGGGGTTCCTGGTAAGCGTGCTTTGTGCGCAGGAGGAGGCGTCGATGCGTATACTGATCCTTCGTTTTCTGTTCTTCGTAGCTGGTTATGATCATGTCCATCCCACTCGGCATCGTGAATCTGGACGATAATATCAAGGCTCAGATTGGTACGACCGAACAACTCCGTGGCTACAATGGTCGTGCGATTCATTGGGTATTGATGGAACGTTTCTCATTGTAGTCGCCTTCTGCCTCTCCGTCGCCATCGGAATTGAATGGATTGGCGCCGCGTTCGTGCGCGGACTGGACACTTCCAGAGTGCCAGCATTTGGGTCATCATTTTCGACAGTGGTGGGAACGATCATGTTGAATATGGCGTTCACGACGATAGTACCGTCGTGGGTCAACATCAAGGTCAGTTTGCGATAGTGGCAACGTGTGGCCTTGCACGTCGGCTAACGAGCGGTTGTGCAGAAACGCGAAGTGAATGTGCAAGGGGTTGTTTGGTCTGCCATCGCGATTGCGTGCGCACTCTACATGGGTGTCGGGTTGTTTCGTAAGTACGGTTGTACAGCACCATTGAAAGCCTCTCCTTTCAACTCTGACAATATCCCCTTCCATTTTATAGCCGCTCTTGGCTTCTCCATCGACAGCGACGGCAGCATTTTGCCACCTCTGATGCGCAGCGGCAAAATCAACAAGGTCTCGGCGTACATGTTTTCGATCGTCATGCTACTCCCTTCCATTCCTGTCAGTTTCATTGTGGCAAAGGGCAACCTCGTTCAGAATCGTGTAGTTAGCAAACGTGAGTTTTCAGCTTCTCACGAACCCAAGATACGTTGAATGATGGGCGCTAATAATGTTTTCTGCAGATGTTGCCTTGTTCCTCGCCTACGTCTTGCCGTGGATTATGTGCATCCCGCTTCAAACTGGCAAATCGATGCAGGGCTTCATTTCATGGACTTCCTTGATCTTTGTGTCCACCGCAAACTTCTTGATCCCTCTCGTGATTTATCTCAAGTGTCTCAAGTTCCGAAGGGAGTATAACCAGAGTCGAGGTATGTTTACATCGCTGCAATGGATTAGGAAAGGAAAACGCCTTCTAACCTGTGGGCTACAGCTCTAAGCTTCAAACAGAAGATGCTCCTCAAAGAGATCCACATGCACTCCCGTACGATCCACCGGTTCATCGATCAAAAGACAGCCAACGAGTCGAGTTTAGCAGAATTAGCTAGAAACCAACCGGGCTTGTTACACAAAGATAGGTCAGACCTAGGACGAGAACCCATAACTCCTCTCGATGAGAATCCCGATAACGACGGGCGCCAGGATCCTCCGAAACCCGGTTTTGTTGCGACGTTGTCGGCTCCTGATCAGCATGGCGACGAAGGCGAGCTTATTACATCGGTTCCACCTCCTCCTGTTGAACGTATTGCTAGCGCTCCGATGATCACGTTTGGCTCGGATGACCAGCCGCGGGCACGCTCGCCCTCCGCAAGCGGGTCGATACTGAAGAAGCCGGTCGCGCTCTCCCCCACGTCGGGGACAGGCTCTAGACAGCCGCCATCGCCCACCGGCTCTATTTTGAGGAATCCGCTACTGACACCGGGACCCAGCGGGACGGGCAGCAGACCGCCGCCATCCCCAACAGGATCCATACTGAAATCGCCCGCCACAGTTTCGGGCAAAGCGAACGATGGGTTCCCCTTCCCATCCGTGTCACCCGGCGGGTCCGTGATGCGGGCGGCTTCGCAACATCTCGACATCAGCACCCCACCGCCCCGCATACCCACCTTATCATTCATGCGCCGACAGTCCGCCGTGCGGTTTGACGGCCACGACGACAGCGACGATGACAACCGGGCGCCAACCCCACAGATTCTCGAGCGGGGATCCAGTCTCCGTGATGACGTCGGAGACGACCCGCAACGGTCAGTGGACATCGGTCCCATCACCCTTTCCGAATCTCAGGAGCAGTCTGGGGAGGAGGAGTACCTGAAGGAAGACGTGCCGGACCCCGACATGGAGCATAAACTCGCACGGATGGAGTCGCGGTACGGGAACTGGGATGTGGAGCATGGGCCTGGGGTCAAGAACACGATCAGACGGGCGATGCATACCATGGTGCGGCGCGAGACGTCTGCTTCGTTGGTGTTTGGTGGTGGTGGTGGGTCGAGCGCCGGGGGCAGCAACAGCAGGCCTCATCGGCGGTCACCGTCACCGTTAGCGGACATGGAAACGACGCATTCCCGCGACAAGGACAGCATGCACCGGCCGATTCGGCTGCAGTCCCTCAACACCTCCACCGACGACGCTCGATCCGAGGCGTCACATCAACAAAGCCTCGAGTCGGTCGGCGGTGGGGACGGCGAGCTGCTCCGGCAGGCGTCGACAAACACCGCTGAGGGAACCGACCTGTCCGATGGCGCCGGGCTGATCCAGAAGAAGAAGTCGGCGCTACCCACCGACCTGATGCGGCTGCAGACATTGCCGGTCCATCCGCAGTATATCAGCCCCACGTTCCGGAGTATTCCGACCTGGTTCCCTGTGCGGGCGAGGGTCGTGGCGTGGTGTTTGTTGGGTATCACGGGAGGCGTAACGATAGGGAACGTGGTTGTCGCGTTGACTGGGACTTGACCACTGGCCTGGCCGGTGAGGAAGTACCCGCGTCGCGATAGCAGGTTTCTTTTCGCATTCGAACACTCAGCCTGATCGGTATGTAATCTGTACGGTTTTCTGTACCATATTGGCCCCTGTATATATATATATATATATATATATATAGCGGTTGGGATTCATGTTACATACGATATCCAGTGTCAATTGATGTAGTATAGATGTCTAAGAGGGGTTATGCAGACTTTGGCAGGCCGTTTTCACCGAGGAGAGCATTTTCCACGCCCCAGCCGAGAATTCGGGGTCCATCGCCTATGCTAGTGCTAATGATACGCTTCAGACTGCCCTGCTCCAACGGAGCCATCTTGATCTGCTCTATCGCCTTTTTCAGAGCCGCCGCATCTTCCTCGCCCGCAAAGGTAGCCGCGCGGCCCAGATACGCCTTCTTCTCTTCAGCGGCCGTCGGTGGCGGGAAAAAGTGGTTGACGAGGGCCAAGATCTCCGGCACATGCTCCTTTCTCACATACAGCACCGCGTTCGGTCCCGCATCAAACGTATACGCCGCGCGATACCCCTTCCTGCCCGTACCAGCGCTTCCATCGGTAAACAGACTGTTGTACGTCGTGATGAGGTGGATGACCGCGCGCGAGACGTCGTTGAGGTAGGTGATTGGCGGGAAAGTGTCCAGGCACACGGCATGGAACTGGTTGGAATCCCGCATGGTCAGTTCCGCGAAGGCATCGTAGTCCTTGTTGTGGATCGCGGCCTTCATGTCCTCCATCCGCTTCGGCACCTGCTTTATGCGCTCCTGTAGCAGCTCCGACGTCTCCACCGTGGCCTGCATGCCGGCCGTAGAGGGCACGGTCTTGCGCGCATCGGACGCGACAAGGACCAACGCTTCCATGTCAGGCCAGTGCGCGGCGTCGGCGACCTGCTCGGCGACGGAATCGGACCCGTCGGCGGCTTCACCCTGCTTCCAGGCCACAAACCCGCCAAACAAGCTCCTGCATGCGGAGCCGGAGCCCAGACGAGCGAGGCGGGAGAGGTGGGAGATGGAGATCTTGTCCGCGACGTCCAGGGCGTGGGCGATCCCGAACGTCAAGGCCGCAAACCCACTCGCGCTGGATGCCAGTCCCGCGGCGGTGGGGAAGTTGTTCTCGGAGCAGATATGCAGGCTCAGGTTCGATAGACGTTCAAAGGTAGCGTCCTTTGCCTCCAATTCCTTCCTCAAAGCGCGGAGTTCACGCAACACATGGCTGGTGCGTTTGTTATCGGGCACGCTCTCCTCTTTGCCGTTGAGCCACAAGCGGTCGGAGGTGAAGCTGGGGTCGGCGCGGACGGTGGTGGTTGAGCGAAGGTCGTCTTGGGAGAGTGTGAGGGAGAGGGAGGAGTTGGTCGGCAGCAGGAGCGAGGTATCCCGCTTGCCCCAGTATTTGACGACGGCGATGTTGACGGGGGCGGAGACCGTCACCTGCCTCAGGCTGCTGTTCTTCTCTTGAGCGAGCATTTCTTTGTGTTTCTAGTACGAATGTATGCACCGGGGGATGGTGAAGGGGGAGCACAGTTTTTATGGATGTTCGCCGTCGGGGTGGGAAGTGCAGAACCACCGCTTGCCGTGTTGCATGATATCGCGCCTGTCCTCGCGCGTCGTATGATGGCCAGACGCGTTGCCCCACCGTCCGCCGACTATTCCCATTCCACCCCCGCGCACACAAGCGAGGACTTTTCTTTCGTTGTTACCTGGTATATACAAGAGCTGCGTATGTGATGCCGAATAACTCTACCCAAACTTTAGAATAATGTACCCGAGAAGCTAGTCCACCAAGCCGTCGTCTTCTCTCCAGCTCCGTAACCAGAAATCTTGGGAAGGTAACGGAATCCGCAGAGAATCGTCGTGATATCGTGTTGGCAGTGTGTTCCATTCAAAAACGCAAGCCCAATGCTTCTGCCCAGCCAATCTACGCTATCTCAGCATAGATTCTACTCTACATTCTTCTTAGCATTGCGCAGCTTCTTAACAACATCATCCCATTTCTGCGCTCCCTCCTTATCCTCGCGCATATACTCCTGCGTCTCCACATCCTGAATGCGCCCCGACCGCTTCACCCTCTGCACCACCTCCGCCATCTCCAAGCTGAACCCTTCATCCAGCTCCGGGTGCACATAGAACCTCCGCCTCTTCATCCCGGCCCTATGCTGTCCTCCGAGTAACTCCAGCAGCTCCTGGTCCCCGTTATCGCTCGTGGTTGCATTGTCGCGCACCTTCCACGTAGCGAAAGGCCTGTCCTGTGCGGGTACGATATCAGATATACGGACGGCTGTGTGGCGGCGGTTGCCGAAAAAGGTGAGAGTCTCGAGGACGGCCGTGCGGCTCGGCGGAAGAGAGGATGGAGAGAGAAGGACCCGTGTGACGTATGGGTTGACGCAGTATTGGACGAGGATGGTCGATATCCCCGACGTTACTATCGCCGCTCCCATCATGGTGCCCACGACCGCTAGGTTCGAGTATTCCGCAAAGAGCAGAAGTGGTGCGGCGACCGTTGAGAGGCCAAATGTTGTTGCGCTTACCCGCCTGGAAAGAGGGTATCTAGAGTTAGGGCCTCCGTGTACAGGGCGCACAAACATATGAAGAGCAAAACATACTTCAGCAGCATAAGCGTCGTCGTTAACGGCCCATTATATATGGTTGTGCCTACTGGCGCGACAACTGGCTTTGGGGCGGCTGGAGCAACCGTTGGGGAAGCTGCTGGTGTGGCCACTCTAGTGGACTCATATCGGCGGCTGACATGCGATGCTATGGATTGTGGAGCCAGGTGAGAAGGCCTCAGTAGACTCCTATGGACGAGCGTGAGAGATCGTGCGTGCTGGAGAACAACGGGTTAGGTACACAGACTGTAGGTGGTAAAGCAGCGAAACCCATACCATGCTGAAACGTAGTAGTATAGCTCTATGCTGTCTAATGTCTCTAGCAGTCTTGACTCTTGTTCAAGGCAGTGGGAGGAACTTCGGGGGTTTGTTCCGAAAGAGCACAACACGGCGCGCTCTTGCGGACAGGACCAACATATCCAGCATATGCGGATCGTACTACGACATAGTGCATTCAGATGAAGCTCTCTACCCCCTTTGCCAATGGACGGGGGCCGGAGTGCATCAACAGCCGAACAGGAAAAAATGAATCGTTGAGAAAATGGAGCGCATGTTAAATATGGTACAAGAATTAACAAAAAGGGGAGGAGCAGCATCGAGCGAGTGCATAGTGGCGGAAAGAACGGGTGGATGCAGATAAACTAAGGGCAAGACGAACGCAGCATCCGGTCTCCTTTGCGGTCGGCAATGTGATATCTATCAGAAAAGGGTTTCCATCTACAGTTCCCCTAACGCTCTAAACGGTGGTGATAAGCTTCTTGTTGAGCTCCTTGACCTCATCAGCGACCTCCTCGTAGAGGTCTGCGTAGTCGATATCCTTCTTATCCTTCGCCACTACTAAAATCACTGATGTCGCCCGCTTTGTTGCTCCCGCATTTCCCAGCTCCTCTTTCGATGGTACGTAGATGTACGAAACGTTGGCCTCCTCGCACATCACCGGGACGTGCGTGATCACGTCGACGGGTGAGATGTCTCCTGCAATTACGACGACGCCCTTTTGGCCTTTCCTTATCGCCTTGACGACTTCCTTCACCCCTCTCCGTACGTTCTTTGTCTTAGCGGCTGCAAGTTGAAACAAGAATTGTTAGACATGGAATTGGGTGACCCAAAGAACATTTTGCACCGCAAAAAACGCAGGTTAGACCAAAACCTACCCTTCTTGACAGTCTTCAAGACCTTCTTTGTAAGCTTCTTGCTTGCCAGCGGGTGGGCAATGGGGTTGCATGCGAGCACACGGGTTTCGTACGAAACGGCGCTGGCGTCCTCGTCGCCTCCTGGCGTTGCTGGTGCGACGGCTTCCGACTTTGCCTTCTTCGGGGTCTTGTCCTTCTTCTCCTTTGCCATTTTGTCGGGTGGTGTTGTGGGGGTGTGTGTGTTGGTGGGGTGGTTTGTTGTGATGTCCAAGGGTGAAGTTAGCAGGACCCTACTCTAAGTGCTGATGCGGGCTCTTTCTTTCCGTGTGGCGCAACCAGTTGACTGCGCCATCCGCGCGTGGCGTGCGCAACTCAGAATTCACACCAGCAGCTTGCAAGGAAGGCTTCGACTGAGAATACGTTTACATTTTGCAGCTCCATTTTGTATACCCAGTCCTCAAACGACCAAGCAACAATGTCAGGCCTCCTCGCAAGCTCGCTGGTGGGCGCCGCCGCCATCGACAACGATCTGGACGCTTTGTTCGGCAGTAGCTTTTCAGCGCCTTCCAGCAGCACAACAACGCCCGAAAAGTCCTCCAAGAAGCGCAAGCAACAGGAAAGCGCACAAAGTGAAAGTGCAAAGAAGAAGAAATCAAAGAAGGTTGGATTTGAAAATGACCCATTTCTCGTGTGGTCTTACATGGCTGATATTTGTGGGGTTGAGTAGAACGAGGAGGCTAAGCTCGAAGTGAAGCCCGAACCGACGAGGGAAACAAACGTGAAGAGCGAGACGAAGAAGGATAAGAAAAAGAAGAGCACAAAAGCGCACGAAGAGGTAGCGGTCGAAGCTCCGAAGAAATCCGTTGCGGAATCAGCGGAAAGCAGCAAAGGGATCAAAGTAAAGAAGGAGAAGGCGAAAAAGCAGAAGGAATCTGTAACAGAGAAGGAGGAGGTCGCGGCGGTGAAGCCGGCGGCTGAATCGAAGGCCGCGAAGATGAAAAAGGAGGTGCCTGAGAAGGTGCATGTCGAGGAGGAGGAGGATAACGACGAGGAAGACATTTCTGAGGGCGATTCCGGAAAACTTCCTCAGGCCGATTCCGATGCTGATTCGGATGCTGGCTCCGGTGAGGACGAGGAGAAGATTGAGGAGGGATCCGGCTCGGAAGCCGTGGAGGCAGGCGACGACAAGGAAAAGTCGCCGGAAAAGAAGAGCCGACGGGAGGTGAAGAAGGAGATTAAAGAGCAGAACGCGAGGACAATCTTTGTTGGAAATCTGTCCATAAAGGCGACGGAGAAGGTGAGGGCGCGACTCGAGCAGAAACCTTGTCATCAGAGTACATTCCTAACGGATATCCCAAACCCTAGGCCGGAACAAAAGAGTTGAAAGCCCTCTTCAGCAAACACGGCGCCCTCGACAGCATCCGCTTCCGCTCAATAGCCCGGTCCGACAAAATGCCCCGCAAAGTCGCTTTCATCACCAAAAACTTCCACCCAGGCCGCGACACCGTCAACTGCTACATCGTGTACAAGGACCTCGAGTCCGTCGCCAAAGCACTCGCAGAGAACGGAACGATGTTCATGGGCACGCATATCCGGGTTGATCGCGCGGAGCGACCCGAGGATAATAAGCATGACCATAAGCGGTCGGTGTTTGTGGGCGCGCTGCCGTTTGATATCAAAGAGGAGACGGTGTGGAACTATTTCAGCCAGTGTGGGGATGTGGAGGGTGTGCGCATCGTTCGTGACAAGTAAGTCTCGCTGGGAAGTTCCTCCCATCAATTATCGTAACAAATTCTAACGCCGTCTCTCCCTGTGATAAGAGGAACAAATGTGGGCAAAGGTATCGGATACGTCCTCTTCAAGGACAGAGCATCCGTCGGCCTGGCACACAAACTCCACGGATCTGAACTCGCAGGCCGAAAGATCCGTGTGAACAGGTGTAAGGATGTGTCTCCGGAAGCACAGAAGAAGCGCTTAAGTGTAAGTACCTGGTCTCCGGGACTCGTTCCTTTGGACCATATCAAGATGGCTCATACATATCACTGTCCAATCCTCACAGATGACCGAAGGCCAACGCGCAACCCGAAGCGACTCCACCGACAAAACCAAAAATGGAGGCGTCTCCAAACTCCGGACGCGGTCTCGCCCTAGCAGCAACGGTAAACCGTTCGGAAGACCATCGACAGCAGGCGGACCGAAGCGGGGTGGTGGTGGTGGTGGGCGTGGCGGGCGTGGCGGATTCGCAAAGCGGGGTGGAAGAGGCGGCGCCGCTAGCCCGGGGGGGAAGAGGACTGCGAAGTCGGATTGAGGTAGACTAGTTTTTTGGGATAGAATCTCAAGTTATGTAGGTGCCGTTTCTGCACTTTTATTTAAGTACATTCACTACGAGGCTATTGCGAGGACCATGTTTTTTCTATGTGAGTCGCCTTGGAACTTGTCTTCTTCTGTGTCACTCGGAGCACCCATACAGCAACAGAACAGACAAAACGTGGGGGTGCATAACGTATGAGAGATGAAATCCACCTCAGTGTCCCAGGCATCATATTCCTGGCAGACACAAAAAAGCCAAAGAAGCACTCTATATCTACAGCATCGGAGAATGTGGCGTGAAATGGGGGAGGGGTTGAAAGCTAAAACCTAGCAGTACGCCAAGCAGGATACTGATTTGGTTGTGGTATGAGTTGTCCAGATGCAGAAAGCGAAAAACTACATAGATAAAATATAACACGCCGTTGTATAAACTCTCAGTCGTCACCGACTCCCCGTGCTGCTAAAACTCAACCGCCGATGGTGTTGTAGCATTCCGAGAGGGACATCGTCCTCGTCCTCGTCTTCTTCCGGTGACGGGGCGGTAGGTGATTTGCTGATGAGTGATGTTGTGCTCTTACTTCTGCCGTATGAGTTGTTTTGCGGGGATATGGGCCGTTTGGGGTGTGGATGCGGGCCGTATTGTTGGGTGAGGAGGGAGCCATGCATGTGGTTTGGGGATGGGGGCCGGGGGTTGGGCCAGAGTTGGAGATCGTGAGGGAGTCGTGTCGGGGATTGGGAGCGTGGGACGGGTGGGTGCTGGTGGGTGGGCGGGATCGGTTGGAGTTTATTGGACTTAATCGCGGCGAGGTGGGCGTTGTTGGTGCGCATCTGCAGAGCGGGGCGGGCGCCGCCGTCTGCGGCTCGTGCGATGGCGGCGGGTTTTGATGCTGTGGCTGATGTGGTACGGTCTGTTGTTGCGTCCGACGGCGTTGGGAGAGGACGGGCTTTGATTGAGGATGGCCCGGGAGGAGAGTGTGCGATGCCTCCTGTTGATTGTAGTAATGGAATCTCAGGCAACGGCATGACCCCCCGAGCCAGCGGATGCGTCCGGCCAGGGGCACGGTTCTGAAAATGCGGTGACAAGCTCGATTTCCGAGTCCGCTTCCTCCCACCCGCCCCACCCCGTGGCCTCTTCTGCGGTGCCCGCCGTGTCAGCGTTACGTCCGCATGCACGCTGAGGATATACAGCATCTGGTTGCTGATCAGCACTTGGTGGTACAGGGACCGTCTCGTCTCGGCGATTTTGACGTGGGATATGCGGTAAATATACTTTTCGTCCTCGGCTGGCAGACGCCCTGGGTTGTTGAATTTGTCCCGGTCCGCGGGATATGCGTCCCAATCCGATCCGCTGCTTTCGTTGGTGAGCGAGTCCATGGATGCTGAGCGAGCGTGCTTTGGTCCTCCTCTTGGGGACTTCTTCCTACTGTGCAGGAATCCCAGCCAGTTCCAGGATTTAGGTGTTTTTGGCTTCTTTTCGGGTTTCTTTCCGTTTGATGTCTGCGATACGGAGCTCTTGGAAGCGTTATCTGACGCTTCCAAAGCCGCAGTGAGAGATGTCACATCCGAGTCGTTCTCGTCTGTCGCCTCCGATTTGGGAACAGGTAATGGCGGCGGTGTCACAACCATGTTTTCGCGAATATTCTCGTCCTCCTTTGTCCCCCTCTTTTCCTCTTCCGGCAGAGGCGATGATGCCGGCACCTTGATTCGCTCTTCCTCGACATCCTCGGTTGTTTGTTTTTCAGCATCCACCTCCTTCTTCTCCTTATCGGATTTGTTTGATTTCCGGCTTCCGCGTCGTTTTCTCAGCGATTTCCTCGACTTTCTCCGCCGCGCTCTTTCCGCATCAGAAAGATGCGAAGTCCCAGCGGTCTCGCTACCGGACGGTATGTACCCTTCCTGCTCTTCATCATTTTCGCCACCCAACGGGGCAACAACAGGCTTCTTTATATGCCGAGCCCGTTTCAGCGGTGGCAAGCCTTTCGCAGCTCGCTGTTCCGTCGATGCAAGTCCTGCGACAGTTCGAGCCCTCGTGATAGGTTCGTCCTCCATGAACTTATCCGCGTTGTCTGGCGTGATAACGACATGCCTTTCGACAAATGATTTCGACCGTTTCAGTGGCTTCTTTTCGGCCGGGAAGAGAGACTTAGAGGCAGTATCCGATGTGGGGTCAGAGTCGCTGAGCCACGACGTAAATTCGCTCGGATGTAACTCGGGGTGCAGGTGAGCTGGTACCCAGAATAGGTGGGATGGATCCTTGGCTTCTATCGTCGTACCCCCAATGCTGACCAATTGTTTCTTTGGCGGAGAGAGCACTTCAGGGATGACAGTAATACTTTCAGACGAACTCGAGCGAGTACTGCGCGCAGTGTGCGTGCGTTTCACTTCGCCCTGAGCTATGGATATTGGTTCCGACAGTTTCCGGGGTGTGCCCTTCGTCTTTGCTTGGCTTTCATCTGAATCCAGTCCTGACGATGCTTTAGATGTGGCGGTCGAGCTATGTTTCTCCGCCCGAGTCTTCGCCGACTCCTCAGACTTCGGTTCGATCCTCTTCCCAATCTCGCCAGATTTCGAAGCATCTTGCTTATCCGTAACGCTCCATCTCCACTGTCCTGAAACGGGCGCTATGTCAGGCAGCTCTAGCAAGCGACTCTGCACTCCGTTCGCCGTATCCGCGGCTTTCGTCGAATATGAAGTAGTGGTCGGCGGAGCAGCAGCCTTCTCCACTACCGGGGACGCCAACCAGTCGGTTTGTACAGGCGTTTCTGAGTGATTCCGCAGATCTTTATCCGGTAGAAGAAGCGGCGGGGTATCTTCGGGTGGGGAGGGGATCCCACGGGCATCGTGGGAAACGGCGTTTACTGGCGTCGCGGCGGACTGTGATGTTGAGTCCGCCTTCTTATCCTTCTTATTTCGGAATGAGAAAAGACCTTTGGATTTGCTTCCCATCAGACTCTTCAAGCTACTGGTGCTGGCCACGCTCTTCAGCGACGCTGTCTCCGCGCGCCGGTCGGTTTCCGGACTGGGAATCGACTCATGAGACTGACTTTCCATCGGTGAATTGCGTTTGCCCTTCCCACCCTTGCCGAACAGAAATCCCATGACTTTATTGGAGAACTTTCGCTCCAACTTCGCAGTTGGTTTTGGCGTTGGTGCTGAGGTACAAAGGGCTGCAGCGTCCGGTCCACTGCTGTGCACTTCGAGGGCAACCGTTGAGAGCGAGGCATGGTCGGCTACGGCCTTGCTTCCAGACAGAGCGGCGGCCTTCGTCGTGGTAGTGAGTACGGGAGATGACGTGGTGCGCAGGTAGGCTGGCGGGACCGTCATTGCTTTGAAGGACTCCCTTCCAGCCCCTGCTTCACAGCGGCAATGCCTAGTCTGGCTACTAGTGAGTCTAGCGCACGCAGACGTCGTTGTTCGAGTTGTTCGACCTGCTGCGGCGAATTCAAAATGGTCACCGCGGGAGTCTGAAACTTTGCACAGCGGTGGTTGAGAAAGGTTGTGGTGACCTGACCCCAGTAGCACCGTGCAGTAATGTTGCTGCTGTGAACAGACAGGTATATTGCTGTTGGGGGTAAAAGGGGCTTTTTCCTGGAGGTTGTTTTAGCCAAGGAAACACAGGTGCGAATATCAGCTGTTCTGTCGTCAGAATCTGGCCAGCCGTGAAAGCCACTTGGGGGCGTAATAAGCTAAGGCAGACATTTAGAACAAGGGCTTAGCTTTGGCGCAGAAATCTAATCATTCTCCCATCAGGCAAAAAAGGTCAAAATTGCAGAGGAAACACGAGGCTGACACGCAAGCCGCCCCTTATTAGCGAGCAACGACCGAACAGACTCAACAGAGTGAGTGACGTGGGCAAACTCCGACGGCTCTTCTCATACAGTACAACTCGGCCGCTCCATCGTCCATTCTGCTCTTTCAGCCCAGAAGTCTCATAAAAAACGGCCGCCCACGAGAGCCTGGGAGACGAAGTCATACAGTTGTCGACGGCGGCGACTCTGCGAGCCTCGAGGCAGTACATACATATGTGTTGGGGATTGACACTTGTGGACCTATCGTCGCAGAGTGTGGCTTGCTGAAACTCCGCTAGGCTGTTGTTAACTTGGTGATAGCTATGCTTCCCGATTGCCGTCGAAAGTCGGGACGATAACATATTGCACTCACAGGCTTTGGATGTGTTCTGATCGACGGAAAGGCAAATGCAAACGGAAAGTAAATCCAATGCACCTTGGAGTCCTGTGCTTGTGAGGGATTTATCCCGGTTATTGGCGTTGTGGTCATCGATGCGCATGTAGCGGACACCATGAGGTTTGATCTCGAGATAGATACATTGGGAAAGATCATGAAGGCATGAGGAGGATGAGCGGGGTCATTCGCCTATGGTCTCCAGGCGAGTCTCCATTAGTGAGACACATCTAAATACAGTATCGTTTGATGCACTTGCATTGCTTGCTGGCAATCACTGGTCGAAGTGATGAACGTCTGAGCAACTGAAGGGGTTGGGGGATTTCAAGAAGTTGCGAGGGACTCGGAGGGAGTAAATTTAGCGCTTGTACATTATACAGTAGTACGTAGCGCAACCGTGGGTACGAGTTGCAAGTATCGCTTACACGCGAGTCTGGCGCTCGGGTGAGTGACTCACGGCTTGTTTCACCCCCATGCGTTCTGGGTTCCCTGGTCACCTCGATAAACGGTCCTGCCCAAACCCCTGACGGGTGAGACCTCTAGATCCACAATGAGAAAGGTGTGGTGTGCTCTAAAGCGGAAAGGTATATGGGCTAAGCCCACTGCGTACTGCTTGGTTTGAGCTACGCTGTTTATCACGCGAGCGAAAACGGGACCTTGCTCCTGCGACGAGTCGAAACAGAGCGAGACGTACGCAACGAAGGATTCTCTGGTTTCTCTTCGCGGAGCGAGAGGAAGAATGCAGCGCCAAGCATCCTATTCCGCTTGAGATCGAGCTTGGCGTAAGGTGTGGCTGGTTATGCACGTATGAAAACGAAGTAGTAGTAGTAGTATGCGTTCCCCAACCAATCGAGGGATGTCCGCTTTGGGACAGACGGGACGAGCGCGTTTTTGCTGCCACGTCGAGCGAGCCACCCCCGCGCATAAAGCAACAGGCCTTTTCTTCCTTCCCTCCCCAAGATTGGCTTGTTCCCACGGCAATCCGTGAACGCCGTCCGCCACTCGCCCCTCACGCACTAGAAGTTGCTGGGGCCCGCCATTGAGACGTTTACACCAGAATATACCGCGAGGTTCTCAATCTGCCCTCCACCGCGCTGCACGTCCAGCAGATTCGACAACGAGACTCCAAAAACAGTTTGCTGCTGAGCTACGCACCTGACCCTCTTGACTACGGACTACGAACGCCAGTCAAACATAACGGACTTCACCGGCTTCAATTTACCACCAATACGTCCCCGCACAGGAACAACAATTATTTGGGCTCCTTAAAGTACTGCGAACTGGCTACCACAAACTTGCAATCGCCCCGTTGCACTTGACGAGCTTGCAGCCGGGCTTCAGAGGGGCTTGGCGGACTGTATTGGCGGGACGAATGGGGGTATCACCACAAACGTAGGCTCAGAGCAACAGTACCTATTTGCGCTGAACCGCCCCCGCGCGGCGCCCCACTGTTGTCATGTCGTCTTCAGCGCAAACTGGAGGAGGCGAGGCTGCACCGCTGCCAGACGCCATTGGGAGACCTGTTCTGGCGGAGTATGCTCAGGAGCTTCGATTGAAGGTTCAGCAACTTCTGAAATATCGGAATAACACGTAAGCAACCTATGTTCGTTTTTTCTGTGGTATTTTCCACGACGTCCGAAACGTAGATCACTACTTGATGGCAGGCAATTATCTAAAACGATTGGCAATAGGTTCCCGGGCGCTCAGCCGGTAGCACTCACGACGAAGAACATCCAGGCGCTCGAGCGCGAAGATTACTTTGTTTGTGAGAAGAGCGATGGGGTTCGATATCTTATGCTCCTGATGCAGACGCAAATAGGCCCGGCAACGTTTATGGTATGGTTTGCTAGCCTTCACAAGCTGAAGTTCGGGGGGGACTTTCAGACTGATGCGTCGAATCTGCGCAGATCGACCGAAAGAACGAACTACACTATATCGAAAACATGCGTTTTCCATTGCCTGGAAGGCATGACGCCATCGAATGGCATAATGAAACGCTTCTAGATGGAGAGTTAGTCGTTGATGTAGACGGTGCTAAGGTGAGTGTCCAATGCAAGTCTTCATCTGCATGATAACGGTTGCTAACCCCATCCATTATTCAGCGCACCCTTACGTATCTGGTGTTTGACCTGATGACGAGCAATGGGGAGCCATTCACCCATGAACCATATAGCAAGAGGCTAGGCTTTTTCCAACGAGATGTGCTGGCGCCGTACGACCAGCACATAAGGAGGGACCCGGGGCTGAAAGATTCGCAACCTTTCAGGTTTGTGCGGGTTGAAACGTCGCCCACTTGAGCCATATTGATTGTTGCCTGTGCCACAGAATCGCAATAAAGACCCAGCAACGGTCTTATGGGATGACCTTGATCTTCGATGAGATTGGCCGACAAAAGCATGGCAATGACGGTCTGATTTTCACGCCTGTCAACCTACCCTACCAGTCAGGAACATGTCCGAAACTGTAAGTTGCAGCTCCGAAAATTGAGTTGCAGATTGATCTGATCAAGTTTATTACAGTTTGAAATGGAAACCCCCGGATCTTTTGACGGTGGACTTCCAAATCAAGATCAGATATGATAAGAACAGGAAGCCGCATTACGTGCTCAACATCGGCAGAAACGGCAGACATGAGTTCAACGATCACTTAACGGTGGAGCCTGCGTTAGCCAATGAGTACGCATCAATCAAGAGTATATACTTTGGGAAGCTAGTGCTGATTTTACTTGGATTGCCTTTAGGTGGAAAGCGGCCCCGCCCGATGAGCGTATTGCGGAGTTCAAATGGGATCCCGAATGGACAACGTACATTTGGGAGGAAGGCTATGCGGATCGAGAGCGCATCGGAGGTTGGCGTTTCATGCGCTTCCGGTAAGAGACTCGTGCCATAATTTAGTGATCAGAAGGCGGACATGTCTGACTGTCGAATCTACAGCGATGATAAGACCATGGCCAACGATATTAGCGTATTGAATGACACGATGTTTGCCATCGAAAACGGGCTCACCAGAGAAGCGGTTTGTTCAATCCTCTTGCACCGGATTCTGTTTGATGTGATCGTCCAAACTTACAACGCATTTGTATACAGTTATTGTCACAAATAGAAACCATTCGGTCACATTGGAAATCCCGGGAAGCGCAAGGTGTCCTCCCACCCCGCCCGCCAAACGAACGGAAGCCGTCAACGTACGTCATGCCATCCATGCCAACATCACGGCATTCATTTAGTAGGGACGGCGCAACTGATCATCAAAGACGACCTTCTTCCGCTACAAACCTGGAAATATCGCCGGAGCAGCAGCGGCGGCTCTCATCCGGAAGCATTGTGTCCGATTTGAGTCCGGGGGTCCGGAGAGAGTGGCAGGAATCGAGAGGGATGTCCCCTCAGCTCGCTCAGAGCCCTACATCGATTGCGAGATACGACCGCAGGGCGTCTAATGACATGCCGAATCCGAACCAATGCAGCGCTTTGTCGACGAGCCCGGGATCGCGCACGTCTTTCCATACGCATCCTGAAGATGTGGGAAGGGATAGGGACGCCAACGCCTCAGCTGATAACAACTTAGGCGAGATGTCTCCGACTGTTGCCAAAAGGCTTTTCGATGTGGAGCGGAAGCCGGAGGAGCGTGGCACGGTGAATTCGGAAGACAGTAAAGGATCGGTGCCCTCAGGGATAGGAGATGGAAAAGGCGAGGAAGCTGGGTGCGCGGCAAAGATGGACGTGGACGCACCCACAAGCTCGGTGGAGACTGACGCGTCTGCAGCGCCTCGGAAAAAGTCTTTCACTGAGTTGGTTGCTGGTCAGATGCCGAAAGGGATTCGCCTAAAGAGAGCGGCGGTTCCGGTAGCCCCGGAGTCGGAAAAATTGACTTCACCAACGGCACTGGTCACTCCTGAATCAGGGCGAGAGACCGATGGAAGTCGGCCGCACGCTGAGTCGAAAACGGACGTACCTCCCAAGCCTGTTGAAACTCCTCCAGGCGCCAAGGAACCCGCAGCAGACATGATGGAAATAGATCAGCCCGAGATCGGCAAACCCGTTCTGTCGCAAGACAGAGGCCTGAGAAGAAACTCGGAGCTTTCAAGCCCGGAGAAAGGAGATTCGAAGAGACGGCCGTCAAAACCGGACCTTCCCCGTCCTTCCTCGCCGGTGAAGCCAACGAAAGTCGATCTTCCCCAACCCACCTCCCCAGTGAAGCCCACCAACATTGCAACATCGATACCAGAGGTCGCTGACAAATCACCACCAATACTGGAAGCCAAGAAGGCCGGTGACTCCGTCTCACACTTGCGGAAGAACAGTCAACCGAAGCTGGCAAAGGAAGCTCAGAAAGTGGCCTCGGATGCCATGGAAATCGATCCTCCGCCATCGAAGTCACTATCGCTCCCAGAAGTACGACCGGGGACGGTGCCTGAACATCAGCCCAGCGGCTCAGGGCCCCAACCACAGACAAAAAAGTCCAGTGTGGGTTCGGAGCCCGCGAAATTGGAGCGACCATGGCTGGAGATTGGCGAACGACCTGGCAGCGCATCTGCAGCGAAAGCTCATGCCCGCAAAAGCATGGATAACGTAACTGCCATGGATATGAATATCGCGCGAGACTCCGGGAAGTTGAAATTGACGGAATCGCCTGGCAGTCAACCCAACGAGAAGCCAACCAGGCGGAAGTCGACAAAGGTCGAGGAGCTTGTGTCAGTGAAAGTGAAGTCCAAGCTGAAGGACGGGAATCGTTCATCCCCGCCTCGTAATAGCAAGCGGGATGAGAAGGGTCTTCGGATATCACCACCAACCACGATTGGCAAAAGCAGAGTTCCGGTCACCAAGACGCCGGGTTTGGCTGGAAGTGAGAAAAAGCTGGACCTGCTTATCACTCTGCCCGCACCTCCACCTGTACTGATGGAGGGTATCAGGTCACGAGCTGATGACGACGATATCTATGACGAGACAGAATCGCCAGTCGCGCGACCTGTCCTTGCTCCTCCGCTGCAGCCTTTGGGGATTATAGATCCCACAACAAGCTCGTCTCTCCCTCCCCCCGCATCCGTCGCACCGGACGCAGTACCTGTGCACACGGTCGAAGTAAAGCCAAAAAAGATCACGGCGGCTGCGCGCGCTAAAGCCGCGAAAACTGCGAACGAGAAAGTATCAGCTAGTAAGCATAGACGGACGTACTCGACGCCAACGGGCGCAGATGCGAAGGGGATCCCGCAGGCTATGGAACACAACAATCGCAACAACGAAGGACAGTCGAGGTCGGGTGGGGTTTCGAGGCGAGGATCCTTGAGCATCATTCCCGGCTCATCTGCGAACGATATGGCTCGATATGCGGCGGCCTCTCCTTCGACGCATGGCGTTGTTTATCCAGGAACGCCGGATGGGTACATTTTGGTCGACCCTCGACATCCTACACATCCTTCTGCCATCATGCCCGGGTACCCACCGGCTACCGGATCCTACATCCCTGACGCCCTGAGGAGACGATCCTCCATATCTCAGCAGCCGCATTCGCACGCATACCAACCGATGGTCCTGGTACCGGCTGGCGGTGGGGCACCAGCTATCGCCCATCCACGAGGTGCTATCCCTCCACAACATTCTCAGGGTCCGACTGGGATGATGGCGGTGTCTACGGCTTCCGGGGTCATGATGGTTCCTTTCAGCACGCATGACCGAGAAGCTCGCGTAGAGGTGGTTCCCGGTCGGCCCGAAGGCGCGGCGGGTCCATCTGGTGTCTATGGACATCCGCAGCCGCCAAGGTCACAGGCGGGCCATCAACCGAACCCGACTGCCGCGTCACATCCGGAACGATCTCATCATCCCTCTCAGCAGTACGGTCAGCACATTTCCCCATCGCAAAGGCAGTACACACCGGAACATGCCTCTCGAGAGCAGCCTCAAGCTCAGGGGTACTTTCAAGGCCCACACGGCCAGCGGATCGCCTATCAACATCACCCACATTCCGCGCCCATGTACATCGTACAACCGTATGAGCAGGTGTATGTGGAGTCGCTCGCTTCCCTCCCAACGCATGGACAGCAACACGGGCATCCTGTCTCACAAATGGCTTATGAGGACAGGCAACAGCAGCAGCATCGACAAGTCCCGCATCCTGCCGCGCAACCCCCTCGGCGTGCCAGTATTGTCAGCGCGTCCCCTCATCACAGACCTTTCCCGCAGCAGTACGTGCCAACCCCCAATGCTCCGCCGGAAGCCATACCTCAGCGACCTGGGTCGGCATCGGGCGGCCAGCGAGTCGCCATCTCAAGACCAATAGACCCACCGACGTCGCGCAAGACATCGGGAAGCGCGACAGGCCCGCCACAGTCGTTTGCTCCCGCACCCTCTCGAGATCAGCACTATTATAGGCAGGAGCGCGGGACCTACGAACACCACCTCCAACAGCAGCATATTCCACCCTCCGAGCAATATACCCAGGGACACCCCATGCTGGAGACACCAGGCCTACGATCTTCTAGATCGGACGCGCCATCATCTTTCGACCGACACCCATATAGTCAGCAAGGCGCGCCACCATCATCATCCGCATCCGCCGCTCCACCCACCGCTGTCAAGTCGATGCTTTCCTCCCCGCCTGTCGTGCCAGTGTCAGCACAACAACAACCCAGGCCGCCATCCTTGGTTCCGTCGAAACGCAGCAGCGCCTGGCTCGACATTGTCATGAATGAATGAAGGAGCGGTTTGCAAAGACCATTTCCCTCGTCCATTGCTGATGCTGGGGGATGTGTTCCTCGGGGAAACGGTGCACCGCGGCCGTTGTTGCGACACCCAACCCGTTGTTGCTTAACCTTTCCCCACCGTCCTCCCTCCCACCCTCTCACGTCTTGTACCATAGAAACCCAACCCAGTGCGCCAGGAGCGCAAGAATATATATTATTTCATTGTTCAAAGGGTGGTTTTCAGTTGCGCGAGATATTCGTTGCCTATTGTGTTCTTCGAGTCAGAAGGCAGACCCAACTACGTACTGCCGATACACTTTGACGGTTTGCCGACTTCCTTGCTTACGAGACACGACGCGTTCCTCCTTGTGTTGCAACTCCGACACGCGCAACAAACACCCGCCCTAAGAGACGCAATGGCAAATGCTCACTTACTTTGCCTGCAAGATTTCGGAAGCACAATATGTGGCTGCTATATGATTGCAGTAACATGGAAGGAGAACAGGGAGTCCGCGATAACCGCTTTGGGAATCGGACGCCATACCGTCTGCAGCATATATATATATAGAGCGGTGGTGGGAGGATTCAACACGCAATGAAGAGTAATTTCATGTGGAGGACCTGCTGAGCCCTCGAAGTGAGAGTCTAACATCTATATCATGTATGCATCTGGGATGCAGGCGGAAAATCATTACAGAAGTAAGTCATGCACGACCTAAACCGAAGAAGGTTGATGAGGTGGCCGGGATCAGAGTAGGCAATGGCCCGTCGATAGCCTGAGCACTGAAAGCGCTGTCATTGTGTTGCGACCACCGTGAAGTGGTGTTCTGTAATCCCAAAAGTGGAATGAGCGGTAAGTGCTTGCTCTTTCAATCTTCACAGTGCGCATATGGATCTCATACCGACCTTGTTCAAAAACGAAGTGATAAGATCGTTATCGATCCGATCCCGTTTCTCATCCCTCACACCCTTGTCATCCCCGAGCGACAGCAGCTTCGTGAGTCGCTGGGAGTTCAGTTGAGACAGGTATGCCAGGTCTTCTCCGTCGGCGTCCACATCCGTGTCTATGTCCGGATTGGGAAGGCCTAAGGGGTTTGGCGACGGTCGTCGGCGGTGCGTGGGTGCCGTTGCGGAGGGTGGCCGAACGGATCGGGATCGGGATCGTGGTCGTGTTGTAGGAGCGTTGGCGGTTGTGCCGTTTGAGTAGACGAGCAGGCTGTCGCTTGCGAGGACGTCGTCGGGGGCAGATGAGCGGGGTTGTTTACGTGTATTCGATACTTGGTCGTACTTAAAGCGGTCGGTGGGTTGATGTTTTTCCTGCTTCTCAGATCGAGACTCATGGTCATTGTCCCGCATTTCAAGTAGAAACTCCTCAAGAATCCGCTGCTGCCGGTCATCTTCCGATCGCGGCGTCTTGACAGATCCTCGGTCGCGGCTTGCTCGTCCGACGCCGGATCTAGGTTGATCAGTTCCAGAAATATCATCTGACTGACGAGTCTTCTCGTCTTTTCTCCGTGTCCTGTAGTCTGGACTTCGTAAGACACGCGTTTGAGTAATGGGCTCGTCATTGAGTGCGGATCGTTGCTGCTCCTGCTGCTGTCTAGATTCTTCGGCCTCTCGCTGTCGTAGCTCTTGAAGCTGCGTTTCTTGTTGCGACAAGTATGCCCGTTGCTGTACGATGATTCTGATGATTGAGAGGGTGAGAAAGAAATGTGGTGAGCACTTACGCAAGTCGCTAAATACGAAGGTAGAATGCTCGATATCTTACGACGGAGACTTCTTCTCAAACGGAAACCGATTTTCTTCCCCACCCTTTCCGCGATCGCCCGCATCCCCCCTTGTCCACGTATCCACACCCCCAACACCTCGACGTGACGAGCGGGGCCGTTCCCGTTGCTGTTCAGCAGATGCGGGGCGTGGCGCCGGCGGAAATCGAGATTGTGGTGGTGGCATCGCTGTGCTGTGGTCGGAAACTCTGGAAACCTCGGGGTTATGGTGGGACGCGCGTCGGGGTTTTGCGGATTTCTCGGGGAACCGCGGTGTGTCGGTTTTCAGAGATGGGGGTTCGTCATGGTGGTGTGGTATTGACATGATGGCTTCAGCAGGAGCATTGTGTTGGTGAAGTTCGGATTGGATGGCTTGGTCTTCGCGCTCGAGTTCCTGCGATCCGATGAAGTTGATAAGGTCGATGGAGATTGAAACTATAACAACGAATGCCATGTGCGACTTACCTGTTGAATGGCCACAAGTTGATCCAAGACCGCCTTAGTGTCCATATTATCGCTGCTGTGAGTGCCCTATGATTATGCACATGTGAGAAGGAGTGATTAGGTTGCTGACACTTGAAACCAATCGATTGCTGCGATGGACCACTCAAATCAGGAAAGCCCTCCGCAGCGTTGGACCCCCGGCGCTTTCTGGTCTTTGGCAATCAGGCGAATGGTCATGAACAGACTTCAGAAGATGTCGCGTATATTCATTGCATATTGACAAAGGGGACAAGAATCCTCTCGTCAACACCACGGGGGATGGTAGACGCCCAAAAGGTTCCCAAAGGATCGCACCGCATCGAGCGAATTTGCGCATCAACTCAAACTCAAACATTTACCTGCCCGCTGTAACCTCCGTTCCCTTGTGCTCGCTCGGCTCGTCCACTTGCAGCTCTTCTTCCTGCATTATGCTGATCCGGCGGCAAGGATGCTGGTGGCGCCATGGTATGCCCAGGCCGTGATGCATCCATATGTCCGCGGTCCATGTAGCGTTCAGCTTGAGGTGGGGGCCGTAACGCCGCAGGTTCCGAGAACGGTTGATGAGCGCCGGTGTGGCCGGATGGCGGCGCGGCTTGTCCTCGGAGGGTTGGGATGGGCGGTGAACTGGAGCGGAAAACGGGAGGAGGCGCGTTGGCTTCGGGTGCTCGTTGGGTTTGATGGGTTGGGAGGGAAGGAGAGCTGGAACGGTTGGTGGTCGGGTAATTGCCAGGTTGCTCTTGCGCTATGGGAGATGATGATATCAGTAGAATTCTTCATTTATGGTTGAAGGCTTTTAACGGCACATACATACCTCCACCTCCACCATTCTTTGACTGCCTCATCGCCGCTTTCGCCTTTCTCGCCTCCTCCTGCGCCTCCTTATACGCGCGTTCCCTCCTCTCCTGCTCCGCCACCCGTTCGGCCGCTTTCCGCTCATTCTCTTTCCTCGCTTCCTCGTCTTTCCGTTTCGCCTCCTCCTCCTCGCGCGCGTATTTGCGCTTGATTTCTTCATTTTCGCGGCGAATCCGGTCTTGTTCGCGCGCTTCTTCGGCTTTTGCGAGGGCGATTTGTTCGGCTTTTTGGGCTTCGCGTTCGGCCATTTGGCGGCGGAGGCTTTCCTGGGTTAACGGGAGACCGGATGGACGATGAGTGATTCTATACATTCAGGGAATCGGTGAGATACATCGTTAGCGTTAGCAAACCTGATGCTCGTTCTGCACCCGATGCTTCTTCATCAGCTCTTCTTTTTCCCAATCAGGCATGTCTCTCCGCTGTCCTCGGGTATAGTTGGGTGCTAGCCGAGTATGAGGGTCAGTTTTGCCCCGTCCTTCACCTTCTTCCCGGTCTGATGGATGCACTCACCTTGGTCACCGATGGGAGGCAGCGGTGTCTGCTGACTCGCAAGCAACATTGGCCTGGAGCCCAAAAATCAGATCATCAGCGTCCATGCACATCAGTTTCAGATTTCACAATCAACTCACCCTGGTGAAGGTGTCGGATTATGCCCCGGATAAGCCGCCCCACCACCCGCGGGCGTCGGCGTAGCCCCAAACCTCCCTCCCTGCACAAACGCACCCGGCGGCGGTGCCTGCGACGCCTGCCCAGCAGCACCGCCATACCCCGCATTCCTCGCCTGCATCACGGCCGCCGAGTGCCCCGGATCCCCCCACGGGTTATAACTCGCCGCCTCCCGATCCGTCTTCTCATCACTCAAACGCAGCTGCCGCTTCTCTTCCTCCGCCTGCTGCCGTTTAAGCTGCACTTGCATGTCGAGCTCGCGTAGGTATTCTGATTTTGAAGAAGGTGGGGGTGGGATGCCTTGCTCGCTGCCCCGTTGCACTGCTCCGCTTAGTGAGGAGGAGCCACCGCCGGTGACCCCGTAACCCTGCGACATGCGGATAGATGTTTTGGCGTAATTAGTGTTGGGTTCGGGTCCGGCCGCGCCGGTGATGGGGTTGGAGCCCGTGTAGGAGGGTGCCTGGCGGTGGGATCGTTCGCGCTCGCTTGCGCGGCGTTTTTCTTCGATCTGGCGTTCCAGGTCGGCCGCGTATGCTCGCGCTTTGTCGGATTTTTCGGAGGTTCGGCGATCGGGGTCTCGGGAGTCGGCGGTTGAGCGTGGGGGTTGGTTGTGTGGGGGTTCGTCGTAATGGGTGTCGTAGCGGGGTTCCGGTGGGTACTGCGGTCCTGCCCGCGCGTCCATTCGTCTCGGCGGCGGCTCGTCGTAGCCATGACTGGCTTCATACGGCCGAGGCGGTGGTGGCGGGTGACTCCACGACTGGGAATGCATCCCTCCACTCGCGTATGGGCCGTCGGCCCAGTATGGCCTTTCAGATCGCGGCATTCGGTCGGGCATTTGGCGCCAGTAGTGCGGGGCGCCGTAGGGATCTGATGGTGGGGGCATGGGGCTGCGGTAGTCGTAGGAGGATTGGTATGGGCTGGAGTACCTATGGGATGGTCCGCTAGCGTATGTCAGATGCACAGGACATACACTAATGTTGGCTTGACGACACTCACGCGTAGCTTGGGCGTTCGGACCGCTGGCTCATTCTTCCAAAATCTGGATGATGTGAAGGGCCCTCATCATGACCGTACGACCGCTGTCTCCGCCGCTCTGAAGAGTATCAATGTCATAGCGTCAGTGTGTGGGCCCGGACAAAGGATTGCCGAAAGGAAGTACGTACCTTCTGGGTAATCGCTTGCTCCCGCATATCTTCTCGACGAATCCGGTTGCTGACCGCGACCACCATACTCATCGCGACCCCCTCCCAGCTGATTCCGAGGCGGCGGACTCTCCCTCCCTCTCTGCGGGGGATCATTCCGTTGACCACGCTGTCCCGCATCCGCATAACCTCCATTAAAGAAGGAGTTCGCCTTCGACGGCGACTCCGTAACTTCGCTCTGCTTATTCCGCAGATTTCGCAACCGCGGGTTCTCCCGAGCTTGTGCCGCTAGGAACCGCTGCATGTCGTTCTGCATCTCCTGGCGAAACTGTTGGCGTCGTGCGTCCTCTTGGTCGGAAGTTCCTAGAGGGCCGGGGCCTATGCGGGGGAGGGAGGACATGTTGTGGTTCATGGCTACGGCGGCCATGTTCTTATGAAGCAGGGCTTCGTTGTTGGGCGTTGCAAATTCTTATGTCACTCCGTATGTGATCTCCGATGTCCAATCATGAACTGGTGCCAGAAAGTACTATACACCGGTTGGTGCGCACTATATTGACAGAGTAATTATTGCGAAAAGGCCGGGAGCCATGCCGCCGCTTCCTTCGGGAAACGAACTGAGTGGTTTGCAGGCTTTGGGGCATGAAAACCCCACCGACAACCTGCTGGTGATCTGGCCTATGTGGGAGAAGTCGTCGGGTTGAGCGCTTGAGCCGAACGAACACGCGCGCGTACTGTATGCGGTGATGAATCACGCGTCGAAAAGGCAGCGAACGGACAAGGCGTGGCTTTCTTTCCTACTTCGCAACTATAGTATACTAGGCCTACGCCGCGGCTTGAAATGTATTCAAATAGCAATAGTCAGAAAGAATCACAACAAAACTCCCGATAGAGCTGCCCATGGGTGAAACCAGGAGTTGGGAGATAGATTTCCATCTCTCCAGGGTTTGGCCTTGGCTGTGCTGGGCAGATTATAAATAGCCGCGTCATTTGCACCTTTCTGTCGTCTCGTTTTCTCTCCTCCGTTGCAGGAACTGCAAAACCTACCCAGTCCTTTTCACCTTGCGGCCGACCGCCTCGACTCTTGGGCAGATCTCCCCGAACGCCCAAGCCCTCCTTCATCGAAGTCTTCGGCCGCCATAAGGGTAGTTTCTACGCCATATCAGTTCTCTATTTCACTGGCCTCCCTCAAGAGTCGCATGATTGACCTTCCCGCCGACCGCCTCGACTGGGAAGAACTCCCTGACTGCATTTCATACCGACTTTACGAACACGCGCGAAAACCCCATCGCACGCGCTTCACCCCCACCTTGGAGGCAATTGGCTGGTGGCCGGGAGATTGGATCGCTAAAGATCAAACTGGGGTTCGTGTCATTCTCATAAGCGGCTACCTGCAGCACTTCATCAAGATCATTGACAAACTACAGGCCCGCTTTCGAAATCGTCAGCCGTAAGAATTGGGTATATTTCTTTGATCTTAGTTTCATTGCTTCGGCGCCGCACGATTGACAGTCTATTTCACCTTGCCGCCGAACGCCTCGACTCTTGGGAAGAAATCCCTGACTGCATCTCTCACCGGCTGTACGAACACGCACGCAACACCTATCGCACCCGTCTTGGAGGCAATTCGTCTGTGGCCGCATGTGCGCATCATGTCGTTGCGGCACGTATTGGCGCGATGCGCTGCAACCACCAGCAAGGCTCTGGACTACATGGTAGAGGTGGTCGCAGCCCAACGGTGCTCTTACCCATCGATCGATGCCTCCGATGCACGCATGAATGCGCTGTACCGTGAGTGGACGGAATGTGCCGACGCGGTACAGCTCCGTCCCGTGCGGAAGCTCACGCCCGTGATAGACCCGCGCTCGTGTTTCGGTGCCACGGGAGAAGGCGCCTCCTTTGAAGTGCGGCAGTGCACTCTCGTGTCGGCCGCATTGCTGCTGGCCCGCCGCAGCGCAGATGCCCATGGTGGCTCTGGCGTGTACGTGGGTAGCGGCTTGCCTATGCAGTACACAGACGACAGTACATCGTTGTCGACGATGCTTATCAACATTCATGTGGGAACGTCTGGTCAGGCACATCGCTATGAGTACGGGATGGACTACCGAGACGCCATGTACAGCTGGCCCCAGTCGACGGTGGTCTTCCTCACGCATGTAGATGACACGCCAGCCACGTCGCTGTTTGACATGGCAGAGTCGGAAACTCACGGGTGCGGGGTCGCGTACTGGAACATCATGGCACAAACCGCATCGACGCACAAAGACGCTGAACGCAAATGGGTCGTACATGCTAGCGGCATGGAGGTGAACCCGTCGAGATACTATGATGTCGGCACGGCTGCCCGCATTGCACCACCTCATGTGGGGGGCGGGCCGCGAGCGACTCACGCCCGCGAGGACCCACTATTTCCCTTGCACTCCGACTCAATGATTTCGCATGCTCACCTTACTTGCGGCTTCTCCTTCTCTGTCGAGAGTTTCCCTTGGACCGTTTCCTAAACCTTTGCCCCTTCGTTCGTAAACGGGAACGTGAGAGGTCTGTAACGCCACGGTCTTGGATCTGGAAGTTGGAAGGTGTCGAAAGCAGTCAATCGCGCTTTCCGATCGTGACAAACGCGGTTGTCGCTTTGTCCGCTCAACCCCATCTTAGCGGTGACAATCGCTTGCACCTTCAATCCGACCAACGCCGTTCACAAGCCCCGTTAATGGCACACTGCTTGGCTTACCGTTTTCAAGTGCCGATGGGGGCCTCATAACAGAAGAGCAAAAACCGAAAACCTGTGGTGGGAAGAAAAATGCTATTTGATTGGGATCCCCCTTTCCACTGGACGCTCTGCTTTGTGCCCTACTGTGGAGCGTAGAGGGAGGAATATCTTTTCAGGTTGTGGTTGGAACTGTCTTTTGAAGTTGTTGTTTTCCGCCCATCCGCAGGACGTGTTCATTGAAGTATCTGGCGACAGCACACTGGATTCCTTGCGATGTCTTCAAAACTGGACTGCCTGTGAAAATGGCGCACAGATTTGGGACATAACATCCGAGGGCCCGATAAATTCAACAATACGGAGTCGATGCTGTCCACACGCTGTAGAGTACCTCGACCAGGCACATGCGCATTATGCGATTCTACAACCTGTGTTCTGCTGCTCCAACTGCGCGCAAGTGGCGGCCATAACAGCCAACCGCACAGGCGTTTACCCTTGGACCTGACCCGGTCATGGATGTCGCTGAAAGGTGTTAAGTTGATTCTTTGGGCTACCACGCACGTCAAGGAGTCCACTTTTCTCAGCATGCTCTGACGAAGGCGACACGTTCGGTAATGCTAGCCGTATTCTGAGGACGTCGTTGCAGAGCCCACTCCCGCCAATTAAAATGGACACACCTGTGCTTTCCGGTGCTTTACCGGAGACAAATGAACCGCAGCTGCTTTTGGCTCAAGAGCGTCTACACCAACAAATGTATTCAAGTTCCCAACCCCGTAAATCAACCGGGTCTGGAGTTGACAGAATGGTCGTGCGTCACGGGCGTGGCGGGATTTTATATATAAAACACAATACATATCTGTTTTTGAGAAACAAGCTGGAATTGGTCGGCTTCATACGACTTATTGCGACTTCTCTACGACTTTTTCTGCATTTAAGCCAGGTTTTCCCAGACTCCCACTCCCCATCTGCGGGTTGAGTGAAGACTGCTGCAAGTGGTCCGGATCTTTGGATCTTAGGTCGAACGTCACCGCCGGTTATCGATTAATCGCTTGGCCGAATAAGAAAGCTTCGTCAAGGGATGTTTGTCAGCGACCGGGATCTCACACTGCAGTCCCGCCGCTTGGATACCGGATGCATTACGTGGGGGGGCCTTACCTTCCCTTGCGTTATCGGTCTATATTGTTCTGGTCTCCTGCTCGTCCCCAGGTTTAGCAACGTTTACTTAACGGGTGCATGAATGGTTGGTTGGTAGCGGGTCTCAGCACTTGAGAACACGCGCGCCTTTCTTTTCTTCGCCGTCCCGAATGAATCCGCGCGAGGGCTCAGCCGGCGTCTGAAAGAGAAGAAAAAGGGCGGACGCCGGCCGATTCCCCTCCTTCTTCCTTCCCTCACAATTACAAAAAAAATAGGTTGCATCGGCATTTGTACGGTAGACACACAAGTGTTCCTCACCTACAAACGTCAGAGAGCTTCACTTCTCCATACCAAAACTCAGAAAACCCTCAAAAAAAAACAAAAAATCATCCCGTAAAAACCAGTGTAGACTAGTTTCCTTGCTTCTTTCCCAGAGACCAAAGAAGTTTCGATCTACTCGCTTCAGCAACTGCCAGAAGAGACTCCTTCACTGTGACAATCTCTTCTTCTCAGCCTCTGGAAATATCAGCAAGGTTCTTGTCGGATTCAACTTCGAAAACAAAAACAACAGCGAAAATGGCCGCCGCTGCTTCTCCCGTCGAAGTCCCCGTGACTAGCGATGCTCCCGTTCAGGACACTTCCGCTGCCAACAACTTGGCCAGCGACCCCACCGTTGCTGCTGCTGCGGCTGCTGCCGCCGCTGCCGCCGCTGCTGCCTACCAGCAGCCCGGTATGCCTTACTTGCAGGGCAACATGGCCATTCCGGCTCCCATCCCTCCTCAGACCAACCAGGCTCCCGGTGGCAGTGCCAGTGGCAGTCTTTACGTTGGTGACCTCGGTATGTACTTTTTGCGAACTTGCAATATGAGCTCAGCATCTAACCTTACATTTCTGAAACCATATCCAGACCCCTCCGTCACTGAGGCTCAGTTGTTCGACATGTTCAACGCTCTCGGCCCGGTCGCTTCCATCCGTGTCTGCCGCGATGCCGTGACCCGTCGTTCCCTCGGATACGCCTACGTCAACTTCCACGCCGCTCCCGATGCTGAGCGTGCCATCGACACTCTTAACTACGTCCCCTTGAAGGAGCGTCCCATGCGCATCATGTGGTCCCAGCGTGACCCTGCTTCCCGCAAGGCCGGTGCTGGTATGTGTCATAGAAGACTGGTTCAATTCGCAGCATCTTAGTTCACGAAACTGACATTCTGGTTCTAGGCAACATCTTCATTAAGAACCTCGACCCCTTGATCGACACCAGGGCTCTTCACGAGACCTTTGCCGCCTTCGGCCCCATTCTTAGCTGCAAGGTCGCCATGGACGGCGAGCACTCCAAGGGTTACGGTTTCGTCCACTTCGAGGAGGGCGAGTCTGCCGAGCAGGCCATCAAGCACGTCAACGGAATGTTGCTCAACGATCGCAAAGTGTTCGTTGGTCACCATGTCCCCAAGAAGGAGCGTTTGAGCAAGATGGAGGAGATGAGGTCCAAGTTCACCAACGTGTACGTCAAGAACTTGGACGAGGCCGTCACCGATGAGGAGTTCCGCGCCATGTTCGAGAAGTTCGGTGAGGTCACCTCGGCGTCCGTCTCTCGCGACCAGGACGGCAAGTCCCGTGGATTCGGGTTCGTCAACTTCTCTGGCCACGAGGAAGCCCGCGTCGCGGTGGAGGAAATGCACGAGAAGGAAATCAACGGCAAGCAGCTGTACGTCTCCCGTGCTCAGAAGAAGTCTGAGCGTGAGGAGGAGCTCCGCCGCCAGTACGAGCGCATCCGCGAGGAGAAGCTCAACAAGTACCAGGGTGTCAACCTTTACGTCAAGAACCTTGACGACAGCATTGATGACGAGAAGCTCAGGCAGGAGTTTGCCGTCTACGGAGTCATCACTTCCGCCAAGGTTATGCGTGACGAAAAGACCGGATCCTCCAAGGGCTTCGGATTCGTCTGCTTCTCCTCGCCCGAGGAGGCCACCAAGGCCGTGACAGACATGAACGGCCGTATGATCGCTTCCAAGCCCATCTACGTCGCTCTTCACCAGCGCAAGGAGGTCCGCCGTCAGCAGCTCTCCGCTCAGATGCAACAGCGCAATCAGATCCGCATGCAGCAGCAAGTCGGTGGCATGCCCGGTCCCTACCCCGGTGCTCCTGTCTTCTACCCTCCCGCCGGCATGCCTCCCCAGGGTCAGCGCGGTGGTATGTTCTACCCTCAGCAGATGGTCCCTCGCCCCCGCTGGGCCCCTAACGGCGGTCCCCAGGGCCCCGCTCAGCCCGGCCAGCCTCCTCTTCCCGCTGGTGTGTACCCTCCCCAAGCCGGTGGTCAGATGCCTCCTCAGTTCGGCGGTGTCCCCCCCATGGGAGTTCGCCCCCCTCGTCAGCAGCGCGGTCAGCAGCAGCCTGGAGGCCGTGGTCAGCCCCTGCCTCCACAGCAACCCGGTCAGCCTGGTCAGCCCGGCATGATGCCACCTAACGTCGGCCGTGGAGGTGCTCGTCCTGGACAGTACAAGTACACCCCCAACGCCCGCAATGCGCCCATCCCCGGCCAACCTGGCATGCCCGGCCCTACCACCGGCCCCAAGCAGCCGTTGAGCAGCAAGATCCTGGCCGACATGACCCCGGAGCAGCAGAAGCGCCTCCTCGGCGAGAACCTGTTCCCGTTGATCCAGGAGATGACCCCTCACGCCGCCAAGGTGACTGGAATGTTGCTCGAGATGGACCAGTCTGAGCTCTTGCACTTGCTCGAGGACACCAAGGCCCTTCAGGTCAAGGTTAACGAGGCCGTTGAAGTTCTTAACGAGCACATGGACAAGGCGGGCGCCCCCGAAGACGGTGAACAGCAGTAGATTATCGTTGTGTGAAAGAAGCGGCAACAACGGAGCATAACGGTCGGAAACATCCAAGATCTTACCCACCATCTGTGTGTATATACGCACAACGAGGGATGGTCATTGGGAATGGAATGAAGCGAGAGCAGTCGAAAAGGGGGAAACCCCATTCTTGACGCGACTTGGTGTTTCTTCTTCAATTGAGGTCGTTGTTTTCGTCTGTGTTGCTGTGTCTTTCTAGCTGTTGATAGTTTTCGAACGTCCTTTCCCCCCCATCATCATTTATTGCATTTGTTTTCGCATTTTGTTTCCCCCTTTTTTTTATGTTTGGAGAAATATATGGAGAAGTGAAGCTCAAAAAAAGGTGTTTGTTGCGCATGTGGTGGTGGAGGTGGTGTTGGACTGATAACTTGAAGGCATGGTTGTGGATTATGGATTATGGAGGTCGAGATGGCGGCCGTGTCGGAAGGAGCGAGGAGGACAAAGGGCCACTTTTGCGTTGCTGGTAGGACGCAAAATTTCGGCCTCCTTTCAACTTTACCGAGCCGCCGCTCAGAAACAACACCCAATCCGCCGGGATGTGGTTTTGGAACGAGGAAAGACAGAAGGAGCAGACTTTGTGATATGGTGGAATCTGGCAAGCAATCAACGGCGCCATGCTTGAATTGTCACGAGGGATCCGGCCGGGGCCTGCCTCACATGTGTTCTATATGGTGGTGTGCGAGGTCTCTGTGTGTAATACAGGTCCGCCGGTCTTTCCCTGAGCAAGAATGAACATATTATTATCATACGGGAGGAGCAAAGCGATCATTTTTGCCTCCTTCACGCGCGCTCTTCTCAGGCTCCCCCTACAGCACTCGCAGCGTTTGGCCGCCGCTCCTGTCCGTCCAAAGCCGCCTTTTATATCCCTCTCGCTCGTCCCTCCCCCAACCTCCCTTCCCCGCATCCTTTGTATCCGAGTAGCCGGCCTACATGCACAACACCATAGCAGCAATGGCTTCCGGAGGCGTCCACCACTTTGAGGTCACTACCTACAACAAGCCCACCTATTGTGACGCCTGCGATAAGTTCCTCTGGGGGTTGGTCAGGCAGGGCGCTCAGTGTAAAGGTACGGTTCAGAGCGAGAGCGGGGAGAATACTTGGAGACGCTGCCGTAGGCGCTGCAACGCTTGACGGTTCCGAGCGATAGCGAGCTCAATTGCGCCGGAGGCGAAGGAATATTTTTCACACTCACTTCAACCACCCATCCTTCCTCTCCATCTGACACACCTCTCCTCCCTGGTTCATCTAGGCTGCGGCTTCAACGTGCACCGTAAATGCCAACACACAGTCAACGTCCCCTGCTCCGGGCAGTACGCACCCCGGGACTACAGCGACCGCACCCCCACCACCGGCGAATTCACCTCCGACCTCCAACTCTACGACCGGTCCCTCAGCGACACCGACTCCCGCGGGGCCATGCTGCCCCTGCGCCGCAAATCCGAGTCGCACGTCATCATCCCGGGAAGCAAGGCCGTCACGGCGCCCAAGAAGCCGTTGACGAAGCGCACGCGGTCGGGCAATGCGAGCGATTCGGGACAGGAGAAGGAGAAGGAGATGAGCTTTGTGCAGGAGCTCATGACCCACACCGCGGTTAACTCGGCCGCGATGCAGAGGGCGGCCAAGGAGCCGTCGTTGAATCTGTTGACTACTACCCCCAAGAATTTCACCCGATTTGTGTCGAGGTTGGGACCCATGGTCGGCTTCCAGGACGATATCACCGAGATCCTCACGTGGCAGAACCCCTCAAAGACTTTCATTATCATGGTTGTCTACGTTTTCCTATGTAAGTTGCGAGCGTCAGCGAGCGGCGAGCCACAGCGAGCATCCGTGATCTTTTAGCGAGCGTTGCCGTCTTCAACACCATCCCCATCGACCATTCACTCACTCTTATTTATCCCTGTCCTCCCCCTCCAACAGGCATATACCCGACCCTCTTCATCGTCCTCCCCCAACTCCTCCTCATCTACAACATCATGAACAACTACTACACGAAAACCAAAAAGACCGTCACAGGCAAAAAACCCAGCGCAAACGTTCAATACCTCAAAAACATGCAGTTCATCCAAAACTCCATGGGCATGTACTGCGACGCCTACGAGGACGTCAAGAAGAACTCCACGGTCCTCGACTGGTCCGACGAGGAGGAGACCATCCGGATCCTGAAAGTCGCTGTTGGGTCGATGTTTGGGGTTATCTTTGTTGTGAGGATCATCCCGTTCAACTACATCATGTTGTTGGGGGGTGTGGGCATGTTTTTGCAGAACACGGCTATCTTCCGTGCTGCGTCGACTACAGTGCCGCCGGTGTTGATGAAAAAGTTGCAGCATCAGGTTGACACGGTTCGTGAGGCGATTCGGGAGGCCAGGAAGGGGGCTGATGATGGTGTGGTTGTTGTCTCGCTCTATGAGAACCAGAGGTGGTGGGCTGGTACGTAAAAGCGCGCGTCCTTTGGGCGTCGTTAGTATCGTCACTCACGGGACCTTTGCTTACCTTCTCTCTCTCCACCACCAGGCCTAGGATGGATCCCGCACCTCCTCCGCTCCGAACGCCCCGCCTGGTCCGACGAAACCGGCACCATCTCCCGCCCGGCAAAAGATCACTACGAGCCCCCGCAAGACGGCGGCGTCTGGGAATGGATGGACGAAGACTGGCTGCTCGACGTCGGGTGGGCGAACGTGGACGAGAAGGGGTGGCAGTACATGGACCATACGTGGGAGAACGCGAAGAGCAAGGCGTCGATGGGCAGTCTGACTCGACGGAGGATGTGGGTCAGGAAGATGAGGCTGGTCAAGGAGCAGCAGGCGGCCATCGAGCCGCCGTCGGTTGTGAAGGCTATCAAGGGGCAGTGATTTGATAATCCCCCCTGAGGATTGTTCGGCGTACATATTTGCTTGGGTGTCAACCTCATACAACGCACACGACCGGGCCCCGATGCGTTCATCAACCCATCAGAGACAACACAACACATACAGGACCACAGGCGTACTTAGTTAGTTCCACACCACCCCCCATTTAATCAGTAATAGCAACCATTTCTTCATTCGACAGTTTTTCGTATTCATCATGTAGATATTTTTAGACCTCATAGGCTTTCCCACCCCTCACTTTTCTGTCTTCCCTTCTTAGGATCTGTCCCATCTCCACACCGCTAATAGTAACCCGCTTGGTCTTTGCATTTGCGTTCCGACTTGCGCGTGGCGTTAATGCGTTGAATCATACTGGGCATGACTCGGGAGTCGGGAGAGTTTGGCGCATGGCACATGGGATGATGGGACGCTTCCTGGTGGCGTCAAATGGCTCGTGTGCCTCGTGCGAGTTGAGACGGAGGGACGAGACCCGACGCGTTTTTGCGCTGGGTGTCCAAGGGCTGCCCAACGGTGAGCGAGAACAACCCCCAACCCCCCCAGCATACCCAATCACCCAAGCCGCATCCGTGTCAGACTCTCCTCCGAACCCAGCAAGGAATAGCAGCCCTCTTACAGGACGTATTCGATGTTCTGAGGTGTTCCGTTTCGGTCCATAGGTAGGTGAGATTTCTCTCGGGCAAACGTGGCTTTGTCCTGGCGGAAGTGCGAGGGGTTGAAGATTGCCCGACGGAAGGGGTGCAGAGATTAGCGGGTTTGTCTGGCCTCGCGTGCTTCTGCTTTGAGTGTCTTTGAGTATGCATGGGCATGGGTGTGATGGGTGGATGGGGCAACATCTGGAGGCATCGGACATGCAGTGGCTCGCGTGCTTTCTATTTCTGGAGTGGGATGGGAAAGCCACGTTTCTTAATGTTCCTTCTATGCAGTTGTGTTTGCAGTTAGTGCACTTCGTCGCAGTGCTCGACTCCACCGCTCCACTCTTCCTTCACCGGTGCATCCAGACAATGAAAGTGAAACGTCCCACCCGGCACCCCATCGCGGTGTCATCACCACCACCCGCAGCGCAGTCCCTCCACGTCCACCTCACCCAACTTGGCCAAGGAACTACACCAGCCAACTCGCCCATGGACATAACCGCTAGCGTCGAGTCCATCCCCATCTCGACGACCTCGGTGCGAACGACGACGCCGAAGAGGAAAGGGTATCAGACAACCAGCGCAGGCAGCCCGTTGCGGGTGGTTGCGGGGAGGGTGGGGAAGACGCGGAAGGAGGCGGGGAGAGGGGGAGAACGGGGGGGTTCAAAGACGCATGCAAAGCGACATGGGGCTGATAGACATTCGCCAACATCACCACCATCAGCAACCTCCTCATCATCATCATCCCACCCACGCCCACACCACCGCGCAACCACCAACCACCCCTCCCCAACACTAGCCACCGCCACCCGCCGCCACCTCGCCCTCTTCAACACCCTCCTCACCGCCGCCGCCGCCGGGCAATCCCCCACCATCACCTCGCTCCTCTCCGACCCCTCGCACGCCCTCGACCCGGACACGCAAGACCCCGCCGGCCGCACGGCCCTCCACTTTGCCTCCGCGGCGGGCCACGCAGACACGGTGCACGCGCTCCTCGCCCACGGCGCCGACACGACCGTGCAGGACGTGAACGGAAACACGCCGCTGCATCTCGCCGTCGTCAGCAACCACCTCGACGCCGTGCTCGTCCTCCTCCGCGCCAACGCCAACCCCGCCGCGACCGACGCCCGCCATCGCACCCCCGTGCAGCTCGTGCAGGCGCGCTTGGGGCTGATGACCGGCCGCGCGCAGAGCGAGACCGCCGGCGAGCTGATCGGGGAGCTGAGGAAGTTGGTCGAGATATTGAGGATCGTGACGGCGAGTGGGGGGGGTGGGGCGGGTGGGGCGGTGAGTGCGGGTGCGCCGTCTCCGCAGGCGTCCATGTCGCATCCGACGTTGTTGGATCCGAGGTTGCTGGCGATGCGCTTGGCGGGGGTGACTACTTCCGAGGAGGTGGTGGATGTCGTGGATGATTTGAGGGGGTTGTTGGATAGTTTGGAGTTGGATTGAAAGAGGAACGAGGGAACAACACGGGAGGGTTTTCTTTTTTTTTTTTTTTGGAGGAACTTGGGTTATGGACGGCGTTTGGTGGACAATAACGACGTGTTTTATGGATTTTTTTGTTTTGCATTAGCACATTTGTCATAGCAGATTGTATTGGAGCGAAACTCGTAGTGAGCACTTTATAGAATGGGGGGGTTGCCTATAGACCCATAAAAGTGCAGCTCATTTCCCCACAACTGTTCTGCGTTTTTGTTTGACCGATTCTATGTGGCCGTTCCGCCATTTCTCACATTCGCGTGAGGGTCGTCTGGAGGTTCGCAGCGCGCAGAATCCAACACCGATACGCTCAGTTTTGATGTGGTATAAGTGACCCCGGGCGTCGTTCGCAGTCTCAGACTCCATCAGCAGGTCGAGTTTGATAGGTCGGCTTCACGCTCATCCACCAGCTTGCAGCTATCCCATCATCCAGCGGCATCTCTTCGCCATCGACGGCTGAGAAACCTTCCTCTGATGTGCATCCAATCACCAATCTCACCAATCAACGCCAGCCAATCATTTCCAAAAATTCCTCCATCTTTCTTATCCCTTCACCGCAAGCGATACGCCAATCATCTCTGTCTCTCTACGTCTCCATCCCGAGTTTCTCCTTCATACTCGCGACATCAGCCTCCTTTGCACCCAGATCCCGTTTCTTTGTCGCTTTCGTCGTCGAGTAGTATAGTACGATCAGGTACCGGCCCATGATATTGAAACCGCTGAGGTGATCGCATGCTGATTTGGCGTCGAATATGTCTTCGTAGACTGTAGGGAATCGTGGAGTCACTAAAAAGGAGCAGCGGGGGGGTTGAAAAAAGGGAGTTCACGTACCGACAAATGCTGTTCCTTTCGTGTCTGTTGCGGTTCCTACTCTTATTTGTCGGATGGGACCGTATTTACCCTACAATGGAGAAAGGTACGATTAGCGTTCTTGAATCCCTCCCCACTCGCCAAACACCCAACCGGAATCCTGTCGTCGGAGGATACTCACGAATAGGTCATACATGTCCTCAGCAGTAATCTTGAACGGCAAGTTGCGAACAAAGAGCACCCGGTTGACTTCCGGAGGCAGGCGCACTATAAATTCGGCATCCGAAGTCGACGGTAAGTACCATGTTCGAACGAGCTGGCATCTGGACCTGTGGCCAATGGGGTAGGTATGTAGGTCGACTGCTAGGACTGTTACCGTTTGCGCGACTTTTTGCAGCCATAGCCATCTTGAGAGGTTAGCAGGGTGGTTAATCGGGCTTCGGGAGAGCGGAGCGGTGAGAGGAAGATTCCCAGGCAATGAAGGGTGCGTTTAGCTTGTCCAGAGAGAGAGCAGAGGGCTGGGACCGAGAGAAGGAAGAGCCGGAATAAAAGGCCCACGTGCCGTCATGTGACCCAAATTAAATCGCTCGCCTGTCCCGCCTGTCGGACCTTCTGCGGGACGCCCGTCGTTCCTTTCTCATTGTGGCTGTCCAACATCGGCGCTACGAGCGAGGTGTCAGATTTCTGCCATCCTACAGGAGTTCCTTCCGAGGGGAACATCGAAGAGGCCAGAGCAGAGTTCTCAAAATTGAGTGAGGAATTATAGCTTGCGGGAGAGATGGACACACAGAGCGGGACGCACCGCATCTTCCAAAGCTCGCCAACCCCACCCGCCGTGGAGGACGAGGCTTCCTTACGGGGACGAGGAGGTGGGAGTGCCAGAGGGCATAGTGCTGGCCCGGGACGCAGCGGGGACAGGAAAGAAGCGCGGAACCCGGCAGGATACCATCATACCTCGAATCATTCAAACTATCCGGAGAGCGGCGCTTTTTTCGAGAGCAGGACGGAACACGACGACAGGAGAGATTCTCGTTCAGGTGGATACACCCCACAACGCAGTAAACACCCATACGACGGGCATCATTCCCGACGCGACGATGAGCCCCGGTTCCACATCAATCAAGAGCGTGCTTCACAAATTCACATTCAGGAGCCTGCTTTACAGATTCCCACAAGTCCCCTGGAAAGCACTCCACGCAGTCAGAGGATCGATCACCGCATCCGCAATCAGCGCGTTGGTGACCCTACTGTCGTACCCAATCGACCCTGTCGATGTGGAGGTTATCATTGGAGCATGTACTGTCCCATGAGGAGCCAGCGCGGACGCAGCAGTGTTGCTCAGGAACCACGCACCTATCAACCTCCAACAGAGTCTCGATATCCGCCATATTTTGGAGATGATGAGCCGGACGACGGGCCCTCTAATGGCCATGATGGACCGGACGGGCCACAGCGCAAGCGACGCCGATTCGATGAGACGAATGGGAACCCATATAATCACCTTCGCGGTGGTCACACGCAGCTTTCAGATGATGTACCAGTGAAAAGCGAACCGATGGTAGAGGCGGAAATTGTGGTGGCCAATGCGCCCCCCCATCTGGCAGCGACACAATGGAGCATCAATTCGAATCCACCTCCAGCTAACGATGTTCAACCTCGCCGAGTAGTCGAAGTAACACCACAGCCTCGGCCACCTCAAATTTGGCCATTCGTTGGTGTCCCACCTCAACCTCGACCAGTTGTCGAATCGTGGCCAGTTGTCGAACCTCGTCCAGTTGTCGAATCTCGGCCGGTGATTGAAGCTGCACCTGTGCCGCCACGGCCAAAGGCAGACCCACCCTTGAACGATGCACGACTGGTCAACGCGCTGGACACCCTGCTGACACAGCACCATGCGTTGCAAAACATTCGGAGCACAATACCTACCTCGACACCTGTTAGGAACCCCGTACATACAGCCGAGCCGATCGTGCAAGTCCCATCGCGCAATGCGCAGCGTCGGGACAGCGAAAGGGCGGAAAAGCCGGTGGAAGTAGATTCTGACGACATATCATCTTCATCAAGCGAGTCGGATTTTGAAACGACGGACGTGGAAAAGATCAACCTCAAACTGGAAAAATACCGATCGCATTTCCTGCTCCACAGCGAGAAAGCGCGGCAGGCTTCGAAAAAAATGTCGCGCTTGACAAAGTGTTTGGCGAAAGCGGCGTCGAGCGTGGTTAGTACACCCGTCGCTAGCACACCAGCTGTGCGTACACCGACCGTTAGCGAGGCACCCGTCGGGCCAATAGATGTACAGGAGACGGCAAAGAAGAAGAAGCGATCGCGGGGGCCGCGGGGGCACTCCAAGGGAGGGAAACCGTCGGGCGAGGAGAGTGAAGATACTCCGGCAGCGCCCACGCCGTTACCTCACGAAACGAATGGAAACCGAGTCGAGGATCAAATCCTGAATACAACCTGGCAACCAAAGTCGAGTGACACGCTGGATGTTCTGTACGGACTCAATATAGTGAAGGGAGGCGATCTAGGTCGCAAACCACGGTCATTATTACTTCCGAGAGAGGGCATGGCGCACAGTTTACGCGAGACGGTGATCACGTCGACTCTGGATGGGAACCTCCATCTGTTCAATCGCAAGTCGAAGGAGGCTATGTGTTCAATACGACATGCCGAGTTACGCAATTACTGGGCAGAAGATATGGCGTGGGTCGCACCGGACATCCTCGCTGTTGCAGCAGCACCATCGGGGTCTGCGCAAAATGGCGTCAGAGACGGCACGGTCGTCCCCCACCAGATCGCACTACTGTACGATTGCAGCGTCAAGAAGAGCAAGTTTACATACAGATTACAGCATCTCGTCCACAACATGCCCCACGACCGCGGCCCCTCGATCATATACCCCTTCTCCAACAACAACAACCGCGTACACTGGCTCACCGGAGGCATGGACAAGAAGCTCATCCTCTGGAGCTTCGACGGCCCGTTTGCGGGCGACCTCGACGGCTCCAACTACACCCGCGTCAACCACATCTCCGTGCACACCGAGCACACCAGCGCGATCCAGGGCATCTACTACAACCCGCACAGCGAGATCCTGTACACGGGCGGACAGGACTCGCGCCTGGTCGGGTGGTCGCTCACCAACCAGCGGAACACGCTCCCGACTGAACGCGTCGACGGGCGGATCCGCGACATCACCGGCATCCCAACCCAGCCGCACCTCATGCTCGTCGGGTTCTCCACGATCACCAAACAGTTACGGCTGTGGGACGAACGCGTCAACAAGTTCGTTCTGGAGTTTGGCATGGGCGACGCCGCCGATGACGCCACCCGGTACATGCACCCGGACGTGCATCACGGCGGCTACCTCGTCTCGATGGGCTCGACGCGCGCGGGCAGGATCGGGATATGGGATATGCGGCATGTGGGCGTTGAGCGCGCGCCGACGCAGCAGATTGATGTGGGGCATACGAAACGGGTGCTTGTGGCCAAGTTTGATGTGTGGAGGAAGAGGGAGACGCTCATTTCGGTTGCGAGTGATAATTCGTTGATCTTTGCGGATTATCTGAGGAGGGGGGATGTGCGCGTTGATGGGGTGGCGGGGTAGGAGTGAGAAAGGCAGGAGGAAAATTAGCGGTCACTGGGTATTGTGTTGAGCTTGGGAGGAGCATGCGTAGACGGCACTTGGCAGATGTCAAGCGCGCGTGTTTTAGGGCCGCGTTGGTGCGTTCTTCTTTTGGGTGGCTACGTCGGCACGGCGTGTGTTGCGAATCTAGATTTAGAGCTTGTAGCGTATGTAGCGCCGAGGGCTTGGGAAGCACTAGATTGTTGTTTGCGGATGCAGCACACCATTTTCCGTTGGGGCAATCAAATTCAATGATTGGTGCACATAAAGATAAAGAAAAGTCGAACCCGCGATAGATACAGCATTTTACAAAGGGGGAGATTGTAAACAACGGCATCCGGAGTGGTGGAAAATGATGAACAAGCAGAAAGAAAGCCAAGGTGCCCATCCCCAAAAAAGATTAAAAATCTTATCTACGACGCACTCGCGAGATTCCTCCCGAACAAATTGAACCAGCTCTGTGACCTCTGCGTCTGCAACGGCGGGGGCACCGGCGCTGGCGGTCGCTGCTGCTCGCCCGTCTTGATAGGATGACGCGCCATGTCGAGTAGTCCTTTCGCCAACGCTCTCATGCTTGGCGTCTTTGGCAGCATTTTGTGGTAGCCGCGGATTGGGGCGGATGTGGATGCGGATCGCGGCGGGTGCGTCTGCGCTCCGTCTTTCTCTCTATGCCCTGACGTGCCAGAGTCTCTAGGAGGGGGATGAACCTCCTCCTCCTCCTCCGGCTCATCAACACATCCCCCGTCATCATCAGCCGCTCTCGCCAACGCTTGCGTCGGCGCGCCCCAGTTCTGCAACGAGTACCGCTGGAACGGGTTGTACTCGTGGGGATGGTGGTGTGAGTGGGAGTGTTTCGTTTTGTCGATCACCGTTGCGCGTGCAGATGCAGGTACCGCCGTCACATCACCACCGTCCTGCACGACCGGCAAGGCCATCCGCCCAACCACAACCAACTCACTAGCGGTATAAACGACCCCGCCCCGCCGACTCCTCGCCAGCAACCCAAACGCGGCTTCCACCCACTCCCTATCGCAGGCAAACCAGTCCTCGGTATCGGTGTCGTCGTCGCCTCCGACGGCGTCAAGACGGGCGGTGAAGAGTTCGTGGAGGAGGGGGTCGGAGAGCGCTGGGTTGTGGGAGATCGCGGTGTTCCCAGGGGAGGGAACGGCGGAGGGGTCGTGCGAGATTTGAGGCGGGATGTCGATCATCATGGCTGGCATTCGGGTTTCTTTCGCCAGTTTTATTCACTGCTTTTGTGGGGCCTTTTTGTATAGATCATACATCGAACATATTTCTTTGTGGGGAGGGGCTCGGCTTTTAACTGCCGGCGCACCCGCCGCGCGATAAGGTGGAATGAATTCGCTAAAACCCAAAACGCTCGCTGCTACGTCAATAGATCGTCGGTCAGGTGAGTGAAAGCATGTTAAGCCAAAGAGTTTGAAGCTTGAGTCAAAAGTCCGACCGTGAGTCAGCGTGTTTTGACGGCACCTTGATCTGAAAATGACAGCACCCATGGCGGGCGACTCGGAGGCCAACTGCGTTCATTTCTATCATTACGGGAGTCCTACCTATGCTATGGATATAGCTAAACTCGAAAAAAAAAAACGTCTACCTGACTAATCCTAGTCCTCCTACATGCTGCTATCATCTGATCTATCTTATCCCAAGCCACATTCGAACCATCATCCCCCATCTTCAGCTGCCCCATCACGACATCCGTCTCCCGGTATTAGGCGGCGCAAGCGGCGGCATAGCCGCCGGGTCGTTAATAATAATAGCGATGGACGATTGGCGGCGAAGGGGCGGCGGGATCGATGCGGTTGAGTTAACCGTAGCGGGTATGATCTCGCGTTTGCAGACCGGGCAGAGGAGGGCGTGGTGCAGGAGCCAGGGGTCAATACTAGAAAACATGTTTGCAGACAAATGAGAGGGGCCAAACTCGAACGAATCGTCGGGAAACGCGGCAGCTTGCGAGACTTACCACGTATCATGAAAGCAATGCCTGCAGGGCAACTCCCTAACCCGACACCCAACCCCAAAATTATCAATACAGATCGCACAACAATCCGTCGAGATCGGCCTCCTGCCTTCCTTCTCCTTCTCCTTCTCGCTTTTTTCCCCCGCACCATCATCACCCGCATCCCCCTTCTCCATATTACTCGCCAGAAACTCCCCACCAAGCCCCTCCTTCGCCATCTGCACATCCACCGCCGTCAACACCCTCAACGGCAACTTGATCCGCTCCACCATCATCTCCCCGTCATGCGAAATCACCACCCTCGCGAGGTTCCGCGTCGTCTGCCCGCTGCCGCCGACGCGGTAGTCGATCCCCAGCGCGTCAAACATGCGGTTGTGCAGGAGGACGAGGGAGGCGCCGACGGCCATGGCGCCGAGTGCACCGAGGATGAGGCAGGCGGCGGAGACGAACGCGTCGCCCCAGAACGTCGGGTTGAAGCCGTCCCAGTCGTGCGGGTAGTGGCGGGGTGGTGGGGCGGTGTCGGGGGTGTAGTGGTTGTTGGGGGTGGGTTCCGAGCCGACGTTGGATTTCCGGTTTTCGCCCGCTTTGGTGGCGTGTTGGGTGAACACTTTGTCGGGTGCGGAGTATTCTATCATGGCCGGGACGGCTGTCACACCTACAACTTTGACACCACCCACGGCGGTCTCCTGCGCAGCCTCTCTCAACAGCCCTCCATCCCGACTCGTCACAAACAGCGCGGGGATGCTAACATCCTCCGCGGGTTGACCGTCCACCGTCTGCATCTTGATGAGTGCGTCCGGGTGGGCGCTGGAGGCGACGTTGTAGATGATGGCGCCGGCGAATCCGGCTGTCTGCGCGTGGCGGACTTTAGTGTCGAATGGGCAGGAACCGCGGGGGAGGAGGATGAAGGGGGTGTTGGGGGTGGGTGCGTGTGGGACGGCATGTGGTCGCGCCGCGGTCGATTTAGGACGGGAAGAATCGCTCCCATGTCGGCCGCCATACGCTCCTTTCTCTCCCCGTTCATCATCTTCCAACCGATTGCCAACTTCGTCGTTCATAACCTCCCTGTTCCTCACGCCACCCACCTCATCCCCACCCATATCCTCCACCCCCCTCATATCAAAACTAAACGGCACACACCCATTCAGCCGCTCAATGACGACCATCCTAACCACCACACTACTCTCAATCTTCCCCCCAAAAAACGCCGGGATCGCCGTGATAGACGTCGTCTTTGTCGTATGCACGTAGTTGTTGGCGGCGACACGGACCCGCCCGTCGGTGGTGGACGGTGACGCGATCTGGACGGTGATATTGACGACCCGGTATCGGTTTGCATTCGCGGTGGCGCGTACACTCCCTGTACTGGTCGGAGGTTTCGCGCCCTCGGCGAGCCGTACGCGCTCAGCGTCGAACCCGCGCGACGAGGAAGCGGGTTTGGTCGTGGCGCCCAACCACTCCGATCCAAACGCGCCACGGGGTTGCAGGAGCAGGAACACGAGGCCGGCGATGACGAGGGTGAGCCAGATGCGCGCGAGGGTAGTGGCCGAGGTGGAGAGGCAGATGAGGAGTTGGGTGAGGCGTTCGCGGCGGTGTGGGGTGTGTGGGTGGGGTTGGTTGGGGTGAGGTGGGGGGCGCGAGGACAAGGTGGGTGGTGGGGAGGGGGTATTGGTGTTTGAAGTGTTGACGTCGGGAGAAGGCGTCCCGACGGTGGTCGGGGGAGCCGAGGCGGGACGGGAAGGCGGCCGGAGGGTCGCCATTTGGGGCGTTTGGGGCATACCTTTGCCTGGTATGTGCTCCGTGGAGATGTCGTTCGTAGCACTTTTCCCGCAATGTGCGAAGCTTTCCCTTGAATTGATTCTCGTATGACTCTACGTTTCAACAAGAGCGGAGAGAAACTTGTCTGGGAAACAACTTGGAAAAACCACCAGAACTTGGTTCTTCAAGGGAAGGCGAATTCGGCCACGAAAAAGCGCCGAAGGAGAGAAGGCAAGACATAAACGCATGAATGCGCGACGCACAGATATCCTACCCTATCTTAAATCCGTACCCGCCCGTAAACGCCACGTCCGAACTCACCCGTCATGTGCAGAAAGTAAACTCGCAATAAGGTCATCTTGTGGCAACACCTTTGATATAGGAACAAGGCATTAGGATGACAACCTACCCTGCGCTTGTTGATAGTGTGATCAAAAATAGCGTTTCGGAGATTTAACGAAGTCGGAAGTGGCACTTTGTCAAATTGACAGCGCGTCACCTGTTAAAAAGACGCGAAGGCCCTCCCACGATGCGGGGAAGAGTCAATCTGGACAGCAAGCGCTCCGAGTCAGTTCCCTTCCGCTGGCGTACAGCAAAGGAGTCCCGTGCTGAGGCCGCCGGATCCATCTGTTTAGCTGAACCGTTTTCATCTGTCTTATCTTTGTGAATCCTTAATTGGATCGGTTATTGCAGCAATGAGAGAACTCATGCCCCACATGGTTTGACGGGAAGGACCAGGTTCGACGTGGGGTAAATCAATACGCCATATATTCCAAGAGCGAGCGCCTGGTACAAAAGAACACCGACATTCGCATGTATATACATTACGGGGGAAGTTGGAGACTACATCAGTCTACGTTCAATACGTCTTGTGAAGTAATGCTTGTCCGTATTCCACATGGGATAGTAGGGACACCACGGAGTTGCAACCTCTCCATGTGTGAACCGTCCCTCCCCCTCTACGACTCCTAATTCTTTGGCTTAAAAGAAGCACCCTTAAGCGTCTGATTCCCATGCACCGCAATCTGCTCCGGGTCCTTATCCGCCAGCAAATCCCTCCGCTCAGCAGCACTTTCATTCTCCTCCGCGCCTGCCTTCTTCTTCGATTTGTCGATATAAGGTGAAGAAGGGGATGGCGGGTTGCCTGGGACACTCCGAGTGGCACCCTTTTGTTGCTGTACTTTGGCGTTGAATTCACGCATTTCCTTCTCGATTGCGTCGGGGGTTATGGGTTTGTCGTCGGAGATGAGAGATGGGGTGGTTGTGCAGAAATGAGGGGCGCGGTGGGTGATTCGTAGTGGGGATAGGCGTAGTGCTGCTGGTTGGTGCAAGGACGTTGAGTAGGCGATGCGGAATATTCTTGACGAGGAGGACATTGTGGTTGTGGGAAGCGGAGAAATGATCTCGAGGGCAGTGATGAAGACTAATAAGCGCTTCGTGAAAAGGCTGTCGGTTGAAGCTGCGAGAGGATAACCGACGGATACACAGTAGGAAGTGCGTGTGCGAAAGGGCCGCTCGTTGGGGGGGGACTCTTGAAGGCGCTGGGGGGAGGATGAAGCAGGAAAGGGGAGGTTGAGGGAAAGGGAGGGAAAGGGAGATGGCGATGACGACCGTTCGATCGGGCGGGCGCCCGCGCGTTTTCGCTCACTCCGGAGACTATCTGTATGTACAAGACCCGCTGGAACGTTGGAAACAGCTGGAACGGGCCCCCGCCAGGACGACTTCCCACTTACAAGGATGCGACCACCCGCAACAGCTGCTGCTGCTGCTGCTCGTCTCTCAAATCCTCGCTGCTTGTCGCCGCTTCCTCCCACCACCGCCCTCTGTTGACTCGCAAGCCCAAAACGAGTATCTTCACTAACAACAATGCCAAAGTCCGCAAAGGTAAAGTTCTACGCCGTCAAGCGGGGCAAGCTGCCCGGGGTTTACGATACCTGGTATGTGCCCCACATCATGTTCTCCGGCTTTCCGCCCTATTACACTGTCCTTACATTCACGGCGAAATTGCTCTTATTTTACGCGTGAGCCGTTCGACTCATTCTCCTTCGTAGGGAGGCATGCAAAGCCAACGTGGATGGATTCAGCGGAGCTGTGTACAAATCCTTCAACTCTAGGGAGGGGGCGTTGCAATTTGCTAGGGTCCAAGCATCGGGACCGGGATCGAGTGTAGGGGCGGTGGCTGTCAAAGAGGTGGATAAGGAGGCGGTAAAGCAGACGTATGGCGCACCACCTCCAGGGGCAACGAAGGTTTCGTCATCATCGGCACCGGCCGCCCTTCCAACAGAGTCAACCCCTCAGCAGGAGGCCACCACCGCCGCCGACGAACAACCCGACGAAGAAACCGACGAATTCGGCTACACAGCCTCCGACGACGAAGCCTGCGCCACCATCGACCTCTCCCCATCCTCTACGGCGCCCGCTTCCAGCGCAATGATTACCACCGCTACCTTGACCACGGTGATTACCATCACGTCGGGCACACTGACGACCACCACCCTCCCCCCCTCCTCCTCCTCCTCTTTACCCCCACTCACGATCTTCACCGACGGCTCCTGCCTCTCCAACGGCACCCCCTCCGCGCGCGCCGGCATCGGCATCTATTTCGGCCCCTCCGACCCCCGCAACACCGCCGCACGTCTCCCCGGCACAACCCAAACCAACAACCGCGCGGAACTCTTCGCCGTCATCCGCGCACTGGAGATTGCGTTGGAGAACGAGCCCGGGAGGGGCGTCGTCGTGTATTCGGATTCGTCGTATATGAAGAACGGGATCGAGACGTGGGTGCGAGGGTGGATGAGGAGGAAGTGGAAGACCAGGGAAGGCAAAGATGTGTTGAATAAGGATCTTTGGGTTAGGTTGGAGGAGTTGAAGGGGCGGTTTCCTCCCAAGGGGCTTGTTTTTGTAAGTCTTGAAGTGATTTGGTGGTGGTGGTGGTGGTGGTGTTGGTTGATGCAGGACTTATCGCCTCTCTCGCTCTGTCTTGATTATAGAAATATGTACCGGCGCATGTAGGCATACCAGGGAATGAAGCCGCCGACCAGCTTGCGAACAGAGGGGCTATGATGGATGTTGTGCCATGACCCGACGCGACAACTAGGGGGTGATCGCTGACTGCGGAACCAGGGAGATCGGTTGTGGGGAGAAATTTTTTTGAAACTAGTAACTTATGTTAGGCACGTAGGATCGTGGAAAATGAGGAATGTATTGACAGGCGGTTCTCTTACGTATATATGTGGGAGACGAAAGTATGTACACAGAATGAACAGGTATCTAGAACCGTAAAACGAAAGAGGAGCGTCTCGGATAGCAGGCACCACACCTAAAATGCTACTGTATGTGCAAATGGGGAATATGAAAAGAACAACTGTACAACAGAACGATAGCGGTTCAACGAATGAGAACGACGAAAAGAAAACATAACTCAAATCAACCACCAGAGCACTCAAACGTTCTACTTCTTTCCCCTCCCACGAAGGAGCCCCCTCCAAAACCCAAACCACTTCCTCCTGCGTCTCGTCACACCAACACTCGTCTTTGACCCCACACTCTCCCTCACCGCTCCCCCTTTCCTCTCGCCCTCGGCGTCGCTCCCAACCCCACACGCCATAACATCGCCAATTTCAGTCCGACTAGACGAAAACGACCCACTCACAGGCGTCGGGCGATACACCCCGCGGATGGCGGTGTCGGCGGGGAGAGCACGGCGGCGGCGGAGGCGTCGGAAGGAGGGGGTGCGTGTTAGAGAGATGGTTGGGATGGAGGTCGGGGGCATGGTTTGAGGTGAGTGAGCGCGGGGCCGGTAGAGGAGGCGGGTTAGGTGCCGGCGGAGGGTTGGGCGGTAGCCTTGCTTTTCGGTATCGAACTGGGGTGGGTGCTTCATATCAGTATCGGTCTGAGGCTGGTCCTGATCCTGTGCATTCTGATATTGCACCTGTCGTTCGACGGTCATGGATTCCCTGATAGGCTCTGGGCGCGCATCACCAGTCTCATCACTCTGCCCATCCATCGCAGCCCGTTCTTCCAAAGCAGCAAGCGACCTTTCAGTCGGGTTCCACACCGGCGTGCCTGGGCCGTAGCGACGGAACTTGGCCCAAGTTCCGTCGGCCCACGCAGACAGTGCGGGACTGGGTGTCTCCGTGTCGAGGGATTGGGTTCGGGTGTACGGGGATGAGCCGGGGAGAAGGAGGTAGGTAGGCGAAAGGATGTCAGCGGGGGTTGGGGGTGGTGTACCGGGTGGGCTGGAATGAGATTTGGGATGGAGGTAGGAATGGGAGGTGAGTCTCGCGGACGAGAGTTGGGAGTACGGCTGCATATCTACATACCTGTTGGGCGGAACGAATTCATTCTCATCATCAAAGACATCCTCTTCATCCAGCCCAGGAGACGCATTCAAACTCAGCCCCTCCTGTTGCGCAACATGCATCGGATGCCTTCCGGATCCATCTCCCGTCGCCGAAAGTGGCCTGAAGCTCTCACTACTCCCATTCTCAATGAAAAGGAGCAAGGGCGTATCAGACCCACACCGCGAGTTCGTGGCCGTCAGCACCGACAGTCTATCCGGGCTCAGTGGCGCCGATAATGGGTGGAGGCGGGAGTAGTCATTGTCACCGCTCGCCTTGCGTTCATCTTTGAGTGACTGGGTTGGGCTGGTGGCGGAATCAGGCCCGACGCGCACAGCGGTGGTGGGTGGATCGATTTTGAGTTTGCTGAGCGCTGTTTTGCAGAGGTGCATTGCGCTGCGACGGGTTTTGAGCATGGTGTCGTGGTCGTCGGCGCGACGCTCGAGCTTGCGGCAGAGTTCTGTGTGTGATCGATATGGAGGATGTTGTGAGTTGGATGAGATGAAAGGTTGACGTTACGAGCTCAGTTGCGACGAAAGTTCCCACGGATTATGCAGAATAATGCAAATGGAGGTGAGTCCTTCACATTTCAAACCCTTACCATCCACCTGTAAGAGCAGCTCCATGCTGCCGCTTTGAGGTTGCGTTGTGTGGGTGGGTACGTATTACTGTAGGTGGGTCAAATGCAGCAAAATGGCGAATTTGCGGGATGCTCAGGGAAAAGGGACGGTTGCCGCATGTTTAAGAGCCGCTGGTGGGCGCTGGCAGTCGTTTTCCCCACGGCCCCAGTGCTCTGCTGCTCCGACACCCCGAGTCCGAGAGCGGATACATACTGACATGAGGCTGGGTTGCGCGCTGAAAGACCTTCTCATCAATCGCATAGTCGGATCCCACATCCAGCGAGTCTCTGTAATAATACCCCCCGTTTATATATTATATTGACCGCTCGCATGCTGTCGGTGCGAATCGGGGGAAGCTCAAACAAAGGGGGCAAGCAATAACGTACTATTAAAACGGCAGCAGGGAGAAAAGGGCGGGAGAGCTCTCAGAGCGGTCAGTGACGGGCACTGCGTGACTCACATTGACAGCACACTGACGGGATACGGCTCACGTCAAATTTGCGTGCACAGGCGCGTCGCAACGGTCCCTTTTGCCGCCTGCATGTTGAAGTTCTTTTTTGTTGGGCAATCTGAGACGGAAATTCGACACCCCCCAAATATTACGATGAGAATGGTCCACAGGAATGACGAGACGCCTTGTGCGACAACTTCCGCAAGAGAGAGATGCGCAACTTACGGCAAACGCAGAACAAAAAGCGAATCGCCTGGACCCAATTCCACTCTCATCAGACCCCGTTTGCAACTCACAACAAACCCCCCCTCTCCTTCGCCCCCCCGCAAACCCACTTGAACGTCATTGATACTCTCTCCAAGGGGAACAGTCAACCGCTCCAAAGCACCACACCAGTCGTCCGCTGTCCAGAATTGTCGACCCACGTTTTACATACGGAACCTTCCTCACACCTTCATTCCGAGAACATAGGAACGCTTGCTTTGTCTTGCCAAAATAATACTATAACACTCGTCCGCTCCTTGCACGTCCGCTCGCAATGCCGCCCGTATCCGCCTCACCAGAATCAGCAACCCCAGCCGACGACTCCACATCCTTCACATATTCACCACCCGGCGTATCCCCCATCGTCTCCGACTCACCCAACTTACCCACCTCCACATCCACCGCCAGCACCATCCGCTCCTTCAACACCTACTGGGTCCTAATCCCCGTCGCTATCTTTGTCTTGTTCCTCATCATTGCCCTTCTTTACAAATACTCGCCCGGGTTCCGCGAAGCATTTAACCGGCCGAAAGTCACGTCGTCGAAACCAGTCGAGATTGTGTACAGGGAAGTCGAGCATGATGAGCTGCTGATCACGAGGGTGGATTCCCCGCGACCTTTGTCTATGGCGGAGGGCGTCGCGGAGCTCGAGAGGGAGAGGGACAATACGATTGTGAGGGAGATGCGGCGGTATCCTACGCTGGAGAGTTTAGCGACGGTGTACATGGCTGAGCCGCCGAGTTATGCGGCCAGTGAGCTCGATTCTCCTCGGCCTCATTGAGTAGAGTTTCTTCGGTTTTATAGATTTTGGAGTGTAGATAGATTATTTTCCACTGATCCTCGCGCTTTAGCCTTTTTTTGATACCAGCGGGCACTTTTCCGTACATTAGGACTCTTGAGATGGTTTATATTATTTTGGAATAGTTTAGCTTCGTTTCTGATATACCTTGATGACATTGAATTGTATTCTGCAGGTGTGTCCTCTGCATCTCCCATCGTTGGGCAAAATATGAGCATCCAAGCTTCCGTTTTTGGAAAGGACATCAACTATTCTCCGTATCAGCAAAACAACTGGACATGCATACCTGGCCACATGAAAAGTTTGAGTATAAATCTTTAGTAAAATCAAGAATATGTTCGCAAGCTACCGGTCGGAGGTGGTACGTAAGTGGTGGTGCAAACCGAAGTTCTCGCACGTGACGTTAGCACTCCCAGCCAAGACGGACTCGGCGGATTGACTATTATGCGGTCCCAGTACCTCAATAAATCCCCACTCGCATCGGCCCATCCTTCTTCTTCCGAGCTCCGAATATCTGCTGTCGTCAACGGCCATAGCTTTTAGTTGGGGTTCTCTTGCTAATCCCCGCAAAAAGTCTCATCTCGGGAACCCTTGACGCGACGCTAATCACTCGACTTCTTACTCGACATCTTCCAAGCGGGAATCTTTGCAATACCACCGTCCGAGCAAACGGCATAAGTTCAACCACTTTCGTCAAAGATGGGGGACCATGGCAATGCGGGTCCACCGCATTTGCTATCACTGAAAGTCATGCGGCTGTCGCGGCCGGCGTTCGTGCAAACAAACCCGATACCTTTCGATGATTCCGATCCAAGTCTTCCCGGCCATGTCGCACTAGTAGAAGCGGCCGCCAACGAGTTGCCGCTCGCAAACGCTGGCGCATCCTCTCAGCCCGGCTTGGCGGACCTATTACACCTCGACTCACCAGTAGCTCAAACACCCACGCGATCTCAACAAGCCCCGGACAGTGTCAACCTCCGCGACTTTGGCCTCAGCGACCTCCTCGCCCTCCCGCCCTCCTTCGGAAACATCTACCTCGGCGAAACCTTCTCCAGCTACCTCTGCATCAACAACGAAAGCCAGGCCGCCACGCAGGATGTCGGGATTAAAGCTGAGCTGCAGACGGGGTCCCAGCGGTTCACGCTCACCGATACCGTCGCGAGCACGACGCCCCGAGCGAGCATCTCGTTGACGGACCGGAGTGGAACCAGCACACCCACGCGTGTGCCACTTCTGCCCACCCAATCGGCGGAGTTTGTGATCCAGCACGAGATCAAGGAGCTGGGCGTGCATATCCTGGTGTGCTCGGTGCACTACTCGACGCCGGCGGGGGAGAAGCGGTTCTTTCGCAAGTTTTACAAATTTCAGGTGTTGAACCCGTTGGCGGTCAAGACGAAGGTCAACTCGCTGCCGGATGGGAAGGTGTTCCTCGAGGCGCAGGTACAGAATATGGCCGCCGAGCCCATGTTCTTGGAACGGATGCGGTTCGATCCGTCGGATTTGTTCGTTTACACGGACCTCAACTCCATAATACCCCGCGGGAGCGAGTCTGACTCTTCCTCACCAACAACATTGACACACGTATCGCCATCAGAACCATTAGGCGTCCTCAACACCAACATCACCCGTCCAAACCCCACCCCCGCCAACCCCGCCCAAACCGTGGGCGCCACCGAAGAAGGCTCCATCTACCTCAACCCGCAGGACATCCGCCAATACCTCTATATGCTCAACCCCAAAAAACCGCACGATCCCGTCGCCCGCACATCGCCCACACTCGGCAAACTCGATATCATGTGGCGGACCCATCTTGGCCAGACCGGCCGTTTACAAACATCTCAACTCAGCCGGAAAGTGCCACCCACAGACCCTTACGAGATGGCTGTTGTCAGCGTCCCGGACCGTATCGTCGCGGAACAGCCTTTCAGCATGACCTGCCGCGTGTACAACAACCTCGTCTCAGAAACACTCCGCCTCACCCTATCGGGCATCAAAGCGAACATGAGCAGTATCCTCCTCATGGGCGCAAGCGAACGCGCATTTGGGAACGTGCCGCCGTTGGAGCATGTCGATGTGACGTTGCAGTTTTTCCCGCTGCTGGCTGGGCTGCATAAGGTGTCGGGGTTCAGGTTGAGCGAGATGGTGTCCGGGACGAGTAAGGACATTAATCATCTTACGGATTTGTTTGTGTGGCCCTGAGGTGGTGTGTGACCCCACTGTACTTCGAGCCATATCATGTAAGCGCCTTTCATGAAAGCACTGGTGCACATGGTTCTTTATCTCCTAATTGTAAATAATCCTACATACCCTGGCTCTATATACATGCTTTGACTCTCCGCGAGGTGCTGAGAGCGCAATAATCTGCAAACTGAAAGATCCATATGCGCTAAACTGGAACGCCAAAAAGGGGGGGTTGATGCGTGGCCGATGCTTATCAGGCATCTACATCTTGGTTGGCCACGGGTGCCTGCGGGGGGGCAGGCACGTTTGGGGAGGATGCATTGCCGAACTTCACGCGTAGGAGATCGTATTTGCGGCGGTCCTATATCAGGGAAAAGGGAAAGCGTTAGCAACACAACCCTGGGAGCAATAGCCTCACCGTGGTGCGCCCATTGAAGCACCCACCTTTTTGTTGACAGAAGGCAACATCTTCGAGAACGCCACCATGAAATGTCGTTGCTGCACAAACGTAGCCTCAACCTTCACCTTCGGTCCCTGGATGTGATTCACGCCCCAAGCCCCGGGTGCGCCCAAAGCCGCACTCTGCTGAAACAGTCCCTCCCTCAACGCCGCAACAGCCGCCTCCCTCACCAACGCCGCCAAATCTGCACCGCTGAATCCGTCGCATCTCGCGTCACCCGCAACGCTCCGCAGGTCAACGTCAGGTGCCAGTGGCGTGCGGCGGGCGACGGCTGTGAGAATGTCGTAACGCTCCGACGCGTCGGGGAGGTCGACGTACAGGGCTTTGTCGAGACGGCCCGGACGGAGCATGGCTGGATCGATCATGTCGGGTCGGTTGGTGGCGGCGATGACATAGACTTGTTTGCGGCCTTGCATGCCGTCCATTTCGGTGAGAAGGGTGTTTACGAGGCGGGATGATGATTGCGACTATGTAACGTAAAGAATACATGTGAGCCATAAGTTCATCGAGACTCGCGGAGATCACATGCTTTCTTACCTCGCCCTCATTGGACCTCGCTGGACATAAAGCGTCCAGCTCGTCAAAGAAAATGACACAAGGCGATGAAGCCTGCGCCCTTGCAAACACCATCCGTACCGCTCGCTCACTCTCGCCGACATACTACAACAATCACGAAGTCAACATCTGCGAAGCGAGTATATTCTACAACGCAGGGGAGAGCTCACCTTGTTCAATAACTCCGGCCCCTTAACTGAGATAAAATTACAACAACTCTCGTTCGCCACAGCCTTAGCCAACAATGTCTTTCCACATCCCGGTGGGCCGTACAGCAAAACGCCCATAGCGGACGCAATGCCCATCCGCGAAAAGAATTCCGGATGCCTAATCGGTTCAACGATGGCCATGCGCAACTCTTCCCGGACTTGCGTTAATGCCCCAACGTCGGCCCAGGAGACATCGGGCACAGTCGCGAAACCTTCACGCTTTGCTGAGGGTTGGACTACCTTCAGTGCGGCTTCGAAGTCGCTGAAGATGATGCATAATGGCTCTAGCTCGGATTCCGTTAATGGTTCTGGGCAGGAACTCAGGAACTCCGAGACGGACATCGTCTGGGAGAGCACACCCTGGATGCCCTCAACCCAAGTCGGACTATCACTAGTTTCCGTCGTGGTTGGGATCTGTTGGTCGACGTCCATTGCTTCCCCATCCATCGATATCGACGGAGGCGCCACCACCGCCTCCGCTGGGCCTTCCGGACCCGTCTTTCTCGTCAGTGTCTTCAGAATGCGTTGTACGGCCAGCATGCCCGCCTCCGCCGTCAATGCGTTCAGATCTGCTCCAACATAGCCCGGTGTCACTTTCGCCAGAGATTTCGTATCCAGATCTCCCGATAAGCGCAATTTCGAGCATAGTTTGTCCAGAATTCTTGCCCTCGCTGCCTCGTCTGGCACGCCGATCGCTATCTCACGGTCGAATCGTCCGGCTCGCCGTAATGCGGAGTCGATCGAGTCTGGTCGATTTGTTGCTCCAATCACTATAACCGGCTTGTTGTCCGTCTTGTCCATTGATATGTCTGTAAGGGTTCATTAAGTTTCAGTTGCGACGTTTCCTGATACGCCTCATAAAGCATACCGTCTAAACACGTCAACAGCTGAGCGACTATTCTCCTTTCCATCTCCCGCTGCGCCGTCTCCCTCTTGGGGGTAATGGCATCGATTTCGTCAATGAACATCAGGCACGGTGCAATATCCTTAGCCTCATCAAAGATCTCCCGCAACTTCTTCTCTGATTCTCCAGACATCCCTGAAACGATAGACGGTGCAGAGATGCTAACAAAGGGAACCCCAGCCTCCCCCGCAATCGCGTGGGCCAACAGAGTTTTCCCACATCCAGGAGGACCATGCAGCAGGATTCCTCGGGGAGGTTGAATCCCCAAATGCAGGAAAATCTCTGGATGCTTCAGTGGCATCCCGATGAGCTGGAGAACCTCCTCTACGCATCCGTCCATTCCTCCGAGATCAGACAATCGTGCTGTTGGTGTCGGCCACTTCGCTGTGGCTTTCTCGTGGCTGCTTCGTTTCGCTTTCTTCGACTCCTGGCCTGAGGGAGCGTCCTTTTGGCGACGCTTCTTCGTTCGCTCGGCCGGTTGTGCGTCTGAAATGGCTGTTTCCCCCGACGGTTGCTCCACATCCAGTACGTTCCGCGCTTCCTGCTGTGTAGCTTCGTTTGCTGCGTTGATTGTGTCTCCTGCAAAGGAGGTGGTGACCCGTGCAGGACTGGCCGGTACAATGATGGAAGACGAAGTCTCCACAACAGTCTTTTTCGCCCCGTATATTCCCAAAATGGACCTGTTCATCGAATTCGTTTCCTATAGCATGTATGTCAGACCAGAGAACGAATGCGTGCAGAATGCTTCCGATTCTACGTACCTTCACCTCCATCATGGGAACGTCCTCGAAAGCAAAATCGGAGTCCAAGTCTTCGTCGGAGTCGTTCGGCGTATCTGTGCCCTGATTTGAGCCCAAACTGCGAACTTGCCTCACGACTACAGGAATCACAAAATCACGAGCGTTTGTCAGTAGCCTGCCTTTGTCGGTTTGGGATGGACAATTTCGTTACCATTTGCCAAAGCAACCTTTAAATTCCGCTCAGGCTTCCGCGCAAGGGTCGTATCCTGAGAGCGAATGTACTGCAAAATGGCATCCTCCTCCCTCAAGGCGACGTCGCTTTTTATGCCGTCTATTTGGCTCTGTTGGTATTGGTATTCCTGCACAAGCGGCAGCATTCTGTCCTCCATGCTGCCTTGCAATGACCTTCCTCCGTTCGGTCGTGGGGCCGGCTTTATGAAGTTTCGTCGCCCCATTATGACCGAGCGGAAAAGACGACTAGACTAATGACGAGGTCAGGCTGCTCTCCCAAGTTCTCACAAACCTAATATGAATCGCAGGACTGTCCGGAGTAGAATATACGAGGGAGGACGGAGCTTGGGCCTTTGGGCATTCTGCCAAACCGAACGAACGGAGCGTTGCATATTTAATCGACGTCACGTGGCTTCTATCCCGTCAATAATGTCAGTTCGCGTTTGGTTCGCTTGGTAGACTGAACGAAGAAAGCAAAGCAGACATCAAAAAGGGGGAGGATGTAGATATGCTTCGAGCAACATTATCATAATGGTAGTTCGCTCGCCAATGAGTTAGTGAACTCAACCCGTCCAACTGAGAAACCAGGTTGGCATTGTCTCCACACGCTGGAAAAGATGAGGTGCGTTGTGATGATATTTACAAAATTGGCATGATACGAAAAATGGGTACATCGAACGAAAACTCCATGCGGTGACCTGGTAAGAGGGAGCGAGCTCAGAAGAAGATGTTATGCTATTGCGGCACGTATTGAGGGTATCTCTATACAAGGGAGCGGAACGCTATACTGGACGGGCTGCATTGATGTGCATCGAGACGTCGACGAAGGAAGTAAGCTACACGTAGAAAGCCCCGCTGGTTCAAATATCCTTCTTGACCGCCAAAGGGTCCGGGGGCGGTAGCGGTGTCGTATCAGGGGACGCGCCAGGATACGCTTCGGGAAGCAGAAGGGGCGATGTGGGATCTACCTCCGTCTGGGCCTTCCCATTCGCATTCGCTTTCGTTGGTGAGCTCGATGAATCCGTTGTGAAAGGGTTTGGGGAACTCGGAATGCCGGCAGCAGCTCGCTTAGCGTCGGCCTCAATCTCCTTCTCCAACTTGAGTAGTTCTTCCACATACTTTTTGGAGAACACTTCAAAGTAGTAGTTCGCTCCATTGTATGTCGCCATCGCCAATGAGGCAACGAGCGCGGTAGCATGGAGCCACTTGTAATGATAGAACAAGTACGTTGGTGCGATCGTGATCATCGTGTAAACGAATTGAATGCCCATGAAAACCGCCGGTCGGTAAGGCGGTGCTACTTTGTTGGCGACTTTGGCGACGGCCGATTTGTGATTCTGCAGCATGTAGGTGGTGGAGGTCGCGTATCCGGCGGCAATCTTGTCCGCCCGCATCGTCCAAACAAAAACCCAATAGGCCGCCTGCCAGAACATGTAGACAGCCAGGGAAGTGGTGAACAATGTCATAAACGATAAGTGCGGGGGATCGGCGGAAAGGCATTCCAAATGCGCCGGCAGACGGAACACCGAGAGAGATGACGGGAGTCCGCCAGCTATGGTCGTGTTCAGAGACGACTCGGTAAGAGCGGCGAGCGGGTGATGAAGGCACTCCGTCGAGATCGGCGTGCTCATCACCCATCGCAATGTGAAGAGGGTCAAAGGCGGATCGAAATGAATCAACAGCGATGTGACTTTGTCCAGTGAGTGGAACACTAGTGAGTTCCGCCATGCCGTTATCGCCACGAGCACCGGTCCATTTGCTAATCCCCATGTCGCAGCATACAGCGAAGTGTGAGCTCCCCGGAAGAATATGAGAACAAATAGAAGGAAGTTGACGAAATAGCACATGTCGAACATAAAGTAGTGCCATTTGTTGTTTTTGTAGGTGACGAGACGTGCAAGCAAGAGCACCGCCGCCTTCACGACGTAGAAGTATGGCATGATCGACGGGGCGACTCCGAACAACAAGGCCGTGACCCACATGTTCGTCACGCCAACAACAAACGCAATCTTATCACGATTTTTGGCGGCAGCCGCTGAGGTTGCTTTCTTCCGTGGGTCCACTAATCCAGTGAGAACTCGTAATTGACGCTCTATGACTTTTTTCTGCAGGGCTGCTAACTTTTCCTGAAAAACAGCTAGAGGTCAATCGGTTTCCCAAGACAGTTGATCCTAAGAATCCCATACCTGTCGGGAGCGCAAGTTGCGCCCTACTGCGCTTGCTTCGATGCGACGCCGTTGCTGCTTGAAATTGTTTTGGAGAACACGGACCCAATCCGAACCAACAAGGTCGAAAACTGAAAGATCTTGTACGTCGAAGTCGAACTCGATACTGTCCCAAGGGGAACCTCCCGGGGTGGAAATCAGGGGAGACGATACTGGTGATTGTGCTGTGCTCGCCGTCGAACTGTCTGCTGTGTTCCCGTTCGTAGAAAGTGAAAGATGGAAGTCCGGTTTGGCGTGTCGGCCGTTGGACAGACCAGGGTCGGAAAAATTCGGTGTGCTCGCAGCCACCTCAGAAGAACTATTCGCACCGTCTTTCGTAGAGCATGGCGGCCCTACCGGCTCTAACAAGTCGGGCATCGCGGTCGAGTGATCTTAACCAAGTCAAACGGTCCGACAGAACGGAGGATCGGCAAACCGGAAAGAGGGTTGGCCCGTGGAAACTTGGGAAGCTGAGGGGATCGTGCCACTGAGATTCGAATCAACGTGGAGATGGGCTGGAACGGGAGGAAGTTGTTCGCGGTGTTTGCGAGGATAACGCCTGAAGAGAGGTGGGAAATATTCCAGGATAGATCCAACTTGGAGTAAAAGTAGGCGGTATTCTCTGAGCAGACCCTACATATACAGGTGATGAGGTTCAGGGAGCGACTTTATAGTTGGAGAGATTGCCTGAGGCGATGATAGAAACCTCTCCGCCGTAAAGTGACGATGACGAAGGCACGTTTTGGCTCCCCGCTCCAGCTTGACGGGAACGTGGCGGTGACTCACCCCCTGTCAATTGCGCAGCCCTCAACGCTTCCAAGTTGTCGAATTCAAAAAAATTAGTAGTGTTGAAAGGGTATCTATCACCTTGGAATAACCTTCAGGGGAGTTATTTGAACTATCTAATACGATCCTATGGTATCACTTTTCTCTAATAACTATCCTAACTGTTTCGGCTCAGCAACTTTGGAATACTCGTATAACTCAGCGTCATCCAACACCGGCCACTCTTGTATCAAGAAGGCCTGCAGTTTCATGTCAGGTGGAAAGGCGTAAGATCCTCGTGCTTGCAGGCCCACTATCGACCGAATAAGGGACGATATGAGCTGGAACTTTGTGAAGTTTATGACGGGCGCGCTGGTCTTTCCTCCCGCGATCGCGGAAGACGGCGTTGATAGAAAGGAAGGGTTTCCATCTTCTGCAAAGGTGAGATCCGAGAGGTTTACCCCAAGGTAGGGCAGTATCGGGTGGGAGGTGGTTTGGAGCGATCGAAGCGCTGCTCGGTACGTTTTGTAGGAGTCTGCAAAACAGATGAAGAGACAAGTTGTCAAGATTATGCGAGGAGTAACGCCGTTGGGCCCATGTAACTCACTTTCATTCGAAACGATGAGATTCAGTTGATTCCAAACATCCCAGTATTTCTTGGGCAGTGCCTTCCACGTTCGTTTCAGTCTCGTAACAGGCCCCAGATTAAGCCCTGCCACTACCTCAAAAAGCGTATTGAAATTGCCCCAGGAAAAGCACAATTGCGCAATATAGATGAAACGCTTTATGCATGTCACCCGAGACCGCAGAAGAGGCTGGCTAACGACCTGTGTTGCTACCCCGTAGGCTATCCGGTTGAACCACGTAATAAGGGCAATGAGGTTGGGCGCCAGCACATGCTTCATTTGTTTGTCGTTCCATGACTGAAAAAACAACTCCGACATTTGTATCCTCGAGAAATATCCGTGTTCCATCAAGGTCAGCTGCTGCGCCAGCGCATCGGCGCTCAAATCGGTCGTCGTCCCCGGACCGGGAGATTCGAGACCGGCGTGCCGTACATGATAGGTGTCACTGATATTAGGCATCGACACCTGACTAGCTTCCAAATTCGCTGGGGAGGTAGAGGCTCGAGCGTGAGACGCGGATTTCGGGGAAAAGGTATCGAGGGAAATCGCAATGCCAAGCGACGGAGTAAGAGGTCCATCTGCCGGCGGGCTCGAAATGCCATGAGCAGCGTTCGAGCTTCTCCGTTTCGATCGAATGGTGGTATCAAGCGTCAACGAAGATGATGCCCTCCCCAGCGTAGGCGCCCCACCCGGTAATCGACTAGTACGCGCCGTAACAAAGTCTCCAAGCGATGTCCCCGTCGAGCCCTCCACTGAGCCGCGTCGGACACTCAGACTCGCAAGACTGGGCTCGCTGACCCCATGCGTCAATGCTCTCCCAGGTGACGGCAACACCGGCGATATTGCCGCTTGGTATGCCGGTACAAGCAACTGCGAAGGGCTAAGTGGCATCGGCTCATGCGCTCTGTAAGCATCCAGTTTTTCGTGAAGATTTTGCAGCATTGAGCTTGCAAACACACTTCGTGTCGGCTGTGTCTCCACATGCTTTTGCAGAAAGAGGACTGTCAACAAGTACAGTTCTCTGGTTTGGTCGAAATCGAGAGGGTATAGGTCGATCCATTTCTTGAATACGTTCAGAATCTTGAGTTGCAGCAGTCTGCCCCAGTCTTCTGATGATGACGATCCACTTTTTGACAGTTTCCGCGGGTTGGTCTCGGTAGACTTTTTGACAGGGTCCGCCTTCTTCAAGTAGGATAGGAAATCTGCTAGACTTTCAGAAACATTCGTTCCTTCTTCCTCTGCTTCCGTTTCCGACTCCGCGCTTATCGGCGGATCCCCTCCCACCGTCACATATCGCATGATGAGCAGACGGGCGACGTCTACAGGGTCGGCGAAATAGCGGTACGTCGTCAGGAAATCGACAATGTACTCAGCGTCGGTCGTGCCCTCTGAAGCCAGAACCTGTACGAGATCCGGTAGTCTACCGGATACGACCGTAAGTTTTCCATTGATGTTCTCCGTCGTCAACATAGAGTGGCTCGAAAGGAACTTGGGCCGCAGGTCAACATGTGGCTGAACTACTCCCGTCGACTCGATTGTCCAGCTCTCCTCATCACGTACACCTAAAGAAGCCAGTAGCTCTTCATTCACGGTCTTTTCCAAAGCTTGTCGCTGCTGGGCTTTGACCACAAAGTGCCCTATTGATGGCACGTCCTGTCGCCTAGCCAGGAGAGAAGCTACGGAAGAATGCCTGGGGCCCGACTGTACCGATAATGTGCTGTACGACTTGTTGAGCGATAATGAGTCCTGCGAACCCACGTTGCTGGCGCCATAGCTACTCGCGCCCGTGACCGATTTCCGCGCAACAGACACCCGTAGTGACCGGGATAGCCTTATAGGCAAGCTTCGCTCTTCCGGCCGCCGCGAGGCTGCGTCCTTAGTCGTCGTCTCTGGAAAATCATCCAAGTCTATTTGCATCATCGAGGGCATCTGAAATGATGCATCTGAGCCCGGCATAAACGAGTACGGCCGATCGGAAGCCGCTTTGCTCTGCCGTGGCTGTTGCTCTTCCTCACCGCTCCGTTGTTCGCTAGGAGGCGACAGGTTATGCGTGGTGCTCGGGCGGGGTGAACGGTCGTCCAGATGTTCATCGCTCGCACTCAAAGGACTCCGTGCTTTCTCCGAGTCAGAATGTCGTTTGTTCCCTGTCGTCGTCCCGTCCCCCCTAGGAGTTTCGCCTGGAGCTTCACCCAGACCTTGCCATGCCTCGGTCTTTGAGAACCCAGGTTTGAAGAACAGTCCAGCCGACGATCGTCTCTGGCGCAGGGGCGCCGGGTTGGCTTCTGTCCCGGGTGTCGCCCCTTTCCAGGGCACGACGGGGCCAGCAACACCTCCGTTCATCCCACCTGTACCCACAGCAGCGATCCCACTCTCCCGTCTCTGTAAAATATTTCCTAACTCCGCGACTGAATCTTTCCCCTCGTTACTACCCAGTATTCCCATCTCCGTCTCTTTCTCCACAACCTCCCGATCCGAAATCGCAATCTCAGGCACCGACCGCGACGTTTTGTTCGAGTACAGTTTATGCGAAGATTTGTGCTCGGTGGCTAGCCGCCGCATCTGGGACGGGTCCGCCGAGTTCCCGTCGCTTCCTTCTTCTTCCGCTGATGCGTCTTGCGAGTCATCCGAATCGTCGACTTCTATTGTTTCCTCGGGTGGACTACCGTCGGGATTTGCCATCTCCCGTGGCCGCTCCATAGTGGCTTGCCTGCTCGACTGTATGGACGATACCAGCGGCGTTTCTGGCAATCCTTCGTCAACGTGGTCCGTCTCCGTGGTTGCTGGGGACAAGGAATTCCGGGCACGCTTCGATTTGCTGTGTACTTCAGATGCGCTCGTTAACGGGATCTTGGGCCCCTCCTTCGGACCAGACTTCATGCTGTCGCGCAAAGCGTCAAGCGTTTCCTGAAGTTTCAGTCTCATAGCGAACCGTTCCCGTTACGATTTCAGGATGGGAAAGATAGTGTCCCAGTAAAGCTCTCTTGATGGTGGCGGGAAAGCCGTCAGACAAGTTTGCGAGTAGAAAGAAACGTCGTGAGGGACTTTCCGCGATGGTTGAGCCCCACAATCTTCCAAGCAGCTCCGAGCCAACAGCTCACCAGACTCGCCCCTGCGCCTGGCGATGGAGTCTGAAAATAGCAACAAGAATGGCGCTGTCAATGCTGACATACTCTACAATCGACAGCGCGTAGAGAAAAGCCACGCATCGGCTGGGTTTTGAGTCTGTTTGACGAAGCTACTCCATGAAGCGGAACACACATGCCGCAACCACGGCAGTGCTATGGCACTGCAGCAAAGGGTTTGTTGTAACGGTTATCTTCGTGTAAGCTTGGAGAAAAGACGGGAATCCCTGACGACCATGGGCAGTTTCACTAGGCAGTGTAGACAGACAACCGTGCCGGTCGAAAAAAAAGCCGCTAATCCCAAAACCCTCGGAACTTATCGCTTCAGTCGGCAATTCATATTCATGGTCATAAACACATAAAGATCAGCTGGTAACCTCCAGGAATCTACTAGCTACAGCAAACATCTCCCAAAAGCACTAACCAAAAAAACCATACATGATGGAGAGGGAAGGGGAGGTACGCATACAAGTGCTGGCGCAGACGCTATTCTACTTTGAGCTATTCGTCAGAGTGTGTGGTATAAGAGGTTTGTCGGTCCCCCGGTGTGTGTTCGTAGACGGATGAGGTTGAGGGGTATATTTGGGGAGCGCCTAATTGCTATACAATTGTCGGCCACTGGGGTCGCCGAACTACACGTCGGCAGCAGGAGCGATCGCATTCACAACAAAAGCATCTTCTGTTCGGTGCTCGATTTGGAAGTGCGTTTCCGAAGTCGATTTTCGCTTGTCGGAGAGTAGTCGTTGGAGAGACTCGTTCGAGCTAGGAACGGAAGACAGTGACGCGTCACTATCACTCTGGACTGAGTCGTTTCGAGCCAACGTCGGAAGGCCCTCTCCATCCAAAGACCAGGAGCCCAGACGGTCCAAGCCTCCGCGGACACCGATCTGCGTTCCCCTTTGTCTCGCCTCCTCTGAGTCTTCTTCTGAAATCAGGAACTCTGAGAAACAACTCGAGGACTGCGTGCTCGGAGACCGAACGAGCATGACAAATTCGCTCGTGTCGATGTCTACGTCCAAGAGGGGCCGCGTCTTGGGCGGTGACCAGGCAAGCGGGGCGAGGTGATGGGGAACGCCTGATAATAATATCGACGGCACGGGGTTGCGACCCCGGGACTTGCCAGTTGGGATGAATATTTGCTTGAGCGACTTGGCTACGGATTCGGTAGCCGACATCCATTCTTTCGTTGTGGCGGCCAAGATGGTGCGCTTTGATGCGAGGCTCAGGGTGGATCCAGGTATCGTATGTGCCTCGCTGGGAACGGCAAGGGAGGAGAACGAACTGGGCGTGTCGATCATGAAGGCTTTTCGAGAAGGAGTGTCAAAGATAGTGGAAGGAAGCTCTGCCAAAGGTGGCGGCAGATCGCTGTCGTGTTTTGGATCGATTGATTTCGCTCCAAACTCCTGCTGATCGGCACGGGTTTGGCGTCGGTAGATAAGTCCACCGACAACTACCGCAGCGATGAAAACACTGACCATAACTCCGGTTATGACCGTCGTGCTATTGCTTGCGGCAGAGATGTCGCTGGATATTCCAGGAATTCCGCCACCATTGCTTCCCGTCCCACCATCGGGTGACATCCAAGGAACACTGCCATCGCCGCGGGCAGGCCCTCCGGGAATGATCCCTCCAAGAGGGTGGGTTCCCATCGCACCCATCACCGGCCGTTGGTCTCCAGGCACTACCTCAGCACTAGAAAGGTATGCAGCGACGCCAGGAGTATTTGTGGCGATTGTGGGAAGGATAGTGGCTTCAGTCCCACTCGGAGCCGTGGTCTCAGTCGGCAATGCCGATGTAGCTCCAGTGTTCTGTGGCTCTGTCGAGGGAGAAGTAACGGAAGGTGTTCCTCCTATAGGAGTTACTACAGCAGTTCCAGACCTAGAGTGCGTCGGAGTCGGTGGTGCATCGGTGACCGGCGGTGGGGGTAGATCGCTCGATGTCGTGAAAGAGATGTGAGTGTGTCTAGTTGCGTCACTTTCGGACGAAGCTGATACTGGGGTGGTAATCGTGGAAATGCCGCTTGTTGTTGTGGTGCTCTCCCTCAAGGAAGTCTCGGCAGGTATATCTGGATGCTCGCCACCATGCGGACCCTCTGTCGGAAGAACCGTAGGCGTCGGCGATGGGCTATTGTCTGGCAGAGAGGGCAATGGGGTCGAGATGATAACGGACGTCTTCGTGTATATAATAGTGGATGAGGCTGGAATATTGTCTTCGCTTTCACCGCTTCCCGTAGGATTGTCTGTCACAGATGCGCTTGCTTCCCCAGTAGAGGTTGGACCCCGAGTGTCCTCTACGGCCGTTGTTGAGAGGGATACTGAGGGAAGCTCGGTTGTCGATGTTTCAGCAAGGGTCGATGCCGGATCGTCTATCTGCGCCGTGCTTGCTGAAGGTCCATCGGACTCCGCTTGTGTTAGCGTCGGTAGGCTTTCCCAGGAAGATGCCCATGTCGTTTCAGAGTCATCGACAGTCTGCGTCAACGAGACGGGCGGCAATCCGGAAGATGATACTTTATGTATTATGGTCGTCTGAGAGGGTATCGTTTCTGTGATCTGATCCACCGCTTGTGGCCGTAAACCTTTCGAGGTGGACACCCGTTCGGGCTCGCCTGCAGACCTTCGATGCAGAGCAGCTGTTTGTCTGAGCCCGTGCTGTTTTCGTCCAACATGAGTAGGTGACCATCGTCCCCTACCCGTTCTCTGTGCTGCACACCTAGCGAGGAGAACCTGATATGTCAAGATGAGGGCCGCTAGATACAAAGCTGCGCAAGCAGGTCGCCGGTTTGCTCGGGGCATTTCGCCCGGACTCCTGAGGATTTTGGCCCAACCTCCGGTTCGCGATCGACGTTCAGGTTGAGTGCAACGCAAAGGCGGAAGTTCTCTACTTAAGTTCCTAACCAGCTACCCGGAGTTTCGATGTCACGCTGAGGGCAGTGCCTATGCGCACGTTGTGTGATGGCTCAATCTCGAGTCTCGTAAAAGTGCAGTATATGCAATCCCGTGTTCAGTGTCGGTCCGGGATGGCCCAGAGTATGCTGATGGATGAAAACGTTCAGCGTCGGTTGCTTGTCTACGAGTGCCGGATCACACGAATTCACTCTTGGGACCCTTGTCGTTTAGTTGAAATTGGCTGCGTTGGATCTGGAGGAAGACGAGAGGACGAGCTGGCTTGCTCTCTGGAGGTATTTCGTACGGCGGTGACTTTGAGAGCGATAGAGAAGGATAATCGATACACAACGGTCGGGCGCTATGGCATCGGGCGCAAGCGGAAGGGCTGACTTCATGAGATCCAGCATCCAACCCCGAACAACAATCACAAAAGTGATCCAAGACACCGACGGCGAGCAATATCTAATAATAACGAGAAAGCCTCTCGATGCACAACCCGGTCGGACCGCAGCCAGCGCTTCAGCACCAGCCAGGAAGCACCAGCAGCTCGACGGTGACACGGCTGATCCGACCGCCGCGGACATCGGGCGGGCATGATCACGCCAGAGGTGCCAACCGTCTGCGCTCGCTCACCAGCGGCCGTGAGCATGGATGGGGTGAAAAGGCGCCCCATTTCACGTTATGGCGTGGGACGCAGGCCTTCGGGAAGCCAGACACAACTTGAACGCGTTTTCGTTGCCCCAAAATTTGCTTCTCCCTCGGCTTTGCGCGTCAAAACGGCCAGTTTAAACGAGCGCACCTGACAGGCTAATAATTCAAACATGCAGTCCTGTAACAGGTTTCGGCCCCGTCTGTGTGAACGCCAGAAGTCACCGGCCGGTCGTCAGTTCTCCGCGGTCGAGGGAACACCGTCTTGAGCCATGGGAAGAGGTTGAAATGAGTGCCCAGTGAGTGCCGGCGAGTTCTGGTGGTGGCTATGCTCGGGATGATGCGTGCTTTGGCCTATGGTCTCCGAATTGTATCGTTTTTCCTACGACCATGCCAAAGTCTGTCCGGCGACGATATCCACCAAGATCTGCCCTCCGTTTGTTACCTTGTATGTAGATACCAACAGGAGAAGTGGGTAGCAGAAAAGGCCACTGGCTTTACCGCAGGAGCGGAAGACGCTCACGCCTGAGTGTGGCTCATAGTCGAGTGACTTTACCGTTCCCACGACAACACGAAAGCTTGGAGGAATCCAGAGGTGTTGGACGTCCCCGAGGCGAGCGCTTGGGAGATAAAGAACATTTAAGACGAAGATGAAAGCGGATGAGAAGAAGAGGAAGGGGGAGGAAGATATGGGATCGTCTGCATCCGCGCCACCAAAGGAAACGAGCATACTGTAGCACTCGACGCTGGAAGACCCTCAAACTCCATTCCCAGGGGATAACGGTGAACAAGCGGAGCGGAGAGGTGACAATGTACCCGCGAAATGGTCTTGTGGAGCAGGGCGGAGACAGGGGGGATGTACATTCAGGACCGCCTCATATCCTTCTGCAGTGTGGGGTCCGAGGCGGCGGAGTCCGTCCGCTACGACCCCACGAGACGAGAAGTGGTATCTGATCTTTTTTTATGACGCAAGGGTCAGAGGGGCACCGTCGAAGGAAGCGGTTCTCAAGTTCATTTTGGGACTACCGTGGGCATCTGCCAAGCGCCCCATACGTATGCATCCTGAGACAAGAGGGGCTATGTGCGGGCGTCTCCCTTACCCGGGGAAACTTTGTTCCATCGACCCAGGCGCGCGAACACCCTGGACATGCTTTGACATGCAAAGAAAGGCCTTACGACGTCTACCCCGACTTGGTGGCTACCTTGGCCAACTCCCACGGATTTTTGGGCTATGATGACATTTTTAACCTTTTGCAGCCTAGTCTGAGTTTGGCCCAGATGATGTTGGTGTTGCACACGCATCCATGAGGGTACCTGATGGGGATGCGGAGACCGTCTGGGTGTCCAATTGTTACTGTACAGTCCTCGATTTCAGTTACCAATTGCTTGGAAGTAAACGACGTCGCCGACCTCCAAGCAGGCAAGTCACCAGACCGAGTCAAGGTCGCCAACAGAAGCGAAAAGAGAAGTGATAGGTGAAGCGTGGACATCGCAAGCGGAAGTGGAGTTGGCGACAGCCTGTGTGATGGCCTCATCCGAGACAACGATGATCGCATTACTGCCACAGTCCGTCAAGCCCATAACGCATTTGCAAACCACTCGTCCAAGCTTACAAGTCCTTCTTAGAACATTGTCGCGTGCGGCGCCAACGTAGTCTTACGGGAGTTCTTAACCGCATCTAAATCTGGCTGGAATTGGCGACCGAGAGACCATGAACGGCATCAACAGGCTGCCAGCACAAGACAACCCACTTTGCCAAAGCCCAGGTCGATCCGCACGATGTCAAAAAGACCTTATCTGCACCATGGAGGAATACACCATCTACCGTACTGTACCGTACGACCCAACTTGCATCAAACACGGCCGGACTGAGCTGCGCGTCATCACGACACGCCTTCCAACACGAGCGGCGGTGACGTTTCGCACTCAACGCGGGAGAACCTCCGACACCCCGCTACTAGCCTCCACCGCCTTGGGTGCTTTTGGCGACATCCACATAATACGTATACTTCGTTTTGGAACCTATTGCGCTCCAACCTGCCATATGCAAGATGAGTTCAGTTCCCATTGACCACGCACCCCAAGTGCGACGCAAAAACTCTTGCCGGCATCAACCGCTCAAGGTTCCAAAGACTCTCAGACACGGAAGCGTTCAACACGGAAGCGTTCAACAAGGAGTGTACGTCGGGATTGAGATCTGTCCTTTGCTACCAGTTCCGGCGTTCTGCGTCTATGTTCATGACGGGTTTTGTGAGTGTCAGTCACATCTTCTTTGCCCTGTTCCATAATCCTGAACCACACTTTGTCTTTCGTGATCAAGACGAGGTGGACTACACGGTCCAAGTATTGGATGGGGAGAAACACACGGGCTTTGCAGAGATTGTGGCACACATTTGACGAAACAGGACATGGAAGGGTTTGAACATGTAGAGTATTACCGGACGTGGTTTGTTCACCGGCAAGATAGCCCCATGTGCTCATGCACCCTCCTCTATCGGCAGTGGTGTGCGGATAACGCCTACCGATACTGGGCTGATCCCAGTGGCCCCATCATGACTTCTAATGTCATCATCATAGGTAGGTGTGCCCACTATGGCTTTCCCGTCTGGCACTTCAATAACTAACGCGTTCCTCCTATTCGCAGACGACCCGCAACGTGAGCATCTGTTTTGGCTATTACAAATCGCCCCTTCGCTTGTTGACTTTCCCTTTTCGCAGCATCTGCCATGATTCCAATCATTCGGGAACTCAATCCGAAATGCAAGATCATATTTCGCAGCCATATCGAAGGTACAATGGATCTGAGTTCCAAGCATTCAGGCAGACTTTTGACTAACGCGAATTCTTCGCTGCAGTGACTGCATCTCTCGCCGACGATCCATCCACTGAGCAACACCATGTTTGGCAGTATCTCTGGAAGTTCATCAAGGAGAGTGATATCTTCGTGTCGCATCCGGTACGTTAGGGTTAGGGTAGAAAGGCCAATATTTCCGGCAGGTCCTGTCAAGAAGCCTTCTAAGGGAGACGGCAGGTTGTATGGTACTCTGTAGATATCATTCAGCGATACTTTTGTAAGAATATCATTGGGAAACGCTATCGCCACACGAGAAATTGCTATTCCCACAATTAACGTTAGAGTAGGGTTAGGGCTTGGGTCAGGGTTGATATCACTCTGAGAGGTAACAAGGCTGGCCCGTGGCCGTTACGTGAGTGTTTCGCTCATAGTTGAATAGTAGACTTGTATTCAGCCCGCTTACGGTAATATGGAGCTCCCGGACGGTGCAACAGTCCCAGGCACCTACTCACATAATGGGAGCATTGAGGAGATTGACCAGCGTCTGCCGTCTGCCGTCTGCCGTCTGCCTGTATCTGTACTATATGTAGCAGATATAGCCCGCGTCAAGGGAAATTCGCGAGAAATCGCTCCGAGGGACGCGTCGAGGCCTAAAAATCGGCCCGAGGCTTGCCGAGGGACTATTTGCAAGGCCAAGCAAGGCCCCGAGGATCGGTTTGAGCAATTTCCCGAGAGGACAAGGGTTATATTGTATTTATCGCACACACCGTACAACAAATATTCTGCCTTAGATTTATAGTTGACACAGTTGATAACAGTCAGGTGGCCAACCTTTGCATTGGCCAGGAAACTACCAAAGCTACGGGCTACATGGGCTGCATCTGATTCAACTCCGTCAAGAAGTTTGGATGCTTCATCATCATTATCCGCATTGGCTGATTTGGGCCTTGCAGGAATCTTGACCTTCAACTGCTTGATAGGGGACTTGGGGGGATGCGCCATGGTGCTGACTTTTGTCTCGGTAGCCGTCCAGGAATTGATGGTTTGCGTGCCAACAATGATGGGCAGCTCATTCTTGTTTCCTTTGGTGTTTGTTGGATCGAGCACTTTAGCAATGGCAAGGCAATGAGTTTCCTTCATTCGAGAGTACGAGGCAAGGCCTGCGGCCCTGCGGTGTCCTGAAGTTTTCTGGGTGATATCCTGATGGACCCCAGCTTCAAGAAGTGCCGTGCCGTAATTGCTGTGGGCAGAGTGCGGGACAAGCTTTCGGTCGTTGCAATCAATTCCAGCCTGAACGCACGCTTCTTTCAACCACTTTGAGATGGAGTTTTTGCCAACTGGGGCATCGATGTACCATTTGCCAGATGCCAAGAGGTTTTTGACTGAGTTTGCACGGACAAAGAATCGTGAAGTGTCCAGTCCAGAACGCTTCTCAAGGTATTTCCGAATGTCGGCAGACGGTCCTGATTGCCCAACGGTGAGCGGAGTGACATTGACTCTAGCAACGAGGCCTTTAGCATGGCGGCCACCCTGGTGATTCTTTTCGACGGTCATGGTTCTCTCAAAATAGTACTCCCCAGCAGCCATCATTGTTGTGCAGAGACGCGAGCTATCCCTAACCCTATCCCTAATCCTGTCAAACGCCGTCATTAGTAAGCAGTCGCATCAGCAGTCTGCGCAGACGGCTAGGAGTGAAGTGCCCGACACCTAAGAATGTAATAGATATAATTAATAGTAATACAGTGATGGTTCTACTCTTCATCGGCTACTTTCTATAACCACAAGAGGTTATGAGCCCTGCCTGCGAAGCCGGAACGAAGCAGTAAGGATCGTATCGCGAACTCGTTGAACCAACACGACAAACCGCCATGAACATCGAGCTGAGCCCCATCCAAACCCCCGCACGCACCGGAGCAGTCCCTCCAGTGAGACTGGTGTCGGCGTATAAAACAGAGGAGCTTGAAGAGCAGTCGAAGTGGGAAGGTGTTGAGGAGATGAACGAGCGCGAGTATAAACTGAAAATGCTGGAAGAGCTTCGCGCACAGCGTGAAGAGCTCAGAGCACAGCGGGAGCAGCAGAATACGCTCCTGAATCTTATCCTAGAGATGCAGACTACAGCAGCGCAGGAAAGGGAAAGGGTAGCGTTGGGATTAAAGGAGGATGTTCTTCCGGACGACATTAATCAACCGCCAAAGAGATATCCGTCACCCACCCAGAGCACTGCATCCAAGACAAGTGTCTCCTTTATAACGAATCAGTTATTGAGGGAGATCCCGAAATATGACGGGGATATGGGAAAACCGCAAACTCTTTATGAGTTTGTCAGCAAGGTTCAAAACTTCATCAATACGGTGGATTTACCCCCGCACATAGAAATCGCTTTGGTTACTAGTAAATTTACGGCAACCGCAGATCTGTGGTGGCGGAACCTCTCTCGAAACATTCCCAGAACCTGGATGGAATTAAGAACGACACTGGAGAAGCGGTTTATCCCACCCGCCTATGGAACGATGGTTCGGGATAAATTGGATGGGTTGAAACAGACCCACTCTGTCATTGCATATAACGTGGCATTCAACCGCTTAGTGATGCAGATCTCGGATACATCAAAACAGGATGTCGAACATAGATACCTCAAAGGGTTAAAACGATCTATTTACTCAGCAATCATCAGTAAGGAGTTGCCGAATTTAGATGCCATGCAGGAAGCGGCTACCCGTCAGGAACAGATGATGGGGGCGCTAGACTCGTCAACCCAACGCTCATTTCGCCCTAAATCAGTGGAGGCCAGCAATGCCGAAGCGAAACAGTTGTCAGACTTGCTGAAGAAGACGGAGGATAACCCTAGCCGTGGCGGAAATGGAGAGAGTAAAGGCCGTGGACGAGGAGGAGGTGCCCAAGGAAGTGGATCCAAATTTGACCGGTTTCCATGCAAATTATGTGGGGAACATGGTCATTGGGTAAACACATGCCCGAAACTGAAGGCGGCGAAGGAGCTACTTGGAAAAGAGACGCGGAAGGAGAAATCAGACGCTGAGGCGAACCTTGTTTTGGCTACGGACCGGGGAGCGGACCATAGTATTGCCCTGCACTCGTGTGCAACCCATCATGTGGTTAAGGACGAGTTCATGTTTGAAGAGCTTCATCCCATTGCGCCGGTCATCATTACAGTCGCCAACAGTCAGACCATTAAAGCCCAGAAAGCCGGCACCGTCCGGGTCTTCAACAACGAAGAGCCTGTTATGGACGACGCGCCCATACCATAAGCTTACCTACTGACAGCCGCCAATGTCAACCGCCAAATGTCAAACGCCAATGTCAATGTCAATGTCAGTGTCAATGTCAGTGTCAATGTCAATGTCAATGCCACTCCCCCTCTCTCCTCTCATTTCGCCAATCCCCCCTCGGCTTCTCCACACCCCCACTACTTCCCCATAGCCAGCAGCTGGAGCAATGCTCTCTACGCTCGCCACGCACGCTCTAGGAGCATAGCTGGCGCCCCCCCAGTCCCCTCTTGTTGTTGTTGTTCTCTGATCTGCTGGGTTGCCTATCTATAAATAGCCGGCCTCTCTTCGTCCATTCCCTTCCTCCCCAGCAGATCAACACCAGTTCTTCTCATCTCCTGTTCTAGTCCTTGTTTCTTGTTTCGCCAATACAATCTCTTGTCGCCTATCACTCTCGCCCTGACTTCTCTACTTCGCTTCCGCCTCCCTTGTCGAGATCATAACAGTTTGATCTGCTCCAACACTGCGAAGTTCAGAACCCGTCCAGCCCTGCATCCGACAAACCTTTTTCGCCATGTCCCAACCCGAATCCGTACCTTTCACTCCCAAGCAATGGAACGATATGTGCCAAGCCATCGCCGCCTTGCAAAGCCAAAACGCCAACTTGCAGGCCAACCTAGCGCAAGCCCAAGCCGACGCACAAGCTGCCCAGAGCATCGCCGCCCAGGTTCAAGCCGATACGTACACCCGTCCCCAAGTCACCAACCCTGCTCTGGAGCCAAGAATCAGCTCGCCCAAGAAGTTTGATGGTACCCGCAGCAAATTCCGTGGGTGGTTGAACAACATCCGGTTGATGTTTGCTCTCCAGCCCGACCGCTACCCCAGCGACATCATCCAGATCCAAACTATTGGCACCTACCTCACAGGCACTGCGCAAGCCTGGATGGCGCCCCTAGTCGAACGCCAAGATCACAGCCTTCATGACTTCGATAGTTTTATCAGTCAGATGCAATCGGTCTTCGGAGACAGCGACAGGGTCCGCACCTCTGAAAACAAGCTCCAGAACCTTCGCCAAACCCGTGCAGCAACCGAGTACGTCGCTGAGTTCCGCCAGCTACAATGCGATGTCTCCTGGAACGACCAGGCCCTGATTGCTACCTTCCGCCGTGGCCTCAAAGAAGACGTCAAAGACCTGATGCTCACAATGCCCCCTGCGGCCACCATTGATGTGGTGATGGAGCAGGCTATCCAGTGCGATAACCGGCTGTTTGAGCGCCGCCTGGAGCGAAACAGAAGCCGCCAGACCTTCCCGGTTCCCCATACCTCGTTTACTACTACCACCACTGTCGACCACAGCGAGCCTATGCAGATTGACGCCGCTCGTCCCCGCGGCCCTCTGAGCCCTCAGGAACGCCAACGCCGCATTTCCAACAACCTCTGCCTTTACTGCGGTGGCGCGGGGCACATTGCAAAAGTCTGCCCCGTCAAGAACAAGACCACCACCCGTGCCGCCAACGTCGACATCAAAGAACCCTCCACCGAACAGGGTTTTCCCAAAGTCCAGCCGCAGTAAAGCCCCAGCGACTGGACAACACACACCGCCCCGGGCCTCCTAACCTCGCAGCTCCTGCAACGGGAGAGGCCACCCCCCTGGTTCCCGACTCCGTTATAGCCGACACAACCCTCCTAGCCGCTGCCCATGTCAAAAACTCCGAAATTAACCCCCGCGCCATGCTTGCGCTGGGTCCCGTCGAACCCTTCAACTACCCCGTTACCATCATGGTATCATCCAGCCGCGCCCCGATACCTACCTCAGCCATGATCGACAATGGTGCCCTGTCCTGCTTCATCGACAGAGACTTTGCCCGCAAACACCGCATCGCCCTAGTCCCGCATCAGCGTCCACTGACGATCGAACTCGTTGACGGTCAACCCAGCTCTGCTGGGCCAATCACCCATCACCCCCAACCAGTAGGCATGTGGGTCGACGACCACTTCGAAGAACTCGTCTTCCATGTCACCAAATCACCCCATGCTCCAATCCTCCTTGGTCTCCCCTGGCTCCGCCTCCACGACATTAACCTTGACTTCAAGAACCTTTTGGTCGGTTTCCGTTGCGACTGTCTGTACCATGAATTCGCGAATTGGGACAACTCTCCAGCACCCCCGAGCCCAGCACCCGCCAGAACCCCTGAGCCCTTGATCCGCATCCCCCAGGA